GATAAGACCATGGATTGGAGACGGGCGCAGCAGATATTAGATACTGCCTACATTCAACTCGTATGTACATACCTTCCTACCTATGTACTACTCACTCGTACAAAAGCCCGCAAAGGCCTACCTACCCCATCGCCTCGCCAGCCATTGGGTTAGGGTTAAGGATGGAACGGCCTGCTAGAATCTTCCCTCTCGGATCAGATCACCGCCAAAGTACGGCTTATCAGCGGCCGTACCTGCACACATACCTAGGCAGGTAACTAGGTAGGCAGATGGTTGCTTCTCGTCTCAGCGAAGCACGCTGCGTGCTGCGATCCCTTGATCCCATTGATCCTTCTGGGGGGTTTGTTGTATTACGTGCCTAGGCTGGCTCGGTGTATTAGGGTTGATGATACCCCAAGGCCGACTTGGCTTTTTTTTTTTTTTTTTTTTTTTTTTTTCTGTCTGGGTACGAAGCTGGAGGTATATCTATGTAGGAGAGTTGCCTACCTAGATAGGTAGGTACCTAGATAGGTAGGTAGGTATGTTACCTCGGATTACGTGCAGACAGCTACAGCTAGTAAGGCACACTCGTGGACTAGAGGTAACTACATAGATGTCTACATGTAGGTACGGTTGCTGATAGGTAGGATTACTTTTTTTTGGATATATATTTCCCTCTCTCTTGGTACTACCCACGATACATATTTGGGTTCATGTGCAGTGCAGTGATAAGTAAGTTGCTGCCGTAGAATCCGATCCGGTAAATATATGCGCGGAGGGAATCTGCATGCATGCGTGTGTAAGTACGCTCCGTATGCAATGCAAGTTACTGCTGCTGCTGCTGCTCGTACGAAATATCTCCTTAATGCAAAAGCGCGGGGCTGTGTAGTGGGTGGTATGGTAAAGAATAAAAAAAACCGTGTCTGTCTTGTCTTGTAAGGATTCTGGTATAACATAACATGAACATACCTACATCATGTCCGTCCGGCTGACCTGACGTCCCAATCCTTCCTTGGACCCCAAGCGCCGGAACCAGTAATAGAGTGCATTATCTCCATCGGGGTTGCGTGTGTATGCAGGTAAGTAGTGTGGGCATGTTGCATACATATTGCATGCAGCGTTTTGAGTATGTATGTACCTACCTATACGCCCAAGACCTCTATTCTGGATCGACGCTTCAATATAACCGCATCAAACTATTGCGCGGCTGTTGCCGCCCATTGGCTGTCGAATAGCCTAGTCCCTTTCGCTGACCAAGTTTTTTTTTCTCTCTCTTTGGAGTGGTAAACCTTTTATAGACGGCGACGGTCAGCTTGTCATATGACCGTTCAGATCCTGCGTAACGTCTGGTCATTCGTTGGCCGTGCCGTAGATGGGCAGAGAGATCAAACGTCTAAGGCTTGCCGTGTGGTAGGTTCATCGACGTGGAATAGTAATACAGTATAGTCCTATAAGGCTACCAACGTACCTAGGAAGTAGGCAAGTTGCTGCAAAGTGTGACACGGCTGCTTAGTTGACTACTAGCCTACACCAACACTTGCTATTTCGCATCCGGCTTCACAACCCCAATAGGGGCGTCATTTCTTTAATTTACTGCCTACTAGGTAGGTAGTGTGTGCAAGCCAGGCTTACGATGATAGCTGCCGGCTCTAACTTGATATAGGGGAGAACCATATGTCCGTCATCAGGCGGGCCTTGCCGCCTTAGCTGTCCGTCATCATCGATGCATCCATCTCGCTCTCACTAGTCTGTTACACACCTACCTACCTGCCTCTAAGATAGATGCCTAAACCAGTACGTAGGTAAGCTGGGTGCTATCTAAATAGGTAGGAAATGTAGTTTAACTTCTGACAGGATCTAGTCTCCTCACGTTACCCATCATAATATACACAACCTACCTACCTAGTACCTACCTCAGCTTACCTGCATAGGTGCTAAAAACTGAGTATAAGTAAGAACAACGGCAGCGAGGCAAGTAGGCGCGCAGGTAGACACCCATTCGCGCATTCCGTAGCGTTACATCTCATCGTCTATCTAATTCGTGGAGTACGTATTACCTACATATACCTAGTTTTTCTTTTGGCCCCCTTTTATTTTTTTTGGATACCTACCAGATCATGGCTACTCGTGGTGATGTCCCCGACGCTGTGGAACTCCACACAGAGGCGCAAGCGCAGGTTAGTTACATGTAGTTGCTTCGCTGACGCCACGGATGCACAGCTTATCTTGTTCGAACGTTGTTGTGCTGTAGGTACTAGGAGTCGTTATGCTACGGCACTCACTCACACTAGTTACAGTACCGACTTAGACTAGACAGACCACAGACTAGACTGTCCTAGTCTAAGATACAAACCGCGAGCTACGATGATGCTGATGATGATGATGAAGTCGCTGATTCTGTCTCTGCCCATCTTGATACACACCTACCTAGGCACCTATCTTACGTAGGCATGTATCTTGCTTCTTCGAGGCATGTTATACACTGCGTCGGAAGGATCTCGACATATAGCCAGTCCCATCAACATGCCAGGGACTTACCTATCTTGCCCGCTTGGTAAACACCCTCTCTGATGCCCCTATTTTGGATAGGCTTTTCAATGAGGGTAGGAACCGTACGTAAGCATCCATCACCAGGACGTTAGGGGGGGAGGGGAAAGGGGGTGTCTTATCACCTAACCTAGAGCGATCGAGAGTACCTACCTACCTACCTACCTATCTTCTTACGTGAAGGATTTGAAGAATCATCATCATGATCGCCATCGCTATCGAGTCTCTAACTTGTCATGTACCTACGAAGTCTCAAATTCACCATCAGCTTACCTACCCTACCTTGCCCATGTCTTTGCGACGAGCAAAGGCCGGGTACGAGACCGAAGCGCAGCGCAGCCCATAGAGGGGAGAATTCTCGTGACATCGCTCAAGATAGTCTGCGTTTTACGTATCTACATCAGGTTCATGTAAGCCCCTGAAGTCTGCGGCATGTATTGCCCGTGTACTTGTCAACTTTTCTAGCTTACTACTTACGGCTCATATACTATCCAGGCATGTGTGAAACGCACATGTTTTTTACTGGATTTACTACCTAGATTACCCGCACTCTGAGGATAAAGAACCCGTGCTGTGTTGAAGCGTGGAAAAGGGGCGGGGATATACGATATAGTCGGCGATCCTACCACCACGAGTAACCTACACGGTACTTACATATGTTTATCAATAAACTTAGGATGGCGAGGAACTTATGTGTCATATGTCTACTACGTAGGTGTGTATCTTCATATAGCAAGTTCTGAAATACTCCATGGCGAGTCATAACTCGGACTTACAAAGACGCCAAGCGACATAGGGTATGTCTACCTACCTCCAGGCTACCTACATCAAAGGCGCCCAGATGTGCTGCTAAATCCAATAGATGCATGTACCGTGATGGAGGCGAGTTGTCGGCGACAGACAAACCCGATCTCATGCCTTCTAGTTACAAAACAAAACAAAGGCATCTCATATTTCCATTTTTACTTCTATGTACGGCCCCAGCGGAGAGACAGCCCTGACGCACATATCACATTCTTGCAGGAATTGTGTTATATGTTCCGCACCACCGGCGCCGTTCTAGTTCTGTCTCAGACAGGGAAGGGCATCGCATCACCAGAACCTCTCTATCGGATATCGATAGCTGATAAATGATGTCCATCTAGTTACCTAATGATAAGTACATACACTTCTAGGTGCCTAGGTATGTATGCACCTAGAATCCCCCAGGTCGGCAGGTACCTCTTTGCTTCTTTGTGCCCTGAAAACCCACGAGTGAAACTTGCATGTAGGTATGGAGGGGAAGGAGGGGCGATTCTAAGACATCTGGTGCTCGCAACGCCACGAGGGACCATTTAAAAAAGAAATCAAAGAATGCCTGCCTAGGTAAAGTACCTTACCTGCCTGTCTAAATTTATAATAGTCTAACCTAGACTAATAATAAGACAGGAGAGCAGGTAAACTAAGAAGAAAGAAAATAAACAAGCTTTTTCGGTTATCATGTTGTGGGCGCCGGCATAGGCCTGTCTAAGACATGTGTTCCGGATTTCTAGACATCCGTACGGCTGTTCTTGCCCTATGAATTTATCCTGTCACAGCAGCAGCGCCGATGTACATACCAGTATGCAAGGTACCTATGGTATCTAGTGCCTTGCAGACAAGCCGCCGGGGCTGGAAGAACATGCCACGGGCCTAAGGTTCCCGGAGTTAGGCTCTGTGCCTGTGTGTCCATGTGTCCGTGTCTTGGATCGCGGCCGAGGTTTGTGATGTCAATAGTCTGGCGCCTGGATCGGGGCTGCATTGGATTTGGTGCTAGCTGAGTGCCAACTTATCATTTGCGCTTTTCCTGGGGCGATAATGGATTTTCAGCTCCTTGTGTCGACTAGCTTTAGTTTGCCTACTCATCATATATGACTAACCTAGGCATCTATCGCCTCAGATGTATAATTTGCCTGACGCAGAATCGAACCATTATGATAGATCGTGAGAGCCGACGTCTCCGAGATGTCTATTCATAGTCGCCTCAAATCGTCATGTGAGATAGGTTCGCTAAGGTTCCTATGGATCGAGATGCTGCGCTGGACTTTGAAGTTGGAAGCTGTTGCCTGATAGGTTCATGATGGTCTGGACTGAAGCTGATATTGTTCATCTCATTTGCTCTCGTTGGACTCTGGGTATGCCATCTATCTACTAGTGATGATCATGCGTCCATGGAAGTGGGTGCGGGTTGAGACCTCCTGGGCAAATTCGATCGATTAAGACCGACTTCCGATTATTGCCAACTCGCCATATAATTGGAGCCTGTCTAGGTTATACCTTTCTGGTGACTATGTTCGAGCTTCATGCTGGTCTCAAGTCATAGCCTATTTCCTGGCTGTACGAAGTAGTCCAAACATGATAGGTATAGGTACTAAGACTAGGAGGTAGGCATTGTCCATCCGCGACGACTTCATAAGCTTTGAGCTGAAAAATGGATCGATAAGTTCTAAGGTTTGTTGGCTATGAAGGTAGATATCCTCATGGTATGAAGACGTGTGTTGAGCAACTGTGGACTACAAGACTACTGGTATGATGTTGATAAACCGGAAGGAAATAGGAGATATTGAAAATCGGCACAAGTTCGGGGAAGCATTTAGGTTGTGACGTAAGGTGGTCACATGGACTATGGAGCACTCGTCCAGTGCCGGCCTGGATCCTCACAGGACCTCACTAAGTTACCAGCAGTAGCATCCCTCAACCCCAATCACCTCAACCCCCCTCAATCTTCCATCCTACATTAACTATCCCAGTACCTACATAGGTCCAATTGGCAATACCACATGCAATAGTTATTTGACATTATTAACCTCCAAGGCTACATATGTACATATGGCATACTAGAAAAACCCACTAAGTTCACCAAGTAATGCTACCTACCTATCTGCGTAGGGCCTAGGCTGCTAGTTAGCTACTAGACTTCACGGGTAATTATGGCATCATTCCAACTAATAACAAAACACCTGCAACATGAACGGCCGCTTAGACTTGTTTTGCGCCTACATAGTACGCCTACATAGTAACGCACAACTGTTGCGCAACAACCGATATCTACATACCTAATCTTGAGTCTTTACGGACAAATGACATACGCGTATTATAGCCGTACCAAGGTACTAGGCAGATAGGAAACGAGGGGGAGAAGGGGTCTGCATTGCATTATCATTATCGTCATGGCATCTAGAATGTCGGATACGGTGGGACCTTTCGCTTCCAATTCGCGAAGATTATCTCCCATGTCCCCAAATCTGGAGAGGTCGACATCCGATCCGCATTTCGCACACCGGGTATCTTCTCAGGATAGAATCAGTGGAATACTAGAGGTTCGTGGTGCATGTTGTTTGTTTGTGTTCTATTTACCTATGCCCATTGCCCATTGTCCACTGCCCAGCTACCCTAAAGTACCTACCTGTCCAGGTATACCTGGCTAGCTTCTAGCTTTCAATATTGTGCGATTGTCTATCTAGGTAGGTACCTAGGCAGCTAAAGAGAGGATAAGGATTAAAAGATTGAAAGGATTAAAAGACCTTGAAAAAAGAAGAAGAAAAAAAATGAGGCTGGAGAAAAAGAAAGAGAAGGAATGAATCCAGATCTCCAAAATCCACCCACCTCCCTCTCTCAAAAGCAATTGCATTTAAATTGACCTTCTCTGACATTAAACTCTCTCGTACCTAGACCGCTAGAGACCGTGCCGATACAATCAGCACCTACGCATCGGGCCGTAGTTCTAGGATGAACTTTCAACATATGCCGGAACGCGATGGCAGGGATGACGAGCCTGACGAAACCACGAGTATCGCGACAGCACGCGACCACGTGTCCAATTACCAGAGCACTTCCGTTTCTCCCAATCCTAGGAATCGAAGACCTGTACAGCAGGAGTTAGAGGATGATTGTCCACCAACGAACGGCGCCAATGGCCATAAGAGCAATAATCAATGGCTCAAGCATTGCCTCGACGGCGTATGGTCGGTAGAATTGGAGAATAAAGGGAGCGTGGCTAGGGACCATCTAGCATTAGGTATGATTATTCATTGCAAGTGTCCCTTGAGAAGAGGCTAACCGCTGATTCTTCCAGAACGAACATTCCTTGCGTGGCTACGCACATCGCTCTCCTTTGCGTCGATTGGTATAGCTGTCACCCAGCTATTCCGTCTCAACACGTCGATTGATCAAAACGATCCCCGTTATCACACGATTCGAAATATAGGGAAACCTCTGGGGTCAACGTTTATAGGCATATCCATAATAGTCTTGTTGCTGGGATATCGTAGATATTACCAAGGGCAGCAATGGGTGATTAAGGGGAAGTTCCCAGCCTCGAGGGGGACTATAATAATAGTGTCGCTGGTTGCATGTGCTGTTATAGTTGTTAGTCTTTTTGTTGTGTTATTCACGGAACCTACAGGATTGGATTCAAGGTGATATTTGGATTGGATGTATGTAAGTCTACATGTATTGTGTGTAAATCAAAAAGTTGGATACAACATCAAAAGTTAATTGAGTACCTAGTTTCAATCTTATATTGAATAGTTTCAATTCAATCTTATATAAATGATTGGTATGGATACAATGATATTATATACTATGTGACCTAACCTTAATCTTTCCAGTCTTGATGATTATTCAATTCTTCATCTAATCCATCCAATAAATCTCGACTCCACCAAACTTCATCCAACCAACATCAACTACGCTACTAGTCTTGCAACCTTGGAACCTTGGAACCTTGTTCGAACTAATAAACAGCATCCATGATAATAACAAAAGTATAATCCATTACCTAAGTCAAAGATAAGTCAAGAAAACAATTCTAGGCCCGCAGTTGCCAGAGTCCACCATGCCGCCCCCCACCAAACCCGTTGACGTCCCGGCGTTTGCGCGGACACAGCTTGCGCTTCTCGATGCCGAGCTACAGAGTGAAATCCAGGAGACCAGCGGCCTCATCTCCGCCGCCAGTCCCGCGTCTCTCCAACGCGCCGGCCTCGCCGTCACAAACCTCGTCGTGTCTTCGCAGCGCACCGGGCTAGGCGGGAGAACGGTGCTCGAACTAAGCCCGGACGGCGCTACCTCCGGCACCGGGGAGCTGCCCGAGCACGGCGTGCGCACCGGCGACATCGTGCTCGTCTCCGAGCAGCCGGCCGGCAGCGCCAAGAAGCGCGAGGTTAAGGATCTCGAGCGCAAGGGGGCCAAGGGCGTCGTGACGAGGATCAAGAGGGACGTCATCGCCGTCGCCATCGACGAGGACAAAGAGGATGCCGCGTCCTTCCCCGGCCGCGTGTGGCTCGTAAAGCTCGCGGACGACGTCACCTACCGCCGCATGAACCAGACCATGGAGAAAATGCGCGACATGCCGGAGTCCGAGTACTCTTCTTTCATGCGCGTCTTGTTCGGGCTCTCGAGCCCGTCACCTGTGCCCTCGGACTTGGCTAAGGATTCGGAGGTCGGCGAGGGGAAGATCGAGTGGTTCGATCCGATGTTGAATGATTCTCAGAAGGATGCGATACGGTTCGCGCTGGCGTCTAGCGAGATAGCGTTGATTCACGGCCCGCCTGGAGTCAGTACCTCCTTACCTCCCTACCTCCCTACCTAGTCTACCTTGAGCTCTGTTTCACACCATACCTACTACCTAGATACCTACCTAAGCTTTACGATGAGAAACGGAGGGGGCTAACTAACTAACTCGCATTTCGTACCTAGACGGGGAAAACGCACACGCTCATTGAGCTGATCCTCCAACTAGTCAAGCGCAACCTCCGCGTCCTCGTCTGCGGGCCCTCCAACATCTCCGTCGACAACATCGTCGAGCGCCTCTCCCCGCACCGCGTCCCCATCGTGCGACTGGGACACCCCGCGCGCCTCCTCCCCTCCGTCCTAAGCCACTCCCTCGACGTCCTAACGCAGACCTCCGAGGCCGGCGCCATCGTCAAGGACGTGCGCGCGGAGATGGACGCGAAGCAGGCCTCCATCAAGAAGACGCGCAGCGCCAGGGACCGCCGCGCCATCTACGCCGACCTCAAGGACCTGCGCAAGGAGTACCGCGAGCGCGAGCGCGCGTGCGTCGGCGCGTTGGTCCGTGGGAGCAAGGTGGTGCTCGCCACGCTGCACGGCGCCGGCGGGTACCAATTGAAGAACGAGGAGTTCGATGTTGTGGTGGTGGATGAGGCGAGCCAGGCGCTCGAGGCGCAGTGCTGGGTCCCGCTGCTCAGGGCGAGGAAGGCCGTCTGCGCGGGCGATCACCTGCAGTTGCCACCGACGGTCAAGTCGACGAATTCGAAGACGAAAACGAAAACGAAAGCCGCTAAGCTAGGAGGTGGAGGAGCGGAGGAGGAAGATGGGGTGGTGCAAAAAGGGGCGAGTCTAGAAACAACGCTCTTCGACCGCCTACTAAAGCTGCACGGGTCCGCCATCAAGCGCATGCTCACGACGCAGTACCGCATGCACGAGAAGATCATGCGGTTCCCGTCGGACGAGCTGTACGGCGGCCAGCTCGTCGCCGCGGACGCTGTAAAAGAGCGGCTGCTCCGGGATCTGCCGTACGAAGTTCAAGACACAGAAGATACGAGCGAGCCGGTTATTTTCGTCGATACGCAGGGAGGGGATTATCCCGAGAAGAACGAGGAGGAGGAGGATGGGGATGGGAAAGGGGGGAAGAAGATGTCCGCCAAGTCGCTGTTCGGCGAGAGCAAGAGCAACGAGATGGAGGCGGCGCTGGTCAAGGCGCATGTCAAAAAGCTGGTAGAGGCGGGCGTGAGGGCGGAGGATGTTGCGGTTGTTACGCCTTATAATGCACAGGTGAGTAGTCGCATTGCCCCTATTTTGTTTGTTTCTCTTTTTTTTTTCTACGTGACTACCTATTTGTGTTCTATTTACTTACACACTAACTAACAACCAATCTCTACAGCTTGGCCTACTAGCCCCCCTCAAGGAGTCGTTCCCCGGCATTGAGCTCGGCTCCGTAGACGGCTTCCAGGGCCGGGAGAAGGAGGCCGTGATTGTGAGTCTGGTGCGGAGCAATACTGAGGGAGAGGTTGGGTTTCTGAGCGAGAAGCGCCGGTTGAATGGTGAGTTTGTGATATTGCTTTTAGCATTTGATAAGATGGAGACAGGAGAGAAGATGAGACTAATGACACCCGCAAATAGTCGCGATGACGAGGCCGAAACGCTCACTAGTCGTTGTGGGGGACTCGGAGACGGTTCGCAAGTATGTTCTTTCCTTCTTCCTTCCTTTTGTTCTTTCTTCCTTTCCTTCCTTCCATCACGCACCTTGTTTCCCCTTACAACCCCATAGCATCTACTCTCTATTAAGTACAGGGATTCATCTACGTATTCGGAGGCCGCCCTTCAACCCCCCCACGCTCACGCTCAGATCACCACATATATTTCTTACTTAGATGCAAATCTCTAACCCGTTGGTGTTGTTGCTTTGAAACTAGAGGGAGCAAGTTTTTAAATAACTGGATGGACTGGCTCGAGAATAACGCCGATCTGCGTTATGTTGACTCGGCTTCGTTGTAGAGGCGTGAGATGTAGTCATGGGTACAATACATACCTACGAAGTATATGAGAAAGTAGTTACCTACTGTACTTACCATCGAACGGGTGCGGCTAATGAAGCTACCTAGTCTGGGGCGCATGGCGAACAGACGGTCCCTTAATGTTGGATTATCTACAGCCTAGACCAGGTAGCTAGGCTAGTACGATCAACAGATTTGAAGGAGAGTCAGGTGTTCATCCGAAGTTTCCACCACTTGAATAAGTAGTGGTTAATATTACTGAGGATAAATGATGATGGTTTGCTTTGGGATAACTATGGTATTTTTCGTTTTTACGAAGAGGTGTTGCCTCACATGCTGTAGAGAGGCCCCTCTCTTCTATTTGGTACTTGCTCATCTAACCCAGTATCTGATACCCTTTTATTTAGGTGTTTTACTTCTAGAATAGCCCTGGAGGGCAAGGGAATGATTTGATAAGTATGTACATAACTAACTATTACCATCACATAAGGAGCATGGAGATCAATATTTGGACCGAAGCGGCGGGATATGGAAGGAAAAACTCGGCGAACTCGGAGAAGATGAGAACCTGGAAATGTTTCAGGGGTTATCCCCCTTTCACGAACATCAAATATGCCTACTAGGTAGGTAGGTAGGTAAGTAGGTACCTAGATATTAATTAGCCAGTCTGTGAGTTTATCTACATTGATGTTGCAGTTGACGGTGATTGTGTTTGGGGTTTGGGGGTTTTGGGGAGTGTGATGGATCCCTTCTAGTTACATGGACTCGGAACTTTTACAAACCTCCAGATACCTAGTTAACTTACACTACATCCCTACATATTTACAGCGTATGTAGGTAGGTAACTAGGTAATTATTTAATTATGTATTAACCTAACATTCTAATAGGTATCAAGCAAGCACAAAAGAAAGGAATTACATAACATCGAAAACTTTCAAAATCCCCAATAATTTATTAATACTCTAGGTGTTAAAAAAAATAAAAAAATATGTAACAACAACAACATCAGACGATGACGCTCGTGACGGAAAACAAGGGTCTGCCCAGCCCCCAAAAAGGGCACGTCTTTAATACATACCTAAGTTAACTATTCCCCTGCCTCGTTTCAGAAATGTTGCTTTGGCGGCGGGGGGCGGACCGTTCGAGGCCCACCACCAGGGCTAAGCTCAAAGCTCAAAGTTTGCAGTTTGTCAATATTAACTAACTATTTAACTAGTTAAAATATATTCGGCGAGAGAGGTTTAAATGTGTGTAGGTATGTACTTATGTAATAATGGGGGAGTATTGGTTGAGTGAGGGCTGTTTTGTTTATCAGGTCATTCTTCAAGTTTATACTATTCGTAGTAACTAGTTAGTTAGTTAGGCTAACAACAACACTAACCTAGGTGCATGAGAGGATTATAGATGCATGTGTGGTCAAGCATCGTCTAGTTACGTCCAGAAACTTGATACCATCCGGGTTCCCCATCGGTTTAGTTATTTTAAGACTCTCTGAGCTGCAAAAGCGCCGAGCCCAAGGCCAAACCTTACATTCGTACCTGCATGAGATGGGCCAAACCGTTCGGAGAAATTCAAATCTGGTGTGTGTGTGCGTGTATGTGTGTGTGTGTGTATGTGTGTGTGTGGGCTTCGTAATCGTCCCTCCTGCATTGCGACGGAACGCATGCGGGTGGGTGTTGCATCGACAACGTCCGGTTGCATAGGCACCTTACCTTTTACCCTACATATCCTGTTTTTGCTGCAAACGATAGGAGAATCACCTGCGTGTTAGGGGATACTGCTTGTTCGTGATCCTACCTCTTACATACGCTTAGGCGGTAACTCGGCTAGTAAACTGACTGACTGACTGACTGACTGACTGACTGTATGGACAAGCAAGCAAGCAAGTGCTGTTTGACCAGAAGCGCCAGCGAATAACATGACTATCTGACTGACTGACTGACTGACTGGGTTCCTGCCATCGCGTACATCCGGTGCCAACATGGCACATCGGGCGTTATATTTCCCAAAGTTCCAAGTTTTCTATACTATTTTTATGTAATACCAAGGTACGCATGAGGTAGGTAGGTGTTCAAGCTACCTACATACGTAGCCCTCTGCGGCGCCGACGGCGGACGCGGCAGTAGATCTTATTAAGAAACCCCCTCGCCTATAGGATTACCGATCTCCAGATACATATTGGTATGCAGATCAAACGCGGCACGCTTTCATGGGCTGTGTAACTTCTTGTGTGTTGTCTCAAGAACGCCTTTGGAAATATCTGAGGCACAGAACTCTTACATGTAGGTAATAGGTATTACTAGGTATGTAGGTAACTAGTCGGTGCCGCAACTTGGCGCCATCGTCGGATATCGATAAGTAAATACTTACAAGTAAGTACCAGCCGGAGGCAACGGATGAAGAAGGGTCTGTACATAATGTATGTACAGTAGGTAGGTAGCCAAATAAAAGGAACGAGGATGGAGATGAACGCCCCGTACTGGCGTTTGCCGCTATGAAAAGAATTCTCCTTATTCTCCTTAGCTCTCGCTGTTAGCGGGCAACTAAACGACATGTCTCTCAATAATCTAAGGGATTTCGGTTCTCACGATGTTGGGAACCAAAACTACATATGCAGGTACAACAAGTGACATGAACGATGAGCGTTGAAAGCGGTGTCGGAGTGATGAACTACTTCTGGGTGCTGATTAACTAATAGCTGACGCTTAGGCTCTTTGGCTTGGATTTGATACTCGTCTTGTAATGCTAGTGTAATAACAAGCGAGAACACCTCGGCGTTGTATTTTAGATATGCATGTTTGGATTTCGGTTTGCAACTCATCAAATTCAACGCCCTTACCTATAAAATGGAGAGCTAATATGGATATAACAATGTAGAATGACGATGCTCATATTACGACACTCGATATACCGCTAGGAATGCTTGTTCGATTTCCATTCGCAGTATAATTACCTAACCTACATAGTTACTAGTACATAGGTACCTTACCCAGGTACTGTAAGTTTTGAATGCTGAACATTATTAAACAAAAGCTCGATAATACCGAACAACAACGTACACAAGTCTTTCAACACGAAACGGTCGTGAAGCCTCAATCGGAAATTGACTCCGTGGCTTGGTCCCATTGGCAAGTTGGCAACAAATGTTGAACCAGGCAATCATCCCAACATCCAAGATATGTGTAGATGGCGTTAACCAACCTACCTAACCTAGCAGGTTGCCAGGTTAATGCCAGGTAAACCTCCATACGCAGTACTAACTAGAATATAGCGTAACGCCGTACCTTGGTTGAAGATTGAACCCTTGGAAAAGCTAAGTATGCTACTATCCGATGATGTTGCAGGGGGAGCTGGACTACCCCATGTCTTCTTGCTCAGGTACATGCATAGCTGCATAGATGCATAGTCTGGACTCTGGATGTCTTTCAGCTTGGATACCTACATAGTTAACGTTAGTTACTAGTTAATAGGTATTTACTATTTACCACTTTCCAACTTACACTTCAATTCAACGCCTTCAACGCCTTCAACGTTTACATCTCCGACATCATTTTAACCTGTAATTCGGAGTCTCCTATAACATGTAAAATGATCTAAAAAGCCAACACAATATTAATTACATACTAAAACTAGTAGGCACAATTATTTCCAACCTCTCACAGCTCGTTGCTCCGTTTTATGCCCGCGCGCAAGCGAGAGAACGCTTCCCCGCTAGGAAGAGATGGTCCATCGAGACAGACATTCTCATCCAACACACGGACTCATAGAACACACGGACCCTCGACTGTATGCTACCTAGTAGTGTGTGTACATGCAGGTCCGAGCAAGGTTCAATCAACATTCAATCATTTCAATGAACTACCTACCCTAGGTACAGACCGTACAGTAGTAGGGTAGTGTAGGTACAGACCCCTGGATTCAATATGAGCCCTGGAGAACATACCAACGCCCTGGTCCGTCGTCATCCCGACCTCTTTGCTCTATTCCCTTTTGAGGGCATTTTCGGCTTTAGCTTCCAATATTCTTCTGGTCTTCTTGTCCTGTAGACCGCTGATACATACATATTACATACATACATGTAACTAGTTACTGTACAGTCTGTACTACTACTTACTACCATAGTAGTACTATGATACCTACATATGATAGTTATGTAGTGCCATCTTATTTCACGTTGTTACAGCGCGCCTGCGTGCATTGGACGTTTCATGGGTTAAGCTAACCCATCCATGATATTCATAATTCATACCGTGGATGGTGGACCTACACTGCATCTGTGTTTACCGCCCATCCGCTCGAACCTCCCCCCGGAGCCTCGCACATCCCACTCCTCCTTACTATGTATATACTTGCATATGCACGAGTGTGTGGGTATCTAGATGTTGCAGAAACCCCATTCGAATCTCCAATGTTGCTGTATTGGTCGTAGGGCCTTGTATGTGTCCACCTCTCATAAACTACCTGGTATCTCTCCTCGTGCTTTCGTAACCTATCCTTCCTTCTGTTCTTTTTTTGCCTCTTTGCCTCTTTGCATTTTTGCCACGGTCCTCGAGTGATAATCGAGTAGGGATAGCTCTCGGTCTTTGATTCGTATATCGACGTCCACGTCCTGTCGAGCTGCATTGCTGGCGATGTGAGACGCAGCGGAGTGGTCGATAACCCAAATCCCAGTTACAAAGTTGGCCGGCTACGAACTTGGACCAGTCACATTGGAAAACAAGAATGGATCGCTGGTCGCCGTCGCTTACATATCTACGTTCTTTTTTGCCATCTGTCTCGTCGTTCGCTACCCTTAGAATCCACCACCATTTCGTAAAAACCTCGCCTTAATCAGCTCCCCCCCAGTGAGACAACATGGGTCTCTTCCGACCAGCGACCAGCGTCGGCCGACCAAAAACCGCCCAGCCTGATCGCAGTGCTATCCGCGGTAGAATTAGCGGTCCTATAGCGGTGGATGACGAATTCCCTCTTAGAAGCCAAGGCCCAGAGGTAGCTCAAGCTGGTGGACTTGAGCAGCTTGAGTCCAACGTCGAAGACTTGCCTTCTCTGAGGCTAGTTGAATCTCCCCCCGGAACCGTACGGGCGGACAAGATGGAATCTACGACTCCATCTGGGCCCAGCCAAGCCTCTAATAACTCTGGCAGCCCACGACAGCCCAGAACAGTTCGTTCTAGTACCTTGAGATATTCGACCATCAGCGATGGTACAGAGCCGGATCGCCCACAACGGAAGAAATCAACGCTCAAGTCTACTCTTGGCAGACTGTTTAAGCGGAAGAAGAAGAGTTCGAACGAATCATTCAACCATGACCGGATAGCGGAAGATGAGGATCCTGCACAACATGAACATGTAAGTTGCTACAATCACAAACTGCCACCCAACACTGTCTCATGGTAATTGAATGCTTACAATACTGGCATTTCTAGAACCCTTCACTTTCCGATCAAGCCTTCAGGATGAACGGATCTAAACGGTCGAACTCGTTACCACTTACCGAATTCGATAGGGCGCTCAGATCACATTCTGTCGGGCCTGATGATATGCTTGCAATAACTAGCACCCGAAACTCACTACAAGTAGATCCTGCGTGGATTCGGAGGAGAGCTGCGTCATCCAACAGGATTCTAAGCGGAAGAGTCAAAGACTTTGATGGCCAATTAATAGGCTTATCTCCAAGACCTGCCAGTACTCACGGGCGTGATAATACGTTACTCGAAGAAGATCCCGAAGACATTGGTCGCGCCATCACCAGCGACAGTCGTACACTGCGTCGGAGATCGAGGAGCATGTCTCAACTTGAGAATGTCGCAGTTACTCAACCGCTTGTGCGCAAACGTAGCGATGAAATACGATACTGGAGATCCAGCTATAATCCGGGTATCTTGTCGCCTAATTCGACTATTAATAATGACGATACTACCGTCAACATAGATGAAGAGGTAGAAATCCAACCCGAGACACCTCAACATCCTCCTACCCCGAAAACGCCACCTCAACCTTTCAACTTTGGTCCCATGATGGGAATGAAGATTACCCAAGCCGCTAGCATAGAAGAACGAATTGCTACTTTGGAAGTCCGCAACCAGAAATTGGAGAAGCTTGTATCGCAGCTGTTCCAAGTCGTGCCGGGTGTTCATAATTATGTTCCTGACACCCCTGACCGCCGAGAATCTGCAGCCCAGCCTGCACCGTACATTTCCGTGCTGTCATCCGCTACCGAGACATCGGAGGACGACACTACACCATCTTCGAGATATACTCTATCTCGAGAGTCGAACGAGTCGTTTGGTGATGGGAACACATTTATCGGATCGCTCCCTCCTTCATCTGGAATGCGCCCACGACCTACATCAAACTCGACAGTTCGTGGTGCAACAAGCTTACCCGCGATGCTGGGAGAGAACGCGGGACAAGTCACTGTAGATCAATTCACGGCTATGAAGGTTCTCTTAGAATCTGAGCGTGATGCGCGGGAGGCCCTAGAAGTAAGGGTGACAAGACTTAGCCATAGGCTCAACCTATTATCTCAGACTACGTACAAGCTAGACACCACAAATACTCCATACTCTGGTACATCCGCCTTCACACACGACGAGGACGAGCCCCTCACTGCTTGCGACACAGAGTCGGAAGTATACAAAACACCGCGTGAGGAAGAGGGCGGGCATAACTTTGGCGCATTCGGCGAAGAGCTCCGCGTGGAGGACGATGACGGTTCAAGAAGGAAGGCGGCCAGGACGCTTTCTCTTAGCCAGTTGACATTGAAGAGGCCACGAACGCAGCAAAGCGCTGTTGGCTTTGAGTTATGACTATCTGGCATCAACATTGACGACCCGACTCGACAATTTCGAGCGCTTGTATAATGCGCCTCGCACAGATTCACCTACCTTAAATCCGCGCACAACACAACCCAGATTTTTATGAATATCATTAGCCTTTTTTCCCGACGTAACTGCATTTTTCTGTCTTTGGACGCATCTGGAAATCTTTTGGCATGGGAAGGTCTTTTTTCGTCTTTACAGTTTGGCCCCCCTTTTTTCGGCGCAACGATATGGATTACTCCCCTTAACGATGCCTGGCTTGAGCGTGGCGTTCTTTCTTGAGATGTATGACTCTATACGACCATCTCTTTTTTTTTTTTTTTAAAAAAAACCCCTTACTCTCTACATATCAGCATCCGCGATATCTTACGTTACCAACCTATCTACCTACGTTGTCATCTCATCTCGGGCTTTCGGGTTTTATGATGGTATTCGACCTACCACCGATTCCCCTCCCTTAACCTCTCATTGGGATTTTTCATAAGCGGACCCTATTCTATTCTTTTCCTTTTCCTTTCTTCTCCTAGCAGGCTCCTACTTATCTAAGGTTAGGTAGGTAGGCATTTCCTTGCTTTGAACTGGGCTGGCGGTCGGTTGGTTTCTGGGAGAGCTCGTGGTCAGGGACCTAACCCTAGGCCACCCACCATATACCTATTTTCTATTTTTTTTATATATATCTAACCCTACTATTCTTCCTTTGTGTTAATTGTATAATGTTTTTGATATATCTCGTTTTCCGAGCGGAGCATCGCAAGATTTTTAGTTTTTTATTGAGAGAGGTTTTTTTTTGTTGGATGCCCGGGGAAGAGAGCAAAGAAGGGGGAAGCTGGGATGAAAGGGGTTTGGGAGGAATGATACCAAGGGGGAAAGTGGGAGAGAGAGAGAGAGAGAGAGAGAGAGAAAAGGGAAAAGAATCCTGATGGAGGAAATGTTGATAAATAAACCCGCGTGTAGTGTGGAAATCTATAGCATAGAGCATACCTAGTGTAGATGATGAATTGTGTAGTGCGAATGCCTCCATTGCTGTCTGTTTCGTTGCTGTTGATAGTGCTTTTTGATCTATGTACCTGCATCTCATCCCCCTCATACCCTAAATTCGCAATACCTAGACACGGAGAAAGATCCCATAGGTATTCAGATAGATAGGTACCTATTTCCTTATAGAACAAACCCTTGGAAGTCTCCCTCCCCTCCCCTCCTCTCTTCTTCTCACCTCCAACCTAGGTATGAATAAAATACAACACCCACCCACCACCTGCAGCGACAGAACAAACTTCCAGATCAAAGCACCACCCCACCACACCACCACCCACCACCGCCAAGCCCAACTCAACCAAGTCCAGCCAAGCCAAGTCCAAGCCAAGGTAAGTCGATGTAATGTACCATCGCGATACCATAAACCCCCCCCCCTCCTCAAGAGCTCATCGACCTATGATTGGAGGTGGTTTGGGCAATTCGGGGTCGCGGCTTTTGTTTGCTGGGCATGCATAACCTACCTAGATAGGTACAATAAATACTAGGAAGAGAGGCAGGCAGTGATATGGAAGCGGAGAGCGAGCAAGAACTTGGAAAACTACATAGGTATGTCGGCTATAGCCGAGGAGAAGTGTGATGGATGGTAGGGTACCTACCTAGGTTAGATCTCTGGAGCATTCGATAATACTTACAGTACCATATGTAGGTAGGTAGGTAGGTTATGTATTCTACAGATTTTGGAATACCTACCAGTCCTAAGTGAATAATTCATTACCTTTTTTTTTTTTTTTTTTTTTACTTCACTCACTAGTTACTAGGTACCTACCTACCTACCTACCTAATAACCGATCAAATATCTACATACCTCAGGGTACTTGCAAGGCCGTTCACCTACCTACCTACACGATGAAGCGCCTCCTCCTCACCGCAAGCGCGGGCTTCGTGGTGGCAGCAACACCCTTCTCCTCCTCCCCCCTCAGCTTGACCTCGAGGAACCCCGCGAATGCATTTCTAGACCCAACATCAGCAGACCTACCCGCCACCCTGTCCTGCCCAGCCTCAAGCTGGCCCCCCACCACCCTCGGCGGGCCCAACCTACCTCAGCCACCGTCGCCAGACCTCGAAGCCATCCTCGCAGAAGTGTCCGCCGCGAACATCGAGGCAACGATCCGGAAGCTCGTGTCCTTCGGCACGCGACACACGCTGTCGACGCAGAACTCGAGCACGCGGGGGATCGGGGCGGCGCGCGACTGGATCCGGGACGAGTTTGCGCGGTACGCGGCGGCGAGCGATGGGCGGTTGAGTGTGGAGGTGCCGGGGTACGTGCAAGAAGCGGATGGCAATAGGGTGCCGTTCGCGACGCGGATCAGCGACGTCGTGGCGACGCTGCGGGGGACCGAGGAGAACCGGCTATACGTCGTGTCGGGCCATTATGATTCCCGGGTGTCGGACCCGCTGAACTACGAGGACGATGCGCCGGGCGCCGATGATGATGCGTCGGGCGTCGCGGTGTCGCTGGAGCTGGCGAGGATCATGGCGAAGCCGGAGTACCCGCGCCCGAAGGCGAGTATTGCGTTCGTGGCGGTGGCGGGGGAGGAGCAGGGGCTTTATGGAGCGCAGTTTTTGGCGAGGACGTATGCGGAGGCGGAGACGAGGGTTAATGTGAGATACTGTGGTCTCCTAAATACTTACCTAGGCCGTTGCCTCTTCTGTTTCCAAGAACTGGTAGTAGCGACTAACACTCACCCAACCACGCAAAAGGTCGAAGGCATGTTCACCAACGACATCATCGGCTCGCCCCGCGGCGGCACAGACGGAGAATTCTACTCGCCGAACGTGATCCGGCTCTTCGCGCAGGGCCTGCCCCCCCTCGCCGTCGAGAACTCCACAACCCGCGAAACCCGGCTGACGATCGGCGGCGAGAACGACTCCCCGGCGCGGCAGCTAGCCCGGTTCGTGAAAGAGGTGGCCGAGAACGCGGCCACGGGCATGAACGTCTCCGTCGTGTACAGGCTGGACCGGTACCTGCGCGGCGGGGACCACCGCCCCTTTCTGGAAGCGGGGTACCCGGCCGCGCGCTTCACCGAGCCGCACGAGGACTATAGGCACCAGCACCAGGACGTGCGCGTGGATGCCGACGAAGGCGTGCAGTACGGCGACCTGCCCGAGTTCGTCGACTTCGAGTACGTGGCGCGCGTGGCCCGCGTCAACGGCGCGGCGCTGTGGAGCCTGGCGACGGGCCCCGGGACGCCGCGCAACGTGCGGGTCGACACGTCGGCGCTGAGCTCGGATACGACGCTGTACTGGGAGCCGCCGGTGGCGGGGCAGGAGGGGGGCAGCTATGAGGTGGTGTGGCGGCCGACGGGGGCGCCGTTCTGGACGGGGGTGTTGGATGTGGGGGACGTGGGGGAGGTCACGCTGCCGCTGAGTAAAGATGATGTGGTGTTTGGTGTTCGGGCGAAGGGGGCAGATGGGTTGAGGGGGGTGGCGGTGCTGCCTTTTCCGAGGGGGAGGTAGGTGGGTTTGTGTTAAAGAGGTGCATACTACCTATGTACCTACTTAACAAAGGGGTTTTCATATTGTTCGGAGTATAAATGAAACAGCACGAAGCAACATGTTGTGAGATGTGGCCGTTGCCATGTTGAACCGGGTCCGTGGTGTTGTGTTTTAAGCCGTTGAGTATTCCGAAGGTGCCCAGGTTATAGATGCCTCGGCACATGTAATAGTGTTTCAATGTTCCTTGGTGGTTAAATCATACCCCGTATTCCGCATATACATGTACTACTAGTAATTAGTACTACTACGCACATACATGTATGTATCCCGTATCTGCCGCATGGAACTTCAAACGTTAAAACGGTCTCTTTTCATCTCAATCCCACCTATCATTTCACATGTCACACGTCAAGTAATCGGTTAATCTGGTTCATGACGTGAGAAAATAAGCATAGGGTTTCCTGTTGAAGTCTAATCTTAATAAGGCTTAAAAGGGGAAGGGCTGTTGTAAAGAGTTGGTTGATGTACATGTCAAATTTCGGAACCTGCTACTAGTTACTAGTAGTACAATACCTAGGTACTGGTCTAGGTACTGGTACTCCAAAAATTAGTGGAAGCTTTCGTTTTAATGTGACAGTTCGAACCCCACGAAAAGGGACGTGGTCACTCGAAGACGTCAATATTTGATGCACGTACCTAATATACTGCATACAGTATGTGTTAAGTTAGCATTGGCGGTTAAATACAGTTAGTACTTGCGAAGCTTCAGGGGATATCTATCGAAGTTGGCAAGGTTCTTGGTTAGGTATGTAACCGTATGTTGGTCTCACTTCAGCGATACAACGGCCATAGGCCCTAACAGCCTTGGAACTATCGCTCTTTTCCCTCTCTTAATGCTTCTTCTAGTTATATCATCTCATGACTCTACTTTGGCCCTATTTGAACAAGTGGGCAACTAAAATAGATATTCGTAAATATGATACTTCGGCGACGTCTCTGGTTCCCAATTGGGGCCGTAACACTCCTCATCTTATCCTATTACTCCTGGAATAACCGGGATAGCTACAAGTGGACCGGAACAGGTTCTAGCAGTACGACCAAAATACCACATTTCGATCCTCATATCATTGAGGACGAGAACTACTTCTGGAAGAAATTGCCTATACATTATCCAGTAGATGATATCAAGCCCTTGCCCACAGGAAAACCATTGGCACTTCCTAAGATTCAGAATGTCTTTGCCAAAGAATCCAACAAGGATGCAGCTACACGAAAAGAACGCCAGGAAGCCGTCAAAAATGCGTTTCTTCGGTGTTGGCGCTCTTACAGAAAAGATGCCTTCAGAAAGGATGAGTTGACCCCTATCTCCGGACAATCCAGAGATACTTTTGGAGGCTGGGGCGCCACGTTGGTTGATAGTTTGGATACGTTATGGATCATGTCGCTGCGTGAAGAATTTGAGGAGGCAGTTGCTGCTGCTGCCGAAATCAGCTTCGATACTACCTCACTCAACCCCATAAATGCCTTTGAGACCACCATTCGCTATCTAGGCGGCTTTCTCGCGGCTTACGACCTGAGTGGCGACCAGCGGCTACTGCGAAAAGCTAGAGAGGTCGGCGACATGCTTTACAAGGCATTTGATACGCCCAATCGCATGCCCATTACTCGCTGGGATTTTGTCAACGCCGCTGAGGGTGGTAGGCAAGAAGCCCCCGAAACGGCCTTGGTTGCGGAAGTTGGGTCTCTCTGCATGGAATTCACGCGCTTATCTCTAGTTACTGGAGACCCGAAATGGTTCGATGCGACCGAGAGGGTCAGGGAAGTCTTTGAGCAGCAACAACAAACCACCAAACTGCCTGGCATGTGGCCTATCACTATTAATCCCAGGGAGAAACGGTTCAATATCGACAGCACTTTTGGGCTAGGGGCAATGTCAGATAGCACATATGAGTATCTGCCCAAGATGTATGCACTAATGGGTGGTCTTTTGCCCTCTTACAAAACTATGTACGAGGAATCGATGAAGACCGCCTTGAAGCACAACTTCTTCCGGCCCATGGTTCCTGGTATGGCCGACATACTGGTATCGGGTAATATACATGCAGAGCATGAAGACGGGAAGACCGTGTACAATCTCGAACCCCAAGGTCAGCATCTGGTCTGCTTCGCTGGAGGAATGCTAGCGGTCGGCGGGAAGCTAGTTGGGAACTCGGAACACCTGGAAGCAGCCAGAAAACTGGTGGATGGCTGTATATGGGCTTACAAGGCAATGCCGCTGGGTATAATGCCTGAGGTTTTTTACATGGCCCCATGTAAGTCCGACACGGAATGTGAATGGAATGAAGCCACATGGAAAGAGATAGTGATGTCGCAAGCGGACCGGGAGGATATCAAGGACATGAGCGTGACAGATGAAATCATCTCGAAACTAAGGCTACCGAAGGGGTTTACAAGTATCCCCGATTGCCGTTATATCCTACGACCGGAAGCCATAGAGAGCGTCTTCGTCTTGTACCGCGTTACTGGTCGCCCGGATCTTTTGGAGTCCGCATGGGCTATGTTCGAAGCGATCCAGAACAGCACGGAGACGCCTCTGGCAAATGCCGCCCTGGACGATGTAAAAGTGGACAGCAACCCCCCTCAGGTTGACTCGATGGAGAGTTTCTGGCTGGGGGAGACGTTGAAGTAGGTCACACTTCTATCCCTTTCTTCCCTCTTTTATTCATTCCCTAGAATTACCGAGGCATCGTTGACTGCATGGAGGTGATTACTGACTAGCATTCTACAGATATTTCTACTTAATCTTCAGCGAACCGGATGTGATAAACTTGGATGAATGGGTCTTTAACACGGAGGCTCATCCTTTTAGAAGGTTGCTTCCGTGAACTTGAGCGAGATGAGTTGCGGCATGCTCAGCGAGGTATTCGGGTTTTCTTTCAAAGGGTTAAGTTGGTGGGCTTTGGGTATATACGTAGGTTGATGAGGGTAATGGGCGAATGTGAAGATATACATATATACATAACGTAGGTAGATAAATATTGGAGGATCTCATACATGACATGTAGATACCCTAGTAATGCATATATTCAATGAGGTGTATTCTGATATGATAGATACATACCTATAATTAGTTACCCCACCCCGATTGCTGGGTCTATGCATGTTACGCCTTGACGTACAGTACTTAGTTATACTTAGTGCAGTTGCTTATCGGCAAGATTTGTATCCAATTTGCGCATGCAATCGCCAAATTTCTTCCTCGGTCAGTCAAGTCTACTGGGTATTCCTACATAGTACCTAGTAAGTACCTATGTAGTAGCCATCAACTTACTAAACTGTCCTCTTGAAAGCTGAAAGAACCTTTGGAACTAATAACTACCACCCACACAAAGTTCTCTCTTTAACTATTGATTTGATATTGATATTATTACGTACTTTGCCTGTCTACCTACACACAGCCAGCCTCCCATTCAACCAACGACGTCGCGTCGCATTCTTCTTCTTACCCAAAAATCCCATATCGCAATCGCCGTCATCATGCCGGATAAGTGGGTAGATTGGAATAAGACCACTAGGTCTAAGGACTATCGAGGCTCAGCTTCGTTTGCGACCTTTATGATTATTGGCCGTAAGTTTTGACTTGTTTTTGACTTGTTCTGTCTTTGGTCATGGCCATTGACTACCTACCCACCTACCTACCTAAGACACGCCTACTAATATGTCAATCATGTCCAGCAACCTGCTTCTTCCTCGGCATCCTCTTCGCCTTCTTTCCCTACGACTTCCCCCTGCTGTGGACCAAGGACCCCATCTCGGCCGCGTACCTCGACCAGCTGGAGACGCACCTGAAGTTCATCCACCAGTCGCCGCCGCTGATCGCGCGCGTGCTGAGCATCATGGTCGGCGTCGGCTTCCTCGGCTTCTTCATCAAGCTCTTCCGCGCCTCCGAGTCCAACATGCTCTTCGACGGCGCCTCCCTCGTCCTCTACCTCATCGGCGTCGGCGTCTACGTCGCTAACATCGTCAAGGGCCTCCGCCTCGTCAGCGCCGGCGCCTGGAACAAGACTGACTTCGACCCCTCGACTGCCGGCGTCACCGTGGGACCCCTGGCTACGGGCGAGGTGCTGCTGGGGCGTGAGGACAGTCTCAAGGTCATGGCGGCGAGCAATACGATTCTGGCGCTCGTGCTGGTCGGGGTCCTGGTTTTGCAGGCGGGACAGTGGTACGCGGAGCGCAAGGACAGCGAGGAGTTTGAGAAGCTCGAGAAGATGGATAATAGTAGCAGCGCGGGGAATAATGGTAACAAGGCGGGTGGGCCGTCGAGCCCGTCGAGCGAGAAGAGTAAGAAGAAGCAGTGAGGGGAGTCAGAGGAAAAAGAGGGAAAAGGGGAGGAGGGGTAAAGGGGTAAAGAGGGGGAGGGGTCTTGTATCTGGTTCATCGATTTTTTCCGCTATCCATCATTACTACATTTTCTACCGCCCTTCTCCCCCCTCTGGGCCAGGGCTTGCGGGCTAAGAGTATTGGAGGCGAGATATTGGGACTTTAAAAAATGATTCATATATCCGTGTTGGACATATCCTTACCCCTACATAGTCCCTGCTCAGGTATCTAGGTGCATAAGGTGCCTGACTTACCCTACCCTACCCTAGCCTATTACTTAGGTATTTTTGGGTGGTTAGGTGATTAGGGAAACATGAATGAGGATAAGGGAAACCAAAGATGAAAGACAAAAAAGAAAAAAGAAAAAAACGCGACGTGTACCTAGTATCTATGTTTGACGAAAAGGGATAGGAACTTTGGGGAGGAAAGGGAATGGGGAAGGGGAAAGGGGATGTAGGCGTTTGTGTGTTTAAAAAGGTCCACGGTGGTTATACCACCAACATCCTTGGAGCGAGCAAACAATAGGTAGGTACATGACTCCGAAACGTGTCTAGGTATGAATTCTGATCAATGGCTTTATCTTTCTTGCCTCTTCGTGGTCGTGACGGGTTTCTTGGTCTTAGATATGACGACTTGCTACATATGTAGGTACCTACCTACGAACGTACAGGACAGGCATGGTGTTTGGTGGCGTGAAACATGGCGCTTGCTTCGATTTGAGAAAGGAGGAAAGGGGGGGAAAGGGGGGTTGTTTGTGAGGACGGGTGTGGAGTGTTGCCCTAGATTCGCTGTTCTATATCTCCTAGGTAGGTAGGTAGTATAGGTACCTATGCATATAACTACATACACCGGGATTAACTTCCATCAAGGTACGTGGGTTAACGTGCCTAGGTATGTAGCCCTGGAGGTGCGAAATTGCTCGTTGCTCTGCCTCAGGTGTAGTAGGTATGCTGTGTGCAAATCCATGGATGTCTACTACCTATCTTAGATAGGCAGGTTAGGGGTTTGTGAGTGAGAGGAATTTTGTGCGTAGGTCAAGATGCATTAATATTGTAAAGAATAGATGCACGAGGTATGAAGTGGAATGCTGGTATCTGGGTCGGCATATCAATTCAAGAGAATTAAGGAGACGGAGGGATGGTGGTGAGGGCTTCGAGGATAGGACCCTATTTACAGGTAGACATAACTATATGATAGGTACCTACCTATTAAGTCTCATGTGTGCACACCTGATCTACTATATTAAGTGAGACGGGGAATAAGCCAGCTGCCTGCCCTGTTGTACATAGATGAAACTTATCTTGCTTCCCTACCTCCCTATCCAGTACGTATAGCTAATAACAACAGGTACGTAACTCACGCAAAAGCTCACTCTCTTACTCTCACTCTCACGACCAAGACACAAGAATTCACACTCAACAACCGTAACTTCGATAAGAACGTAAAGTTATATTCGCTAAGTAATCAAATAAAAAAAAAACAGGGCACGGGAATAGAAGCCAATAGCCTCCCTCCCTAAAGTTCCCTTATGAAAAACAAAACACATCATAGTGCCTAGATACCCATGCCGAAACGCCTATATCCTGTCCTGCCTTGTCCTGTCTGTCCCGGTGGTATCATGAGTTTGGTGAGGAAATTGAGAAAGTAATAGGAAAATGTAAAGCAACCTTGTAAAGTGCGTGCCCAGATAGGTGGGTGGGTGGGTGGTTGGTTGAGGGAAAGGGGTGAATGAATTGAGGGATCGCAGATGCCATGCCGTGCCATATGACAACACCGGCAACAGTAGGAGTGAGAAAAGAGGGAAAGTAAAGAGGGAAAGAAATGAAGAAGAAGAAAATAATAATAAAAATCGTAAAGTAAGTAAGTACCTAGGTTAGGTAAGAAGGTAGAGAAAACGCCCGCTCATTCCATGCAGGTAGGTTACCGGTACCTATGATATATTCCCTTTAATCTTTCCCATTTCCGTTGCCATAGCGCCCCTAACCCAACCCAACCCCCCTATCCCCCATCCCTATCCCCCTCATCACCGCATCCTCCCCATCGTCGCCTCCCCAAGCCTCAACCCCTTATTCACATCCACCCCATCCGCCCGCTTCTGTATCCGCGACCACGTCGTCACCGCGCTATCCGGCCTCCCCGCCCCCCCGTGCATCGTGCGCGGGTCCGCGAACACGTCGATGCTCTCGCTGCCCTCGCTCCCCGCGCTGTGGTGCCCTTCCTCGTGATCCCCGCCACCGCCCGCAGCAGCAGACGTCACCGCGAGCTTCGGCACCGGCGTGCGGGCCGGACTGCTCGCGGTCGGGTACGGCAGCTGCTCGCTGTGCCGGGTCCGCCAGTCCGTCAGGCTCCGCAGGCCGCCTATCTCCGCCGACGCGTGGTAGCTGCGCGGCGCGTCCGACATCTCGCTGTCCGGGCGGCGCGCGTAGGGGCTGTTGGGCGGCATGAAGACGTCCTCGTCCTGGCGGTGGCCCTTCTGGAAGGGGGACATGGCGTCGACGGCGGTCGGGGAGGACGAGGCGATGCTGTGGGGGTGCGGCTTGGCGAGGAAGTCGAGGCGCTGGTTGGGATAGTGCGCGTGCGGGACGGGCGCGCTGATGATGTTGCCGAAGGAGGAGGTCGACTCGTGGCGCTGGAGCTTTGGCTCTCCGGCGTTCCGGCGACGCCGGCGCCGCAGGCAGAGCATGGCGATGGCGACGATGAGGGCGACGAGGGCGACGACGCCGCCGACGACGCCGCCGATCACGGTTGCGGAGTTCGCGGTGTTGGTTGGGTTTGCTGAGGGGGTCTCGGAGGAGGGCGCGGCTGTCGCGATGCCGCTTACGGCGACCGTCTCGGACGGGTTCGCGGTGGAGGGGTGGGTGCTGGTCGGGGTGGTGGCGGTGGCGGTTGAAGAAGAGGAGGGCGGAGCGACGGCGGGCGGCTTACTCTGGTCCGCGTCCATGGAGCAGTTGCCCGAGTCGTCGCAGCTGTAGCCGAAGGGGCAGCACAGGTTCTTGCAGACGGGGAGCTTGCCGTTGAGCGCGGTGGTCTTGATCTCCGCCTTGGGCTTCTTCGCGGGGTCCTGCAGCGACAGGTCGCACGTGATGGGGCTCACGCGCCCGCAGTCGTTCCCTTGCGGGCAGCATAGTACTGTCGTGTTGGCGGCGAGGACGATGCACGACGCATCTTTCTCGCAGCAGAAGTTCCCCGGAAGTCCTGCTTGCGCGCACGGGGAGAAGTCTGCGGCGCAGGTCTCGTCGGCCCTTCCCGCGAGCATCAAGCTCGGCCTGAGGAAGGAGGCGGAGGAGCCTGCCGCCGCGAGCGCCACCGCCAGACGCAGAGCCCGAATCGGTCCCCAAAACTGTGTCATGGGTACTTTTTTTCGAGTTCGAGTGTAGTATTATCGATATGTAGATACCTGATCTTTATTATGGAATGGAAGTATTCTTTTTTTTCTTTCCCCCTGTTCCCGTTCCCTTTGCCCGGCCAAGTAACGAGTTACAGAACGAGAATTAATGAAACGAAAGAGGTAGATGAAATATAGGCTGTAAGTAACTGGAAAAGAGCAAATAACAAATTTGTTAATAATGATAAATAAGTTTTTCTTTACTATAGAGAAGCAAAGTAGTAATAGCAAAAGGTAGTATATATCGAAGTGAAACAGGCAAAAGAAATCAAATCACAGAGAATCACCTGGACCCCAAGTCGTGCAAAGGGGTTTGTGACATAGAAATAGCAAGCTAGAAGAGTCACGAATAGACAATGGCCCTATTGAATCGGACGAATTTTCGAAAATCTTTGGTGAATCAGTTTGAGAAGAAGAAAGAAGAAGGTAGAACAAAGAACGAACAACTAGCTCGTTCGAAAGAGCAGCTCGAAAAAAACACAATGAATAACGAACGAACAAGGAATAATGGCAAACTTGCTACTTTTCGACTATGGAGTTCGCCGGTGATGGGCTCGCCCTATGATTCATACATTTGGGTTTTCCTTGACCACACCTTTGTTTCCACCTTGTTCGGCCATTGTTCAATATCTCTCTTGGCACCCCTGGTTTAGAGAAGGCCACAAGAGAGTCAGCCACCACCAGAGAGCTAGCAATCATGTCTCCATCGCCTGACCGGAATGACGAAGGCTCTTCTGGTCCAACGAAATGCGACCCGATGGAGGGTCTAGGAGATGAGAGCCTGGGTAATGGGGTGGGATCGACTGGACAATGTTGAACTGTGGGAAATCCATGTATCTCAGAATAGGTAGGTAGATATCGCCTAGGTAAGTAAGTACATACCTACATCATACAAGGTAGACACAAATACATTGGATGACAGAACGAGGTGTAGACTAAGATCTTACCGTACTACTCCATAGTAGGGGTTAGTTACACAGATACTGTATGTAGGTAGTATAGTACTTCGTACTAAGTGTTTCCGACCATCCGAACATGCAAGCAAAAGAAGCAGAAGAACAAGAGGTGAAGCAGCCCGGGTCTTAGACGAGGACAGAACGGTCAAAATGAGAGGTTCTGGTTAAGGCGAGACGCCCAACTACCGTTTCCCTTTTTGGTGTTTGGTTTGTTTCAATCCCGTTCTTCTTTTAGCATCTTCTTGGCCGTTCAAGTGTTGTTATAATTATAACCACAGTACGAAATACAATGAAATACAATACAATACAATACAAGGGGGGCCGGCCGCTTTTTGTCACGGCGGTTAAGAAGGGGAAAGGATTCGGAGTGTGTCATTGGTCCGAATGATTTAAAGTGCCCTTGATTGAAGATTTAGGCGCGACCAGTTGTATTACCTACACTAGCAAGCGCTTTGGTTATCGGTTCAAAGTTGGGTTGGTTGGTTGGTTGGTTGGTGGATGAAGATTCGGAGGTTTTTGAAAAAGAGTGGAGGTTCCCTTTTTTGGAAACAGAATCTGAATTCTCTGGACGCTGATTGCGCAATGATCCTTGGTGGAGATCCACCGTGAAATACATAATCCCGTGCTTACATAAGATCTATGCTTAAGTTACTAGGTACATGTACCAGTGACGGAACCCACATGTCACATGATAGGTACTAGATACCTAGGTACCTACAATAGAATTGAATCCAGCGGGACAGAACGTAGAACCATCAACGACAAGCAATATCAATACCCAATAATCCGCCAACAGGTTGGACACCAACTCATAACCATGGTGTTCGCAGAAACTGTGTCAGTCTGTACCCTCCATTCAACGTAGCCGAGTCTGGAGGCCTCGTATGTACAACATCTCCCGACATCTAAGTCACAGCCCGTACACAGGTAGGTACCAGGTAGATCGTAGCATCATCATACCCAATACCCAATACCCTACTTCAAATCGTACCTAATCTAGTTTTGCAACTACCTACCTACCCTACCCCAAAGCCGGCATAGCAGTAACCAACCCCTGCATGCCATCCCGACCAAGAAACGCATCGTTCTCCGCCCTCACGGCATCCATATTGCTCGTTCGTCTCATCCGACCAGCGATACACATGCCGAAGAAGACCCGCAGGCCCGACGCCCGCGCCAGGTCCAGGTCCAGCTGCAGCCGCGTCGTGCCATGCCGTGCCGTGCCGTTCGCCAGCACGAAGAGCTCGAGCGCCGGGGAGCTCACTGCGCAGCGCGGTTAGAGCGGGGCAAGACGTCGGGCCACGCGGCCATCTTGTGTGCCCGGATTGCCACGGCGCGCTCGATCGCGGGGGCGGTGCCGCCGCTCGTCCGTGTACCACACGTCCCAGGCGAGGATCCGCAGCAGCGTCCAGCGTCCGGCGGTGCGTGACGTCGACGTCCTCTTGGGTGTGCAGCTCGGTGAAGAAACTCCCTCGCGCCAGTCGATGGCCATGGCGCCCCGCGGATGATCGGCGGCAGCGCGGCGTGGGGCAGACACCGCGTGGGTGCCAGTCAGTCCAGGCACGTGCTCATGAAGTCGAAGAAGAAGACGGCCTGGGTTTCGTCGGCGGTGCTCTGTTCTGCCTGGCTGTGCTTGCGTGCGACGTGGTGGGTAAGTACCTAGGTAGCAAACTTCTCTCTACCTAGTATGTAGGATCTAGTCTCTAGTCTTCTTGGTCTCGTGATTGCCTATTTTTTTTTCTTCGAATTGTACTATTATAGGTTGCCCTTGACGCAATTTAGCGATGATCTTTGGTGTTCAATACGTCACTAGCTGTACCTACCTAACCTAGCTGAAAGTGACATTTTTTTTTCTTGCTTGCTTGCTTGCTTGCCCCACGTGTTGCGGATGGTTGATGCGGGTGGTTTGTTAGGTACTACTCCCCGTGTGAGGCTGGGGGAGAACGGGAGTCACTGGATCCGTTGGACTTCCCTGAAGTTCCCAGTCAGTCAGTCAGTCAGTCAGTCAGGCGTAGACCGCTTGTCATCAGCCTTTTTTCTCTCGCTTCGCTTTGCGGGGAAACGAAAAAGAAAAAAAAAATTAATGATAACAGATCGTCGCCTCATTTCTCGACCAGAATCACAAGATCCTTGGTACGGCGCTGTTCGGGAATCCACGCATCGCATATTGCCTCCTTCATTTTTTTTGGCTGGCAGATGCTAGGGTAAGTTAGGTATGTAGGTATGTACTGCCAGGGTTAGGTATGGAGGGAGGTAAATGCATTGCATAGTAACTCTCTCCAGATATGCAAACTACCTAGGTTAGGTAGATTTACTATAGGTCGTTGTGGCTTTGCGAGTTTCAAAAGGTGGATGAAGAAAGGCATCATTTCAGCTTGTCAAGGGTCCAAGACAACAAGAAAAGTTCAGTGCGTGCTGTCCATCCATTTATGTAGGTACGTCATTTTATAGCTGCCCGAGCCCGTTTTGCTTGAGGTTTTTTCAAAAAATGGAGGGCTTCAAAGCTTCGGAGGGCCTTGAGCTTAAGGCTTAGATGCATGAATTACATACCTACCTTACTTACCTAGGTACATAGGTGGCATCTATCCACACATAGCCCACTGTTAGAGCGATTGTTGCCGAGATCTTCAAAGGCTCCCTCCCCCCCTTAAGCTGCGCGTGGGGTGTTTCCTTTCTTTTGCTTTATGATCTACGATGCAGCAGCAGCAGTAGTAGTAGTAATAGTAAAAAGTAGCTTGCCGAGATAGGAGGTGTGCATATTTTTTTTTTTTTGCCCGCTTTCACGCGACAGCAGCGCCACAACGCCCCAGTCTCATATACATTATGTGCGCAACAATTGCAGCAACTAACCTACCCAACCGTGGACAGTGGACACACCTTGGAAAACCCCGGGTCAGCTGAGCATTGTCGCAAGGCCCCCCCCCCCCCCAAAGAAAAACCCTACCTACAGAAGAAGAAGAAGAAGCCTCATCGGCCGGGTTGCTGCATACGGTAATTGGACAAGGGGGCGGGGGTACTCCGTTGGGCGGTGGGTGATCTGGATCACCCAAGCGTGAAACCGATGAGATCGTCGGCCGGTTGGGTTGGGCATGATGGAAAACCACCACCAAAAAAAAAAAAAAAGCCGCCCGCTGAAGCACCTGACTGACTCATACTTACTTTTACCTTGATCACGAGATCGTGTTCGTTCACCGCTCTCGCTGTGGGTTTGTTTTTTTGATATGTTGTACATACATACATGCACACACACAAATTTTGCTGCGAAAAAAAAACTTGTTTAGTGGTGTAAAATGACGATGCTGTGTGGTAAATTTAGATGGTTTTTGTTACCTAGAACCTGGGACCTACAGGTAGAACGGAGAACGAAGTATACAGTACATAGGTGAAGAAAGTTGATCTTGAAGCTATATTCACCTACATGTAGGTTAGGTACCTGGGTATATGGGTATAAGACAAGTGGCATAATTAGGTCGAATTGCTAATTAATGTCAATTGGATTTAACTATGGGCTAATTACGGACAATTGAGTTAATTAGCACAAATTGTAGTTTCTCGAGCATAGCACCTTATTAAACACCTAAACACTCAATACTAGGTACCTACATAGGAGGCAATACAGTGAATGCATGCAAATTATCAGCCACCACAAATCATCACAAAAGCTCAAGTTGTAGTAATTTTTAATTGTTGAATTTCCATTTTGTTTTAGTTTTATATGAATATTTATCTACTCAAAACTTCTCTTTCTTTCTTTCTCTTATTTCTAACCCTCGAAGTCTTTAGTCCTTCGAGGGTCTTCGAGAGGCGGGGAGCAATCAAAGCGGTGCCAAATCCCCCTTGAATGAACCTGTATCTTCTTCACTTGCTTCTTCTTCTTCTCCCTTCCCTCCTCAAGCAAGGCAAGTTTTAATGCTGTTGTTGCTAGGCCTTCCTCCATCCAGAACCAAATGCTGAATCCAAAATAGTAAAAAAAAAAAAAAAAACTTCCTCCTTATGCATGCAAAATGGTATAATATATATAAAATCCGACACAATCGATGGGGGGGATATCAACAGAAGTGTAAGAGAGGAGGGTAACATAGAAAGAAAAGCAGACAGCATAAGAAAATATGTTTCGTCCCCTTCGTAAAAGCCATAGCACGGTTCATTACCTCCCAATTCGCGGGGCCACCCCCCTTAAATCCTGGCCGCGCGCACACACACAAAATATGCCTTGATGATGATATAAAAAAAATCCCAAATCCACCCGCCTAGTGTCCAAAGTGTCGTTCCGGTTGCCTCGCGGCTTCCTCTCTCTAGTGGGTATTATAGTTGACGATAAAAAAAAGAAAAGAAAAAAACAGGTGTTAGCTAGTCGTAGTCGTCGTGCAAAAGCAGGCGGCAATAATCCCGCATCGCTCTCAGAAGGCCTACCCGCAGATGAGTGGGGGGGGACCCTTGCTAAGAAAACCAGCTTAGATCAGTAGGTAATCCCACCCTCTCATCTGCATGACATCTCGCCAGGAGATGTACGGCGCTTCTGTTGACCCGTTTGCACTGGGACTCGACTGTTGCTGGTAGCTGTCGGCCTGCTGCCAGACCTCATGAAGTAGTGATACGACGCCGCCGAAGCTGCCGAAGGAGGCCGCGTCGCCGAGCTGCGCGATGCGGTCGTGGAAGAGCTGGCGGAAGGTCGAGTTCATCCCGCTGACCGAGCCGCCGATCAGGTAGACCCAGCCTAGACTTCTATCGAAGCCGCCGGGGCCCGAGGGGATGAACTGCAGCACGGTGGTGAGCTTCTCGACGAGCCCGACGCAGCTGGCCTGGCTGGGGGAGAAGCCGGGGACGAGGCTGCAGAGGTAGATGCGGGCGGCGAGGCGGAAGGCGCTGGTGATGTTCTTGCTGAGCTGCTTGGGGCTAAGGGAACCGTTGGCGTTGAAGGGCATCTTAGGCCCGCCGTCGTGGGCCTCCGTGAGCCCGATCTGGTCGCCGAGCGCGTGCACGTGCTGGCACAGGCTGATGTCGTCCATGCCCTCCTTCTTGAGCGCCTCGAGGCAGGCGATCTCCGAGATGAGGTACATGACGTGGTCGTCGCAGCCCATGAGCTCGCGGAGCCCCATGAAGGGGTTCGTTGTCGAGAGGTGCTTCTCGCGGTAGGTGTGCGCGAAGGTCGGCGCCCGGCCTTGCATGGTTGCGCCGAGGATGTCTATCCAGGCTGTCAGGGTCATGTTGAAGGATGTCTGAGAAAGCTGCTCGTTGGACTCGGTGACTAGTTGAGGAAGATCTAATTTGGTTACCAAGGAGTTCACGGCCTGGAAGTGTTGGTGCCATGGGATGTCGGGAAGGGAGTCGTCGTATCGACCAACACAGCTCTGGAAGAAGATGAGGCCCAGAGTCGCCTCTAGGATCTGGTGATGGTTTTCATCCTTGTTCAAGGCCTCACAGAGTGCAAGGATTGTCGCGTGTCTGTGTCGCATGATATCGTTGTCGATTTCTTCCCCCTGAATGTTCATGGTCGCCTTGAAGTGTTGCGCTGCGATCATGAGGCAACAGTGAAGGTATCCCTTGTTGTTCTGTAGGTTAGGTAGGATGAGATCGGAGCCAACAGATCCGTGTTGGTTGGTCTCCAAGATGGGGAAGATGGTTGGGAGCACGTATTGGATGAAATGGTCCAACAATCGCTGGTCGTTCTCTTCTAGCTCAATGTCAAATTGTCTCGATTGCGTTGGTAAGCCGTGGGAGAAGTCAAAGAAGTTGCAGTTCAATGTCTCCTCAGCCAATGACTCTCGGCGCTCCTGGTAAACCTGTTCAGACCATTCTCCATTTCCAGGATAGGACTGTAAGATGGTTCCGGTCGGGGGCGGCGTTTGGAAAGTGCTGAAGGTGGAGACTGTCGATTCTCGTAGAGTTGGCACGTCATTGACATACATCTGGCGCTCGGTCTTGACATCAATCTCGTATGGAGACATGCCAAACATGAAATCAGAATGCGATGGGAGCATGTGAGGGTTGTAGGAGCCATAATCAGGCACATTGGGTGGGCTGTTGAAGTTAAAGGCGAATTGCGAATCAATAGACGCTGATCTTGTCCGGTCAAGAGGATCGGAGAAAGTAGCAGAGGTGGGCAGAGAGTGTGACAGGCCAGGCGGGGAGTTGACCGAAGTTTGTATCGTGTGTGACGCCTTCTCGGAGAGCTTCTTTCGTTTAATGATCATCTTGATTTCGTCCTTGTGTGATCTCCTCGCATCGTTGTTGCTCCACCACATTGGCCTCTTATATTCGCAAACAAGACCGAGGTGCTTGCATGCTGAGCACATGGGAGTGCCCTCATCGCACTTCTTCCGTCGTAATCTGCAGGTGTAGCAACCTAAGGAAAAGACAATATGTTAGTAAAGTCGACTTATACGGTGGTAGTGTATAAGTGGTATAAGTGGTGTGCATATATGAGTGTGTAAGTCAAGTCGTTGTGTAGGAGGTACACCAACCTGTTCTTGAGCGACGATGCATCTGTGTCTTTGCTTTCGGGTTAGCATTGTTGCTTTGCTTTGTTGAAGTAGGCTTCGACTTGGTCGGTTGTGCGACAGCCATGTTGACGGTTGCTGATCTCATCAGATCTCCTTGGGAGTTTGGGGGTATGGTTGACATTTGTATCTTATGCTCGAGTCCCAGGTACCTGCGTCGAGATGTGTACTAGGTACTACCAATGGCCTATACCAGGTAGGTAGACCTATACTAGGTAGTGGTGGGGTGGATGTGGATGATCAATGCTAGTTGCAAGCCGAGCGAAAGCGGGAGTAGAACAGGGGAGGGGGGCCCAGTTCTAGGTCTCTAGGATTCCAAGGTCGATTTGTTGCTAGGATATTTTTTTCCTCTAGGAGAGAATACGCCTCGAGAGCCAGTAAGTACTCAGTACTAAGTATTTTCCCAAAATTGCCCAACTTCTTCTATTTTATTTCTTGTGCCCGGCAAGTAATATCCCGCCAGTTTGTAGGGATATTGTCGTTTTTCGTCAAAATTAATATTATTTCTTTCTCGTCGAATGAATGGTTAGATCCAAGCAAGTACCAGCTTGCCTTTCACGTTAGTTAAGTTTAGTGAAATATAAGAGAGGGAGAGTAGAGGTAGGGAGGTATAGTGAGGATGAGGTCAGAGGTAGAGAGAGAAAGAGAGAGGAAGAGAAAAAGGATGATAATTAAGGAGAATTGGAACGACACTAGGATCTATTTGCCCTTTAACTATATCGACCAAAAAACAACAAAATCCATCTTGGACTGGAGATGGGAAGGCTTATATCGTGGCCTTACCCTTCCCTCGGCCACCACTCTACACCACTCTAGTTGGTGTAAGTGCTAATCTTGATGGCTGTGTTCAAAAATAGCAACAAACGCAATTTGGGGTAATTCCTTTTTTAACCCATGATCTATGTGGCCTAATTACAGACCACTGCATATGCATGCAAATTAGCCCAAATCAAGGTTGTAAGTGGGTAACTTTGAACCGGATATGCGCTTGCGTATTCCAATGAGTGGCCGCTTCGATGGATTGTATGGATTGTGGTCGAGTCACCCGAATCATGGTGGGTAACTTCGACCACCTGGACCAACCACCCTCCGATGTGTCCTTCACTACATGTGTGTGTACATACCTAGGTACTAGGTAGGTGTAGGCGATACAATGACCATTGTACCACTCGGTCACACTCGCGGAAGACTATGGCTGCAAGGGTTGCTGCAACCATCGCCAGGGATTATCGCGCAGGGTAGACGTTGAGCGACTAAAAGAGGCAGTTCCCATACCTATGTTGCCATCCATTGGCTTACCACTCTAAAGTCCGGCCCACCGTGATACCCCATGCAGAGTGGGAGACATGGGGTCTTGTCGACCATCAGCAAGCACTTGCAGATATTCCAATTGCAACTGTGAGTGTGACCTTGCCAGCCCTGTATTCATCCTTGAGGGCCAACAAGCCCTGTTCACTAGGCCGGGACCCTCGTCTTTATTGAACGCCGCAAGAATTGATTAGTGTTGATCAGCAACGTTGGGAAGAGGCACGGGAAGAAGAGCGAGGTGTGGTTTGTGCCACCTTCTACGGACAAGGGCTAACATGCTTTTCGACAGATCCATCATGCCATTTCTCAGGCTCTCTTACCTAGTAGTCGGAGCAGAGCGGACGGTGTCTTGGACTAGTCTTTTTCTTCGCTCTCTTCTTTTTTGTGTGTGTGTGTTCTAGTCAGTCAGTCATTGTTTGCACGTTGATGATAGACATGCTGTGCGAGAGAACCCACGAGAGAGCGAAACCCCACGTGTAGTTTAACATTCTTCGATCTTCGAACTAGAATGCCAAGTGTTCGCGCGTTCAAGACAAAAAAGTAATATATAGGTATGCAAGGAGCCATGGCAGCTTGCCGATTGCCCTCGCATTGACCATGAAAATTGTGGTAGGTGTGGTTGCTCTGCATGGGCTGACCGATAATCATAGATTGCCCTGCTATCGATTTGCATATGCAGCATCGATAACCCAAATTCATACTGCTACCCTACTACGCATATCACGTAGTACGTAAGTGGTAGTTCATGTTGAACTGTAATCCCCAGATATGGCTTCCGGTTAGCTCATTGCCGCATCTGGATAACATTTCGTTCAGTCGAGATTACATAGTAATTTGTTGTTCGTCCGACAGCTTTGAGCCAAGTACTATCATGAGCTTGGCCAACCTAAAGACAAGCCTCGAACACCAGCTCATGCTTCATTGGAAAAGGAGAAACGTGACGCTAGCGTCCGCATGGTATGACTCTTTCTATTTCCTAAGGCTCTATTAGGCATTGTTGCCATCCACCAATAGGTGCGGAGTCTGTACGAACGACTATGAGATTGGTCGTCGATATAAAATACCTACCTAATGGCCCTGCGCTCATCAGGGCTAATAGCCCTGTTCCTTTGGGTACCTACCTAGTTTGCACCCTGGGCACGATGGAAGGGAGCATCGGGGTCGACTTCGGATGGTCAAGGGTTTACGCCGACTTAGGTAGGAAGGTAGGTAGGTACCCAGCAGGTGAGTATTGCCTATTATGTACCAGATATAAAATTGTCACGGCCGAGTTAAAATAGTCCGTTCCTAGGTTAGTCCGCCCCGAGGTAGGTAGTGTTGTAGTTCTAGTTGTGGTAGACAGAAACGGGGGCCGTTGAAAGCCGTTGACTGAACTACTGTTGGTCTGGACGTTGCTATGGTATCGGTGAAATATCTGAAATATAAACTGGCTTCAAGCAAGAGACCAATCAAAGGATGATATAGAGTAATTCGTATACGTCCTTGTAAATAGTGTATATAGTGAATATAGTGAATATAGTGTATAGGGAAAAGAAGAGAGGAGCTCAACTGATTCGAGGCTGGCACAGAGTTGGCACCAGTAGCGGGCTTAGCCGAAAATTTAGTTAATGTGACAACATAAGGCTTCAGGCTCCGGATTGGCTCGAGCTTGAAAGCTAGATCCTTGACCAGCCGGGGTGAATTCATGATGGAGTGAATCATTTTAGCCAATCTGAGTTCGAGGACGGGTAGTTCCCATTAGCGTGGACAGTAAAGTTGTGGATATAGCGGGGACTATACCTAGTACTACTAGTAGTATCCACCTCTAGGTCCTCTACCCTACCTCTACTAGCCAGCTAGCTATGCAAAATCTCATGGATCCCTGCCTGCCAAGACACGGCATCCAGGAGGGGCCATCTTCCCCATAGTTGTCTCTTACACTTTAATCAGCAATGATGGCATTCAAATTGGTCCATGCACTATTTAGGTACATACTATGTACTAGGTAAGTTACTATGTATGTGGTATGTATCTTTGTACATGGTAGGTATGATCATCCGATGTTAAATCCGATGTGGGCTAATTTGGTCAGTTTTCTATAATTATCCCAATTTACCATTCTCACATTCTAGACTAAATATGGATCCTTACTATTATTGAAGTGACCTAAGTGACCTAAAAATGACCTAAGTCGTACTACATTTTGCATGCAAATGCATGGCCTGGCGCTAAATTTGGTGACAGTTTGCTGCTTATGACATTTTACCCGACCTAATTATTCTATTTTTGAATTAACCTGCATTTGAAAGGGAAAGCGGGCTAATTTGGGTACATTAGGGTAGTAAGTAGGTATTCTCAACTCGACTCTCCTCAACTAACTATGTACTACATTGTTGTCCTTACATAACTTCCGTACCCGACTACTACACTGTGGCTACTATGTACTACCTAATATTACATTGCTTGCAGCTTGCTACTGTACTCAATACTCAAAAGTTCTTACCGAGCGTCCCGACAATGCGGTTATGGCAGAAAACAAAAGAAAATTCAATTTCATCTACGGCATAGTATGATATGTTATTCCATTATGAGGGTTGTATTTATCAAATTATGCATTGTGGCTCCTAGATCATGATCGCAGAGTCTAGCTACGATTATCTACTACCTATGTAGTAGGTAGCTGTCATTCACATGCCATGTTACCCTCTTTACCCCCATCGACGCTGATAATGCTGGTAGAGAACATTTGAAGTTAAAGCCTCACTATTTACGGGGTCCCATAATACATGTACGTAATTCTATAGCTAGCATTAGTGTGCTAGGTAGACGAATGCTGTTTGCCAGGGTAGTTATGTAAGGTGCGGATTGCTAGGGAGGTTTACCAGGTTTGATGATTTTCTATTATCTCAACTTCTCAAGGTTTCTTCAAATATCTTCCTAAGCAAGGTAGGTATGTAGTAGTCATCTATAACTAAGGTCTGTGCTCTGTGATATGTTGTCTAAATGATGCCATTGTCGTGTATGCTAGGTAGGCAAGTATGCGATTCCCCCAAGACAATACTCGTCATACAGCCGACCCCCCGAACAATCAGATTATTTGAAAACCCAGGATGATAGATAGGGTAGAAGATGAACTCCACCCCCGTGGAGTCGACTTTATTTGTAAAATTCGTACAGTGACATGTGCTATGCCGTCAGCTTGTCAAGGCCAACCCTGTGTCGAGCATGCTGCTGCATATCATCATAAAAAGCAAACCTTCTCACCCGGCCGCCAAGCTGTTGCGTCCCGGTCCATCATCCGTCGGCTCGCCATGAAAAAGATTGATACGTCCGAATCTGCGAATTTGCTTCCCCATCCCTCATCTGTGATACGTGCCCCCGAGTGCCCCGAGTGGAGATGAACTTACCATGTAAAGCCATGTAGAGTCATGTAGAGCCATGTAGAGCCAAATCGAGTTAAACTATTTAAACAAGTCCCACGATCTGCTACCTAATCAGCTTTGCAGCCCGGGATGGCTCGTCTATGTCATCCGTGCTTTAGCTGCATATCAGGGGTCAGGGGTACTGAGATTACCTGCATGTGTGAAAGCCTTCCCATTCCTTGCTCAACCCTATTCCTATTCCTATTCCTATTTCCTATTCGCCTAGATGCTTTACTACATAGTAGATATCTAGTATTGTTAAATTCACCGGGCCGGGGCTTTTCTCACAACGGTAAATGAAAAGACTGGGCGCAAAAACGAATGAGAACCTCTAGACGGACGGTCAAGGAGGGAAAAATCACCTCACACAGGTTCGCCGAATATGCCACGAGGGGTTCATCTCGGTCGGGATAAAAGGAGAAATCAAACCATCCATGAGGTCTCCTAAGGACTGAGGAACGAAAAGACTCGCATTGAGGATTCCTCATGTGATGACTCCCAAAAACGCATTCTCGGCATACCATTGGACCTGGGAGTTTGGTAACAACTTCGCTTAAAGTACGGCGACCCTAATTTTCATCTCACATGGTAGTTAAACCAGCTTCCCCTCAGGTGGAAAAGAGGAAAAGGAAAAGAAAGAAAAGAAAAACATACTAGGTACCTACCTAGGTAGTGTTGCTCGCAATAACCCACCCCGACGCTTCCCGGACTCGACGCATTACACTTGATGTCAATCAACGTGATACCTATAGGTAGGTAGGTAGTTCAACCGGGATCAAGAAGTGATGGCTCGTATCTCTATTCTTCGAGCGTTCCTATCACAATCCCCTCATGCATTTGCAAGCCATCCGAGTCTATCCGACTCTTGGGGAAAGCGCCCATGTCTTCAAGTGAATCATATCAACCCGACTGTGGACCATGAATTATCTATTCGTATGTCGGTAGTATGTAGATAGGGGGGATTAAAAAAAAGTGGCTGTAGCTACTAAATGTCAGTGGCACTGGTGATGGCGGACACGAATGCCCAAGAAATATCATGCATAAAGTCCACAAAGTCTTTAGTCGGTGACCGACTGGCAAACTGTTGCACTAAGTAACTGCGCTCTTTGAACGAGGATCGGATTGTCTTAGATCTTGGTTTGCTCCCTTGGATGACCCATCTAGTTTGTTGATGATCTTGCATCTGGTCTATCAACATCAAACTATCGGTGTATTCCGTCCACCAACAGTCTCGACTCCTAACGCTATATCGTAGCGCCTACATACGAACCTTCGCGGGCAGCAGACGGACACACACAGACAGCTGCATGTCCTTGCGGGAACCTACTGCTTGCTATGCAGAGCTACGGGAGAAGTGTGACCCCCGCCACATGCTGTTCGTGGAGTTGAATTATCCAGCCAACTGCCTTATTCGCTGTTGATCATTGATCCGGCAAAAGCCCTGTCCAAGTCAGGGGGTAATATCTGAGCCTTTTCTCAACGACGTATCGTATCCCATCTTACACGGCTTTCTTCACCTCTTGTCACAACCGGAACCGGGCAGCAGAGAATAACCTTTCCCTTCTGCCAAGTTGCTGGACGGATAACGTCTTTTTTCCCCAACTCCATTCTTTACCTACCTACTATCGTGGGACTTGGCCACTCACGTAGCTGAAGCTTCATATATTCGGCCGTCATGTGTCCGTAGATAGGTCATGCATACGCTCACGATATGTCATTATTATTGGGTATCAAGCCTCAGTGGATCCGCCGCAAGGGATCATGGAATCTTCGAAAACTTGTTCCCTTACACACCGGTCGACGTCTGTATGCTAATCTAGCTACATATGTATACTACCTGATAGGTAGTAAGTACAATAAGTAGAAGTTGAGGAATTGGGTAGATCCGTACCTAGCAAACCCGGACCGCTCCAGATCTCGGCGGGCAAGACCTTGAACGGGAAGACAGGCGCCATATTCCCGCAGCACTGCCAGGAATAGGGATGATCAGATCTCTTTACAGTTATCTCATGGGGGTTCATTATTGGCTCTTTCGTTATATCCCTCCCCCTATGTAATGAGGGGGAAAGGCCCTAGTTTCTCCGAATTGACCTCTCAGCATCGAGTTCAATCAGACTTCGCAGTTGGAGATGACAATCCTATCGCCTAGCAACGTACCACAGGAGAAGGGGGCTAGGCCAAAAAGGTAGGGGATGGTAACCGCTTGGTAGCAGCGATGAAGACCCTGAGAGCGGGAATAGGTAGGTCTACACAAACTGTTATAGTGTACGACAGTTGTATTATGCATATCTACATACCTACCTACCGACCCTGAAGGTAGGTTGATAGGTGAAAAAGACAAGCGGCAGAGGAACATCCCCCCCGTCCAGGGTAGCAATCATCTCCCCGCTTGACCATCCGACCTGACCCGAATAGGTGACAGTGGACCGTCTCTCTGCGTCTTCTCTTTCCACTGCACGCTGCAGACGCTACCTGGTGCGAACCCACCAATGCTGACTGACTCATAAATAACTACTATGTAATGCTAATGCTAAATGCCGGTGCTGCCAGCGACTATTCGAGCGGCTTTTGTCGTGACCCTGTCCCGGGTACATCAATTGAAAGACTCTCCACCAGAATTCCAGAATTTGTTCAATTCTATCCACCAAGCCACTTTCCATAGGCCGGTCTCGCAAAGAATGATGGAAGAAGAAGAGAGAAAGAGAAAAAAAAAATTGCTGTATCCTCCCTCCCTCCCTCCCCCCCCTCTCTTCTTCCTCTTCTTTGACCGCTTCGGTAGGTAAGTGCTATTAAGAAGCAACTTGAATTGGCGCGGTAATGCAGTAAGCACGGGCTTTATGTCCCGTCGTACGGGAGAATTGCAGTGCAGTGCCAGTGGCACACAGACTAAAGTAAGGTAGGTACAGCAACTAGATATGTAGGTACTAGGTAGGTTGGGCTTACATATGTTACCATCGCACAGCTTTTGCGGAGAGAGATCGAGGTAGGTATGATATGCTGCTCTTTGCATGGCATCACCCGTAAGGGGCTCCTCGCATATATATGTACATATGTACGTGTGTTCATGTGTCTCGTGTGTATATGTGTGTGCGTGTGTGCGTACGTGTGTACCTACTTATTATTTTTTTTGTTGGTAATTGTGTTAGTTCAAGAAGGCGCTTTTTGAGGCCTTCTTTGTGGTCGATGGCAAGCCGATTACACCTTTTGGGAACGCGCCACTTTTGCTAACGGCTACTGGGCAGCTACTGGGTAAGGCGATACCTGATCGGGTTGAGGAGTGAAGAAGAAAGCGGACATGGGCAAACCCCCCACCCCCTGTTCGCCTCTGTGCTCAGACTTATCGGGCGCTTAGAAAACGACGATGGTCTCCGGGATTATGGTATTATGACCAATGACAATTCGAGAAAGCCTCCATTATTTTCTGGCACTGCTTAACGTCCTGTCCAACCAGCCATCCTCCTTTTCGTCCGCTTAACGCTGGGCAAGTTGGTGGGGAGCAGTCTGGCCTTCGTGGGATTTGGTACATACAAAATCTTGCCACACCTAAAAAGAAGATGCTATTATTAGGGACTGGGACTATGGTAACATGGGTGATTTCGGATTGGTAACTTCTCCGCTCTACTCCGTTAGGTACCTAACAACCAGGTAATCTACATGGTCAAGTATACCTGGGTAGGTAGGTAAAATACTACTAGGTAGCGAGTAGCCTGCGCTGTGAAAGGCCAGAATCAAATCACATCGTGAGGACCTGCTCATTATCACAGCGTATCACTCCCTCCTGCATGACCTATACTATACCCTATACCTTATATCACACATCCATACCTAGTACCTACACAACCTACATAATATATACGTTCGGCATACACCCGTGCTGTACTTCAGTCTCTCCTCTCTTCCTCTCCTTTGCGACGTCACACCTATCCCTCGACTACTCATAGCGAGCGAGCCTATTTCCTTTTCGTCTTCGCATATATCATATACCCTTTGGTTTAGACGGAGAGATAGGTCAAAGAGAATTGTAGGCCGGCAACGGCAACATATACCAAAATCGCATTTTCTTTTTAGGCATTTTCCTTTCCTCTACCTATATATCCAAAATGGTAAGCTTTGTTAATCACCAGTAGTCCATCTATCTGAATTCAAATTTGCCTCATTGCCCCCCTGGCATCTCGAATTCTAGTAGCTAATTCTCACAGCTGCAAAATTCGCAACCGCTCAGGTTTAGCGAGCGATCGCATAGAGAAATGCGCCAAAAGAGTCATTTAATACATGACCCTTTCTTCGGTCTAAAGGGGCTTGACCACCGCCCGGCCTCAGTAACCACGGAGATTGTAGATACCGATTGGGATGAAGAGGAAGATATTGTCAGCGAGATAGAGGATGAACCCGTATCCCCTCGGGATAGCTTGAATTCGGTAAGAGATAAAAACAAAACACAAAAAAGGGGATTCGAATTAAGGATGCCATGCCATTTATTAAAATGTCCACTGACATGATATAACAGTCGGGCCAACCCAGTGTAACGACTCTTTCGTCATACGATGAAGCACAAACACCAAGATCGAGCAGGGCTCGCGATGTGTACGGCTTTGAATTTGACTCTGCAAAGCCAGTCGAGGGACCAAGAGGCCCACACTTATTCCGAGCCTCTACGACATCATCCTTTGAATTCAGAGAGGCCCTCAGCTTGTCACCGATAACACCCAAGACGGCGAGGCCTTATGAGCCGGAGCTTCGGTATCCCATCATCCACGACCCGTTACCGCCACGATCCCGGAATAGCCCGTTTCAATTCACGCACGAGAAACTGGAACCGATTGATTTAGTAGAGTGGCGGCCAGAGCAAGTGGCACAATGGATGCTCAATGCCGGTATTGAAGTCACGATCGCGGAGAAGTTCGTCGAGAATGACATCAACGGGGCCATCTTGGTCACGCTGAAGTTTGAGGACTTGCGGGAGCTGGACATCCAATCTTTCGGAGTTAGGACCAAGGTGTGGGAGGAGATCCACGTGCTTCGAGATAGCAAAGCGGCAGCGGAGGCTTCGTCGCCTAGACCTGACACCATTATTGAAGATGTGGAGAGCAAGGAAGTACGGAGGGAGCGGAAGAGGAGCCAGAAGGGGGAGGAGAGGGAACCCGTTCCACGTTCGAGGAGTCTGAGGCGCGCTCCCAGTAAGCAGAAGCCAGCCCACGAAGACATCATCTCGCCCCTAGAGTCCGTGTCTATCGTCGGAATCGAGCAGATGATGCCCAAGCCACACCACTGCTCCAAAGGCGAGAACTGTTCCCGGTACAGAAAGCAACAACGGATGATCGAGGCCTTCAAGCGGGAACACCCGTTCGTGGACATGGAGCAAGGCGGCATCATCATGGTCGCCGGCGACCCAGGCAACCCAGCAACAGCACCGGCCATCAACCGACCATCGTCCACCGAGGCGCTGCGGCCCATGTCTGACGCCGTGCCCTCCGTCGTCGCATCGTCGGACGTTTTCGGGCCAGGCATGCCCCCTTTCCAGTACCTGCAGGAAGCCGCGCTGCGCAATCTGCAGACACGAGATCCCCAGGACAACGTCAGGCAGTTCCTCGACTTCCAGCACCAGGACCCCAACGCCGCTTCCAGCGAGGTTCCCCCCACGCCTCCGTTCGAGATACTGCCCAACCACAACAGCACTTCTCCCACTACCCCGCGAGCTGCCCAGGGAAATCTGCGTGCACTGCCTAAACTTACCATCCCGGCTGGACGGCAACAACAGCAGCAGCAGCAGCAGCAACGACAATCCTACCAACAGCGCCCCGCTCCCCTCCCGACACCTCCCCTACCCTCCCAGTTCCCCCTCCGGATGGACAGAGGCGAGGCGCTATCGCCAGACCTGCAGAACGCCCCGTACCGCTTCGGCACGCCCTTCTCGGACATGGACGTGCCCCTGACCGCCGTCCCCTTAGGCCCCGTCGCCCGCGACGCCTCGCAGTCCGTGCCCCCGGACATGAACTACCGCGCCGGCCCCGCGCTCGCGCGTTCGCAGTCCCGCTCCTCGCGCCGCCCTTCCTTCCAGGTCATGGCGCCGCTCGAGGAACACAACAGCGGCGTCCCGACCCCTCGCGTGCCTGCTGGCCACCAACATCAGCACGTGAGGCACCCTTCTATCTCGCCCACCACCAAGGCTACCACCACCGCCGGTGCTACCTCACCACCCAGAGTCCCCTCGCGGCAACCACTACAAGCGCCTCCGCGCGCACAATACCCCTGGTCGCCCCAAGCCCGAAGCACCTTCGCCCCCCTCCCCACCTCCACCTCTTCCCACTCCCACTCCCACTCCCACTCCACCTCAACCTCAACCTACACCTCCAACACCAGCGCCAACAACACCATCACCCCCTCGACCACCAGCCAAGACGCCGAGGGCATAACCTACGCGGGCCCCGTCAAGAAGCGCAAGACCCGCATGCTGCGGCACGAGTGGCACGACCAGTTCGCCACCCTCAAGGGGACGCGCATGGTGCTGCACCGCGACGGCGCCTCCTCCGCGGCGCGGTCCCGCGCGCTCGAGTACATCGACATCGACGACTACGCCATCGCGTGCTCGTCGCTGTCGACCGGCTCGCGCCTCAACGCCGCCTTCAAGGCCATGAGCATCTCGCGCTCGGCGCACAACGCGGACGCGGACGCCATCGCCGCCTTCAGCTTCCAGCTCGTGCCGCAGAATGAGTTTGGCGGCGGCGGCAAGGGGGCGCGGCTGCGGAAGCGGGAGAGCGCGGGGATGGTGGGGGGTGTGGGCGAGGGCGTGGGCGCGGCGGCGGCGGAGTGCGAGGGGGCGGCGAACGGGACGGGCAAGACGCACCATTTTGCGGTGCGCAGTCGCGACGAGCGCATCGACTGGATGCGCGAGCTGATGCTGGCGAAGGCGCTGAAGCAGAAGGGCGAGGGCTTCGAGGTTAGCGTTAATGGGAACATGATCTAGGGCTGGACTTGCTGCTGATGCTGCTACCTTGCGGGTGCATGTCGGTTAGTTCAGATCGGACGCTCGTTTCACTCTCACCTACCTCTGCCTCACCTATATCCTATATCTTGTCGCTTTTATTTCCCTTCGATTCACTGCCTTGCTGCGCTCCCCATACCTACCTCTTGGCCATTATTATATATATTTATATATATACGACCCAACTACCCGACTCCCACCTACTCGCTCATCTACGAGCGTCTTGCAGGCAGATGCCATATATCAACTCCCCCCTCTCTGTCACTCACTTTTCCGTCCGCACACAGCCTCCATACGAGGCATCACTGTGTATCGGCGGATGATTCTCCCTTTCCCTTCCACTTTATCTTTTTTATATCCTTCCCCCCCTTTTTATGTATGTCCGCGGGCCTTTTTTTTCTATGTCCTTGCAAAAAAACCCCCCGTCGATCTCTTGATCGATTGATGAAACGAATTTATGACGAAATATCTTTATTTTTATTTTTATTTGTTGTTGGTTAAAGTCTCGGGAAGAAGAAACCGCAAGGTTGGTTAGTTGTTTGAGGAAGAGGAATTTGATATCAATACCTATCCGGACATCGGATGCTTTTTTTCCTAGCGAGCAAACGTCTCGATTTCTATAGGCTTATTATTCCCCTTCCTTAACTTATGTTTTTTTGTTCCGGTTTCGTTTTTTGTCGTCGCTGCTCCGCAAAATTGAGTGAAGCCCGATTACGGTACCGTTTATTCTGGGAAGCGTTTGGAAATGGGGATTCGCTGGATTGCGTTTTTTTTCTGTCCTTTTTTATCTGTTCCGGTCTGCATATTTCTCAACTTTTTTTTTTTTTTTTGATATCTTCTGTGGTTGATGAATAATGGCGGTGATGATGGGCATATGAAATATACCAACACGCTCCTTATTCGTCCGTGTCTTGTTCCGTTTACCGTAGGAGAGGGGATTTTGGTTCGTTGAGAAGAAGATTCGTGAGGATGTAGCTAGTTTTTCAAAATAAATACGGAAAAGGAAAAATGATTATTATATAAGAAACACCGTGTAGTCCTTGACTTGTGTGAAAAGTTAGGTACTCGTGACTCTCGTAATGGTTTCATTACACTACTGTGACCATGACCATAGTTAACTACAACTATTATAATATGGTGGGTGTACTTTGCATAAGGGGTCATTTTATCCAAGCGCCCATCACTCAACTTGCGGTCTTGAACAAGAGCGTCCTCATTTAGGCGAGTCGCAATTAACTTGTCTCGTGACAACAGAATCAAGGGAGACGAGACACTCTATGTTCCTAGCCTTGGCTGCACCCACACACCAATTCACTTACCTGCCATTCTTATTCAACATATACCCACCCCCATGACCTGCACACAACACCATTTTTCATGCTTTCATGTTACATTTTTTTGGTATATAGCACATGGCCCTCCCTAGGTAGGTAGGTATGTATGTATCTACAAGGGGCTCTCAAGTATGAGTATGTTACACGCCGAGTTCCCCGGCGGCTGAACGGACATCATTCAACACTTTTTCTTGTGTTTCAGATTTTGAGTGAAGGCCCGGCTATTCCTATTCTGGCTTCATCCTCGATCATGGCCCAGTCGATGGTATTCCACCAGTTCATTATGTACTGTCTCTTGCCTCCCACGCCGCCCGCACCGATACCATAGTCCCGCAGCCATACATGCTCCCACGTATTTAAGCATAGTAATGGGATGACGTCGGTGCCACCCGGCGCTGTTTGGCTTTGTTGCAAGAACCTACCGCCTGTGTCCGCGCCAGCGCCGGCCTTGGTTCGATCGAGCCAGGCTTGAACAGTGTCCGGGGAACTAAGACCGTGGGTGTTCATATCGACACCCTGACGACGCCAGTGGCCTGCCGTGTAAGGTGTTCCCGCCAAGTACGTGACCAGGATGCGCATGTCTGATGACCGGCCATTCTTGACCAGCCATACAAAGCCTGGGCCGAACATGCCCATGGCTGTGGCATAGAACTCGCGGCGAAGTGTCTCGATAGAGCTGAACTGTCTGGCAAGTAATTTTTTTAGTGTCTCGGACATTTTCGTTGCTCTAGACGTTGCCTCGTTTTCATCGGCGTCCTCTTTAGGAATTGTGTCAGCATTGTTCCTCCCTCCCGTTTTATTTCTTCTTCCCTTTCAGGCTTTCTTTTCAGGGCATACCTCCTGGTTGTTGGTGACTCGGGCTCTTCTTGTTCGCAAGATTTTTAAAAAAGAAATGGTTGTTGTGGGCCATAGAGGCATAGTTAAATATAGGTGCCAGTGAAGGCTCGCGTGCTGTCGCTTTGATGATGGATAGTGGATCTTGCTCCTCGAATTCGGTACCTGGGTTTGCGCTGTTAGCTTTTCATATATCATATTTACTACAGATTGTAGTGTCGTACCGGCAGTCAATGCATTGAGCCTCTCTATTACGAGTTGCATGTATTGAGTCCATGCCATGTCCAGACCTCCTGGCGACAACAGCCCAGGAATTCCCTCTTCTGGGTTAAACTGCTTCAGAGAGGGAGCAGCATGGAATGATCGAGACGAAAGTGCGACGGGACGCCATAACCGACTCGATCTCGGTATTCGTAATCTTGACCGTAACATGGTTGTGGTATGAAGAAAGCTACTACTATGTAGGAGTAGCTGGTGCGAAGTAGCGAAGTTGCGATGTTGCAAGCTTCGTTAACAACCTTAGTTAAGTGCACATGGGGGAATGAATTTACATGGCGCTTTCTCAAAGCTTTCACTTTACAGGGCTGCGACTACGAAAAAATTAACTAAGTCAAATTGAACTAAAATACTTTATGTACCTAACAGTACAATGGTGCGCTTCATGCTGATTGGTTAATCAATTCGGCGGGGAATATTGAATTGACCGCACAACATTGAGCTTGAAGCCTCCAACTTCAATTTGGAGCACATGCATCACTGAAGTGCCTACAATTAGCTGCTTTACTAGGTACACGTTAAGTTAGGTACCCTAGGTACAACATTGAAATGTGGTACTATGCACCTGTGAAATCCATATACTACACAACAGTTCATTCAACCTCGTACTTATGAGTCTACGAGATATCAATTGATCTAGTTTAAGCACTTAGGTACCGGTATTCACATTTATTCATCTTTCTTTCTATTTCGATTCTTCACCTCCACCCTCCTTCAGTTTTAACTGCTCTGTCTTCGCAGCAAGTGCAGCAGCACGCTTAGCCGGGTCACCCTTATCCTTCTGCTTCTTCACCTTTGTTTGTTTCGCTTCAGACGGGTAAGCTAGTTCTGCGATCTTCTGCCATTCCTCTGATGCTTCGTAGTCGCTGCGAATGGGTTCCAGGAGTTCGTTCAGCGCATTCGTCAAAGCAGATTTTAGTAGCTGGGGAGTGAGCTAAATGATAGTTAGTAAATACTCGGGGGAGAGAATCAAAGGTCCGCTGGAAAGAGAGAGTACTTACTATATCAGCCTCGTAGTCCGCCTTCAACTTCTCGATGTCATCGTAGATGAGAGGCTCTTCGTCTCGTCTCGTCACTGTGAAATGGGGCTTTCCACCAGTCTTGATGGACACCACCCGGAAGATGACATGTTCTACGAAGGCTACCACACCGTTGCCTTCAATCTTCTTGGGCACGCATACAGCCTTCTTCAACTTCTTCGCTACCACCTCAGGGGTATCTAGCAAGTCGATCTTGGAGTCTGGTTCGCTGGAGCTCATCTTTTGCGCCTCTCCTAAACCGGCTACCATAGAGTGCATCAGGTGAGCCCTAACCTTGTAGCCAATCTTCGGTAGGTTTTCCAAAGCAAACGTGAAGATCTTGCGCTGGTCAAGACCGCCCAACTGCGCGTCGACGTCGAGGTACTCTTCGTCTAGCGCTTGCATTAGGGGGTAGGTCAGACCGCCCAAGAACGGGTCGGCCGTCTGCTTAACAACTTCGGCACCTGCCTTCTGCGCAACCGATATTCTTGTCATGCCCTCCAACTTGAACCGATCCATTGTGTACTTCTCGCTCTTCTGGTAAGAACTTCCCTTGAAGAACTCGAGCTTCGTAATATCCACGCCAACAGCCTTTAACAAACTCTTGACAATAAACTCGTAGTACTTGACGCGCTGCTCGATCAATTCCAGCGGCGCCTTCATGTTGTCGAGGTAGGCGTGGAGATCGGCAAGGAGGATTCGGACGTGGCATCCGGCGTGGAGGAGTTCTGCGATCTTGACCATCGAGACGAAGTACCCGCAGTGCGGTCTGCCTGTCGTGGCCGTTCCCCAATAGACCTTGAGGTCTCGCTTTTGATTGAGAATCACATCGTCGATGATTTCAGGGTTGAGGACTTCGGTCAAGTTGGACTTGATTAACGCGATCGATTCTTCGGGAGTCATGTTGGCGAAGTAAGGAATACGCAGAGGGGGGGTATACTAAGTTGCGATGGAAAACAAAATTGCAGTTGCTCCTAGCTGCCGTCGCACCTTATTTTTTTGGATTTTTTTTGGTGGTGACTAATTTTAAGGGACGTGTTACTGGAATACAATAATACCTGGAAGCATTTTTGAGTCAGAGGGGTAAACCGCAGCACGGAGGGGCATTGACATGGGGGACGTATGGTGGGGCTTCACTTAGCCCGCCGGAGATATCGGTGTTCTTATTTGAGTCTCTTTAGCGTATCGCATAGAATGTCAGTAGGGCATCTTTATGTAGAACATTGAGGCCATTTATGCATGTGTGCCTGCTTAGGTATTCAGCCTAGGTAGTTTTAGAATCACACATGTAGTAATCAGGTGGTAGGTGAATTAATAGGAGTAGATTATATTTGTTCTTCATGATATCCTCAGATATGAGTTTACTAGTTACTAGGTACTGTACATACCTACATGTATGTATGTACCTATAATTATGTAGTAAACATTGAACCTCAAGTTGAAGTGACTGATCAAAATAACGCCATATGATGCATCCATGCTCATGAGGTCGATCCTATCATATTGGGGGAAATGGGCTAGTTACGCCGGCCCGTAACTCAAAATATGCCGAGCATCCCCAACAAAACCTTCCACCTTGCGTAAATGCCTGGGTAATAGCATAAGACGGGTTCCAATCATTGAGGCTGGCCCGCCAAATTGTTCCTTGTCCCTCCAAAGAACGCCATTCATATACAACCGAGTTGCCCAACCTTTTTTGAAAAACAAACATTAAACAGCAATAACTTCTTCCACAGACTATGTGCCAAACCTAGACATTACTCTTCCATAAGCCCTAACATGTCTAGCTCTGTCTTCACTAGACGCTCGAACTCGTCACGATCAATCCCCGACGCACGGGACAGCATGAACAAGCTCTTGATGCTTCGAGATACGTGCTGCTTGACGCCAAAGTCGCTCTGCTCTTGCTTCGCTGCCGCCGCTTCGAGCTTCTCGATCGATGCATTGGACCCTGTACTCGATGCTGGCCGAGGATGAGGATGAACTAGGTTCGGGTCATCGCCACTTCTTCTCGAGTGAGTGGAGGGTGATCTGGGCGGGTTGGCAAGTGTCCACGTCCCCCGAGTCTCATTGATCTCCGTCTCCTCCTCGTCGCCCCCGTTCACCACACCAGTGCTTGATCTTGCCGCTAAACCTAGAGGTGGGGCTATGTCAAGATTGACTTCCTCGTCAGGGTCATGATTGTCCATGGCTGGCTGGACATCGTCGTATTGAGCATAGTAATCATCTTCGGCTGTCGCGTTGCCACCCTGCGTCGACTGCGGGGCAGGTGACCTTTTTATAGCAGGGGTTCTTGCAGGTGTCGCATCATATCTCGCCCAGTAATCGTCGTCTTCGTCTTCGTCGTTATCTGGCATCAACATAGTGCTCCGACCATTAGCCAAGCCGTTGCTTTGCGCCGGTTTTGACTTTGACTCTTTGAACTGTCTTTCTGCCTCGTCAACACTGGAGACACCCCCGAACGACGAGAATGGCGACGGCTTCTCAGCCACGCTAACCTCGCCTAGCCTCCAACCGTCGCCGCCCATAGGGTCGCCAATACAATAGACTAAGCGAAATGTCAAGTTGAGGTTTTTGAGAGCTACGAGAGCTTGAAGAGTCTCCTCGTCCAGTCGTCGATAGCGAATCTCAGCATCGTAATCCCAATCAACTTCAACCTCCCCGGACACGGGATGAGGCTGCAGTCCTTCGCCTTGGGCAATCTCTGTCAACCTGGGAACGTTGGCCGGATCGTAGCATAATAAGCGAATCCAAGGGTCTGAGCTAGATGATGCTAAGAGTTTCACACGCTGTCGTAGAATGGGAGAAAGAAGAGGTAGCACATTCTCTGGCGGTTCGGTTGACAAAGCAGCGGCTGGTAAAGAAGGTAAGACAGGCCCTAAAACCTGCTGGATATCTGGTGGTTGGACGATGGTAGTAGCCATCTTCTCGTTGGTGATGGCAGGTTTTTTCTTGTGTAATGATGATTTGTGTGTTCGAATATAATAGTGTTGTATGAATCTGAATCTCCGTATTTCAGACCTATTAGATGAATGACGGACGATGGATTCTGTATCACATGCAATGCGCAGACTAGCAATAAATTCTTAGGCTTAGGTTAGGACCTGCTGACCCTCTATTTTGGGCAACGTGGCTGCGCTAACAAACGTTGTAATGTTTCAGCGTTAGTAAAAAGGGGAATATGGAAAGAATATAAAGGAAACCACACAACAAGTAGAAAGGCAATTGTACAGGCTGACAGGATCAGGAGTAAGATTATAAAGGAAGGAGGTTATTATGTAGTAATGTATCGCGGTGGAAGAAAGGAGCACATGTGCAGGTAAGCGAGTCACTTAGATATGAATAGGTACATAATCAACCCACCTACATTATGACATATGTACATATGTGTGTATGTACAGCCCCCTCAAAGCCTGGAGACTTGAAGTTGACCAATGATATAAATGTTATTGAGGAGATGGGGGTTTAAAGGGTCCGCTATAAATCTGGGGAGAAGGGACAAATGGGAACCATAAGTCGGGCGGACGGAAGCTTGTCCAACCTTCTAAAGGTCAGGTGAAGTGTCTTGACTCTTGGGACTGCCACTTTGACATGTTATGGTCCATGGATAGTTACTTACATATAACTTAGTTATGTTATTAATACGCTTGTGATGTACTACTAGTATTAGCAAATATTAATATATTAAAATGAAGCTGTAACCGGTTGTTTACCATATCCAACCACAAACAATTTACACATTTTCCAATACATTGGAATTCAAAAGATAGAATTGGCAAATCTAATGTTTAAACAGATCCATGATGCTGGTTCTAAGACCTGGTCTAGTAGATCCTTCCGGACACCAGGTAAGTAAGCAGCATGGGTTCCGCTTTGCTAGGATAGGATACGTTACCTTCCCTGCGTCCCTTCTTCCCTGCCTTGACCTGGTAACTGTATTGTCCCTGGAACACATTACCACACGTGATTCACTACCTACCCTAGGTTGTTATACCGTCCTACGTCACTTGATTCGGAAATTACATGATTGGCTCCGACCTTGGAAATCCGTAGCTAGATCCAAATTTTTATTTCAATTTTTATTCACAAATTTTTTTTTTGGATCGACTTCGAATAAGTAACCCCATCTAGTTCCGATACAAAGCGTCACTAAGACCCGAATGACGTGCGGTTCTCGGTTCTATCCGTTCACCGTAAAGTTTCATTTTGTTAACTCGCGATATCGCAAGTAAATAATCGGCCGAGTTCGTCGGCTTCATTATTACGCAACAACCTAAGCACGCAACTGCTTACGCAGCGGACAGCCGTCTATCTTATTTTACAACGGCTTACTTTGCAGGGCGCCAACTTTGAACCCTGCGCTGTCCCAAGCGGATCACATGTAAGGGCTCTCCGAATAATCACGGAGGGATATCTTGGGCAAGCTTAGATACGACCGTCAGCAAGATAAAATAGAACAAAAAAGAGAGAAAACAGAAAAACTAGATACATCGTATCAGCTTCCCCCTTAGTCCCGGGTAGGGCCGCTACGGATGTATGTCGACGTCTGGCCAACGCCTTCAAGATGAGGTACGATAGATATTCCAAATACCCACATCTTTTAGTCTATTAGGATCTTTCTGTCTATGCATATTCTGTAAATCTGATAAACCAAACTAACATATGGGCCATCTTTCGTGCATGAACAGGGCTCCCGCCTCCAAGTCGTCGCCGCCGGGGCCACCGCGGGTCTAATATCGCGCTTCGTAGTCGCGCCCCTCGACGTCGTCAAGATCCGCCTACAACTACAATCGCACTCGCACACCGACCCTCTGAACCACGCCGAACTGCGCGGCTCCCCCATATACAAGGGCACGCTGCGCACCCTACGGCTTATCGTCGCCAACGAGGGGGTCACCGCGCTATGGAAGGGCAACGTGCCCGCTGAGCTGATGTACGTCGCGTACGCCTCTATCCAATTCACCACCTACCGATCCACGACCCTGCTCTTACAGCGCCTCTGCGGGGGTGAAGACGAAAATGGAAAGGAGGTAAGCAGCCTCCCGAAGACCGCGCAGTCGTTCATCAGCGGCGCATCCGCGGGCGCCACCGCCACCGCGGCTACGTACCCGCTGGACCTGCTGCGCACGCGCTTCGCCGCCCAGGGCAACGAGCGCGTGTACCCCTCGCTGCGGCGCGCCATCGTCACCATCGGCCGGGACGAGGGCATCCGCGGCTATTTCCGCGGCCTGAGCCCCGCCCTCGCCCAGATCGTCCCCTTCATGGGCGTCTTCTTCGTCGTCTACGAGGGCGCGCGCCAGCCCCTCTCCAACCTCGCCCTCCCCCTCAACGCAGGCGACGCCACCGCCGGCGTGATTGCTAGCCTCATCGCGAAGACCGGCGTCTTCCCGCTGGACCTGGTGCGCAAGCGCATACAGGTCCAGGGCCCCACGCGGGGCCACTATGTTCACAGGAATATCCCAGAGTACAATGGCACGGTCAGCGCGATTAGGCGCGTGCTGAGGCGCGAGGGCTTCAGGGGCTTGTATAGAGGGTTGACAGTTAGCCTGATCAAGGCGGCGCCCGCGAGCGCGGTCACGATGTGGACGTATGAGCGGGTGTTGGGGTTGCTGGTTCGGAGGTCGGCTGGGAGGGAAGATGGGGTGACTGACTGATGGCCAGGTGTATGAGATGTATAGGTTGTACTAGTATTAGGGCTACTGGTTGTGTTACGGCGTTGCTGGCAGGAGAGAAAGAAAGGGGGGCCAGGGGACACAAAATAGGCGTTTACCTTTAGTATATGGATGGGTACGATACCATTTGTTGAAGTTCCTACGGGATCTCAACGGTCTTCTCGCTTCACTCAGGTATAAATACTAGACCTCTTGAATATACGATACCTACATAGACACCTCGTGATGTAGAATGCAATTGCTGTGAGCAGGATCGTTAACACAGGTATGTACATGGAAATGTGAGTTGTTGCCATGACCAAAACCCACTACATCAAGCTGAAAGTGCCAGTAGTAGTTGACTCGATAGATATGTTGGGATAAGGAGATTGATTTTCTATACACAAAATCCTGTGTCTAAGATACCTAGACAGACACCTTTTTATAGTCCCCTTCAACCTGGAACAAAAGAAGCTTTTTTGCGTCTATTCATCTAGATATGTATATGGTACAAGGAAGTATTCTTCCCTTTTTTCTCTCTCTCTCCATCTCTTTTCTGAGTTTCTAATGAAACACGCTCGTTTATTCTATTAGGCAGATACCTACCTGAGTACCTGAGTAAGTACTCATTTCCCCTTCTTCACCCAGCCCTCGACAGTATCCCTCGCATTAGTAACCGTCGAGTCAACGTAGTCCTTGCCGACATCGACATGGACCCTAGCGAACTTATACGCATTGTAGATGCCCTCCCGCGTCTTGAGGTGGGTGTCGGCGATGGCGGGGAAGCGGCGCTCGTAGCTCCAGAGGAGGTCGGAGACGTTGGTCATGGTGACGGGGATGAGGAGCCAGCCGGCGCCGATGCCGAAGGCGAGGGGCATGGAGGCGCGCAGGAGGATGTTGCGGTTCCGCGTGATGATGCTGCCGGCCATGGAGGCGACGAGCACGTAAACGAGGCCCGGCATCAGCTTCTCGCCCGTCTCGCGCGCGGGGGCCAGCGAGGCGATGGTCGAGGTGAAGGAGCGCTCGAGGTGGAAGGCCGAGTCGATCGTGCTGTTCACGGCGTCCTCGGTGCTGGCCGCGTAGTGGTACAGGAACATCCGGGCTTTCCCTATCTCGACGGCTAGACGGTCGGTTGGCGTCGGGCCGTGGGGTTTCTTTTCATGCTCTTCGGAAGACAAGGAGGAGGAGGAGGAGGATGATGGATAGGAGACTAAGGTTGTAGATGACGATACTCGGGATATGCTGTCGGAGGTGGGAGATGAGGCAGACGTAGAGCTGGCGGATTTGGGAGGCAAGAAGGTCTCGTAGTCGTCGTAGATGGGCTTCTTGGAGGACTGTATATCGTTTGTCGGTTAGTATAAAAGTAGTTCATGGATCGTGGAGTGTGAATTGGATATTTCGTACGTAGTCGTGTGAGGGCGCCTCAGCCAGCGCAACCGAGGGAAATAGAGCACCTCCGACCAGAGTAGCAGCCATGAACGGCGCGGCGACACGCTGTATGAAATGATTTGTTTAGCATATTTATTTTGTCTGTACAAGTTGGTCAAGTATTTGTAAGTGGAGCTTACCCGTCGCAGCAGCACTCTCGCAGCCATGTTGCGCTCAATGGGAATTGGTGGTTGCTAGAGTCTAAAACTTTGGAAACCTTAAGAAGCTTGTGAGAATTAATTCCAGTGGACCAAAACCTTAACTTCCAAGGTTGTTACTGAATGGACATGAAAACTTGACAAGCGGTACTTTCCGGTCCGGCATACCCTCGGGGAAATATTATGGTACGTATTGTACATAAAGGTAAGTTAGTGGGGTAAATACCTAGGTTAGTACATAATTAGTAACTACATCCGTGATGGTAAAACGTCAATTATCGATCGGCAGCTTCCACTCTTTTGCGGTGATAAGGTAATCGTTGATAGATTCCTTCCTTCGACAAACGAAATGTAAATTTTACAATTCTCCTCTTCCTGTCTTCTTCCTTGCTTGTTTTTGTTTCTTGTAAATACTACAAGCTTTAGCGACTTCTAGTTATGTTCCGCGCATCATGATCAAATCTATTCGATCAGGCCTTTGGACCTGCTCAAGGTGTCTCCGGCAAGCCTCCCGAGCTCGAGGGAACCAAACACGATGGGCTTCTTCCGGTTCCGGCGCCGTTACGCTCCCTCGCCCGCATATACCGATCGATCATTCTCCTCCCGATCTAAAACATGACGATGCTCTACTACGTCAGATCTTCGACTCGCCGCAAACTTTAAAGGACTCCGTGAAGCCTTTATTCAACTATGCGACTGGCCAAAATGTCGGCTTGTTCAGAAACAAGTACTTGACCTCGCCTCAGGGGTTTCTCACCTTCGCGGATGTCACCATAAAGAGAGCACGGAAACTAGTTGCTAAGGTACTCAATGCGTCTACATTGGACGAGTACAAAGCTATTGTTCGGGATATGGATAGGCTGAGCGATATGCTATGTCGTGTCTTGGATGTTTCCGACTTTGTGCGAGTTACCCATCCCGATGCAAAAATACAGGAAGCTGCGTCGCAGGCGTGGTCGTTAGTTTACCAGTATATGAACCAACTAAACACCGAGACCGGCCTAAGTGATCAGTTGGGAAAGGCTCTCGCCAACCCGGATGTTATGGGAAGCTGGAATGAAGAGGAACAGACCGTCGCCAAATTACTACAAGAAGATTTTATGAAATCAGCAGTCCACCTCCCGAAAGAGTCACGGGATCGATTCGTGGACCTGGCACAGAATATCAGCGACTTGGGATCCTATTTTGTGCAGGATATACAGCCCGAACAGCCTTATATTGAGCTTCCGAGCAGCCTTATGTATGGCATGGATCCACGGATGGCGCAGAAATATACTCGCTTAGGTAAGATCCGCCTCCCAACTATGTCGCCTGAAGCAACAGTTGCGCTGAGGAGCGTGCATGATGAAAATGCAAGAAAGGCAATTTACTATGCGACTCGAACAGCCTCTAGCAGATCGATTCGGATCTTAGAAGCCATGTTAAAAGCACGTGCCGAACTCGCAACGCTTTCTGGATTTAAAAGTTACGGTCACATGGCTCTTCATGAGAAGATGATGGCAAAGACGCCGGAATCAGTCTCCCAGTTCCTGTTAGCCTTGTCGAAAAACAATGGCCCACTGGTCAAGGAAGAGATCACAGATCTTATTCGGGAGAAAACTAAGAAGCTGCATGAGGCAGCAACTAATATTCAGCCGTGGGACAGAGAGTATTACATGGAAAGTATACGTACATCTATGAGATCACGACGGCGGGATGACGATGTTTTATCAGCATATTTCTCACTTGGCACTGTCATGCAGGGCCTGTCAAGGTTGTTTACCCGTCTATATGGAATCAGGTTTGTTCATCGAGAAACCTTACCAGGAGAGACATGGCATCCGGAAGTGAGGCGATTGGATGTTATATCCGATACCGACGGGCATGTAGCAGTGCTCTATTGTGACTTATTTTACCGAGAAGACAAGTCTCCCAACCCTGCGCATTTTACCGTGCGCTGCTCTAGAGAGATATCCAAGGCCGAAATCCAAGAAGTAGCAGAACGAAACAGCGAGGGCGAGGACGTCGAGGGGCTCCCTGAATTTGAATCACCTATTGAGGCAGCCAATGATGGGATGCACGTGTCAGGTCAATCCTCTAGCGGATCAGTCAAACAGCTTCCAACCATTGCGTTAATATGCGATTTTGAAGAAAAACAGGGACGGCGCGGCCCGGCGCTCTTGGACTACTATCAAATGGAGACGCTCTTTCATGAAATGGGACATGCAATTCACTCCTTTCTAGCCCGAACTTCTTTACAGAATGTGGCAGGAACTCGATGTGCAACTGACTTGGCTGAATTACCATCGACATTGATGGAACATTTCTGTGCGGACCCCTCTGTCCTTGCCTTGTTCGCACGACATCATATCACAGATGCGCCATTACCGTACGAGATGGTCGTACATAAGCTTCATGTTGCTAGGAGATTTGAGGCATCAGATAGAGAGAATCAAATCATACTAGCTATACTGGACCAAGAATATCACTCATCCCTACCGAGTCATGAGGGGTTTAACTCAACAAAGACTTTCTTGGATATTCAGAAGAGATTCGGAGCGCTTCCGCCTGATCCCCTTGGGACCCGATGGCAAGGCTTCTTTGGTCATTTGGTCGGTTACGGGAGTACGTATTATAGCTATCTGTTCGATCAAGTGCTATCCAAACGCGTATGGCAAGTTGTCTTCTCATCGGGCCAAAACGGGGCCGCGCTTGATCGAGCGAACGGCGAGAGACTGAAGGAGGGTCTACTCAAGTGGGGCGCAAGTAGAGATCCTTGGAGGTGTCTTTCGGATGCGTTGCAAGATGAACGTTTAGTGAATGGTGATGAGAAAGCTATGAGGTTGGTAGGAAGTTGGGTTGCCAAGGACCAGTTCCATGAGTAAGCAAGGACGGAGATTTGGTGTACTATGACCTGTAGCCTTAGGATGTATAGATGGACCCAGGAAGAATACCCCTCAACTGTTATCAATCTGAATAGAAGGTTCTTCGGTGATGAGTTTCCCCTTTTCCATTTTCTTTTCCTGAGCCATCACAGTTCTGTACAAAATGTATACTCGGACTAAAGATCCACGATGTAAAATGGATATTGAATCTCAGGGTAGGTCCAGACAGTGACGACATGAATAGATTGTGGTTCCTACCCGCCTAAAAAGGGGAAAGGGGAAAGGGGGAAGGGATAAGGGAAAGCAGAGTTTTGGTGATGGTACAAAAACAGCAGTCGCTATGCCTAACCTCTCACTCTTCGCAGCTTAAAATGACGAATGTGAAGAGTTTAATCTTCGCTCCATCATCTTCACGCATACTTCTTTCCGTATATTCAGGTTGTTCTTCCTACTTGAATACTATACAAATGAAAAGGGGCAGGTACGTAAAGTTGGAAGATATATTATCTCTCATACTTAAGAGTCTGACAATCATTCTTCTCTCTTCTCTCCTCTCTCCTCTCTCCTCTACTTTACTTCAACAACAACGTTAGTATTCCCAAGAATCACTGGCTATTCAATTTTTATTCTAGTACTACTAGATTTTGGTCTCAACACTTTTTGCATTACGCTGAACATACATTTGCGAGCATTAACAGCTCTTACTCGTCGAGGTTTCTTGCCAGAATCAATCAATTCGAAGAAATCCAAACGGTAAAGGATACCATCCCTATGATGATCTGCTACCTAGTTCTCATCCCCAGGTTAACAGGCAAGCTAACAAGAACAGTAGAACTAATTTCGCTCGACATTTTATATACACCTTCATCATCACATCTACTCGTAGACAAAAAGTACAATGGCACCAGCTATGTCGTCAACAGGCGTTACCAGCCTCTTCACTCTTCTCATCACAGCCCCTCTCTTCTCCTCTCTCGTCCTTGCCGAGCAGAGTTCCTCTACCCCTAGCCACGTCCCCATTCCCATCATCCCACTACACCCCAACGACACCGCCAGCACCGCCAGCACCGCCTCGGCCCCCGCCAACAGCTCCCTCCGCATCGTGGACGACGACTCTCTCTTCCACTACGCGGGGTGCTGGACCGAAACCACGCCCCTCCCGGACAGCCGTCGGGCTCTCGACGGCCCCTTCATGAGTCTCGCGGGGTCGCTGACGGTGCCGATCTGCCTGCACTTCTGCGGGACGGCGCGCAACCGGTTCACGGGCGAGCGCGGGTACCGCTTTGGCGGGCTCGAGCACGCGCAGGAGTGCTGGTGCGGTGACTCGCTCTCGAACCGCAGCTACCACCTCTCGGACTCCGCCTGCAGCACCCCCTGCGACGGATCCAACACCACGGCCTGCGGCGGCAACCTCGCCATCTCGCTGTACCAGCAGAAGGACAATGACAACGAGGGTAGTGATGGCAACGGCGATGTCCACGGTCCGGGTGATGATGATGACAATGATAGCCGCCCGGCAGATGAGGCGGTCATACAGGCGGTGGGTGTGGGGTTGTTGGTGCTGACGGTTACGTTTGCGCTGGGACTGGGTTGTTTGTGAGTGGTGAGTACCTACCCCTATCTTGTTTATTATTCATGCGTACCCGCCTGCCTAAGAGTGTCAATAAAAGAAGAAGAAGAGAAAAGAATATCTAATTAAGTGTGTAGGGTCGGCTTATGGTTTATTCTGCGTTATCTCTTGGTCTTCATTTTGTCGCTGCAGCGATTAGTGTTGTGGGCTGTTTCGCCTATTGCTTTTCACGAGAGGATTGATTGAGAATGATTAGTTGATTGGCGGGCGTGGAAAGAATAAAGGGAATGGGAAATGCGCGGCCTTCGAGAAGGAGTAGCTTTGAATTTCCTAGACACTGGCTGGGAGGTTGGAATCTGGAGTGGTGTAAGAAAGGGGGAAGAGAGAGGAGGCAAGGGGTTATAGACAGATGAATATGATGAGGACATATTTACATGGCGTTCGTTTTTCCTTTTCCCCCTCCTGAACCCAGCGTAGCGTTGCAATGGTAATTTGAAGTCTATTGCGCTTACTACTACCTTTTTCCTGCTACGTCCTCCTGCTGCGTTTTGTTTGAGAACCTAAGGTAATTTCATTGTTTTCGTTGCTTTCACTGTCGTGATGTATTGGCATATTTCCATTATCGTAACCTTATGTATAAACAGGGTAATCATACTATGTACTTAGGTAGTTACTGTGATCTCCTACCTGGACATGTCTTATTCATATCAAAGTACCCACCCAGGACATTCTTCTATACCTATATATACCTAGGTACTCATAAATCATATATCCAGCTGTCCCAAACCCCTCGACCGCACCGCCTTCTGCACCTCCATCTTCACGTGTCCCACGACATCTCTCCAGGCCTCTTTCCCGCGAGAGAATTCGTCGTTGTCAACACCACCACCACCACCACCACCGCCGCCGCCGCCGTCGTCATCATTATGGGGATTATCGTTATCACGACTATCACGGCTATCCTCGACCAGGTACTCGAGCCAACGTACCAACTTTAGGGCTTTATCCATGTCCCGCTCGTCCACGACGACGCGCGTCAAGTAGCTGACGAGCATCTGGACGTCTCGGCCGTGCGGGCCCTCGGTGGCGGTCTCGCGGTGCCAGACGTTGAGCATGTCGCGGATCTCGGGGAGGGAGGTCAGGGCGGAGGTTGTGAAGGGGAGTTTGGGGGGGCGTGGGGGGAAGGGGAGGGTGTTTGTGTTGCTTTGTGGGGGGTGGTTGTTGTTGTTGTTGTTGTTGTTGTTGTTGGGCTTGGGGTTCTTGGGTTTGGGAGGGAGGGAGAGGCCGGATCGTTGGGCACGTTGGCGCCGGTGGTCGGCTATTACTTCGCGGCGGACTTCCTCGGGGAGTTCGGCGAGGAAGGTTGGGTCGATCTCGTCGAGGTCTGCTACTGCTGCTGCTGCTGCTGCTCCGGCAGTGTTGTCGTTGGGCTGTTGTTGCTTGTAGGAGAGGATGTTGGTTTGTACAACTTTGGCGTTGGCATCAGCATGTCTCTCACGCGTGCGGGTGAATAAGTTGGGGATCCGACGTTTGGTGGGAGTCCTTTGCTTGGGAGGTTGTATGAGGCGGTCTCGGCGCGGTGATGAGGGACGCAACGGTTGTGGTGGTCTGTTGCGGGGTTTGTATTGTTCCAGGACCTCGGCCTTCATGTCGTCCGGTAGGGCGTTGAAGACTTCCGGGTCTATCTCCGGCGGGATTTCCTCGATGGGGGTTTGGGGCCTTGACCCTAGAGCCGGCACTGCCACGCTGCGAGGTTCTGAAACGGATCTGGTGCCTTGTGCCATCAGTCTGCTTCGGATATCCAGAGGCAGTTCTGCGAGTACAGTAGGATCGGGGTTAGATGGCATGAGGAATTGAGTCCCGCCAATATTCAGGAGCGTGTTTGCTTTAGAGTCTGCTTCTCTTGCTCGAACCATAGCAAGTGCTGGGTGCTGAGTATCTGGCTTGGGTTTTCGGGGAGTCAAGGGGCTCTCGTCGATTGGATCAGACGATTTGCGTCGTCCTTGCTTTGAAGTCACTTCATCCGCAACATCTTCGTCCTGTATTGACTCTAGGGCCGATTTCTTCGCGCCAGGGACTTTAAAGGTCCCGAAGCTTAGCTTCTTCTGACTCCCGTCATTACCGGCCAACGAAGTTTTCAGGGGCTCCAGTTTGGTCAACTGTACACCCAGCCCGCGAAGATCCCCAGGGGTAAATTTGTATGAGCGAAGGATTGAGACCGCCTCCTTTCCTAGTATGTGGTGATCGTTGGTCGCGACACCAAACATGACGCTCTTGTTGAAGGTGTCACATTTGCCATGTCCCAGATGTTTCGGTGGATCGAGCGGTGCGTCAAGTGAACGGCGCATGATCTTCATCGTAAGCTGCTTACCCTTGACCTGCTCATTGAGTAGACGCTTTTCTAGTTCTTTGCACAAGTTGTGCACGAACTCCTCTGCCTCCTCCTGGTTGATGAAGCGGATACCCCAGTTAACCTCGGCTGAGACGGATTTTCGTATTGGTTGTTCGCCAACCTCAGTACGGTCAATCCCTCGAGCATATTCCCAAAGCTTCTCCCCAGTCTTTGGCCCAAGAGTAGTAACTAGGCGTTCCTTGGTGGCTTGTCGGATATCGTTTACGAGCTTTATTCCGATTTCCTCTAGCTTCCCAGCGATGCTATATGCGACTCCGGGTAGACTGTCAACTTTTAACGGCCCTAGAAAATCTAGGACCTCTTCCGGCTTGATTTGGTACTGACCGGCCGGCTTAGCTTTTCGAAGAGCGACCTTTGCTAATAGAATATTAGCACCAATGCCAACCGAAACGGCACACCCAGCCTTTTCCTTGATTTGGTTTCGTAAAGCGAGCGCAAGCTGGTCGGCTTTTTCTTGTTCTCTCCAAATGCTGCCTTCGTCAACTCCGGAACCATCTGACCCGACTGCAAGGAGGACTACGGAGGTGATGTCTACCAGAGCCTCATCAATACTGACGCTCTGTACGACACCACCCACTTCCAAGATGCACTCGTAGAACTGCTTGCTAGCCTCTTCGTATGCTGGAAAATCATACGGGAGAACCTTGATGTCGGCGCACAATTCCTTGGCTCGCTTCATCCACATGCCGTTCTTTACACCGAACTTTCTGGCTGGATAATTGCAACTTGCGATTTCCGACCCGGTGCCTGTGCCGTGTGCTACAACCGCGGGCTTGTCGACGAATTCCGGATGACCTTTCAAGGAGACGGCGCAGAAGAAACTGTCGAAGTCAACATGCATGATGTATCGCCTCGCGCCCGGTTTCCTCTTTGGCAGCTTCGTTTGGGACCCCTTTTCAGCTGCAAGTTTTTGCATCTTCGACTTCAGCTCCGCTTTCCATGTTGACAGATGGTGAAGTCTACTTTCGGAGTAGTACTGCTGGATGAAATCCGGGTTTGCTGTAGAAGACTTCCTCATCCGAGGATCTTGAAGTAGGATCTCGTTATGTTTCTCGGAAGTCATTGCCTTTGGTTGTTCTGCTGATGGTTCGGGCTGAACTTCATCCTCATCTTCTATCTCATCCTTCTCCCGGGATCTTGGTCTTCTAGCTGGACCCGTGTCTGCAGGTTCACCGTATTCGACTAGCATCACTGTATCCTCCTCTGATTTACCAGTTCCACTCGGCGTGCCTTGCGGTTCCAGTGACGATGTAGAATATTTAGTGTTCTTGAACCTAGCCCCATAGTCATTCTGGTTTTGTACAACTGAGTCTAGTCGACTGGAACTAGAATATTTACGATGATGGCCACTGCTAGATTGCGCAACTCCCCTGAGTTGACTTGTGTAGAAACTCTTCTCGGTTTGTTCGCGATATCCTACTAGCGGTGACTGGGGTGTACTGGATTGGGTAGATATCCCATTTTCATGTAACTTGAGGGTTTTTTGCCTGGGAGTATCCTCTATGACTCGGTAATCAGACCAGGGAAGAAGCTTGCCAGCTTGGATGGATTCTGTAACCCAAGCAGGCTTCACGATTCGGTACTTGGCATACTCAACCATCTTCTTTGGCGGTAAAGTGGAGGCGATGATATGAGTTGCCATGGTCTTAGAATCTAAGTACTGAAGGAACCCAGCGCCATGTTGAACTAGTTCGCGGTGAAGAACAGGAAGTGGAGGCTGGGTATAGCCTATGACATGCGCGACAACCCCTTTAAATATTTGAGGCTTTTCAGTAGACGAAGCTCGTAATTCAGAATCAAGATTTTGCAACTTGATTTTCTTACGACGGAAGTAATCTCCAAATCCTCCGAATTTGCTAGGTTCGTACTCCTCGCCGGCTTCGTCGGAAAATGCATGGCTGCTTATGCGCTTTCGTACGGCATTTGAATTATTCTCGAGGCGGCTTCCCATGTTGAAATAAGTTTGAGATGAATGCTGGGTTATATTGGCTTATGTTGGGTTTTGGTCCAAGCGAAAGAATGTGTCCAATTGCCTGTGATGATCCTTTGGCGTGACCTTTGAGGTGAGATCATGTTGAGAAATGGAGACAATCGATGCGACAAGTCAAATGAAGAATGAATATGAAAATAAAAAAATAAATGAAATTTTATTTTGGGTATCGTTTGATCTTGTGAAAGTAAGTATCTATACCAAGTGAATTTATGAACATCGGACTGATGGCGTCTCCAGGTGACGGACAGTATGAATATATGTACAGTTCAAGTTGTATAAGTCGGGAAACTGAGAAGGAACGCGCTCAAGAATGACGCTGATTCACGCTACCCCGTGACCTTATGCAAGTACTTAAGGTTCGTACTCCTAAGTTAGCGCTACAAACGCCCCATATTAATATGGGCAAATAATCGTAAAAGCTTGGGGTGCCCATTTATTACGTACCTACAGTATCTGAAGCTTTGTCAATTCTGATTGGGGATGGTCGGCGAAATACATCAAAAAATACATCAATAAATACATCAAATAAATACAATTCTACAAAGACTTGAAGATTCAAAGCAACCCTAACGACAGTGACGAAAACTACATCAACTTCCCAAGCTTATACATCACATCTCAGTGTCCTCCAAGGTATCGCAAGGATGAACAATGAACAGTTTCGTCGCCTAGTCTCTGCAAATACACCAAAGCCATCATCAAATCGCGATGGCGCATCACCAGGTGCAGCCACTCCACGTGGAACATCTCTTGGTTCTAGACAGAAATCTAGCATTCCCATGACACCGTAAGTCTACTAAATGGCAGATCTACACTTTCTGTGAATAGGTATTAACAGTTATAGTCGCTCAGTAGGCTTTCATAAATCCGATTTTGCGCGGCAAGTGGCAGAACAGAATCAAGGCAACACCAAGCAACAAAAGAAACACCGGTCGTTCGATCCCAAAGGCAGCAAGTTAGCACAAGGCTACGTTGATCGCGCTCGAAATAGGACGTCAGAAGAGGAAGAGGATGAGAGAGCGGCACGGATAAAGGCATTAGAAGAATCTCTAAAGAAAGAAGAGATCGACCAAGAAACATTTGACAGACTTCGCAGTCAGATCGCCGGAGGAGATTTATCTAGTACTCACTTAATCAAGGGCCTCGACTTCAAGCTCCTCGAGCGAATACGAAAGGGTGAGAATGTTTACGGTGAGGATGACGCGAAAGAGGAAGCTGCCGAGTCTGAAGACGAGATCGATGAAGAGCTAGATGAGTTAGAAGAAAAGGAGATTGAGGCAGTCACAAAAGAAAAATCGAAGAAGAAGGGACAAGTGTCGACGACCCCACTCAACCCGTCTAAGAAACGAACAAGAGATCAAATCCTAGCTGAACTGAAGGCTGCTAGAGATGCTGCGAAATCAAAAGAGGATACCGGGTTGGGATCAAAGTTCAAAAAGATTGGGCCGAAAACACCTGGCACTAGGATAGAACGAGATGGCAAAGGCAGAGAAGTGTTAATAGTGGTGGATGAGGATGGCCACGAGAAGCGTAAAATACGAAAAACCCAACGAACGAATGGGGCGGAGGAAACACGATCGAAAGCAGTGGATATGATGATGCCGGATAAAGACGCCAAACCTCTTGGCATGGAAGTTCCCGAGGCCTACAGGAAGCAGGTGGAAGAATCAGAAGACGAAGATGTGAACATCTTTGACGACGTCGGCGACGACTACGACCCCCTTGCCGGGCTAGAAGCAGAAGATTCTGATTCTGAAGATGAGGAATCTGCAGAAAAGAAGGCACCGCCCACTAAAGCCGAGAAAGAAGACAGAGCTGCCATGCCTCCACCCCCCAGACCAACCACCACAACGAAGCCCAACAATTACTTTCAAGATGCCAAAACAAAACTGGTGTCATCCGAGTCACTCAAGGCACCGTCCATGTCCGATCCAGCCATCCAAGCCGCTTTCAAGAAGGCAGCATCTCTCAACCCAATACGTAAACCAGAAGACGACAGTGAGGAATCACGAGCTAAAGCCGAACGTTTACGAAAAATGCTACAGAACAATGATCGCGATGCGGAGGATATGGATATGGGCTTCGGCACAAGCAGATTTGAAGACGAGGAAGATTTCGAAGAGAAAACCGTGAAACTATCGGAGTGGGGGCGAGAGGGTGACGATGATGGCCACGAAGGGGGCAGTGGTGCTAAGCGGAAGAGAGGTCCAAAGAAGCGAAAGGGAGATGCCAACAATGCTGCGGATGTATTGCGTGTCATTGAGAAACGACGAGGAGCTGCCAAATAATTCTATAATACGTAGGTGGTAGTAAGATCGCAAATACATCATAACAAACATGATGATGTAGACACCTATACTAAGTGCTGTACATTACCTAGGGTATCAGTAAGAAGAACTTGAAGTATATGTAGGTTTCCTTTTAGTATTTAAGGTTACCTGCGTTGGTTGGTGCTGATGTGTGATGTGATGTGAAATCCCGACATCTGGAGTCATCCAGATACGAGTATACGAATAAAGGGGGGGTCAACTCGGGATTGTGCATCAACGCCCGCAGATTTCCGCCCAAGTCCCACAAGGAATACCTACATAAATACCTAACTGTCCTAGCCACAACGTTCAAGGATCACCTTTGAACTTGTTCTTGTTCGGAGTTCAAGTTTCCAGTTTTCACATTAGGGACCAAAATACCTATAGCACCTACACTAGGTGAGTATAGCACTTATACTAGGTGAGCATTTAAATTCCCACATCAGATCTAACGCTTCTGAACGTATCTGAACAATAGGTAGCCAAAGCATTCTAACCTTACAAAACAATTAAACGACCTTGGAACACTTGTCTATAAGTATTTACCTACTAGTAGACAAGCCGTCAAGCTGAGATATCTATTAGATATCACCTACCAAATTAATCATGTCGGAGCCAGTACCCCTCTGGCTCGATTGTGATCCAGGCCACGATGTAAGTTTGATTTGATTTGATTTGATTTGATTTATTTTATCTGTCATCTAATCATCCACCCATCCCTTCCTTCCGTCATTCATCCCTTGAACCCCCCGGGCGGTCCCCGCCCCATTCCTTACCGAATCGGTTTCGGCGTTGGAGTTAAGGCCTACGTCGTCTTACCGGCTCCGCGTTTTTTTTGTACATTTGTCGCCGCCGGCACCTATATATCAATTGAACCAACCCTACATACTTTTCTCTTATTCATTTCTATTACGCCTACCTACCTACTACATATATCCCTTACCTACTACTGGACCTAGACTACATTTCATTCTAACCCCCCCTCCTCCCCCCCCTTCTAGGACACCTTCGCCATCCTCCTAGCAGCCTACCACCCGCACATCCAACTCCTAGGCATCAGCACCGTGCACGGCAACGCCTCTCTCGAGAAGACCACGCGCAACGCGCTCTCCGTGCTCTCCGCCATCGGCAAGCTCGACGACGTCCCCGTGCACCAGGGCGCCGCGCAAGCGCTGCACCGCGCCCCCATCCACGCCCCCACCGACATCCACGGCGAGTCCGGGCTCGACGGCACCGCGCTGCTGCCGCCGCCGCCCGCCGACCGGCTCGCGGCCGTCATCGCCAATGCTTCCGCTTCTGCTTCTTCCGGTAGCACCACCACCACCACCACCGCCGCCATGGCCGCCGCCCTCCGCGCCACCAAGCCCGGCACAGCCTGGATCGCCGCGACGGGCTCCATGACCAACGTCGCGGCGCTGTTCCAGGCACACCCGGACCTCGCGGCGCACATTGGCGGGCTGAGCATCATGGGCGGCAGCGTCGGCGACGGGTTCACGGCCGCGGTGATGGGGCAGGTCGACGGGAAGGCGCGCGTGGGCAACTACACGCCGTGGGCCGAGTTCAACATCCTGATCGACCCCGAGGCGGCAGCGGAGCTGTTCGGCAACGAGACGCTCGCGAGGAAGACCACGCTGGTGCCGCTGGACCTGACGCATCTCGTGCTTGCGACGAGGGAGGTGCAGGATTTGCTGCTGTATGGGCCGGAGGGGGTGGAGGGGAAGGAAGGGGGGGTGGGGGTTGGGGAGGGCGGGGGGAGCGCGACTGCGGCTGCGGCTGTGGGTGCGGGTGCGGGTGCGGGTGCGACGGGTGAGAAAAAGGCGAAGTCGGAGTTGAGGGTCATGCTTATTGAGCTGTTGAATTTCTTCGCCGCCACTTATCGGTGGGTGTTTCTTTTCTCCTTTTCTCCTTTTCTCCCCCCCCTTTCTTTTTTTTTTAGCAAATACCTAACTACCACCTCCTCCCCCTAGCGACACCTTCGGCATCGTCGAAGGCCCGCCCCTCCACGACCCCCTCGCCGTCGCCGCCGTCCTCGCCGGCACCGGCGCCCACGAGATCCCCTTCTACGACTACAACCCCGCCCAGGACCCCCCCTCCCGCCGGGAGCGCTTCGCCGTCGAGGTCATCACGGAAGGTACTCTCGACGACGCCGTGCAGCGCGGCGCGCAGACCGGGCGGACCGTCGTCAAGCTGCTGCCCCCGGGGAGCGAGGGCGTGCGGATACCGAGGGGATTGGATATCCCAAGGTTCTGGAGGGAGATCGAGGCGTGCTGCCAGAGGGCCGACGAGGTGAATCGTAAGAAGAGGCTCGCGGCGATGGCGTAGGGCGTCGTCGTTGATTGGCTGAGGGAGCAGGGTAGGTTATAGAAGACGCCTAACGCAGGTAGCTAGAGAGGAGGAGAGAAGAGAAGGAGAAGGGCAAATTCTTTAGGTATCTAGACTAGACGCATGGACATGGGATGCATAGACTTGGTATCTATTTTTAAGTAGGTAGGTACTTTGACAGGCATGGAATGAAAGTTCCAAGGTTGTTAGCCAACTACATAGGTGCCTAATCTACTAGGTTAGATCAGATTAACTATATTGACGATGTCTTAACACGGGAGTATATTGGTATTCATTATGGATACCTATTAGGCACCTGGGTACCTAGGTACATCATTAATTCCCAAACGTGCCCGGCAGCACTCAAGCCCACCTCTTCACCGGCTGCTCGTACGCGAAACCACCACCCTCTGCTTGCTTACGCTTTAGCCCCGCTAATGACGATGATGACGATGATAGGAGCTCCTGGGGTGGAGAGTCCATTCCTGACCTCCCGGGCAGGTTCTGGGGAAGGGAGGTCAGGGCCGGTCGTTCTGGTGGGGGCTGTGGTAAGGGTTGTTGTTGTTGGTGGGTAGTTGTCTGCTGGCTTGGTACGCCGCTTTGTGGTGGTTGAGGGGCCCAGGGTATGACTGCGGGTTCAACTGCGGGAGGAGGAGCGGTAGGGAATGGGGCAGGTTGGGATTGTGTATTCCAGGTTTGCTGGCTTTGGTTTGGTGGCGGCTGGCTAGTATCTGCATCATCTGCATCATCGTCGAGGTAGATTGGCGCATGGCGAGTTCCAATTATAGAAGACAGACCATCTGCGACGAGATTTTGGGGTGGACTGGCGTATGAGCTATTGGAGAGCGAAAGAATCCGAGGTATAGCCCCTGGATTAACATGTGTGCTGTTCCCTGAAGGCTCAGCGGTAGGACGTCGGTTATTTGGACGGGGTTGATGCTCCATCACATAGCTGTAGTCTTCTCTTAATATCAGACGCAGCCTTTTCTCGCCAAATAACGACGATAAGCATTTGGCGGTCTGCACTGGGCCATCCCAATTCATTGTGAACTGGCCATCTACCTTATATGTTGGCCCTTGTGTGATAACGTCTGTATTCCATAATGCCATTATCATGGTTCGAACCATGTCTGCATATATAGTCCCATCATAGGGGATCGATGTCTCCTCTAGGGTGTTTATGAGGCATCCGAGAAAGGGAAGGAAAAGGTCACTGAGCTCGGACGGGTTAATATATTCATATTGCTCCATCAGCTTCCTTGCTAGATTCTGTAGGTCGGCCTCCATCTCCAAATTCAGCAAGAGATGGACAAAGTTCTGGAGCGTAAATAAAGTGATGGGTGGCGGAGGTGGTGGGATATTGACAGTCGCTCGTTTCAGCTGCCAACGGGCAAACCCCTTTTCGCTGAGAATATGGGTAACGTCAAGTCGTTCAATCAGCGACTTGAGGGTAGATTTGAGGAAGCTGAAGGAGTCGGAATTGTGCAGTCTTTTCTGATGGACGCTCGTATATAGCCGCCAGGCGAATCCTAATACGAACGCTACATTTTCTAGTTCAAAACGAACAAGAGGGCCCAGCCTATTTCAAGTCAGAATCTCATGCGAGATGATACATCACCTATGGGTACATGGAAAGGTACTAGGTACTAGTAGGAGGTAGGTACCTTGGCACTCACCTTTTTAAGAGCCAACTGTAATCCTCAAGGTCACAAGCAATGAAGACGAGAGTCTCTCCGTCCTGCTCATACAGGGTAGAAGAGTAACAAAAGTCGACCATCTTATCCAATGCAATCAGGACTAGATTCCGTAACTCTTTTGGCGCTTCTTTATTAGTGGCTCTCAAGCTCGAGATAAATCTATACTGTTCACCTAGGGTTTTCAGGGCGAAAACGGAATTATCGAAACTACGACCGTTAGTAAGATAGACCGAACTACTGGACACGGTGTTACTGACGTTGAACTTAGCCTGGTGAATGGTAAAGTCGACCCTTTTAACTTTGAGACTGCCCAAGTGAAGAACTGGGGAGACATGCTGACTTCGATATTACTACAGACAAGTTCGAATAGACTTTGGCTTTCATGGCGAATCGCGGCTTCAAGAAGTTGGACAATGAGATGTTCGGGAAATCTGGTTTCGCTAGTCTCCCCTACGTCCTGTTGGATCAAGAACTCTTGGCATAGGTCGGCTAATATCTCGAGATCTATGTTGTCGCTTACAGGCTGGCTGGCTTTGAACGCGTAGTAGCTTAACAAATCTGTCACCGGGTTTATCGTTCTAGGCGTCAAGAAGACGTTCGAGAAGTACTTGACGGCCGTGGCTTGTGGAACAATGAGTAAAGCCTTGGGAGATGTGAGTATTGACGCTCTCCATAGTACTCGTAATTTCATTTTTAGCAATACTGACTGGTGATCTATGATAATGACAAAAATAATACATCTTGAATAATCTAGTTAGTCAGGGCAACACGAGGAATTTAGCAGGCGTGAGACGAACCTCCGGGTGGGGGTGTAGTTCTTCCGCGTCACCTTCTTCATCTGGTTCGCAGTCTTCGAAGACATCGCCCTGAAGAATGACTTCTGGATCTAAGTTTAATTGGAGTGGCTTTCGCTGGCCTTTAGCATCGAAGAGTATCCGGACGACCCATTCTCTATCATCAACACTGTCACCTGTGATCGGATCGTGACCCTCTTCCTCTTCCTCTTCCTCATCCTCTTCTTCACAAGCGTACATATCGGTATGCATGGAGCCAGCCGTTTTTCGCTCCACCTGAGTAACAAAGACACTGAAGTGGTATTGACGTTCAAGGCGTTGCAGGTGCCGAAACCTGGCCAGGTCGTCAGGCTCCAAGCCATTCAAAGACAGATCAGTTTTGGATGATTCCTCAAGTACGTAGACCCAGTGACCAGCCCGGGCTGGCGTTTCCTGGGTATTGGAAACCCATGCATGTAGTGCATCTTCAAGGCCTTTAGAAGTATCGGTTGGTTGATCAACTTGAGGAGGAACGGCTTCAATGGCTTGAAGCAGCTCTGTCTTTATGTTCGTAGGCAGAACATCATAGTCGCGTGTCCCCATCACGCCAGCGTGCCCAAGTACTCTATCCATCCATGCAGGTCCGAAGCAGAGGAAGGGAAAGGTGCGGGCTGGCTTTGGCGACTGAACGCGTAATGTACGTAAGCCCTATATATATATATACATACATATGCACCAAGCCAGATGTAGCTCGGCCAATAGGAGAGAAAATGATAAATGATATAACTATCATATAGCAGAAAAGGATTAACCAGCTGAGAGCCTCGAGCATAAGCATAGCTGAAATGTCATGTTATTGTATCATTGTATCAAACGCGTGACAGAATAAAGAGTCAATAAGGGTGACAGGGGTGGCATGAAGACATGTACCCGTAAATTGAACCCCTTAAAACGAATATTCGCAAATTGAGGTTATTGCTATCTGCACACTCAGTCGAGGTAATCCTTTCTTCCTCTGAAACTAACGATACCTGCAGTACAGTACAGTACAGTGAGTTGCCGAGGATAGGGGTAAAGTATAAACGCCCCGGGAATATACTGAATTGTACAGTTCACTTCCAAGGTTGTCTCCGGAGACATCTCACCTTATTCACTACTATGTACTATACGCCTTCTTTCTGATACTCTACATAGGTACAGTATGAGACACAAGTGAGCCGTGCTGCGGGCTTAACAGGCAACCTCAGTATACAATTCCAATTGGCTCCTTCATACCGGCAAGACCTGGTAGACTAGACTAGACTAGGAAACCATCTGCGTGCCGGAAAGAGGCACAGGCCGTATATACCTACTCCTACCTCCGCTTTCAGGTACCCTACCCGTGACTGATCGGACGACTGACTTATTTTCTCCTACTCAAACAACACTACCATGACCACCATCGCACAGTCCGCCATCGCCAACCTGAAGGAAGCTGGCCTAGGAGATGTCCTGCACGTCCCTGGCCAGCAGACCTATCAAGCTCGAGAGGACTCGTACTGGTCCCTGACCCCACGACTAGGACCGTGGGCTATCGTGCAGCCCCGAACCGCGGAAGAGGTCTCCCAGGCAGTCAAGGCCTTGGTCAAGACAGATGGGTGCAAGTTTGCCATCCGCAGGTTAGTGGGAAGCCGTTGCCAACCCCTCACTCTCCCCCCTTTTCTGCTTCTTCCAGATTGAAGAAAAGGTACCTAAAAAGGCAGAGAGTATAGTATGTATCCTTCAGCTGACACCAGCACAGCGGCGGCCACATGTCCTTCGTCGACGCCGGGAACAACATCGCGGCGGGCGTCACCATCGATCTCGGTCTCATGACCCAGACGACCTATAACCCAGAGACGAAGCTGGCGTCGCTGCAGCCCGGCGGCAGGTGGGCGGACGTGTATGCTGATTTGGAGAAGAGTAAGTACCTAAGTGAGCATTTTTCGGGGGGGTGGAGGTAGGTAAGCACAGTGGATGACATGATATGTGAAAAGCTGACGATGAGTCATGTGTGCAGATGGTGTGTTGGTCGCCGGTGGCCGTGAGGGATTGGTCGGGGTGGGTGGTCTTTTGACGGGAGGCGGGATCACGTTTTATACGTGCCGGTATGGGCTTGGTTGTGGTGAGTGAAATTCTAAACACTGTCTGTCGTGTATCCGTTTTTGGGTATATGGTAAATGAGCATCATCATCAAGGGGCATGCCATATTTGAGACCAAGACTCGAAGCTTGCAACCCAGGGCAACTCATTATTCTTGAAGGTTCTCAGGTATATATGAAGAGTCGGGTGCTGATACAATGGGCAGACCAAGTCGTCAACTACGAGGTCGTCCTCGCCGATGGCAGCATAGTCTCAGCCAACGCTACCTCCTACCCGGATCTCTTCCGCGTGCTGAAAGGCGGGCACAACAACTTCGGGATCGTGACGCGCTTCGACGTGAACACCTTCGAATGCCGGAACATCTGGGACGGGAACGTCCTCTACTCCAAAGACTCCACCAACGAGATCGTGGCGGCTCTCGTCGACATCACAGAGGACCTCGCCGTGAACCCAGTCAGCCACGTCCTCGCAATGTGGGGGTATCTGCCTCGAAGCAAAGAGCACTTCATCAACATGGTCCTGACGAACCTCGACGGCGTCGAGAATGCGGAGCCGTTTCGCAAGTTCCTGGATATTCCGGGGCAGCAGAATATGAAGACGACGACGGTGGCTAAAAAGCTAGTCGAGTTTCTGCTTCCCTCGAATAGATTGTAAGTTTTTCGGAATGATTCAAGATTTCATTTTGTTTTATCTCAACCCCGTGTTTATTGGGACGCTTCAGCTAACCCAGGTTTTCTATCAGTGATTTCTGGTTAACCCTCACATTCAGAGTCGACGCGCGAATCATCCAAAGAGTCGCAGCGGGGTTCGAGAAAATGATAGAAGAAATCCAGAAGTCCATCCCCGACAGCAACTTCTATCTCTCACTAGTCCTGCAGCCACTGCTCAAGTCCTGGGCGCAGCACTCCGTTGACCGGGGCGGCAACATACTTGGACTCGAGTGCTTACCAGGAGACTGCATCATTATGGTAGCGACCGTGGAGACCGAGTCACTAGAGACGTTGAATGGGGCCGGCGCGCCTGCGATTAAAGCTATGTTCGATGATATAGAGGCGTACGCCACGTCGCTTGAGAAGAATGTAGACTTTCTCTATTTGAATTATGCAGGTGGTGGACAGAACCCCTTCCAGACCTACGGTGAGGAAAACATACGAAAGATGAAGGAGGCGTCAGCAAAGTACGATCCTACAGGGGTGTTTCAAGAGAGAGTGCCGGGTGGCTATAAGATCTCCAAGGTGAACTGAGTCATTGAACTTCATTTATTGTACATTAGGTCAGAAGGATCCTTGAAACGTAGAGAAAACAAGAAGTCTTGCGAGGTGGAACGATGAATTGTCGTGTCCGGGTATCGCGACTAAAACGAGTTACTTATTATAATGAGCCTGGGGAATTCCCCGTTGGCTACTCCATCCATACCTAGATATTGCTGATCAAGGCAGCCCAAACATACAGCCAATACCACCCTTCAGTCTCCGGCAACCGTAGACTCCCATAATTATCAAACCTACAGTTCCATGCGATCACCAACAGCCTCTTCGCGAAGTTTTCGTCCTATCTCATCTCTCTCGTCAACTTCCTCCTTAATTCTCTGTTCCACTTCGTCCCGGATAGGTCCAAGATCGGGCGGGATAGTAGAGAATTGTACACTGGGTGCCGTCTCCACGAATCGCAATTGCTCGGTGACGTGTTCGATGATATCGTCGAGTTTCTTCTTGGGGTTCTTGTTTTGTCGCGGTTCCCCTAAGATTTGTTCTAGGGTGGGTAGAAGTGTGTCTTGGCGAAAACGCTCGCGCCATGGTGTATGGAGCGGGATTTCCGCTGGGATGGTCTTATTGTGGCCGATGGCGATGCTTGTCTCGTATGCCCAGGCGCGCGCGACATTTCGAGGCGTATAGCCGCCTCCTCCGAACATGAGCAGAGGGATGTTGAGGCTTTTGCAGTACTCCACGCATGATGCGTGCCCTTGCACAAGCAGATTGAACTTACCTAACCTATCACCGGCAAGGGAATCTGCGCCGCACTGCAAAGCAATAGCGCCAGGTCTAAATTTCTCTATGCACCTAGAAATGACGCTTTTGAACAGCCACTCGTACTGCTCGTCGGTGATGCCGTCGTTCAGTGGTACGTTGATAGCATGATGGGCTCCCGGATTGTGCTCGCTTCTAGGTCCGTTGTCTTCTAAAGCGCCAGTGCCGGGGAAGAACACCTGCGGATCATACTTGTGAAAGGAGACAGTCATGACACGATCAGTGGAGAAGAAAGCCTCTTCCACGCCGTCTCCATGGTGCACATCGATATCGATATAAAGAACTCGGGGGTGAACGCGCAAGAGTTGTAGTATACCAAGAACAATATCGTTGATATAGCAAAAACCGGAAGCTTCCGATTTCTTGGCGTGGTGTAGTCCTCCGCCCCAGGATATGGCGATGTCGGATTGTCCTGTGCAGAGTTTCCTAGCGGCATCCAAAGAACCACCGGCAGACATGGAACAATAATCGTATAATCCTTCAAACAGTGGACAGTCACTGCCTCCCAGGTTGAATTTCAGATCTGGATGCATGTTGTCGACATCTAGTGGGAGCGGTTGGGGTGGGACTGAGGCAAGGAATTCAACGTAATCATTTGTATGAAATGCTGTGAGTTCCTCATAGGTGGCGGCGCGGGCGGTGTAGTTGTCCATCGCAAAACTCATGCCGTAGGATGAGACCAGGCTCTTGGTGAGAGTCAAGCGCCAGGGTTTCATAGGGTGCGTCTGGCCGAAGTGATGCCTCTCCATCTCAGGGTTGTAATGAAATGAGACTTTGTAGCCTTTAGGCTTGGTGATCCCATGCTCATGAGCAAAACGCTTAATCTTGCTAAGATAGGCAGCATTTTCAAGGTCGCTAGGACGGTCCAAAGGTGTGTTAAACTTCTTTACGACAGGCTCGTCAACATCGACTTTGTGAGGGAGGTAGTTTGGTTTCGGGAGCCGTAGTGAATAATAATTCGCCGGGTCCTGCTCCATAGCGAAGACCGGGGAATAAGATGTACCCGATCCAACAAGGCAAAATAGTTCCAAGTTATTGGGTAACGGGGTAGCGTGCGATGTACCGCTGTAAGATGAAGATGAGTCTCAAACCTTGGCTTAATATGTGACCACTCCCGACAATTTGCGATTGGACTTGTACGACAAGTTTGTTTTGATGAGTTTTGATGGTTCACGATACAAAAGGCTTCAGGCTTCCGATTTCAGATTTTAGACGTCAGATTTCCAGGAGGATGCAAAGAAGCGAATTCATCTCCAATCTCCAGTCAAATGATTAAGAGTAAAGTATTAAAGGATTATGAGAATCTTTTTGAAACAGGATTGAAGATGTCGCCAATTATCATACCTACAACTTGGAGGTAAAATAGAAATTTTGAAGATGAAAATACCAAGTACCTAGGTAGATGAAGAAATTCAAGGTTCCAAATTGGATGGAGGCGACATCTGGAACTGTAACCTTCAAAAAAGCATGCAGTAGCCACGGCGCTAGAAGACACTAGCATATGTACGCTAGTACCTAGTAGTACTATGTACTATGTAGGTACCCAGATTGACATGGGTCAGATGTGGGTTCAGCCACGATAATTACATAACGGGATAAGGCCTAGTACGACATCGGTTAGCATATTTACTTATGTACCTACTACCTAGGTATCTGCTTAGGTAATTAGTACCTAGTACCCTTCATTGAATGTTGTATTCAAACTTGAACAAACAATACCTACCTACTCTTTACCTTTTGAACCTTCTTCACTAAACTCATTCATACACAAAATGGTTAACCGCCTTCGCATTAGCCTTTGGTCCGCTCGACTAAGTGTTAAGATACCAGATCAGGCATATTTTCTAACTGAGATGACGAGATGGCCGGATCACTAAAACACTCATGGTCAAAGCAGTCGAGCTTAGAACACTCATTATCAATCATATTCTTTACTCTCGGACTATAAAGCAGCAACAGTGTCAGACGCCGATAACATGGGATAATAGGGACAACTATGCTGACACTCAAAGACTTGATAATGTGCTTGGGTAAGTATAGCTCTGACTTATCTCAGAGGTGAATGACGGCTTCCTGTTTGTCATAGGATGAGACCCGGGCTGTATATGTCTAGATTGAATAGTGGTTGATTCTACGGAGCACTTAGGATGTGAATATGAGCATATAGCCAAGACGGTTGCTACTATACGGACCGCCAGTATTCATATTCGAGAGCTCGTTTCATCAACATGAGTGTTGCCTTACGACGACTAAAAAAAAATGCCTAGCAGTAGCCCTGGATATATTTGCGCCAACAGAGCTGCATCCCGTACACATGATGATGATGCTACCCACCTATGGTCTAAATACGCAAGCCTTTCGTGCCCCCTTTCTCTTTAAAAATACTCAAATCCATTCGGAGTGAAATATAACGAACCCCCGAGACATTTGGTGAGGTTTCATTCGATTCACGACAGCTACCTCCTAGACCCAATTAAGCCGGACCCGGAGTGTCCACCCCGTCTCGGCACCGCGTCCTAGCTAGAAAGAGAATTCCGTATTACCATTCGCTTGCACGCCGACTTCTTGTCCAGCCAATGATCATGTTTTAGGATGAGCCGAGTTACTATATATAGCAGCAAAGAGCTTGCGTACATGATACGGTCTCGTCTATATCGCTGTGCCCCTGAAGCACTAAGGCTCGCCCTCATAGGTGCATGTCGGTATCAACTGACACCAGTGGCATAATGAGTCAGTATATGGGGGGTTGAGTCTTATCATAAGTATCCCCCATCTTTCCATGAAATGGTCGAAGTCCAACTCGGTAAAGTATTCGAGCATTGAGTTTGACTCATAAGTTCTTAAGATGCGGTCTCATGCTATCTTCTTTGGCCTTGCTACCTCGTTTCTTGAACTGACCTCAGCGCATGGCTTCGTTTCGGGGGTAACAGTAAACGACAAGTGGACAGCTGGTTCAGACCCAGTATGGTTCTACTATGCTGAGGGAAGCGCTCCGGCCACAGCCGGATGGGATGCTCTCAACCAGGACATCGGCTTCATCGAACCCGCCAACTTTGGCACGTCAGATATAAACTGTCACAAGTCAGCCAAGGTTGGAAAGAACTTTATCGATGCCAAAGCGGGCGACAAAGTTACCTTCTACTGGAATACATGGCCAGACTCCCACAAAGGGCCCATCATTAATTACATTGCCCCATTCAAAGGTAAGCCCCATCCCCTAGGGTCAGAAGATCTTATAAGATAATTAACTAACACACCATGTCTATTCTTTAGCCACGGCTGGCGACCTCTCGTGGTCCAAGATTAGCCAGGACAGCATTATCAGCAGCAACACCTGGGTGACAGATTCGCTGATCGCAAATAACTTCACGTCCTCAACCACCATCCCCAAGAACTTGAAGGCAGGCGACTATGTCATTCGACATGAGATCATCGCTCTACATGGCGCTACGAACGATAACGGGGCTCAGGCTTATCCCCAGTGTCTGAATCTTCGGGTCACTGGGAGTGGGAAAGCCTCTCCTAGCTCTGGCACGGCAGGGAGCAAGCTTTACAAGAGAAATGACCCGGGCATCATGTTTAACGTGTATGGTTCAGCTACTAGCTACCCTTACCCAGGCCCTCAGCTCTGGACTGGCGCGAATTAGTGGATCTTTGCATATGATCTCATTTTCGTAGTTTCATTGTTCTGTGCTACCTTTATGTGATGGTTGATGGTCCATTGGGAGAAGACTAGTTATCTGGTTCGAATGATGGATGACTTGAAAGTTTTCATACTGGTTGGTCCTCTCATGTAAGCCATTGCGGGAGAGATGAACAACTATGACATGGGAGGTTTCATTACAATTTTCACTAAAAGTAAAAGGCCGTGAAGCTCAGTGAATGTATGGCTGCTAGCCACGCCAGTTCAATAAAGCAATCCGTCTTAGTGATCGACTTCATTACATGACTTACATAGATACCTGCCCTAACACAGATAAACACGTGGATGTGCGAAATGATTTCAAGACTCCAAGTAACATTCGCTCTTTGTTAGCAGTTTTCATAGGATAGTAGATACAATCTATAGGTTTGCCCCAAAGTCTTCAAGATCATGTATCAGCTCCTGTAGATAAGGGAGCAATGATTTAAGGTCTTCCGAGTACGGGATGATCTATGTCGGTATGCATCACATTACGTTATTGGGCTGTTATCAGCCCCCCTATCAAGGTTGCGGGGCATGTCCAGTAGTATACAATTGGCAGCTGAGTCGGAGTTTTATCGGTAACACGCTGTATGTAGATATATATACTTAGCTTGATAGTAATCACTTGGGATTGTGATGTGTTGTAAGAGTTAAGAGCTATAATCTCATGATAAGTTTAGCTATATTTATGCTTGAAGATGGATTTGGTAAAGAATTCCACGATGTCGCTTATACCTATATTGCTAGTGTCGTTTCTCCTGATAGCTTTTGCGGTATCGAAACGGAATCACTATCTGAAGGTAAGTCTTACTATCATATCTAATTACTTCGTAGAACTGAACCTGATTTCAAAATCAAGAATGTTGTTCACTCGCCCCAGAAACATGGGAGTCGAGTATCAGAGCCCAAGCTCAGTATTGAGCCTCTTTCTGAATTTGACTGCGAAAATACAGAGCCTCTACAATTTCGACCGTTCAAACCAATTTACTACATCACCATGGGTAAGTGTCGAGGAACTGTTTCCCCGGCGAGTCCATTGTAGTAATATTTCGCGAAGCTCTCAAATCAAGAACTCCGTCAGACCTCATTATCATAGATCGCAACTACTTATCCCGCATACGGGAACGGAAAGCCACGATGACCAGCCATGAGAAGCACACTCTTGGTTGTCTTCCGTTCGGGGCTGAAGCCGTTCAGGAAGCATACACCTATCTGTTAGGAGATTACCTTCCAACAAGATACCCCACCCTCTTCTCGAAGGACGACAAACGCTTCCACAACCGGGTCACTGGTGTTTCCCTTCCACTCTTATCACCTGAAGACCCGATAGCAGCGTTGCGTAGCCTGGGAGAGAATGTTGAAGACGACATGTTCTTCTTGCGTGAGACGCAGGAGGGACATCAATGTACTGCCTTCGTATGCTGTTGTCCCTCTGGGTTTGACCCGGCGGAAAAGATAGGCAAGTTGATGAAGGATATCCATGGGCCAGTGCCGTCGTATGAGAAAATCGGGCCGAGCATGGAAAGATACTTCAGCCGGCTAGAAGTTGGAAAGACCGTTTCTCGAGTCAATGTAAGTGGTCTTGTTCCCCCTTTTCATGTATGAAGTACCTGGGTAAATGCAGATGCTTAAACTTTTGAGTGAGCAGTGGGCAGTTACAACGAACCCAGACTTGTTCAATGTCTCCGGTAATCACATAAATGAAGGGGACCAATACCAGCAGAATGCAGACATTGACATTGAAAAAGTTAGTGGTTCCATTACCTGCCTACCCCTATTCACAACTTCAAAGAATCAACTGACACAGCAAGTAGACGCGGGTGAGGATGGAGTTGCAGACATTGACACGGCTGCCTAAGACCAAAGCGATCTTGTTCTCGTTCAAAACATACATGTATCCCATTAAAGAGATCAAGGCCGAAGGGTTGGGTCCAGATCTTGCCAATGCGATCGAAGGGTTCAAAACAGGAAATGCCCCTGGCATGTGGGTTTATAAGGGAGGCGTACGATGGGGGAAGAGTGTATGCGAGTACTTGAGATCTTGATATAGGCAGCTACTAGGTATACAGATGGGAATATAAGTACTTAGCTGGGTGCCTATATGTGTATATGTTCACGGCGTTCTGGTCTCTGTGTGGAGAGGTTTCGCGCAGTCATGATGAAGACATCGGATGAATTATTGTAGATAATAGTTAGTTACCTAGGTACATAATTTAGGAGACTGGGGTAAGGTGCTTGGTAATCTTTTAAATGAGGTGATGGTAATTATCGATAAAGAAATCAGGGGCTGTTTTACGGAGTAAAATGCGTACCTACCTCCAGCTAACCTCCCTGGGTAGTAAACACCTAGTATCCAAGACAGCGCACTAACAACGCTAGAGCTTTGAATGGATCCCCTGCGTCCAAGCAATCTACAATATTACTAACTAACTAGTAACTAGCCACCTGGGAACACCTTGAAATGACAGTGCGATGCTAGCCGATGCTTAATTACAGGTACTTGGCTAGGTACTCAGGTACTGCCAGGCATTAACTACCAGCTGTATTTGAGCTCGTAGTCTCGTACTGTCGTACATAGCATGTATTAGCGAGAAGCTCGGGCTGCTCCGTTTCCTCTTCCATGTGTTCTAAGGTTGCATTTTGTCAAGCGGCGATCACTACCCGTCCTTACTAACCCTCTTCCTCTTGTCTTTGAAACCCGGAAAACCCGCCGCCTAAAGAATTACAGAAACTTTTCACTTATCTTAACTTGGACTTGTGCATACATAGTATGCAACATTGAGCATATATGTACTAACTCGGTAAGTACTAATTCCAAAAATAATGCATTCATACTATCTAGGGTACCTAGGGTAGGTAATCTGCTAGTTATTATAGCAACAACATTGAACATTCAACATTGAACATTGAACCTCAAAAAACATATTTGCGGACAATCACAATCACACAATCACACAACCGTATAACGAACTTCAACTACATCACTCCTTCTTTCCTTCGTTCATCGCTACCTCTCTATACAATATCCGGATTCTGCTTTCTTCCCTTTCCTTGCGTATGCGTCTCTCGCAGCTATATCGAAGTAACCCCAAGCATCTAATTATCTCCTAGATTCAATCCAACTTGGGTCATTCATGAACTGTCAAATTCGCCCGGGCGCCGTTCGCCACTCCCGAGGCGTAGTCTGTGGTCTTGGTACTTCCATCGAATCCGCCGCCAAGTCAACAATACGCAACACACATTGGAGCTCCAATAGCTGTACTCGGTACCTCGGAGGGAACGGGTGGTGCTAAATAGAGGGCGCAGAAGGACATGCAGACGAACAAGGCGAGGGCCGAGGCGTTGGGACGGAAGGCCAAGGTTCGTGAAAATGATAAATGATAGATACCTACTATCAAAAGGGAGAATAAGAACCCAATACTAACGCTGGCTGCGTCTTTTCTCTAGCTCGCCAACTCGTACCAAGAACTGCTCGAGTAAGTTTGATACCAAGCTCTATCCTCTTATGTTTCTCATGACCCCTATTCCGAATATGTATCATCTTTGACGCTGACAACCCCTCCCCCTCTGGCAGTGAATTTTCGAACAAGGACTTAAAGAATGTCGGGAACTATACCTTAGGGAAACTAATAGGGAAGGGCTCCTTTGGAAAGGTTTACCTCGCAAATCATAAGCTCACGAATGGCTCCAAGGTTGGTTTCGCCTGAGCTTTTACTCGACTCTTCCCGAACATGACTCCTAATTCCAACAGGTCGTCCTCAAGTCAGCCAACAAGGATGACACCAATCTTGCTCGAGAAATCCACCATCATCGACAATTCGTTCACCCACACATCGCGCGTCTGTACGAAATAATAGTGACTGAGACGCTCGTCTGGCTTGTCTTGGAGTATTGCCCAGGTATGCCATGATTACTACCTACAACCTTGTAGTATCTAGGGCATCGCTGACCGTTTCCAGGTGATGAACTCTATAATTACCTTCTCAAACATGGCCCCCTTCCGCCTGAAAAGGTTCAGAAGATATTCACACAGCTTGTTGGGGCCGTATCGTATGTACACCAGCAGTCATGTGTTCACCGCGATCTCAAACTCGAGAACATCTTGCTCGACAAGCACGAGAATGTGAAGCTAGTTGACTTTGGATTTACGCGAGAATATGAAGGCAAGTCGAATCACCTGCAGACTTTCTGTGGTACAATATGCTACTCGGCACCGGAAATGTTGAAAGGCGAGAAATATGCTGGTGAGAAGGTCGATGTGTGGAGTCTAGGTGTGATTCTGTATGCTCTGTTATGTGGTGAACTGCCGTTTGATGACGACGATGATACTATTACAAGAACAAAGATTCTAACAGAGGAACCAAAATACCCCGATCGTCTACCACCCGACGCTGTCTCGTTAATTAAAGGTCTCCTGTCAAAGCGGCCATTGCTAAGACCCTCACTTCCTGAGATTCTTTCCCACGTATTTCTCGCAGAACATGCCCCTCAGCAGCAGGCAATCCTCAAATTGCACCAACCTCCTCCATTCACTACATATCTTGAAAAGGACTGCCTACAACGAATGAGGAGCGCTGGAGTGGATATTGACGCCGTTATTGAGAGCGTTCTTGCTCAAAAGTGTGATGCTTTAGCTGGTTGGTGGACTTTGTTGCTAGAGAAAGAGGAGAGGAAAGCTCGCCGACGAGAGAAGAGGAGGAAGGACAAGGAAGCCGAAAATCGAAGTTCCCGTCGTTTCTCAGCAGCCTCGAGCAAACTAGAACGCATGGCACCAATCCTCGATGAGGATCCTAGTGGCTCTGGCATACTCGTGGAGCACCCCCTACCAAGGACCAGAGGCCGTCAGGAAAGGAGGAATACACAATCCAGCGACTTGCCGAACTTACCCGAGAGTCGAGTGAAAGGCCATTTAAGCCCGGCCACGCCGCCACCTCCAGTAGACAAGGATTCGGTGCGTTCAGTTAGCTCGTCTCGACAACGACGACCAATTCCACCCCCAAAGGAGGGTATTCTCCGAAGTGCAAGGTCCAGAGGCTCAACGCTTCATCTGGTAACTACTTCGGATGTCCTCACAGGCAGTGAGCGACCGGTACCCAACCCTCCCCCCAAGGTCCGGAAGAAGCCATCCCAAGCGATCGTTGCAACATGGAAGAATTGGACTCACTGGATTGTGGAAAGCACAAGGCGACACAGGCCTAATAAGCGAGGCAGCATGTCTACGCCTAACTTGGCTGCTAAAGACGGCCAGTCGGGCAGCAAGAATGGAAAGGATGCAAGTCCAAGGCCTCATACTAGCAAATACCCGGCATCTACACAGAGTGCTGGCGGTGCTAGCGGTGGGAATTCGCCGGCCTTGCCCAATGGCAACGGTAAAGGTGCCGGAGGAGCTAGTGGAAACCCAGCTAGGAAACCTGTCCCAGCTCCCCTTTTGATGACTGCCAATCATGGGCCGCACCGCTTCCCGTCTGGTTCTTCGTCATATAAGCGACAGTCCTTGTCGCCTGGTCCGTTAACGCCGCGCTCTACGATGCGACGTTCGTCAATTGGTCTTCGAGGGCGTAAGTCGACCTCTTCCTCTCTTTCGTCTGTGCGAACAATGCCACATCATCATCACTCCCATTCAAAAGCGAGTTCGACAAGTTCCACTGGCTCAGTATCTACAACAAAGACGCCTGGGCGCTCGCCTCATCACTCGGTTAAAGTCTTACCAGCCACACCAACTAGCTCGTCGTTCCCATCTAATATACGTCTTGTTCGCGCGCCAGCACTTGCTTTGAACTTCAACGAGGGGATGCCGTCATTAAAATCATCAGCACCAAACCCTCCCAGCTCTCCTAACCCGTTTCTATCAAATAGTCCTTCGGTCCTGTTCGCGAAACGCAAGCGCAGTCTTTTCAAGGGCCCGATGCTCTCGATAGGCAGCCAACCGCGTAGCGGAAATAACTCGGCAAGCCATAGCCGGAGTGCCAGTGCAAACGGAATAGGGAGGCGGAGCGGTGAAATCACGATTCAGGAGGAGGACGAAGAGGCGGAAGCGGAAGCGGAAGCGGAAGAAGCTATGAGCGGCGATGCCGGAGCCGAGGATGATGTCGAAGAGGTGGATCAGTTCAGTCCCATCATGCAAATTCCCGGCGAAAAGATTGAGGAAATCTACGAAAACCCGGCACAAGAGCCCAGTAAACCCTAAATCTGGCTCTACATATCAGCGAAGTGGGATACATAATTCAAAATAGGAGATGGTCGTGGTTGATTTGATACCCTTGTGAGAAAGCGTGCATTATGGGAATGTAAAAACAACAAGCTGTTGCTCTTGTTCACAAAGGAAATTTGCACAAAGCGAAGCTTGCATTGTTATATTTGTAGTAGATACTACTTATCTACTTACCTGGGCACTGACACCTAGGTGGGTGGGTGTTTGTAGTTGATGTTTTCTTTTGTCTCCTTTTCTTCTTCATTCTGGGATGTCGAAACAGACGGTCTTAATGTGCGATTGGTAACTACTATCTAAACCTTCGCACATCTTGCCGTCTTGCAAACCAGCCATGTTCCAAATTTTTTTTTCCTTTCTTCCATTTGTGAGGGAATGGATGGGTGTTGATATAGCGGACGGCGTGTGTATACCCTTGGGCGTTTGTCTACCTACTTACTGGACTTACTAGCTAGTAGGTAGGTACAATACATATATAATACCCTGTTAACCGTTTAACGCTGTCTTGATTCGTGTAGTTTGGGCCGGCTGATCAAGGATCTAGGTACCAGGTAGTCAGGCGGATGTGAATGTATGCTTAACTTGACTGGTTCCCGTATGGACCTTATTAATGGCTATTGCTACTTTATTAGTACCTAGGTACCTATGAATGGGGTGGGCTTATGCTGCTGTAATGATAGAAGGGGAGCATGGCGCTGGCCTAAGTTTGGCCTTTGCTTCCGCTACCCTCCCTAATCTGACAAACTCGGACCCCCCCCCCCCCCCCCCCTTCCGCCAACCCCGCCGCCGTATCCGTCAGCAGCCTTACACGGTACTTATTCGACGCCTCGTCCAGCAAGAACGCCCGGATCGTGAAGTTGTTCCAGCCTAGAGAGCATCTCGGCGGAGCCGAAGGCTTGGCATTGGATCCGGGGGGGCGGCGGTGTCGGGGCGGGTGGATATGGCCGACCTGTGGTTTTTGGGTTAGGGAAAAGGAATATCACGTGAGGTAAAGGGGAGAGGTGGGAGGGTTGGGGCCTTGATTCGTTTCGTTTCGTTCGTGAATACAAATACATGCCCAAGCAGCGGCCAGGGAGGTGTCGGAAAAGGTGGTGTAGCTAGCTGGCTTTGTTCCCGTCGATGGCGAGTCGGCGAAGAGGACGAAGGGGCCGGCCACGCCCGGGTTCTGGTGGAAGAAAGGCTAGTTGCTGCAGGTGTTCTCTTTGCGGACGATGGTGATGTTGGGGATGGCGATGACGGTGGTGGCGGCCATCGCCATGGTTAGGAGGAGTGAGCGCATTGTGAGAGAGTGTGAGACAGGAAAAAAACGAGGGGATTGACTTTTGCTGGCGTTTGGAGTGTACTTACCTAGCGAGTGGTTGTCGTGGAAGTTCGTAAAGAGGTGCCCGTGGAGGTAGCAGGATCAGAGGACGGCTTATTCCTTTTATACATAAGACCCTACCTACCTTAAGTAGGTAGGTACCTACGTAGGCAGATAGAAGTTCTCTGCATCGCTACAATCACACTATTTCCGCAACCGAGCAAAGAATTAGGCAAGGATCGCGAGATGCTGAATCCTACGATGCTATGCCAGTAGCTGGTAACCCTCACCCTGGGGTATTGTATGTAACATCGTGAGATTAAACATAGCCCTAGGAGCCCGCGTGCGGCCACTGAGCGATCGTGGATAGCTGGCCGGATCCACCCGCAGGATCTATAGCTGCTCAGCCCTACAGGATTCCTATACGATGCATACGTGCTAGATATGCTCGGTAAGTAGGCCGCATACCTACCCAGAGAAGTATACAGGTGCTTTGTTTGCATCGCGATATTAATATCATTTGCCGCCGCATGACTCTGACCGCGACCAAAACCGGGCTCGGCCCACGAGACCCGGGTCTAGAAGTCGTACGAGCGCTCGTTCCTTGTGTGCCAGTAATTAGATTTAGGCTGCCACATAGGTATCGTCGCTTCTTGTAGCTGTCTCTGAATGCCTAGGTCTTTGACGTCGAAGTGCCGGGCTTGATTTCTCCGGATAGGAGTTACGATAGTAATGTGCTTATGTAGGTATGCATTTATGTATTGTTCCTGTGGCTTATTCAGTGTAACGCTATTACCTATGACATTTGGTACTTTCTGCCGGTGAGTGTAATAAATGTGAGGCAGAAAGTCGTATTGAGTTGGAAAGAGGATACCAAGAAGGAGGAATCGTATAAGTACACAACGAATTCGTCTAAATAAGGTACTTATGTAATGGGGATGCAAAAGCGTTATCCAATAAGGGTATCATGTTGGTCCCAGTCGACGTAACGGTCTAATAGCTCACAGGGCTATATTCTGACATACATGCAGGTATGCTTTATATAGGTAACCTACCTTGGGTAAGTACCTAGGTATCTATAATGAGATGGCTACACGAGGTTTATATTGGAAGTGAGCATCATGATTGATATCCCGCACAATACCTGAGCATCTATCTAGGTTAGACAAGAAAGCAGGAAAGGAGACCTCACTATGGCCCACAAAAAGGATATCAAACTTGTCCCTGACGAAATCGACGAAATCGCAGCAACGGAGCCGGAGTCGATATATGGAAAGTATCCCGCTGATACATCAAACTACAACGCTGGGTTTCGAAGCATCACGTTTCGCCAGCTAGCCAATGCTATCAATGGAGTTTCCCGATGGCTAGAGAGCGAAATTGGTCGTGGAGATGCGGAACGTACGCCTACTATCGCTTATATTGGGCCCAGTGACTTTCGTTATGTCTTTACCTTTGTAGGTGCCATCAAGGCGGGATATAAGGTTAGATCGTTCCACGAGAGTTGAAGAGCTCTAGGTTATATTGATGCTAAAGTATTCACAGATGTTCTTCACCAGCCCTCGTAACTCTCTTGTGGCTCATCTGGCTCTCTTAGAAAGCTTAGAGTGTACTGAGATTATCGTAGCTCGGTCGGTCCCCCCCTATGTAGATGAGATACTACAGAGAAGGACGATGCGGGTGTTAAGGATAGAAGAAATGGAGCATTATCTCGGCCATACTTACGACCCTTATCCTTATGAAACGACTCTAGAAAAAGCCAAAGGGACTGGTGCGTTCGTCTGTCATACTTCTGGCACCACTGGACTCCCTAAGCCCTGCATCTATACCCACGAATTCATACTACGGGCAGCTAGGAGCGCATTGCTCCCGCCTCCACCTGGCTACACACAAACACAACTGGGCCACAATACCCATATTCTCGTACTTCCCCTTTTCCATCCTGCTGGTGTCAATTTCACCATTATCAACGCTATCTACAATCGCTGCGTTGTGATCATACCATCATGGACATCACCCCCTACAATCGAGAGCCTCTTGGCGATTTCACAGAATGTAGAGGCTGACTGGGCAATGACGGCCCCCTTTACTCTGGAAGCGCTCGCTAAGGACGAAGCAATGCTGGATCAGGTTGCTTCTCGGCTCAAGATGCTGGTATTTGGCGGAGGGAACCTCCCAAAGAAGCTAGGAGATGCCATAGCTAAGAAGATTCGGCTCGCCAGTTCCTTGGGCTCAAGTGAAACCGCAGGTCTCCCGATCTTACATCCGGACGGTTTTGACACGTCGGACAACTGGGAGTATATGTCATTCCATCCGCAAGTTGGCGCGGTACTCGAGCCTCGAACGGATGATAGTTTCGAACTTGTTCTAGAGAAAACGGCGTCAACCCTCCCGTATCAGCCAGTATTTGACAGGTTCCCAGAGTTAGAGAAGTTCTACACCGGGGACCTATTCAAGCAGCATCCGACGAGACCAGACATGTGGGCACACTCGTCCCGGGCAGATGATATCATTGTGTTTCTCAACGGCGAAAAAACGAACCCAGTATCATATGAAAATCACCTAAGCCAGCACCGGGACATCGAGGGGGCCGTGGTGTTTGGAAGCCAACGATTTGAGGCCGGCGTGCTCATAGAGCTCAAGGACAAAAGGATTCTATCACCTCGGGATACGCAAGACCATATTGAGAGGATATGGCCAACTATAGAGCAAGCCAACCAGGAGTGCCCGGCGCATGCTAAGATAGACAGGTCACACATTCTTTTCTCGAAGCCAGAGAAGCCCTTTCTACGGACGGCCAAGGGCACCGTGAAGAAAAAAGCTACACTCGAGCTATACGCTGAAGAAATCAACAGACTATACCAAGATATCGAATCCGTTGGGCCCTCTACCAGCATGGAGAGTAAGATTGACCTAAATGACTTTGAGGCAGTACTCGATGTGGTCCGAACAGCCTGCAGAGAATCTACCACGCTAGGCGAAATAGACGTGAATGATGACATGCTGGCTCTTGGAATGGACTCCCTGCAGATCCTACACTTGTATCGAAGTATCAGGTCGAAGACCAACGTGGAAGCTCTGAAGCCTACGACGATCTACGAAAACCCCACGCCGGCTGCACTGGCACGAGCAATCCAGAAAGCAGCCAAAGGGGATAGCCAACAGGTAGATGAGAAAGAGAAGCGCAGGGCAAGACTCGAAGAAACCCTGGCAAATTTCACGCGCCGCATCGACCAAATAGCCTCGACCCTATCCTCGGAGACAACCACAGACAGAAAGCAGGAGAAGGGCACAGAAACCTCCCACGTCTGCATCATAACCGGCACAACCGGCACCATCGGCTCGTACATCCTGCGCGCACTCATGTCAAACCCCAACATCAGCTCAATTTACTGTCTCAACCGCGGGCCCCCCTCCTCCTCCGCCACCCGCCAGCTAACCCACAACGCCGCCACCGACCCCACCCTCCCTCTCTCCTTCCCCCCTCACGTCCACTTCCTCGAAGCCGACCTCTCGCAGGCCCTTTTCGGCCTCCCCCCCGACATCTTTAACAAACTATCCGCGACCGCAACGCTGATAATCCACAGCGCCTGGTCCGTCGACTTCAACCTGCCGCTACCAGCCTTCGCCCCGCATCTCGAGGGCGCCGCGAACCTGTGCCAGTTCTGCTGCTGCTGCCGCGCGCGAGGCCGCGCAACAAAGCCCAGGCTCGTCTTCCTCTCCTCCGTCGCCGCCGTCATGGAAAGCCTCGCCCGGCCGGTGCCGGAAGCCATCCCCGACGCCTTGTCCGCGGCGCCGGCGGCGGGCTACGCCGAGAGCAAGCACGTCGCCGAGCGCGTGCTGCAGCACGCAGCAGAAAAGCTGCGCATCGACGTGTGCGTGGCGCGCGTGGGGCAGGTCTGCGGGGCGGCGCGCAGCGCGGGGCGGTGGAACGGGCGGGAGTGGATCCCGCGGCTGGTGGCGGGCAGCGTGCGGCTGGGCGTGGTCCCGGAGGGGCTGGGCGCGTACGGCGCGAAAGGCGTGCGGGACGTGGATTGGATTCCGGTGGACGTGCTCGCCGACGTCGTGGTCGAGATCGCGCTTCAGGGGCAGGGGCAGAGGCAGGGGGTCGAGGTCTATAATCTGGTGAACCCCCGCCGCACGACCTGGGCTAAGCTGTTGCCGGCTGTGCTCGACGCAGTGCGGGATGTGAGGCGCGGGTCGGATGGTGATGGGAGCAGCGATGACGGCGAAGCAGCACCCCTTCTCGTTGTCTCCCACGCAGAATGGCTGAGAAAGCTGCGTGATGCCGCCAATGACAATAACAGCCTCGAAGCCCACCAGCAACAGCAGGAGGAAGACTCGCTAGCCGGCGGTAATCCGGCGCTGAAACTGCTCGACTTCTACGAGCAGAAGCTCGCGGCAAAGGTGTTTCCGGAGTTTGAGATCGCGGCCGCCGTTGCGGCTAGTGCTACGTTGCGAGGGGCTGCTGCCATCAGCCCGGAGGATATGGGGAAGTGGGTGAGGCTGTGGTTTAAAGATGGGACAGGACGCTTCTAAAACAGGGAGGTTAGTTAGAGCACCTCTGCTGCTGTAGGGAGTTGCTGGTCGAGTGGAAACTGGAGGCGTTAAGCACCCCTTCCCAATACAGTGTTATTACTTGCACGACATTATATTACGAGAATGAAACACGCAAACTGAGTCTTATTATATTTTATGTGGTGCCGTCTCTGTGATATCTATGGATATATTGAATCGTTATCATTTATACTTCGGTAGTCTTCTCTCACCATGCATTGTCCTTTCAAAGTACCTATGTATATCTTATACCCTCTTGCCATCAGATGCTTCAAGTACCAATCATCAAAGCAAATACAATCATATGAGACTTGAACATCGTCTCAGTGTTCGATGGATATAAATATAAATATAAGTGTGCGCTTATGGGTATCACGTGACCCTCAACACAGAAAAGGGGCAGCCCGTCTCAAAAACATCAAACCTCCTCCCATCCAGTTGATCCGTTCTTCGTAAACACGAAGTAGCGAGGCGTTAAGCTGTACATTCTACGGAGAAATGTGTCTAGATGATTCAAGCTGCGCCTCGTAGACCGAAAAGTAAGGCTCTACAGAGCCCCCAACTCATACTACACGGGCCTATGTCTATAAACGCCAGCTGATAAGTAGGAATCTGCTCGACCTTATTAGTTGGTTGTTCATCACAGCCCGCGGCTATGCGCTATACACCATTGGCAGCGAGCATCCCAACACCAACACCAACACCAACACCACCGTAGCCGTAAACGACACGTCCATCTATCCGAGTAATCAAAAGGCCTCGAACCAAGCTATTTTGCTACTTCTCAAACCAACCATCAACTCAGGTACCCGCGCCGCATGACTGAATACCAACCTACCTACCTACCTAAACTCCTAACCAACTACTAGCCCACGACAACGACAACCCAACCAACCAAATAGGTAGTTAGATACGCACGTAAGCTTAGCCGCGCTGGCTGCCAACGTACATAACTTGCGGCTCTAGCCCGACCGTGTCAGAATTGGGCTTCCACCAGCCTCAGAACATGACTCAGAATCAGGCTCGAGAAGCTGTAAAAAAAGCCTCATACATACGCCTTACCGAGCCCTTCATAAGGCTACGCCCCTGGAATTTTTTTTTCTCCTATTAGGCATCGACTAGTATTCGCCGACAGGCTTCTAGGTTGGGCGGCTTACGGCCCATGCAATCGGTATGTGCGAAGGCTAAAATTATCGTAGATAGGAGGCACATTATATTGGGTGATAGTTAATCAGAGTAGCGCTCCGGACCTGCTATGCGACCCTACTAATGTGTGACACGTATGGGATGTCAGGGGCTTGCATAAAATGGCTTAAGCTAGACTTAATGCGCGCAATTGAACTACCTAATGATATTTAGCCGCATGTTTAGCTGCCGAAGGACTTCTCTCGGGGCTGATTTATTTCAACCGGATTCTATATCTTAAACTTCCCGTAATCATATCGTATTACCATCCTCATTATGATATCGTAGCTAGGGAAACATCCGATTATTTGTTTGTTTACAGACATAAATATACTATACTAGGTATAGATAGGTAGGTAAGGCCTATCACGTGAGGTGACGCGATGGTGGGGGTATCTCTCAGGATAAAAGGGGGTGTAGTAAAGTGACGAACCCGGCTGCTTTTCTTGGCCGGCCGTCCTCATTAGCGCTGCTTCTTGTAACCAAGAGCCTCATGACTTCTCGTCCCCGGCGATGTTGGATACAAAATCCGATATTTCCTCAAAATATCCCTCTTCTAACACGCTGGAGTTGTGATCACCAGCAGGTAACGGCTTCCAGACTTTGGTAGGTGTGGTAGCTAATTCGTATAACTTCCTCATGTGAGAAGGTCTGTGAGACATGTGACGTTAGCTGACGAATCAGACAAATAAACATAGTGAGACATGCCAAGTCTAGTGAATAGGTGTGCGATATCAGGAAACAGTATTTAAATCTGTGCTCGAAGAGAGCTCATGTTTTGTGGATGGTTGTTTTAAATCATCACATGCGCAATTATTCAGGGAAAACCAAGAATGGCAAGTAGGTGACTAGAACTTACGGGACAATCTCATCTTGGAGACCACTTAAAAATAATATCGGAACTTCGGTAATGGACGGTATCGTAGATTCGCTTGGCCAAACTTGGTGACATAGCATGGTCAGATACTTAGCCGGGGGGATGACGGATGGAATTAGAGATCGCATGGAGAGAAATGTGTTCTCGAGGATTAAGCCGACGATATTTTTCGTATGTTGATTTTTGGCCACCAATTTGATGCTCACAGCCCCTCCCAAGCTTTGCCCGTAAATGACAAGTTTATGGTTACGAGTCTCGGCTCGATTTCGTAGATAATCGAGGGCAGTTTGGGCGTCTATGGTGATGCCCTTCTCGTCCGGTTCCCCTGTAGATAGGCCGTAGCCCCGGTACTCGAGCATAAAGACGTTGCAACCGACGTAGTTGATTAACATGCGGGCTATCGGTAATCGATGGCCAATGTTACCAGCATTGCCGTGAAACATTAATACGGTACATTTTGAATTACGACCGCCTTTGGGACCCCGTATATAGAATGCCGACAGCTTCTCGCCATCGTTGGTGGGTATTACCAACTCCTCAAAATCCTTGATGCCATACTGGGAAGGTCGAGGTACTTCAGTTCGGGAATTCGGGGGCATATGAGATGGGTAGATCAACGCTCTGTAATGTGGGGTTAGGAGTGGTTAGATAGCTGTTGGTAACAAGTGGCAGGTCGATGACACCTCCGTTGGTAGAGGAAGGGTTGCGGGTGTGGCGTCGGCTTACTTTTGCTTGAAGTACAGCAGGGTAGTGAGGACGGCGGCAACACCCTGAGTAATAGTTGTTAGCTTGGCTGTTGCCCGGTACTGTTTATTAATGGCGGTTTGCGTGTGTCGACATGCTCGGGCGAAAATCGAGGAGGCTTGAGACGATGCAGAATTAGAAGACAAGGAGGATGAACGTGAAGGCATACCGTGGAGGCCAAAGCTGGCAAACGCATGTAAGCAGCCACGGTAGTGAGGAGCGAGACGGTTTGCTCCAGATAGCTCAGATGTGGCGATGATGCTCCTGAAGGAGACATGGCCTGACCGAACAGTTCGGATATCGAGAGAAAAGATAAACAGAACAAAACAAAAATATGTTTGTTTAACTTATGCTGACCGAATACGGCATATGAAACACGAAAAGGAGGACCATAGGGTAGGGAGTCTTTGCATTGGATGCGGCGGTGTGTGGAGATATTGGGGAGCTAGAGACTTACTTGACCTAGCTAAGTAAAGGTGCCGGGTCCAAGTTATGCCAATTGTGTCAATTGCCAGAGTGGTGGATATGATGAAATTGAAATTGATGAATCTTGGTCCAGGGATTAAACTAATGCTTCGTCAAGGGGAGGGGAGATCGTTGAAATGTTTGGGACCTTTTTTTTTTTTTCTTTTTGTGTTTCTTTTTTCTTGGGTTTGGGTCGTTTCGGTGGTTTGGTTCAGAATGTATTGGCATTTGCCATCTGGCATATGGTATCTGGCATAGAAAGAAAGAACGACCACTGGGCTGGGTAAAATCTCAAACTTCAGGTGAGCCATGGTTTGGGCTTGCCAAGAACTTAACCTAAAACTAACTTAGTGCTGTTTACCTTTACGATAGTAGATGTGTCAAATGTAGTTACATGCTATTAATTATTAACTTGCTTTGTCAGGATAGATTGATTTGGCTTAAATACGATATTCAAAGTTCATCTGTTTCTTCTTCAATGTTGTCAATGTTGTTTGCCCTTTTTTTTTTTAGACCTTTGCGACAACTCAGTGTGTGCGGCTACTATGAATAATGGTACATAATACATAGTACCAATATCACCACTTATGGTTGGCCAAGCTTATTACATCACTTTAATGAACCAGCAATATTCTTACTATGGCCATCGATAGTCGTAAGCAGGGCTTAAAGGTATCGAAACTCTCATCATCATTACATTCATGGATCTCTGGTACAATATATTTCGCCCTGATACCGGAATCACTAAGTCGAACTGTGGTTGGCTAGAATTCAATATCATCTCGTTCTGATGACAGCCCTTTTGTAGTGTGGCCTATTTCTTACATTTCTCACATTTCTCACATTCTCGCATTCAATGTTTGTCACACATATCGATGCCCAGTACAACATCAAGTAGTTATCTATAACTAGAACATTGAATGTATGCAGTTACTACATGTATGCGAAGACTACTAGATGCCTATTATTATAGTACTAGGTAGTATCTTACTGGTACCTACCTCATTCGTATACTGGGTAGGTATGCATTGTGAAAATTGTTGACCCTCGCTAGTTGACGGAGGCTATGCTCTTCAAGACTTCGGATTCATTCCCTAAAGAGATAGCGTGCTGGTAGTTGTGGATGTCAACTGGTAGGTACATAGCAAGTACCTTGAAATTCTAGATCTAAAAACCTTTTGATTGGACGAACAAGGCTCTGTATGGTTCCTTACCTAACCGTTAGCATGGTTCATAGCGTCTGGTGCAGCTGCAACTGCCTGCACTTCAAACCCCCATCGCTCTTTGAATCCCTGTCGATGGACCCGCGATGGATAATGCAAAGGCACCCAACAGCAAGAGAGAGAAAAAAAAAAAAAACTTCAAGCGCATACAATATTTACACACCCAACCTCATTTTAAAAAATCATCACGAGATCCATTAAAGATTGTCCATTGTCCAGTCACGAGGCAGAGTCACTCATTCCTCTCATTCTTTTTCTTCTTTACTACCAAAGAGGTTTCTTGTTACTAACATTCACCTTCACGTTCATGTTCCTGGCATAACCGCCTCCAAATCCTGATTCACTGGGCATCTCACCTTTACTCCATACCCCCCGGATAGGAACCGTTCCCCGTTCTAATAATAAAGACGGCCCTGGCTTCGGAAACCGAGACCTCTGGCGCTTGGGAATTCAGCTCTTTACAATAGTTAGCTGTTTCGATCGCAGTTTTGCACAACCAGGGTTTGCGCACGATTTTCCCGATTGTACTGTAAGTCGGACAACTTACGACGCTGCCGCGCAACTGCGAAGGATCTGGCCGAACACATTCAAGGGTTCACCATTCCAAAGACTGTGCCCCCTTCAGGCCATTCAAGCCCTTCAGGGAGAAAAAGCAACAGTATTTGTGTCATGCCAGTCAATTAAGAACCTTGAACCCCTCTTGGAATTCTAGAATATTGAATCTACCGGCCGTTCTGTTTACCTACCCGCATACCTTATACTTGTTTATTTTCATCAGATTTTCCCTCCTATCAGCTTTCATCTCCAATCTCAAAATTCACTTCGCCACCCTTCGTTAACAACTCGGAACGGAAAGGGAAAGACAAAAAGAGAATCAACAAATTTTATTTTCTATCGTTTTGTCCACTCATAGCGAGAGACGCCAGAAATCTTGCAGCTGCGCTCCAATCAGCATATCACATATCCGACCAGCACATCACTTTTGGACCAGTCAGAGACATGGTTTCCTTCTCGTGTGAGGTAATGTTGCCAATTCCCTATGTACCCTACCAACATGCCTAGTCCCTATCTACTCCATATATCTTCAATCCCAAGGTGCCTGACATCACGATCGGACTCGCCTCTCAACCCATCAGGCCTAACCTAACCATCATTTGAGAGATCCGTCGATGAATGATTGAATGATCTATCCCTTCTGGCGTCCTTCTTCCCGTTTCTAGCAATAGAGGACGCTTCGCGTTGCGCTACCCCTTGAGATCCCTTACGCCATTCCCTCTGATCACCAAACACAGCCAATACATCGTCTTGGCATTGACCATCCATCATCCTTCACACCCACCCACTCGTCACCCCTGTTTATATCTACCCCATAATATTACTACCTACCAGGCCTTACCAGGCCTTACCAGGCTTACTTCTCGTCTCCTGATCCTCTTCACCCCTCTGCCCCTCCAACCAGATAAAACACACGCCCCCTGAAACCCAATTACCTTTCTCATAGCGTCCTCATAGCGTCTCCATACCCTTCTTCGCATATCTTTAGTCACAGCCTCTCACTTGCATTTACATACCTTTGCCTTGTATATCTATTTTATCATCTATAATAGTCTTCTAACAAACCTCTTTCAGACTTGTGGTGATGTTTTGACTAAAAAGAAACTCGACCCACACAGAAATCGTTGCTACGGCGCCACTTTCACCTGCATTGATTGCATGGTCCATTTTCCAGGAACCGAATACCGCGCGCATAATGTAAGTCACCGATTTTTTGGAGATGGCTTTATGACGTTTAGATCTAATCACTCTTATTAGAGTTGCATGACAGAAGATCAAAAATATCAAGGCTCGCTATATAAACCCAAGAGACAGAAGTCAAACGGCACCGATCCTTTCGGTAGACCTAACAATATGTCCCACAACGCATACGTCGAGGACGTTACGGAGTACGAAGAGTACCAACAATACCAAATTCACGAAGACGATGTCGAAGATGCGGCAAACCTGCCACCGGAAGCACCGACTCCTCCGCCAGCTGTCGCTGACGACCCGAATGTGAACGTTTTTGACTTCCTCGTTGATCATACCCCAAACGTGTCAAACGTCAACCTCCAATACTATGATAATCCCACCGTACCAAGTGGTGCTCGGCAGCTTGTGCGATTCGAACAAGAAAACCAAGAAAACCAAGAAATCGACGACTACGTAGATCCCACTGGCTACATGGTAGATGAGGAGGAAGCGGCACCATACGGGCCCACTCCCATTGAGGCCCCCAAATTCGAAACGCCAATGCCCAAGCCTCATCGAAGAAGGTCAAAGGACGGCGAAACTCTGAAAGATAAGAAGCGCAAGCGACTGCACATTGAGACACCTGGTCCGTTGGCGTTCCAGGCACACGGCGACGAAGTAATGACGGATGCGCCACCAGTACTGCACTCGGGTTTGACCGGGGGCCTTAACCGTCTCATGCGTCCATCCCAGTTCCCTCCTTCACCGGATTACTCTGGAGGCGATAACGGGGAAATCTCACCAACAAGCCCTGTCAAGAAGACGAAGCATTCTAAATCTAAGTCCAAGTCTACACGGCCAGAGACCGTTAGTGGTGGCTTCAAGGCCTTCATATCGGGCACTTCTAAGTCGAAGGTGTCCAAGAAGCGAAAGCACTCATCTGATAAGGATAAGGATAAGAAGGAGAAGAAAGAGAAGAAGTCCCGACACCACCATCGGTCTAGTTCCGAGAAAGTTCCGAAACTGATTGAGTTCCGGCCGAAGTCGCGCGATGAGAAAGATGGGGAATCCGGGCAAATGATCCTTTACAAACCGAGATCCGATCTTTTCTTGAGTCTGTGCAACAAGGGACCCGAGAGCGAGCGGGGCTGCAGTGTGAACAAAGCTCTGAAGAAATACCACCGTGAGCGATCGGAGTCCGGATCAAGCCTTGGCAAATCTACGGAGGAGAAGGAACTTTGGCGGTCATTACGGATGCGTCGTAATGAACGGGGCGAAATCGTCCTATTTTCGATCGAAGCCTAATACGATAAGCATTTTATGTAATGTGAGATTATGGGAATGGGCAGAGATAGGAGATGTGGCGTTCTAATTTAGGTACGGTTGCTTTACGGTACGGGAAACTAAGTGTGATACCAGGGTCGTGGATGTTTGAGTAAGGGAAAGGTTTCCAAGGTTTGGGGGGGAGGGCATGGATGGATGGAAGGAGGGGACAACACGGAATCTGGTTAAGTTGTTGTCGGACGGGAAGGAAAAAAAATCAACAAACCAAACAAACAAATACCCTTGTTGTTGTTGTTGCTGCTTCTGAAGCTGGTCTTGAAGCCTCTTTATCAGAGAAGAGGAGACAGATGGACGCCGCATCATCGATCGATCGAAGTCACCACCAATGTCGTTGTTGTTGTTGGATTATTATTATTTTGGAGAAACGTGTAACCACTACTTGCTACTATTACTTGCTACTATTACTAACCTTTACCTTGTTCGCATTTCTTCTTGTATGTCCTATTCAGATATCTGTTTTCTTATATCCTTCTTATTTTTCTTGGTTTCAAGGATACCTTATTGTTCCAAGGTTACTTGTTTTTTCTGTTCAGGACAACGATACGAGTGTGTGTGGGGAACGGGGGAAGTGGAAGTGGAAGTGGAAGTGGAAGTGGAACGGGGAAGTAATCAGATTTGCTTCTTCAAAACTTGAAGTCGCATCTTACATATGTAGAAGAAAGAGGATAATTAGCCGTAATCCAAATATATTATATACCTACCTACCTACACACTAAATATCTGAGACCAAGTTCAAGTTCCAAGTTTTTAAGTTCATTCTCTCGTAACGCCTATTTCGTGATGCCCCTATCGTATGGTATGTATAGTTTGGTATTTTATCTACTGATTCATTTTGAGTCTCTGAGATGCTCAGGCATGAAGGGTACTTAGTTTAGGTAGGTAGGTAGGTGGGTGGGCAGACGCCTACTTTTAGTACATACCTAGGTACTGTACTCTTCGTAGATACCTAGTAAATTAATTTAATTGCATTTCTTGGGGGGGTTCTTCTTCTGGATCCCATCAATGATAATCATGACAAACTGCTCCTATTACAGATTTCCCTCCCATGGAACCTAAAGAATTATGTACTTGAATTAGTACCTAGGTAGGTAGTGTACCTAGAAATCTAGCGAACATGCACTTCTTCCTGCAAGATCGAAGTAGGCTAGGCTATTATATGGGTATAGGTAAAGAACTAAACCGCCCGCAGCGGCAAAATATGCTGCACAAGCGCCTCGCGCCGACAAAGCGGACACTCGGGCTTCTCGCGGACCCAGTCGCCGATGCAGGACCAGCAGAAGACGTGGCCGCACTGGGTGGCGGCGGGGTCCTTGAGCTCCTCGAGGCAGAGCGTGCACTTGCGCTGCTGCGAACCTTTCACCCAGCGCATCGTCTCGTCCTCGGCGAGATCGTACCGCGCGGCGGCGCCGGGCGGCGGTTGGGGCGTGTGCGTTGTGGCGAACACGTCGATGCGGCTTCCCGGTGTAGCAGAGATGGAGGCGTCGCCGCCGTTGGCGCCCAGGAGGAGTTCGTTGTTCGAGGCGTAGGTGGTGCCGTCGAGGGAGACGTTTCGGCTCAAGATGCCACCGCCACTACCGCTTCGTTCGCTAAGGGAGGAGGAGGAGGGGGGATGCGAGTGCGTTGCAAAGGAGGCGAGGGTCGAGCGCGCGTGCAGGTACCCCTGGACGCCCATCTGCACGACCAGCAGCACGCCGAGCAACTCGTAGCCAGCGCGGTCAGAGCGCTCGCCGATCTTGTGCGTGAATATGTAGCGGAGCCCGGCCAGGCGCTTGGCGAGCTCGTAGTACGACCCGCTGAAGTAGAACAGCGCCAGCCCGACGGCGTGGATGGGCGACGGGGAGGTGAAGGAGGTGAGGTTGGCCAGGAGGTAGGCTTGGACTTTGTAGGACCACGTTCGCCGTGCCTTCAGCTTTGCGATTCTGCCTTCTTCTCCTTCTTCTTCGTCATCTTGATCTACTTCCTGCCCGGGTAGCAGGCCAAGGTTCCGCTGGAGACGCGTTCGTATCCGCGCCCGGATCTTGGGGAGAAGCCGGGAGAGCCCGTAGGGCGCGAGGATGCTGCCGGCGATGTAGGCGGCGCGCCTCGAAAGAGCGGGCAGAGCACCGCCTTCGGCTTCTACTTGCACGAGGCCGCAGTACTCCTCGCCTAGCGTGCGGTTGCCGAGGAGGGTAGTGAGACATAGGTATAGCAGGTCGGCGATGGTGCCGGTTTCGGTGGCCCAGGAGTGGGCTGATCTGGCACCGAGGAGCCGGCGGTGCAGGTCGGTGATCTGGTTCGTGAGCACGCCCTGGAAGTAGACATCTTTTTGGTGGGCACGGATTATGTCGGGGGCGAAGGCATAAGGATAAGGAGAGGAGGCTGGTGGAGAGCTGGCGGATGAGGATGGGAGAGGTGAGGGAGCGAGACTGGTGGACGCTGGAGGGGATTCGGCGGAAGCCATTTGTTTGGCGGTAGGTAACTGGGCACTATATTGCTTTTGAGGTTGTAGGGAGTTCAGACATATCAGGGGAACTCTTTGTTCGTAAGGTGATTGGGTTGCTTTGAATTGAAGATGATGGATGGTTTAATTCGAAAGATGAATATAGTAGTGGACTGAAGTTGGCGATGTTGACAATTTTGGGAGAGAACTGTTTAAGGACGAAGATTAAACATCGAAGCTCCAATAATACACGTAGTTATTGTATGGATTGTTAGGTGCATGTGGTCGCTGGACCTCGGCGACGGGGCCAACTATTTAGGCCAATTGATACCCATGTCAGTGGATGTATTGTATTATTGTATTGTACAATAGGATGTAGTTATATTAGTGCGACAAGGATGTAGGGGTGACGTCGCCCATCTTGGTACGGTACTTCGCAATCTCATTAATTAAAAAAAATAAAATAGATACCATCTGGCATGTAACTACCAACTTTCTTCACTCAACAAAAATAATAAAGAACCAAGAAGACAACTGAGATTGCGACTTGGATTCTTACAATTCCAAGTCCAATAAATGAAATACACAAATTCTGAATTTAATATCTTTGAAAACTAGTTATACTCTTTTATAATACTACACAAATTCACAACCAACATCTCACATTCTCGATGCTGAGTGTTCAGATTCCCCTGAACCATGGACGGTGATCCAGCGGTCGAGCCAGAGCTCGACTCCTTTAGCTTGACCTTCCCTCTACCGTACCGAGTCGCCTTTATAATTGTATTAGGTTTGTCGCCTTAAGCTACTCCTAGCTTCATTCCCTTATAGCGATTCGAATTGGCTTACCAAAACCTCGTATTTGAACCAAAAATATAGGCGTCTGGGGTTGGGGCATCAACTTACACTACCTTTACATCGTCGGCATCGATGTGCCCTCCCTAATTCGGTACCCGGGCCGTTCCTCGCCGCACCACCCGACCCACCACCTTTCCACCTACCGCCTCGCCACCGTCCTCTCCGCCATCTACGGCTTCGCTCTCCTCCTCTTCTGGGCCTTCACCCATCGCAATCCCGACCAGGTCCTCCGCTGGGGCTGGCTGCCACTCACGTACCTCGGCGTGCTCCTCGGCATCCTCGTTTTCGCGCCCTTCTTCAAGTCGCTCTCACACAGCGGGCGCACGCGACTGCGTTACACGCTCAAGCGCATCAGCGTCGGCGGGCTTGCCGAGACCAAGGATGGCAAGTTCGGCGACATCCTGCTTGCCGATGTCCTAACCAGCTACGCGAAGGTGTTCGCGGACTTCTTCGTGGCAATATGCATGTTCCTGCGCCGCGAGGGGGGCGCGACAGCACGTCCGGATCGCGGGTGCGGCGGCGCATATGCCGTCCCGCTTGTGCTCGCCGTGCCCTCGGTCATCCGCTTGCGCCAGTGCCTGATCGAGTACGGCCGCGTGCGACGCGGACGCATGACCGAGGCCTCGGGCTGGGGCGGCCAGCACCTAGCTAACGCGCTGAAATACGCGTCCGCGTTTCCGGTCACCATCTTCAGCGCCTTGATGCGGAACACCCCGCCAGATGCCACTGGGAACAACTTCTACTACCGCCCCTGGATCGCGGCCTGCGCCGTCAACTCGCTGTACAGCTTCTACTGGGACGTGGCCAAGGATTGGGATCTACTACTCTTCGACAGCAGCGCGCGGAACGCGCCAGACCTAAAGGCGTTCGGCCTGCGACGCCGCCTCCACATCGGCCCGCCCGCGCTATACTACTTCGTCATCGCGCTCGACCTGGTGCTGCGGTGCACGTGGAGCCTCAAGCTGAGCCCGCACCTCGGCCAGGTCGCCGACTGGGAGGGCTCCTTGTTCGTCATCGAGCTGCTGGAGGTGTTCCGCCGCTGGGTCTGGATCTTCTTCCGCGTCGAGACCGAGTGGATCCGCAACACGAACACGGCGGTCTCCGGGCTGGATGTCGACGATATTTTGCTCCCCGACTACCATAATCATAATATTCAGGGCCCCAGGTACCAGGACGACGACTAGAAGTCGAAGTCTTTGGGGGCGAAGCGGACTTAGCTGAGTTATAAGGGTAGGGGTATGGGGATCTAAACGAAGGATGGATGGGGGGGAGATCAGTAAAAGGGGCAATGAGGGTACACAGGATAGGTAGCTAAGGTGCCTACCTATCTACTACCTACCTACCTACATACATTCATAGTAGCGGAGAACTATACCCACGCGTATAGTACAGCGAGCGAGGGAGAGAGAGGGAAATACCACGGATAGACGAACAGGAGATGAGACCCATCGGCGTCGTGGTTGCATTGCAAAAGGCGTTGCGAGCTTTTTTTTTTCTTTTTGTTTTTCGATCCCCCATAGAAACTACACTAACCTAGAGACTTTGGATGATAACGGACGTGTATGTAAAGGACCTGCACGTAGATATGTGTGTTGGAATACACTAACCTTGGGACCTAAACGAGAAGTATATCATGATATGTATTAAGCTTAATGTACATACCTAGGTATGTATGCATGCATGTATGTACAATGGAAAATGGAAGATGGAAGATGGACAGCCTATGGCTTGAGTACCTACTTACTTCTAGATGGGTGCTTTGGTACTAGGTATTGTGTTTAGGTACCTAGTACTCTTGATCTATTGCTACTACCTAGGTACCTAGTCATGTAGGTAAACATCAAAACGTCCCGCCTACCTACCTACCTACCTACCTACTTGTAGCCAGCGCATCGACAACCGAATCATGAACCCCCTAGCCTAGAACAGAACAGAATAGCACGGAACACGGCCAGCCACACATATCCTAATACTTTGACGCACTAGATTGTTGGATTCCCTAGTTATTTAGGTAGGTACCTAGGTTTGGTTAGGCAAGGTATCTAGAACATCATCTACTTGATCTATCTATCCTCTTCATTCCTGCATGTTGCGTACCACTCTAGTTAAGTAGGTAGGTAGTTACAGTTTAGGGGGGTGGGATACAAGCGCTCGCGCAGGCATCTAAGGGTTTTCTCTCTCTCTCTCTCTCTCTCTTTGCGTGTGTGTGAGTGTGTATCTTTTCTATCTTTCTCCCCTTTCTCCCCCTTTCCGTCTTTCTCCCCTTCGTCTACAAAAGCGGCCGTTGGGTTCAACTGCTTGCTCAGTGGTATATCCCCCTTCTCTCCATTTACCTCTCCCCCGCCCCCCGTTTCGTTTCCTTTAGCCAGGTAGATAGGTAGGTGGGTACCTTAAGTAAGGCGTGTTAGGTTGGCGTAGGGTGGTTAGGTTGGTACCCATGCGATTTGATTCTCATTATATACATACACACATACATACGTTTGTCATAAAGGGGTTTCAACCGCGAGCGCCGAGGCTATGTAGGGGATGCTATGCTTCTTTTTTTTTTTCCTTTTCCTAGTAGGCTTCCTTCGTTTGCCTTTTCATCTTCATTTTTTTTCTTTTCTTTTTACAATGCTCCTTTCGAATGAGTAAGGTAGGTAGGTAGGTAGGCAGGTAGGCAGGTAGGTAGGTTGATTGGTTGGTTGTAGGCCAGTTGATGATCAAGGTAGGCATTAGATAAACGGTAAGAGTAGGTAGATAGGTACGTCTTCTCTGTCCGCCTGTCTATTTACCATAAGTACCCACGTAGGTACCTGGTAAGAAAGCAGCCAGATCAGACAATAGTAGGTTGGTAAGTAGCGTGGAGGATTTCAAATTATAGGAACCACGTGAACCACGGCCGCTTTATCGAGTTGGGCTGCTTCAGCTTGTTGAGGCAGTAGCCCGGGTGGTTTCGGTTCGTCTTGCCGTCGCACTCGCAACGGCAGCCGATACCGTTCTCCAGCTCCGGCGACCACGCACCGCTTCCTAATAATGGCGAGTCGGGGAGCTGACCGCCCGGCGCGTTGGCCGGGCACTGCCATAGGAACGCGTGTCGGTATCCGAAGTCCTCAAAGTGGTGGACCTTCCGCGGGTCGACGAGTAATGCGACGGCGAGGGAGTGTACTGCTGCATCGCCCCACTGCACGTGATTATATATGTCAGACTCTTTAAAAAAAACGTGTGTGGTTTTGTGAAAGGAAGGTTGGGAGAACTTACGCGCTCAAAGTAGAACCCGCCCTTCTTGTCAAGGTACTCGAAGAGGTCCTGGTATGCCCTCGTCCGGAAGAACTCCATATCGGCTATCTCGAAGTTGCTCCAGTAGTGGCATAAGCTCCACGAGTCGCCGTAGGAGTCGCGGTGGGACTGCCAGCTTAGGAATCGGCGGAATGGGTACGGCACCCAAGAGGCGGACACCATGGCCTTCCAGAGGTTGTTGTCGGGAATGCCCATCAACTCCTTCCACTCGCTGATGGAGCGGAACAGGCCCGGACACGACTGCCCCACCTCCCACAACGCAATGGTAAAGCCGTATACCTTCTTGTGGCGCGCCATCTGCACAAAGGGGTCGTAGGAGATTGCGCAGGTAAAGTCGACGTCGGGTTCTAGGCGCCAGTACCATCTATACTTCTTCATCGCCTCGAGGGTGTAGAATTTGCTACGTAACTCCAGTTAGCCCATATGGATCCCCCATTATTTTGGCGGTGAGGACAACCCCCGCGAGTAAGTAGGTGTAGGTATAGGTAGGTGTAGGTATAGGTAGGTAGGTAAGTAGTAGCGCAAGAAATTTACCCCGAATAGAACCGGCACATGTGGTGGTAGCCCTCCTCTCCGGCATGCGGAATCCCGGCCTCGCCCTGCTCCTTGATGCTCTGCTTCGCCGCATTCACGTCGACCCCTTTCGGAAAGGTCCATTCGTCTTTGGGTATGACGTCAAAGGTGGCCAGGCCACGGGTGGTCTTGTTGAGCTCGTCTATGAACTTCTGGTCCCAGGGCTCGTCGTTGAGGAAGAGGATGGGATAGTTGAACCACCTGTTGAAGTGGGCGTCGATGGAGTTGATGGTCTTGTTGGCCTTCTCGAGCTCGTAGTTCCGGGCCAGCATGACGAGGACGGCATTTTCTCGCTTGGCGCTAACATCGGGCTCCTGGCACGAGGTGAAGAAGGGGGTGTCGAGTTCGCTTGCGGGCTTGGCGACGTTGTACCGGCGCTGGTGGAGCAGGACCTCGAAGATGAACGGCGCGCTGATGGACAGTATAAGCCATATGGGCAGCCGTCTGGCGGGACGGAGGAACCGCCGGAACATGGTATAGACTTGGGTCATAGCATCAACGAATAACCGACTTCATTCGGAAGATTAAGCTATGTATAGGTATAGGGTATACCGTATCCTCGTATTACAGATTATAAATAACTTTTTTTTTAAAGGGAAAAGAAACAAAAATATAAAAAGGGAAAACTAAATAAAATAAAATAAAGAACAGCGTAACCTTTTCAAGCTACGCGTTTGATAAAAATGGCCGTGGACGCTTGGGCCAATGGTGTCTTTAAAATTAGCTGAATGCTAATTAACTATTTTTTTAATTCTTTCAAGGTTTAACTACATAATAACTACTGCTGCATATGGATCCATCTGGATAACTAGAACATTAAAGAGCATGGATTGGTTGAAAGACACACTCCACTTTTTAACCTTGAAGCCGTAATTCCCGTTCTCCATGTGCGTACTACTGCGTACACTGCGTAGTCTGTACTAAGTACCTACCGATCTCACCCTAAAAAGCATCACATCGCCCACGGCATTTCTTAGCCAGCCTTACTCTTACCACTTTAACTCTCAACCTCTAAAAGATCTGTACATAGTATTTACCTACCTACTCATACACCTTCAATCATGGACTACATCAACCAGCGCGTGGCCCAAGAGGCCGCCAAAGACCCCTCAGCAATCGTGTACGTTTCCTTTTCCCACCCCTCCGTCCAATTCCCCATAGCTTCCGGGACGTCCGGCTAACAATAAACTACGCGCATTCTAGCACCGGCTTCATCACACCCCTGAACCTCATCCTCCTCGTCATAACCCTCTACACGACCTACCTCCTCTACAAGCCGTCCCCTCCCGCGGCCCTGCCCCGCGACGCCCCCGCCGTCGTCTTCAAGACGTTTACCCCGCGCACCCTGCTGCCGTACAACGGGCTCAACGGCATGCCCGTGTACCTCGCCGTGCGGGGCCGCGTCTTCGACGTCACCAGCGGCCGCAACTTCTACGGCCCCGGCGGCCCCTACGAGAACTTCGCTGGCCGCGATGCTAGTCGTGGGCTCGCGTTCCACAGCTTCGATGAGGATATGCTGACGAAGGACCTTGATGGCCCGCTTGATAAGCTGGAGGGCCTGGGACCGGAGGAGATGGAGAGCTTGAAGGGCTGGGAGGAGAGGTTCGATAGCAAGTACATGGTTGTTGGACGTCTGGTTGCGCAGGCGGATGCGTGAGGTAGCTAGCTTGGTTGGCTGGTTGGCTGGTTGTGGGTTGTTGAGGTGTTCTGCGGGCAAGATGTGTGTGTGATGTGTGAATATGAGGCATGAAGATCTTGTTCACGTACATGGCTTTCATTCGTACTTGAATTAGTTGTTAGATCTAGAGCGTGCTATTACTCGTATAGAACAAAAACCCGAAGGGTTAGATATATAGATATCTGCTGCCAAACAAGCACCAGCTACTCAGTGACTGTCTCATGTATAACGCATTCAAACTATTCGGTTTCAGAGTTGATTTACTCTCCGGGAGTTCCGGGAGTTCCGGGAGTTCCGGGAGCGCCGGCACATAATAGTGGGGAGAAAGGTCGCTTCTTTATATTCTTCTACGGATGAGACTTATATTAAACTTGGGTAATACCACATGTGCCTCTCACTAGGTATCTAAGACAGGATAAGGTAAACTCATGGTGTTCATTGGCTCCAATTCTATGTAAACATTCACATTCACATTCACATTCACATTCACATTCACATTCACAAGACGTCACAAGACGTTGAGAATCATTGAAATTTCAATGGCGTCTACGTCAGGTCTCGTCCCCTTACCCAAAGCACATACTTGCCAAAGTTGGTAAGCATGGACTTTTCCAGAGGCTTGATGTAGCATTTTGGCTTTCACCTTCGATAAGATCGGCTCTTATGTTAAGAGGTATAGCAACAATCCCCAATGCTTTGTAGCCGGGCATGCGGAGATTGATTCGGATTTACGGCTACATTCAGGGGGGCTTATACCTATGCCGGTTGTGCTCAGCTCCGGATATCAGCCCAGGTGGTCGGGTCCTTAGGAAGCATGCAAACAATATTCTATGAGGTGTGGTATTGGCATTATAATGAAATCTAGGGAATACATCATCATGACCCATGGAGACGTATATATGGGAGGGGTTGGGAACTGGAAGGAGCTGAATCTCGGAGCTCGATAGTGAGAAGCTTATCTTCCATTCATTCCTCGGAGGATTGCCTCTTTTCGAATAGATGTTGGTTAGAGATCAAATATTACTGTCATTTCACGTGATTCTTGCATAGTCGACCAAAAGTTGTGTCGACGGGCTACCAATCACAGAGGCCAGTCTAGACTCGGTTAGGTATAATTTCGGGCACACCTCTCCTGCGGTCTCTCTCACCATGCTGTGTGGAGTCAGTCCTATGGGCTGGCTCTCTTATACATAACTTTTTGTTCCATACCTTACTTGGTATTATTATATACATGATATACATGAATACATAATACTTTGGCCCAGGGGCACAGCTACATAATAATGGCTTGATTCTCTCTCTCTCTCCGCTTCTCCTCATTTGCCTGCCTTTCAACAAACACAAATCAGGAAGCCTTTGCTAAACCAACTTCAATATGGCCAATGACCCTGTGTCTCCTGCGACTCAGCCTGCTGGATCGCCTGCCCCAGCAGCAGGAACATCAGCAGCAGCAGCAGCAGCAGCAGAACCGGCCGCTGGAACTGCTCCGGTCGAACTACCGGGTGCAACTGAGGAGCCAATCCAGGTTGCTCCTGAGGAAGTAAGAATAAAATAACTCACATATTTTCTCGGCCTCGAGCTTTCAAGGAGGGGGAAAGCCTCTATTCAATCAATTGGCTGACACTTTGCTTTTTGAAGGAGGATGATAGGGGCGTTTTTGACGAAGCAGACTCCGCGCTAGGAGACGGTGATAAGTATGAGATACCATTTTTCTGCTGAACGAATACCATTTTTCTTTTCTCAGACAAAGAATGAATTGCTAACAAACCGCTCATAGTGCGAGCTCAACTGCTTCTTTGACCGAGAGCATTCTCGAGTACCGCACTCTGCATGGCCGTACGTACCATAGCAGCAGACACGGAGCTGAGAAGTACTGGGGTCCGAACGATGAGCGCTCCAATGAAGCCATGGACATGAAGTAAGCCACAGAGGCGCCCGCCCCTGATTGAGTCAAATGTCTTGTCTTGTCTTGTCTTGTCTTTCTGACCTAAAGACAGCCACCATTTCATGACCCTATGTCTAGGCGGCAAGCTTCACCTTGCGCCTTTGAAAGATGACATTGAGGTGAGAATGATAAATTAGCCCTGATCAATCATGATCACGTAGCTGATTGTTTGGTAGAGAGTACTCGATATCGGTACTGCGACGGGTAATTATTCCCTCCCAAACCTCCATCCTCGTGACCTTTTTGACTAATTTGAATGATTCCTAGGCTTATGGGCAATGTGAGTGAATCTTTTGAGACTTTAAAAACTGCATGTGTATTCCAAGGTTATTTTCAAAGCTTACTTACCCGGCCCCTACCCCATTATAGCGACATGGCGGACGCCTACCCGAACTGCGAGGTGATCGGGACCGATCTCTCCCCGATCCAGCCGTCGTGGTGCCCTCCCAACGTGAAGTTCGAGATCGACGACCTGGAGGAGCCGTGGACGTACGCGCCCAACAGCTTCGACTACATCCACATCCGGTACATGGTCGGCAGCGTGTCGGACTGGACCAAGCTGTTCCGGCAGTGCTACACGGCGCTCAAGCCCGGCGGCTGGCTCGAGACCTACGAGCCCGAGGCCGACTACCGCAGCGACGACGACACCATTCCGGCGGATGCGGCGCTGTATGTCTGGCGCGATCTGTTTGCGGAGGGGGGCAAGAAGCTCGGACGCCCGTTCACGCCGGTCACGGATGATGTGCAGAGGAAGGGGGTGATTGAGGCGGGCTTTACTAATATGCATTCGAAAACTATCAAGGTTTGTCGCTTGATATGCTTGCCTCCTTTTTTGGGGGGGGGAGAGGATGTATGAATATATCCGAGCCATGTTGGTGCTGACTATATTCTAGGTACCAATAGGCGGATGGCCAGCCGATCCTAAGTTAAAGGAGATCGGGCAGTGGTCTCAGTACACGCTCGAGCAAGATTTAGAAGGTATTTCACGCTCCATTACCTACCTACTTACTTGCCTCCCCACCTACCTAGCTAAACGCATCCATACTCGCATAACCGCTAACCCCATCCTAGGCTTCGTCCTCTACATGTGGAGCACAGTTCTCGAGCGGCCCCTAGACGAGATGCATGTGTTCCTGGCCAAGTTCCGCAAGGAGATGCGCACGAGGTCGATCCACTCGTACCTCCCGCAGGTGGTGGTGTGGGCGCAGAAGCCCCTTGATGCGTAGAAACAGCTAGCTCTAGGGGGGTGGGGGAGGTTCATGATTCACGAAGCAATAGTTTTTGTTATGAGTACCTACTCTTTATTATTGGATATTGTCTTGTGTGATAGCAGCTGGTAACTAGTATATATTATGCGCAGAGAAGGAAACGGTTGAAAATACTTTTCCCCCTTAGTAGTGGGTACGGTCTAAGTCTGGGGAACAGCCATTAGCCATTACACACTCGTATCTATCAGGTAGGTACCTACCTACCCGAGTAGTGAATGAGATTTCTTCATTAAACCTATGAATCCTCTTTCCGATGCTCGGTTAAGATGCCAATTTATAGAGTTAATCTAGTCTTCGTGATGTCAGCGTAACATCTCTTCAAAGACTCCGGGAATAGCGATAGCAACAGCAACAGCAACAGCAACAGCACCTAATAACAACAGCCAGCCCCCCCACATCTATACCGGTAACCACAAACAGCCTATTTAGGTAAGTATCACAACAATTCAAAGTCTTCATTGGTTGATTGCACCCTGATAGCTTCTAAATTCTTAATACCTGCGGGCACTAATCCCCTACCTATAGTGCTCCAGGTATCCCTGCTGGGCATATGGTCGTACAGAGATAGCCCGGCACTACTATGTACATCTCCACCTCTCCACTATGGATACTAACAGTAGATTGTTACGTTCAACCGTTCAAAGGGTTACTATACTGCACTGCATTGTTGCTATATAAGAGCACCCTAACCTAAGTGCCTACACCTTTGGTGTTCGTCCGTAAGGCAGTAAGGCTCATTGATCTTAACTAAACACACTGATACCTACTACTACATACAAGTACAGTATACTACTACGTGGATAACTGACTCTAGATTGTTAGACTTGGTCCCCAGCTGTGGTCGAAGAAGGTGACGGATAGCGGGCCGAGGAGCTCTGGCATATGTAGGCATGTCCAGACACCGTGGTGTCTTAGTAGAGAGGGATCGAAGTAACGCATTCCCCTAAGACAATAACAGTCACTAGGTAATTGGATATATCATTAGACATATGGCACGATAGTTCCATTGTTAGGAAAGCCTAGGGGATTTCTTTATCTTTTTCATTTTTTTATATCTTTTCTTTTCCAAAAAAAAAAAAAAAAAAAAAAAAAAAAAAAAAAAAAAGGGGGGGGGGGGGCTTCCTAGCGACGACAACTTTCTATACAATCAGGATGAGTCATCAGGACTGTGAATTCTATGTTTGGAGCCAAACTAAGTCAACTACGTTGAGAAAGAAAAAATAGTAAAAAAAGAAAACAATATAGAAAACCGTAGTCGTTTGAGGTCTCCTCATCCAAACCAATTGTGAGATGCTGCGATGAATAATACCTATGTAGAACAAACAGCGAATTCACCAAATACATGAGATTGCAAACGCACCACCCAGGAGGGTATCACATGGACCTTTGCCCTACGTGACCATCTATAAATTACCTGACTTTGTTGTGCCTTAACACCAGCCAAGGTTAGTTGCTCGGTAAACCACGACGCTACATAGAAACAAGCAGATCACGCCTCTTCTTGTTGTTGTTCTTCTACTACTGCTGCTGTTACCATGGCACTGGAAACCACGGAAATAGACACCCCACCCAACTGGGGTGTCATTGAGTTTATCCCATCCGCCGGTCACACCAGCGTCCAACTGATAATTATTTATCGAGGCACACGACTCCACATCTACCTATTTGAAGAAGCCTTTTTCGAGTCACCCCAGCTGAGAGAGAAGTATCTGTTGTACGTTAAAGAATACTCAGATGAAAAGGTAGATAGGAGCTTCTGGAACTGGATCGTGGAGCCCTTCTACCCCCTGCTCCGTAACTTCCCATCTCCAGCGCCATCCAAGATACCAACTCTTAAAGATTACGTTTACGCCGAGACATTGACCTACATGGTTGGAGGAACAGCTTCGGGGGAGCGGGTCCCATATCATACTCCCCAGAAACAGCATACCCAGCATATCAAGTATGACGTTCGCCTTCCCGACGAGCTTTGCGAGCCCTGGCCACGCTTCCACCCATCCGAAATCAAGATATGCGCCAACAACCTTGAGGCAGCACTCTCTAGTGTGCCTAAAAAGGTGCAGCTGGTAAACGGGTCAGAAGTCTTCTTCCTCAAGCTCATTCACTATGAATATCAGGATAGAGAGTTCAGGAACTATAAGATGATTGCCGACGCGGGGCTGGACAGAGAGGAGGACTTGCGGATATCGCATCTCGAGGGCTTCGTACAAGATGAGCGCGGCGTTCTGTTAGGGCTCTTGTTTCCGTACATCAATGGCAGGAATATGACCTTGATGAGTGCCACAGAGCCATATGCATCGCCCGATTTACGCCGACGATGGGCAGACCAGGTTACGTCCACAGTGAAACGCCTTCACGCGGCTGGCGCTGTCTGGGGCGATGCGAGGGCGAGCAATGTACTGATCGACGCTGATTACAACGCCTGGGTGACCGGCTTTGACGTATATTGCACGGAGGGATTGGTAGACGACGAGTTGGCTGGCACGGTGGAAGGTGACTTGCAGGGCTTGGCTAAGATAATGGAGCACCTGGGCAAACGGGACCAGTCATAGTCCCTTGCAGGTCTAACACCGCATCAACCATGATGAATTTTCCGCAAGTTATATCGGGTAGGCCTGGGCCAGGCAATAAGAGTGTTGAGTGGCTGTATTCTGAAGTGGAAATAGGGAGCCATGAGTAGTCTGCTTAGACATTATCATCTATGGTGAAATGGTTATCAAAGCAGTGACACTTGGGTGAGCGGGATGGCAACACTAAGACCTTACCGGGACGTCAAGCTTGCAGAGGTCGTTGATGTGTTGAAACAGTTTTATGTGAAGTGAATATCAAAAGGCCATGAACGTGATACGTCTTTGGCGGGGGATTAAACTCTGAGCTTTGAACTTTTAACTTTCAACTTTCAACTTTGAAGGGTTACAAAGGTTATAATTTAGGTTAGAGTTACATATGTGCTTCATCCATCCTTCATCACATGATATGATATAATCCATATTGTAATAGACCCTTGCACTACAGGACCCTTACCTTGCTCCACCGCGGCCCCAAAGCACGCGATACCTAGTTAATACATTTAATAAGAACCATGGGACCAAAATTGGCTGATAAGATAAGGAAATAAGTTATTGTATTGGCCCGTGTGCATGTGCTTGGTACTTAGATACTGTAATAACTGTATGACAGTGTATGTACCTAGTACGGAGTAACTCCATCTCAATCAATTGAACCTCAATCCCTTGGTAAGTTATCTTTCTCCCCACCAAAATTCGAGAGTCGCGTGCGTCGTTGAATTACAAACCTCTTATTCCTCTTTTATCTCTTCCTCTTCTTCTTTTAACCGAGAACATATTACATGTACCATATTATGTACTCGGCAACTAGTACTATAGGTGCTTCATTGCTATTTTAATTTGTATTGTTTACCTTAATATATATGTGGAGCTTCGGTGGCTTCTTGTTTCGTTAAGCTGTAAAGCTAGGAGAAAGATAGAAAGGTTGAAAGGTCCGTGAGGATTCGAGTTGTAGGAAGGCTGGGGTTGATCGAATCCAAAGCCCCTCAACACCCTCTACCCTAGGTATTTCATTGAACCAAACATTCATATCAAATCACGAATCGATTGTTATTAACTTTCCCCCGCTCCATATAGTTTCCAATAGGAATTATTCCAATTAAAACAAACCCCCCCAGAACTTACGGCGGTTATCGCGCTTCTATGATCTCCTTGTCCTTCGCCGCTTCGAGCGCCCTAAGCGATTCCGGGCCGCAATATGTCTACTAGTCATGATACGGCGACAACACCTCCATCATTCGGGGATGAAAGTCCTGATATAAGCGATACCGAGTCCGGGAGCTCCTATGCCGGAAGTGCCGCCCCAGATACCCCCGTCTGTCCTTATCAGAACGCCGAGTTCTTCGGTCACGAATGCACTCGCTATCACGATTGCCCGACACACCTAGTCGAGAGAGATAATGTCGAAGATAACGCCGTCAGTGACGATGCGGTCGGCGCAAGTAGCCAATCTCCACGGCATGAAGTTATGGGACCAGCGCTGGACAGTTCAGACGAGGTTGGGGCAAGCACGGAATCAAACCCGGAACATAATAGAGTAGACACATCAATACCTGAGCAGTCGTTGCCTTTGGATACACAATCATCCCAGCCCGAGGACGATCGTTCTTCCTCGGAACGAACAAGCTCAGCGCCGGTGGCAACGATACCGCGCATAGAACCAGGTTCCGCTCCACATGAACAGGTCACCACGCCTAACGAAGCTATAGACCACTTCACCGAATCACTTCATGAATTATCCCTTAGAGATGAGGCACAGACAAACCCTGTACCTGACGCAAGTTCATCGTCGCTCGGAGAGAGGGACCAGAATGTAGCGCCGATGACCCCGCCAGAGACCCGACGGCCTACTTCGAGTTTGACCCCGATAGCATCGTCGTTCAGTCCGCGGGCAGAGAGAAGATCACCGCCTGAGATTACTCTTCCAAGGTGGCAGCCAGATAGTGAGGTGACATATTGTCCGATATGCCACACACAATTCAGCTTTTTTATTAGAAAACATCATTGCCGGTAAGTTGATACGTTTATTGAATCCGTGATGCAATTGTTCGCGGAGATCTAATATCTTGAAAGAAAATGCGGAAGAGTAGTATGCAATTCCTGCTCCCCTCATAAGATCACCATACCTCATCAATATATTGTACGACCGCCTGGTGAACGGGCATTTCAACGGTATTCATTTCTTGGAGAGGAAGGTGGCATTTCCGATTTCAGTGCTCTCGGGGGTGGTGAGCAAGTCCGATTATGCAACCCTTGTGTCCCGGATCCGAACACTACGCCACCTCAAACTCAGCACTCGGCAGGCCAATTCTCGCCGAGATCTACGCACCAGCGAACACAGAGTAGTTCTAGTAATTACGGCGGCGATAGCGCCATTCCCCGATATGCGCCGATGGTGGTATCGTCCAACATGCCTCCTGATGCTCACTCCAGGAGTCGAAGCGTTACCATGGTTAGTTTTTCGTTCCAGATTCCACGGATTTGTACTAATATTATTGCAGAGCCCAACTTCCTCAAGGCCTCCCAATAGCACTTACTTCCCACATCAGAATCGAATCATGGCGGGGACTCCTCCTACTTACTATCCTCACCCGTATTCGGGTTATCGCCATCCTTCCCTCTTAGGCCCTCGCTTCCCTGGAGCTTCTCTCATTGATCTTGCTGGCCCATCTTCCTCCTCATCCTCAGCGGCAGCCATGAACCGGCCATTACCACCACCCCCGCAGATTCCGGAGGAGGACGAGTGCCCGGTTTGTCACCGGGAACTGCCCTCACGTGAGCTACCCAATTTTGAGGCTCGCCGTGAGTCGCACATCAGCTCTTGTATCATGGCGCACAGCACGTACAGCCCCGGGCCCGATGCATCTGGTAGGCCAGGGAATCACGGACCGGTGCAACCTCGGCCTGCTCGGAGAACCGGCATGTTCCCGTACTTAGCCACAGAAAAGGACTGCGTCGATTCCGCAGAATGCACCATCTGTCTCGAAGAGTTTGAAGTCGGCGTTCCCATGGCTCGCCTAGAGTGCCTTTGCCGATTTCATCGATCGTGCATTACTGCGTGGTTTGTTGACCACCCTGGGCGATGCCCGGTGCACCAGCATGACAGCTTTGGGTATTAAAGATGCAACGAAGAAATATACCCTGTCTGCAAGCCTCTACCACATACCGCTCAACCCAGACTCTATTATATGGTCTCTCGATGAGTTTTGTTTGTATTAATAAGGTTCCTCACTCAGTTTCATACATGAGGAGGGTATCGGGACCGGGCAAACTGCCTGGGTACATTATACGACGGGGCTGGGCGTTGCAAGATGGCTTTAACACTCTTTCACTACCAAACAGTGTGCATATCTTTCCCGAGGGTTTGGTGTATCGAGGATCTTTCCTTTTTCTTTACCTTAGATGGCGTGTGGCCCCACGCCACTACCTCATAGTATGGAGTTTCTGGCGTACGAGGCCCTGTTTTTTTTTTGTCGTTCCCGGAATCTGGATAGATATATTATTATACCTTTGCTTTCCAAGGTTGTTTAAGCCCTGAAGCAAGCCTAGCAATTCGTTGCTGGGAATACATACACAGGTAGTGCTGGTTATTCTATAGGTACTACATATGTAGGTAGCGTAGTTACATAGAGGATAGGTGCTATAGGTAGCGCAAATCATCAACTTGCTCACTCACCTCAGCCAATAACTAACTAACTGCCTAGGTTAGGGGCTCTTATACCCCTGATGCTGGCTAGTTCTATTTTGCCTACATATTCCTGGGCAGGTACATACTTTGTAGTGTATGTAGGACTGTGAGAGTCTGAGCATCTTACATCACACCGTGGCCATAGTGCCATTCCGCCATGCCGCTACCATCGCTAGGGACCTAGTAAAGTCGGGGTCCTTTTTTTCCCCTTCTACATATGTAGTCATGCTAACCTAGGTAGGCAGCTTACTAAACGGCTAGCGTAGACAGTTAGCAAGTTTCAACGGGCACTTATATTAAGCAAGTTGCAGGCTAGGTAGGTAATAGGTAGGCATCTAACTTATCCTGTTGCTGAATATCGCCACCGCTATCACCGCTGCTGCTTCTTCTTCTTCTGTGCATGTGGTGGTTGTTGTTGTTGTTGTTAGTATTATGTAGGTACCCTTGTCGTCGCTGTTCCTCTGCGTTTTTTTCTTGGTTTTGTTTTGTTCCTATTCCCAATTCTTGTTTCTGTTCTTAGATAGTCGCCGCCCTCTAACCCCCTACCCCCCTACCCTTAGTCACAACCCCTATGTGTATCTCCCCGTTCGTTTGGACCGGGCTTTGCAGGGATCGCCTCTCCAACTTCCAAAACCTTGCGTAGGTAGTTGTAGTGTAGTGTAGTGTGGCTACTTACCTAAGCGTAGGTAACTAGGTAGTTACCGTAGCTAGTTAGTTAGTTAGTTAGTTGGTTAGTCCTCGAGGTGGTTAGTTAGTTTCTTTCAACAATGTTTCTTCACCGACACGGAACCTTCCTTCTTCTTTTCTTCTTCTGCTTCTACTGCAGACTGTATGTGCCAAGGTGTGTGTGTGTGTGTGTGTGTGTGTGTGTGTTAATAGAGTTCACGCTACCACTAGGTACTGTAAGTATACCCCATATCTTTGCTGGCTTACTTACTTGCGGGTTGGTTTAGTTACTTGCTGGCTTGGCCTAGGCCTAGGGGTTCTTCTATATCCTGCATTAGTGCTAACCTACATTACATACACTACATACCTAGGTAGTTGGGGTGTCTAGGTAATACTAAGGAGGTTTGGCTGGGTTGGTACATAGGTGATCAGGTTAGGTTAATAGGTTAAGTGTTGTAATAATGGGCTGTCTGAGATTCGCTGGCAGAAGCTCCCAGCCGTTTCCGTTAAGAGCTATTACATACCTAACCTAAGTAGTAGGCAAGGCATAGTTATGACTATTATCGTACGCTGTGGTTTCGTCTGGTCTAGTGTATGAAACGTGGGATACCTACGTGGCTGGCAGATGAGTGGTAGGAGGTAGTTAAGAGGTAGGAGGTATGTAAAAGCTAAGATGCCCAGGTGGTACATATGTTAGGTGACGTAGTATAGGTACAATACATACATAGGTCTACCTAGGCCCCGGCTATTACCTGTTCGGATTCCTCTTCCTTCTCTTCCCCTTAGTAAATCCCAGGTTCTAGGTTCCAAGTTCGGGATTTGGTAACTCGCAACTAGGATACAATGTTGTATGGGATGAAATAGGGGACCTGTGTTGACCCTAGGTAGTGTATGTAGTTCACAAGTGTTTGGCTGGGGGGGGTGGATGGTAGGGGGGAGAGAACCCGAGAATCGAGATCCCCTCCACTACAGGGCAGGGTAGGCACTGGGCAGGTAGGTTAGGGTCTTCAGTTGCCAGTACCTACGCTATGCTCCAATACTAGTCCATACTACACCTTGTCGCTGTATTAGCTAGCGTGTGTTGTATTGCCCTTGTATTGTATTGTACGATACAATACAATACAGTACAATACCTACATAGGTAGGCATTAACCACTAGCTTCTACCCTATCCATCCGGGTGGTTTTTCCAAGGCTACCTACCTTACCTACCCTACCTAGGTAACTACATAGTATGTATCCAAGCAACGCAACTTGATAGGCTATGGGCTATGACGTAGCGGCCCCATATGCGCCAAGGAGGCGATTTTAAACGCTGGACCCCTTATTATTCCAATCCCAACTAGATTTTGTTGCTACACTAGATAACTTACCTAGACCTAGTACAAGCGTAGGCATGTCAACGGTGTGTATGTATGTATGTACGGCGGCATAGTATGTGTACGATGCCGTTTACAGCCTATTTATGGATCGCTTTTTTACGGGGGAATCCGTTGGGTACCTAGAACGGTGGACGGCTGCGCGTTACTTGCCTCCCCGTCGCGAACAAACGGGGAGTAACTACATAGTGGATTGATTGATTGATTGATTGATTGATTGATTGATTTGATCGATTGACCAATTAATCACCTGGGCAATTAATCTTTCCCGGCCGTTGGTAAGTTTTGGATGGTGTGGCACGTTTTTCCCTCGTGCGTGCGTGCCTACTAGGTTACCTACTTACGTACATACCTACCGTAATGTAGGTTTAGATGGATATAGTGTAATAGCTCTCTTTAGAGGATTGATACGTGGTGAACCACCACGTGTATGCACATACGTTGGTAGGCAGGTAATATACATACCTAACCTACCTTAACTCCCCTTGGGATTGGGCAATAAACCACATAAAAAGCTCCTGTTGGTGGTGTCTTCGGCGGTGGCCAAGTTTTATTCTGCCTGCCTGCCTGCCTGCCTGCCTAGGTCAGTATGTATGTATACCTGTCCCCCTCTAGTTCTACCTGCATAGAGTCGGTGTGGTAGTGGTAGTGGTAGTGGTGGTATGGTGGTGATAATATGTAGGTAAGTAGGTAGTTGCGCGAGGTTGTTTGGTTTGGGCAATGGGCAATGGGCAATGGGCAATGGGCAACCGGGGTTTTCGGGAGGGGCGCCCACTTACTCGGACTCTTGCCTCTCTCCCTACCTTCTCAACGGATTGGACCCGAAATCTCCGGCTCCGAACGTGCGTTTTCTTTAGTTATGGGCTGCTACTGTCTGCAGGTGGGAAATGAGGGATAGGTATGTATGTATGTATGTATGTATGTTTGTACTATGTAGGTGTATAGGTAGGTAGGTACGCGCGCGGCGGAAACTTCCCGGGCCAACCAGTTTAACGTGGAACCGTTTTGATGCGGCCGGTATGTAGCCTGTGGGTTTTTTTTAAAAATTCTGGCATCGGGTAAGCCGACCGAGGGCGTGGCGTGCAGCTCACGTGGATTCGGTTCATGTGTGTTCGCTGTAGGTATGTACGTACGGTAGACAGGCAGATATACCTAGTAGATGCTAGGTAAGGGATAGGAAGAACTGCATATGTTAGAATGGTGCTGTAATTATTTATGAATAACCCAATCTCTTAAAGCTTAGGTGCCTAGCCAGCGAGAGTTGTCCCCCCCCCAAAAAAATCCAAGTTGCTCTGTAAACTTGGATGAATAAGCGGGCGCGATTCCTTCATCTGGCTATTGGCTCGGTGAATTTATTCTCTGCAGCTGACACATGACCTCATTTGCCCCCCGAAGGAGACCAGATATCATGTCATGTGCTCCGTATGATCGATTTCCGACGGATCTTCATCTCCTCCAAGGCCGGGGGAAAGGGACCTGAAGTAGGGGGAACTAGCGATGAAAGTCTTGAACATTGGAGAGGCTTGTATGTAGTTGTGTATCGAGCGCCGCCCATATGTAGTTCTCAATGTCGATCACCTGTCCAACATTTCAGCTCTCAACTCCCCCCCCCTTTCCCGTCCGCAGCCGATAAAACGTATTATATCGTGCAACAGAAGCACACAGTCCCATCGGTTGGGTAGGTACTCATCGTACGTTTTATTTAAATGTATCTAGGTTAGATGAATGGAAGACATCTATAAATACCTACCTACCTAGCAGCACCTGACAGAATAGACGAACGCTATTTTTACCGTTTTACCCGGCCATGCGGAGCAATATAGCAGTTTCTAATAATTGCGCTTCTACGTGGTTGTATACCTATGCATACTCGGCCGGTACATGTGATATACATAATATAATATGGCATACGCTGCTACCGCACTCTTAATTAACACCCCCAGACATTCTATCTGAGGAGGATTGCTTCCCGAAGTTCCATGCATGAGCCTCATGCGTGTACGTATGCCTCTTCTTTATTTATTCATGTATTACAGTATAGTATGAACGAACGACCTATCTTTGTATATTTCTTTTTTTTATATGCGCCGAGATAGATGCCATTTCGGGACTTGCACGCAACCCGGAACGTGCAATCAATTTGTACCTACATCTTGCACATGTACGTAAGACGTAAGTAAGATAGATGTATGTCTTGCGTCCCGCAACGCCACCCCAAAGAGTCCATCACGTACTACATCGTACTACTATCTATTCATTGTATTGTACAAAACCACATCCTCGGGGCATTCATGATCCAGCCGCATTTAACCGAGGGAGCTTTTTATTATGTGCCTGCCATTCAGCTTTTGCTGATCGGGGATGATGGTAAATAAAGGGTGAGTGAGGAAGGGAGAGGGAAGGAGGGGGGCAGAGATGAGGGGAGTTATTGTTTGAAAGAGGGCAGGATAGTCGAAGCCAAGGCAAGTCCCCTAAATAGATAGCCGACGTAGCATGATTTGAGGATCAAGGGGGGTTGACTGGGTGGCTGAGGTCACTATCGCGATAGTCCCAGCGATCGGTGGGGAGATGGACGTCGCATCAAATCCTTTTGGTTGAAATTAGACCGTTACATATAGGTAGGTACTGTATCTATTTATCTGCGTATACGTATTTCTATCATAAGTATGTATTTATCATCTAGGGCGACGCAACGAACGAACGAATAGGTTGACGGCGGCGGTACTCGGCATGTCTTGTATTACATAGTATTACATAGTACTACGTATGTACTAGGTAGGTAGGTAGGTAGGTGTATACATGTACGAAGTAGGAGGTAGGTATGTATCTAATATTGAACAAGCACCTAAAGGAACACGGTGAAAAACGATAGAATCGTCCCTCTTTCCATCCCAGGTATTCCATTCATCCAGGTAGGTATCCCACGTGCCGCGAAGGCATGCTGCGGTAAAACTCGCAGGGCTCCAGTCGCCAAATAGCAAGCACACCCATAGAAGGACCGGTGAGAAAAGCTCTGCCAAGATGGAAAACCTGAAGTTACATAGGTAATCTCTCTCTCTCTCTCTCTCTCTCTCTCTCTCTCTTTACATACCTTACCTATCATGTTACCTGCTTGACTAGTAAGTAGGTATCTAAGGTATGATACGATAATACGGATATCTTTTTCCAGGGCCACCTGCCTTACCTACCTCCCTAGAAAGTGCTAGTTAGGTCAACTTACGGTTGGTGGTGAAGAGAGAACCTGCTCTCGGGGGGGCCATAGGGCCACAGGGGTGGAATATCGAAGGGAGGAGAACTTTTAAGATGCATTAGGGGTTCAAAATGTTGGTTCTCGTCTAGCCATTATTGAACAATCGCCGCCGGAGGGGTCAAACGCCTCCTTGCCCATGTTATGTTATTGCCATTGATTGTCATGTCACGGACTTGGAACTTGTACCTGGCTAACCCGGGGAAGGCCAGGAAAGAAAGAGAAAAACAAGGGATCAATGAAGAAAAAGAAAGGGATGGATGTTGATGTTAGTGGTACTACCTAAACTATTTACTGCCATGTGTTATGTACCCTTATTACTAGTAGTATATGTACGCTAATTACATCCTATGTACAATACAATAGTAACAATACAGCCCTGGAGGTACTCCATGTACATATCGTAAGCCCTGTAAAGCCCTGGAGGTAGTAGTCAATAGCATTAAACTTAACAACCCCTCCCCCTGCCTGTCAACCCCCGCGCTGCGCTAGGTGGATACCTGTCACGAGAACAAGGGACCTCCACTCGATGACAACATCCCGCGAGGCACGGATACGCTTTGTTAGTCATCAACGTACCAGGTCAAGGTGCTTTGCTTAGAACGATTGGATCATGCAAGGGCGTACCGTATGTATTAATATTTATGTATATATGTACACAGTAGTATGGTACTTGGGTATGTACCTGGTCCTCACTTCATATGTATGTATGTACACATTCAATAGTAGACAGAAGGGTTTTAGAGGTACATATCTCGAATTGAAGATGAGGAACTTTGGAATTGAATTTCTGAATTGGACAGGTGATGCCTATGTCTGGATCTAAGATATGTATAATCATCGTCATCCTGCCCCGTCCCCAGTCTTTCGTGTAAGACGGTTGATCAGTGGGGGCGGGAAGGAGCCGCAGATCGCGCGAGTTTTAAAAGGAGAAAGGAATAGTCAGATAGAATAGATAGATGGATAGATAGATAGATAGAGACAGGCAGGACGAAGAGAGTGATAATGGTTGGGGGTTCCAATATATCTCATCGTCAGCAATCTAGGTGTGGTTACACAGTGACGACCTTCCCCGTATCCCCGATCGTGAAAGCCGGCGCCGGTTTCATGGGATTCCTCTTATCGCCTTTGCAGCATTCCGCATTCCAATCCAAACGGCCCATCCGCTCCATTTCCGATGCTAAGGTGCTGTGGTCCCTCCCCCGTATGTATAGGTAGGTCAGATAGGTTTAGTTAATACACCTATAGGATCTGAACATTCGGCATATCGTCTAGTCACCGGTCCTAGATCTCATCGATTCGACCAAGACAACCAGCGGGAAGAAGTTCGGAGGTGTCGACACCCTTATATTTCGTTTGACCGACCACACCACATCGTCTTCTTCCGTGGCCTGTTCGCAACGCACGTGGGCTGTTTATCTAGTAGACGCCTCTTCCCACCCGGACCATATGCCCCCTGGATCAGAGACACCACCGCATCTGCAGTTCATCCATCCCACCCCATCAATCCAATCTGACTAATGCATATGTCGTGCTTAATGTAGGATTTCTTTCCGATCGGACGCGCTTGTAAAAATCGATAGGTTCCCTATCACATTTCGGATCGGAAATAAAGCATATGAGCGTTGAAACTCGATGCTCACGAGAAAGGTCGATATAGGTCGAAAGGGACGAATAGAATGAAAGAGTAGAGAAAAATAGCGTGGAAGAGAGAAGAGTGGGTTGATGTTGCAAATTAACCCAGTCTGCGACACTCCTTGGCGGTACCAAAACGACGCGGATATCGTAAGCCCAACAGAATCGAATGGGAACATCGTGGAACGCACACGGGTCGGGAGTCCATAGAAGCATAGACCCGAGATAGGTGAGAGGTAATAATGGTAATGGCCGTGAAAGGTCAGGCCCGCAAATAGCACTCGTCACTGAGGGAAATCCAGCAAAAGTAGTCGAATGAACGGTTAGGCTCTATTCGCGAATCATTTCTGTTCGAACCAAAGTTATGCTCCAATGACGAGCAACGCCTACGTACATGGTGCCAAAGCCAATCATTCCCTGATTGACCGCCGAAATCAAATCGTCACTGCAAACGCCGGTTATAATGCCAAATTCCGTTCAACCCGCCCCATGTACCGATGGCAGTCCTGATGCTGGTGTGTAAGTCATGAAACGGTTGTGGTATATAGAACTCTTTTTCAACACCGGCTTCTCCGTCTCGGTACAGACACAGCACAACCCATACCCTCGTAGTGAAGCACTGTCGACAACACACTCAGTCAGATTTCCAAGTCTTCCGAACAAAGTCGACTCGAAGACTTTCCTGCTGAGGCGAAACTACTAAAACCAAGCGGCAATTGGCTGGGTACCGAATAGAAGTCGCTGTTGACGTATCGTAATGTCCGCGGAGTGTATTCCTCGGCCTGATAGGCGATTTTTCATCGCATATTCGGTATGGGTATCATAGGCGCCATCGTCGTGATATGGCGGCTGTAATCTTCTTCTTCTTCTAGCTTTCCTCCTCCAACATCCCTCCTGTGATAGGACTTCACTTCCTGCCCCTAGTAGTTGAAGTGATCTTACTCGTGCTCATCAGATCGCCGATATATTTTTGTAGGAACTTGTTGTGGTTATCTAACTTGTCGTGTTCCTCCTTCACAGCTTCTATCCTATTAAATATCATAAGGAGAGAATCTTGTAATGCTCTCGCGTGTCTACAGATTGTCAGCGGATAACCTTCTAATCTTACGAGGATGCCAACTTACTTGTGGAGCTCTTCTCGCGCTTCGCGTCCCATAACCTCAATATCCTCACTAGTCCTCCTTGGGCTCATTGCTCTAACATCGTCCGGCTCCAGATCTGGCTCAACAGGGCCGACTTGAGAAGAATCCCGAGGGACTATAAGTGTGCCACTGCTTTTCCGGTTGGGTAGTCGCGGTCGGACAGGAATAGGGTTATGTATCTCCGTTGTCTCGACGGATGATGAGGAAGATGAATCCGATCGCTCGGGAGGATTGGGCTTCGTGGATGTGGGTTCACTACTCATCGTGAACGAGGTGGGTATGCCAAATATTCCTTGCTGGTCCGAACCGTCCAAGTAGTCACCTATTTTATAGGTGGAAGCGAATTATTACTAAGTCGCAGGTACGCAAGAAAGCGGAAGGCGTGAATGTCGTATTTTTTAAGAGAAACTAAAGGCTGGCAATATGCCTTTGCTTTTTAAGCCCGTAATCCTCCCGTCGCCCAAATATTGAAGAGATCGTCACCATTCAGTAAAGAGGCCGTGCGATTGTCGAAAAGGCAGAATGGACTAAAGCGTCGGTGTACGTAGAAAGCAAACGAGAGAAGGGCGCGCGAGAAGCTGTCTTGGCTAGTTACTGCACAAAGGATACATGGACTTTCTTTTACTACCCTAGGTATAATAAAAGTGTCTTGGTTGTCTCTTGGTGTTTGGGTGGATGTGGGTTGTATAAGTCGAACTGGTTGCGATTGTTTTAAAGAGGATGGATGGGCTTTGAGTAATAAGGGAGGAAGAAGTAGGAAGAGGTTGGATGGAAGGGTCTGGTTTTACGAATCGGGGATGGGCGGGGGGGACCAATTCGACATAGGTTGAAGTGATCGTCAGTCCAAACCTTTAGGACTTGGTCGGGGGGTGCAGCAGGTGTTTTGGGGGGTGACTAGGTGACTGGGAGAAGCGTGGTTGGCTTTTTTTCGCTGGCCGAGTATGGAAGGGTTTGTATGGTCAGCATATACTTCGTGGGTCGTTTTGTCGATCAGTACCTACTATTAAGGTACTGTGACAAAATTACGGAAAAAAAGACGTTTTTTGTTTGGTCTACACTTGGTGTGACAGAGATTACGGCACGGCGCAGGGACAAGGTCGAGTGACATAGCTCACAGTACGTATAACACGGTATATTCATACATAACTATGTATGTACTACTAGTCTGTCTAGTCTCAGTGCTGTTAAGAAATGTATTTTCGGTAAGTACACTAACCTAGTACAATACAATACAACATTCAATGTAACAGCAGAATATGTATGTACCTACATACATGTACCCTACAAACATGCATCATGGATGTAAATTCAATGCTGGATGGATGTAATGTATGTATGTACATACATATGTAGAATACATACAATACATACAATACATACAATACATACAATACATACAACATTGAATACGTACCCTGAGGTCCCTAACCTAACTACGTAACCCTACGTAACTTATAACTTGGAAAGACTCCAGATGTCACTCGCTCCAAGAATATTCAAATTTTATTGAACGCTTCAAGGATTTTAGGGTTGCTCGCCTGCGCATGTACCCACGTACCATACGTAACTTCAACTTTTGGATACATTTATGTATCTTTTCTAGTCTTTTTAGAGTATGTATACGTTGCTGCCAGGTGGGAACTTTACATTAGTTCCAGGTTGAGGCGACGAGGAAAGGGGGCACGACCACGACCTTAGCTTTAATTGCTCAAGTTGTTACCGTTGCCTTCGTACGGGCTTCGCAATTGCTTTGCAATACGAACGATTAATTGTCCAAGCTTGTGTGCGTTTTGTGTCAACTTACACGATCCTATTACAGGCTACGTACGGTCTAATATCCGTATATCGGTAGAAATAGGGAGGGAACTAATATAATTCGTTTATTCGTTTATTCGTCTATACTAGGTACATATTCGATGCCTCGGACTACTATGTAGTTAGTACAACATAACACCTACTATGTGTGTAGTAGAGTCCACACTCAGCTGAGTTTTGTTGGCCACGCACAATTGTCTCCCTAGCGTTTGTTCCCTAGAAGCACTCACTCACTCCTGTGACGTTCGTTTATTACCTAGGTAAGTCCTTGCAAGGCTGAAGACACTGAAGACACTGAAGACACCGAAGACGTAGCAGTCAATGTTAACCGCTATGTTGGGATCTCATGTGGTAGACAAGCTCCAAGAAACAAAGGCTATTCCCTTAGATAAGTACGAGAAAGGCATTCATTTTCAACTACATATGTATTCCCTTTAGTCATAAGGGTTCCAGTTATTCCTATCTCAAACACAAAGAAAAAGGCCGCCATCGTCCATTAACTTTTCCGAAGAACCACTCAGGAGCCTTCACCTACAGGATCCTCGTTGCGCGCGGATCGTCTTCGGCTTGTGCGACTCCAACAGAGGGCTCATGATTGGAAGACTTGATAAGAAGTGGTCCTTTGTATGGGGAATTGACAGGCGTGGTAACGAGGAATGGGATTCTTGATGGATTCTTGTCGGGCTTGGCTAGAGGCAATCCCACCAATGACCATATCAGGAGACATGGAGCCAACCGGAGCGGTTGATGGAGCACGGCAATCTTGAGCCGTTTCTAAGGGGCTCTATGATGGGCAACTATCTTAAAAAGCTTGCTTCACGACAACCCTTTTAGTAAGTGATAAGCAACTGACTCCGTTTAACAGCCCATAAAGATGGTACTCAGGAGATTCTTACAATCTAGCGGTCGGAGCGAGGTCACTACAAAACTTCAAACATATGTTGAAGTCTTCACCGCGTCTGCTATGCTAATGTATACTTAAAATGACCAAGTTGAAATTTTTAAATAAGACACAAATACGTAGCACATTCAGACTCAGTTAGCAACTCTTGTTTTCTTTTTTTCTCTCTTTCTTCGAATTCCCTTTTCCCCCCCTGTAGGTACCTCTGTTACCTCTGTGACCTTTTTGTGTGAATCAAAACATTTAGAGGGGGGAAGTCGTTCTCAATGAAGAAAAGCAATCCGATTTGGAGGGCCGATCAAGCAGATGACTGGTTTATCGAAACACTTGGCAACAAATTTAAAGTTGTTCTTCCGCCCTACACATTAGGGCTCCATTTTACAGGATAGGAGGAGGACCCTTAAAAAAACTTGTCCAGTGGCCTTTGGCATTTTGGCAGGCCAGATGCAAGTTAGGCAAAATGCCAAATGCCATGCACTAAACCAAATTGCCATGGTAAAAATACCAACAATACCACTTGGAATTATGCCATTGCTCAGCCTATGAAGCCAGTGTCATCCCTAAATTCCTATAACTGATCCGGGTGGAAGATCATTGACAGCATTGTACAGGTTTGAACAAAGACAATCAAGGAGTTTCGAGACAAAGACGACGTGATGGCGTAATCGGTACGTTTTCGGGTCTTTTTTTTTCTTAACAAAAAAAAAAACGGTTCAATGGGTCCTGGCGCTGGGCAGTTGGTGGTCCGGGAGATGACGATTTTGGTGGACGGAACAAGCACCACGAGGCAGCCAGCAGATATATTTTTTTTTGGGCATTATCTGAGCTGAAGCTGAGCTGGGACCAGCTGTACACACAGTCCACCAATACAGTGTGGAATATTCCCAAATATTTCTAAAACCGCTGCGGGGCCCCCTAGTTACGTACCCCTGGTGTGTAGTACAGAACTGACAGTGATGTCATGTTCGAACGCGGTCCGTGGCATTTGTGGTTGTTTGAGCGTGTATTGTAACAGATGCACTATGAATACATATTAGTATATTGATATGTCGTTATTTCTAAATTCTGATAGCATTTGATCCCTACACAATCCAGTTTCCAAGATTCAAATGGCCTGTTAGAAGACGAAGTCAGAAAAGAACAATCATATTGGATGTACTTATGGAAGATGGGGGGGATCCAAATGTTAAAAGCACAACTGGGCATATCCATGCGCACTGTCCTAGTCGCATTAGGTACCCATTCAAGCGGTTCTCTGCGTGCCTTACCCGTCAAATCATTGCCTTCATGGGAAGGTATATTAGTCAATCCTCATTTGAGCCTATCACCATCAATCGAAGGCAATTTTAATAGAAGTCCGGGTTGCCCCATCTTTTTTTTTCCTAATTGTTCTTTGTTTTTCTTCTAATTTTTGCGTCTCGATTTTCTTTGATTTCTTCGATGCAAATACCCCTCTTGATGAATCTTTTTGCGTTTGGCCGCCTTGCACGAAGCCACGAGGCAGTTCATGTGGCTTCTTGCCAAAATCCGTCGCGGTGACGACATGTGTTTCCCCAGCCCTTGTAAGAGGCGAGAGGCTCTTACTTCCGGCTGCGTGGCATTCACCGCATCTTACCTAAGCTAGTCCAGTCTGCCTACCTGCCTACATACCTGTCTAGGGATGTACCTAGTTATTACTAGGTTGGCTGCTATGCAATTTATTCCTTTTTATCCCCCGCATTTGCGCCTTTGTTCAATTCAACCTTGAACCTTGAAGTTCGTCCTGTGTCAGCCACTGCGCCTGCCCAAATACAGTTCCTTAAGTATACGTACATACTTACCTAGTAGTATGTATAAGACCCTTTAAATCTCAGCCCCTCCAAGCTTCCTCTTGTCCTTGGAATTTCGTCATATCTCGAATTTATTTCCTTTAGCGATCTCTGATTGCTTGTGTACATGCAATGACATCATTGTACCCCGATAATTACAATGTAAGGTACAAGTTGTACTGCCTCTGTGTATTTTTCAACCGTTTTCATGTACAGCTCTAAGATTTATCAATGATCATTGATAGGACCACATGTGCAGTTAGCATTTTACTAAATATCAGGTACCATGTGTAGGCTCACATGCATGTGATTTGACTGGGCATACATAACGTTACGTACTAAAAGGTATGCACCTACAGATTTAAACGATGGGTTCTATGTATGTCTGCATTGAAGTTGAGTGGATTTAATTGATGTTTGTATTGTACATGTAGAATGCACCCAGTGCCACCCACAAGAGCATTGAAGTGCAGGCCTACCTGCTTGTACATACATACATACATATATGTACATACATACCCTAGGTATACATGCTATACATGCAGTAAACCAACGTTGAACCCTCACTGTTCAAGCTAAAGTGGTGCTAGTTAGTTAAATGTTGCTAAATGTATTGTTCTACATATTTATATATGTGCCACCGTAAGGATCCAGTATCAAAGTACCTAGATATACATGGACATATACATGACCATAATCAATTATACATACATGTACCCGATAAAGTACTCCGCTATCCAATTACACTTTTCGCTGATTTGTGCCCGCTTTCTTCCCAATGACCTGCAAAGACCTGCAAAGACCTGCAAGCCTCACCTTGTTCTACTACATACCTGAAAGACCATCATCCTACATCCAGTACAGTCTGTCTAGTAATCCCTTCCTACTCTCTCTCCCTCCCTCCCTTCCTCCAACGCCCGTCGCCTACAATGGTTACTGTGGTCAATGTTGCCATGTGTGTTACGTACAGGTCACCACGTAATACCGCCCGTCAAATTCAACGGCTTAGTTGTTATCAGCTAAAAATCTAAATATAATATATAAATATAATCAAGAGAAGAACTGCTCCATATAAGCAATCCATAATACGCAGCTCCTCCACCCGTTAGTCCGTTTATACAACATGTACGCTATACTACATAGTAACTTATGCTGCATCACGGGTATTCGAGCATCTTCTCGTCGAAACAGGAAGACAGACACACTTCACCGACAGGACGCTCTCACAAATTGCCGATCTTATTCTTTCGCGATAGTTGCCCGACGTGTCCGACGTGTCCGGCCAATCAGACACCTGGAAGCCAGGCATCCTCTCCTCCAAGTTTAGTATGGGAGATCGTCGGTCGTTGGGGCCATGCTGCTTTCTCGGAGCATTCTCGCCTCTAGTTATATGTCCCCCCCAAAAATATATCACGAGGGGCCTCCTTAGGTCTGCGACCTGCCACGTGCAGCATCAACTGTTGCCTCTCGTCGGCTCATATAGACCGCGCCATAGTGAGCGGGGCTTGGCTTGACTTGTGGTAAGGCATATTAACACACTCCGCTGACTTGCTTTTTCAGACGGCGGGCCATTCCGGAAATGCCTAAGGCTATCAATTTCAAGGCCAGGCAACGGTTATGTCCGTAGGCATATCGTTGGCCGTATGTGTGTATGTAACCTAGGGGGGTTTTAGGCCGCGAGGCTATCGTCACAAAAAGTATTAGGCCATGCAGGTAAGTGTAGCTGGTCTCAAAGCTGACAGTAATCGGATCGACACACCCAACCCGCAACCTCTGGAGTAAGAAGGCAACACATCTAGATCCAGTTCGTAACGTCGTGCGGTTACGGGAAGTAAGAGTTCTCGTGTTAGGCAGTTCACGAAGATCGGATCTTCACATCCAAGCTTATTATTGAGTCTGTTATCCTTCTAGCTCACTTCGAAAAGTGGAAATCTATCGAGAGCCTCGTTCTCATTTCGGTTCTTCTACTTAAGCTAGTCGATCTGCCGCCAAGCTTAGCCAAAGTCTACCGAACACGATTGGAATCTTTTGATATATACTAATAGTAGTATCGTGAAGGATTACAGAATGCCGCGTACATAGGTACCAGGTGGCTGCATAGGTGGATTTCTCCAATGAGGAATCGAAGGTTGCAGCGATCAGCAGGACGACATATGCCCTGATCAGCAATGCAAGACCACGAGCTTGAAAATGACGGAGCCCAGCCTTGACTACTCTCGACTACCGCTACCCTGTGCCAAACTGTGCATAGGTGCGGGATACCTGACAAAGAAGATTGGGTTTCGAAACAAGACTCCACCGTTCTTGATTCCTAGCACCCTCTTCTACATGTTATCAAGTCTCACATGGAACCCTCATATTGGTGTGAATAGTGGCTGCTGGAATGGGCAGGCATTAAGTCAAGTTGAGGATAAGTCTCTTCATTGTCTTGTGCAGTTCCCGCCGAGGCATGCCGCAATTAGTAAAACGCCATTTCTGAAATTCGCACCTTTGGCCTTCGGAGATGGATGTAGATCCAACGACTACTAGGTTAGGTATCTTGTTCAAATACCCAGGCGCAACGTCCGCAAATAGAAGGAAATACATCTACCAGGGAGAATCACCATCTGTACTCAGGTATCGTAGGGTCCACTCTCGAGAATATTGGTGTTGCACCTTTCTCCCCACGATTTGCGATGAATTGACTCGTAATTCGCATAGCGCGATTTACCCCCAAGGCTGCTATTACTGTTACTGTCATTGTTACTACTACCACCAGGCATCCCCAGACATGTCCAGGATGACTAGTACACACAATGAATCACCAGAATTACCAAAAGCACTTTGCTCAAAGCTTGATTAAAGTTTGGAGTCTGGCTGAACTGCGTCGGATGCGAGCTGTTATGACGGCATAAGCCCATATCGTATGTGGTACGTCACGACTTCACGTCGGGCTAACCATATTTTTTCATTATCAATAGCGCCTCTTATACAACGTAAGAAGGTATTTGATGGCATAGTCGATTATATATAAGCCATTTACAACTACAAACGGGATTATGGCGCTGTCTTCGAGCCAATGGGCAGACTTGTCGGTCCGGAAGTATGTTGCCTGGGACGCGGCGAATGTGGAAGTTTTCCCACCGCACGAAGAAGAAGACATGAAGGCTGTGATCACATTAGTTAACGAGATGCAGCAGCGTCAATACGACAAGGCACGACATTGTTATGGCGGTACCCACGCGAGAACTCAAGGTATCATCAAAGGCAAACTCGTGGTACCAGGGGATCTACCATGGCACCTAAAACAATCTGAGCTTTTTAGGGAGGCCGGTGAATATCCTGTCGCTTGTCGCTACAGTTCGGAGCCAGGAGATCCAGGTATAGATGCAAGTGCTTCAGAGCCCGAGGATCTGAAATCAGACTAACATACCCGACAGGACCGTATACCTCAGCCGCGGGGATTCGCTATGAAAATATTCAATGTAAAGGGGGAAATGTTCGACGCTGGCGGAGACGATCCCACTCAGGATATTGAATTTAATAGTACCCCGGTGACAGAGCTCGCCGATGCGAAAACTGCCAGAGAAATCTTGGAGATGCGTCTCACATATGGTCATGATAAGCCAGAGCTGTATAAGCACTTGAAGGAGCGGCAAGACAGTAGGCTTCAGCTTTCTCGAGACAATGTTCCAAATTATCATCTCGAGTCTTTGCAATGGTACTCGCAAAGCCCCTACCGTTTCGGGAACTTCGTTATGAAGTTCAGGCTCATCCCATCGACGGAGACGCAGTGTGAACTTTCAAATTTGACGGTCAAACCGGAAGATGGCCAGGATGTCCTTCATCGATGGCTTAGAGAATTCCACTTCAATCACGATGCCGCGTTCTTATTTGAAGTACAGCTACTTGAGAACCTAGACGAACAATCAGTTGAGTACTCCGGGACTGTTTGGGATGAGAAGAAATATCCATGGCAGCCCATCGCGGAACTGGTGATCCCTAAGCAGGATAGTTGGAACCTGGCTCGGAAGACCTTTTGGGAGGATCACATGAGAGTTGATCCGGTTAGTAAGCTCCTTTTGTTTCTGCCGACGGCATTCGCATCTGTTTTTATCACTCTAAGCTATGTTTTTTACACATACAACTTACTCTCCACCTTACCCAGTGTCTTTAACAAAGCTCCTAGTAGTTTCGCTGACTCGTTTTCTGTAGTGGCATGGCTTAGTATCACTGCAGCCATTAGGAGGGACAAATCGATTAAGGAGAGCTTGTGAGTTCAAAAGCCCCTTTTACGAAACTGCGCCCAAATCGTGTCACTGTGCTCATATAATCGGTAGTATATCCGGCTAGCAGTGCCCTCAGAAGGAAAATGAACGCAAGGCCGGAAATCCATGTCAAAGGTATCGACGAAATTCCTGGGTAAATGCCTTGTGCTCAGTATGCCGCTATCGTGGGATCGCCAACGTCGCATTCGCATTCGGTGCTCGCAAGCCAAGGGATAGTCCTACATTAGCGAGTCAGTCGGAATATATGCGAGGTTCTCCGTTGTCGGATAGAATATTGTAGTATAACATGGAATTAAATGCCATACACGTTCATACCTGATAGGTTAGGCTGATAGATCACCTGGGCAGTGTGCACATTACCACGCTCTTTTCTAATAGTAGCCACAACATTGAGGAATATACCGAGTTATGTTACAGGCCGGGCACAGCGCGTAGGTTACGTAGGTTACATAGAGCCTCATGGCAAGAACCAAGTCATCGTGAGTCACAAGCTGCAAGCCTAAGTCCAGCTTGGGTATAAATAAACTACCAGACACCTACCTAATGTATCGTGGGTATAGCGCACATCAGTCATAGTTGCAGCGCAGCGCATCGCATCGCATCGCACCACGGCTATACTATAGTATACGCCTGCGCAATCAGCTATTGCGAAGCTCTGGTTGGCTGCCTACGAGGGGGCTCGACAAACGGACCAAACCAACGGACGAAAAGGATTCGAATTCTTGGGCCACACGGCGGGAGCGGGAACCCAATGCCATGCCATGACTTGCTAGGTACCAAGCACCTAAGGTTAAGTTGAATAAAGGCCTTTTTTTGTTTTTTACCGTTTGCCGACTAACTAACTAACTAACTAACTAACTAACTAGGTAGGTTAGTTAATACCTCCTTCTCGTTCGGTGGAATGATTGACATATATGTAGTCTTGGTTTCGCCGGGAACCGGGTATGCTGCTCTATAGTAGTAGTATAGGTAACTATGTATGTATCTCTCTCGCTCACCCCTCAAGCTCGGCATTGCGGCCCCCCCCCCCTGCCTTTTTTTTTTTTTTTTTTTTTCAACAGTAGTTAGCCCCCTTGTAATTATTTATTTGGAGGCGCTTCTGCCTGCGTTGGGTACTGGGTACTAAGTATGTACATACCTATAGCTTGTTTGAGTGGTTTTTATGGTTTTACTTTGGTTAGGTAGGTAGTTACCCTAGGTTGGCAGTTTGGTAATTATGTAGTTGGTGATTTGTGGTTGGTAGGTAGGTAGGTAGGTAGGTAGGTTAGTTGTTGCTTGGGGGAGATCGCTGCTGGATTGCGGTTAAGTTAGGGTTTGGCGATTACGTAGGGGGAGGGGGGAGGGGGGAGGGGCTAGTTATGAATAGTTATATGAAGGTAGTATGTTTATGGGGCAGGGTTAGGGTTAGGGTTAAACTAGGTAAGGGGCTTCGTTGGACATGTGGGATTGGTTTCCAATTGAATGTTGATTCTATTCACAGTATTATAGGTGTGCTTTTTATGTTACTACCTACATATGTAATCACACTTAGGTACCTGCTATTAACTACTATAACTCAGGTGCCTAGGTAATACAGACAAGTAATGGTCGACATAGCACAGATGCCTACTACTTAATTAGAGAGTAAGTCTTTACTTGAAAAGTATTCCTTAAGGGTTACATAGGAAATGACGTTTCTTGAGTGCTAACTACTAAAGTACAATCTGGGTAGTAGTTTTCATAGCTCTTCGCGTGTATGTGCAGATAATTGGACACAGCAACTGGTACATGATTTGCCCCTTCGACCTAGCCAGAGAATCTCATGAGAGAAACAGAAAAAGAAAAAAAACATTGAGACGGCCGCATGGCCAAGTGTCTGCAATGATACAGCTAATATGAAACCCGAACTATCCTTCCCATCGTTAACTACCAAGCTACCAGAAAACCCATTGTCAATTGCTACCTGCCCACGTACTTCCAATTGACCCCCTCGACTATCTAGGGATCTTCATCGACTATCTCGTGGTCAGTGATGTCAGCGAAGATGTGAGTTGGTACGAATTTCGGAGCACGATCTTCGATCCAGCTCCACCAGGTCACACCAGTCGGGTGCATCAGGGTATGGTTTTCGAAGGCATCTATTTGGCCTCCGATCTCTGGAATGCTGGCGCATGTTGTGATGCACCACAAGGGACTGGCATCAACAAAATGACTCTGGAATGTCTCTCGAGCCACGCTCGAGACGGTACCGAGTTCTTTCATGCGAGCGATGACCTCGCTGCTGAGGGCAGGCTCGATCATATTGGTGGCAGCGTCGGCGGTGTCGGCGACGCGAAGGCTGGTGCAAGTAACAGAGTTGTTGTTGAATAACTTGGACTTGAGGACAGGGTCCAAGTGGTCGACGAAGGTGGGCGTATCTGCCATGTCGATGTAGACGGTGGCCAGGCTGATAAGGTTGCGAGGGCCGATGACCGCCGCAAGCATGTTGTAGGCCAGCGCACCATCCTCATAGATTTCGTGAGGAATGGTCATATGCCTCAAAAATGGGGCCAATTCTCCCACTAAATATAACTCTCGTTAGCTATGGCTGCCTACTTTGTATCGTATATCCATAGGAACTTGAAGAAGGGAGTACAGGTAATACTCAGATACAATAGAAAGGGCTTTGGGGAGTAGAATAAGACAGGAATATGAGACGTTTAGACTTACAATCGGCGAATGCCCCGTTGACATGGACACCGTCCCACAGGAAGATGTCAGTTGCTGGGCGAAACCAGGTAATCTCGCCGTCACCAAGCTCAAAGAAGCGGCCGCGCTTGAGAGCAATATATCGTGACATACGACAGACTTGGGTAAGCACGGATGGCTTCTGGCGAATGATGACCTCAGTTCCACGGCACATGATGTAGCGAGGCTGCTCTTCAGCCGCCTGTTATGGACAGCGAAGGTTAGACATGCTTTGATGAGCCCAAGAGTGGTTTTTCAGAAGAACGTTGAAATGGAACAACAGGAAGGAGTTGGTGGGCGGTTGATAGAAGTTACATACCGTGAATATCATCCACATGAGACTGCGACGTATGCTCTTGAACTTAGGGAAATGCTTGGGTCCCAATTCCAGGGTTAACAACTTGTCAACGCTGATAGACTCCATCGCGAACAGGAGCAGCGTGGCTCTTGTGTGAAGTAGGGAAAATAAAGTGAGGCGGCGGGGAATGTGTGTTGATGAAGGTCAATAAAACCGACGCGTAGTGAATGTAAATGAACGCAAAAACGTCAATGTTTGGGTAGTGGTAAGTAGAAAGGTGAACGACGAGCTTACTACTCGGCGCCTGATATTGAAAGTGAAAGGAATACTGGGCTAAAGACCAGTGGGGCAGTGGGTGAAGGAGATATTTATAAATTGAGATATGTGTGTGGGAAAAGAAGGGTTTCTTGAAATTTCAAGCGAAAAAGTAGATTCTTTATATAGAAAACCTGAAAGGTAGGCAGGTGCGTGACTGATCCTATGGTTTTGGCAACTACATCAGTTTCCAACGTGCGGAATGTACTCTAGAGTGAGTGCCCCTTTTGGGACATATATGCCCTAAAATGGACTCACACAAGTCATTTAATCAGCCTGAAAGGTTCCACTTCTTAGGTATTTTGGGCAAGTGCTGGGCTGATTCTGCCATCACCAGCTATGGTGCCGTCCATAATAGGCAGGGGGTGAAGTGCTCCTGCTACTTGCCAGCCTGATACCAGCCGTAAAGGCTCCATTCTACAGCTGACGCTAAACCACATCGAGGGAAACTGCGGCGTTATTTCCATCCAAATTAGGTCAAGCGGTGACTTAAAGGTCTACAGTATGGATAGTACGGTAGGGGGTTCCTGCTATTCGATCACAGACCTACTAGGTACCATCTTATGTGAATAAAGGTAAAGAATCAGTAACAGGTACTAATAAGTACATGTCCCACGTCCTAACTCGCTGCTTTCTTGCTGTCACTCACGGTACCCATTATGTACCCAGCATTCTACAGCAGGGAGCCTCATAAATGTTCCCCATCCTAATCACAAATATAAAGAGCGTTCCTTCCTTCCTTCCTTCCTCGTTATATATATGCCTAGGTACTAGGTACCTAGGCACGAGTTTGGTAGTAATGTGCTTGTCACAGCCTACTTTGGTACGTTGGTGTGCTAGAGCAAGCCCTAACCTACCTACATTGTTACCTAGATACGTAACAGGTGGTGACAGCAGAATAATGAACAACAATCCTATTGTACCTATATGGAACTGTATACTTTTCTCCTTAATAATAGTCTTAAGCTGTATCCGTGTGATTCTTGTAATTCACTATCTAGTGGAGAGGATGATACGAAACCAAATAAGAAGACTACCCAGTGGAAGATCTCCATTTTTACACGCAACTATGGAATTATGGCGATGACCACTATTATATAACCTATGTGAAATGTCCCATTGTCTACCTAGGTACGTACTAGGGATAAGAAAGCTGAAGAGGATTTTACATGCTGATCTACTTTACCATACCAAGTCCAGTCTATATACCTACCTAGTAGGTAGTAATGTTCTAGACCACTTTCGAATTTCTATAGATTCGAGTGAGAAGTGAGGTGAGGTTTTCATTAAAAAAGTTTATATCGTCAGTACGGCAAAGATCATGTATATGTCACAAAAGTATAGCTGACAACCAGATATACTAACTAATTGATAACACAATACCTACTGGAGAAAAATCATCAACTTATATCTTATACTCCCGTTCCAAGAAACCAAGTTCACGAATCACGATATAGTTGGCTATAGTTTCAACGATGCACTATGATTGGTCCATACTTAGGTAGACTAGGTTCCGGGATCAACTTACTTACGACAGCCACTAAAATTGATCTTACTTGCCTGATTGGGCAATTGGACGGAAGGGCGTACATGTAATCCTGCAGCCAAGGTGTCATAGTACATTACATGTACTGTAGTACAGACTCTAGTACAGAGACGGGAATCGGGATAGATTGTGTAACCTTACCTGGGTACCTATCTACTGGCTAATAATTGTACCTTATAAGTCGTCCCCCCCCCTTCCGAGCTCCTTACTCAGTCCTCATATTTATAGCAAATTCCAATCATTATTCACTATTCACTTAGTTAGGGGTCTTTATATTTTACTACCCAACAGCACAATGGCCGCAAAAGTCGCATCCGCCTCTGTACCCTCAGACCCAGCAGCCCCCAAGCCAGAGTTCAAAGTAACCATCAGCGACGCCACGCTATCCGATGCCGCAGCGATATCCCTGGTCGGCACCAACACCTTCACTGCGACCTTCGGGCACTCCGCCCCGCAAAAAGACATCGCCAACTACCTCGCCTCGGCATACTCCCCAGCCGCCATCGAGGCCGAGATCCTGAACGCAGAGAAAAACCGGACCAGCATATTCGTCGCGCGCGACGACGCCGGTGCCGTGCGCGGGTTCGTGCAGTTTGCGCGCGGCGTCAGCGACCCGAACCTACCGGCAGCGGAGGCCGCGTCGCACGCCGAGTTCTGCCGGCTCTACGTCGACACTGCGGCGCACGGGAAGGGGATCGGGAGCAAGCTCATCGCGGCCGTCGAGGATGCGGCGAGGGCAGAGGGCTTCAAGGTGGTGTGGCTGACGGTGTGGGAAAACCACCCGAATGCGCACCGGCTGTATCAGAGGCAGGGGTACGTGAAGGTCGGGGAGGCGGAGTTTGTGGTCGGTGATTGTGTGCAGATCGATTGGGTGTTTGCGAAGAATCTGTGAAATATTTTTTTTGGTGTGGTGCGTCGGGTTGGCTCATCTGAATTTTGGTGTTTTGAAGCTGCGATGTTGCTATAGATTTGCATAAACTAACCTACCTACTAAGACAATTGAGTCATTTAGATCGCAAGCCAGGAAAACATCTCTAATTGATCTTCTTGCCTCAAAACTCGAATGCCAATAGCTAATGTGAAGAAATAGAGATAAACAAGACGAGGCCCAAAATACATCTGGTCAATCCTCCAAAAGGGGCAGCAAAAATCTAAGAGTCATACTCATATTTTTACATAGCAGTATTCAAATTAAAGATACAAGAGGTAAACTAGCTGTACCTATGTACACAATGGATTCCTTTGCAGCGGCTCAACTTTCCAAAGCCACCTCCGTTCGTCTCAGATTCTTCCCACCAACCCTTACACTCACCGCGCCCTCCCCCTCCACAAACAGCTCAACTCTCTCCCTTGGCCACAAGGTAACATAGTTATCGGACCAGAACACCGGCAAAACGTACTCGCCATCCTTATCAAGTAAATCGAGCCTGACGAAGAACGCCGGGACGGCGGAGTGGTTCTCGAGCACGACCTTGGTCTTGGTCTTGGCCCCCCGCTTCGGCAGCGACAGCGTCGGGGTCGTGGCGGAGACGTTGGCAGCGGGCAGGGTGTTCAGCGCCGTAAAGTCGACGTACGCCGTCACGGGCGTGTAGAACCAGTCCGAGTTCTCCCAGTCGAGCGTGTCGACGGTGTTGGTGAGCCAGTACACGTTGCGGCTAAGCACGGCGCCTTGGTCGTCCGAGAGGACGAGACGTAAGAAAGCGGTACCCGTGAGTTTGGTGACGGTTGCTGAGAGATCTATGATTTCTTGGCTGGTGTTCGGCTCTGTGTCTATATCATCGCTGGTGTGGTAGATCGCCTTGCCGTTCTTGTCAATGACATCCACTGCCACCGTTCTCGGCCCCTTTCGGTACAGCGAGTGGTTGATCAGATGGACAGCCCGCGATCGGTAGTTGTACGCCACGTGCTCGATACGCGCGCCCACCTTCGCGCCAAAGTACGATCCTGCGGGGTGCAGGTAGTAGTCGAACAGGTTCCAGTGCAAGCTCGGCCACGCATTATTCAGCATCCAGTAAACCAGCCCCGTCGCCGGCCTCTCCGCGCTCCACAGCGCCGAGAACCCCTCAAACTGCGCTCGCGTCGCCTCGTAATCCATGATCTGCGCCTTGAACAGGTAGTCCTCCAACGACGACGGCGCTCCGTAGCGCTTCCACAGCGCGGCGTTGTAGATCTTGCGGTTGTAGAACGAGGACACGTTCGTCGACATGTGGTACAGCCCCTTGTTCGGGCTTTTCCAGAGATCCTCGAGATCGGCCTCCGAGAGGAACTTCTGCAGACTGCCTAGCTCGGGCGTGCCCACGCCAGCACCGAGCTCAGACCCGAACCCAAACGCGGCGCCGAAGCGCTCCGCCGACGTCGCCGGCTCGACGTCGTACCAGTAGTTGGGCGGCACCCAGTCGTACGGCCCCGCCATCTTCAGCCCCGAGGGTCCCAGGACCTTGGGATACCCGCGCTCGGAGGCCGAGGCGATGATGGGCGCCTGCCAGTCCCCAGCTTTCAGCGAGTAGTAGTACATCTCGGCCGCCTTGTCGTCGGGCCAGTAGTCGCTGCCGACCAGCTGGCCCAGCATGCTCGGGTGGGCCTGCTGCATGACCGCCTCGTGGTACATGCTGCGGTTCGCGATCCCGTAGTCGGCGTCCGTCCACTCGGCCTTGACGGCGAGGTCCTCGTTGTACGTCCACGCCTCCCACTTGTCGCAGCACTCCCAGCCCGCCAACACCATCAACCCGAGGCGGTCCGCGATCTCGTAGAGTTCCGGCTGCTCGTTTTTGCCCTCGAGCCGGACTGTGTTGAGGCCCAGGTCGAGCATGAGCGCGGCTTGCGAGGTGAATTTTGCACTGTCCTAAGTGGTCTCGTCAGCAAGCCTGCTACACCGTATCTTCATGTCTCGTTCATTGCATTGTATTTCCTTACCCAGCGTAGAAACATGTCCGCGGAGTAGCCCGCCCCGATGACTTGGAAGGGGTACCCGTTGACGTAGAACACCGTGTCGTTATGCTCGTTCAGTTCTGAGGTCACCTGGCGTATACCAAAAGTCTGTTCTACCTTGTCCGAAACGGTTCCGTTGGTGGTGGTTGCCAATAACTGACCCGTGTACAGGGGCTGCTCGCCCCACTGCTTTGGCCACCAGATCTCGGGTTCGTTTATCGCCGTCGACAGCGCCACTTCCCTTGATTCGGACGGAGGTATCGCGACCGTTCCGTGGAACACGTAGCTTTTCTCGCCCCCGTTGAGAGATATGGTGGCCGTTAGCTCCACCGTCGCTTCGGTGTCCTCCAAGTTCGTCACCGTCGTTTTTAAGCTGATGAGTGCACTGGAATGCTCGACTGGGAGACTCGTCTGTGTGGTGATCCGGAGCGGCGATAGTGTGAACTGCCCCGTCTGCTTGATTTCTATATTGCGCCATACGCCGGTGCCCTGGTCGCCGGGGTATGGGTTCCAGTCTGGAGGGTTAGCTTCTTAGTGAGGTGATGCGCGTGTGTCTAGGTACCTGCTTACCTACGAAGCCCAGAGCAAAATCGTAATTGTAATCCGTAGGGTATACTCGTACGGCTATTGCATTCGTCTCCTTTGCGAGCTGCGTGACATCGTAAGAATTCCCGACGTAGGCGCCTGCCTGGACCTTGCTGTTCGCGATCTCCTGGCCATTTACATAGATATCGGCCCGAGAGGTGATCCCGTGTGTTACGACTTGGTAATGCCTGCCTGGCTCGGGGGGGTCGAGAGTGAACTCCTGTCGGTAGATCCAGGGGACCTTGAATTGGCTCGAGTTGAACTTCTCCAGGGCATTGGAAAAGAATAGTCCGTCCTCGCGGTAGACGCCAGCTTCTATAAGACAGCCCAGAAGAGTGCAGCGAGAGACGCCAACTTGGTGCCACGTGGTAGTGTCAACACCAGGGAAGGATAACGTTTCCAAGTCCGCACCGGCCTTCTCGCTCGACTGGATGTTCCACGATGGTATGACAGCGACGTCGCCGGGTTCGGTTACCAGTGCTGCGGTGGTAAGGGTGTTGATGCTGAGGCTGAGCCCCAACAGTTGTCGGCCCAGGTGCATATTAGCGAGAAACCCCTAACCTACCTAGGCAAAGAAAATATTATACAAAGGTAGGTAGGCTATTGAAGCCATAGAGCCGTGGGACAGAAACTGCATTTAAAGAACTGGAAGGCACCTATATTATCCATTCTACCAGACGGGCAGGTAGGTACCTACGCTAGGGAACACCCGCAGGCTGCAGGACACCTAATCAGGCAACTCACGCTGTCTTCCTCCCCCCGCAGTCTGATCTATCCATCTGGCCTCGATCGCTGGTTACTTAGGCCTAGATGCGTCAAGTAGATTAGCTACTAGTGGGCCTTCAATACGATGGCTTGCGGTTCGGTTAAAGGAGAGGCTCATAAACATCCATTGGAACGTTTCATTTCAACCTTTTCTTTTTCTCCTATCTTGGCATTTGGTTTTCGTGTTGCTGAAGGATCTGGATAATATACTCTGATTGAAATTACGTACTTGGGAAATTTGCTCGTTGGCCGTGGCAATGCTATGGGAGTATACATGCCTTTGAAGTGTTGGCATCTATTTATAAAGGGGCCACTCACATTCGTGCAATGGAAGGAACACTATGTAATACATAAATGTTCCAATTAGCAAGTTCTCATCTTCTTCTCATTGACGCCTCCATATGTATCACATCACTGTCTCCGGCCCATCTAGACGAAGCAATCTCGACATGAAGATGTAAAATGGGAAAAGGGGGTAAAAAGGCGAAGAAAGAAATTAATAAGTTCACGATATTCTAAACTATTAAATGGCTCCCCGAGGCTGAGAGAAGGGAGTGATTCATAATAGCCTAGTGGGATATGGGCGACGTGATAGGATCAATCACTTACCTAGGTAAAATTATTATCATGAATCCTACGACGTTTGCCTCAACCGAAACACTCTCCTGGCTCAAATGTGACTCATGCTATCTACCTAGGCAGTGAGCTTTTTTAGAGCCTCTACCTTCTACCTTAAAGTAGGACGAGCAAGCCTTTTCTTATATACTCAGTGTTTACCTAGTATTTTATTGAATCTTGCGGTAACAGCTCAACTTCAACCTTTCCTACTTAGATTGCACCATTCTCGAGAATATGGCGCCTCTTAGTATCATTGAAAAAAACGCAATTGTTGTCAAGATTCAGCAGCAGCTTTCCAAGACTCCTTATGCCTGCTCTTCTCTGACGCATCTCACCAATGGGACCACCAACTTCGTTTTCCGGGGCACTCTCATCCAACCACTCGTCCAATCCCACTCAACCCCGGACAATCAATCATCTCCCATTGCTAGATCTATCATCGTCAAGCATGCCACCGAGTTTGCCGCGCTGAACAGGGACCTACCCATCGATGCTTCACGCAGTGTAATTATTTTATTTTATATTCAAGCTATGCAAAGATACCAGTCCGCACAACACTTACCATGAAAATTACTTACACGAGATCTAGATCGTTGAGGGGTCCATGCTTGATATCCTGAACAACTTGCCCTCCACCAACTCTATGGTAAAAGTACCGCATCTACTCTATTTTGACCGAGAAACCAATACTCAAGTTCTAGAGGATATTCCCAATGTCGTAGATCTCAAGACCATATTAATGTCACCCAATGCCAATGAGGTCTTAACTAAACCATTTGCAACCTTAGTTGGTCGCGCCCTAGGATCTTGGCTTCGTTCGTTCCATTCCTGGACTTCGAAACTTCCCCCCGCCAATCTGGGAGAGGAGAAGCTGAAGATTGGAACCAATGAACCCATGAGAGATCTCAAATATCGCATTTCCTACGACTGCTTCATCGATGTGCTCAAGCAGTTCCCAGGTGTTATTGGCAAGCACCAGAGCGTATTGGAAGAAGTCAAAGCCAGTGCAGCCAATGATTTCAGGAGACTGCCGAGTGAGGATCAAGATGAGGGATGGGGCACCATCCACGGGGATTTCTGGACTGGAAAGTAAGTTCATCCATCTCAACGTACAGCCTACTTACCTACCTACCTACACTTACACGCCACCCCAGCGTTCTCCTCCCAGAAACCCAGCAACCCCAAGAAAGTCCCAAACTGCACATCGTAGATTGGGAATTCGCGCAGTTCGGCCACCGAGCGTACGACGTCGGGCAGATGATCGCGGACCTGTACGAGCGGAAGCACTTCCTGGACGTCGAGGGCGCGCTATGGGGCATCGACGCTTTCATAGATGGCTACGGCGCCGTCAGTGAAGACATGGCTTTCCGCATTGCGATACACGCGGGAGTGCACCTCGTCACGTGGATGAAGAGAGGCCCGCCGCTGCATATGCGTGCTGCGTGGGCGACGCTGGAGCGGGCGAGGGCGGTGGTGGAGTTGGGGATGAATTTTGTGCTGAAGGGGTGGGAAAGGGATAGGGGGTGGTTTAGGGGGAGTATTTTAGCTGGCTTGTTTATCTGAAGACTGAAGATGGTGGAGTTGTACTGTAGCAATTACGAAGTAGAGAAGTTCAATATGCAGCGGTTAAAAATGCAATATCAATTAGTATTTCTAAATCGGGGCTCTAGAACAATGATATGGGTCCGTGCATCATTAGCCTAGAAACCCCTCCAACGGTTGGCTCGAGCTTTTTTTTTCAGGAAGCCTCTTTCTCGAATTAAATCGACGTCAAGCTCTAAATCCATTTAAGCTTTTTTTTTAAAAACAGCTTTCTCAACTCTGCTGCGAATCAAAAATCGAAAGAAGAAGGATAAAGATAAAGATAAGGATTTAAGGATTAAGGATAACAAGATTTAAATAAAAAAAAATAAAAAGATAAAAGCAGTTTGTTGATGCGCTTACCTTCATCTTCATCATCAACCACTCAACATCAAATGAAATGATGACTCCCGCAACCACAGCATCAGCACGCGTTGGCGCCGCCGCTGCTTTTGGCCCCCGCGGCCTCAAGCTGCAAGTCGCATTTGTGAGAGGGGCAACAAGCGGGACAGCAAGCAAACATTGTTGCCCCTACTCTTCCTTATCGATTCTCACTACTGCGCGACAACAGTGCACGAGCATGAGCATGACCCGCACCACCAAGTCGATCACATCATCAACCAAGACCCCTCAGTCTACTATAATAGCCAGAAGACCCGCGCCTGTGCAGTCCCAGTTCATAGCTCGCCGCAATGCTTCTACCGCCACCACCCCCAATACCAACCCCGCCTCCTCCTCCACTTCCACCACAGCAGATCCTCCTCTCGACTGGAACTCCTTCTTCACGCTGCGCAAGACGCGCCGACGCTTCCAGGTGTTCAGCAGCCTGATAACGATGTCGATCGGCGGGACCGCGGGCGCGATGCTGCTCGTGAACATGGACATGGACTGGCTGCTGAGCAAGGTGCCGATGGACCCCTTCTTCGCGCTGGGCATCATGACCATGAGCTTCGCGGGGCTCGGCTGGCTCGCGGGCCCGAGCGTGGGTTCCTCGCTCTTCTACGTCTTCAAGCGCGGCGTCAAGAAGCCCATGGCCGTCAAGGAGTCCGAGTTCTTCGCCCGCATCAAGAAGAACAGGGTCGACCCCAGCAACAGCTCCTTGAGCGGAAACGCTGGTAAGTTTAAGTCACTTATTATATGAATCTCTACAGCTAGCTTTGTGTGAAAATGACAATATTGGCTAACGATGATTGCTAATAATAGTACCCGACTTCTACGGCGAGAAGATCTCCAGTGTGGCTGGCTACAGGCAATGGCTGAAGGACCAAAGGGCATTCAACAAGAAGCGCACGAGCTTCGTCTAATGATATGATTGATTGAAATTCAGGAAGGTGGTTTTTGGTTTGGGGGTATGAAAGTGAAGAGGGAAACAAAAAATTGGGCGGAATATCACGATTGACGTTAACTGTGGTGGCGGTATTCACAGGGTTCGATGTTTCTTCCGGTTATTGAGTGAACGGACATATCTACCTGCCTACTTGCACTTGGCTTTGTAGGGAGGGTACTCAGTAGGTAGTATCTCCAGGCCATGAAAACGAAAAGTAGGAAGGGAAAAAAAAGTCACCGAAAAAAAAAAGCAATTCACGATGTAATATGGCGTTCCGGGCCTCTCCCTCTATAGTGTATCATCAGGAATTGAAATTGGTATGGATCTGGAATGCAAAACCCCCTTCCGTATCGGAATTTTTTATATATTTTTATTTTAAAAAATTGAGTTATTCTTTTTGCCATGGCAGTATAGCAGTGGTTTTACTTTACTTTACTTTGCTTTACTTCTACCCTACGTGAAAGGCATAGACTTGTCAACCTCGTGTTTCCAAGCTCGCATCCCACCCTTGATATCTCCCACGAAACGCTGCCCATTCCTGTCCAGGCCCATCTCCTTTAACCGTTGCGCCACCAGTTGCGAGTCGTTCCCAACCCGGCACACCACGTATATTGGCGCATCAGCTGGTAGCGAGTCCGGTACATAGTCCGGGGTGGGAATATTTTCTCCGTTGTCGTTGCCGTTGCCGTTGCCGTTTCCGTTTCCGTTCAGGGGTGGTGGCTTGCCGCGCGACTGCAGCGAGGAGAAGGGCACGTTGACGGCCCCTGGTATGTTGGCGATGTCGAAGTGTTCCCGCTCGCGAACATCCAGCAGTAGGTGTTGTTTTGGAACACCGTGTTGCGTTGCTTCGGCTTCGGCTTCGGCTGCTAGAGCAATATCCCTGTACTCCGCAGCGGAAATCCTCTCCTCGGGCTTGAGCACGTTGACCGGCTGCGTCACGCCGCAGAACTGGACGTAGTCCAGCGAGCCGGATCGCAGTTCTTTCAGGGTCAGCGTCGAGCTGGACCCGCACGCGAAGCAGTCCGGTCTCCGCCGTCTCATCCTGATGGACCGGAACGGCGTGCTCGAAGTAGCGGAGAAGAGAAGCAGGGTAGGCGTAGGGACCTCCCGTGGCAGCGAGCCCGAGCCTGTCGTGTCCTTCGCTGTCCCTATCCCGGCCACGATTAGTTTAATAGCCTCCAGCGCTTGCAGCACGCCCATGACGCCGACGACCGGCCCCAGTATGCCCCCCTCACCGCAGCTAATCACGCTATCCGCCGGTGGCGGCTTGGGGAACACGCAGCGGTAGCACGGGCCGCCTGTGTCTGTCTCTCCCTGCGCCGCGGGCGGGTTATTCAGCACGATCAGCTGGCCATCCGTCCGCAGCGCCGACGCAGAAACCAGCGGTTTTCCTAGCAGCACGCAGATATCCGATACCAGGTACCGCGAGGTCGGGTGGTCGGTGCAGTCGAGCACGACGTCGTACCTCCCGACGACGTCCTCGGCGTTCTGCGGCGTCAGGTGCTCTCTGTGCGGCACGTACGCCACGTTCGGGTTGAGCGCGCGGGCATACGCGATCAGGCTGTCGACTTTCGGCGTGCCGACGCGCGAGGTGCTGTGCGCGATCTGCCGGTGCAGGTTCGAGGCCTCGACGGTGTCGCCGTCGACGACGCCGAGGGTCCCGATGCCGGCGCCGGAGAGGTACGCGGTGGCGGGGCAGCCGAGGCCGCCGGCGCCGATGATTAGTATGGAGGTCGACTTGAGGCGCAGTTGCCCCTGGATCCCGACGGCGGGGAGGATGAGCTGCCGGCCGTAGCGGGAGTATTCATCTTCTTGTAGCGGCCACTTCCACTCCGGGTGGAGGAGGTCGTTGGTGGAAGGTTTTGAGCTGGTCTCCTGAGCCTCGAGTTCTTCTCTTTCCAGTTGCCTTCGTAACTCTTCGAGCTCTTGCTCCGCCTGCAGGATTTTCCTGCGGAGCTGCTCTGCCTTGGTGGGAACTGTTGAACCCATACTATCCATGACTCTGGGTACCTATGTGTCCATGCACAGATAGTACCGCCGAGATGGTTGAGCGCTAAACTGCCTAGGTGGCCGGGTACATAGCTTCCTTTGACGCCAGTCAAGGTTGAACTTGTGTAAAATTAAATCATAGCTGGAGATGCAATAAGACGAAGCATTGAAGCAAACCTGGATTACGTAAATAGGGCAGGTATGTAACTTCAATGAGATCAGATTAAAATCAGATTTATAAAATATCTTTATGGTCCCGCTCCCGTTTTCTCCACTCGGATCAATCCCGATAAATGTAACACTCTACTAGTAGTACTATGGTAGCTCTTACATAGTGCTATGTGGGAAGTTCTACATTAAGCGCAACGGACGGATACATACATACATACCTACATCATAATAAACCTTTCAGCTGCTCAGTGCTTACGAATACCCAGGTATGGATCTACTCAAGGGTCCCTTCCATCGGTCGACATATTTGGTCTGATCATGCATAGAAGGTTTTCCCGAGTCTCTGGATCTATCGCTTACATTGGTTGAAGCCTTGAAGGTAGTGGTTTGGTTCGTTGTCTTGACTCTAGTATCTACAATAGGTATAATCAGATCTACAAATCTCATACTTAACAAAATCTTTATCCCTCACTTCCTTTCTCATACCAAAGCCGCCGGCTTCTTACCGAGCTGAACCTCATAATTTAAATGCCTTGACAACGGTGGGGATTATATGAATCTCCCTAGCCCATATAAAGGCCGGTTACCTAGCGATTCAATCCTAATCCATCAAGACCCTCCCTGGTACCTACATAGTTTGACGACGAACTACCCACCTACGTCAATACTAAATAGGCAATCTTCCTAGCCTGGCCGACGCCACTGACCCCCACTATAAGCCGGATGGGTGTGCTCTAAATGCAGAGGATGTCTAATAGCCTTTTTTTTCTTTTCCACGGGACACCCCATCAGGTGAAAAAAGCTGATCGGATACGAAAATGCAAGGAGGTCTCAAGTGACCCAAAAGTTTGACGATGATTTGCCTTATCACCACCCATCTGGTCCTAGGAAAAAAGCGAGGATACCGTTTCATCGACATAAATAGCCGCTAACAAGTCTCCATGGTAAGGGCCCTTTCTCCGTGTTCCAGCTCCACGGGGTATTAGGGTAGGCCCCAACTGGAACAATAGTTTCTCTTACGTACATAGGTCCCCTTGTATTAGGGTCCTCTTGTTCCTGGAAGCCAAGCGACCGAGTGGTGGAGTTGAATATGATGGCGCAGAAATTTTATCAGATTCCACTCATCGAACCATCTTGCACATAGTATGTATAATACATACAATATGTATAGGTAGGTATGTAGGTATGTAAGTATACTAATAATACTATAAGAGAGATATTGACAAAGATGAATGACAGCAGTTTTCTGTAAATGCATTTAACTATAATAGTACAGTAGGTAACAAGTAAATGTTTCATATGCCTGGCATACTCCCAGGGAAGACAACATTAAACTGGTGATATGTACATGAAGCTAAACTTTAACATTGAGCTTAATAAAGAAAAAAAAAAGTCCATTGCTTTTCTTTTAATCTTTTCTTCTTCAACCGTTCAACGTCTGGGTAAGAGCCTGGAGAGCTCTAACGGTCTAACCTAGACCGGGTGTACAGTAGGCTGTCAGTAGCAGTGTACCTAGTAGCATCTACAATTACAAGGTACATCTACAGTCAGATCCTTGTCAATGTGGCTGACCAGTAAAGATTCCTTGTATCGCATTGCGATCCCCCCACCATCCATCTCCTCTTCACTTCCTCACTTTTCCTTGGTCTGCCTACCAGGCTCTACCCAGTCCAACCGGGCCAGTTTAACCAACGAGACCAACTACATACCACTACATACCACTACATACATAGTATCAGGTTAAACGAGACTTCATACCACTAAGCCCACTGGCCTTACTGTTGCGACTACCTACCTAGTCCTTAGCTTTTCATTTCAATTTTACTTGCGACTTTGTATAGCTCGTTCCGAGTCTGCTAGTCTTCCTAGTACAAAGCCCTTCTTCCTAATCTATATACATTCTACATACCTAGTTGCGGGTATCGGCTGAAGGTTCGGAATCTTTCGCGCCGCCTTGCTTTCTTCCACAAAGCCTAAGAAACTTACGAGATGCATTAATCAACTTCTTCACTACGCTCGCTCTACGCCCACCCGGAACTACAATCCTAGCGCCAACGACGACTGCGTCAAAATCATACCGGAAGGAGTCTTGTCTTGTTGGACTGAAATATTTCAACGTTTGCCGCTCGTGGCGAGAAAGGATTACCCAACGGTTGCCGCGAGGTGACCGAGCTCGACATCAGCGACAACTTTTATCTCTCCAGACGGTCTAGTACCGTCACCGCCAAGATATAGCCATGATGGATTCGGGGTCTTGGAACGGGCAAGACCAAGCACTGTCTTCGTCGGGCGAGGATGACTTTCAGCAATATCTGGAGATGGGTGGAATGACAAGCCTCGGCGATGGGTTGCAATTTGATTTTCAGGACTTTCCTGGCACGAATGGTCCCTCGATGATGCATCATTCACATGGCGATGCCATCGATACCCCGATGACCAACTCGAATATACCGGCCACCATTGCGAGAAACGATATGGGGCCGCAAAGTCAGATGTCTCCGATGACTTCTGCGCCTAATCACTCCGGGATCTCGTCACACATGATGACTCCACATCATACATCTTCTGATGCTATTTCCGAAATTGATGCACAGATCCAATTCCTGCAACAGCAGAGGTTGCAGCAGGAAAGGAGACAGCTTGTGGAGCAGCAGAGACGGTTTCATGAACAGCAAGCAGCATTCTATGCTCAGCAGCAGCAGCGAAACATCGTGCCCCCAACTCCACAGAGCCTTGAAATTCAAGCAGCAACCCAATTTTTTGCGCAACAAGACCAAGCGCATTCCTCAGGCTTATTCGATGGATACCATCACCTCAAGGAGCAACAGGATGTACGTCGTTTCCTCCCCAGCCTAGAAGTAAATTTCGCTTACCGTCCCTGCAGATGGCTTTCACTCCGCTCGTATCACCCGCCGTGACACCTCTTGAGTCTCACTTCTCTGTTGACAACGCATTCACCCACTCGGGGCCTTACTTTAGCCCCTTAACATCACCTGCGCTTCATGCGCAGAATGATCCTACGTCCATGTTTGATCATAGACACTCAACTCACACCACCAATTCCCCCGTGGATATGGACATCGAACCATCCCCGTCTACGAATGTTACGACGAATCTTTCCAAAAAGGTGCGCAAGAGCAATGCGACAAAGGCGAGAAAGCAAAGCGTTCGGCAATCCCCCATCACGAAACCTCAAAGGCGGAAAACCGGCTCAACTCCCATAATCAATGCCCAGGCACTTAGTGAACTAGCTGAATCTGTAGCTGAGACCTTGGAGCATCCACCCAATCCCAAATCAATTTCCGCTACGTCGACGGAGGACTCAGAGAACGCTTCAGTGTCCCCGGAAGCGCTCTCTGAGATGCCACCTCCACCAATACCCCCACCACGTTCTGCTAGACAATCTCCGTACATCCAGCCTCAGACGAACGAGAATGTAGTGCCTTTACCGTTGCCGGGAGCCCTCGCCGGGAAACCGTCGCCTGCCACGCCGGCATCTCTGTTCAGGATTTCACCGAAGAGTAAATCGGCAGACGGAAGCAATCCTGAACAGAGTGGCTCCGAACATATAGAAAGTTTTGAGCTTCCCGAGTCTATCAATTTCTCTAAACCAGAACTTCCATCATTAGATACGCAGCTACCCGTGCAGTCACTTGCTGAAGTGGGAACGGCAAAAGGCTCAAACTTCCAACCCCTTCCATCCCCCATTTTCCCTAAGCCTACCCAGACAGGATCAGCAAGCCAAAGCCCGCAGATTACCCCCAAATCATCTACCCCAAACATTAGAAAGACTCCTCTCATAGCTCCAAGAGGGCCGAAGAAGAGGGCGAGCATCAGTTCTATCTCGCCAGCTCTACGTCCGAAAATATCGCCGAATATCAAGCCACTACTCCCAGGTACACCTGGCATGTCTGCCGAAGATTCTGCATCGAGACTACTAACTTCCAAGTCGAATTACCAAAACATTCTAGAAGGAAATACTGTACCAGGAGTTTCCTATCCGAGCGAACTATCGACCAATCTAACTTCAAAACGGACGTCTCACAAAATTGCGGAGCAAGGGCGTCGAAATCGGATCAACTCAGCCCTTCAGGAAATTGCAACTCTACTCCCGAAAGGTGCAGGCAAAGATTCAAGTGAAGGCGATTGTGAGGGTGGGGCTGGGGACAAGAAAGACAAGCAATCCAACTCACAGAACAGCAAGGCCAGTACAGTGGAGCAAGCCATTGAATACATAAAACAACTACAACAAGAGATAGTTGAAGCGAATAGGAGAGCGGAAGAAGCCGAGAAAAGGCTTGGGAAGAAAACAACGACGGCTAGTTAATACGACGAGCTTATAGACGAGTTTATGGACCATGACGAAGACGTATGAGGTTGTCATTTGTTAAAAATCGATCGGTTGGGGGGTGTTGGCTTGACAGCTCACCAGCTTGGAACATCGAATAAAGGGACGACCACGTAGGAAGAAGATTTAATAGACCCTGTTAATAGAGATATGGATTTGGAAAACAGGGGGTTTGAGTATAATAATACGTAGTGATGTCGCTATGAAGACATTTTATACTATAATTAAAATGCCTGTTGGGTAGCCATCCAGTAGTAGTCATCATCTAATCAATGGAAGCCAGACTCTACTGCTACATATAAGTCAGGGGAAATAGTCCATAAGGAAGCTGTACTTCTAAGGGGCATATAAAGGAGAAATACTAGGTACCTAGTAGTATTGTTGAATGACTAATAAGTTAGTAATAACTACCGACGTAGAAGCCTGAGGTCTCCAATCGGGGAATTAACCGATGATCATCCGAATGGTGCAATCCCGAACCGCGTTGATAAGGTCCCAACGATTCATATGTAGTGGAGTCGCTGGAGTGGCAAGGTATTAGATAAGGTTTAAGAGGTATCCAATCCATGGATGTTATGTAGCATGATGACCTACACCTGCTTTTTATTAGGCTGACAGGGAGCTAGTGTCCTGTTGCCTTTACAACGCAGCTGCAACGGAATTTCCAACCTTGCTCATCTTCTTTCCGTCAACACACACATATCCATTTCATTTCCCCACCCTACACACTCTACTTTTTTTTTTCGTTTCTCCCATCATTGCGCGTCAAATCTTGTGTTGTCAGCTATTGGCAGATCTAGTACTGGTAGCTGAATTACACAACATTCGAACTCGCTTCGAGAAGAAGGGAAAAAAACAACTATTAAACAAAACAAGGGAGGAAAAGTTTTGGCGACTCTAAAAGTGTCGCGTCGTTACGCCGTTTCTATTCGACGTCATCACTAAAAAGTGTCTCAACGGTGTCCACTACTACAGATAGGCTACCTCCTAGGCATCACTTGTTATCGGCCCAAGGTGCTAATTTCGCAACGGCCAACATATACACTTTTTTTTTTCTTTATTTCTTATATTGCGCACTTGTTTAAACCCAAGTGTTTACTACCAAGGCAAACATCGTCTCGACCCTGTTTATTCGCTAGCTATCCGAAATGTCCGATACAGAGAGTCTTGATTACCTTCAACCAGGCTTCGATGCGAAGACCTTGACCGTCCCGCGCCTACGATCGATTCTAGTTGCCCACAATGTGCCATACTCATCCAGCGCAAAGAAGGCACAGCTGGTCGATCTCTTTAATCAACATATTGTCCCGCAATCAAAGAAGATACTAGCTGCCCGCGCACGAGCTAAGCGCTCCAGCAAAGGAATCGTCGATGCAGAATCGCAAAGCAGCAGTAACCCATTTGAGGAGCACGAAGAACTTCAACCTCCTGTTCGTCCTACCCGTACCACTCGCTCAAGGTCACCTAGGAAGCCACCTGTCAGAGTCAAGTCCGAGGAGCTTGAAGATGAGCCATTGCCACCACCTACGCCTAGTCCTGCTAAGCGAAAGCCTCGTGCATCAAGCCGACCCGTCCAAGCTTCAGACACAGATACCGGTCCGGAGCCTGAACCTAGTCGAACGCTAAGCAAAGTTCGACGGCCCGTTCTTGCGCCTCGCATCAAAACCGAGGATTCCGAAGAAGGCCTCTTCCGACGTACCTCGGATGTCTTCACCAGTGATAATCCATTCCAGAGTGGTAGCTCCCCCCCAACTGTGGAACAGACCCCAGTTAACCGTCGAAGAACTGCCGGAGGAGACAAGTCGCGAAGTACTAGTACCGGTACGCGGCGACGGGCAGAAGCTCAGCCTGTTCAGCCGGCCCAACCTGCCCCCAGGGACGAGCGGTTCATTATGCCTAGAAGTTATGGGACCCCTTTACCCCAGAAGCTAGTTCCAAAGGTTCCAGAACCCTTTGCGGTTGAGGCTGGAGAAGAGTTCACTCCGGAAGAGCAGCTTGAACTCGATGCAGATGATGTTGTACAAGGAGACAGCGCAGCTGTTGCAGCTAGACAACCTCGCCAGTCCAGCAACACCAGCTGGGGCACACTCTCCTCGATCCTGTTTATGGCACTTGTGAGTGGCTATGGCGGATGGTATCGACAGGAGAAGATTGCTGTGGGTTATTGTGGTGTAGGTCAGACTGGAAGCTCGATTCCTACCGAGATTGAAACCCCCGAATGGGCGCAATCTGTCCTGCCACCCCAAATTACGATCCCGCAATCACTTATCGACTCCGTAGAACCCGAGTGCGAACCCTGCCCTGCTCATGCTTACTGCTACGCGGACTACTCCGTTTTATGCGAACAGGACTACATCCTAAAGCCTCACCCACTTTCTCTGGGTGGTGTTCTCCCTTTGCCCCCAACATGTGAGCCGGATGGTGTAAAGGTTCGCCGGGTCCAAGCCGTAGCGGACAAAGCAGTTGAAGAACTTCGTGAGAGAACTGCCAATTATGAGTGCGGTGAACCTGTGAATGAGGAGGGCGCGAGGCTAGAAACCCCTTCTATCGAGGAACAAGAGTTGAAGCAGATCATCAGCCAGAAGAGAAGCAAGAAAATGAGCAATCAAGAGTTTGAGGATCTTTGGGGATCTGCACTGGGTGAGATCAAAGCTAGAGAAGAAGTAGAGGTTGAAGTTAAGGAGTAAGTTTTGCTATTATTTCGTTAACGACCATCTGCAGTGGTCTTTTTTCTGTTATTTATGCTCGGGGCGTTTGTGCCATACTTAAAAATATCAAGTCTCTGACCAATGCGACTAACCAGAGCTCCTCCGGCGCCCATAGAACCCCCGATTCCGGAAGTATTTCAAACACCTACTTATCATCCACCTCTCTCGCTCGAATTTCGATCGCCTGCGCCGTCCGGCGCTCGATCCGGCTCGGGCTGGCAAGATATCGATTCCATATTAGCTTCGTAGTCGCGACTATCCTAACGGCCATCTACATGCGATACCAGTACAAAGCCAATCGAGCGGCAGCAGCCCAGGTACCCGCCTTGGTAGACATTGTCCTCGAAAGATTGGCGAACCAGAAACAGCTAGCCGACGATGATATCGACGATCCTTGGCTTTTCCTGCCCAACTTGCGCGACGATGTACTACGATCGGTTCACTCTCTCGCGCAACGTGAGAAGATCTGGCAGAGAGTTCGAGCGGTCGTCGAGCAAAACAGCAATGTTCGGACTGGCCAGCGCGAGGGACGTAGTGGCGAGGTCGGTCGGGCGTGGGAGTGGATCGGACCTATGACCGGGGACCATAGCATCAGGCGCCGGAGAAGTGGCCGCAGCTCGTTCAACCCAGATGTTAGTGTGGCGAGCATAGAGTCGCCAAGTGTCGGGGCAGCAGATAAAAGTTCTCGCCTGCGTCATCAGAAGTGGGAGGAGCCGAGGCCCATTTACTAATACACCTACCTAATGGGTACTGATGGGGATGGTTGTCTGGTATTTGCCTAAGGGTTTCATGATCAAGTCATTTTAGAGTACAAAGATGGTACTAGAAGACGAATTGTCTGCCTATCTGTCGGCTGAGGCGTTTAAGGATTCTGGTTGTTATTCCCCCTTTGCGGCGTGTTTTCCCCCCTCCTACAAGTACCTGGCTAGCTAGGTCCTTGTAGGCTGACTATGTGCTCATGGAACGGCACGTGGATATCTGGTGGTGGTGGTGGTTGTTTCCCCCGTCTTCTTTGTAATTTACAGCATCATACTGTAACGTCTAGATAGGTAGCCTCGTGGTGTGTGATGTGGTGCGGTGTGGCGTAGGGTTAATATCCCAACCCTACGGAGCATCTCCCCGCCGTTTGTTCATACCTAACCTACTCATGTACCTAGTTTACCTGCCTAATGTACGTGTCTCGGTCTTTTTTTGTGCCCCCGATCCCCATGAGTGTTGATGTTCGTAGATGTCTGGGCGTGTATTGTTCTACCTACCTACCTAAGATGGCAGGTACGACTTCAAGTACATCGTCGTAGGCATGTACCTATGATATGTACTGTAGATCGCTAACCTACATCCTTACTAAGTAGGTAGGTAGGTAGGTAGGCAATGGAATCAATCAATCAATCAATCCTCTCATCATCGCCACGAACCTCACGTCTCACGTAAGGTGAGGTGAGGTGAGGTGAGGCCTGGAGGTCTCGGCGTGTTCTGTGCCGTGCCGTGCCGTTCTTTCGCTTTTACGCCACGTACGTAGTGTACGTAGGATCTAGGTTAGTATATACTACTTACCTAGGTACCTATGTAGGTGTGTATAGGTACATATAGGTACTGTACATACTGTACGTACATAAGTATATATATATATATATATATCATATGGCTCCCGCGCGTGTTGATGTAACTAACTACAGTACATGTAGTTATAGGATCTAGGTACAATACATCATGTAATACCTAGTAGTAGTTAGTTATATGAAACTTCCGTTGGCGTATATACCTACCTAGGTAGTTAGGTATACAGTATGTGTGCCTACCTGCGTAACATGAAGTTAGGGATCCGAGGCATCTTGTTACGTACGGTGTGGAGGCAAAGGCAAAATAAACACGAATACATAGGTAGTAGCAGATATAATGAAGTATCCGTACGAAGCAGCACAGTTCCCAAGTGTCAAGAATCACAAGTCATGTAAGGTAAGAGTGGTGGCTGTTTTGTTTAAGTAGGTGTGCATACAATTAATCCTCCAGAACCACTTACAAAGTTACTACATACACACGTACAGGTTACCGAATACCCGAGAACAACTATCTATGTACTACATATATTGAGACAACACATCCCAGGTCCGGCCACCCGGCCAGACCTTTGTGTTATAGCGGCTATCGCGAGAATATCGGGAAGGGGGGAAACTCCAGATATCTGCGAAGAGCACGCCGGCTAATAGGTATGTAGTAGTAGATACACACGCTCACGCACACACCCGCCTATGTAGACGAACAGATTACACAGGACTCCCTTTCTCCCCCCTCCCTCTTCTAAATCCCTTCCTCCTCTTCTAACCCCCCCTCTCTTCTAAATCCCTCCCCCATTCCCCCCTTTCCTTACATATTAGACCAACAGTGAAGCTGACCAGAAAGATCTTTCACTCTTTCTTCCTCGCGCCGCCCCTGTCTCCATCTTCACCCAACCCCCTATCAAACAGACAGAATACGCTCAAAAAGTTCGACAAACAGGAAAAAAGGGGGTGTATTTATCGAAAACCAGGATACAATAACCGAGTGTTCGGGACCATAATCGCCATAATCGCCTTGGTGGAGACAAAGAGTCTAAAAAGTGGTATCATGCAAAGAATGTGTAATCGAAATGGACGGCAGCAGCCGAATTAGCGATTGTAGAAAAACGAAGATAGATTGTGGGAATGGAAAATAAATAAATTTGGCTGATGACTAGGTAGGTAGGTCGAGAAAAGAACCGAGGACGCCTCAACGTCCTGGAGATGTACAGTAAATGCTGAGTATATGAACACAATTTCAAATAGGGTACCGGCAAGCTGCGCCTTTCCGAATGCGAGCAAAAGGTTAAAAGAGGTTTGCTTGTAGGTACAAATGCTGAGGGTATGTATGTACGATATGTACCAGGTATATAGTTTATGTATATGTAAATTAACGGCATGCCCCAGGGCAGCGTGTGGTGTAATGGTGACCAAACGAGGGTGTTGCTCTCTTCTGACTGACTCCCCTTCTTTTCCTACGTGGGTATGATGACTCGTCTATCTCATGGCGTAGCCCCTGAGTGTGAATGCAGAACTTTTTTTTTCGCTCCGTAAGAATGGGTATAAGCGAAGGTCATGAATGGTCTCGTAACAGGATCATTAAGGGTATGAACGCCAAAAGGGAATAGAATACTAAAGGCAATGGGTTCTTGATGCTCAACTAGCTGGCTTGTTTTCATTTAGATTCAACCAGCTCAGGTCGTTTGAGGTGGAACCCACACCTGGCGGAGGTTGTGTATGGAAATCGATGGGAGGTATGCTGATGCGAGCTGGCCCAGAGGCTGTTTGGAAAAAGGTCTGGCTGTAAACACTGCTGGCAGCCCGCGCTGGGTTCGATTTTACCATCGCCGGGTCCCAGTCTTCATGAACACTGGCTGGAATGCCGCTGGAATAGCCAGAGGACGAGGCGACAGAGACAGGTCGCTCAATCTGAGCCCACATTTCTTCTCCTACTTTGGGGTTGTGTGCGACTGTCGGGCTAGCCGAGTGAACGCGGTTCAATTCTGGTCGGCCCTCAACTCGTAAGGCAGGCACCGTAGCCGAATCCTGAGTTAAACGATTTTTGTTGGTATATACGGAGCTTGGCTCCGTGGCACCGGTTTCACGGCGTGAGGCATTACCGCTATTTCCGAACCCGAAGATAGAAAGTGCGCTACCACCAGACCAGTACCGATTCCAACCGGAACTCCTTCTCGTTGTTCCATCTTGGGCTACTTCTAGCCTAGAATGGGATTTGGGTTCGTTCGCGTTTCTTGCGAAAGAAATGCCCTTCTCCTCTTGTGCAAGAACATCAGGCTCCTGGGGCTGCGGCCGGCCAATACTACTCTTGAATTGTTTGTTGAAAATTTCACTGACAGAGCTACGTTTCGACTCGCTGCTAGTTTTGCGTTGTACTGCGGGTTTTTGAACCTTGCCCATCAAAATAGCCATAGAGGAGAAAGAACCTGCCGATTCCTGTTGAGCGTGTCCACGGAAGTGACCAGCCGAGGTCTTCGCCATTTCCGGCTTGTACAAATCCTTCTCATCAGGTACTCCACTGTCTCTTCGGGCCTGTCCAGCCTCGACATGGTTCTGTCGCTTCCGCATATGCTTGATCCAGAACAGAAGGCACATTAAGAGAATGGCAAAACCAAATATAGTCCCCAATACTACGCCGAGAAGAGTAGTCGGGGGTAGATCACTGCCTGAAGCATCGGAGTCGTCGGATGCCTTGGAAGCGACTGTGGGGGCGACAGAAGGGGCCTGGGTTGTGCTAGTAACTGATGAGACGGCAGAAGAACTTAGTGCTGATGTTGATGTCGGCGTCGGCGAAGGCGATGATGATGATAATCCAGATGTCGATGATGGGACAGATTGAATAGAAAAGACTTGTTGGCCGAATACAGATTCTGCGTCCTTCCAACCGTTCTCTTTCGCATTAAACATAACCAATGGCTCCTCATCATTGCCACCTGTTATAACCACTAAGCCATTTGAATCGGTAGCCAGGGAATAGCCCTCGCGCGTGCTTTGCGGTGCGCCAGTCGAGTTATAGTTCGGCCAGCTGTCAGCTGTGAGATCACGCTTCTCAGGACTATTTCTTCCTTCCACTGCTCTCTTAGCTGGCGCGGTTGTCGTGGCCGGTACAGCGTTTACTAAGGGGGCTCCATTAGCCAATAGTAGCATCGTTCTATTGACGGTATTTGGCGAAGCACTGAGGTCGAATGTGTAAAGATGCTTGCTACCGTCAATGCCGTTTATTAAAGCGCCCTTTACTATCGTCGTACTCTTTTGCAGTGGTTCAGCCAGAGTTACCCCAGATTCACCCCAGCCATTAGTTGTATCGAATAGCATCACCTTCGTGTTAGTTGGGTTACCGCCGATCATGGCTGCTTGAGTCTCTGACCATGGGAGAAGGATCGGTGCCACTGCTGGGGGTGAGTTACCGGACTGGAAAGCCAACACCGAGTGTGGCTCAGACGCCATAATTGCGAAAGTCTGAGATGATAAATTCGGTTGGCCATCTGTGGATCCTGAGTACATCAAAATCGTATCACTGCTATTAATGTACGTTGCACTGTGATATTGCCGGTCTTGCGCCACGGTTACCTGCGGAGTTATCGTTTCCCATTTTCCAGTAGAATATGTATACTTTTGAAGGCCAGTATAATCAGATGAGCTGGCTGACTTTCCACCGACTACGAAAAAGCCGGCTGCCGCGTCATCTTTTGGTGTTGACCCGACACAAACACCGCCGTCAACCGAGTGGCCTTCTGGTAGTTTTTTCCATTGGGCTCCGTCCTCCAAGGCTATCGATTCGAATCCCCCGGCAGAGAAGGAATAGAGGGTATTGTTGAAAATAGCGCTGCAAGCGCCTGTTAAAGACACTGGTGGTTCAGGGACCGACATGTTATAATTAAGACAAACCCGTCTTTCCCAAGTGACTCCGGATGCTGTGAACAACGAGAGCTGGTGGAACGGCCTACGGATTATTGGCTCCTATCAGAAGATCATGGTCAAATACCAAAAGAAGATGAAGCGAAGTTGACGATGTTAGAACCAATTGTCGATATCGTGTCGTGATAAGTTGGGGCGCAGCAAGCTGTTCGTATTGTCGGTTAATGATAGTAAGCTATGCTATTGAAGCCAGATAGCGATTCCTCCAGTAGGCCAATGGCGATAGAAAGCAAAGATCGAAAATAATTAAGTCCACTCGATGGGCCACTGGTAGCCGCCTAACTGGTGTCGTCCTCGAAACAGTCACCCTGATGTCGTTGTTGACGTGAAGCACATCCGACTCTGGACACTCAAGAGTAGGCCTACGCTGTAGAATGATCTGCAGAACAAGTTTGGACAATTCCCGAGTGGAAAAGTTGTTTCCGACCAGATCTCAATGGAGATTACCTAGTATACAGCAGGGCTGGGTGGAAACAGCCGATCGCTCTCCTGAAGGGTGATATGTCGCAGGTCTTCAGGGTAAACCTTATGAACCAATGCAATGCCCCGACAGGTCTTCTTGCTTTGCCTAAAAGGTGGTCTACTCCTTATACACTACACATAAATAGGGTTAGTTTTCGTACGGGATATATCGATGCGTCGCAATATACGAGAGAGCGATGAGCGATAAAACAGGCTAGCAGCAGCAGAACGAAGGAGATAAAGCGACCTACAGAAAAGGCGATGGTAAAAGCCAGGTGACGTTCAGACGACCAGCGATTAAGAGACACTGACGAAAGACGAAGGAAGGAAAAGAAGGAGAGGATACAAGCGAGATTTAGCAAGCAGTGAGATGGGATAGAAAGATAATTCCCGAAAGAGAGGCAAGCTGCAGGGCAGGTTAGGAGGGAGCAAGGAGCAAGGAGCAAGGAGCAAGGCTACTACTAGGTTAAGAAAATAGGTAGTAACATTGAAGGTAATAGTTAATGTTTATCATGAAAGGACGAAAAAGAAAAGTCGTCCCAACATTGAACAGACGCACAAACAGAGCAAACAAGCAGTAAACTGGTAAAAGTGATGAATGGAGCAACTCGAAAAGAGGAAGAACGGGAATACGACATGGGGGAACCGACCAGGGACAATACCAGGGTCCCCGGGCAGTTTGCGGATCCACCCATAGTGTAGTCAAATAGGATGATGGCAATCTTCAGGGGCAGAAGATAAAAAAGCTAGCCTATTGAGATGGTGCGAGGTAGGGCGAGGTACCTTGAACGATTAGGATACGTCTGAGAGCGTCAGACCCGCCGGGCGATGCAAGGTACCTAGATGAGAAAGGAGTACATGCAATTACCCTTAGGCTGGGCATGTAAAGCGTCGCCATACATTGTGGAGCTGTACTACGGCAAGGTTCAATGTTACTAGCAGAAATAGGGGCAGAGTGTATTTTATCCTTGCTGATACCACCATATCACTGCCAGTGCCATCAGTGCCATCAGCATCAGGTAACATATCAGGTGGAGAGACTTTCTTTCCTTTTTTTCTTTTTTTCTCCTCGCGTGGTTGCGGGTCCAGCGAAGGATTTCGCGACATGATTCTCTTTGATTATCTTTTCAACTTTTGATCATCCTTTTCTCTTCTGCTGTAGTACACTTTCGGAGTCGATTCGATCCGTATTATTAGGAGGTGCCCATTTATAGGCCAACGGTATTTTTATAGTAAGACAAGAGAAGATCAAATATATTATCTACACACCTACTATGTACATAATAGTATGTACATTTTAATAGTATCGTTGAATAGAGGTTACACACATAATAACTACTCCAGAGTCCATACGAAGTCCTATCGTCCATACGTAGTCACTAGTGTAGTATGTAATATGTAGTATGTTGCATGTACCATAGTAATGCTCGGTAGGTAGCAGCATGTAAGTAATACACATAACGAAGTTGGGGGTGATACCATAATTGTGATTGGGGAGGACAAGCCAAAGAAAAAAGAATAGGCCAATCGAAAATCACTGCGTGCGTAGTTCAAATATCAAATCAATGTTATTTCTATGTCTTCTGCGAGTACGAAGCGAATGAAGCGTGAAGCGATAAGGTACTTTACCTATTTTAGCTTGAGCACGACGGACACTAAACCACTAAAAGAAGGCATACACAACATGAAACGCCAAACCCCACCTCTCACCTACACTCTTACTACTTTAGGTACTAGCTAAGTCTCACACTACGACGCTCAGGTCAGGACCGTCAGGTACACTACGTAGGTCCCGGTACCGCTAACTTGGGCATTTCCACAATTTATGTATTATTATCCTACGCTGCAGCACTGCTAGGTAACTAACTAGTAGGTACATATGTACTACTAGACTTAGTAGACTACCTAGTACTAGTACACCACGAATATGTACCGAACATTGTACCGCTTGAATGGTATCAGCATCACCATCAGCATCCACATTAACCCTCACATACCGACATGGCAGCATGGTTCATTCAGCATTGGCATTGGCATTGGCATTGGCATTGACATTTGTGCTTTAATCTTCTTCATATTACTCCATACCTTCATAACAATGGGAGAACAGTGTAGGATTTCCCTTTCCTCATTGCGATCTTTTGTCCAAGGTCGGAAGGCTCGTGGAAGTTTCGCAAGCCCTTGGAAGACCCATGGGAGTGGAAATCCGTCGAAACAAATCGGGGCCGAACTTGTGCCCGTAAACCCAGCAGGCTGTCATTCATTTTTGATTGCTTCATTCGCTTTAAGAATACACTAGTATTACATACACGTAATTATGTACTTCATCTACTTACTTAGGTACGGATACATATCTATCCTAAAAGGCACAATACGTGTATAATGTTGTTATAAAACATGTTTGCCAACGGCTTCCAAACAAACCAACTAAGCGAAAGGGCGGCTTTGATTACTGCTATGTAATATGTATAATGTATGCAGTTTCTACTTAACTAGTTTCCAGCTATATAAATAGACCCGGTTGAAAAGTAGGCCGACCTCTAATCTTTGTCTAACTACATAACAATGACGACGATGGCCTCATTTATCTATTCAACACCTGTTAGATCAGATGGTGTTTGATAAGCATATCTACTGTACCTAAGTAGGCAAATAAGCGGCCTGAATAAAGTCTTCTGACTACTATATTATGTATGTACTGTACTTTATCTAAAGCACATCATACATGAGAGAGGCTTGCATGTGCCTATCTAAGATGCGCCATTCACACCTAGATGTAGGTAACCAGTAAGATATATAAATAAGCCATTCACAAAAAGAGACACATCTTAAAAAAGACCAGAAAAAATAAGCACGAGGCACATCCAGTGTCGTCATCCCGTATCTTTCCTTTTTATTTCATACATAGTTACATACATACATGGTACATACATACATGCACTAGTCCATCTACATCTAACTATCTACATCTACATATCTGCATCCATCCGTATCTGCCGTGACGATAAACATGGCCGCATACGGCAGGCCACACCTTTCTTCAGCAATAAGCGCCTGCCTGTTAAATATCACGGCACGCCCTCGTCACGAGCCAATCGTCGCCCGAGACTCATTCTCTCATTTCAATATATTCGCTTCCACCCCCCGCCCCCGCGAGCCTAAAAGCGCGCGGCATCTAATGCTACCTATATCTAAGTAATTGGTTCAGGCATCTTCTCAGATATGGATGGTTACCTACAGTACCTACCTACAAAACAACTCACGTTGAAGGCCGTCCAGATAGCCAGCATGTTCTACATACATGTACGTGAGTCAGGTTACCTAGTATCTAGGTGCCTACCTGCTAGGTATTTGGTATTCGTGTCAAAACCACGTCATTTACATTTACAGCTGTTCACGATTAAGTCCAAGTCTCGTCACTACGAAGACAAATGCCTTACTAGCATATATAAATAATGCTGGTCCATAAGGGTTTTTCTTATTCCTCAAAAAAGCCCTGTCTACCAATGTAAATTTTAGTGGTGCATTTCGATTAATGGATCTTAATCGATGAGAGTCAAGTGCTTCACAGGTAGGTGTCTACCTGGGAGTCTTGCTCGGGGATCAAGTCTCAATCCGACCAAAAGTCGTTACCAGACCCTAGAAATATCCCTTACTAGCCCTTTCTCGACATCCTAAATCCTCACTCCCTTCGCCCTTCAATGTATATAAATACAAAGCAAACACAAGCCACCCAGCAAGATTCCAAATCATCATACGCCATGTCGACTCATAAACCGTAGACTCCTTTATAAATGCAGTGTTGGGGCCGGTAAAACTTCCAACATCATCCAACTCGAACATCCTCAGCAGTTTTGTTGCGGTATCATGGCAAACGCTTCAGCTGGTAGTTGTCCCTTTGGTATGGTGTGTTAGCAATTGGACAAGGGTTGTAACGAAATATGTTAAGCATTCCAAGGGATAACTCACTCTTTTTTCGTTGAACGTAATTAGGGCCTGATCAAAGTTCCATCCAACTCCATCCAGGCAAAGGTGCGAATATTCTGGAGTCATGCCCGTTCGGTTACAGAGCTCTATAACCATTTGTTGCTTCTGCATGTCTTCATTTGGTGGTGGTACAGGCGGAGCGGACAAGCCAGGCAAAGCAGGCAAGGGATCGTGTGCCCTGAGAGCGAGCACGTCGCTGATGACTCGAATAACATTTCCACCTGGGGCAGCGGGGCCTAGGATAAAGGTTCGAGTAAAACTTCGAGTGGCCGTCTTCATCGTACCGGGATCTTGGTCCTCGAATTGCCCATGCATTGTGATCACCATTCCATCTACACCCACTGGAGATTGGCCTGTTGGGTCTGCCAAACCATGGACAGGATGACAATCGATGATGTATTTGTGGAATTCTGTCGCTAGATCTGGATGTCGCGTAGGGGGTAGTTGTTGCCACATACTCTGAATGTGATGTAGCCCGGTGAACAGTCGCTGGACTCGGGCATGGGTAGTCGTGATCTTGACATGGTTCCGCGAGAATTTAAGGTAGGGAGCCCAGGATTGGCCAACAGAGTTACGCGATGTGTTGGCGTTGTTAATAGCGACGGAAAACGTGCTTTCATTGTCATAATACTTGGCGGCCAAGTTAGGTCGATCCGCATCATACATTGGCACGAACTCTCTGAGGAACCCTTCACCAATGCCACCAATATCTCGAAAGTCAATCCCATGTTGTGGAATGGGGTTTGGTCTTAAAGCAGCCTCCTCTGCCGCAATCTGCTCCGGCGTGCGAACCTGGATGCCACTGAGGTTCTGTAGCTTCGGAAACCAAGCTATGAGGTCTGCTTGATAGCTGGGGTCCATCGTTTCGATTGGGTTGTCGTTTAGTAGGAGAGTTTCAAGCTTCCTTAGACGATATCGCCACTTCTGAAGGCCTTTGGTATTCTTGAACTGATTTCGACTCAGATCTAAGTTGGCTAGATCTGGAAAGGTGTCGGTCAAGGACATTATTTGTAAGACATCGTCGATGTTGTTGCCCGCAAGACTGATACTGGACACGGCGTTGCGTTTCTCCTCTTCCGTCTTGAATAGGCCGTCACAGACAGCCATTAATGCACGAAACAGCTTTTCTGGTTTGCTCTCGCCACTGAAAAAGCCCATTTGGTTGAGTATGGGATCCTCACCAAGGGCAGACAGACTTAGCAGCTTCGCATTTATGTCGTATCGTTGGCTGAGGACAGTGCGGAGTTGCTCCTTGATTTCGAGCGCAGTTGAGGACATGGCGGTTTGGGCGACAGGCGGCTTTTTGTCTGATATGTCCGTGATAGTAAGGTTTGCGCCAGCAAACAAGAAACCGTTCAGTTTTAATATCTCTTCACCATCCTCCTTGTTCGTTGTAATATAAACGAAGTCACCCTCTTTCTGCGGCTGCTAGACGTTAGCAAGGCGATAACACCTTGATAATGCTCTAGGAACCCGGGATAGGTACGCGGCTTGGTTAAGATTGTCTCTCCTCGTTTTTTTGCGAGCTATACGGCATGATAACGAATATGGAGAATTTACGTCGCTCCGTAACCCCCCAGATTCTCGGACGGAGTGCTATCACATACCTTCATTATTCGGATGGGTCGTGTAGTTTTAGCAATGTGCTGGGCTTTTCGTTCCAGGAAGATGATAAGCTCCCTGAGTCCACCTCCTTCGTTCTTTGTAGCCCTACTTGCTTCGAAACCCTCAATCTGGAGTGTCGTGTATGGCGCATTAGCCGAGCGAGTTCCTTTGAACCCTAACGATTTAGATCCGCCGGACACGCCGTTTGTGGTGCGAGATGAGAGGTTACCGCCGCTTTCAGTGATGACTCGCTGTAGAAGTTGTTGCGTCCTCGCTGTTGCCCTTGTCGGTCGGCTAGATCGGGGTGCTGAGGGAATGCTGTCCGAGTTGCCGTTGCTCGGGCGCTTTCCTTTGCGAGAAGATCGATTTGCCGCAATAGATGCGTCCATATCAAGATCACCATCTCGGTCGACTCGTCCACCATGGTTGCCACGACGCTTGGAAATGCCACCTCGGGTTGTCGAACTTCGGTTGCCGCGTGGACCGGAGGGAGCAGAATCTTTTCGATTTCCAGAGGGCGCCATTATTGCGACGATAGAGTATTTTGGGGGGGTGGGGTGGTTAATCGAGGAAATGTTTATGAAATTGTTGTGCCGAAACACTTTCGACGGCGATAACAGCGCCGAGGTTTTTATAGAATAGCGTAGAAGGCGAGGCTGAAGAGGAGAATGGTACTAAGTAGCGGGCGTGGAAGTGGAAGGGAAGGGTTTGTGGAAGGCTCCGAAAATCTCGTCAAAAGAAAAGATTAACGGTTATGTAGTAAGGCTGGCAAACCATTCACACGCGAAGTAAAGGAACGTCGCGCCTAAAAGGTTGTTCTACTTCGTCAGAATTTATGAACTTGCGCCAGAGGAAAAGTATAGGGAAGAAAGAAGGAGATTGGATCCCCCAAGTGGTAGTGTTGTAGATGAGAGAATGTCAAAACACCTATTAAGGTGGATGTTGTGGATGTTTGGCTTAAGAAAGAAGAAGAAAGGTTGAAAGATAGGTGGAACGGGATTTGATGTGACGTCGGGAACAAAGACGGAACATTTAGAACAGTGTAAATTTCTGACACCTAGGAGATCAGTGGTAAGTGCTCTGGCGCATGGACCAACTAACACGATATTTCAAGTTGTTGGACTGTTAGGCAGTACTAGTTTAACTAAGTGGAAAAGTGACTCAGCTGCAAACCAACTGGCTGCTAGGTAGCTACTGTTACACAGTAGTTATATCTGAGTGCACTATGTAACTTATTACTAGCTACAGCCACAGCCACAGCCACAGATAAATCCATCAATCACCGTGCATCGATAAGTTTAAAGCTTACAGAACTAAAAGCACATGATTGGTCAATCCTGCCCCACTACAAGCGTCAATTCCGATTCCGACCATGTTCAAGATATCCAACATGGAAACAACGTTCTAACTGAGCTCAGATTAACAGATTAGTAGAGAGGAAGGAAGTAATTTGACGCCATCCTTCCATCCCACCTCCATCTCTCCACCTATCATCAACAACAACAACAACACTTACATACCCACCTACCCAACATGCATGCCCTCCGGACGAGGGCGGCTTGCATGGCCAGGAGAACACAACCCACAACCTTACGAACATTGCGACTATACAGCTCAAAGCACGACGACCACAGCGACAGCCACGCCGAAAAGCACGATCATGGTCATGATCATAGCCATGACCACGGCCACCACGACCATCACCACCACGAAGCGCACAACGTCAGCGAGGGCCTAGGCGTATGTCCTCACCTCTCTCCCTCCCTCCATCCTTCCCTCTCCCACCAAATCACTATGCGCACCAGCTATATCATAGCACACCCATGCGAAACGCAACGCTAACATCTGGTGAATTGAAAAATTAAAACAGACCGCATTCTACGTCTTCATAGCCGCCATCCCGTCGGCATATCTCGGGTACTCGGTCTCACGGCCCGGCCCCAACGGCGAGGAGTCGAGCGGCTCCAAGTGGCTGCGGAGCTTCGACTACTTCAACGACTGGGAGGTGCGCAACGCGCTGCGCACCGCCGCCATCGAGCAGGCCGCCCACGACAGGCATCTGTTCTACTATTCCGGGAAGAACAATCACGTTGAGCTGAAGATGCCCGAGTACGTTATTTCATCTCGTTCTCACCATATATTCAAGATGTAGCAAGCATCAAAGGGAAAAAAATACGGAATGAGCACAGCAGAGCAGGGTACACAAAAGCTAACAAAGACCCTCAGATTAATGTACGGCGGCTCCCCCTACAACATCGTCGCAGGCCAGACGCCCGACCTCTCCCACGTGACAGAGCACTACCGCATCCAAGCCGCCAAGGAAGAGGAGCGCAAGTTCAAGCGGATGCAGGAGAAGCAGCAGGAGCTCGAGGAGCGGCAGAGACAGGAAGAGTTGGCGCGACAGCAGGAACTGGAGGAGCGGCTGAAGGAGCAGGATTCATGAGATAGAGAAGAGAAGGTCTACAGATAAAGACAGGGAGGGGGAACGCGCGCGCACAAGAAAAGAAAAACATCGAGAGTAAAAAAAAAAAAATACGCACACTTGGAAGAGAAGAGTAGGGGGATCAGTGTACCATCAAGTTTACCTACCTACCTACGTACATATCTTAGGTACCTAGGCAGTTATGACACATAAATGCCAACGAGCACAGCAGATGGGCTAGCGCTATTTGACGGCATAGTCGTTTTATCTTCTTTCTATTATCTTCTTCTCCCTTGATCTCCTTCTGCTACTAACATCGATGCCCCTCTATATATGTACCGAGAGATATTTAGGCACATAGGTGGGAGGCAGGTAACCTACCTAGTGCAAAGGGTTTCGGCGTTTTGGCTTCATTCATACGTCTTTTACGATACCTACTGTAGTACCTATGCGTATTCCCTACCTACACCCAAAAAAAACCCAGGGCGCTGAGATCAGGGGTTTGAACAAACAAGAAAACCTACATCCGTGAATACCTAGGTACACACTTCCAAATCTACACACTAGCCTCTTAGTAGGTAGTAGTAGTAGTAGTGGTAGTGGTGGTAGTAGTGGTAGTGGTGGTAGTAGTAGTAATATCAAACCCAAGAAAGTCATAAGGAACCTGTACCAGAGTTCCAGCAACGGGATAGGGAAGAGGAGGGCACAGATAGGAAGGAACCCCGACGATTAGTTTCTTCTCTGTGTGTGCCAAGGTTTCCTGCCTCCTTACCTAACTTTGGGGAGTAGTGTCGTCGAGTGATGATGGGTTTTAATAGGCCTTCTACTTACGATGCCTAGGTATCAGAGATTCAGAGTAATTTTGGACGCATAGATATTACCTATAAACGATACTCCAGCAGGGTGTGGGCAGGTTGTGCGTGTTGTGATGGTGGAGATACACGTTCTAGGAATAGAAGACGTGCATGTGAAATACTGCCTTGAGACAATTGGATTCCGGATTCGAGGATCGCGTTGTATTGATCAAACTTCAAGACCCTAGAACTTCAGGCCAGTCCTACATCACGAGTCATGATTAGGAACATCAGGAGAGTCAGTCTACGGCGGGAACCCGAAAGATGTGCTTTCAGCGCATGAATGATCTGATTTCATTATCATGTAGCGCATGTCAGTTGATGGCTATTGCCTATCTGCCACCGAGAAAGAACCATTCCATTCGCCCAATCCATGAATGCAAAGTGCAAGACCCCTCCATATTTTTCCACACACCTACTTGAGAGGGATGAAACGAGAAGAGTGAGTAGCACCGATACCGGGTCTACCGTGCTTGACAGGCTTGCTGTAGAAGTTGTTAGCCATCCATATCGAAAAAGAAAAAAACTTTCAATGCTTTCCCGACTCGCAACAGAGGATCTTCAAAACGTACTATGAGATAGAGAATTCGCCTAGGTAGTGGCCGACCATCTCAGGTCGGATTTCGACCTGGTTGAACTCCTTTCCTGAGTAGATACCGATAACGCTACCAATCATCTCGGGTACAACGATCATGTCTCGCAAATGCGTCTTGACAAGATCGGGCTTCTCGTTGGGCTTGGCCTCTTGCTTGGCCTTGCGTAGCTTCTTGATCAGACCCATAGGCTTGCGCTTCAAGCCACGGTTAATCCGACGGCGGGCACGGGCGTGGACAACATCGCGAAGTTGGTCGGAGCTAAGGTCGAGAAGACTATTCGTAGATGATGTATCGCGTTAGCTTCAAGTCAACTTTCAAATTTTGTATATTATATAGGCATCATTCAATTCTCCAGACAATGAATGGTTGATGACCACGAAATTTTGCGCCGTCAGATGAATTGAGTGAATCGAGGGTAAACTTACGCCTCAAGGTCGATTCCTCGGTAAGAAAACTTGCGGAACTGTCTCTTCTTCTTGAGCTCAGCGGCTTCCTCGGCGTTCTGTAATGTTATATTATGTTAATTAATGACATTCCCATAAAATGCGGGTTCGCAATTGATCGTGATGATGGTAATAGTAAACGTACGTAGTCAGGGTCGTCGGCCATAATTGCGATTGGATTGATGCTCAAGAGGTTCGCTGATCGATATGGGTTGTCGTTGTCGAACTGCGAGTATTCAAGATTGAGATGGGGGGGGTGTATTGGTCTGGTCTGGTGGGTGGAATGGTTGCTTGCAGAAAAGAAGGGTTTCGCTTAGTTTACCTTGCACTAGCCCGCTAAAACCCAATGTTAGGAAAATTTTGTGTGAGGGCTCTGTGCCCCAAGCAACGCACGGACCACGTACATTTAAGAAGTGCGAATGTTGAAATCAGAGGTGGCTTGTGCATTTGACTTGTGTAACTCATCAATGGAACAGTTGGAACTTCAATGCTCAATCATGATGCTACTAGGTACCTAGTACCAACAACTACCAAGCAGCCAAGAAAACTACTATAACAGGTATGTACATACATACTACATTCATATGGATATCATGCTACACACAACAATATCAAATATCAGGTAACAGAATTGAAACATCTCTTGGATTCATTAATTAATACTAAAATGATGGTTATGCCCTCGTTTCGATCTTTTTCTTCTTCTTTCTTTTGCCCTGCCTCGTGGCAATCTATCTGTGCCTATATATAATACACGGACCTAAGAGTGAATGGTATGGAAAGATGGTAGAAATGATATGTAACTACGACGATTTCCACTCCAACTCGGAAGTCCGGAGAACCCATAGGGATATCACTAGAATCAAGAACGAAGGACCTCGGTGAACTCGTAAATCAACAGATCACAAGAAATGCTCCCCACTTTTGGAAGGCGACTGGAAAAAGAACTCCCCGAACGCCTCTCCTGTAAATGTGATCCTACTTTCCACCTTGGTGGAGTAGGTAACGACCGCAAAGAATCAGATGCGCATCCGCCTCCCCCCCCAATTCCATCATATGCACCATGCATACGTACGTAGCAAGCAAGCAAGCAAGCAAGCCCTTCGCAAGTCATGTCTCCCGACCCATAATGTCATTGTCTCCTATAATTAGGAACATCGCTTTGCTTAGCTGGTCTTGTCCATCGACTCCGTCTTGGTCTCGACCTGGCCTCGTAGAACTGTTACTTCGTTGGTAAGATACGTTATTTTCTCTTCCTGAGACCTCCCCATCGCCTCCATCGTCTGCACCCGTTCGCCCAGTTGTTTGACTTGTTCTTCAAGGCTGTGAATGTAGACCCATATTCCTTGGTCAGTTGCGAAAATGTTATTGCTTGAACTGTCGCCGCTTCCGCCATTTTGGCTAGGGACATCAGGGGCCTGAGAATGATCGACGCCAGAAGCCGGACCCGCCTGCTGTCCCGGTGCGACCCGGGTTACAGGATCCGAGTTCTGTGCAGCAGAGGCGGCATATCGGGCGGCATCGGCTGCAACAAATCCAGGCACTTCAATATTGAGTTCAGTATGAAAATGGATTACTTGAGAACAAGGGCTATACCAACCTGGAGGGGTATGACGATCAGACTGGTGGCGGCTGAATTGCTGCTGCTGAAGTTGAGCAGTAAGACTTGGGGAGTGTTGTCTATTAAGACTGGAAGAGTCATGACTCTGGACGCCGGACGGGCTGAGAGGCTTGGGACTCTCGGTCATAGCATTTTGCGCATACATGGCTGGGTTGCCTGCGCCTAGGGGAAGGGATGAGATGCCAGCACTAGGGGTCTGCGAGGCATTCGAGCTCCCAGAACCTCGATCAACGTTGGGTGGGTAGAGTCGGCCTGTATTTGACCCTAGAGGTTGAGATGTTAAAAAGGGTAGAGCGGTAATGTCGAGTGGTGTTCCGTTACCTTGAACGTGCTGAGCCTTGATGCTAGGCAGGCTGAGGCGTCGCCGCTCTTCCTCTGTCAAGTCGCTCTCGTGAGCACCTTCATATACAATACCTGTCATTGCCGAGTCATCGCCATCTATGTGACTTTGTCCTTCCATATCCTCTCCATCACCAAGGAAGCTTCCTAAGCTGCTTCGTCGGCCTACGCAGCCGCCGGGTCCTTTGCTATGACGTGCTAATGCGTCGCCACGAGCAAATTTCCGATCACACTTCGGACATACATGAGGCTTTTCTCCAGTGTGCAACTTCGTATGACGTTTCAGGTCATGGAGGCGACGGAAACGCATGGTACATGTTTGGCAGACGTACGGTTTCTCTTGGCTGTGAGTCAGAAGGTGGCTCTTTAGATTATGATGTCGCGTAAATTCTGTTTCACAGTAAGGGCATCTGTGTTTTTTTGAGTTCGGCGAGCGCGGAGTCCCTTGTTGATTTGGGGTCATAGGTAAGCTCATCCCCCGTGCTGGGGGGGCAGGCATGTTGGAAGCTGGGAGCATCCCGGGGTACGATAGCGAAGTGACCCCTTTTTCCTCCATCGGAGCTGGTGGCTGTGTTCCGGCCCCAGATCGGTCATTGCGACTATCAAGCTCCATAGGACCAGGGCTAGTTGTCACCGGCGCGCTAGGTCCACCACCTAAGCTCCCCAAACTCGTTGCGCTATGAGGGCTGATATTGTCTGGCTTGGGTTCTGTATCATGGGCATCTGGGAGTGGTATAGAGACAGGTGGGGGGGGTGCAGGTTGTACATCGTCCGACTGAGAAGCATCTTGGGAAAGATCTTGGGGTATGTCCTGCGTGATATCGGAGGGCGCGTCCTGGGGCTCGTCCGCAGCTCGACTCATAGCAAGGGCACTTGCGGACAGCAAGGCGGATTGTGCTTTGTAGGCAGGGTTCTCACTATCGCCAGCAACTTGGAGCTTATACTGCTCGTCTTCCTTTTGCCGTTCGTCTTCGACAGCTGCAGCTCCGGTCAAAGGCGCAGGAGAGTATCTCGATGACAGGCCAATGAGTCTGGCAGATTTGGATGGTGATAGTTCTCGGTGTAGTGCGGAAAGGGCCGAAGACGGCGAGACCGGTGAAGATTCCCTCTGGCGTTTCAGCGATTGTGTCGCACGAGCAGCTTCTGCAGTCAAGGTCTCAACTGAGTCAGGATCAGAAATGGAGGGTTGGGAAGCTGACGACGAGAAGGGTGGGGCTTCCGTCGCGACGGGACCTTGCTCAGAAGCCATGAGCCTTGTTAATGATCAGTAGGTAACGCGATTGAAGATTTTGCAACCAAGATTTCGAAATTGACTTGGAGGAAACGCGAATGCAGCCTAGGCGCATCAACGACGCATCGTTGAGCTCAATGGCTAACCAGGCTGTATGTGTGGCTGGAGGACGTGGCTGCCCCTTCAATAGATGAAGGTGTTGTTGATTGATGATCGCGCTTCGCCGCGTCCCAAATGCTTGATCCTATTTTTTTTCTTTTCTTTTTTTCTCTTGGTTGGACTTTTTTATTTTTTTTTCCTATTACAAATACATAAAAAGTAGGGCGACCAAGGAATTAAATTAAGTTGGTTATTTGTCGGTGAAAGAAAAGGATTAATAAAGGACAATTGCCTTCGATGCGCTTGAAGGGAAAAAACAGCTGGGAATATGTGAAGTAGAGTGTTAGTTTAACGACTGAGCCGCAAGGGACAAGATGGTTGTGGATGAGCAGGAAAAAAAAGAGGTGCTTGGGGACGTCAAAGTGTGGTGGTGCAGCCCAGGTGGCAGTGGGAAGGGGGAAAAAAAGAGGCGGAGGCGGCGGCAAGTTCCAGTTTATTGGGCTGATGCGTGTCGGAATTATTTTGGTTCGGTCTTTCCCCTCTAACATGGGCTAGCTAAGGTACATGGGTACTTGCAAATATGTACTTATTTAGTACACACTAGTACCTATATGTAGTAGTAATTTGTACCGTAGACCTTCAATGTTCTTGATGTTCTTTATCAGTGACGCATCAAGCAAGGACATACATCCATTAGCATCATTACCTAGTATCATTTCAAGTTGATGTTGTATGCAATGTGTTGCCCCTTCTACCACTATGCATGCGTGCAAGCACATGTACTCATCAAATATTGCAACTATTTGAGATTATGTAGAGCAAGCACTGGTTCCAAATGTATGCCTAGCTAGGTAGTTGGAGCTATTCAACCAGGTAAAATAGCATCGAACATCTAGAGAAGGCTTGAAGCAAGTAGCTCAGAGCCTCAGTGCTGAAAGCATTGAACCCAAGGTTTATGTACAATACATCATAATTATATATAGATACATACGGTACTTATTCTACCTCATTCATCCACAGGACGTACATTCAAGCCATGTGAGACTGTGGCGGTACACGTCCCGTGTTGCTAAAGTGCTTCAGGCCAATCATGAAAGGCACAATCTGCCTCGCCAGGCAAATGTCTCTTTGTCTTCATGTACAGTATATGTACAGTAGAATGATAATGATTGTGCTGTGTTATTTGAATAGCTTGCCAAACATACATTTAACTAGAAATACATAAACATTAAAGTGTACATACATGTCAGCTGTGTGGCTTTACTGGCTTACAGTCCGGCGATACTAATGTATTGAGATATTTGAAGTATCAATGTACTAGTAATAGTTAGTTACATAAAGCTTTGAAGAGGTGACGAAATGTAACTTGGAAATGTCACTCAATCAATGATTTGGGGCGGGGCTTACGTCGTGGCTGGCTCAGGGATATCTTGACCAATAGCAATCAGCTCTGTCCATGTATGGAAGAAAGCAAGCGGCTTTAAGGTATGTGGCTAGTAGTGGTATGCACCTCATAGACTGTCTACCTACTACCTAGTAGGTAGTAACTATGCTAATACATTGGATACAATATATGTAACCTTTAAATGTTGGAAGGTACACATGCAACAACCTCAAAGTTACATGCCATGTGGCCAATGTCTTTAAAGTTGCGATAGCTGGTATTAATTGATAATTTGATATGCATGTAAGGTATGTACTACTAGGTAGTATGTCAGTACAGTGCCTTGTGTACCTATGTAGTACTGGGTTGACTGGGTACACAACTCTGAACATCATCAAATTTACATATTAATTCCTCACACCATCAACTACACATCGAAATGATTTGCAATCAAAACCAAAGATGTATGTATCTTTCTAGAGATCACTAATGATGTACAACCTTGATAATATTGATATATGTGCTCAATAGTCCCAGATCCAAGAAACTCTGTACATATGGTACTGTGTTGGTCGTCATTTATCACATTTCTCCTTGGCCCACCCACATACTCACTTACACCCACACTTTACACACACCTACTATTAGTTATCAGTAGTACACTTACACACTATCATCCTCCAAATTATACATGGAGATCGTGAGCAGATCGAACATCCAATACATCCAATATCTTCTTGGTTTACCTAGGTAGGTGTTAGATATGCTGTTGGTGTTGAGCCAACAAGCACTATTCTCGTCATCATCATCATCGCATGCAAGCCTAATCCTACCGTACCGCATATGCAGCACCGTTTATTTAGTTCGCCGACAAAAAACTGCAACCCCACAAACGCCAAGTCCTTTCTTCATCGCCAAATACGGTCAGACTCTCCATTAGGTACGCCCAAATCGGGAACTTCTATCCACGGACCCTTAAAAGGCTCGTGGTTCTACTATAACTGATGGATATCTTAATACTAACATTGAACCTAACCTACCTACGGTCCTACCTACCAAGGTACGTATCATACCTCGTTATTAGTTCCCAGGTATTGTACGAATACCTAGGCCAGGTACTGCGCCACTGAGTCTCTGGGGGCCAAACTCGCTGAGCCTCACTCATAGGTGACCTTAGCTCTCACTACTTGTATGTATTATGCCCGCCTACGGTTATTTTCGGTAGCCCTTCAACTACTATACACTCATATGCACAGTATTGTGCCTACATATAGTTATATTGAGCCGGGGAATAATACCTCTTCATGCTTACCTTACGTAGGCAGCAATGCGGAGGTGAGCTCATTATTAAATACCGAACCGGCACGTTTTCCCACGTTTCCACACTTCCAAGTGTTGTCTCTCTTATACTGGGAATCTGAGTCATATAAAAGACAGCAAGTCATCCATTCAACCTACCATGTTTCAGTTATCAGAATTGGGCACACCCAAGCTATATATAGTTACTTGTATTGACTCTTTGGAACCTTTCGCGCCCTTGGAAGACTGCAGGGCTGAGGCGTTCTCGCTGAGAATGACCAATTAGCACGAATGGGAGGGCTTTCTAGAACAATCCTACTCATAGAACTTTGCTGTCTACTTTAGTATCTAGTGCTTAGGTGGTGTTGTAGATAAAACGCCCCTCTGTATATTCATATAGATAGGCTCACGTAAACCCCGGCTTAGCTTCAAGTCATAAAAGCTCCTTCGGAGAAAAGGCACTGCAGCGGCAGTCTCTCATCAGAAGCTTCATGTTCCTTTGCCCGAGGGGACTAACTAAAAACCGGCCCGTAGTGCCTAGAAGGACACTATCATTCCTCGATACCTACGCGACATAGTTCTATGTCAGCTTCAAGATCGGGTTGGCCTCGTGGATAGGTAGGTGTCTAGGACATAGGGCAACCAACCAACTCACACGCAGCCCCTGTTTTCTTGACTCATCATCAAATGGGATGGAATATTTCCGATAATTGTTCCCTGGATATTAAATCTCGTCACGTTATATGTGACGTGACTGTTCCCACGCAGTGAGATATTAGGTACTTAGTCACGATAGCGACCCTTTGGCTATGGAAGTCCTACTTCTTCCCCAGGGGGTTCTGACGGGTTTCTGTCGGTCTTCAAGATATAAAGTTTCCCTTTATAATAATACTAGTAATAAATACTAGGTAGGTTGATATGAATGTGCTTCTATTTTTCATGTCAGTACTCAATGGGGTAGACACTAGGCAGTGAGCATGAGATAAGGCTGGATAGCTGTAAAGAGATGTAGGGATCAGGTGACATTTGCCTAGGTTAGGTATATGTAGTTGATTATACCTGCTTGGATACTATATAGGGATACGGTGTCAGGATGGCATGAGGTCAGGAGACCATGGCCTATTACCCGTTTCTCTATTCATGCATATACATACACCTATGTACCTAACTAACTATCTCACGTTGTCTATATCATCTTCCGCTTGTCAGGTGAATCTTTAGGGCGCAGTGACTGTTCTGAGCTTATTCCCAGCCCAGAGCGGTAGATGCGCCCCCTTAAACAGATGGATGGAGGTACACCTGCCTAGAGCGTGATGAGGAAAGCTCGGCTCTATATCCACCTTATGTATCCATAGCAGAATTCCATTACTTTGCTAGGTATGTATCATTTTTGATAGCCGGCGAAGAATTCAGACCACGACTGGCTCGTGGCAATAACCTCAACGAGATATGTCGAGCTCCTCGTATTGAGACCTACCAAGTATACATGATCGTCACGCTACGAACTATTTCTCAACCTTTCGAGCGATTTCAGGATTCCATACTTCCACTCTATCGCTCTAGATTCATAATTTCTGTCAGGAGTCACAGGGAGAACTAGCCCTAGCCTCTGAATAGTTGCTAAGCAGCGGAGCACACGATGCGTATATATATACTGGGGCGTGCAGCCCCTTTCTCCCTGACTTAGAACATAAGGTAGACGCCAGTACAGTTATCATTCCTATTATAACCCTAACTTCTACCTACTAGGTAGCTATTGAGGTACCGCTGTACACTTGCTAACACCCGGTACAAGACCTCTCATTACAAGACAGACTCTGAAGAGTTTATCAGCTGCATGGCCAAATTCAGCATTGCAACTAGTTATCATCAAGGTTTACGATGTTCTTATGAGGCACGATAGTCGACCTACTCCGTACTCCTGGTCTAGTCTCATCTCAGCGTAGAATGGACGATGCTCCCCGAATGCGATGGTGCATACGTGTAGATGAAATGACAAGGCCATGATGACTCTTCGCCATATCCTAACTTATATGGGGCAGTTGAAGAGAGGGGGGGGGGGGGGAGGGGGGGATCAAGTGACAGTTTGCCTTGAAAAGGGGCTCGGCTCATCTTTCAAAGTGTTCTGCGTCAACGACATGCATCCGACCACTACTGCTCTAAACTTCACAACAACACCACAAAAATGAAGCGGTAGGTTACCTTCTTACTAGTAACTCATTGCGTATAGCGTTAGTCAATAGGATAGCCTAGCTATACGGCCAACCAGGCTGTAAACCCTTTAGCGATTAGGCAGAGATACCCTAGAAAGCATGGCCAGCCTATATCGGTCCGTGTTGACTCACATCGGCTCAGAGCGCTACCCGAATCAGCAAATAGCACACCCAAGCAACTATCTTAGCTAGAGAGAAACAACACAGGCAAAAACGGGATAGGATTACACCGGCGGACACGAACATTCAAGTGGTTCGACCCGCATAGGGAGCTTGATGAGCGTTGACGAGACCTTACGAGCGGGAGTTGTAGTGGAGTGAGAATCTCCCCGACGAGAACCAATCAGCTAGGAAGCGCATACTGAATAGAACCCAAGATATCCAGAGTGCTTTGCCGACATTGGTAACGTTCTCGGAACAACAAGAACCCAAACCGCCCAACCGCCAGCGCATCCCTCTAGAACAGGACCAAGTCGCAGACTCAATCTTGCCATATCATCCGCATACATACCTAAACATAGCACCGTGTTACCGCGGTCCAGGTCCAGCCGGCCGCGGCATCGGGTCGCGGTAAATGCCTAGGTTACCTTGGTAAATGCATGGGCCGTTGTACGCACAGCAAGATACCTAACAACGGAGCATCGTACATACATACGGCTTCCTACATATACAGCATGGAACCTGCCCTTTCCTGGAAAGGCAACCTTCGCGTGCAGCACAGGGGAGGAGACGTTAAGAGAGAAACTCGTAGGTGACGCTGAGCTATTAAAACCGTTGAATTAAAGCAAGACCCTCGCGGGTCTGTGACACCGGCGCACGAAACGTTCGAGAAGTCACTTTTGGGATTTGTGTTTCTGGTGGGGTTGGGAGAGGGGGAGGGGGAATTATGTGTGCAACGATGAGGCGAGGTATCGTGTACGACGTTTCAACTGCTTCTTCGCCTTTGTAGAAGGGGAGGGGAGGGGCCGAGACGAGATGGTGGAGTTGGTATCGGTATCAAGCCAACAGTCCTACGTTTCCTCACATGTAGGTAGGTGGGTATGAGTGCTCTTCGGTGGGATATAGCATAGGCTTAGTTAGGCTGGCGATGACTTCAAGGAAGGAAGCGAAAAGAGTAAGGTAGGTATCCAGTTGAATTCGGCTTGCGGCTACTCGCATAGACAATGTAGTCAACTGACGGAAAGCCGCATGGGTATGTGAACGGGTGAAGGCTACCATGATGTGACTTTATACCACTTATACAAATGTACTTACCAACGTCTACCCAAGTTCTGTGCACCTACAGATGACGTGACTGGCGTAGGCTCTGCTGCTTTAGAGTTATATGGAAATATATTCCTATTTAATCTAATATAGCAATGACCATACTTTGATCGTACACGGTAAAGATCTCGGGACCCCATAATCTTGATCGGGTCATCTTAGATGCTGTGCCCTTCGCTTGGACAGTTAGAAACCAAGTTGTGCGAGCCAGGCTGATTAGTACAGTATAGATGTAAGATTCGACTTGCCTGTACGATTCACGAATTACCTCTTAATATCCAGGTATTATACTGAGGCCTTTTTGGTGCGGTGACATTACACTACCTGGTTGTAGTCCTGTATCCCAACTTATTGCAACCCAATGCCACGTCTCTACTCCTCGTGGTCCTACAAACACCAATCATGACTACCCAGGCTAGGTTAGTCGATACCTATGTACCTACTGACTAGGTAAGTAGGGATGAAGTTGCATATCTGCTAAGTAGGCAGGAGTGTATAGCACTGTATACTATTCAATAAGCGCTTCTGGGTAGGACTCATGTGTTGGTCTTTGATAGTGGTTGTCTAAAGAATGCGACAACGAGGTGGCAGACCGCATAATTGCAGATCGCACAACACATTGGCGATGCCTAAGAAAGAAGATGCTGTGCTGTGTGGGTGATGCGGTATCTACATAGTACTATGTATTTTGTGCATACGAAGCACGTCCATAAATCCACAATGCCAATGCCGATTTATGAATCTATTAATTGATCCCGTAGATGAGGGATGACGGAATCGATGAGATTCGATAGCTTTTATTTATGTATTTCTTTGGTTCTGAGTGGAATGATGATCTGATCAGTTTTAGCGAATCGATCGTCTCAGCGCGCCAGATCAGGGGGGACTAGATTAAGGGAGGAGACATCAGCCAGAGAGATTCCAGCCACTTAGGCGCATAATATTCCTGAGCTGCTAAACCCGAAATTGCTGTAATTAAAGCAAGGGGGGAGTAGACGCGCAGCATACCCACAAGTGGCATGTGTAAAGGAGATCTGGATCGATTTCTTCTCCTTGGCCCGTTCCTTTTTTTGGTATTTTGGTATTATTTCTTACTCTGAATATTTATAATTAGTTAGCCCGAATCGTCTAAAATACCGTGGTCACTGGTGCTATCTTACCCCGGCGCAAACGCTTGGGAGCTTGGAAACAAGAACAAGAGTGCAAATGTTAACTATCCTGAAGGACGCCGTGGATTTATTTAGGTGACATAGTGTTATGGACTAGATCAATGTTGTTAACAAGGGAATATATACTACTTCCTTATTGATCCAAGGTATGCTGCTAATGTTGCTTGAAATGTAGTTAGCATCAATAGCAATATCGTTGCTATCAATAAAAACTGGTTTTCGCCCCTTATGGCCTTGCTTGCATACTACGCCGTACATACCTAGGTTAGCTGCCTCCCTACGATCTGACTAGTATGTAGTATGTACGTAAGTTACTAGGTACTAGTAGTAGACAAGTAGTAGTAGTAAACACAAATACATACCATTGTCAATACACTGTACGTTGTGGCTATGCTGTATGGAGTTCAATCAGAGCCAATTCGTATTTGTTTATTGTCGTGAGTTCCAACTTCCGAAGTTGTTACATACTACTATGTATGTAGGTATGTATTGGTCAGGTCAACGGTATTGGTTAATAGAAGAAAACAATTTGAAGAAAGTTGGCAGCGCAATTGGCCGCGCAAGCAACTTTTTAACCTTTTAAGGCTTCTTCCGTAATACATACATATGTAGTACATACATGTAGTATCATGTACATAGCTATCATGATGTATGTAACTAGTAACTACATGTAAGCATCAGGAGGTTTTGTATCATGTAATGACGGAAAAGAAAGAGCAAATTTGCCCTGAGTCCCTGACGCCTAGTTATCTACCCCTGCCGGCCAACTTCTGCCACTTCTAACCACTAACTTGTGGTTAATTTCAGCGAAGTCAAAATAGTCCTCCGTACCTTGCAGTAGTGGATTACAAGTGGATCTCATCGGTCGGGCATTGGCCGTCTTCTGGTACCGTTGTACTGGATACCCCTGCCTGTTTGGTTGACTTGTATTTTGTGATTGGGTGGATTCTCGGGGTACCCCCAGAGATAGATACCCACCTTAGAATCCCTCATGTGTGTGAGTGTGCGTGGTGTTACCCCTTCCTTGCTCACGCTATTACTACCTACTAACTACTACACACATACTGTGGTCTGTACCTACCTAAGGTAGTAGGTACATACTACCAACTAGTTAGCATGTAGCTGGCGCACACAAAGCCCTGTCAGGGCCTGCCTTTCTCCCCTTAACCTTCTTGTCACCTTGTCTTTCCAGCAAACAAATTAATTCCACCCTTTCCCTCTCTCCTGTCCAACTTCGGATTTCATCGTGTTTCCTTTCTAATCGCGCAGTCTTCCTCCAACTGAGAGTCAATTATTTGCCTCTCTATTACATTCCTTTGGAATCGCGAGATACGTTCGTTACGCATATCACGTCACTTCAGCGAAACAATCAATATCCAGACATTCCTTCTTTTCGGATACCTATCAGCACAGTCAAGGAAACTGAAAGCGCTTTCGTTTACGACTTCACTTTCTCAGCTTCTCCATCAGTAAGTCTTCTGTATACCTAGATTTGCGCCGCAATTGTACCTTCGTAACCCACTATCATATCGCCATCCCCTTTCCTTTCCCTTTGTTTTTGTATAGAACATTATTCCACGGCAAACTTCCTTAACCTACTCCTTCTCTTTCCTTGTCTTTCATCGACCTTGTTGTGTCGGATCGTGACTTCAAATTGATGCGACTAGCATCTCATGAACCAGTGAGGCTAACAATGTATTGCCACAGAACTGCGACTTTAGGTCACAATTACCAAATCTGATATTACAGTCAAGAAAGAAACTTACTATCACTTGAGGTTTTATCTTTAATCAAAATGAAGGCTACTATTATGAACCTCGCCATGGCGGCATCCTTTGCCGCCGGCGCTGCTGCACAACCTCATCACCACGGCCATCACCACCACAAGAAGAATTCTCCGGCCGAGAAACGCGATGTCGAGACCACCTATGTTGCTGCTACTGTCACCCAATATATGCTGGGTGATCAGGCAGTGGGTACCGAAGAGGCTAAGGCTGGCTTGGACAAAGGCCTTTATGTCGTTGTTGGAGAGACCACCCCAACCTTCACCCCCCCTCCTCCTCCGGCTGTCACCAGCACCTCCTCCAAAGAAGATGCTGTCTTCCTACAGAAGGTGACATCGTCGTCGTCCTCTTCATCTACCCCTACCCCTACCCCCAGCTCTTCCTCCGCTGCCGCGGCATCTTCAAGCGCCAGTTACAGCTCCGGTGCCACAGGTGTTGACGCTGATTTCCCCAGCGGCAAGATTAAGTGCAGCCAGTTCCCTTCGGACTACGGAGCAGTTGCTCTTGACTGGCTTGGTTTGGGCGGCTGGAGTGGTCTCCAGTACACCCCCAACTACAAAATTGGTGACCTTGCCATTAGCTTCATTGAGACTGGCACTAAATCATTCAAGGGAGGCGCTGGCTTCTACTCGTATGCGTGCCCCGAGGGCTACGTTAAGTCTCAGTGGCCCTCGGCTCAGGGTGCCACCAAGCAGTCCGTCGGCGGTCTTTACTGCAACGATGATGGTTACCTCGAACTTACTCGCACCGAATCCACGAAGTTGTGCGAACAGGGTATCGAAGGCATTACTATCAAGAATGACCTAACCTCGAATGTTGCCATCTGCCGTACTGATTATCCTGGTACTGAAAGCATGGTCATCCCCGTTGACTCTCAGCCTGGCACTTCCCGCGCTTTGGCTAACGTCGCATCCGCCAACTACTACCACTGGGATAACAAGGCCACCACTTTACAATACTACATCAACCAACCTGGTGTCTCAGTCGAGGATGGATGCGTTTGGGATTGCGCTACAGACCATGACGAGTGTGGTAACTGGGCCCCCGCTATTCTAGGCGTTGGCAAGGCTGCAGATGGCAACACCTACATTTCTTTGTTCCCTAACCTGCCTACGAGCACTGCCAAGCCGAACATGAACATCGAGATCACGGGAGACGTCAGCATACCCTGCTACTTCAAGAATGGTGTATTCGCTGTTAGCGACACCGGATGCACTGTAAGTTTACTCCTAGTACGGAAATACCCTATATTTACTAATTTTCTCGCAGACCGCGATCCCCAACGGTGGCAAAGCTGTCGTCACATTCAGCAGTGCTTAGATCATTGCGAGTTGGATTCTTTAGTTTCCAGGCTTAGTAGGGGTTCTGGTTTTTACGTTGCTTTCGAATGGATACCTCTTGCGATTTTTCGTCCCAATACGTCGGAATCTCAGGGGGGGCCCACTTGTCATGCGTGCGGCATGACGAATCTAATTTTTATTGTGTATATTTCTGGCTTTGCTGTTAGAGGATGGCAGGCATTTGCTAGTAACTGGCCCGATACTAGTCGCTGCTTAAAGGATGCTGCGAGGGGATTGCAAGCACGAAAACGTTTTAGCAGCATTTACGATGGCAGACCCGAATCCATGATTTGATGCGATGGCGGATATGTGCCTGTACCTATTCGAGTGCAATCTTGACGAAGACATCGACTCAACCCTCCTCCAACAAAGATTATAGCAAGAAGGCCGTAGGCTAGTGGGATTCGGAGTCCAGGCGTGAGAGTCGGTAGTTAGGTGAGGCTATGGGGATCTCAGGGTAACGAGCAAGGACTTCGTTAGAGCAAGTTTCTGCGTAGAGAATCAAAATCTACATGTATAAAGATATTTCCAGTCTTGATTGCCAAATGCTTCATAAAATCTTGCCGTTATAATTAGATGTGTTGTAATGTATGTAGATGGATTTACATAGTAGTACTCCGTACATGCTGTATATGTGTGTACGTGATAAATATTGCCTTCTCATTAAGATGCTGACTGCGCAGTGGTGATGGGGGGATCTGTGTAACCAGTGGATATTTCAAACCCTGTCAGATTAACTATAGCGTCATGGGATAGACATCGGTATCCATAGATGCGCTGTGGTATTGCTGAATTTGGTGGGTTCTTGTTTTAGTGCGAATATACCCGTGATCTAACTACCAACAACGAACCTCTCAGCTTTCAGGTTGAGAATAGTATCAATCCTTATATCGTTGTTAATTCTGTTTACAAAGTATAATTCTAATTTTCACACACGAGAATACATACCTAGGTAGACCGAGGTCGCTCGCACAGTCTTATTTTATATTACATAACTCATCTGTTCCCGAAATGACATATCATATTCATATGGATGAATTCCATCTCTCATTGGTTATTGGTGGGGTGCCTTGGGGTGCCTTTTGTCTGTGTGGCAGGAAGTGAAGCATGTGCAGTATGTCCTCAAAAGCTTGGAGGCTTGGCATTATAACGTCAACATGGAACTCCCACACTTCCACTGTACTGTGCATGTACTGTTAGTCTGTTACCTTGTACACAATGAAGGTTCCGATAATGGAATTGACGAATAAAACGATGCTCTTTCATCATACCCCACCAAACTAGAACCAACCTTAAAAACCATTGCACTTTTCCACGTTCTTCCAACTTTGTAGGTAGGCACATAGTACATACATACATACATACATACATAGTAGTATGTAGCTTCATCTTTCTAACTTACAAAGTTCAAGTACTTGGTAGGCTTGCCTCCTAATTCTTCTTTAAGGTTAATCAATCACTTAGTACCTCAAGGTAGGAATTAAAGTGCATCCTATCCTTCTTCTTTCTCCCTTCCTTCCCTACCTTCACCCCTCTCTCCCTCCCTAACCACTATTTATCGAGGTTTTGTTTATACTCATCTATTGTACGGGTCGAATTATTACTTGGTTACATCCTTAAAAGTCATGTCTTTGCAACGTGTTGCATCTCTTGAAACCTTTGTCAATGTACCAACGGAAGGACGGAGATCTAGGCGAGGTTCTGTCTCTTCTGTTGCTGCCTCTGAAAGAGCCCGCAAGCTCTCTTTCAACCCTCTTCCTGAATCATGGAATCCTGTCTTTGACCAGAACCATGATCAGCTTGGCCAGTCTCGTGGGGCCTTCGAGGTGCCCCAATGGAAGCGAATACGTGAGTCTCTATTCCTGACCAAAGACGTCTATCTATGAAACTAATATCTAGCTTTGATGATACTCAGTCCAGGTGATTGTTATGGTCGTACTCTGTCTCTTCGCTGCGGGGATTGTGTTTGGATATGCTGCTTTAAAACCAGTCCTCAAGAAGGAGGGCGCATACCAAGACATTTGCAATGACGGAGACACTTGTATGGAAATTCATCTCAATCTTATGTTCACGGTCGCTGCTGTCGCTACCAACGTGGCCGCATTGCCTGTCGGTGCTATTTTGGATCATTATGGTCCCCGAGTTTCCGGAATCCTCGGTGCTCTCCTCCTTGGCATTGGTGCACTTCTAATGTCCTTTGCTAAGAGCCTCCCTTTCGATGCTTTCCTCCTTGGCTACCTATTCCTAGCCCTAGGTGGCCCGTTTACGTATATCTCCTCCTTCCAGCTTTCCAACGCCTTCCCTCGGCACTCGGGCCTAGTTCTGGCGCTGCTTACGGGTGCATTTGATGCATCAAGTGCCTTATTCCTCGTATACCGTATTATCTACACCAAGACGGGAGGCTCCTTCGGCTACCATAAATTCTTTCTTGCTTATCTTGCGGTGCCAGTAGTAATCCTCATCTCCCAACTCACCATACTCCCTAAACAGTCTTACAAGACAGTGGGAGAAATGCTTGAGGAGATCGAAACACCTCCGTTTGGTGACCCGTTGCCTATTGCACATACCGCGGATGCCGATGATCAGATTGATGAGCAAACTGCACTCTTACGCGAGGAGCAATTAGTGCATCACGAGAGCGTTGTGCACGACATCGAGGAACTACTGGGCTCAAGTAGGGCAGATAAAGATACACAAGCCCAGCGCGAGGAAGAGAAAAACGAGAGGAGCGGCGTCTGGGGTATAATGCACAATCACACAGCGTTGGAGCAAATCCGTTCCCCGTGGTTTGTGCTGATTTGCTTGTTCACTGTTGTACAGATGACACGGATTAATTACTTCGTGGCTACCATCCGGCCACAGTATGAAGCGCTTTTCGGTGACATGGCAAAAGCGATCGAGATCAACAACTTTTTCGATGTTGCTCTACCGCTAGGTGGCATCATTTCCATTCCGTTTATCGGAATGATCCTTGATCACACCAGCACCATCGTCGTTCTTACGACTCTCGTAACTGTCGCAACCACTATTGGAATTCTGGGCGTTTTGCCCTACACCTGGGCAGCATACGCCAATGTCATCCTCTTCGTGCTGTACCGACCTTTCTACTACACAGCTGTCAGCGACTATAGCGCCAAAGTTTTTGGTTTTCGCACTTTCGGCAAAGTTTACGGCACCATTATTTGTCTTTCGGGACTCCTCAACTTCAGCCAGAGCGCACTTGACTACTTGTTTCATCGGACTTTCCACGGCAATCCTGTCCCCGTGAATCTTCTGCTACTAGCACTTGGTCTGGTGATCGGAATCTGCTTAGTAGGGTTCGTCATCGTACAGACTAGATTCTTAAGCAAGAAGAGACTCGCGGCAAACTATGACGATGGTGAGCATGGAGAATATTGACCAATTTGCTTCACCTCTGAGATCATTTAAAGGCGCTAGGGCAGCACAAAAGCATTTATGGCGATATATCATTTTTTTGGGTAACGTTTTGTCATGTCTAACACAAGGTTGCATTTTAAGCTCAGGTTTGGCGTTCTTTTTGATTTATAATCGTAGGTATATATATACTAGTATGTATACTTCTTGGTGTTTGGATATGAGTTATATGAAATATATCAAAATTGCATTTGCCGTTAACTTTTAGATGGGTCTTTGTTCTATACTGACACTATGTCTTCACCTAAGGAGAACGTTTTCTATATCGAGTACGTGCCCCTGCCCCTATGAGCCACTTATACAGTCGTCTTCTCACCATGGGAGCATGATTTTTCCAGCAATGCGTGTTCGGCGGCCATCTTCCATTTGCTGAACTGCGCCTGGATATGACTTTTATCGCGCGGGTTGAGTGACGTCTTAGTTCGAGGCGGTACCCCCTCGAGGGAGAGAGCCATGCGAGCTGCAACGACCGCTGCCGCTTTCGTGTTTGTAGTGAGGGCTTCGACATTTACATTGCTGACTGTATCACAGGCTAGGTGGTAGCACGGGTCGGTGGGTGCCCCAGCTCCCGTAAAGATTCCGGAAGACGGAATACCCAATTCGAGAAAGCCGACATAGTCTGAGCTCGACCCAAAACTGCCGAAATAAGCGTCACGGCCTGCTGCCACTAGGTAGTCCTTCAGGGGCTGCGCGCCGGCTAAGTCACCCTCGTTATCGCCCGTGTATACGGCAAATTGGGGCGTCGGCGACCCAATCATGTCGTAATTGAAGTAAAAACGCACGTGGTCGGCCTCCTCTTCCGTCAGCTGTGACGTGTAGTAAAGGGATCCGATTAGCCCGCTCTCTTCGGCACCCCACCATGCGAACCGCACCTTGTTCGCAAACCCGTCGTAAGCCCGGAACGCCGTTGCTAGCTCGAGCAACGCGCTCGTTCCTGATCCGTCGTCGTTTATGCCAGGTCCCGCTTGCACCGAGTCCAGATGTGCGCCCAGCATGATCACGTTCGAGGGATCCCCGGCTTTGGTCTCGGCTAGTACGTTCCACGTCTCCCGGGTGTCGAACTCGGCATCCACAGTGAGGCTCGCTGTCAGCTGCTCTCCTGCCGCAAGCCGGGCACTCCACGCCTCGCCGATATCCTGCTGGATCGTGCCGACGGGCACGAGGAGCCCGATGTTTTCGGCACCTAGAGTAGCGGAGGATGGAGTGCCCTCGACGTTGTTGTACAGGATTACACCGAGCGCGCCGTGGGCTTTGGCGAGCTTGAGCTTATCGGAGATGGCGCAGCCGCCGCGCTTGACGAGGGCTAGCTTGTCGGTTGCGTCGGTCGAGGTCCATTGGTCTTCGAAGCACGCTGAGCCTGTTTTACTTTGTAAACACCATGTGACCCCCAACTTTTCTTTCATCACTCAAACAAGGGTAAGGTGAGTTGGAAGGAGAGAGAAAAGGGGGGGAAGATAAAATAAACTTGAGTTTTACACACAAACCTACCTCTCTCATCATCAACCGGCGTATCCACTAGCGGCGCCGAGATACCGGCAGCCTCGGTGCCTGGGTTATAGATCAGTGGCACGGCGGCGACATCTTCGCCATCGGGGCCAGTCACGCTGATCGACCGTACCTGGGCAAAGGTGTGGTTGAAGGCCTGGACATGCACGTCGAACTCGGGCACGCGCGTCCGGTTCAGCACGTACTCCACAGACGCGAGGTAGCCTGGTAGGCCGAAGGCGCGCGTCCCGTTGTTCGCGGCGCCGATGCGGTCGAGGTCCCAGAGGTTGTTGGATAGCCTGAGTTGGGTGGTGAGCGGGTGTGGCGGAGCAAAGGAGGAGGCTAGGTATCTTACTCTTCGGACTTGACGTCTGCTTCGATCTTCTCTGGTGTTAGTGGTTCCAACGCCAGGACTTGCGATGCGAGAAGGCCCGCTAGAGGGAGGGTTATGGCGGTGTGCTTCATCTTGTGCGAATATTTACCTAGGTAAGTAGGTTGGGAGGGATGGAGAGGAATATATAAATACCTACCTGGGCTTTATATATAGGTATCTAGTTACAGCAGGCATAAGAGCTTCTAGCCTCTTAGCCTTTGCATGCATTTGTTTATCACTTATCATTTGCAACATCGCATCAACCATGCCACGCGAGAGTATCTATCTCTGGGCATATATTACTTTACCCTCTAACCTAGGCTAGATACAGCGGCATGCCCACCAGCCAAGCTGCGGGGAGTGCAACATAACGCACCGTTCGCGAAAACCACACACATACGAGGAATAAACTTGGTAGAACGAACTCGTGCTTCTTGGCCACGGCTAGGATTGGCAGGTGCCAAGGTTTGGGGGGTCTTTTTTTGTAGCTTTTAGATAGCTGACCTGGTTATTTTACCTAGGCTATTATGTATGTTCTTAACTGTGCTGATGTTGTGATTATTAGGATTTGTTGTGGCAGGCTATAAGTATATCTTTGTATGGAACATTCATATTCAATAACTACCCTAGGTACTAGCTACCTAGTTAGGTAGGTATGGTATGTACATCATGTAGGCTATTAATAGTATCCTAACTTAATACGCCGACACAACACCACTTGCGTGCAAAAAATCTGACCGGGCCTTAACCCTTTGGGTAGGTTGATATCAAGTACAGCCGTCTCTAGGGTGGTTGTGCGTAGAACCTCGCGTTGTCGTCGAGGGAGGGAGGGAGGGAACACCATTAGATGCATATGACAGATATATTATCGTCGTGTCTTTGGCAGTGAGAGGTGATACACGCACGAAACAAATGCTTCGTAAAGACAGCTAGTTGAATCCGCACCGCCTGGGGTAAGGTAAGGTTTGAAGTGACCTGAGCTGGACAGTATCATCATTACGGGTGCGATATTCGGCGGACGAGGGTCTTTGCGCGAGATACTCTTGGGAGTAGATATGGTTGGGCTGATTTTTTTTTTTTTTTGGTAATTTGACTCATTGGATCGAGCCTCCAGAACAGTGTCTCTTCACCCTTCCTTCGTCGTCTCGGGCGCGCTGTCCGGTTTTGCGGCAGATTTGGGTTCGCCATCAGCGTCGAATCCGAGAGCTTCGAGTTCTCGCACCAGCTCGTTAATCTTGATGACCTTGGCGATCTGCTCGGGCAGAAGCGCGCCCCCGCCCTCCTCCTTGCTCTTCAAGTCCTTGGCCTGCTTCAGCTTCTTCCTCAGGTTCCGGGCCTTCTTCTCCTTCTCGACTTCGGGGTCGACCTCTTCTGCTTCGGCCTTGGGAGCATCTTCGGTGGGTGTTTTGTTGTTGTTGTTGTTGTTGTTTTCCTCTCCTGGGTTCGTGGTGGACTTCGCCTTCTTCCTCGCCTCGCGACGCTTGGCGTTTTTGTTGCTCGCGGCGGAGGCGGGTGCTTCTTGTTGCTTCTTCTCCTGTAAACCGTCGGCCCCGATCACGCCGCCCTTCCCGCGGTTGCGAAAGGACTCGGCGGTGCGGTTCTTGTAGAGCTCGACATCCTCTGGGGGGCGGTACCCGGGGCGGATCTTGATGGCTTTGCGGGTGGTGCCGTCGGCTCGCAGGGACTCGGGGATCTGGCGCTCGCCGCTGCTCTCGTCGGTGACGATGCCCGAGGTGGAGGGCTTGGAAGGTTCGGAAGGCATCGGGGATGTGTGGAGGAAGAGTGGTGGGACGGCGGAGCGGCAATTATGACCAAGAAGAATAGCAAAAGTAATAACAAGAATAAGGGTTTAGACTAAAATGAACATAAAGCGTAAAGCGTAAAAGGTAAAATGTAAAATGTAAAATGCCAAAAACAAAAGTTCAAGGGTTGCTTACTACATATGTAGGTAGGTAGGCACCTTGTTTACTTTGTTTATGTACCAAGTGCTTCCATGCACATGCATGAGTGTCCGGTGTAAAAACGTTATAGAGGGGCTTTGGGACAGGAAGGCCCAAACTTCAAAGAGCTTTGAGTTAAAACGAAATACCCACATCCCACATAGTTATGTGGGGAATCTGATTTAGAAAGCTTCAGCCAATCACAAATGTCCTTTTTCCAAAATCGCCAATTCTTCGGCTAGAATCTTTAGAAACTCTTTAACATCCTTCGGTCCTTTCATTCCCATTCTCACCACTCCATTCCGTTAGAACCGTTCAAGAACCCCCTTCACTTGCAAGGCCTGAAAAATCACTTCCTCGTCTTCCTTGAAATCCTCAAACACACAATTATTCAAGATGGTAATAGTCTCCTTGTCTAGCTATCTACTGAAATGGCACATGGACTAATCGCGCAATAGGCCGCCGCTCAAACTTTCTACAAGCAAGTCGAATCTCGTTGTTGCGAAAAAGTCCGATACAGTCACTAACCCATTTCTCGTTATAGCGCTCTCTTCCGAAGAAACTATCAGATGCTAGGAGCCGTCTTCGTTTCGGCTTTCGCATTCGAGATGTATGTAGTCTAAATCTACCCACTTGAAGATACTTTGCGGAATAGGGCACAATCGCTGATATCGAATGACATAGGTTTTACGATTCCAGCATGAACAAAGTCTGGGATAGCTGGAACCGAGGGGTATGTGTTTCTAATCAACACTAATCGAAAGTCTATGACTAACGTACCGACAGCGCCAATGGAAGGACATCCGATCCCGATACATTGAGGAGGAATAGATTACAAGTTCCAGAAAATGAAAAGGGGAGCAGCATCCAGAAGACGATAGAGAGCATGCGAGACTGTACGACTGTAACTCATAGACGAAAACAGACAAAATATCACGCACCCCTCGCACAATAACTACCTATGCTATCCTATCTTTCTAGTCTGATTGCGACAGGTAATGATAAACGACAATCAGGCGGGCCACAGCTGAAACATCGGAATGACATATCAAACCAAACAGGTCTTTTTTGTTTGAGATTTCAACCGTAGTTGCTTCTCAATTCTCTTGATTCTAAAATTGATGAAGCCTCTCTTGGGTGCAAAACTTCAATTACGTATTTGTATCATGTTAGCAGTTTCGCCCTAGACTCGTAGAACTGACTAGAACTTATACCCGGGCTCTAATCATATTAAATGAGAGCATGCGCGAACATCTGCGCGGACGTGTATATACATATGATCAACTTGAAATTATATAACAGGCACTCAGTGCTGGATACCTACATATCGAAATGGTACCTATCGTTTTTGTACACCCAGATCACATAATAATTGCACTAAATACTGCACATAATACACTACTTCGTACCATGCACAATACCTGGATTGGTATGTACCTAAGGTTATAGTACTAGGTACCTAGTAGCTTACTTACATAGTGCCTAGGGTAGGGACCGTAGGGTAGTAGATAATGTTGAGCGCAGCGCTGATTTATCATTACACAGCATGTTTGCCAAGACTGTGGTTGAATGCCCGCTCGCAGCTGTCAGTGTGACAACAATTTGGCGCTGTGACGTGACGACCTGAAATTTATCAGCAGGCTTATCATTGATAAGGAATTAATGTTCCCTAACCTTACTATGTAACGGTTAGGGAATTAGAAACATTGAAGGGAATCCAACTTCCAATTACTAACTTACTATGTAAGTACCTACCTATCCTACCTTAGCACCTACTAGACTCATAATACTGATTCATTCAGTTGTCGTACTTGACTTGTTATTTTTTATTTTATTTTATTTTACATTGCGGCATTAATCTTCTTACTGTAGGTTTTGTGAGTTATGAATAGGTTGGTACTAATCAGTTAAGCTGATCATCTTGAAAATTGAAGTTCTTCCTACAACCAACGGCCTACGTTCTGTTCTCAACGACTCTACTACAACTACATACTACGATATTTAAACCTGGGAACCATTGCAACATTTGAACTCGTAACCCAGAACTCCACACATACCCGCCCGCTACATATCCACTCCACTATCCACTATCTGCTTCCCGCTACAACCCACACTCACCAACACCCACCACACTCGACGCAAAGTTCCGACTATTCGACCTTGCCCTACGGCTTCACCATTGTTGCGTACTTGTTCTACATATATACCTCATACGCCTCATTTCTCAATCCTGGTACCATCAAATACTCTTCCTTGAGCGTCGAAAATCATATTCGTCATCTCGAATTACACAATCAAGAATGATAATACGTCCAAGTTGAAGCAATGGACACCATCATGTCTACACAAGAGCTGCAGCTCTGTCAACATTTAATAGAGCTGCCCAGACGCCATGCATACCGATACAAGCAGCCTGCTCGGCAAGACCTCTTATACAACCTCTTCTGGTCCATGGCTGGAGGTCGCCCTGAGAATATGCGACTATTCTTCCCCGACGGCAAGCTTACCCCCAAGAGCGAGATGAAGCTCAGAGAAGCTCAAGGAGCCGTGGATGGCGCAGAATATACCGAGGCAGCCCGTGGTAAAGCATGTGGTCATATCTTCCGAGCCGGAGAGGCTTCGTACGGCTGCAAAACCTGTAGCACCGACGAGACCTGTTGTCTATGCAGCAAATGTTTCAATGCTACGGACCACACGGGACATATGGTCAGGATCTCGATCTCACCCGGAAATAGCGGCTGTTGCGATTGCGGGGACCCTGAGGCCTGGAAGACCCCGATGTTCTGCACTATTCACAGTGAGCGTGAAGAAGATCGATCCAAGGGAAAGGGGAAAGAGGTTGCGGGACTGCCCGAGGATGTCGTTGCGAATATCCGCATGACTATTTCTCGAGTCCTCGACTTTATATGTGATGTAATTTCCTGCGCACCAGAGCAGCTTCGTCAGCCAAAATCAAAAGAATCGATCGAGCAAGATGAGAAGATGTCCCGCCTAGCTTCGACATATTGTGGAGGAGACATCGAATCCCCCGAAGAGTATGCTTTACTACTTTGGAATGATGAGAAACACACCGTGAAGGAAGTTCAAGATCAGGTGGCGCGATCATGTAGCACGACTCTCGAAGAGGGTTACAAGAGAGCGCTGGAGACGGACTTAATCGGTCGAAGCATCTTGAAATACGATACCAGTATCGAAAGGCTTTTGAGATGTGCAACCATCCTTGAACATATCAAGATCACGGTCACGATTCGGTCATCCCGAGATACGTTCCGAGAACAAATGTGCGGGACGATGATCGACTGGCTGAATGATATTTCAGGGTGCGTGGTAGGTAACGATTACAACATCCTTCGAATGGTAGTTTGCGAAGAACTTCTAAAACCATGGCGAAAAGGGAGTCCTGGAACGCATGCTATGCCTGGCAAGGATGGTCTGGAGGACGAGGAGTTGCTCGAATATGACCCTCTCGAGGCCCACTCGGCCGCCCTCTTCATTCAGAGAGCAAGACTCCTTGCTGAAACCGGAAATACGGCCACCTTGGCTGACTTACTGGACTCCGGTGACGATGACGATGAGGAGCAGCAGGAGGATGATGAAGACGAAGATGAGGATATGGATGTCGGTAACCAAACTCCTTCGAGTGGAGAGGAGGATAATGATGAGGAGGAAGACGATGACGAAGATGTCATGATGGTGGATACAAGGCCAGAAACGAGTGGCGGTGATGTAAATGTGCCCGACTGGATCAGCCCAACTGTAGCATCTCTCGAAGAGGAAGAAGCTACAATGGCAGGATATCCGCCACCACCACCTCCTCCTCCCGGGCCAAGACGCACGAACCGAGATAGAGATCTTACTCCATCAGATTCGGATACTGCAGAGCCGTTGATAGCCCCAACGGTGTATGCAAAAGCCAATCTCGAGATCCCCAAAACTCCTGGACTATCGAAGGCAGATAAGACAGTGCCCCCCAAACCCGGCCGTTACTGGGTTGAGACACCCGCAGCGTACATGGAACGTGATAGCACCCATCCATTCGAGGACGTATTCCAACGAGTCCGTTTAGATTGGCTGATTCTTTTCGATCTAAGGATGTGGAAGAAAGTCCGCAATGACCTACGCTCTCTATACATCTCTACTGTTGTCACTATCCCCGAATTCAAGAGAGTCTTAGGTCTTCGATTCGCTGCTCTCTACACAACTTTAGCGCAACTATACCTCATAGGAGACCGAGAACCCGACCACTCGATCATAAACATATCCCTACAAATGTTGACCACACCGTCTATAACGGCCGAGGTAGTAGAAAGAGGCAATTTTTTGACGACGCTGATGGCGATTCTGTATACTTTCTTGACCACTCGGCAAGTTGGCCATCCCTGGGAAGTTTCATCAAGTGCCGTACTGGGGTTCGACACCGGATCAGTAACAAACAGGCGAATGTACCATTTCTACGTTGACTTGAAGTTCCTCCTCGGCTCGGTTCATGTCCAAGAGCGTATGAGGACTGAAGAGAGATACCTGATGCAATTCCTTGATTTAGTGAAACTGCATCAAGGGATATGCCCGAACCTACGAGCCGTCGGAGAGCATGTCGAATATGAGACTGACAGCTGGATTGGCGCCTCATTAATGACGCGGGAGATCAATAGGCTTTGCAGGCTTCTATCCGGGTCTTTCCGGAACCTCCAAGCACAAGATTCGCCATACCTCGAGAAGGCGATTCGAACCGTGGCCAAAAGTGTCATCGTTAGCTCGGTTGGAGCGGAGCGTACTAGATTCACACAGGCTGAGATCAAAGATGAGGTACGATTCAAAGCTCTGAGCGACTTCGAATTTGCTGGCGAGACCACCAAATTTGAAGTAGTCAAGTTCGTTGTGGAAGAGCAATCAATAAGTTTCCATCACGCTTTACACTATACACTATCGTGGTTAGTCGAGTGTGGGAAGAGCATGTCTCCGCAGCAGCTCAAATCGATGTTGAGTTTCACCTCTCAAGATTTGAAGATGAAGCCTAGGTCAATGGGACGAAAGACGATGCCGAGACGAGATTATAGTCCCGAAGACTATCTCATGGCCGCGTTGGACTATCCGCTGCGCGTCTGCACCTGGCTTGCCCAGATAAAAGCTGGGATGTGGGTACGCAACGGCATTAGTCTAAGACACCAGGCTGGAACCTATAAGAACATTCTCCACAGAGACGTTACTCATGCCCGAGATATCTTCCTGCTCCAGACTGCAATGGTCGTCTGCAATCCGAGCCGTGTCCTTGCCTCTATTGTCGATCGCTTCGGCATGGAAAACTGGATAAAGGGGTTCTTTGAGTTGACTTCAACAGCCCAAGACGAGATTCAGCACCTTGATGTGGTTGAGGACATGATCCACTTTCTAATTGTGTTGTTGAGCGATCGAACCTCACTGATCCCAGTTGAAGATGAACAGCATATGCATTTGATGGCCATGCGTAGGGATATTACTCACGTTCTATGCTTCAAGCCGCTGTCGTTCAATGAGATATCCAACAAATTGCCGGAGAAATTCCACGAGCAAGAAGATTTCCAAGGTGTGTTGGATGAAGTAGCCACCTTCAAAGCTCCTGAAGGGGTTTCGGACGTGGGCACCTTTGAACTCAAGCCAGAGTTTATTGAAGATATTGACCCCTATATTGCCCACTACAACAAGAATCAACGAGAAGAATCAGAGGCCGCTTATCGCAAATGGATAGCCAAGAAGACGGGAAAGCCCGCTGAGGATATTGTATATGAACCCAAACTGCGGCCAATTGAGTCGGGTGCCTTTGTTGGATTGGCGCAGTTTACGAGCACGGGGATGTTCGCGCAGATCATTTATTACTGCCTACTCTATCCCCTAGTCGCTGCCAAACTAACGCCTAGAGTCCCCTTCACTAGAGTTGAGACGTTCCTTCAAGTTGTGCTACACTTAATCCTCATTGCCATCTCAGAGGACAAGGCAAATGAGACGGAGTCTGCGGCTGGAGCCGACTCATTTGTCTATATCGCCCTCACAACACACGCTCGTAGCAATTTCATGCAGGATGCTCCTGCTGCAAAGACTATTGTCTCTCTCCTGGATATGATGTCTACTAAGGAAGAGTTCAAGGCTTGTCACGCCAAGATCGCCTTAATCCTGAAGAGAATGAGACAGAAATACCCACAGCATTTCGATACGGCCTATCTGCGGTTGGGTATACCTGTGGACAGGATCGACACGGCATCGCCAGCCAGCACTCACAATGCCGAAGAGGAGCGTGAACGAAAGAAGAAGGCTGCCGCAGATCGCCAAGCCAAAGTCATGGCACAGTTCCAGCAGCAACAGAAGAGCTTCCTAGAAATGCAAGGGGACATTGATTGGGGCGACGAAGACTGGGACGAGCTTGAAGAGCAAAAGCCAGCGGAGGAGCAGAAGAATTTCTGGAAGTATCCAAAGGGCACTTGCATACTTTGCCAGGAAGATACTGATGACGGACGACTTTACGGGACCTTTGGGCTCTTCACGGAGAGTAGAATTCTTCGGCAGACCAATCTGCAGGACCCGGATTTCGTCAGAGAAGCTGCAAATACGCCGGCCAACCTTGATCGCTCAGCTGAGACAATACGCCCATTCGGGCTTGCCCATGAAAATAGGGAAATGGTAGAGAAAGTCGGCGCAGACGGCAAGATATTTACTACCGAAAGGCAAGGTCTAGGTAAGGGGTTTCCCGCCGGACTTTGTCGAAAAGGTCCCGTATCTGTCGGATGTGGTCACATAATGCATTTCAGCTGTTTTGATATGTATATGGAAGCGACCGCCCGCCGACATGGACATCAGATCGCTCGTCACCATCCCGAGTCATTGGAGCGCCTGGAGTTTGTGTGCCCTCTTTGCAAAGCCCTCGGAAATGCCTTCTTGCCCATTACTTGGGAGGGTAAAGAGGAGTCGTACCCTGGAATCCTTCAAACCGACACGGATTTCTCATTTTTCGTAGTGACGCACATGGGTGGAACCTATTTTGCCCCGATAGTGTCGTATGAGCAGAGTTCGACGGCATTTTTCAATTATCTACGCACAAGGATGCCGGACAGCTTGCCAGAAAGGACCAGTGTTAGGACTAGCGACAGTATTACGCCTTATTGGGCTTCTGCCCGCATAAGATCTGTATCTTCGGCGACGTCTACCAGTGACGCTTTCTCACTCGCTGCTACTCCTGGGTCGAGCGTTAGGTCACAGTCACCGCCGGACTCGGCGCATGGCGACAAGGAATTGATGTCAATCTATCGACGTCTGCGTGACACGCTAAGCAAAAACAAGCTTATCACTCCAATTCCAGATCTTGAAGGAAGAGACGATGATCTGTATGGAAGTGATGTGCTGGCGACATCTCTTGGCCACTCGATATCAGCAGCCGAGATACAGCAACGAGGTATCGAGGCTCAATATGGAATGACTCTAATTGAACGGATGCCTGAGCAGATTCTCATCCAACTACGTATTCTATCCGAGACGGTTTCTTCATACACAGCCTTTGGCGGCCTGGGTCATGGAGGAGACAATCAGATTGGGAGAGAATTTCGAGATGCTAGCCAACGCCAATACTGGAAACTCTTCATATCGTCTTATTTCAAGTCCAGCCTAACCATGGACCCTCAGCCTCCTACCGAAATCACCCCGTTGTTGAATGACGATGTGTTCATCTTCCTGTGCGAAGCTATGTTTGGCCTCTGCGTGGCACAGAATATGGAACCGATACATCTAATTCGACTTTGCTATCTCGCCGAGATTGTCAAGGTTGTCCACCATGTTTCCCAGAACCTCAACTTATCCAAGTGGCTCGAATACATGGGCAATCGAAATGTCGATGACCCTGCAATGAATACATTTGCCAATTTTTTCCACTACATCACGGTGGCGCGAATGAATATCAGCCACTCAGCCCTGGTCCCGTCTCGGGATCAACCCAACCGTGGTTTTGAGCAGCCAGGCCTGGACAGTTTGGAATGCCTTCATTCCTTTGTCAAGAAGTACGCCATCGCATTCTTACGAAAAGTAACCATCCTTCTCCATGTTCATCTCGGTGTCGATTTCAACAGCCACATATCACCATGTCCAGAAGCAGATGAGCTTACACGTCTGACGGCTGCATTACGATTACCATCCTTTGATGAAATGTGCACGGCCTTGACGCCCCTGAGTAGCCAGTATGGTTGGCCGCCGCGTACAGAAGACATTGTCAAGGGCTGGCTTCGCCATTACATACGTGGACACCTGGAAACGCAGCAGGAAGCTGGCGTGAAACTGCCGCGCTCTGCTCAACTGAGTCATCCTGGAATTTTTGAGCTCATTGGTTTACCGAAGAACTACGATACTCTTATTGAAGAATGCTCCAAAAAGAGATGTCCCAAGACCGGAAAAGATCTGTCAGATCCTATTGTCTGTCTCATGTGTGGTGATATTTTTTGCGCTCAGACGATGTGTTGCCTTATGGATTATCAAGAGGCGGGGCCGAACAAGCCAGTATTGAAGATAGGGGGTGCGCAGCAGCACATGTTGTTCAAGTAAGTGAGAAGAAAAAGGGGTTTTATTTATTTATTTAACTAACCAACGTTCTCCTTTATTAGGTGTCAGGGAAATATTGGACTCTTCATCAATATCCGCAAGTGCGCCATTTTCTATCTGCATCGCACATCCGGTAGCTTTAGCAATGCGCCATACATCGACAAGTATGGTGAAGTGGATGTTGGACTCCGCCACGGCAGACAGCTCTTCCTCAACCAGAAACGATACGATTCGATGCTGCGCAACATGTGGCTCAGTCACGGTATCCCGAGTTTCATCAGTAGGAAGCTCGAAGCTGATATCAATAGTGGCGGATGGGAAACTATATAAACTTGCCTAGATAACCTACAATTGTTGTTATACATACCTAAGGTACTAGTAGGTAGGCAGGCAGGTAGACAGGCATGGGAAATGGCATTGTGTTTGTTGTAGTACTCATCCCACAGGTTTTCAACGGCATTTCCGACTTACCTACGGCGTGTGGAGTTTATTTTTTTTAATAGTGTTCGTTAAGGTCATCATCATCATGATATAAATAGGGGAAAAGGGAACGAGAGATTACATATGTATTCTCTGTCGATGAATGCATTAATGAATGTCCTAGGCTACGTTACTAGATATGGTAGATAGTACATATACATACATACCTGGTACTATGAGACTTGGAAGTCATGAGGATCGTGGAGCTTTTTTTTTTTTTTTTTTTTTTATGAATGCCTAGGTACCTGGAGAATAGAGTCTGTTTTATAATATCCATAGATGTCTGTCTACCTTAGGTACCTACTCAGGTGTTTTGTCCTAGAAAGTGTGCATATTTCTACGAGAGAGATTTACCTAAGGTTAGGTAGGTCAGGGGCCTTTTGACTTTTAGGTCTCGTCTCTTTACGTGTGCACTATTATTGCTATTTATGCTTAGATGGATAAGGTACTGGAGATGACTCTTTTTCCATTAGGTATATATAGGTAGGCATGGTATCTATCGCATCACATCGCCTCTTTCTCCCCCTTCCCTCCCTCTGTCCCTTTCTTTCCTTCATCCTTTCTCTCATCTTTCAACCTTCAACAAATACCTACATACCTGAGGTAGATAGATATAGACACTTCCATCCACACCTCCATCCATCCATACATCCGCCCACCTAGGCTAGGCAGCTATCTATCAACCCATGCACTAATACCACCACCACTACTACTGCTGTTGCTGCTGCTGTTATTGCCACTATTCCTCTTTCTTGACATCCTCGTCTTTCAAAGGGGGAACGCTTCCCTCATCCTCGACTTTTGGGTTTGCTGTCACACCGTTGGGTTTCTGCTGATTTGCTTCTGCTTCTGCTTCTGCTTCTGCTTCTTTCTCTGTGCCTGCTGTTGCTGCAACAACAACAACATCACCGCCGCCGCCGCTAACAACAGCAACACCGCCAACACCGCTGACGATGCCGTTGTCGTTCTTTTCGCTATCCACCATCTCAACATCAGCATCACCATTTTTATCATTCTTATCATCCGCATTCTTCTTCGTCTTCTTCTTCTTCTCCGTCTCGACTCCCGCGTCCGCTTCCGGACCTTGATGTCGATACACCCGTATCTTCCCATCCTGACCAGCGCTCACCATGGTGGGTCCGTGGACATCGACCCAGAAGCAGACGCCGTCGTGGGCGCGGGAGATGCGCTGGACGACGGCCTTGGAGCGGACGTCCCAGAGGACGATGTCGCCGTCTTCGGAGGGGGCGGCGATGAAAGCAGCATTGCCACCAGTTCCGACATCTCCGTTTGCAGAGGGAAGGGGTGTGGAGCCGAAGCAGCCGCCGATGCTGAACTTGGAGTTGGCGTGGCCCTGGTACGTCTTCTTGACGGTGCCGGAAACGTAGTCCCACAGGCGCAGGCACGAGTCCATGCTGAAGGCGAGGACGTAGCGGCCGTTGGGGGCGAAGCAGACCGAGGTTATGGGGGGGTTGTCCTCGTGCACGAGGGTGCGGAGGCATTGGCCGGTGGCGGTGTCCCATATACGGCTGTGGATGTGGGAAGCGATTAGTTTAGGGGAAAGGGGAGGGGAAGGGGAAGGGGAAAGAGAAAAGAAGAAGAGAGAGAAACTTACGTCAGCCCATCTGTACTGCAACTCACCACCAGCGTTCCATCGCAGCAAAAGTCGATCCCGCTCACAGGATCGCTGTGCGCCGGCAGACTCCTCATTAACCGGCCCGCACGAACATCCCAGAGAAACACGGCCTCGTCGTAGCTACCGCTGGCCAGGATATTCCCCTTGGGGCTGAAGGCGAGGCAGTACACGTAGCTGTGGTGGCCCAGCAATGGCTTCGCGCGCGTGGGGCGCCCCGTCACCCGGTCCCAGAGCCGGATGGCCTTGTCGTCCGAGCCCGTCGCCAGCGTTTTGCTGTCGGGCGCCCAGGCCACGGCCGACACGCCCGCCATGTGTCCGACTAATGTGTCGGTGTGCTGGCCCGTGGAGGCGTCCCAGATGCGGACGGTGCCGTCGGCGGAGGACGAGGCAATCCACTGTCCGTCGGGGGAGATGCGGACTTGGGATATGGCATGCGAGTGACCCGCTAGCACGAGGCGGGGGACATAGTGAGGCCTTACGGGTTGGCGCGCGGACGGGGCAGAGGGTGGGGGAGTAGTGGTTTCGAGGCCATCGCGGAGCGCGGAGCGAGGGGTTCGAGAGTCCAGGGCTGAGCGGGTGCGAGAGCGGGAGTGGGTTCTGGATCGTGATGTGGATCTAGGGGATCTAGTCCTGGTCCTGGATCGCGTCCGGGTCGACCTGCTGCCGGTGCTCGAACGCCGCGACCGCGAGCTCGAGGCTGAACGGCTGCGACGCGAGCGGTCGCTGGAGTAGTAGTCTGTTTCCCGTCGCCCGTCTCGGCTTCGACTTCGACTGCGACTGCGACTAACAGATCGGCTGTCTAGGGTCTTCTCGCGTATGGAGACGCGCAGGGAGTGTTTCTCGTCCGGGTTCTCTGGGGTGTCGTAGCAGCGAGCAGGGGTGGTGGCGGCGCTGCCATCGTCGTCGTGGACTTTTCGGCGCTTGGTGGGGGGTTCGGTGTGTGAAGGATGAGTGGCGGGAGAGTCGACGCCGGTCATTGTTGATGCCTCCTAGGTAGAGACCTAGGTAAGGACTTAGGGAGGTAAGTAGTAGTTGGTTGGTTGAAGCAAAAAGCAATAGGTACTATCGAATCTTCATTTGTCAAGGTGGAGAAGTAGTAGTAGCTGTAGCTGTAGCTGTAGCTGTAGCTGTAGTCGTCAGTCGCGATCGGCCGAGAAATAGATATTGCCTAGGTAGTACAAGGTGTGCAAGTATTAGGTTAGCAGTAGCTACAGGATGTACATGGTCAGTAGGTAGGAGATAGATATCGATAATGAATTGATAATTGATAATTGATAATTGATAATAAACGATAACAAGGCTGAAAGTCAATTTAAATTTTGGTGGATCTTTTGCAAATAAGAATATGTATGTGCCTAGCAGCCTAGGTAAGTAGTTAGTACGTACCTAAAAAGTAAGAATACGACGTAGATTTCCAGAGTTACGATTGGATTGTTAATCTGACCGCTTACTTCGTACTAGCTGCATACAACCTACATGCCCCCCGCTGTCGACGCTACTACATAGCACTCTTAATTAAGCTCCGAAGGATAACAAAACTAACCAGTTTCAGACGAGCTGTGAGGTCAGTTTTATCTCCTGTCCCCTTGTTCCCCTGTCATGGTGTCTATCCCTTGTCAGTCTAAGACTGTCTAACACTTGTGATGCAGGGTTTTAAATTTGAAATGAGCAAAACGATGGAACCCTGCAGGATGGTCATCATGGTACATACTATGTAGTAGTAGGAAGGCAAGTACACTGAACACTCTCCAATCAATGGCCATCATTGTCTTCTTGTGTCTAAGTTGCCTTCAATGCTGTCTTGCTTTTCCCCCACGAGTTCCCTTCTTCCTGCATAATTTCTTGTGCATAGTATCTTACCTTCTTCCTTACTAAAATAACAAACAATAATACTAATAATGTAACTACCCTGTTCCTGTTCCTGTTCCTGTTCCTGTTTCCGTTGTCCGTCTCCATAAAAACTGTCTACCCTACCCTCAGGTATCATCTCTCTTTTCATCTTTCTAGAAATCCCAGAAATCCCCGAAACAAGATTTTGTCTTCTTTTATCCTTCCAAACTTCAGCTCTACTACCAGGAAGGTGTACATCTTCCGAACAATCCCAACCTAGTAATCTTCAGCTCGCAAGGTTGGCCGAGTGGAAGAGGAATGCTAGATCCTAGTCATTCTACTAGGTAGTACAGCGGCACAGAGAACCAGCAAAAGGATCGTGGCGTATATAACTACGCCTATCGGTATATCTATATATCCTCATTCACCTCGTTTACAAAGGAGTTTAAGAGAGAGAAAAAGAAAAGGGCATGAGGACAGGGAGAAACAGAGGAGACGAAAAATAATATGGATTTCAAAAAGGTAGATGAGCTCCCCGTTGAGCTCAACATCATCACCCTCAATTGCTGGGGTCTCTTACACCTAAGTGCCCACCGCGCCGAACGTCTTACCGCCATCGGCCGCGAGCTTGCCGCTGCTGATCCACCACCTCATATCGTCGGTCTTCAAGAGTGCTGGACCCAGGAAGATTACCGAAGCATCCGCCGCGAAACACGCTTCGTCCTGCCCTTTGGCAAATTTTACCATGGTGGCGCGTTCGGTGCCGGCCTCGCTATCCTCTCGCGATGGCCCATAGAAGAGAGTACCATGTTTCGGTATCCATTAAATGGCCGGCCAACCGCTTTTTATAGAGGAGATTGGTATGTCGGGAAGGGTGTTGCCTGTGCTAGAATTCGGTTTGGGCCCGCTGAGAAGGATATCGTGGAGGTTTTCAACACACATACCCACGCCATCTACGAGCATCCACCGGATAAGACGGATAGCTATTTGGTTCATCGCCTAGCGCAAGCTTGGGAGATGGCTAAACTAGTTCGTGGTGCTGCCGAGAGAGGACATCTAGTTGTCGCGCTCGGTGACTTCAACGACGTGCCCTTGTCCCTAACGTATCGCATATTAACCGCTCACGCCCCGATTAAAGATGCTTGGCGCGTGGTAAATCCGGACTCATCCCTCGGCGCCGCAGTTCACGAAACTGAGCGCGCGCGCCGGCGGCCAATACCCACTGCAGCATTTAATATTGCCGAAAATGGCGTCACAAGCAATAGCGCGTATAATACGTGGACCTGGCCCAAATCCCAGCAGCGGGCCGCACAGTCAGGAATGAGGCCCATGATCGTTGATCCCAACAAGCCGGATCCGCGCGGCAAGCGTATCGATTATATCTTTTTCTCACCCCAGGTCGCATCGACCCCAAATCCCATTCTGAGAAGCGTTCACGAGGCAGCGGCACGAGCAAGTCGCGACACCGCCGGCGAAAATGGCATCAGTAAAGGATGGGTTGTCAAGGACATTCGTGTGGGCATGCTCGGCAAACATCCTGAATTAGGATGCTCACTCAGTGACCACTTTTCTGTAGAGGCGACTTTGCTCCTACATACATCCAACTCCATACCAGTCTCTCACCCTTCTTCGCCCCTTATTTCCTCCCCCTCCGAGTCCAAGGGCCATGGCAACAATTTCGACAGAATAGTCAGCATAGACTCACATCCTTCAACTGCTGACCACGTCAGGACGGACCACGCTGCCTCCCTCCTCGCTCTCGAGCACGGGACTTACCTCCAATCACCCACAGGCTCCGAAGTCCGCGTCGGCTCTTCCAACCACCGCGCTTCCTTCGATGCGCAGCTCTCCTCCTTCGCCGAAAACTCACCATCTCCCACTTCCCGCGCCAAATATGACGGGCTGCCCTGCAATACCTACGACGAGATCATGTCTTTAATCCACGCCTACGCCGCGCGCGAACGCTCTCAGCGCTACTGGCGGTTTATGCACTGCGCCGCGTGGGCCTTCGTCGTCCTGGGGTGCTACGTCGCAGTATGGTTCGCGCCGTTCCGCGCCATCTCCTTCGCGTTCCTGGTCGTCAGCAGCCTCGGCTTCCTAGCCGGCGCCGTCGACGGACTCATAGCGCTGCTGTTCTTCGGCACCGAGCTCCGCAGCCTGCAGGAGTTCGAGTGGGAGATCATGAACACCAAGGCCACCGCGAGCGGCGCCCAGGGACTCGCAGTGCAGCAGCAGCTCGACACCGATGACCAAGGTACTATTGGCGGTGGTGGTGGCGATGAGAAATGGTGAAGCGAAGAAAGCGCCTGGGTAACCTTCATACCTGCCTAACCTACCTCTACCTACCTCCTTCGATGTTACTATACTTTTATTCAACTTTTAATCTTACGTTTAATGTACCTACCTACCTACCTACCTACCCACTTACGTTATTTCATTTCACCCCCATATCACCAACCCCAGCTTTATATATATACGACGAGGTAATGGAAGGGGACCGAGGAAGGAAGGAAGGAAGGAAGAGAGGGAATTGGAGTATACATACCAATCTCCCTTAGTATACATGATGTTTATATGTTTATTATACGTACATACAACACGACACATGTATGTATGTATGTATGTATGTATGTATGTATGTACGTACGTGCTCATGTGCCTAACCACCTAGCTTATGATCAAAATTTCTCAATACCCAAGAATAGTTACGTTACGAATCAAGATAATATTATGCCCTACTTACCTACTACCTACCTACACATCTTATTTCTTTCCTTACTTGAAAAAAAATTCATGATTTTACAGTACGTATGCAAGTAGGCAGGCACCCTATGATGAATAACACGACGAGATAGTTGTATTTCGCAAGCAAGCTACTTAGGTAGGTAGGTAGGCTGGTATGTTGGTAAGTACTAGTTAGGTAGGTGTTCGACATGGGGATAAAAACTGAGGATGAGGATACTGTTCTAATTGAGTGCTACTCCCCCTTTTTTTTTCCCTTTTTTCTTCTTCTTTTCGTTTTCTCTCCTTATCTCCTTTATCCCCCTTTTTCTTCCTCTGTGCTTACTGAGGCGAGCCGAGCTGGGATGATCACCCATCACCCTCTCTTTCCTTCCCTTTGCCTCTTTTTTCAGTCCATCCATGTCTATTCTATCCTCTTCTTGCCGATCACAAATCCCACCGTTGCTGCTCCTCTATTCGTCCGTCTTCCATGACATATCCTAGTCATCAGTCACCAACCACTACCTAGCTGCCTACTCAAGGTAGCTAGCCTGCCCGTGCCTGACATAAAGCACGATATGAAGCCATCTCTGCCGCATCATTCGCTCTACTTGTTCCATTTCCAACGCCGAACCCTCTCCCGTGACTCCCATCCCCACCAGCATCCCAACCAACCCACCTAGGAGCCTCGCACTCCCTCAAGCGCTGGTACGTGTACCCCATGAACGCCGTCTGCTTTCTTACGTCAAGCACCGGGCCTCTGGTGTGTCTATCGCGCAGTAGTCTATCACGGGGCCTCTTCCGCTCGCGGCGTCTAAACGCGCGCAGGAACGCCTTGGAGTGTTCGCAGAGGTTTGTGTCTGGTGCCGTTAAAGCCTCTATTTCGCGGTCCATGCGCTTCAACTTGGCCGAGTCGTATGGCGTCGTCACAAACTGTGCAAGTGTCGGGCGCAAGTGCCGCGGGAATGCGGCTAGTTGTGCTTGCATGGCCACCATCTTCTCGGGGCTCCTCGGTGATGCTACTGTGGCTGGAGCGAAGGCGTTACCGTTGGCGTTGGTACCTATAATGAGAGGATTCGGGGCAAGCCCATCTATTTCCGAGCTTGACTCGGGCTGTGACTCAGACCAGTCTGATATGGGCTCCTCCTCGTCGAAATAATGCGTGTCCGTCCGACTTGAGAGCTGCGGAATGAACGGTGGCGGGATTTGGTGCAACCGATCCCAGGGAATGTCACGGAACCATTTGTGCGCTTTTATATCCTCCCCGTCACAAGGATATACCGATCGTCCCGTCCAGTCTTGGTATCCACGGCGATGTCGACTCCACGAGGGGTCGGGGATGGTGTCCCGGTAACGGTATCGTCTCGACGAGAGGCGATTCTCTTTCTCGCAGATAAGATTAACGATGAGATCTATGCATCGTCTAGAGACTACTGGGCGAGGTGGGAAAGCGAAAGTCTGCTTGTGGTTAACGATGTTACGCTTTGTTTGTTGGCGACCACCCTCTTCTGATAGGAATGGAGTGTGTCCGTATAGACACTCATACAAGATGATGCCGACACTCCACTAGTCGCATCTTGCATCGTAGTCGCCCTCGCGGATGACTTCCGGAGCCATGTACTGGCTTGTACCCACACAAGATCTGGCCGCACTGCGGTTGCCACACCGATTACGCCAGTTCAGGAGTGGCTCATCGAGTAAGGTTGACGATGATGAGCCCAATTGTGTTACGTTACGTTCATGTTTCTGCATTGCCTGCGCTACACCTTGAGCCCATTTGACCGAGCCCTGTAAGCCTTCGGCACGATCGATTGCATCTCCTTCTACTGGTATACCAAATCTTTGAAGTAGAGTATATCGCTGGGTGTGGTAATAATTGGTGTCATGAGACCAGTGGCCGTCAAAAGCCAGGCCAAAGTCTGAGATTTTCAAATGTCCAGACCCAGAGATGAGAAAGTTGTCTGGTTTGATATCTCGGTGAATGCAACGTAAAGAGTGTGCCTCTTCGATACACAAAATCATCTCGGCAATGTAAAATTTGGCGACTGGCTCATTAAGCACGTTTTCGCGGATCAGAAGACCGAGAAAGTCGCCTCCAGGCATATATTCCATGACGAGATAGAGGTTGGCAGCATCTTGAAAACTGGTGACTAGAGGTACGATCCTGTGATAGCATATATAGGTTAGCTTTGTTTGATCTGATGAGATGGCATCCTGATCATAGGCTGAGAAACGAACCACCTCGAGCCTTCTGAAGCAACTAGAAAATCTCTTTCGGCACGCAAGTGAGCCTCTTGACTCGTTTTCAACATTGTCGACTTGCGAATTACTTTCATGGCATAAACTGGCCTCTCTCTGTGCACGTCGTATTCCAATTCGCCCGGGCCAGTCTTTTCACGTACAAGCCTAACAACACCGAAACTTCCCTTTCCGAGAATCTTCAAAACTTCGTAGCTCCCAGCAAGCTTGTTGTGTCTCCCTTGGATTGCGCCAATGCTCTTCGCTTTCAAAGCACGGGTTTCGCGAAGATGATTAGTTTCTTGCTTGTAAAAATTTCGACGCATGGCCATTTTCTCTGCTTCTGTTAGTCGATGACTGTGATACAATTCTGCCTCTAGGTATCGACGACGAAGAGAACGCGGGCTCGGTTTCGAGAGTTGCTCATCAAAATGATTTTCGAGGAATATCTTGGCAGCTGCAGCTCTCTCAACAGTTAGAATGGTCGGCGCTGATAAATCAAGAGCTGTTTCCTGTATTGTGGTCAGGTTCGATTCAGGGGCTGGGACTGGAGTGGTTTCTGGCTCTTTGTCGTGGGCGGCAGTTGCAGTCTTGTCCCTTCTCTCAGATTCAAAGGATGTCTTGCCGGTAGTGGCGGTGTTTACAGTCCCTCCAGTTCCATTGGTCGGGTTTGATGACTTTCCACTGGAAGTTGTATTACTATTGCTGAACGAATTGCCGTTAGAGGTAGAAGAGACCACTTGCTCGGGAGGACAAGCTGAAAGAGGCTCGTTGGCGGCTTTTTCCAAAGACTCAAGGGACGGTCTAGACTTGGATCTAAATCGATGGATGACAGTGACAGAAGCGCCAAAGGGGCTTCTGAGGAAGGGCATAGACAGCTTTCTGAAGCGTCGACGGGGCTCGGGCGACCTCTCGGTCGGCGAAGGGGCCGGCCATGTCGCCGGCTCCCTTACTGAGTTTCCGGACACTATAGCTCGGTGACTACGGTTAGGGGTGATGTATCGTATTGGCGTAGAAAAAGAATGAGCTCACCACTGTTATTTGTTAATGAGCGTAGTACAGACAGGATACGTGAGCCACGTCGTCTTAGCTTCCGAGAAGGCTCTCCACGTTCGGGCATGGATAAAGGAGTGTAAGATGGAGTATCCAACGGAGAAGTTTCGTCGTGTAGCGGGAGGGCTGGGGTGCTATCTCCCGCTTGCAGCTCATTTATCTCCATGTTGCTTCATTGGTAATATGTATGCGTATGCGTCTGACGAATCTGGAAATAATACAGGCAATATACTTCAAGAGATGATACTTTGTTAAGCTATCCCGGGCCCTGATCGAATGAGTACAGCATAGGGGCCCAGGTGACCATCTACTTGATATCTTGTAGAGGTGTCTAATTTGGGAATTAAATGATGATGGTGATGATGAAAAGGGTAATATTTTCAAGGAGTTGATTTCAAATTTTATTTGAGTACTTTAGTAAATTGCCCACTTGCCCTTGGATGTAGTTATAATGTAGGTTAGTGACTTCCCTTCCCCTATTTGTCTTTAGGAAGACTAGGACAGAGCAGCCGAGGACTTTTACTTTGTTCATGGATAGGTAGTTCTTACTTTGATTCACTCCTTGAAGTCTAGCAACTGCCCGGATCTACGTAACGAACCTGGGTAAGAACATACCACACAGTACTTACATAGTAATATAAAGAAAGCATCCACGCATCAATCATCACTAAGTACAGGCAGACTGGGGCAATTTTCGTTCATCCGATAGCGTTATAACTACCTGCAGAAATTTATGGAACATTTATACGAGAGGATAGCCAACCTCCCTGAAATCCACGATTTTTATTACGCCTCTTATGCAACGTAGACCTCGTCATCCCTTATGACAACAATCTGCTTCCCGCGCCTACATACTGAGACGCCAGATCCTCGCAGATTTGCGCAGGTCGGAGACCTTACAGCGCATGATTAGAAGACTGTCACGAGCAATCCATACCGGAACATTCTCCGAAACGACCAGATTAGAGTACAGCCAGAGTGATATCTGTGCGCAAGGAAATATCAAGGAAACATCGTCGGGGGAACTTTGTGCACTTATTTGATCGCCAATAACTTGACGTCGAAGACCAACGTGCTGTTTCCGGGAATGCCAGGCTGGGCCTTGCTACCGTAGGCGAGATGGGCCGGGATGGTGAGACGACGCTCACCACCGACGGACATGCCCTGAACTCCGACATCCCATCCCTTGATCACCTCACCCTTTCCGACCGAGAAGCTGAAAGGCTTTCCCTTCTTGTTGGCTAATCTCAAGTTAGCAATTATCGAAATACCAAACACCATACACCACAAAATTCAAAACTTACCGTCGAAGACCTTGCCATCTTGAAGCTTGCCAATATATCGAACCTCGACCTTGCTACCCTTTTTCGCAACGCGGCCCGATCCAACCTTGCGGTCATCGATAGTGACTCCCTGAACAACCTTCACACCGAGGGTAGCTCCCTTCTCAGTTGCTGCCGCCGAACCAGTGGGTCCCTGCTCCAGGTTCTTAGCGAACTGAACCTTCTTGTCACCTTTGGCGGCAGCGTCCTTAGCAGCTTCTGCCTTGGCGTCGACGGCCTCGCCCTTGTTGTTCTTGAGCTTCTTTTGCTGCTTCTTGCTGAGCTTGGTCTCCGCAGACTTGGCCATCAGATCGTCTAAGCCTTCCGTCTCATCGGCGGCAGGGCGCTTGTTCTTGCCCTTCTTGGTCTCAGCTGCAACTAGCTTAGGGGCTTGCTCTTCATCATCAGAATCAAGCTCGGTAATGCGAGGATCCTTGATGTTATCAAGTTCGTCAACCTCGGAGCCCTCAGAATCATACTCGTCCATACCCTCCAAGTCATAGTCTTCGTCATCCTCGTCTTCAGAGGAATCTTGCTCGGTGTCGACAACGTAGTTGCCAGTTAAGGCAACGGTATGTGTACCCTTGACAACGAAGTAGACTTCCTCATTGGGGGCAATGGTGATATCGAGCGGTTGTTGAAAGTGCTTGAGTTATGTTAGCATCTGATAGGATCGAGGCCCGAGTTGAATACAAGGAATACATACGCGTTCGGTGTCAAGGGTGCAGACGACGAATTGGTCGGCCTCCCACTCATCGGAGTCAATGCTCTCGTCGTCATCATCATCATCGCTAGAAGTAGCGGGCTCCTTTCCCTTCTTGATGGCTTTACCATTAGCCTTGGGCTTAGCGCTGCTATCAACCATCTCCTCGTCAGAGTCCTCCTCTTCTTGGGCAGCTTGGATTAGCTTCTTAAGAGCAGCCTCCTGCTTAGCCTTCTTGGACTTGGAAGGGTCACTGGGGCCGCCATTGGGCTCATCGTCGGAATCAGCTTCATCATCATCTTCCTCGTCGGATGAATCGACACCCATCAACTGGTTTAGATACTCTTCATCAAGCTCATCGTCCATGGAAGGGAGCTTGCGAACGATCTTAAGGGTGGATCGCGGGACACTGGGGATGTTGCCATCAGCGTCAGCTTCGGGGGCCTCCGATGGATCAATAGCAGCCATGGTAATGCGAAACTTGAAGATACATGTTAGCGATTGGCTGAAAGTTAAGGCTGAGGCGCAGGATAGGAAGCGCAGCGATGGGGATTGGTAGCATCTGCGTCGCAAATGGGTCCATTGGTAGAGGGGAAAGGATAGATTCCATGGTAATAATTAGAGAAGGAAATACTTACAGCAGCGCCAGGAATGCCCTCGTCCTGAATGCTAGGGACCAAACCGCCGTGAGGGGGGACCTCGAGCCCATAGAGGGCGATAGGTAGAACAACCATCGTGAATTGAGTTGTGACTGGGTACCAAGTAGAAAAAAGGTGTAAATATTTCGATGCGGGATCGAATTAAGAGGGTGAATAAGTCTATTTTCTTTACAACAAGATAGACTTGTACCTCGTAAATAATTCGAGGAGAATGAAGAAGAAAAGTTTTTGTGAGGAAAGAAAAGGATGTTGAACGCGACTCGAGAGGAAGGAAGAAGGTAGGTAGCAGAAGAAGGAAAAAAAAAAAAAAAAAAAAAAAAAAAAAGAGTCGAGTAAATGTCCCGTTTGCCTAGTAGCTTGCTAACTCGTGCTTGCTGTCTCCAAATTTTTTTTTTTTACATTGGGAAAAAAAAATCCGCCGCAGTAACACCCCACTTGATTCGCTCTAAACGTCTTACCGCCTTTGCTGATAAGGAGAAACTACAGCAAAAAACAAGCTTATCTACACTGGACCCTTCAGACTACCGGTAGAAGATTTTAGTGCATTTAGCAGCCGGTAACTGCACCTACTAGGCAGCTAAACTACTAACCTTCAGCTATTTCTCTTGATGGAGCCAATCCAATGGCTTACCAGCAGTTCGTGCAACAACAACAAATTATCTGCTGATTAACATATGTATCGAAAACTGCGAAACGGTCTAATTGTGTTAGACAAAACTCTAGCATCCATATAATGATATAATGCTCCAGCATGTCTCGGGCTATATATAGCCGACTCGACGCAAACACATCAAGTCAAGTTTATATTGCACAAATGTGATTGCCTTTTCAAACTTCCTCTCTCTCACTCTCTATATATATAATATCTATAATTTCCAGTCTATGTCATTGAGCGGAGGAGTCCCATCATCGATGATCACCATCCTTCATTATCGCCACCCACTTCTCGCAAATAACCAAATCTCAATTGTCATCCTAAGATACAGTACCTAGGTAGCCTTGCTAGCAGCAGCCTCGACAATTTTCTTAATTATCTCCGGAAATGTCAATTCTGCGCACCACCCCCCAGGAGGAAGGGCAACCACATTAGCCAGGCACAAAACACATCAAACATCTTAAATAGCTAGCTAGGTAGGTGCTGGAAAAAAGGCCTGACTTACCATTGGTATACTCGCGGGGACGATCACCCACGTCAATGTTCTCACACGTGATCTCCACGATCTCGCTCGGGAACTTGGGGGAGGCTCGGCAGTAGGCTGCCACGAGGTCGTTGCCATTGGTTACGCCGCCTGTACGGGAGGGTGGGGAGACACGATGTTAGCCATGTGATGTTCTTCATCCAGGGGGGGGGGGGAACGTGTTCCAAAAAAGGGGCATAACAAACCACTGCTCCACAGATTCCCATCCTGAGTCCACCGATACTTGTCGCCCACCAGCGCCTTCTCTCCATACCCCCTCGCGCGAATCATATCCTGGAGCCCGCGGGGCCCGCACACCTCCCGTCCCTTCAGCAGGCCGGCGTCGCCACAAACAAAAATACCCGTGCACACGCTCAGGATGTCGGTTCCCGGCACCGCGCCCTGCGCGCGCAGCCACTCGACCATGCCCGGCTTGACGGGCACGAAGGGGTCCGGGCCGGGGATCAGCACGATGTCGAGCTGGCCCGGCGCCACCTCGGGGTCGCTGTAGTGGTTCGTCGCCGTGATTGACATGTTCGCCGTCAGCTGGATCGGCTCGCCCGCGCGCACCGACCCGATGTAGCGGATCTGCACTGAGGGCGCGAGGTCGACGACGGCCTGCGGGATGATGGCGGGCTGGGGGGCGGTCGAGGAAAAGAAGCTCAAATCTGAGGGCATTGTTAGCTACCTATGTGTATCCCCAAGATCTATACCTAGTGTTGGATATCTGGTTTCCCAAAATAGGCCCTTCGATGCCTCGGAAGGGAAAGGGGAGTGACAGATAGGTCAGGTAGATTTCCTTGAAATTGGGAAATGTAGATAGTGACATACTGCCAACACCATCACGTTAGCTCTCGAACGACACAACAACTCAAAACATAATGTAATGTAGAAAGGGGGGAGATTTGCGGACCAACTAACCATTCACGGCCCATACTTCCTATGACATCGACGGATGCCGTATCGAGAAGCTGGCATTCGCTGGTGATGAGGACGCCGACTTTGATAGTCGTTTGGTTCTTGTTTTGGCCAGACATCTTGTCTTGAATTTTTCTCACACAAACACACTGGTAATGTAATGGGTAGCAGTAGGTAGGTAAATAAAAAAAAGGCGAATAGGCCGATATGAAGATGAGTAGGTAGGTAGGTAGGTAGGTAGGTAGGTAGATAATCAAATAGTTCTCAAAGACCTCAAAGTAAAGCGATGCTCTTCAACTTCAACTCATCTGGCAAGAGAACGGCTATCTACCTCCCTACTTATACCCTCAAGATCCCGCCTACTCTACCCCTATAGACATATAGTATACGCAAGACACAACACAACACAACACAACACAACACAACACAAACCCCGTATTACCTTTCTCCCTCCCTCCCTCCCTCCACCCCCATCAACCTCTCTACCCTACCTCCAAGGCCCATCAAACCCACCGCCCCAAGCTCTTTCCCCGAAGCCAGTCGGACTGACTGACTGAAACCCTCCAAGTTCGGGACAACGGGAGAGTGCCTAGGTAAGAAAAAGAAAAAGAAAAACCGGGGTATCTCCAACGAAACGGTGTAATACCATTGGTCAATTGACCGCTTACTGATGATGAACTCCGACCTGCCTCGGAGGTCAGTCAATATGATGCCTACATACATACCTACCGTCGTGCAGATCAGGCACCTACATACGTATTGTATCTACCTACCTACATAGGTACTAGGTATAACCCAATACATGGTACATATGTAGTAGTAAAGGGCGCATGTAAGTAGAATGGCCAATTAATCTTACGTATGTAGTTCGGGACGGGACGCGTATTCGAATTTGAATTTGATGAGAGCTCTTATAACCCAGTGAACCTATCCACTCTCAAGTATCTCGCTGACTCTCTTTACAATATTATTCATTAAGGCTTTCCTTATGTTCTTGCTACTCCATTTACAAACCGTCAAATCCGAATCGAGTGACTTCAATTGGTATAATAGACCGGCCAGGAATGTACAGTACGCATACTACATGTTCATGCAAGTTGTAGGGCACCTTTCATTACTTCACTCCGGTATCTGGCAAATAGAAATCTAATAGTCACAGTATCATAAAATAGTTCTCGTTATTTGATTGATTGTAGAGCAATACGATTTATCATTTATTGTTGTAAGCTTCAAGAGTACTGCTTGACAACTATTCTCAATCGCCGAGCTGCTCCTCATCTCCACCACCCTCGTCGGAGGGCTGCTCTTGTCTTATGTACATCATTATTAGATATTACCGGGCTAGGTTTGCGCATTAGGTACTTCGAGTTTCTCTCCATCGTGAACCCGTATCATCGTCGTCCTTGCTGGGCTAGCCCGTCCCCCAATCGGACAAATGCGTCTCTCGACTTCGACGAGTCGATCTCGACCGTCTTGAGCTGTGCTCTTTTTTCGTGGCCGCTCTCTTGCCGCGTAAACGAATGCCGGCAGGAATAACATCTCATTCCCGCGTAGTGCTCCTAGAACTCCGTGAGCCCTGAAAACTGTCCCCGTATCTAGAATGCCAATGCCGATGCCATGCATATCAACATCATGTCCTCTATTTACACACGCTCCTTGGAGCTTCTTTCAAAAAAAGTCAGAAAACGTTACTTCGCCGGTCTTCAACGGGTTGGAGAATCGAAAAAGGGTGTAGCAGACCCGACCATCTCGATAGTCGGCCTGAACGAATATTAAGGAAGTCAAAAAACAGCTCAGTCGTTAAGGCATTACAGTGGCGATTATGGATTTGGCCCGTTGCCGTGTGACCTTTTTGCTGACTGTGTATACTAGATCAAGTGTGAAGAAGTGCATGATCTGAGCCTGGGCGGTCGGAATAGCACCATACAACGGTGCGACGAGGGGCGCCATCATATAGTCGACGTAGTTCTTCTTAATCTCACGGTGAGAGAAACACATTCCCTTCGCGAGACCAGCTTCGTGCATTTCCCTCTCGCGAGTGGCGGCGCAGATCTTGTGGAATCGCTCATATAAGAACATCAATAACACGACTTCCATAAAGCCAGCGGTTCGTAAAACGTTGCAAAGAGTAAAGATCCAGCCAAGTCCATGAGGATCTCCGTTACCATCAGTAACCCACATGTACAAGGTGGAAGCAATGACTAGGATCGTCATCTGGAGTGGTAAGAAGTGAGCTTCGAAAAGTCGGTGGAATAAGAAGACAATTCGCTTCCAATCAGGTTCCTTTAGAGTGTCGGAGGTAACATCAGAAAAGATCGCGCTCTCGAGAGTCTGTTCGGGGTTCATGTCAAGCTGAGTCTGCGTGATATACGAGTCGGTGGGGTTGTTTCTATTCATTGTTAGCTCTTCCCTGGCTGCGGTAGTTTTATGTCAAGACTTACAGGGCAATGTGGAGCGGTCGGAAAGCTCTGGCAGTATGCTTTCGCTCTTGCCAAAGCTCCACGAATTTCCTAATAGCAAAGCCGCTGTCGAGAGCTCCCCACATGTGTCGTAGCGCTTGCTTGTAACGAGCTCGCATATCATTGTAGAGTCCGTGGTATCCTACACCGCCGTCGCCCTTGACATTGCTTTGACTGACGGGACTCATGATAGTTCGGACGGTCAAATTTCCGTTGAGGGCGAAGAAACACTTCAGGTACATGTGTAGATCCTCGCCAATAGCTTCAGAATCGCAGTCCCAACCTCCAACGCGGTCGGCCAACACAAGAGGAACGGAGTAAACAGAGGTAGGCGGAGCGATAGTGGAACCATTGTAAAGGCCAGATAGACCACCACAAGCCCATAGAATATCGGCCACTCGCACAATAGCAGGAACGGCGTGGGCATTGCGATCGAAAACGATGGGGGCAGAGTACAGAGTGGTGGGTGCGGTCTCTTGGTGCGTAGTGTGCATGTTGGAAAGCAAAGCGAAATAATTAGGCGACAGATGGCTGTCGGCTATGTCATTCAAAGTTCAGATTAGCTTACATTCCCCCACGATGTATTAATACCGTATAAATTCTGACGGCACGGCAGAGCTGAGTTTGGGATCAAGTATACGTACCATCAATTCCAGTGACAATTACATCCTTCCTGATTTGCGAAGGATATCTCTCACTAAGTTTGCGCGCAGCCCATGCTAGATTGCTACCCTTTCCAGGCGACTCGCCAGGGATGTCAGACGGATGGAGCGTAAAGTCGATCGAGCGGAACTTCTTGACAAATTCCTGGATAAGATTCATAGCCTTGAGCTCGCCATTGTGTTCGCGCTGTTCCATAGCAAGATAGATCTAAAAATTTATTGAATTAGTCCCATGCGTTGTTTATTTTCCAGCAAATTGAAGGGCAAGGTGGTTTTGTTCATTGCTTTTTTTTTTTTTTTTTTTTTTTTTTTCGTAGTTTGTCGTTCTTTTTTGGTACGTTGCAAGCATAATTGACTCCATCCCCAATTGCCACTCCACGGGAAAGTTAACTTACATCATAGGAATTCCGAGCTTGGGGGTGGGATGCCAAGACATCCAGTGTTTCCCTCAGACTATCAACCTCCTCCTTGTAATTGGGAATAACAATAGCATGAATAACATTATTAGGTTCGGAATCACCGTCGTTGTAAAAATCGGTTTCAATATCGCCAGCTTCGCTGCTAGTAGCCGAGGAAGGCAAAGAATCCTCCTTGGAGGAAGTCAATGTCTCAGAGCTGGAGAGAGAAGTAGACGACCCGCGGCGACGGTGGGAGAGCTTAAAATCTTTCAGCGACTTGCTTCGGGCAGCCTTCTTTAAGCCTCGAGTGATATCGAACATAGCCCAGCAAGAACGCATGGGGAAAGCGAAAACCAGGAAGTGAATTAATAGGGCATAATAGGTGAAAATGACGGTCCAGTAGCCAGCTCCTTCGGTGGATGGAATAAGCATATGAGCCGGCGGCCTGGTCAATGACTCTTGGTGAACGTGTTGCATATACTTGTAGTCATATCGCGATGCAGCTGCTTCCTTAGTGATAACCCAATAGCTGAGGGCCAAGGTCATTAGCATGGCCAACCCTCCCACTCTCCTCGAGCTCCAGACGAAGAGCGACATGATGGCGGCGACGTGCTCAATGATTCCTCGGTGGAGGTTTGTCAAGCCAGGGTGACGCAGGCTAGGTGGAGAGATGGAAAAAGGAGTGAAGGTATGAGGAGTCGGCGTCAAGGAATGAGGAATAGGGGAAGAAAAAAAAAGAATAGAAAAAAAGGAGGATGAAGGAGTGATTCGGAAAAAGATAACACAAGGAAGGACTTTGAGTGGGAACAGGGGGTTAGAAGAGAGGGAATGAGGAGGGGGGCTGGGGACCAGACGATCTCAAGCTCTCTCTCACTCTCAAGAACGCGAGATGCTTCGTGCACTACTGCACAATTATTACCTGAGTAATATTCTCTCTCCTCTTGGGTTGCAATACTGGGGTGGGAAGAGTAAAGGAAGGGAAAAGGAGGAAAAGTCGAAGAGAGAGGTAACTAAAGGTAAAAAGAAAAAAAAAGAAAAAAGAAAAAAAGAGCTAGATAGTAATTGGCAAGGCAGTGGACAGTGGACAGGGAAAATGGGGAGAGCTGGAAATTTACTAGGTTGAAACCTCATGAAGGTAATAACAATTAGGGAAAAGGGGAGCCTTGTTTAGTACGACGAGAAATTAGATGTGTAGGGATTCTGCGCCCCAATGTGGACAGTACCTAACTACGTAGGTAAAGTACCCCTTCCCGTTAGGATATTTCCAGCACCTGGCACGTTAAAGCATGGGCCCAAACACCCTTAGTGTGGCCTAGTGCTGCTAGTTGTGGTTATAGTTATGGGGCTTTCTGGGGCTTGTGGCTGCTGATTCTCCTTGGTACTACATTACATCCTAGGTACCTACCTAGGTATGCATGTGTAGGTATCAAATGGGTACACACTATGGATGTATGTACTATGGATGTCTGGTTTACTGAGTCTGTATAAGCTATTACTCACTGCCTGTAGTACGGAGTATGTATTGTATTGTACAACTAGTAAGGCTACCTAGTATTGAATTGTTACCTACATGTAGTTATATAGTTTATCGTAGTTGCCCTTTTTTATGCAACCAAGTGAGCGATAAAGCAAGTGTTTGTTCAGCACTAGAATAGCACGCGGATCACGATATTATTCAATTGGCCAGATGGAAATCAGCTAACAAAGGATCGCAGGGACAAGGCGTACCAAGCCTGTCTTGTGCGACTTTTAGGTATCACACACCCACATCTACCACTGCCTAGGTATAATATAATACCTAGTAAATGCATTTAGAGTAATAAAGTAGGCGCGATACATGCATATCACCTATTTAATCTCAAACTTGAAGGTGCGTTCTTTTTACGCCTCGAACCAGTGACAGTACTATATGTATGTAACTATGTATGTATGTAATACTAATACAATACCAACTTTTCAAGTCTCACTAGGTTAGTTTCTTCAGCCGCGTTCAATGCTAATATATTACATACATAATAGTAAATCTAACTATTAAGTTTATTAAGTGCTTAGTAGGCTATGCGTTAGCTGTCAATGATGTATCTGTCATGGCCTTGACTTGATTGATTGCAAGCGTTCCTGAAAGGTTGTCTTTTAGCCCACTACCATTCAGATATGTAGCATAGTATTCGATGGCTTACGCTTTAATTGAAGCCAGGTACGAGATGCATCTAACCTTCTAATAGGAACAATGACCATCAATTGAAAAAGGCGATACATACATTAGTACCTACCTACTCAATGTTACATTGCATTATTACAGTACATTCAATGTTCATACTACACTACTACTACACCCCAGCCAATATAAACTGGTCCAGCAGTGCCAGTGGGTGGCACTGCCTTTGAGTTCATAGTCGGCACCTTTCACTTGGGGGCTGGCGAAAACCTTCTATGTTTCTCCATTACATCATTTGATAGGATTCATTGTTGGCTTGTCCTCCGAAGGTCAAAGTTCGGAACCTTGGAACAATGTTGGTTGGAGGTGAATCACTCTTTTGTTCTACATCCATAGTATGTAAGCCGATGATCCAAGATTCTATAGTTAGCAACACGTACCTTGGTATAATCACTAAGGTATTACATCCTACACGTATATGCCTAGGTTACTGACTTTACTACAAATATCGATTAAATAATTACCTACTATTGTATCAAATTGTATGTATGAAATGCCTACCTTAGTGACATTCACCGTATTGTAGCATCGTGGATGCATTTACGGTGGAAATAGGCAGCCAAGTAATTTCATGTCAGCATAACTATCCATAGGTAATCCTCTAGTAGAATAGTATGCATGTACTGTGTAGTTAAGTATTGAGTTAAATAACTTAAATTCAGTGTTCACCTGTCACTTTACGCAGGGGGTACATCCAGTGACATGTTTTACCATGTACATAAAATGTACCGGTGACTATTGATGTATTTCTGTACTTCCCCAAGGTTTGTACCAGCACAGCCATCCCGCCTCTAGGGCTGATGAGCTCATCAATCAATGATTGTTGGCTGTGCGAGTCAATCTCTCCTATCGAATCTACATATGTACACTTTACATAGTCTACATATTATCCCAGGGCTATACATGCATACTAATATCTCGACTAATATCTCGACGTCCTTTGGCCTTTGTCTAGTGCCACGCTATAGGAATGACATATGAATCTTGTTGGATCTCACAATAGCTTACGGTCGTCACTATGGCGATACATCTCCTTCTCTGAATCCTATCATTGATGAGTTACTTAGGTACTTGCTAACTTACTTGACCGTCTCTGGTTGTCACAGGAACACATACAAAAGATGTACGGGTGGGCGAGTGGGATAGTGGGATAGTAGTGGGATAGTAGTGGGATGTGTGGATGGCGGATAACCGTCCTTTAAGCATCTGATTATCTTGCCGAGAGGTATGCATGCACCCATACAACCAAAATCGGCTTCTAGACAAATCCTAGTGGTGTGTACATACTCCGTGATGTCGTCACCATCTGACTGTAGGTAGCATACAACATACCGCAGACCGCAGACCGCAGACTGCAGACCGCATACCGCACCCCTAACCCTAGGTACATACATGACTATCAACCTAGGTCCTACATACATATAATTAGGTACCTACCTAGGTAGGTATACCGCCATTGTGCTACAAGCTCCCCTTTCTCTACTTACCTACTCACCCTCGAGAACTTCCAGTACACCTTTCGTCAGCCTGTGTCGATCCCGCTTCAAGTTCTGCCGTGCTACATATTATGTACTCACACCTGTCTGATCCTCCTTGCCTTGGCTCTTATGGGATGGGGGGTTCTGTTACAAACTAATTCTTAACGGTTAGTTAAGTTATACTCAGTGCTGACATATAAACGCCTCTCTGGGTAGATATGTTTCGAGTGCTGCTTATGCCGCCTATGAGGCTATGAGAGAGTTTCCCCGCGCCTCAGCCATGGTGTGGCATTTCCGCTCCCTGGATACCTATCGATTCGGCGTACTAAGATTGTAGAGCAGGTAAGGATTAGCTCAAGTGCATATTCGTGCCGAGCCAGTCCTGCTAAAAGGAGGCGCTAAGACTGCACCGACGCTACTGTACAGAAGTAGCTGGCCAGTTTCGTACATAAATTTCTGCTTGGCCCTTGCTGCTGAAGCTCTTTTTTATGCAGCTCGACATCACTCGTGCATGCAGGCGCATACATAGCCCATTAGCCCATAGGCGTCGAACTGATGTCGCGGGCCACGGTGGCTTGTTCCTTGTTTAGCCACGCACTGCCGACTTGAGGGTTCGTCATCCTCCCCTCACCATCGGACTCGCTTCTGCTGGAATCAGTCATCAGCTTGCCCCTGCGCCGCAATCGCGCCTGGTGCTGATTAGGTAGATTAGGCGAGGGTGAGAAGTGTATCGTCAACAACTTCGTCATGGCCACGTTTTCAATTTCTATACTATTTTTGATCTTCTTACATAACTGCATACTTCAACTTGAAGTTGTCTACTACTAGTAGTAGGTACTGTACCTATATTTGAATATCTAGGATTCTAGGTAGATGACTCGGGAATTATATCACGATATATTTCGGTTAATTGCAATTTCAAATTTCCGATACCAATTCAAATTCATTCTCATGCACCCACAGTTTAAACGCTTTGTATCTTGCCAATGCTGAGCACCTTCGTGCTAAGATCTGTGCGTGCGCCTTCTAAGACACACATACATATGTACTTGGTAGTTAGTACATACTACGGTACCAGTAGTGGTCCAGTACTACCTAGTAGGTACATAGTTATGTGCAAGCTGACAAGGTTTCAGACTGCTTAGAGGCATGTTCTGCCTCAACCTTGCAGCCTTTGTAGCCATTACTACCCTAGGTACGGTACATACATAGCATAGCACTGCTAGCGGCACACAATTTGGCACACAGTGCTTTACTGACGGTGCTGTACCCCTCGCGAATGGAAATGCGCATCTGGGACTCGAATTACCAAAAGTAGCACTCTGATACTGTCTCGTTTCGTTTTCCATTTTTTGCTTTTTCTTTCTTTTTCTTGTTAGAACTTAAAAGAACTGACCTATGTAGTTACCAGAACTTCGCATTTCTCTAACTGCCGACAAACCCATCTTGAAACATCTTCTCTTTCAAAGAGATATCCCTGTTGTTGATCCTATTTCAATGCATTCGGGTTTGGTTTTTTTCTCTTTATGTTCGATATATTCGATTGTTGTTCTTCTTTATTTCCTTTTACTTGCATGCACATGTGTACTAGGTATCATCCCCATATCATAACTATCTTTGATACAGCAAGACAGTGTGGAGGCCGCCAACTCAGAAACCCTACGTAAGGGCAACCTTGAAGTAGGCATGCACATGTAGTTACATAGTACAGGTGAAAGGGAACGTTAGGAGTAGTGTACCAAGATTACCTCCCTACATGTAGGCACATACGTCCAAGTCCAGCCAGTGGCCTGTGGATATCTTCAAAAAAGAGATGACCTCGTCTTGGCTATTCCAATGGCACATGATCCTCAATCTGCAGCAGTAAACGCGCCCCTCCTCTCTACTTAGTATTACTGAGTCCTTGCGGTATGAGGCAAGTAACTATCTATGTACGTACATAACCATACCCATATGCACAGGAACATTGAAGCTGCTACGTACATACATACCTACATATAACTAGGATATTACTACATATATATGTAGGTACATACACATATGTATGAAGGGATGCCACTTTGAAAAAAAAAAAGTTGCAGAGTGCGACAGTGCGGGCTAATTTAATATGCGGCTCGGGCATTTCTGATTGGCTAACTCGGAAACACCACAACCCACGTTTATTTGTCAGTCGAGATTACCTGCCCCACAAGTTGTCGATCTGGGATCCGGTAAACTAAAACCGTATAACTAGATACATCACCTACCTAGCTAGTGTAGTGTATGTAGATATATATACCTGGTAGATGCAAAAGGCTCTAGAGCCGTTCAGTTCGTGACTTTCTTGGCCCAGATTGCAGTAGCTTAGGTTACCTAGGTTGGAAATGTAGTTAGGTGGTTAGGTAGTACGAACGGGGGGGCGGTTCAGCTTTTCTCAATTCTTGCCTCGTCTATTTTTCTTGACTACCCTAGGTCCTAGGTAGTGAGTGGCTCCCAAGAGAAACGCTTCGCGAGAGCATCGCTGGCAGGTTTTTATCGATCGAGTTAATAAGAGATCTTTCTTTCTTCCTGTCTTTGTTTCGTACACTCACTCTACAAATCGATTATTGAATGCCAGGTAACTACTATTAGGTAGGTAGTATAGCCATATGCCCACGCTAGTACATAACTATGTATGAATCTACATACATAAGGGGGGGTGGTGGGGGTTCCTCTCTCAGACTCTGAGTCTTAACTAACACTAGAGGGAAGAGAAGTTACATAGTGCACTCTGTAAGAGACGGTGTTCTTCAACCCCCCCTGCCGCCTTATCCCAGCATCCCGACCCTAACTAATAAACAAAGGGGAACTCGGGGGGATCCGCGTATAATAACATAAAAAACCCAGTCCATTATCACTCTCTCAACTACCATAACCCTTTCCGGGGGGGGAACCATTTTTTATTCTCATACATTCTAACATGTAATTAACTAACATTCGAAATTTATATAAGTAATTTTCAACGGTCTGGGGTTTTTTAATGCCGCCACTACCTGTCTAACCTAGGTACTTGCGTTACCTACACAGGTAACCCCGAAATAGGGGTCCTTGTTCTGGTTCCCCCCCCCAAAATGTGCCCCCCCGGCAAGGCGTATCGAAATAACGTAAATCAATCCCATCGCAATTGTCCCTTCCTTGGCGATGGATGTCGGTAAGGATATTATAGATGGAGATTACACACTACGGTTAACCGTTAGTTACATAGTTACATGATATGTAAAAAGTTCGGGTCGTGCTTCGTCGATAGCCGGTCCCGCGTCTTTCGGGTGCAACCAACGCGTAGATGCTAGCTTCACCTAAAGTTAGTTACAAAGGTTATGGCCAAAAGTTTAGACCAAGATATACCTTAGCCTTACAATTCCTCCACTTTTCTACCACTATAAGAAATATCATCACTAACATACTTACCTACTTATAAAACCTTATAAATTTATTTAATAAATATTAAATATGCTATTACGTTATTGAACTAATATATTTAATAATAGAAATTTTTGTAATCTTTTTCTTTATTAAATTAATATAAATATTTATATAATAATTTAAGGTTGTTTAAGACTAAAAGCTTTAAGTTTATAGCACATTATAGCGCTTAAGTATGCTATAAGATGCTATACTTTTAAAGGTTATGGAGGATTTGACGTTAAATATATACCTATTATTAATAAAGGCCCAAAAAAGAATAGCACACTATAGGGCAGAAATATATCTTGGTCTAAACTTTTGGCCACAACCTTTGTAGTACGTTAGTTATTATGTAATAGTTAGTTTTAGATCAGGAAAGCCAGCCACATGTAGATTTTTTTCTTCTTTTCCTTTTCCTTTTCCTTTCACCTTCTCCCAAGTTCGCGTCCTGTCCACTCGGAGCAGACTACGCAAGAAGCGTGATTGGGGAAAAAAAAAAAAAGAAATTGGAGAAAGAAAGAAAAAAATTCACCGCTACGCGTTTAATGCTAGCGGGGGGCCAATAAACACGCGTTCGGAAATATGTACATATGTAGGCAGGTCTCTTTTCTTTGCTCATATTAATAATAAGTTTTTTTTTGTGCAGGATCTCTGCCTACTCTATCGGAGCTGTCAGTTCCCATACGACGGGAGTGCGGTAAAAGTATAACCACACTAGCCGTGTCATGGCTTAGTGACAGCAGTTCGATATATCATTTTTGTGGCATTACTCGGGCAATGCTTGCCGGGGAAGTGTACATAACATTAGTTGTAAACCAGGTATACTGTACAATGTATGGCATACATATGTAGCTAACTACATGTGTAGTCGGTAAGTACTCGGTTGATAGGTAATCATGACAGCTTAGTTACCTTCAATTTTATGCTTTGCGGACAGGTCGTATTCAGGAATGTGACGTCCCAATGAGCTATGGCATCGAATCCTCTCTATCTAGTCGACCATCCCCACGACAAATTGGAAATGGGGCACGAGTGCTCGTTTTCTTACATTTCACATTCAACATTCCACACGTGCCATCAAGCTAACCTTGATCGTGACAATCGAATCTATTGTTCCAAATATCTACTTCATATGGAGATATCAGTCCATGGTAGAACTTCAACCCCAGATTCGTGTCAGCGAAACTAGTTCGGAAGTAGGTACCGAGTTATGACGTTGGGTGCCAGACAAATCGTGTCATGGGTGTTGTCAAACCCGTTCCCTTAATCGCCTCCGACCTGCGAAAAAGTCCGATCACGATTTGGTATTAGGCATCAAGTTCGGCAAGCGCATTGGTCCAACAATCAGAAACCCACCCTCTCTCATATAACTGAGCTGAGCCTTAGTTTTAAATGAGGATGGCTATACTCGATAGGCCATCCTCTGCATTACTGTGCCTCTGTCATACTCCTGCCATGGTCAAGGAATCTTTATTCCTGCAATATCATGGGGGAGCGTCCCGACCCTAATCAATCCATCTTGACTGAGGAAGTGTAGGAGAATGGCAATATGTGTTGAGCTTCCGAGGGTCTGCTCACCTCATATGCCGGGTTGTTCGCCGGTTTGTTCGGTATTATTATTATCTTATTAGAAGCCGGGACCACCAAAAAGTTCAGTACTACGATAGCCTCATTTCGCGAAGCATGTAAATTTTAAGTCTGGTTGCGCGAGTTAAACGTTCTTGTCGAATAGCTTCTGGATCGGTTTGGCAGCCTAGTTACGTATGAGCAAGATAATATATATAAGACCTTTCCGGATTGACCTACATCGATGAACTTTTCAAGTTCTTTATCCAGGTTCGCGAGATCGTCTTTTCTCTTCTTGTTGTCGGCGATGAGCTTCTGTTTTCGCTTAAGAAACTCGTTACGCTTCTGCTCTAGTCCCTCGCGCTCGCTTCGTTCGTGTTCGATTCGCGCAATCATGAGGGTGTTCTCGTCGTCGTTCGCATGCTCGGGCTTTAGTGCCAGAAACTCCTCGAGAGGAATAAGCGGAAGCTGTTGGTAAGTATGGCTATTCTTTATTAGCGCCTGTGCAAGTTCGGTCATCCGCTTTTTGTATTGGTCTTTATCAAAATCGTCGCTTGACGCGAGGTCGCTTGACATGAAGTTGCATAAGACGGACAGTTCTTCCCACTGGGAATCTCTAGTCGGTCCAAGAGGTTGGCAAGATGTGGATGTGGAGATTGCATCAAGCGCAGAGACTTCACGCGCCAGAACTTTTCCGGGCACTGACTCATATGACTCGCAAGCCGTAATTTCCCCCTGCAGATATCGTTGTTCGTAGTACAGATTTTGAAGTTGCAGATGCAGGCGGTCGACTTCCTGGCGTGCTTCGGATGTCTGGGATTTGGTCTGGCGTGCGCCAAAGTAGGCTGCTCGGTGGAAGCCGCGGAGTTGGGCCAGGTTGGTTATGAGGAGTTTCTGCTGCTTGGAGATCTCAAGTTGGGCTTCGGTGGAAGCAGCATCTATAGGACCGGCTGCGGCTATTTGGTCTACAAGATTCAATGCTTGTAGACGGGTATCGCGGGAGGCATCAAGCACGGTTGATAGATTCGGATCGGTGACAATATCATTGATCGCCATTGTGATGGAGGTATTTAGAAGACCGAGATATTGCAAGGATAATAGTCCGACCCGAAGCAAGATAACTGCCGATGTGCTTTGTCTGGGGATCGTATTTCGGGTTGTGAAGTTTTGAATGAAGATGCGAATTAATACGAAGTATGCAGTATAGATGTTTTCGCGATGTACGATGTACGATGTACGATGTAAGATGCACCACAATACGTACTACTGCATAGTAGTAGTACTGTAGTTGACTGTTGGACTCTTGGAGTGATAGACTAATAGTTAGTGACCAATCAAAAGCTTGTCATGTTTTGCAAGGGTCATGCTCAACGATTGCTTTCAATGTTTTGGAAAGGTGAATCGGTTGACGGAACGGAATCCAAATTGGAAATAAATGGATCTCCGGATTAATTCACTCACCGTTACCGGCGTCTTGAGACATGAATAATTATTCATGATTGGTAAATAAAACGGCCTGGGGAGATTAGGTGGGGTTTAAAAAATTCAATCTTGCTGGCAAGTTGCCGCAATCTCACACCAAAAAAGTAAGAAAAAAAAGTCTGGGCATTCTTAGATTGGCATAGCTGAAGTTCCTATCAGTTATCAGCTAAGCCTACTATGTATCTAATCAGCTCAGCGGGATCCGTTACAATGACCAGCTCTTTACTACTAGTAGTACGGCATAGTAGTTGATTGTGGGGAATTTCAACATTGAACCCCTACCATATTGTCAGATATGTAGGTTGAATGACCGATCTCACCTTATTACCATTAAAAGTGCCAAGATTAGTTGCTACTATGCGCTTTACATACTTTCCGCCTGCTCCGCGCTGTTTTCTCCCTTGATAAATGTAGCATACCTACCATACACATCTTCCATACACATCTTACTTACCTAACTTCTCTCCTCAACCAATAACAACCATTACCTCCCACATGTGAAAGTCGAAAAAGCTGAACTATCCTCTCTTTTTTGCCATTGTACAGCAAGCATTTCTAGGAACCAATCTTTGACAAGCATCGTCCCTCCGTGGCCCAATACTAACCTTGGTTGCCAATCAGCTAGATAATCGCCCTGTACATCGTCGAGGGGTAACGCTTATTCCCTGCAAAACGGCGTCTGACAACGTAGAACAACTGCCCAAGCACTTGGCTTATTAGTTGGCAGTCAACACTTTACTAGTTTATATACAGCATACGGCCTACATTCCTAACCTCTCACTACCTCCACCATGTCTTGCGCCTCTTCGTTCGCCTTTGGAGCTCACCCAGATCACTCTGGTGCTAGAACTTCCGCTACGGCTGACCCGGATACCCGACCTCTTCGACATAGACGGCACTCCTCCTTTATGCCTCGGAGAAGACACTCCATAGTTCAGCAGATCATGGACGGGGAAGAAGGCTTGCTATTGAAGGTTGGTTTGTGTTCTTGTATCTGGGAGTTTCCATAGCCCCTGTTCTAACAAAATCAGGTGGACTTGTTCCTTTCAGAACTAGAGAGGAGACTGGAGTACCTTGAGGGGTGTGGCGACCTTATCGACCTCGATGCTAGTATATCTAAGACATTTGCCACTTTGCAAGCAGTACGGGAACGATGCTCGCATGTGTCGGAAGAAGTCATTGGTGCTGGACGCCGGCGACTGCAGATTATGGTCGAAACCTTGGAGACGAGATACCACGAAGCGCTGGACGCTGCTGGATCGATGAACGACAAAGCTCGGCTTGGTGTCGAGCTCCTAGACGGGATGCTCACAGACTTCGAGACTAGAGCCCTAAAGTTCAAAGATCAAGGGTTTGCGAATGCCGCAGATGCTGCAGGGAGCTTCATGGACGAAGGTCGAAGGGTTGTAGACGAGAGTTTAGAGCGGGCTCGTGGAGTCATGGACGATGGTTTCGTGAGGGCCCGACGCGCTGCTGAATCTGTCGAGGAACATGTACAGAGGGCTATTACACGTGCCAGAGAGAAAGGCCTTATCAAATACGATGAGCTACCCGTGCCCTGGAGGATCAACCCTCATATTCTTGGTGGTTACCGATTTACGGAGTCCAAGATCGGTTGTGTCCGCTCAATGTTCGGCGTCTCGAATGAGACTGTAAATATCTGGTCTCACGCCCTGGGCTTGATCTTGATCTTATCTATTGCCTTCTATTTCTATCCCACATCAGCAAACTTCTCACTTTACTCGAAGATGGATGTTTTCATTGCTGCAGTATTTTTCTTTGCGGCTTGCAAGTGCTTGGTCTGCAGTACCATTTGGCACACAATGAACTGCGTTGCAGATCAGACTCTGATGGAACGCTTCGCCTGCATAGACTACACCGGTATCTCGTTGCTCATTGCGGCTTCCATTATGACCACGGAGTACACCGCCTTCTACTGTGAGCCTATCAGTCGATGGACATACATTACGGCAACTGCTGTATTGGGAATTGCTGGCACCATCCTTCCTTGGCATCCCAAGTTCAACGCGCAAGATATGGCATGGCTGAGGGTAGGCTTCTTCGTCGGATTGGGTGCAACAGGTTTTATGCCAATTTTCCAAATTGTTCTGACACGAGGACCGGCTTGGGCACTTGAGTTCTACACTGGTTCTAACCTGCTCAAATCCCTTTTCGTTTATGTTCTTGGAGCTTGCATCTACGCCAGTAAAGTTCCGGAACGATGGTACCCCGGGGCGTTCGACTACTGCGGCAATGCGCACAATTTTTGGCATGTAAGTAGAGAGCCTACGCCCATTCGTCCAATCACATGAAAAACTTCTTTCTAACATGAATTATAGCTTGCTGTACTTGGTGGAATTCTCTATCATTATGTTGCTATGCAAGAGTTCTTCTCCGGCGCCTTTCAGCGCGCCAAAGAAGGCTGCCCAGCGTATTAAAAGTAGTCCTTCGACGGATCTTAGCAAATAGTGCCCAGTTATCTACACAACGGTACAAGCCCTTCAACCATATATGGGCTTGCTTTGCTTTTGACCCCGGGTCCTTCATCCAGTCACGACAGGATTCACTCCTGCCAACGATCATCGACACCCCAGAATCGTCTCAGACGAACATGGTCAAAATGCAGACTATTCCCACAATTAACATCCGCCTAGATACAGGGTTAACTCGTTTCCTTCCGAAAGACACCTCTACTACAGATGGTACGGTCGTATTGGTCTTCGTATTTATGTTCGAAATGGTGGTGGGTCTCGATGTCGTCGAATTGGGCGAGGGTATTGTGAATGAGCATGTGCTATTTTGCATATTATCTGACGATGGCGTTGGTCTGTTTTGCATATCATCCAAAGATGGCGTTGGCATTGGTGTTGATGTTGCATCAAGAAAGGGGACTACCGTCACCGTAGGGCCAGCCATTGAAGTCACATCAGCCGGTACACGATCAGTTGTGGGTGGTGTAGTTGAATTGCTGGGAAGAGTAAAGCCGGCGTTTTGTGCGCAAGTCGCCAAGTCCTCCCCCTGAGGATCGTTAGCAACATTGAACCGGATCAAAACTTCCTAGCTGGAAATATCAAGTACGTACCTCGAGGCAACAAAAGCCAGCAACAGGCGCGCAATACTTTCCAGTGTCGCAAAATCCCCTGTCTATTGCGCAGCACGACTAGTTTTTTGGTCAGCATCATTCGCAATGCTTCAGCGACTTGGGGGTGACCACTCACTTGGCCAACAGTAGGGTTGAAGCAATAGTTACTTCCTTCACCGCCGCACGGCTCTGCACCGGGTCCATACATCTGATCGCAGCTTGCTGTCTGCCTCTTCAGTCGGATGACGGAGACACGGGCGTACCTCTCCTGTACAAGAGCCATTCCGCATAGCGGTAGCATTAGGAGTACGAAGACGAACATTGTGGCTTGTTAGGTTATTGGTATGGTGTATAATTGGCAAGTAAGCTGGCGTGCTTCTAATAGAGGGGTATAGAGGGTGCAGTAGAGTAGAGTAGAGTAGAGTAGAGTGGCAAAAAAAAAGTCTATTAGGATAGATAGAGGAGTTGAATAGAGGGTAGACCGGAGTTGGATATCGAGGAAGATCCAAATGAAATGGTAGTCTATGTATAGATAGATAGGTAGTGACGGATGGGAATGAATGGGAGTAATAGGACTAGATCTATATATATCTATATATATACACGTACCTATCTACTTCCATGATAGATATTCATCGTTCACCTATCTCCTACGACACATGTGTATCGTCTCGTTCCAGATTCATTTCCTTTGCTACCCATTTGCTCAGGTGGATGGAATTCATTCTCGGTAGATTATATTCAGAGATACTACGTTAGTGAGGTAACGAACGTGTGTGTATGGAATTCCACCGTTCATATATCGCGGCTCCATTACTCAATCCTTAGCGGTGTTTCGTTATTTCATGCTTGAGAAAGAAAGGGGATTTCGCAGGTATGTAGGGGCAGAGGGCAGAGGGGGGGGACAGGGAGGAAAGACGGTTACCTGATGGTGAGTACCTACCTACCTACATAAGTAGTTAAACTGTTGGGTAGGTACAATACCTAGTATGTACTGTAGGTGGGTTAGTTGGGTAGCTAGATATAAGTAACACAAGGGAGGCTGAATCTACTAGGTTAGTCACCTACCTACCCCTAGGTAATTAGGGGGCGGCTCGAAAAAGATACGAACCAAGAACCAAGCCATTGGACTCCGCGTTCCTGAGTATGTAGGTACGCCAAAAAAAAAGAACCCTTAACGGTTTCAAGGTGCTACACACACACGGATACCTAGATATGCGGGCTGGATTATTGAGGGTCAGGGTGAATGAATAGAGGATATTCTCGTGCCTCCCAGGTAGGTAGGTAGGTAGGTAGGTAGGTAGGTACCTAGGTTAGGTAGGTAGGTAGAGTGGGTTTTGGGGAGGCATTTTGGGGAGGGATATCGATAGGTTGTAGGCTGGATATTGCACATGCTCCCTCTACTCTATCATTAAGGGGGTAGGGTAAGCCGGGCTTTAGGAACTCACGATGATATACGAAGTACCTACTCAAGGCCGAATAGATAGATAGATAGATAGGTGTGTTGGAAGTGTAGTCAAATCAAATCGAATCTCACTGAATCAAGTTGTATAAGTTGTATTACTAAGACTTGTATAGTAACTATACGAATAAAAAAAAAAAAAAAGAACGAAAGGAAATATTGTTATTGTTCATTAGGTCAGTTGTCGTGATCTTTCATCTCTGTTTGTTGCATTTGTCGTAAAGCCATTTCAATCAATCAATCCCTTATCCTATACCTATCCCCTCAAGGATAACGTAGATACCTATATAGAGGTTCCTCCCTACTACTAAGTAGGTACTGTATTCATTAATTCCTCCATGCCTTAACCCTCGCCCTCGCCCTCGCCCTTACTCTTGTCCCCTATATTGGTACAACATCATTCAATATAAAGGGTTAGGCTAGGCTAGGGAAGGGGGAGAGGCCAAGAAGTGAAAAAAAAAAAAAAAAACGTTCGTAGCATCATCATTAAAAGCAGCACTCTAACCCAAACGAGTCTGCTTTATTCTCTCTTAGCCGTCCATGTGTCGTCGTTATCTCATATCGTAAGAATTTTTTGTTTTTCCTCTTTTTCCATGCGTCCTTTTATTTTTCTCTTTTCCCCGTAGGTAATGCAAAGAAGGAGTCCATGTTTTTTTTGTTTCCACAATCGTGAGAGAAATCTATAAAGCCCGAAATCCATCATTATTATGGTTCGCCTTAGAGAAAGGGGGGAAGCTGGGTCGTGTAATATCTCATTATGCCGAGAATCTCTCCTAGTCTCGGCTTCTGGTCGTCTTAGGTGTTGGTACAAAGTGCTCGGCCCATAGCCGAAGTTTGTGGGCCGTATCGGTCGGGAAATACTCGTGCTCGTGATGGCTTCGTCTCATTCAACGCTCTATTATAGAGCATGCCTCACGATCTCTGCGTAAACATCGTCGGGTATCATCTTGATAATGGCCAATGCGGTTCGCTTTACCATTTCTGCGCGCAACGCTGGAAAGGATCGAAGAAGCTTATTGGGGCTTTTTCACGTTAGCATCATAAGAAGACAGTCTGACGCTTAGCCGTATAGGCTTTACTTACTTAATAGAGGAAAGAAGCTCATTTCGCATCATGATGAGCTGTGCGACGATGCAAAGAATGTTCAGATGTGGTCCGTATGCAAACAAGAAGTCCCAGTGCTTCAATACTTCCGGCAGTGGAGGAGTGCAGGCGCACAAGGTAAGAACCGATGGGAAAGCATATATCTCTGCAGACAGACCTTTGGATGTCAAGTGAAGGCTCAGCTTGGGATCCACGATGGCCAATACTTTGTCCACCAGTGCTAAACCACGATGAACACCGTCCATAGCGCCTCGAATATATCCAGGGCATTCCTTAGTCAATAGTGTGAGGAAGGCGGAAAAGGCCTCGACTTCGCTTCGAGCGGCATATAGAAATGGGGCGGCCAATACATTCATGCCTTGTACGTAAGTCCCCGGCTCTGACGCGGTCGCATCGGAGTCTTCCGTTGTGAGGGTGAGAGCGCGAGCGCGGCTTCTTGCGGATGGGGACGAGGTATCTGTCTGCGAAATATCGCTACGGCTACTACTAATACTGTCAGTATGGCAAATGGATAATCGACTGCTCGTCGGGCGACGTTCTTCCTTCGCGTCGTGGAGCTTCCAGGCAATGGCGTTTAGAAGACGGATCAGGCTCGCCTCGCTAACGCGACGACGGAAGAGAGGATCGGTAGTCAAGGTTCGGAAGGTATCGTTGCGGATTTTGGAATAAGCTGGCGACGCGCCTCGATGTATGAGACTAAGGTAGTCGTCGGTCTTAAGGATGGGCGCATCCAGGAAAATCAACCAAACGTAGATTCTAGTTCGCGACTGGGCAACGTCAGTCTCATTATTTCAGTATAAGACCAAAGGAATCGTACCATTCCATCGCTATCGCTCTTAATACCCTGATCCAAGACCTTCAGACGCGCACTTGCTAAGGCGCCGCGAACATCGCCATCGGGTGGACCATCTCTGATCAATCTTTCCAGGGACATGGTGTCTGCTATTCTCGATGGCCTGCTCAAGGCAGTTCTCTTGCTGTTGAGAGTCATGAGTATATTATTAGGAAATGCAGGTGGGGGTGTGGCGGCATCTGAATTGGCTCGGTTTCTTTGAGGAGATCGGTTAAGAGAATTACGAGGTGGACGCGACGAGTCGGTTTGTTGATCTCGGAAAATTTGTTGAGATATCATTGAATTTTGGTTGGAAATTCTGGCGGCAGCGCCTAGATTGTGTGCAGATTGGAGTTTACGCAGGACCCTATGAGTATGAGGCGAGGGAGGATTGTGGAGTTGAGTGATGGCAGCAACAGCAGTAGCAGATGTGATGGTGTGGAAGCCAGAGGACTGCGCAATAGGAGTGAGTGAATCCCGGGTTGGGCTCGACATTTCGGTTGGTAAGGTAGTAATTAATGTCATAGCTTTTTATAGACGCAGATATGGGTAAGTTGGTAGGAATTGCGGAGACAAAGGAAAGATCTGAAGCTATCATCGATGCAGAGGATGAAGCATGTTTCGACACGTTGTGGTGTTTTGGTTGGTGAAGATCACAGGAAGATACATAACATGCAGTCCATACAGTTCATACAATAGGGCCTGGAGTATGGGGTAATAGGGCACAACACGGTGAAAATGGGGCATAACAGGGCATAACAGGGCATAACAGGGCATAGGCAGGGGGTTACAGGGCAATAAAAGAGTGGTTGGTATTGTTGTTAGCGTCTGATAGGGTACACGGGTACATGCAGCTAAGAATTGAGAGCACTGGAGACTTGCATTCGTATTTAAACTCGGCCAATAAACTTAATTATAAATCATGCATGTCCTTCAAGTCGAAAATATTCTTCATATTAACTATGTACATACAGTACTATGTGCATTTGCAGTCCATACTACTACATATATACCTAGTAGGTACCTACCTAGTACCTAGGGTACATAAGAGCGTGTCTCTTTCAAATGTGAAAAGGAAAGATGATATATCTTTGTGTCATCTCATAAGATCCTGCACTACATACAGATTCACACCAATCTCCTTCTTATAAGGCAAGGCCTACGTGAAGAGGGACAGGTAACACCACATGCAGCAGATGATCATACGGAATCTGTAAAAATCAGTTGACCTCAATAACTACTCACCATGTGGCTGGGATCCGCCAAGAACCCCAAAGCAACCTGCAGGTACCATCACTCGACCATTTCGTGCATACCTAGGCAGGCTGACTTTGATCTGATAATAATATAATCCGATCATAGTTACATGTACGTCATGTCTAGCTACTGTAGTTACAGTGTAGTATCTAGTCCTGGAGGTATGTATTTAAGAATCAATATATCAATAGGAACATCACCTACTCAATTACTCAAATGAGTCAAATCCCCAAGGTGGCAGATGTCCCTAGTGGATATCTACATTAGATTCTGCATAGATTCTATGCAGAATCTAATCTGATGCATAGACCAATCTCTTTACCAAGAGATTCTTTAGATAATAATACATACCCAAGGTATCTTGATAAGATAATACGTAAGTCATCGACGCGGTTTGTGGATCGGACTCGCGTCTTGCTTGGATTCTCGTTAAGGTCGGCCGTAGTTGCACCGCTTAACCAATCTCCAATGATTCTCCATATCACCGGGACAGAGGCATTTTCGAGTACAAGAATGATTGAAGAATGGGGACTGTTGATGGCATCAGATAAAACGGAAATCACACCATCGACGCTTGGACCACATGATGCTCTTTCCAGTCTTCTCATTGGCTACACAACTTTTTTTACGCCTAATTCGGTACTAAAATCTTTTTTCTTTCTTTTTTTTTAATACTACATAGTTACTAGTAGTAACTATGTCTACAGTGACTCTACAGTGACTCTACACCCACATCTTTACTACCCTAGGTATGCAGTACCTACTTCTTCACACATGTATCTGAGATCCAAAATCTTGACTACGTAGCATATATTTATGCTGGTCAAGTTACCGCAACTGCCGAGTATGTTGCCTTGGATGTCATCACGACTCACAAGAATCATTACATGTAATACTTGTAAGTTCCAGGAGTGGACCTTCGGCCGCATTATATATGAGGTATGGAGGCATGTAGGTACATATGTATTATCCCTTTGATATAAAGAATCGACCATTATACTTGATATTAAGCACTCCCACTAGTCTTGGACTGGCATAAACCAGATTGCGCCATCGAGGATCTACCAATCTCCAGCAACTTACAGACAAAACGAACTACTAACCTAACCTAGCTGTTACTTACGTACTGAAAGCTATGTCATGGTTCTTAGTACTTATACATAGGTATCTGGGAAGCTGTCTGACTTTCTTCTGAATACAAAAAAAAACATATGCTCATATACGCCTCCTTCTTGTCAGCTGTCAAGATTACCATCCGATCTGTCTCCTATCGATGCTACGTATCTAACTGCATAGCAAGCTCAGACTTTCTGAAGACCTCGGACCCGCCGAGGCTAAGAGCCGTCAGCTAAACCTGGAATCCTGGATAGCTAGAAGCTTTCGATTCTTACTAGACCATCTCTCTACCCTGCTCTCCAACCACTATATACCCAGTAGGAAGGCAAATATTTGATCTTGCGGCGAATGTCTATGTAAAAGGCAAACTCTACGTAGTAGCGTCTGACCCGGACTGTTGGATCTACCTCTCCTTATGACAGGAAAACGGGCAGCTTGCTAACTTAAATTACTTACATTATCTTTGCTAGCACCTTACGTCCTTCGGTATACATCTTAATATTAGATTATTACAACGCTTAAAACACGGCATTATCCTACTTCTTATTATGTGCAATACCATCATTATTCTTTTACCAGATCGACCTTAATACTTTCAGTTCAATTTCACCTATAATACCTGGCTACCTACCTACCCACCTAATAAGCACTATGTACTAATACCGGATGTTTCTATATGAGATCGCATTAGTGTCAGATTCTTAGCCTACGGCTTGTCTGTCATTTTCGTTGAGTGTTCAAGTCATTATAAACGGCTCAATACTGGTCGATTTTGTCATTTAATCTCTTCGTCGACGCGGTTTGCAATCCCTTGGTCACAGTCTATCCTCATATCCAGGGGGGTCACCCTATATTTTAAGGGGTAATTTTTGAGATGCCTCCTTCCAAGCGAGCTGGCCAAAATTTGGCAAGAGTTCTAGGCATAAAGCTCGAAGACCCAGATGTCGACAACGTAACTAGGGGAGAGTCGGTGTTTTCAACCCAAACAGCAGACAGTTTCGTTGAGCAACCGCCTACGAGCAGGGAATGGCTGGCAGATATCACGCCATCTAGACGGGATGTAGCTACTTACTTCACGTCACTATTCCCTTTTCTGTCATGGATCAGATTCTATAATCTACAATGGTTTCTTGGCGATCTTGTCGCAGGTCCGTTCCCGCTCCCGAGCTTGGCTTTTTTCGTGACTAACCTCGTTTAAGGTATCACTATCGGCGCTGTTGTCGTGCCGCAGGGTATGGCCTATGCCAAGCTAGCTAACCTACCCGTCGAATTTGGCTTATACTCATCATTTATGGGAGTCTTGGTCTACTGGGTTTTCGCAACATCGAAAGATATTACCATCGGAGTACGTTGGATTCAATCATGTTTAAACTGGACGCTCTACTAACATACCGAAGCCCGTAGCTGTTGTATCCTCTGTTACAGGTACTGTGGTTGCGAATGCCTCTAAAAAGCTCCCGCAATATGCGGATACGCCTTGGGTTATTGCGAGCGCACTCGCTCTCGTATCTGGAGCTATCGTCCTGTTCATCGGTTTGATTCGGTGTGGATGGATTGTTGAATTAATACCCTTGGTATCCCTTGCTGCTTTCATGACTGGGTCCGCGATCAACATCGCTGCTGGTCAAGTCCCTACTTTGATGGGTATCACTGGATTCTCTACAAGGGACTCGACCTACCTGGTGATCATCAACTCCTTGAAAAATCTTGGCAAGACGGATTTAAACGCAGCCATGGGCTTGACAGCACTCACGATGCTCTACCTAATTCGGTTCTCGTGCGCCTGGGCCGCAAAGAAGTTCCCGAACCACCACAAGCTATTCTTCTTCCTTTCGACTTTGAGAGCCGTTTTCGTCATCTTGCTATATACTATGATTAGTTGGTTGGTTAACATGCACCGTCGTGACCACCCGGCGTTTGCCATTCTTCAGACTATCCCAAGCGGTAACTACCCCCTCCCCCTATTTACTGATAGGTTGCTTACAGCTAGCAGGCTTCCAGCATGCCGCCGTTCCGACTATAAATTCCGAGATAGTCAGCTCGTTTATAGGCGAATTGCCTGCAACGGTCATCGTTTTACTCATTGAGCACATCGCCATCTCGAAGTCCTTTGGTCGCGTCAATAACTATACAATCAACCCATCGCAGGAGATGGTCGCTATCGGCGTAACTAATGTCCTTTCACCCTTCCTCGGAGGTTATCCATCCACAGGCTCGTTTAGTCGCACTGCTATTAAGTCTAAGGCGGGTGTCCGAACCCCTTTTGCTGGTGTTATTACTGCGGCTATAGTACTTCTTGCTATCTATGCGCTGACCGCAGTGTTCTTTTACATCCCATCCGCCGCTCTCGCAGCTGTCATCATCCATGCCGTCGGGGACCTTATCACACCGCCAAACACACTTTATAAGTTCTGGAGAGTCTCGCCCCTTGAAGTTATCATATTCTTTGTCGGCGTTTTCGTTACAATTTTCAGTACGATCGAGGACGGGATCTACGCTACGATATGCATCTCATTTGCTGTGTTCATGTTCCGAGTCCTGAAGTCACGCGGGAGATTCCTTGGCAGGGTGCAGGTACACTCAGTACTTGGCGATCACCTTATTGGTAACGACAGCAACATTATGGGCCAATACGGGACCTTCGACGTATCTGATTCTAGCTTATCCCCACCTACCCGTAACGTCTTCCTCCCAATCGATCATGGAGACGGATCCAACCCAGAAGTCGAGGTCGCCAGTCCATATCCCGGCATATTCATCTACCGCTTCTCTGAGGGGTTTAATTATCCCAGCGCCAGTCACACTTTGGACTACCTCGTAGGCCACATCTTCGCCAACACGCGTCGCACCAGAACCGACACGTTCGCACGCCTTGGAGATCGGCCGTGGAACGATCCCGGCCCGAAGAAAGGCGAAAAAGAGAATACATCGCTGCCAACGCTGAGAGCCATTATCCTGGACCTCAGCTCGGTCCACAACGTGGACGTGACCTCGGTGCAGCAGCTGATCGACGTCCGCAACCAGCTGGACCGGTACACGACGCCGGACATGGTGGACTGGCACTTTGCGTGCATGAACAGCCGCTGGACGAAGCGCGCCCTCGTCTCCGCCGGCTTCGGGTACCCCACCCAGCGCCCCGACGGCCTGCACTCGCGCTGGAAGTCCATCTTTAGCGTCGCCGAGATCGGGGGCGCGGACTCCGCCGCCGCCGTCGCGGAACAGGAGGCGTACGAGAAGGAGGCGACGCAGCGCCGCCTGTCGCTCAGCAACAGCAACAACAAGTTCGAGGATGACCCCGCTGCCATGTCAACGCCCGGCCCGAGCACGGCGTCTAGTATTACGCAGCAGACGCCGGCAGCGGGAGCAGGGTCAAAGGCGCCTGATTTCACGCGCACGGGCGAGGCGAGTCGACGCGTTGCGGTGCATGGACTCAATCGCCCCCTGTTCCACGTCGATCTTACGAGCGCGTTGCAGAGCGCGATCGCGAATGTGAGGACGAGAGAGGAGATTGAGGCTGCTGGGGGGCCGGATATTGGGGTCGAGGTTTGATGGGGTAGATGGGAGGAATAAGGAATAGCTATTGGTTTGGCTATACCTGGGGTACAAGTCACTCGTACGATTACACACACACGCACACGCACACGCATATGCATACACATACACGCATACATACATGGAAAGTAGAAAGGGGATATAGATACCCAGGTAGATACAATGTCCAGACATGTACTACAAGCATGTAATAAAGGCCGCTTGAGAGAGCCTGGCCGTCAGGTGAGCCTAGCCTTCAGGTGAGGCGAAGGAAATTAGAAATACGAAATTTCTTTTTTCAGTTGGGCAGCATTCATGTATGGCGATACGCCGGGGGTTTAAACATTTGATGGAAATGGAAATGGAATGGGATGAAGCATGGATATGGATGGGGAAATATTTGACCATATGGGAGGGAAAGGTAGGGAAAAGCATAGTTAGCTAGGTACGTATATTATACCTACAGCGTTTTTTTTATTACTGTTGGACGAGAGATATCGTCAAAGAAACGAATGACTCTCATTCAACCTGTTTTCAATATCTCCCTCCAATTCTCGTTGCTTGGGATGTGATTATCTTCGCAGGTGATTAATTGCCTACTAGGTAGGTAGGTACGGTCCGTCCCTGGGTTGACATCGAGGCGGCCGCGAGGCTGTATGCTACTTCGATGGGAAATTTTGGCTATGCAGGTACCTAGGGCCGGTAGGTACCTACATAGTCGCCGGCCTGGTTGCTGACCTTGCTTGTATTATAGTTCAGTTAATATTTTTTTCGACTCCAGAATTGTTTGCTGCTGTGGTGTGCCTAGGCATCTGTGTACCAGGCAGGTATAATTAGCACATAACAAAAAGATCAATACCTGAATTCTGTAGGATGTAGGTGAGGGAGTGAGCTAGGCCACGAATCCGTCGCCAACTCAGCTCAACTCAACTCAACTAAGATCATGTCCAAAAAGGGGGTCCAAATAAACTAAAATCCCCCCTCACGCACTCCCCTCCTCTCCCCCCTAACATTGGAAACTTTAATGTAGATAACCTGCCTGCCGTGCAACTAAACGAAACTTTTACCCAACATAGGCGAAATGAGATGGGATGAAAAAAAAAGAAGAAGGTTCAGGTTATGCGGTGCGACGGAGAGCGCCGAGGCCGGGGGTCCGGCCGGCCTGGAGGTCGGGTCGGGGCCGAATTTTTTTTTTTTGGGGGGGGGGGTGGGCGGCGGCTACGGATTGCGTGCCGGGAGGGTGAGGTGCCTTGCATATGTAGGTACCTAAGCATGCACTTACTAGGTTAGGCTACTTAGTCCGGGGCCCGAGGTTTAGGTATATGCTTATATCATCTACCTAGGCTGCCTTGGTGGTCTTACCTACTAGGTTGGATAGCCGCTGGGTAGGAAATGAAGGAGCACACACGGGCAGTAGGTATGTAGGGGTAACATAGGTATCTTTTGGAAATCTTGCATGCGCGTAAGCTTATGCGAGGTGGGATTCGGGAGATTAGCACAAGGACTGTGGGAATTCGTCGTTACGTAGATGGGCCGGGCCGGCAGGTTGGGGGTTGGGACGGAGATTTAAGGGGGATGGGGAGGGGGGGGGGGGAATGTAGGTATGAGGCGAGAAATGTGAAAGTGGGAAGGAGGAATGGGAACGATGGAAGACAGTGAAGATTATAGATCTAGGTGAGAGCAAAGTGAGGGAGCTGGAATTGTCACTGATGCTTGTGTGTATATACCTAGGTACACATGTGATTATGTCAATGGGTCCCCAAATGAAAATGTCATTTTGCTATCTATCCAAGTAGGCAAAGAACCGTAGACCAACTAACTAGGTTAGCTATGTAGGTAGGTAGGTACACTATTTATTGTTGTTTTCATTTTTTTTATACCTTTTTGTCGTATCGTGAGAATGACCCGATCTACACATGTAAGCTATAAGTAAAAGAATAAGTAAATAGAAGAAAAATGTACCCGAGGTAGTAACTAGTAGTACCCGTAAAGCAGAAGAAGAAGAAAAGGGGAGGTGGGTGGTGATCGAGCTATCAAAGCTAGACAGACGCCAGTTTCCGATGGGATAAAAGGAGAGACGAGAAGGGAAGGAGAAAAAAAAAAGGAAGAAACAAGAGTCGGACTAGAGGGCCCCTTTGAAGGGAATCCCTTCGCCGTGAGAAGAGACGACCAAAGCCGATATATCTCGTAGTAGTAGTAGGTAGTTTATGGATGCGACGTCCATGATACCGAGAAACCCGCTCGGTTTGATGAAAAATCATTCGCGCCTACCCACCCCTAGTCATCCAAGCTATCTAGCAGCTCGTATAGCGCTCGCTCTCTGAAATTCCGCTCAGAGCAGAAACCTCTACCTCACCTCACTTCATCCTCTTCGCCCTCCGATCCTGCCCCTGCCCCGCCCTCTTCGCACCCGCACCCGCCCCCTTCCCCTTCCCCTCCCTCCCCGTCCCAGCACCACCCCCAGAAACCGCCCTCCTCTCCCTCAAATGCCCCACCAGCGCGCCCAGCCTCTCCACATACGACTCCGGCGCGCCCAACGCCCCAATCCTCTCCTCAACGCCCACCAGCTCCTCGAGCCAGGGGCCCGCGAACAGCACCTCCGGCGGGATCGACGCGAGCACGTCCGTCGCGAAGTCGGCGTCGCGCTCGCCGATCAGGCGGTGGTACAGGTTCCGCTGCGCCTTGGGAAGAGTCGCGGGCCCGGTGATGAGGTCGTGGCTGTAGGAGGTTACGACCTGGGTGAGCACGTGCATGGTGGTGCGGGCGGCGGCGCGGAGTTCCCAGGGCTCGAGGGGGCGCTCGGTGGTGTGCAGGATGGCGCGGATGTGCCGCGTGACGGAGGAGAGGTGGGCGGCGCACCAGGGGACGTCTTTGCTGGGGCGTGGGGCTGGTGGCGAAGATTCGCTGGAGGAGGAGGTGGTGGTGGTGGCAGCAGCGGCGGCGTACTGGCGCAGACCAGCGAGAGCAGCGTCGGCGCGGTGCTGCAGGGCGCGGAACTGGTTCCTGTGCAGCTCGTCGGCGCGCACGGACGACCGGAAGTACTGGAAGAAGTCGTCGTTGCGCAGCAGCATGCGGAAGATGGTCTGCTCGAGGTCGCCGCGCTTGACGGCGCGCCGGCCCCTGCGCGGGTTCGCGAACAGGTCCGGGCGGTACTCGTCCGTCGGCACCTCGTGCAGCGAGGCGAGCATCTCCCGCGTCTCCTGCACGCGCCGCGGGTTCGGGTCCGCAGACTGCCCCACCACGTCGCAGTGCAGGCTGTCGGCGAGCATGTCGAGGTGGAAGTCCGCGATGGCGTTGTACGGGTTGCCGAGCTCGGAGGGGTAGCCGTGGCGCGTGAGCACGAAGGGGTCTTCCTGGACGCCTAGGATCTGGCTGGTGATCTGGTCGAAGAGCCAGAGAATGTGGCGGCATGGCGATTCGCATTGCTCGCCGTTTTGGCAGCTACAGCTGGGGATGCCGTAACCGCTCTGCTCTGTTCCCGTGCGGATCGTGTACTCGACGGGCTCTGTTATCAAGAAGAAGCAGCGTTGGTCTCCAGCCTGACAGCCGCGCAGCACGAATTGTGAGGGGACCTCTACGGCCTTGGTGATCTCGTCACGTGTGTTGTCGTCTAGTAGTTCTAGTGAATATTTGAGATTCGAGGGTGAGATCATGAGGAGGCCATCGTCGTCAACCTCAAAGTCTAACTCGGTGTCTGACTCAGAAGAGCTTGAGTAGTCTTCCACCGGTTGCATCCGGCTCTGGAGACGTGTGATGGGCGGCATATTGCTCTCGAGTGAAAGCTTGCTGAAACGTTCGGTCGGGGGAGACATCGAGCGATGGAAAGATGAAACAGGAGTTATACCAAAGGAATGTAGTTGAAGTCCTATCTGGAACGAGTGGGACTAGTTATATAGAATATGAATAGGATTACACTAGGCAAGGGAACTATCCCCAAAAGCCCGGTAGGTATGATGAAAGAGGTGGGCCGGCATCGAGACCACTTGGTCCATGTTGGTTTGAAAGTAAGTAGGTAGTCATAGTCTTGCAGACCTAGTTAGCAAGAAGTCGTGACCAAGATGCATACATAGCAGGGTATACATTGGGTAGGTATGTACGTACTAGATAGGGAGACGCGTGGGGGAAGAGCCGCCCGACGAGGTCTGGTCTGCAGCCTGAGTGGACTGAAGAGGTAACAAGAGGGTTTACCGTAAAGAAGCTCATCGCTATGTGAGCTATGTGAGCTATGTGATAGAGTGCGGTTTGTAGCCTGAAAGCAGGCTAGCCTTTGCTCGCCAATGGCTGAGCCGCAAAAATGGCGAATGGGCGGACTTGGTGATGCTTGCACATCAGGCAAGAATTCATGTACATAGCCCTGTATATGACATCTCTGTTATGGCTTGAAACAACCAAAAGGAGCAGTATTTGGACCCGAGGGAATGGATGGCGATGGCGATACCGAATCTAATGTCTTACGAATGTGGTTGATGGTGAGCGATGACCCTAAAAGGGGAAAGGGGGGGTAAGGGACAACCATTGTCTGAAGCTGTGATACTATGGTAGATGATCAAATACCTAACTACATACAGTAACCCATCAGCCACAACGAGTTATTACCTACATATGTGGTTATTACCTAGTATAAATCAAAGAATCAGGGGTGATGATTGGAGGGTTGAACGGACCCGGGTGTTCGGCGTGGGCATTTGAACGGAATTGGCTCTTACTCCCTTTTTTTTTATTGTCTTACTCCTTACTCCTTTTCCAATTTCTGCCTTGGCAGAGGGCCCCTCTGCGCCGTAGACACGGATCTAGTAGTCGTGGGCAAGCATATAAAGCCCGGCCGTGGACACCGCGGGGCCCTGGATGCGACCCGTCACTCCTTAGTTAAACAGTAAAAGCGGTGCTTTCGTGTCTACGGGCCTGATTTTGGGCCCCAAAGCCTCGAAACTAGGCCGCCTCTTGGCGCGGCCAACCCCCAATCGCCTTCAATCGTCTTCAATAGAGGCCGGCCCATTATCGCGACCCAGCGAGGCTTTGTCGCCTTTTTCCTTTTTTTTCTCCCTCACCGTGCACTCACCTCGCCTGGGCACCTAACCACGCTCGCAATGATTCCCCTATCGATCGCTTCTGGAAGAAGAAAAGAAGAGCGGGAAGGATGCGGTGGAGAAGGAGAAGGGGAAGGGGAAGAATACGGAGAACGGAGGACTCCCATTCCCCATTACTAACTTACTTACTTACGAATACCTACCAACTAACATACTAACTTACCTTTTCATCGTATCCCATCAAACGAAAGACGACCTGGCGCATTCATCACATTGAAATCCAGTGATCGACAGAAAAAAAAAAAGGAAGAAAAAAAAAGAAGGATAGGACTTCCCCAAACCCCCAAAGGAATACCCCAGACAACTTGACCTTACCTATTCCGGGCTTTTGGAGCCGGGATAATATCCCGCACGCACCCACGATAGTGCGTTTACCTTCCTACCTAGTTAATACCTACCTAACTACCTTACATCCCGAGTCTTTACCAACATTCTGAATCTAACCTGGAACTAACTACCTACCCTACCTACGTGCGCTGTAAGTCACATGTTCTTCCAACGACTTGGTTCGCGTGTTTGTATAGCCACGAACAACAAAGCACATCCGCATCCGCACTCACCATCACATTACATTACCTACACGCAGTTTATGCAATGCATGGGAGGGGGGGGAAAGGGATTTTGTGAAGAAACCGTTTTCAGGCATCAGCAAGGGTTCTAACCGGTTTACTGGCTAGGTGTCTCGGCGAAAAGGATTATACTCTCCATGTCTACCTAACTACCTACCAACCTGCTCACTCACGTACTTATTTACTTACTTTGCTTGCTGTGTGCCCAGGTTATAATGGAGTATAGGATATTTGCTCTGCCTCCCTCGAAGTTCTTCAGGTTTCCGTCGTCATCCGATTGGATGCACTGGGCATCAACTCGCATTATTCCCCAAGAGATTATCCGTATCCGTTCTCAATTGGATTGGCACTCGTGGGATGTTGTCTACCTACCTACCTAACCTACCTACTTATCCGTGGTATCGGATCACTGCTGCGCCCGCTCTGATCAGTACCCAGGTAGATACGGTATGGTATGGTATGGTGTGTCATGGCATCAGGTATCCATCTCCCTCGTTTCCTCAACAGGCTCGCCGAACGCTGCGCCTGTTTCACGATAAAGGGGGAGAAGAAGGTAGATAGGTAAGTAGGTGGCAAACCAAGATCATCGCCTGGATCCAGATTCAAGAGAACGGCTATTCAGCGAAAAAGACTCTGAATTGAGGCTCTGAAACCGCTTTTCCATCGACGTTGCCCTGCTCCTATTGAGCGACAGGGGTGTCCACGTTGGAATGCAGGAATGCAACTCTGCAGCCTTACCTATAGATAACCTCACCGCTCGAAGCTTTGTTTCTTTCGTCGCCTAGGTAGGTAGGCTGACACTTTCTCTGCATATGTGCTGCATTGTGTCAGCATCCCGCCCCTTTTTCTCCTTACTCGGGATTGTCTTGGGAGGTAAGTGGCTGAGATATATATATATGCAAGTCCTTGCTACCAAGGAAAGCTCTTTCGTTGGTTACCGACACGCTGGTACGGGGGGCCGTAAGCATTTCTTCATGAAAGCTACCGTCGTACAGATGTTGGGTAGTGCCTACTGGGTATGATTGGTAATACCCGGGTATACCATACACGGTCGACGCTGAGTTGCCCGCGTCGTTTTACGTTGGAGATTTCAACAACAAGTCTGCCTTACATCGAAGGCGATAGGAGAATGGAACGATCGTGTCCTACCAGCCATAGATAGGGCTGTCGTAATCCAATTCAACACGCCGCCTATTGGGTATGTAGGTACCGAAAAGGTGAGGCTCAAGAGGGAGTATAGGTAAGGTGCCCAGGTAGGTAGGTATGCGGTAGGAATCCTGTTTGTGACTAACTACCCAGGTTGATGAAAGGTTTGAGACTTGAATCGTTGGTGATACGAGTGAGTCTCCGTAAAGTCTAGATGACCGCAGTGTCGTGGTTGGAATCATAGGTATACACAAGACACCACCTGTCTAGAAGCAACGTGCTGTGGTCTCCTGCAGTTATTTCGTTGGCCACCTAGGTGCTTAGATCAATATTCCAGTCATACTGCACTCACCAACACTACAACAGGATCCAGCATACTGGGCACTTACCTACCTAGTACCTAGGCACATAGGAGGCAAGTAGAATTCGAAGCAAAGCTCTAATTTTCAAAACTCGTCGAATGCGTGTTTCTGTATCGAACCTGAATAGTTGCTCTTGAAGGTGTAATGCTGTTATATGTATAACCTCGATTTCTTGGTCTAGATGCATAGTTCTAAAGGTCCTGATGCCTTAGTAATTGCAACAGGCTGCTCTCTATCTACCTCAGTAGGTGTCTAGGTGATGATAGAATATTAATCGTATTGTCTTGCTCTTGACATCCACTACTAGTCTGCCATTACCAAGAATGGTGGCAAATAGATGGCATATTTCCTATGTCGACTAGGCAATAACAGCCCCATTTTGCCTCTACATTTCATTGTCTAATCTCAGCATATCTCATCTTGGAATGCCTTCAAGGCTTCCAGGACCTGCTTCAGATTTGGGCGCTCGTAATAATTGTCATTCCATTTCCCCTTACGACGTCGAAGTTCTCTCTCTTTCAAGAACTTTTCTGCAACCTCGATTTCTTCAGACCAGAAACGCTGTGCAGCTACTTTGACGTCGTCGGCACTTTGATCGTCTATGGCCTTGTTTTTCAGGACGAGACGACTCTGGCGCCTTACGACAACCTTGCTTAGCGTCTCTCTCCTGCCCTTTGTGCATTCGTCTATAAGCCTTCTCATGGCAGGCGGAGTTCTATTGTATTCGGGAAATTCGAGATCGGGCTCCCATCGATACGATTGCCAGACGGCGGCTTTCTGAGGACCGCTAACCCCTTCAAATATACACCAGAGAACCCTCCCAAGCATGTATACTTCAGCAGCTTCTTGTTCTACTGAACTAAGTGCAATCCAAGCTAAGTTAAATCCAGATTGCGGATTAGTGTATTGGTCCTCCACCAGCGTTTCGAAAGCCGGGACCAAGCCTTGCAACACCTTCCGGTACTTTTCACTTATGAACTCGGGAACTTCTTCGTCTGTCGCAAGTAGGCGGATGTATTCAATGGCGTTGACTTCAGGGGCAGCAAATTCGCACCAGACCCCCCTCTGTTCAAAATCTACCATGACAATGTCGGATTTCTCCGATAGAACGATATTATCTAGACGCAAATCGGGGTAGTATGTTGCTGAGCGGCTTTTTAAATGCTCCAGAGCAGTCGTTAGTTGCATTGACCACTTCAACTGATCGGCACGTCGTAGTTGGCCGTGGGCGCGCAAGACGGGAAGAATATCTCGCAAAGTACCTTTCGAGTGATAGTACGTAGTGAAGCCAGCAACCGCTTTCTTATTTCCGAAGGTGCACTTCTTGGTGACAATGTGAATTGGCTTTGTAATAATGTTCGCGTGTGGTTCGAGTGTACAGAGCGTCTTGAGTTCGTGATAGAGATATTTCGCTCCACTGGTTAATGCTTTGAATATGTAAAGCCGTTCATGGATTCGGACAAGACAGACGCTATCGTGCAAGACACTGACAACGTGGAGGTCGAAGAAGTCAATTACTTGGGGAAACTTGAAGTGTGAGCCCCAAAGGGATGTCAATGTCGAAAGGGACAGTAGCTTCAGCTCCAAGTCATGGTTCAGGCCAAGTCCAACCCGAACGCGGCGTGTGTCGAGTGACATATCTTCTAATACTATACGTGATCCGAAGGGCACATTCCTATAAAAATCTCCGAAGAGTTTTAGCTCCTTGAAATCACTCGTAGTCCATTTCTGTAGGATTCGGACGATATGTCTCGCAATAGCGATTCTGGGTAACCGAGTGGAATCTTTGGTGTGGGATGCCTTGTCAAATTCGAGTTGCTCACGGATGAGAGGGGACTGTGAGTCGGAAACGAAGACGTCCATGCGCATAGGAGGAATTCGCTGGAGAAAGAGTGGGACAACATAATACTGGGTGCCCAAGCCGGCACAGCCGTCGACACGCCATAGGGGATTCTGTGGCAAGTCGAGACTATCTATCCGGTTTTTCGGGTTCAGCAGAGAATTATCCCAGGAATCTTCGAGGTTGGAGTTGGTAATACTAGTAAGACTATGTGATTTGGGGGTTTCGGATGCTTCTTTGATCACCGGAACGGGATGGTAGTAAGCTGCAGTGGGATGAACTACCTCCCTTATAGCTCTGGTGGAAAGCTCCATCTTTCAGGTAAGTATTTTCCTCGAAAGTACCAAGAATACCAAGAAATCGTGTTAAAGATCTCTAGATTTGGCAGGTGATTTTTGTCGAGATGTGACAGATCTGTAGATGTTGCAGAGAAGGAAGCTGGTCAGGTCAGATCGGAGAGGGGCAAATATCGTGCCTAAAGGATGCCCGAAAATGTGATAAACCGCTCTCAGCTATGTTGGCTGTATATTTAATTATAAGATAGAAAACGCGGCGCCATGTTTTCGCGGTTCTCGCCGGTTCTCTTCAATATCAAAACACATATTCTCGAGAAGTTCGAGGTAGTACCTTGCTCACACTTACATGCCTAGGCAAGTAGATAGACCAGCCTACATACCTAGGTACTGGACCTGACACGGATGTAGGAGGGCAATCACCCGGCGCATCTAGGCATGTATGCTGTATGGTAAGAGGCGCACGAGGCGGAATCAATTTCTGTACGGTCCTTGCTTTTTGGTTGTGAACGGAAGCCGACAGCCTTGAGCCTCTTTCTGTTGGTGGGCTTTTTTCTTCTCCATCTTGAAATTCTTTTGGTAGCCACTTGGAAACTTACATCAAACTGTATATCTTGAGATATCCGATGAAACCTCGTTCGTTTGTTGAGCTATATAGGGATGCCTGAAGTTGTATAATCCGTAATCTGTTGCAGCCTCTTCGCACAAGATCCAAACTTTGACACCCGGGCCACAAAAAGGTATCAGCACCATACCTAGGTTGAAATTCGTTGGATCTTACAGTCTCGGCTGTTTGGACAAATATGGTCCCACGGCCCAGAAAAGTCTGCGTGGACGAAAAAACAAGTGGTTGGCGAGATCGCGATGACCTCGACGTCTTGACCATTAAAAACGAGCCTGCGCTGACCGAGTGCCTGACCGGATGCAGGGTAACGGGCTATTCTTTCTGTGCCAGCGGAGTCGGCCCTAAAATAAAAAAGCAAAATAGTAGAACCCAGATTATACATCTGCCCCAGGTTCATGATTGGTCGGGCGTGTCGGTTTAGCTCCGCATTGCTTATAACTACCTACCTACCCAATACTTGTAAGTTTGCAAGCTACCCAGTTACCTAGTAGGTACCTACCCAGCTGCCTACTCTCGCTCATATTGTCTTTGGTGTCGATGAGGTTGGCTTGGGAAGCGAATTTGACCCATACCTAAACAGCAATTGGAAATAGGCAGTTCGAGCGCCTTACTCTTATGATTGGTGTCCAATGACACCTCATTTCTTTCAAGATTGCCATGATGGATCGTTTTGGAGAAATGACTGGAAACCCCATCTTATGACAAATAGGATGTAAATACGGGGTGAATATGTTGATAATACCAAAAAGTAGGGCTAGTCGATACCAGAATGCCAACGAAGTATTTTTATAGGGTTTTGAACAGTATGGTTTGGTTTGCAAACCACAATTTCCTTCAGAGGATATCAATGGGCCTTGAAACCTCGAATCGTTGAAGAGGCCCTGTTTGGGAAGACTGATGCTATCAAGAGAAGATCGTTCAAGAATACCTGGCCAAGTACCTGGGTAGGTAGGTATGTAGGTGTATGTATTGTTTCTGCACAACCTATATTAGTCAGTATGTGGATTTCATAGATTCATAGGGCTGATGTATAAAAGACTTGGCATTTGTCTTGTCTGCAATAGAGGTGAAGTTTCCCCATTGTCAAGAAGCTGTTTGCTATACTAAATGAAGAGGTACCAAAAGCCCATAACTTGTTGTGGGTAGATAGGGATATAAACTGGAAGCTTCAGATAACTTTAAGGGAATATGTTACATTATCTTTCCTTGTCTGACTACTGTCATGTCGACTTTTCTTTGATAAATATCTCCACGACGAGGGAATGAAATAGATGTAGAGAAGCGCGTACTATATCGAGTAAGTCTTTCTCATGAACTGATATCCTAACGTTTGAAACCATAATCACATGTAGGTAGTTACTTTACAGTTGAGATTAGGAGAAGGTAGTTAGGTACCTAGATAGGTAAGCATCAGGATGCCTACTTTTCTTTTCTTTTTTTGGGCATATATGAGTAGGAGCCAGAAATATCGCGGAACTTAGAGCATCATATGACTATCAAAGTCCTGAAGTAAGGGTCAACCAACTCACATTTCTTGAAAGTCGTTGACGAGGCTGGGTGCCGTCTCTTTAAATACTTCGAAGTAGTTTGTGTACAACTTCGAAGTATTTGAGTTGGTATTATTTTATTCCATTTATTTTATTCTTGACATAAATGAAACGATTGACATATTTGACATATTTGACATATCACTTGTAGTATACCGATCGTATATCGTATGGTTTTAAGCTTTGAGCTAACGGGAGGACGTGCAGTCTGACGATCCACGTGGTGGACGATTGTTCCAAAATAGGCAACTTTCGAGAGAAGTATCAGGTGTGGGGAATAAAGGAGATTAGGTAGCTTAGCTGGCTTAGTCGACCGACCCCCGGTCAATGATGTCAATCGACTTGATAGAACCTGCCTTGACTATCCAGCAATTCTGCGTAGGTTAGATGGACTTCTAACCTGGTCATACCTACCCGTAAAGCCGTGGACCCGTCATCTCTCCTGCCGAGGAACGGCAAAGCCTATTGTGTCACAATGACCTCCTTCCGCCTTCTGGAGCATCCATTTTCTACATACTAATACTATGTACCCCTATGTATGTAGTAATAGGACGGATGCAAGGAGTCCGAGAATCAAGCAACCACCCAATTACATCATCAACTTCAGTGTTGATGAGACCACTCGAGACGGTAGATGTAGTCATTATCTCGTATATCAACATGAGAACTGCAATGCATTGGAAATCGTACCTACATTGGTATGTAAATACCTCCAGGGCTATTATCATTGATGGAGATATTACCTAGTACTATGTAGGTATGTGAGGTACTTATACAATGTACCCAGGTACCCCAGATAACTTCAAATGCAGTGTTAACCAATAGGCCCAGCTGTTCACGACATCGGCATCCCGAGCATGTACTGGGATTGTCGGTTGATACGCCGATCTAGCTGGATATATTACATGGTACGTAGCTAAACCTATGGTTAGAAGATACATATTATATGTACAGTATGTAGGTATGTACGCTTGACATCGCGATAAGCCGTACCACAAATACCCATCATCGGTAATCGCGTGACCGCTTTGCATAATCCACATGGAGCCCTATGAGTCTCTACCATGGACCACCAATTGAAAATGCTGGAAATATCAGAAATGTTGGAGATATTTGATATGCATCGACCGGTTTTTATTTTATGCGACGGCATACCTCACCGTGTTATATCTTAGCTGGCCGTTGAAGCATTTGCTCGACAAATGGAGCGTGATGCCGTTCTAGCTCATTGGGCAACTCATCAGCCATGTATCACATCGCACGACTTGGTCATCTGTTTGCCTGTAAGCTCTTACCGGCTGATAAGAGATTGCCACTCTATGAAAGTTGAAGCCTAAATGGGATTCAGAATGGTTTAGGTATATATCTCAGCAAAAAAAAAACAATGGTGATATAGTCAGCGTGGCACACCCTTTATCCCCTATACCTGTCGATCGTGGAGTCAGGTGTTCGTTCTATAACCGCATGAATAGATTAAACGCCGAAGCTTATTCGCTGTGATAGCTTAAGGATAGCATTAAAAACATCGAATACGTAAGTAACGTTGTCACGAAATGTTCAAGGGTTGGTAAGAAATTAGCTCAGTCATCAGAGCCGTGTGTCCTAAAACTTAAGACGGAGTAATGAGGCTATGATAATAGCCCCGAGCCGGTCTAAGTCCGATGACTTCGGGACGCCGAACTTGGAATAATCCGAGTCTCTGAGATGACTGGGTTAGACGCCTACCTAAGCCAGCGACACCGTTATCTAACCCGTTCCCGTTCTCGTTCTTCTAAGAAACACATATTAGTATATATTGACCTAGTAGGCACGTTACGATACAGAGTCTAGATTCCTAGGGTAGACGGAGAGTGTGGGGGTTTGGCCCGCCAAATCCCAATCCGGTAGGTATCGTATCACATATGGAGGTTGATAGGCTTATTGAGGAAGGGTTTATACTGTACTATACCCTTTATTCTCTATTTCTTATCCACAATATTACCAGTATTATCATAGTGCACGTGAGTGCACAAAGGACCCCTGTAGTCAAGGCTGCGCTACGGTAAGATACCCCAGTAATGTTATTGTTGAGGCTGGAAGGATTGTAGGTGATTACTTGCCGACTGCCTATTAAGATCCGCCGCCGCGGGTCTAACGAAATGGGAAATAACTAAGTACTGTCTGTCTAGACTGTGTGGTCGATTGCATTGTCGATTGCATTGTGACTTGCCTGTTGCGCCAAGTTTGTGTATCCCACAGATGCGATCTCATGAGGACGAATTCGTTGGCAGCTAGGTCAGTTGACACGGATGGTACAGATGTGATTTGCTTGGCCTCGAGTAACAAACTCCACTATCCGTTTAACCTCGACTTCTGGGTCGCTGTAATTTAATGGTTAGCGGTTAGATTTTTTTTCTGGGGAATTTTTTTTCTTCACCTCTCTTTGGTTTGCTTACGGCATTGTTACGCACATACGTACTATGATGAATGACTAAACGACCTGCTAAGTGATCTTTTTACTATGTTGGTCTTTAAGCCGCTGTTGAATTCTCATTAAATCTTAGTGGTCATTCAGTGGTGATTATCGTCAAGGATTAAAGTCGAAGTAAGTAAGAGACGTGGAAGATAAAAGACGGGCAGAAACAACAAGAAAAGTAAAGAAGAAGAAAAATGAAAGGGGAAGAAAAAAAAACCTCAATGAGGCTTGTTAGCGCGATGTCAATTCTCTTACTTGCATTAACTAACATCCACTTACATGGGTGCCAACGTGGTACGGCAAAGTAGCATGTAGCACTAGATCCCACAGTCGTCCGAATTTCCCTTATCGATACCTTGTAAGACCATATACGGGTAACATATCCATCGCGCCTACCCTACATAGTAGAAGAGCCCCCCTCAAATTCCTCCAATTGCCCAATTGAACCCAATTAACAGGGCTACTCCTTGCCTCAAACGTGATATGCAGTCGCAACATTGAGCAAAGTTAGGAACTGAGAAGGAACAGGAGGGACCTGGAGACGCAACCAAACTTTACCTTTAAACCTCGAGGTTTGGGTTTACAACATACAACATTTCCTGAACATTGAAGTATTTTGCTCGGTACTTGCCTGCTGCACAATGCATACACATACATGCTCAAATCGTTGATGTCGTCTTATCCCTCATTCTCATCCATGGACCATGGGCCATAAAACCATGGACACTACTACTATGGTATGTAATGGATCAATCTCGTCAATATTATCCCTGTTATCCTTGTTACTTAAAACCTTATCCTTGCTACTTAACCTTATCCCGGCTATCCCTAACGTCCCGATATCCCCATCCCCATCTCCATCTCCATCCCCCCCTTCGCCCTATCATCCATATCCCGCCTCTTGGTCAGCAACGGACTCGGATTGCCTCATTAGCCCAAAATCATTAGCCCAGTTAGCAGTTGCACAAGACCTAACCTTGAAAAGTTCAGTGTTCTGATTATTATTTCCCCCCCTCTTTAAACCGGTGAGTGCCGCCAGTTCAACGGTCGCGCTCGAACTTCTCACCGAGTTGTCTTCTTGACCAGTTGCCGCGCTTTCTTCTTCCAATCAACATCTTTCCCGCATCGTACATCTTCATCGGGCGGTAGCATACAGCCGTTTCTTCCTTTGAATCTTTTCCTTGCGCTTCCTCCATCTTTTTCCTTACAGGAGCTCTCCACATTCAGCCCCCTTTCTGTCTCTCTGGATAGGTGTCAAGACACCCAGGATAGCATTGTACAAGCCCAGCCCAGCCCAGCCCAGCATAACACAGTACAATACAGCACAATACCGCACAGCACAGCATAACATAACATGATACAACGCGATACCGACAGCACTGTCGTATTGGCTCTTTGACTTTGATGATCCCGGCAGTCTCATTAGCGTCAATGACGCTCGTGAGACCTTGACGTGCTGCCGCCTCTTCTCACCCCACAGCTCCAAACTTCTGTCTGACGCCCGGTGAGGCGCAAAGATACGCGTAACTATTGCTGCTGCTGCTGTTGTCGTGCGTTCGTCCGTCCGCGCACACAGAGCAGAGCAGACGCACCGGTGCACATACCCTGTTTTGTGGTGTTAGGCTCTTGTCTAACACACCTCTGCCCTCCAAGTTTGGTCATAGAATATTACACAATGGTGAGATCTTCTTACTTTGTCTTGTCCCTGGTCTTCCATCTAGATAGCCAAGTAGTGCATGCTCTCAAAGTGCAGTCCGTTGACTTGCATATAGAATAATCATAATATCAGAAAGCGCCGGCCTTATGGCCACGGGGACTATGCCCCGATGGTGCCCACGCCCCAGGATCCATCGTACTCATCTTCTGCCACTGCCCCTTTATCTCACTCGGAGGACCTCTCCGCTCAGGATCTACATATAATCCAGCAGGCGGCTTCTGTCCTAAATTGCCACGTCTCCCAACTGCTGGTACTTCATAATAGAAACCCTCATCCGCTGCAGTATTCCAACCCATCTGTACCCTACCTTGTCCCAACGAAGAGACCGCGTTTTAGTTCAGATATGACAGCTCAGTCTCCTCAGGAGAAGCCATCATCGTCTATTTTGCCTACTCAACACGACTCTGAGCGCCCCCATGCCCCTGAAGTATCCAATAGCGGCCTCTCATTGGGCATGGATCGCTCTCGTCTTGTACAGTATATGTCTAATTTCGCTATCTGTTCACCGTGCACAACTTGCGAGCCCCAAGGTCTGCTTCCCATTCTAGCTACATGTGTCCTGACGAGCGGGCATACTGAAAATGATACAGACTATACCCCAGTCCCAGCAAACTCGCCCTACACTTATGTCCCTCCAGCACGGCAATACTTTGATGACAGGCCGTTGTCCCCAGGCTCGGTACCCGTGACTATTTCTGCGGACCATACTAATGGCTTTGCCTCTTCCAATGGCCCCTCCACGGCCCCACCGATGATGCCCAATTATCCCATCTTACAGCCAAATCGACCTATGATTATCCAGCCTTCCACTAGCGGTGAAGGCATGATCTATCCAGAGCCTCTGCCCAATCAGCAGTATTTCAGTCAATCAAACTTGCCGCATGGCCTACCGCATGGCTTACCGAATTCCATGCCGAATCACGCGATGGGAAACCACAATTACGGAGTATCGCTGCCGATTCAAAGCGGTGCGGCTGAAGAAGCCTCGCCCCAGGAAATGGATGGAATTCGAGGTGTTAATAAACTTCGTGAGTTAGACATTGTACAGCCAAATCAAAGGCCCCCACCCGTAAGGAGGGGGCCATTCAAGTCAAATCATGTCCGGGAGCAGACAGCCGAGACAAGGCGGATCGGTTCGTGCATCCGGTGCCGGATGCAGCGGATTCGCGTAAGCAACCCGCGTCCCCATTTCCCGGTTCATTCCCAAAGCAGTGTTCATGGTTTTATCTGCTAACTTGCAAGCCTAGTGCGAGACGAACCCCCAAGACAAGTTTGGTGCTTGTTTAACGTGCCAGAAAGTGGCAAGTGTGAAAGTGTGGCGGATGCCTTGCCTCCGTTTCAAGATTACCGACGTGAAGCTCTTCAAGCCAGGAAATGTCAAAGGATATGAGTGGACTCGAAGGTGGGTGGAAGGCATTCCTGACGACATATCACAATGGGCATCCGCGGAGACCAAAACGGTAAAGGTCACCGAAGGATACACCGAGCAGCCCATTGAGCTTCGCGTTCGCCAATTTATTCCACAAGAGGGTGATAGACTTGAGCGAAGTTGGGTTCATGAAGGCACCACGAGGACGGTCAACATCCCCCCTTACGCTATAGTGAACCTCGAAGAAGCTAAGAGCACCTATAATGATTATATAAAGCAAAAGTTGCCGGAATGTTGTAAGAAGGTCTTATCAAGCAAGGAGAAGTTGCTGTTTGCAACATACGTAGCGGCGATCAAAGCATCAAGGGATCCGTCTACCGACCCCAAGGAGAGTGCGCTTCTGAGGAAAGCGCTGCAGTTGTGGATGGCCATTCGCTTGACCACCAAATCGACCATCATTGTTGGAGACGAGACACTGGGGATGTCTCGCGATATCATGGATGAAACCAGTCCACTTCGGGGATGCATCCCCCTGCCACCCGTGATGGGTGCACAGATTGAATTGGTCCTGATTCACCAAATCCAATCCAGTCTTCGTCGCGAGATGTTAGAAAGTCTACAAGCAATGACGCAGGCTAACAAACACCAGACCTGGTTTACCACATACCTCATAACTTTTATCTTACTGCACAATGTAGCTCTTCTCTGTCAACACGACGCTGGGTATGCTCGAAAACATGGGATCAAGGTGTGTACTGAGCACTGGCCCGCCGGCTGCAAAGACAATCCGCTTACTTTTTAAGTTGCAGAGTCGATTTGCAAGAGAAGAGATGGTGAGAGAGTACCAAATGGGTAAGCCTTGGCATCCTTGAGATGAATCTTAGTTCCTTGATCTGAACTTCGGAAATTGGTTTTCTAACTGTCGAACTTCCACAGGAGCAAACATCCTGTTAGCGTACTTCCATTACTGCAACAAAGGTGAGATAACCCATGCACCTAAACTATGTATAAATATGCTAGATAGCTGACCAAATAGGCGTATATCCATTCTCCGCGGAATGCAAGGATGAAGACCTGTCAACCTTGGCGGAATTAGACGAGTCCAAGATGAAACTTATCCAAGGCACGAGAGCAAATGTTGAAAAAAATAGTAAGCCACACACTCCCCGATATCATGCTGATGTACCGGCACTGTACCAGGTGATGTTCTGATCGCTTATTGGTCGACTGCAGGAAAGCTCTGGGCGAAGATACGGCAGAGTGGCGATTATGAAAATGACTTCTACTATATAAGCCAACTCTACGAAGAGACCTGGACGCCGCAAACGACGATCTAAGTTTGATTCTAGCCGTGGGAGGTTGATGTAATGTGCGGGTAAAGGACGAATTGACGCACTGATGAATCAACCAGGTGGGAACAAACACGTAAGGTTAGTTATGGCCTATGCAGGCAGCGGGACACAATGAGGCCGATATAGCATTGTCATACTATTCGGTGGCGGTGGGATATAGGGCCCTGGACGTCAAGGCTACCCCAGGTATCTACCTACCTAGGTAGGTACACAAGCTATCCTCCATAACGTAGAGTAGGTACCCAGTTTCTCTATCGGGTCGAAATGGAAGGTTACCCAGGCCTGTCTGTATCCTTCAGAGCAGGTTTCCGGCGAAAGAGTATGTGAGTATTATGATTTCAATGGAAGCTTCTGGTACACCATGCTTCAGACCTATGACATAGCCATTGACTAACATTGGGCTAGATGACCAAGTATTCAAGATTCAAGGCTACCTACGGTTCGGCAGTTTCTGCTTGTGAGACATTCTTTCCATTCTTGTGGCCATTCAGTGGATAAGGAGGTGTCGGAATCACACAGCAAAGGGATCGTCTGGGGAGATTGTCGTGCCTCCGGTTAGGAGTCCTGCAACTTTCCTCCCATGCATCAATGACTGGACTCAAGCGTCTATTAGCGGTAAGTTCACTTTAAGACCACCTCCATGGATTTTCTTTTCTATATTCGCCACAATAATTGACATGCATATCTACCTAGGTGGTGACCTAGACATTCATTTAGGACCGACAAGGGGCTTGGTGGCACCAAGTGAACAAGCCTCCGACTTTACGCGGAAGCCCAGGGTCTGTAAGCTTTTACATACCTTGACGCCATATTCAAGATCCTCGACTTGCCTGCATGTCCCGTCGCAGGCCTACCGGCGTCGGCATGTGCATGTACATACATGCAGCGTTCAATTCCAAGAACCCGGTTGTGCCCCTTGTTCGTGGATTCCTCATTTTGTACAGCATGGTGGCTACCAAAAAAAGAAAATCAGAGAGGAAAGGATGGCGAAAAAGCAAGAGTGATCCAATGACACCTATCTACCTAAGTACCTATGCAGCGTTCCGGTCTCAGGCTAATATATGGGAAGACTAGAGGTTTACCTACTAGGTACATACCTACGTATCGACCTACATATGTACTACACACATAGGCAAAGTCCCGCAACGACGACTCAACTACCTATTACCTATACATATCTAGGTACTCATTTATCTATATATGTACCTAGGCAACTAAGTAAGAGAGTGACTAGCCGCTGCACACTCAGGGAAGACTACGGGGGTATACCTAGGTAGGTATCTGGCTGCACATGGCTAAGTACATAGTTGGATACGGCTACACGATCGTCTACAACATATAAGTATTTTTGCTTGAGGCGTTAGTATTTGCTAGGTACTAGGTATTGGATATTCCAAGTATCTACTCTTCAAAATATCTTATGTTTAAGAGCTAGGTATATCAGGCACCACATCCGGGTCATTATTATACTTGATTAATCTGCAGTCATTACACTTCTCGTTCTCTCGTTCTAGACCCACCTAGTTGAAGGGCTGTTCCAACTCTGAAAGAAATTGAACCACTAGGGACTCTAGGATCTCTCGTCACTTCAGTCACTGAAACATAAGCTACCACGATAGGTTCGTTAATGGCACAAGCTACCATTGGATACGGCTAACGGAATCAAGCAAGGCACATACTAGGTAGTCATGGACTTCAACAAGAACAAAGGCGGGGTCATTATTCCTACTCTGGGTAGTACGAGCCTTTCTACGCCTGAGTATGGCTCGTACACCTCCGATGGGTTGTCCAGCCTTCCCGTAGGCTATCCCACTCATATGGGCCCGGAGTTTGGCTGGACCGGGAACGACCAAGAGCTCCACTTCATCTACAACATCACCGGCGAGGGCTTGATGGAAGTACGTTCCGCAAAGGACCACTTCAAATGTACGCATACTTCCCTTCTAAACCAGCATTGAGTATTTTGAGATTCCCATGTATCTACTACAGTGCTATCCGCTCACGGTGATTATTCATTCTAGCACTGGAACTGGATGGTAATCTTGTGAACCGAGAGAATTTTCCGCTTCCCACCCTCGGACCAATATTAGACAAGCTTAGTCATGATATTTATAATGGCAAGGGACTCTGTGTAATCCGTGGGATCAGTCCGGACGAGTACTCTGTCGAAGACTTGACGATTGTCTGGTTGGGGATCCAAGCGTACATAGCCGATCAACGAGGTTGCCAAGATCATCGAGGCAACATGCTTGGTTGGTCTATAAGCCCATGACGCAAGGATCACGTTCACTGACACCGTACCTAGTACATATTATCGCAGATAACTCCTCCAAGACGAAGTTGGGTCATCATCGCCACTCCACCTCCGCCATTGTAAGTCTAGCTTTACCAAACCATGAAGATTCTACTGCCCTCACTTACAGCGCATACAGTCTTTTCACAACGAAGAGGCAGGCGACGTGGTGGCTTGGCTGACCCGTAGCACTGCGGCAACCGGAGGCAAGTGTATCGTTGCCTCTGCTTACACAATCTACAACATTCTAGCGGATCATCGTCCGGACATCATACGCACTCTTGCAAAGTCGGATTGGCCTTTCGCCTTGTAAGTTAACGGTATAAGCTGTGAGAACTTTGGGAGGCGATACTAACGTTCCGATCCAAGGCCCCATTTCCAATGCCGGCCATTGCTCTTCTACCATAACTCGAGGCTAGTCATGAACTTTGGCCGTACACCTCTGCTAGGGAACGCCGTCCATCCGCGTCCGGAGAATCTCCCGAAACTCAATGACTGCCAACGAGAGGCGCTTGATGTGGTAGAAGCAATTGCCCAAGCGGTTCAGCTTGAGATCAAGACCCAGGCCGGCGATATGCATTTCATCAACAACCTTGCAATTCTCCACAGACGAGAGGGATTCGTCGATGGCGAATCTGCCCAGCAGAAGAGACATCTGGTACGCATGAGACTGCGCAGCTCGCAGCATGGGTGGGACATACCAGAGGATCTAACGCAGGAGTGGCGCAATGCATTTGACACGGAGACTTGCCAGACGTGGCACCTAGAGCCGATGCCTGGCGACGTGTTCCCCCTTCGCAAGTATACTAACTAATGAGATGGCTAGAAATTTCTAGTAAGGGGGGGGCGGGTACTAGGTACCTACTCATGCAGCAGATTCAGGGGAGAAAGTGACTTGGAAGATCATTGTTCGCTGGAGAATTTGGGAATTGCAGACGCTACACCAGGGGAACCAAAAAAGAATCAGGTTGTTAAAAGTTGCTCTTATTATTAGTGTGTGTTTGCTTACTGGTTTGTTACTTGATTTCTAACAAATTCTCCTTTCTCTACGTTAGATAGAACCCTAATAATCATTTGTCAATGGCTCAGTTTTGCGAGGAATTGAATGTGTCTCCATATAACGATGGCAGTGCCCCAAATGGTACCCCCTTTTTTTCTTTTCTTGGAGGGGAGACGGACTTGGCTGCTATAAACAACCAATGGTAAGCAAGCATCTGCCATCTGCCATCTACGTACCATCTGCCCATCTGCCCATCTACCCTCCGTGACCTTATAGATATTACTACCTGGTAGCTAGTAGCTAGTAGCTGCCTAGGTTAGTAGGTATGGGTTTCGATATTGCCTGTTTACATTCCGGGCCCAGTTTCCCATATCCATTCCCATGTCCAAATCCCCACATGGTCGTGCGGGTTGGCGCATTTACATCCTTAGCACTGGGACTTGGCAAACTTGAATACTACGACAATTATTTGTTCGCTTTGAAAGTAATACCATAATGTAGTGCCCGGGAATTAACTTTGCCAGGGACACACATAAGACAACATACCTAACTTAGGTATGTACCTGCTTGTAGGTAGTTTGCTATGGAACTTTTTCCTTTCTTTACATTTGTAGATGCCTAGAACTAAGTCCTCAAGCCGCTGATGGGAGTATGACGGCGAATCGATACAGTTTACGTACACTTGCATATAGTTTTCAAGCTACTTTACTTACCTATATCAGTTTACTCAACTAATGTAAACTAGCACTCGTATATCAACGAAGTAACATAGTATTTACACTATACACGCACATAAGTATCTATGAATGTATGAGCAATTCTTTTCGTTCTAGTGTTTCCATAATGATACCCAAGACAGACCCATTTAAGTGCTCCTGTTCCATCCGTCCACCCTCCCGATGCCTTGGATCCATCTCTGGACCAAGGACGTCGAGATCGGAGATCGAAACGGGGGGCCCTGAACCCCTACCACTTAGATACGGGATGTGCCTTTCTCCCTACCCTGTCTATCCTCTTCGTTCCTTTTCCCCCTTGTCTCTTTCATCTACTAGTTACCTAGATAGTAAGATGGAAATTTTGACCTTCTTAATAATATTAGAAACCTGGATGTTTCGTTGCTGGCGTCCCTTATTTTCTTTTTTTCGGGACCGTAGCGAATCTTATCTAGTTCGATCAATGTGCATGCAGTAAGAGTGACTGCTCAAAAGGTCCCAAGGCGGCAGTTTATAGCGTGATAATGGACAAGTTTTGCGGGTTGGTCACCTATTAGAGTGGAGTAGAGTACCAGAGTTGTATACTAGTGCTACGACAGCACTTTGCAGTATACTTTTCTCGTACATGCCTACATACATAGATACAATACATCAGTGGCTTTTTACTAAGCCTTATTCTCCCCCCTTTCCCCCTTTGTTCCTCGTCCCCTACTCCTTACCCCCTTACCCTTACCCCCTACCCCCTACCCCCGACTCTCTTCCCTGTACAGTTATACGTCCATTCATTCGAGGATTCTTCTTGCTACATGTACATACATGTACCTACTTACTACTTAGCCAGCCCGCTAATATTAGAAATCATAATTATATCACTTGCCAAGCTATCCATCAACCCATCTAGCCACGGTGGCTCGTTCGTTCCTGGACATGCAGGCAGGCAGGGCATATTTATACATGGTTACGAGAAAATCAGGGGGATCAACGTTCCGCATCCGCGTAGGTGTGGGACATGGAAGTTGACACGGGCCCGCCATGATGAGGTGATGTCCGCTTCACTTTTTGCCACTCCGGCTGCTGGCAACGGCCTGACTTTCATCTACACTACATAGTATGTAGCGGTACTACTAGACCGCTGCGTGCCGGTCTGTTAATCTGTTAAACACAAATGAATGTCGTTGTTCTTGGCCTCACATCGGTGAAAGGGTGCAATTTATAAAAAGATGCTTGTAAACCAGGATAATTCCACAAGCGTCGTAGCACGTACCAGTCGGCTCATCATCTGCAGCGACACAACATATTTGTACATATGCAACTAACTCTGCATGGAGGCGGCTGTTTTGGGAGGTAGTTTAGGTTAGCTTAGGTAGGCAAGATAGTCATTATTGAGTATCTACCTACTGGTCGCCTGCATACTTACCGAGATGCTGATACATACCTATACATATGTATGTGCCTCTCTAGGTAGGTAGGTACATATTAGCCCAATGCCTAAGCCATATACATACATCCTACACACTAGGACCGTAGTAGGACGGCTAGGCCAGGTAGCTGGTGGTACATATGTAGTAACTGCCGGTTGCTATCATCCGGATCCGCGCGGTAACATAGAAAATCAAGCCACAATTTAATTTAATGACCCGGTCCTGTTCCCACGACATACACCGACTTACATACACACATAGCACACACATACACACACCTCTACATTGCCTACTAACTACATGCTAGGCAAGGTAGTACATACACTACCCACGAGCTTTCTCACGTGGCGGGGGGCGGATTCAATTTACGAAACTGACATGTCTCTTTTCTTCTTCTCTATTTCACAAAACCACATTGCCGTAAATCTCAGCCAACGAAGATGGAACAAGAAAGTCATCTCTTCGGTCTAGATCGCTTAGATCCTTTAGTCCTACACACTATCATACCTTTACGACATGCCGGCATGAAGAAGTTGTTTCGGTTTTAGAAGCGAGAGAGCGAGAGCGAGAGTGAAGGGGCGGTCTAGGAATCTAATTCGAAGTTCAGCTTGCCATTTCCTGTGAAGGAAAAAAGGAAAAGGGGAAAAAAAATCATGGTGATCGGCAATGGAGTTGAAACAGAGCTGACCCCGTGAAGACCCTGTGCTATTGTATCTGGGCCTGGACTCCCTCATTATTCAATTATCCTACCATCTGCGACCCACGTTATCCCCACGTCAGAATGTTGTCAATTCATCAATTCAGCAATTACTTACTACGGCCTCGCCTCACGCCACAAAAAACGCTAACTACAGTCAGCCTCCGGAGAGTACCGTCACTGGATCGGGGTCCACGGAACTCCTGGCCGGCGGCACCTTGCGGTAGGTACATTTCCTTCCTACTAACGTCGTACCCATTCTTTCCCTCAGCACTAATAAGGAAGACTGTCATATCTCATATAATATCCTGCAAGTTGTAAGAATTATTCAGGAGATTGGGTGTGGCAGGACGTAGGCATCATTCTGATTTGCTTTTCTTTAGATTACTATTATTAAAAATTATTATTTCTTATTCTTACTGTTTTTATTTTTATTTTTATTCTTATTTTTTTTTTGCTTTTTCACCGATTTTTGCATCGTGAGAAGAATTTGGTGTATTCTGTATTCAGGGGTCTTCTTTTGTGTAACTCCTAAATATATCCAATTCTGGTATGCCGTGGGCTATTAGCTAATCTCTTAGATCTCCCGAACGAACATACATAAAGTACGTACGTACGATGTGCCGTCCATAGACCATACATGGAACCCCGTTCCCAATATATGGAACCAAATTGCCAACAACCTGGCGGCTGGCGGATAGCGACACCTTGGCCTATGAAATGTGAAGGTACAGCGGCAGTACAATCCAATATCCATAGATGGAGGAAGGAAGGATACGCACAGGATGCGCAGAGTCAAGCCCTGTCTGTCGTAGTGGTGCGCCGAACGCCTCCACGGTCGCTGTACGGTGCCGCTAAACACGTACCAGGTTCCAGGGAGCCAAGCAAGCCCCTCAAAGCACCTATCCACACCCTCCACTCTTCAGATCTGAGGTATGGGGCTAGGCGCATGGGTACGGGTATGTAAATTTTTGCAACGCCTGTAGGAAGTCTTGGTACCGTGACAGTTATTAATACCGTTAGCCATGTAGCTTCTGCTGCAGCGTCTCGGGATGCAGGGTTCTCATGCAACAGGCAGCATGGATGAAGTAACGGGGTACTTTACTAGGTTATGTAGGCCTAGCATTGCAGCATATACGCCCTGCTAGGGACACCCGCGGACGAGCCAAGGCCAAGGACTGATGTATTTTTTATTATTTTCTTTTTGCCATCGGGGGGCCACGACACGAAGCCATACGAAAACGCACGATAAGGAAGACCTGTATCAAATCGATGCTCGTCCCCATACCATAACACAACGAAGAGACGGACGACGATCTCGGCATATTCTAGGCGTGTCCATCAAGGATCGTGTCATCCTGTCCATATCCGAGCAGGAATAGGCTCCCCCGCGGCCAAGGAAATGGAACAGATCTCGATCGCGACGCGACGCTTCTCTATCTCTGCCTCTCTCGTGCGAAGAGAGGAGAATATGGAACACCAGCGCCCTCTACGGTTGTCGACAGGTTTTCAAGCGGTGTGACACGGCCACGAACTCATGAGCTGTGCGCGATATTGGAGTTATTGGAGTGGGGGAGGTTCTGGACGCACGCACGCACAACGATTTTCTGTTTTTCCTCTTCGGGAGTTTTTTTATTATTTTCCTTCCCTTCCAGTACATACGTCGATCCTCGAGGGGGAATTCGTGCGCTCTGAGTGCAGGAGGATACGAAAGGCGCGCTTGAGAAGAAATAGTGACTAATAAGACGAGACGACGAGTATTTTCGTCGCGTAGCCCGTGTGCGAGTGTGTCAACGGTAGTGTAGTTAGAAGAGTTTGGGACGGCTCCATTTCGAAGGGGACGGGTTTCGGCAACGCTTCTGCATGCTGACGAATGGAGTCGGGGCCAAAACTTCCATCTCTCCGGAAAAAGCCAGTGTCAGTGCGACATTTTGGGATGTCGAAAGTGTTAGTTGGATGAGCTGGATTAGTTGGATGGGGCTAAGAATAGCCCATCCCTCCGGCCTTACTGCCCAACCTAATGGGCTACCTAGTGCTATTCCCAGGCACACCACGTCCATATTCCCTACGAGTCTAGCTTATAGGCAGACGAGGGGGGGCCCCAAGATCTTCGAGTCTGGTCGTTTACGTACAGGACTGGCATGGGATGGGATAGGATGGGATAGGATAGGATCCGTACCTAAAAAAACTGCCCGGCTAGTGCCATCGGATAATCAGGGGTCAGCAGGTAATCACATACCTACACGCAACACACACACGCACACATCCAGCTATACATCATGTATACATATAAGGAGCACAGGAGTAACTTGCCTTCCTTTCCATGTGTACCTAGGGAGGTACCTGTTGCAAGATGATGTAGATACATACCTACCTGCCTGCCTACCTACATACATACATGTAAGTAAGTTAAGTTCCGCGGTAAAGTGGATGAGACAGGTTTCATGTTCGCAATATGGATTTCCACGTCCTGCGGTTACATTGGTAGATATGTAGGTAAGTACGTACGTACTCACGCAGATATGTATGTTTGTATGTAGTATGTACCAGGTAAGTGAGTAGGTAGGTAGGAGGGCAGGGAGGTATGCGAATATGGGTCGTATCTCCCCGATCTCTGGAGAAAGAGAGAAGATGCCTCCACTCCAAAGGCTTCTAGCCAAGTCATTGGTGTATAAATTGCTGGATTCATTCTACTTTGATCCCCTCTTCATCGCAAAGGAGCTGGCTCCTAGGTAAGTGACGTATCCTATCCTCCTCTTTCGACAAATATCGAGTCCCCAGTCTTTCCACGGGGACCGCTAAGACATCGGAGGATATCTGAGATGCCACATCAGTCAATCTGCAGCCGGAATGCGTCGGATATGCACGCTCGCCGAATCACCTCGTCATCCTCTCTCATAGTACATACATACCTATCCTCTTCGGTCTTAACTTCATACCCGCTCCAATGGAAGGGGGTCATCCCAAGTTTCGATCTCGTAAGTTCAGCATGACTAATTCCGGCCGACCATGTTTAACCTGTGTGGCCTAGTTCGGAACGATGTCCCCCCGAGAAATAATACACCACTTTTGCTGCACGAAAGGTCTTTCATCGCACGTCCCTCCAGGACCCCGGGCGCTTTGATCTCACCGGATCACGTCGATCTGAAACGAAACCAACCCGGTTTTCACATCAGGGACGACCCTGTATCACATCATAGGTGATTTGTCCGTATAGTACCTAAGCCTAGGTAATCTTCAAAGTGAAAGCCATTGATGATAATCACATGAACCATCATCGAAACAACGACGTCCATCATGGAAATTCGGCCCAGCTTTTAGCCTCATAACAACTAGGAGTTGTTGGACCATGAGGCAATGGAGACCTCCGTTGAACAAAACGTACTCCTAGGTATTCATGAAGTCCCTTCCAAAGACAGAGGACAGTCTACCTAGTATGATTCGGATGGAAACGAAGTTTGGAAAACACCGACTCGGCGAAGAGATGTTGTTATCTAGAAGGAGAAAATTAGCTGAGGTGCGTTTGAGGGACCCATCAAAGCTATATATTAACTCGAGCACGCCCAATCTGACCATTTACGAAAGGCTTTTTTTTTCTAGGCGCAAAGCTCTCTACCTAGTCATCATTCAAAACTTGTGCAACAGTCCCATCTAGACTTTTTTTTGATGCCATTCCACCACCTCGTGGGGCCTACTCGTGTCACGGCAGCCAGGGCGGCGGGCCGAACATAAGCACTAAAAAGCGGTTTCTGTCTATGATCACCTATCACTCCATCATTCATCAATCTCTCGGGGACGCCTCCTTGGGATGAGATGGAGTATAATGGGCGTGGCTCCCCCCTTACCTTAAGCCGCATCCCAACGCAAACGGTCAATGCCGAGCTGCGGCTAGGAAAGCCCTGAACGCGTGGGCTGGCGACCCTGCAGATACCAATGGATTCTGCACCTGCCTGCTTACCTGTTTGCTCACCTGCCTATGCGATGCCGAGTCTGGACTTCCGTCATCATGGCTTGCAGCTATTGGGACCCAAAGCCTTCGCGAACCGCAAGAAAGCCGGCGTTTCCCGCAGCGGCATTACAAGGCAGAGGGGTGCGCCCCCCGGGTACATGAAGAGCTGAGAGAGAAAAGGGGGGCTTGGCTTCGTTTACACATCTTAGTACTTGCTTCGATGGGCGAGGCTCTGTTATACATACGAGAGACAGCCAAGTCTGTGGGTTGGCAGGTAGGCAGGCTGGGAGATCTGTTGGTATAGTAGAATGGTATTATACGATGGAGCGGAGACAGGGCCGGGCAGGTAGCCAATTAGCCCGAGTTTTCGGAATACCTAGACCGATGTTTCTTGCTCCTTACTTTCACAAGGCTGTGTGCGTGTGTGCCTAAGATGACTTTGTTTGTTTGCTGTTGTCTGGATGACCTATGAGGACATTATGACGTTTCTACGATGATGGTGCCTGTGTCACATGCGTATATGTTACCTACATACCCTACAGACATGTATACCTACCTAACCTGCCTCCGACTTACGGATCTACGTTGGCTGGTAGGTTGGCAGCTGAGTATGTACGGAAGCAATGAGAATAACGACTACTAGGTAGGAACAGGAAAAGAAGCACTTACGCCCACACCTACCCACCTACTCAGGCACATATATACATGGTAATCGGTACCTAGATTCAGGGGGTGCATGTGCTGTGCATACCATCTATCCATCCATCCATCGATCTCTGTCACGATTTCCCAAAGATCTACAGATTAGGTACCTACCTAACCCCTAACCGACCTACCCAAAACCCACAGACTCATGCACTGGAGATCGACGGCTTGGGAGTATGTATGTATGTAGGTAGGTAGCATTCGGGAGCGAGGGAGATCCACGATATCTCTGGGCATTTACCGAGATCTGCGATCGCGTCATTGATCCAGGGATTTTCTGGGCTTGGGTGATACTTACCTACACCTACCTAACCTACACCTACCTGCCTGCGTACATACCTGTCTAACTACCGGTCTACCTACTAAAGAGGCACCTCGTGTAGGTACACTGGTAGGGCTTTCAAGAAAGCTCATTCAAAGATACCCTCCCATCCACCATATCAATCTATCTTGGCTGATCTAACTGACAGGGGAGAGGAGGCATCGAAACGATTTCTCGGGATATACCTACACATAATATGTAATGTTGGCTCATGGATGTATGGTGGATGATGAGGTTAATCGAATGCCTACCTATTATTCGTCGCTTCTACCGAGAGAAAGAGATAGTTAGGTACAACTACTGTGATCACAATCGGAGGGCCTTCCATGGGTTGGGCTGCTTCTTATTCACAGCCAAGCGGGTTTATGCCATTCTCCTTTTCTTTCCCTCCCCCTCTCTCTCCCCACCCACCCCATTTACTTTCTTCTCCTTCAGTCTTTGCGATAGGTACCTAGCCTAGGTATCTAGTATCTTTGCCTACCTAGTACATGTGTTGGGCTAGTTGATGGTTTATGGTAAGTTGCTGGTCTTGTGGTTTTGACGAGGGGGGTCGTCGCGTTGGTGGGGCCAGCTGAGGATGGGTAGTGGTAATGGGAGACGTAGTATGTGCCTACCTACCTACCTATAGATGGTGATATGGGCATGTCGACGTATGGAATCCCTCAGGTGGCATTTTATGAGATCTTTTGTGCCTACCTAGGTAGGTAGACCCCAAACTTAGTATCTATGTTGTTGGTCAGTGCCATGGGTAGATAGGTCAGATAGGTATCCCACCGTGAGAAGTTGCCGTTGTTGAAGAAATTCTTCCTCCGCTACGCTATTTGATATGATATAATGGTGTGTGATATGCAGACTGGTGATATATGCCTACCTACCTACATATCCATTAGCCGTCTTGGTCATCTCACGATCCGTCATTTTATAGGTACTAGGTAACTGACAAGTACGCAACTTCGTCTTTTCTAGCACCCATGAGGATCTTGAGTTTCAATATTCGTAGACTCTTGGATATAGGAGCTTGAAGCTTTACCATGCACCATGGTGAAAGCTAACAAGGTAGCGATGTCACAGGTCCGTTGAAAAGCCAGTAGGAGTTCATTTCACGTATGCGATACCCCTATACTTGGAGTCAAGGGAGGTTTTGGTCGGTCGATATCTAGGTAGGTAGTTAAGGTTAATTTTGGATTGCAGAAACATGTCTACCTAGGTAGTTATTCTAGGCAGCGATAACAATGTTGAAACTCTCAGGGCTGTTGGTGTTATTGCCTGCCCTAGGTACCTACAGACCACCCAATGTTCGTCTTTCTAAGGGGAACAATTTTTGGATCATGTATTCGGTAACATGCAATAACTGGCTGCTCCCTGTCAAGCAAGCTGATAAGTTGGCACTGGCCTCCAGCTCTTATCAGGTTTTGTTGGCTTCTACTCCATTCATTCGTATGTTCGACTTCTCCTCCTTTATATTTCAGGTAAGACGAACACCTCGTGGCTTCTTGGTAGCTTTTGAGAATGGTAGGCTACCTTTGTATGACGCTTCTCACATTCGAATGGTGATGAAGTAGAACATCTATCATATCTCGCCAGGGCTGGTATCTTCCGTTTCTCTTGGGCCATTATTAGATAAGTACCTACCTAGGTACCTGGCATCCATCGTTTATCTGTAAAGCTACCAAAGCAGGTGATTCGCGAGGAAGTCGACAGCGTTCACTTTACATATGCTAGGAAAACTGCCAAGATAATACGGCAACGATATGATACTCTTGTCTGAGGTTCGAGTAAGGTATTGTACTTATGGATGGACAGTTTGAGAACGAAATTTGGCCTTGAAGCGTGAGAGATTCTAATGACACAAGTCCTGGTTGAATTAAAAAGGGAAAATATTATAAGATGAACTGCGATGTTCATCGTATAGCCAAAGGCTGCTGGATCTCAGTCGGCCGCTTCACTTGAATGGGCGCAAAGAAGACTGACTAGGTACCCGGGTACCTAGTGTCACAGTTGATATTATCCGCCTCAATTATTTGGATATCTTGCTGGCATAATACTAGTATCTACTTAAGGTAGTCAGTAGATTGATGTCAACGTTGAATATATATTCTGGAGTCTAGAAGAGAGGAATGTATGTACTGAGTAGTAGGTACCTAAGAAAGTTGAGGTGGCTCTCACCATCAAGTTCTGGTGAATCACATGCACGTGTCTGTGAAATTGATGATCGTACCTACCTAATGTGCTTATTACATATATTTACATATCTAAGTTAGGGTAGTATTAGTAGTAGGCATGTATGACTTCCTAGGGTAGGTATTGTACTACATAGATTGATGTAGGTACAGAGTATGGGGAAACGATTTGAATTGTGATTGGTGGAATGGATATGGATAGATCTATTTTTGTATATAGTTATGTATCTAAAGAACCTTGCTGAACATGCCTAACCTTACATACTAACCTAGGTAGGTACATATGTCAACTACATAAGGTTAGAGTGGATAGGAATACTTGAGTCGGGCACCTAACCCCACTGTCGTCCCTTACAGCTAGTAAATTAGCTCTATGCGTCAAGGTTTATCAGTCATTTGGACCGTCAACTACAACGTCAACTACAACTTAAACTTCCCAAGCTCAATTTCAAACGTTGAAACATCCAAACATCGGAAGGTCAACGCCGAGCTTTTGCAAATTCATCCGCATAAATTGCCACTACGCCGAATCATCAATTAATTACTCAGCTATCTCCTTGGATACTTGTCTAATTACTACATACCCAACACTCAACATCTAACGCCTAACACCCTGAGTCGTATTGACCATAACGGTGATACCTCTGTTAACCTATGATGTCATGGCTAGGAATATGACCTCGGATGGAGAGCTCCAAGTGGGCAGATGCTTTTGCGAGACTGGTCGTAAGAGGGTACGTTCAAACACTTTTAAAGCTTCCTTCCATTACACAAATGATTTATACTAACATCTTCCCTTCTACATATATAGCTTCGTGTTCCCAAATCTGTTCATATCCCCTTTGAGATTCCTCAGGGAGATTTCCACGACCTAACCGATGGCGAAGAAGACCTCGGAGCTGACGATCACAGTGATGGCGGACTATTTATTCCGGATGAGCCCGACGCAGAGGAAGAAGTTCATGATCCTGTACATGAGTATGTGCCTCCTCATCCATGGAATAATACTGTGTCTCATGTTGGAATTAGTACACCACTCTCAGCCCAAGCACCTGCAATGGGCCCACCGCCCCCACACATAATTGACATGATTGCCGCACTATTCGACCCATCTCCAGAAGGTGAAGGGCTACTAGAACTAGAAGGATTATGGGACGACCCGGAGATTCTATTTGCAGGGCAGGCGACCCCAGGCCCTATGGAACTTACCCAGGGACTTGTTCCAGAGATGGACCTTCTGCCATCTAACGAAACTGTGCCGGAAGTAGACGAAGCACCAGAGGATGGTGCCTCTGAGGGTGATCTGCCAAAGATTGCAACATGGAGACTTAACCTCACAGCATTGTCACAGGTTTACAACATCTATATGGCTGCATATGCAGACAAGATTCACATCTCTCGACCCCGCAGCTGCGTTACCAACACTTTACCCCCCAAACCAGATCTAATTCTACAACCTAACCCCAGTTCCAAGGCTCTTATTATCGGCGGCGATTTGGATCAGGCATTCCCACATCAAGTTAACCATCTCATCATTGGTGATCTTGGGGAAGAGGAAATCATTCTTCTTGCTTATGATGATGGCGACGTCATCGGTTACTATACCCGTGATATTGAGACGACACTCCTGTGCCAGGAACGAAACGAAGAGACTGCTGTCCCGACACCATTCTTTCATGAAAATGTTAACAGGAGTGCCTGGGGACTTGCAATTCACAAAAAGTCTCGTATTATCGCCGTTAGTTCAAACCTGCACGAAGTCAATGTTTTTGTTTTCGCTCTTAGTGGTTCTGTCTATTCACCTACTCGGAATACCCACCCTACCGACCTTTTCAGGACTATTGTCAAAACTGAGAATGGAAACACGCCGCAGACTTCTGCACCGGACATACTGGAAAGCATAGTCCGACTTCGAGAGTCTAACTGGCGCATTGTTCTACGAACCGGCCGCTTAGGAACTAATATACCAAACATTGCCTTTAGCAACGACGCTATTGGATTTGCAGATAAGATTGTCGCCGTAGACATTAACGGAAGGCTTTGGTTGATGGATATATGGGAATTTGGACATCATCCCAACCGCACCATTGATAGTATTCAATCCAAACATGATCGTGACACACGCTTTGAGCGCCCAAGGTGAGTATTAGGTAGTTCCGATGACCTACAAACACAAGAAGTCGAGCTAACAGAAGATAGGCCCAGGGGCTGGGGTGTTCTTGTGCTGCCGAAAAGCAGTTTCTTGCCAACAAAAGGCTGCCGTAAATCGCTTGGGCTATCAATAGACGAGGCCAGAGTAATTGACGACGACGAGGTGGGAAAATGGGTGGATATCAGTCAAAGTATCCATGCGCTGAAGAACAATTCGATGCTCCATCCATGGGTCAGATCTAGTAATTCCGACCGGTTCGTTGTAAACCCTTTGGGAGCCAGATGGAATGGGTCCTGGTATGACTATAAGCATAACAAGTGCTTTATACTACGGCCTAATCTGGCTCACACAGGTTCTGACGCAGTTATGAGCCGTCCAAAATCCAAAAAAGTCCTACAGGATGGCAGCATCATCATGCGCACGTACGAGATCGACATTGAGCTTCGTAGCTCTGAAGTAGATGGTTATGGGGTCATGTTTGAGAAAGTGATCGACCAACTCCGGCCCCGATATACGGTGATACCGGCATTGAGAATGACACATGAGCGCCTGGCCAATCTTATACATGTCCCAGAACTATCGCTAGTCGTGGCAGGTTCATTGTGCGGACGGGTAGCACTTGTGACTCTTACTCACACGATGGACACATTTGAGGTATTGCAGGAGGCCTTCAAGGTCGAAGCTATTCTGCCCACGGAACGAGATGAGGATAAAAAGTTGCGGCCTATTTGCCCATTGCTAGGCGTGGCTGTCTCGCCGGTTGCCTTCTCGGGTAGCATGGAATCCAAAGGCAAAGCGGTCAGTCGAAGGCGTTACCGCATCATGCTTCACTACTACGACCTCCGTATCCTAAGCTACGAAATATCTCGAAACTTGGAAACGGACACCCTCTCGATTGATTAGTGGAATTATTTCCCTTTGCCCTCCTCTTTTCGGCATTTGGCCTTTGGCTTTCGGCTTTCATCTTTTCCCTAGATTGTTTACTATGATACCCAAGGTTTTGATGATTATGGAACGGATTAAGGCCAAACTAGGCTGGTAGGCCTTTAGGTTGCACAATGAGAATTTTTGATGAAATGAATCAATACAAGGCTTTTACGATGTGCTGCCGCTGAACATTCGAGCTTCTCAGCTACATACATAGTACTATGTACTGTACTAACCTTAGGTGTCTACCTCATATATGTGATGACTGCGATGAGCAGTTAACTCGTGGGGGAATCAAGCCAGACAAGGGTACGACTCCTTCTAGAAATAATCTCTAGACAGGGATGCCACATGCATGTGTTCAATGTACCCAATGTACCGTAGGTACTACTAACTACCTAGTACTCAGTGCTATTATAACATAGCACAACTTGCACAAGGCTTCAAGCACTACATGTATGTAGTAATAGTATATTCAAGTAATGCTCGATTGCTCTTTGGTATTTCTCCTTTGATATTTTTTATAATAACTATCGTGAAGTAAATAAAACGCGTACATGATATGTAGGCCAGGTATGTACATAGATGTAGATGATGAAAATGTACCTAGGTACATAGTCGTATTGGAGATCGGGTGCCAAGTTCCATCAATTCGATTTCATGGAGGAATGATAAATCAGTCAAGGGGATGATGACTTCTGATTGGATGACATGTCAGAGATAAGGCTCGAAGTTTGACTTTTCCATCTCGAGTTTAGAGGGCTTGGTGTGGGTCACATTTTATTTCCGGGGCGGGGGGAAGGGACTTGAAAGATCGAATAATCGAATGGGAAGCAACTATGTAATTTTGATAAGGGACTCTATCACTTGGCTTGGGAAGTTGGGACTTGGGAGGCAATATTTACAACTATTCGGTAAGTAGTAGGCAACTTGAACCTTGAAGTCTATCATTTCAGCCCTTGCTCAGCCCGGGGATTCGTTGGTTTTAATCTCCGACAAGCCATATGCGTCTTTTCACTTTTACTTTTTTTATTTTGTTCTTTTGGGAACTTCTAGAAATCTTGCACATATTAGGATGGTAACACGACAACACCATTGGGATTTTGGCATAATATCGAGAAGGCTATTATTAGGTGCCGCCGAACAGCGGGCTTCCTTTCAGCGTTGCCGGAACGGGGGTTTTTTTTTGGCATCATCTTCAGGACTCAAGTGAGATAGATACATGCAGAGGGATCCCCTACTCCCAATTGAGCAATTGACCTATGGTCGATCCCGACACTAGCAAGTCCTAGTAGCCTAGTAGTAGGCCCTTTCTGTTTCGGAGGGTCCTGCTGAAAACGAACTTGGGTATAGCTGATCAGCGCTGAAAAAAAAAATGAAAAGAAAAGAACCTGGTCAAATACGAAAAACAACGCAACGCATGGGGTATTGCTATGGTAGTTTCTTGGTGCTGAAAACTCATTTCATTTTCTAGACACATTGGTTGATCATGTGGCCAGTGGCTTGCGTTAGATAGATGAGGACCTATAGAGTAAGTAAGACGGTAAGCTTGGGAAGAGACATCGAGTTATTACGAGTTGACAACTTGATGTTGATAATTACCAATTCTGTCACATCTATGGACAAAGGCATATTTTGCGGCTACAAAGTCGCAGCTCTAGAGGCTAACTAAGCTTTGACGGGCTTCAGGCCAAGCCTAAAGCACCCGATCTCAGCCCCATCGCACGACTCATTCGCGATACAGCCCAGAGATAGGAATTGTTCGGGCTGAAGGGCTGGCGTTATCATTCGCCTGTGTCGAGGCGGTTGCAAATGGTTTGCAGGGAACCAGACAAACTATTTCGTAACAAATACTCCTGTCCCACGCGATCTAGACGGCTCGAGCTTTGGGTGCCCTTAGCTTGCCGAGCTAGGGCGGACCTGCATCGAGGGTCCGTCCCTTGGCCCTGGGATTTTTGGGTTGAATTGATGACCAAGAAATCTATCTAGCTACCTACGACTTCACCTCGCGATGCTTGGTAACTGTGTATGATTTTACCAGATCGTGGATCGTCTGTTCGTTGCTTTGTACTTTACCCTAGGTATGCAAGCCTTCATGAGGTCATGCTACAACCAAAAGCAGATAGTCGGCGTCACTTCTCTACCTTTTCGCGGGCAAGGGAATACCTACATAACTACATGTAGCTACTAGCTACTACCTACTAGGTAGTTGCTGGTAGGCATTTTGTGCAGTGAATAGTAACAAGCCAAATCCTGGCCACTGCAGACTACCGGGTAGTTCAACGCACCCCACACACGGGCTACAGAGAAAGTCGACGACTATGATGACAACGCCCCGGGCGGCATCGAAGGTTCGATGGCAGAAGTTAGACGTCCCGAGGTTAAATATTAGTACCTTAGGTAGGTACCTACATGTATATGTATACACACACACACACACACCAACACATATACATGCAAAGTGGCTCCCCCGTATTCACACCCTCCAGATCTGGATGCTGCGTTGCCCTAGTACTTCGTGTGAAACATATCAATGTACAGTAGGTAACTCTTGGAAACCTACCTAAGCATGTATGATTGGACTCGGAGAATTCTTGGTCACTTACTAAGGCATAAGGTATCTATCCTTGAATGGAGCAGAGCCTCAAGTGTTCTCTAATTGCATGGTATTCACCGTCTACTGTGTAGGGCTATGGATATCCCTTTGAACGTTACAAGGCAACATATTGAAGCTCAAGTGGAGCGGTACCAAAAATGGGTATAGGCATGTACATCGATACTTAAGAATTCAATGTTGTGTGACACATGGGGGTCCCTTACAAAGCCACATGTGCCTGACCATCATCAGCGCCCTTTAGGTTTGGGGTGCTGGGGGGTTTTTGCAACTAGTGCTAACTATGCCCAGGATATGTAGATTTAACTCACATATACCCCGGCATCCCGATTACATCAATTACATACGACTGCAAGTAAGACGCTTGCTCGTGATTGGTCCGATAGCTATCTATCATCCTAGATTTGGTTCCCGTCTCGTTAAGGTCTGGCCGGACTGAACTCTCAAGTCCACTATGTGTGTATTGGCAGGTGGTTGTGTAGGTACCTTCCTTCTCATATATATTGCGTAGATCCCATTGCTGCCGTTGGTTAAGTCCGACGTTGTTTCATTTTTACTTTTTCACTTTTTCGTCCAACCTTTCTCGCTTCTTCCCGGACCTACCTACCTAAGTATTCACTTACTTACAAGCTACCACCGTAGACTCCTTCGATATTCTATTATTATCTGGAGAATAAGTTTATCTACTTTGTCTATTTAAGTAGTCTATGAAATAAACAAAGGCATTATATACTCAACACGGCCATTTAATCACCCGTTCGGTTTTCTGTCCTAATCACACGACTTCTCGTCGTCGACAAGATGTCGTGGGCACCCTCCTACTCGTGGACGGGTGCGCCCGCCGAGTTCAATGGCACAAATGCCGAGACTGGCGGAGATTCCAGTATGAACCTTTACAATAGACCCCTAAAGTTTTTTTTTAATGATAGAAAGAGAAAAAAATAATGAAATTGGAAAATGAAGAGAGACACCTAGAATAGAAGCTAATGTGATATTCCTCTTATCATAGGTACCGAGAACTTAAACCAATGGTATCAATCCGGTGATCAGGCCTTCATCCTCGTCGCGGCATGCATGGTTTTGCTCATGATTCCCGGAATCGCCTTTCTCTATTCCGGCCTCTCCCGAAGAAAGTCGGCCCTCTCTCTCATCTGGGTCGTCATGATGTCTTTCAGTGTCATCATCTTCCAGTGGTACTTTTGGGGTTATTCGTTGGCTTTTAGCACCACAGCGACCAATGGATTCATCGGCGACCTCCACCATTTCGGTCTCATGAACACCCTCGCATTGCCCTCTCCTGGCTCTCCGCTTATTCCCGAATTACTTTACTCATTCTACCAGGTAAGAACTCGATATATGCGCAGTCATTATAGACTCAAAATGGTGTCGTGTAACATAGTGATGTGCTAATGTATTATCGTGAACTCAGATGATGTTCTGCGCAGTAACGGCAGCTCTTGTCATTGGCGCGGTCGCCGAACGAGGTCGCATGCTTCCCGCCATGGTTTTCACCTTTTTCTGGGCCACTCTCGTCTACTGTCCTCTCGCTTGCTGGGTCTGGAACGTGAATGGCTGGGCTTTCAACTACGGTGTTCTTGATTATGCTGGTGGCGGTCCCGTCGAGATTGGTTCCGGTCTTTCCGCCCTCGCGTATTCGTGGGTTCTCGGCCGACGCCACGAGAAGATGATGCTGAACTTCCGACCCCACAACGTCTCCCTCGTCACGCTCGGCACTGTTTTCCTGTGGTTCGGCTGGCTCGGTTTCAATGGCGGCTCTGCATTCGGTGCTAACTTGAGGGCTACCATGGCATGCTGGAACTCCTGCCTTACTGCTATTTTCGCCTCCATGACTTGGTGTCTGCTCGATTTCCGCTTGGCGAGGAAGTGGTCCATGGTTGGATGGTGTTCTGGTGTTATTTCTGGACTTGTTGCTGCTACCCCTGCGTCTGGGTTTATCCCTCCTTGGGCCTCCATCATCCTTGGTGTTGTCACTGGCGTCTGCTGCAATTTTGGCACAAAGAGTATGTGAAACTGATTATTTTATTACCATGCATTGAGCACAGACTAACAACTGAAAATAGTCAAGTTCCTCGTTAGAATCGACGACTCGCTCGATGTGTTTGCTGAGCACGGCATTGGCGGCATCGTCGGACTCATCTTCAACGCTCTATTCGGAGCGAACTACATTATCGGCCTCGACGGCGTCAACAACGGCGTCTTCCCTGGCGGCTGGATCGACCATCACTGGGCACAGCTGTACATCCAGATCGCTTACATCGTGGCCGCCTGTGCCTACAGCTTCGTTATGTCGGCTATCATCGCCAAGATCATCGACATGATTCCGGGGTTGCACCTACGGGCGACTGAGGAGGCAGAGCTCCTCGGCATGGACGATGATCAGCTCGGCGAGTTCGCGTACGACTATGTCGAGGTGCGCCGCGACTTCCTCGCCTGGACCCCCGCCAAGGAAGAGCCTACCGCTGGCGGCCATCGCTTCATCCCCCAGCATGGCATCGAGGAGCACCAGAACATGGCCAACACTAACGGCCAAGCCATTGAGCGCGAGCTCGAAAAGGCGGGCGCCTCCGCTAGAGCACCTGCTAAGGAACAAGCTGTCGAGGCCGACGTGGATGAGAAGAATGAGAAGACTACACAAGGGAGCGGGGCAAGCCAGTGATTTGTCGAAATACTGCATCTACTTATCCACGTGACCTGCGTTGTACTCTTTCATCCTTTCTTATTTCCCCCTCGTTGGCTATTTTGTTGATATATACTGCGTGCGTGCGTCTCTCTATGTGTCTGTACATGTACATATTGAATACCCATCAGCCTTTTCCTCCTTCACATTTTTTCTATATATAAAAAACACTATGGGGAGTTGGGCCAAAAATCGGGTTCAGGGTGGCTGGTTTGGTTAGGGTATTTTTGAAGAAAAAATAGTTGCCCCCTTCCTTTTTTTCTTGGGGGTGGGAGTGGGAGCATGGTGCATGAGGCGTTTTATTTCGTTTTTTTGTTGGGTGGAGGGGCTTTTATAGAGGAGAGAAGCTCGGCTTGGGCTGATGAAAGTAAAGGGGGGGAAGGGGGGATAGGGGTTGTTGTGTAAAAGACTTGGGAGATACCTACCTACCTATACCAGCAATAAAGATCCATCTAACGCATCTTGTATGGTTTGTTACGAGTGCCTACCTTAGGTACCTACCTATGTGTGTATCTGCTCGCCTGTCTTGAGTCTTGAGCCTGGGCTACTAGATACCTAGGTACTTGGGTGGCAATGGCTACGGTCCTACTTCAATAGAGTAACAGTAATAGTAGCAGCAATGGTAGAAGCAACATAAATCTAAGGTTACTAGCATCAAGGCCCATGCTACTGATATAGGTACACACCTACACAAAGAACTCGACCATCAATATCACAGATTCAATTGCAAAACGGTTCCAAAGCTCGAATATCGATCGACCCGTAATCCATTCATCTATTTGTTTATTTAGGTAGGTAGGTGGTACCTATCCGGTATTTATTTCTTCATTCATCAACCCACCCACCTCATCTGAGTAGCTCGTGACATCTCTCCCCTTCCCTCCCCATCCGTCATCATATATCTCCGAAATCCCTTTAGGTATTCCAGCCTGGTAACAACCTCTGCACAGCACCACTACTCCAACTTCAAGCTCTCAAACTGCCTAATAGTCTGCGTGAAGCTATTCGCCTCGGACTCAAGATCCGCAAGCCTTTTCTTGTCAGCCTCCTGGAGGGCGGCGGCGACCTTCTGCTGGTAGCCTGGGTCGGCGAGGAGCTTCTGCTGCTTGTTGATGGCGGCGCGGGTCTTGTCGAGCTTCTTGTTGGCCTTGGAGATCTCGTCGTCGAGGTTGACGCGGCCCTTTACGTGCAGGAAGACGGCGGCGGCGCTGGAGACGGGGAACGCGACGCAACCCGCGGGACGGGCGTCCGAGCCCGGGATAACTTCTATGCTGGTCACGCCTTTGCCGCTTAGGGATTTGATGGACTGGACCTGCTCTACGGCGGTTTGGTGGGCTGTATCATCGTATGTTTGGACGAAGACTGTTATGGTTGAGGTTAGCTCTAATCAGAGGAGAGTGCCAGTACAAATAAGTAGCTTACCTTTAGCTTCGTCCTTGAGTGCATACTCAGTTGTCAACGACCGGATACCCCTGGAACATCCTAGGACGAGTTCGTAAGCAGCCTCGGCTGAAGGGTTATCGAACTCTGGATTATATAGAGGGTATTTCGCCAGCATAATCGACTGCGTCTCATCACCAGGTCGTCGCGGAAGGCGTTGCCATAATTCTTCCGTCAGGAATGGCATAAAGGGGTGAATCAGTCTCAGCGCGTTGTCAAGAGCTGTGTATAGCGTGTCAACAGCTGAGCGCTTCTCGTCCTCGGTACCATCCTGGATGAGAGCTTTGGAGTTCTCAATGTATACATCGCAGAGATGACTATACCAGTATTGATACACCGTCGCCGTTGATTTGTTGAATTCTCGGCCAGCAATAGACTCGTTGATTTCCTTGGCAGCTGTGTTCATCTTGTGAAGGATCCACTTCTCGGCAAGAGATTCCTTGCCGGTAAGCTTCTCTGTCTTCTGAGGGACGAAGTCCTGGTCTAGTTTACCTAGCACGAATTTTGTAGCTTGGTAGATCTTGTTACAGAATTTCCTGTAGCCGTGCATAACCTTGATGTCGAAGTTGATGTCTCCGCCACCAGTAGTATAGTTGATCATACAGAATCGAAGGGCATCCGCTCCGCACTGTGGTATGCCATCTGGGAAGGCTGTCTTCTGGTATTTCTTGGCCTTCTCGACTTCGCTAGGATGTAAGTTTCCAAGAGCCAGTTTGTCGTGAAGTTGTTCAAGGGGAATTCCGCTAATGACATCGAGAGGATCGATGACATTACCTAGAGATTTGGACATCTTTCTTCCGTCAGAATCTCTGACGAGAGAGTGGCAGTACACCTCATGGAACGGAATTTCCCCAGTCATCTTGAGGCCAAGCATGATCATTCTCGCGATCCAGAAGAATAGAATATCCCAACCAGTCTCGAGGATGCTGGTCGGGTAGAGGTTCTGTAGGTCGTGAGTCTGATTCGGCCAGCCAAGTGTGGAATACGGCCATTGTCCGGAAGAAAACCACGTATCAAGGACATCCTCATCCCGCTCCAAGGTGAATTTCTTTCCTGGTAGAGCTTTTTCGGCCTTTGCTTGTGCTTCTTCCTCCGTGCGACCAGAAAACCACAAGTTGTCGTCCGCCTGATCGCCAGTCTCGCCCTCAATGTTGGCGAAGTAGACGGGACATTGATGACCCCACCAGAGTTGACGCGAGAGACACCAATCGTTGATGTCCTCCATCCATCTGTAGTAGCTCCTTTCGGCAGTCTCGGGCTTGATATTAATCTTGCCTTCTTTCACGACCTTGATAGCCTCGCCGGCCAGGCCCTTCATCTTCATCCACCACTGGGGTTTCATAATGGGCTCAATGACATCCTTGGACTTTTCGCAGAGGGGTACCTTCATGGGGTTGTCCTTCTTGTCTACATACAGCCCACGCTCCTTTAGCGCCTCCTGAATGGTATACCTCACGTCGAATCGCTTCTGGCCCTTATACGGCCCGGCGTTTTCATTCATAAACCCATCGTCCGTTAGGATGTTGATGAACTCGAGGTTGTGCCTCTGGCCTAATGCGAAATCGTTGGGGTCGTGTGCCGGTGTGATCTTTACGGCACCGGTTCCGAACTCCTTGTCAACGTAGTCATCGGCCACGATCGGCAGTAGGCGACCCTCAATAAAGGGGTGAACGGCATTCTTGCCGACAAGGTGCTTATATCGTTCATCCTGGGGGTGGACGGCAATGCCTGTGTCGCCTAGCATGGTCTCGGGACGGGTAGTGGCAACCTCGATGGTCTCGTTGGAACCTTCGATTGGGTACTTGAAGTGGACAATGATACCAAATTCAACCTTCTTGTCGTATCCCGGAACATCCAGTGTTGTTCGCCCAGTTAACTCCTTATTGACCACCTCGAGGTTGGAAAGCGCCGTGTTGAGTTGGGTGCACCAGTTCACAAGGCGGTTTGCGCGATAGATGATGCCTTCTTCATGAAGCTTGACAAAAGTCTCGGTCACGGCAGCACTTAGGTTCTTGTCCATAGTGAATGCCTCCCTACTCCAATCAGTAGAACCGCCCATCTTGCGCTGGGCATTATTGATGCGCTTGTGGTAGTCTTCCTTCCATTCCCAAACAGTCTCTATGAATTTCTTACGACCAAGGTCGTGTCGTGTCTTTCCTTGCCGCCTCCATAACCTAGTTCGCTGTTAGTATATATTCCACTTCACAGGTTGGTTGACAGGGTCTAGCACGGACATGTTCTCCACAACGCTCTGGGTGCTGATACCGGCGTGATCACAGCCTGGTAGCCAGAGAGTAGTCTTGCCACTCATACGCGCCCATCTGATCATAACATCCTGAAGAGAGTTACCCAATGCGTGGCCCATGTGTAAAGCGCCCGTCACGTTCGGGGGAGGGATAACGATGACGAAGGACCCTGCCTCCTTGACCTTGCCCTCAGGGGTGAACTCAGGCTTGAAAAAGCCAGACTTCTCCCACCACTCGTACCAGGCGCTCTCGACAGCGACGGGGTTGTAGGCTTTTAGTTGGGGGTCATCGAGGGGCCTTAATCGCTTCTTCTCGCCGAGAGGGGTTTCTTCGACATAAGGGGGAAGAGGCTCTTCTTCGGCTTTCGGTGCCTTTACCTTCTTCTCCTTGGCCTTGGCATTGGAAGCAGCGGGTGCAGCAGCTTTAGCCTTCTTTTGTTCGAACTTGGCTGCCTTCTCTGCCTTTTTGCGCTCCTTCTCCAGCTCCTTTTCGGTCTTTACCTTGGGCGCGGGTACAACTCCTGCATCTTGTCCTCCGGCATGCACACCAGCACCGTCTGCCTGTCCCGCAGCTTCCTTTACAGCACCTTTGGTACTGGTAGCTAGGGGAGGAGGAGTACCCTCTCCAGTCTTACTTGGACCGTCGGCGGCGTCGATGGGATTGCCGCGACCACTGTTGGTAGCCATTGTGGCACGAGTGAGGTGAAGAATCGGACTGTGTATCGGCCTATGCACTCGAAGTGCTCGAAGAAATAACTTAGACAACTTGGCGGTGCTGAATGTTGAATATGATAATTAGGATAGAAGTAATCTTGTCATTGGAGGTGGGATCATATATTAATTAATATTTTTTTTAATATTCTTTTTCGGCTTTTACTTGACTCACACCTTTTTTTGTACCTCGTTGACTCAACTTTTTCCTTTTTCCATTTTCCTTTTCCATTTGGAGGAGTAAAAAGGGTATGGAGGGGTAAATACGCCCTATCGATAAGAGTCATTCAATTGCATTGCCTCTACTACGTCGCATGTACTACTAGGTAGTACTACAGTACTACTACTATGAGTCTACTACATAGTACCTAACTACCTAACCTAGTAGTATTGCACCTTTGTAAACCATTCAACTTTCAACCTTGGAACATTACAACTACAAATCATACATCTTGTAAGCACTTATACTATTGTATTCAAGCCGCAGTCGAGATCTTCACGCTCTCTGACGCATTACCTTCATCCCCGTTCGTGTACTCCGAGATCGTCGGCATATTGTCGACTTTCGAAAGCTGCGGTGGTCCTTGTTTCTCCTTACTCTTCCCTTCGCGCTTCTTGCCTCCATCTACCACAGCCTCCTCTTTCCCCTTCCCGCTTTCCTTTCGCCTCTTCACCCTCTCTTTAGCAATCCACGCCAAGAACAGGGGCACATCCTTCCAGATGACTCCCGGCGCTGCCAGATTCTGTACCCACGCCGGCAATGCACCCGCCGCATCGCTCGCTGTCGCCATGAGCCACTCTATCTTGCCCGCATCTTCGTCACTATCTTCGGCATCTAATATCCGGATCCTCTCAACGCTGACATAGACCCCAATCAGCGCATCCTTCTCCTTCGCCAACACACTCGCCTCTGAAGCCGTCCCAAAGTCAGGCACCGGGATACTCACAACCACAAACTCCTTCTTCCCAACAGCCCCACACGTCATCTGCAGCACCGGAAATGTGCGGTCCTTCAAAACCGGCTTCCCAATTCGATGCCGCATCTCCAGGACCATGAGCCCAAACCCACCCCATGCCAGCCCGCTCCCTTCCTCCCCCTTCTCTTCCTCCACCGTCACCTCAACACCCGCACAATCCCACGCAACCGCCTGCCGCGCAGCCAGACACGCCGGCGTAAAGCTCTTCTCCGACTTGGCGTGCTCCTCGCGGAAGGATTTCTCAAATTCGTCCCAGTCAGCAGTGCCTTTCTCCCGTGCATTCGCATGGACACTGCGGCGACAACACCACGTCTCACCGCGCACTTTTCTCTTCTTCCCTTCCTTTTCTTCATTAACCGCAGCAGCAGCCTTGTCTAACTCGGTGCTCAACACAACCCGTTCCAAGACCTCGATTTTGGCCGCCGAATCTGCGTGCGCGTGCGTGCCCTTCAGCTTCCAGAGCTTGTGGTCGGGCGCAGCCTTCTTCTTCTTGGGCGCCGCGCCGTTAATAAACGGGATAGCTTCTCGTAGGACCGCGGCGAGGAACGGCTTCAGCTCGTCGGGCGACGCGTTAGCCGCAGGGAGCTGCGCTGTGCGTAGGCCCCATTGGCGGACGAGGGGACCAAGGTCGCTCGTGGACATGGTGTTCCAGTAGGTGAGCAAATTTCCAGTGATAAAGCGAGAAGGTAACCTGGTAAGTAACTATCTATATTTTGTTTCTCGCGCGGCTTTGCCTAGCTCTTGCGTGGATAGATAGATAGAGATTAAGTAGGTAAGTAGGTGCTCTCGATTCCCACGTTTGTAATAAGTATGTCGCGATACCAGTTACTACTAGTACGCCAGGTAGTGCCTAAATATCGTTCTCGTAGTTTTATGTGTAGAGCAATAAAGGGAGGTGGGCGATTTCAAGTTCGATGGTGGTGTTGGTCTGTACCCAAGGTACCCAGGTATCAATGCAACGGGCCGGCAAGGAGACAGGAGCAAGTTACCTTAACCTAACCTAGCTGTTTCAGAGCTCTCTAAGTTCATAGTCGCATCATGTATTTACCTAGTTAACTATGAAAAAATAAATATGCATAACTGCCGGGATCCCCCTAGGTAAATAATCATCAATTCCACCTTCCAACGAAGAAATCACATCCCATCATCCATCCCATCATCCATCCCATCATCCCATCCCGCTGCAACAGTAACGTTAGTGAGTGTAGTGATAGGAGCCAAAAAGACATACGTGCAACTCATACGGCAAGAAGAAGGAAAACAAAAAAATAAAAAAATACAAAACCAATATCAATTATCCTGAGGGTGTACAGTCAATCACCGCAGTAATACCTACCTACCTACCTACCTTCCAACCACCCAATCCACCCATCCATCCATCCATCCATCTGCGTCATCAATATCCATCGTTGCCACCTTGGCCTTTTCCGTCTTCGTGGTTGTGTCATTTCCAATTGCCGACGAGGAAAACACCCTGGGACAAGATACCCCCCTCCCTGATGCCCTGATGTAGCAAGGAGGTAACTATTGCCAGGTAGGTTATGTAGGTTTCTTTCAAAACGTCGAGAGGAGCTTTTGATGCTTCATTACATACCTATCTGTTCGCATGCATGCTACAGTACCACAATACCACAGTACCACAGTACCACAGTAATCCAGTATGCACCTCGTAGGGACTTATCTTTGATCTTTTCACTTATTAATTATTATTCTAATTATGTTGTGTCTTCTGCTCTCGTGTCATGCCCTGCCAGAGCTGCTTTGTCTCCGGCGTGTTCGTCATCCAGTGAAAGGTGATATGTACAGATTTCTAGGTAATCAACAAAATGCGCCTCATTTCCTCCCTTCTCCGTCCCTCTCTTTACTCCCGTGTTTCCCAGAAGATGTTGGCAGGCTCGATCGGCCTGGAGAAGAGCGAAGCGTAATCTGTGCCGATGATGTTGTTGCTTCCATCCACGTTCCTGAACTTGTACAGGCGAACGATGACGGCTGTGATAGTCTGCAGTTGGACATTGGCAAACTGTTCACCAATGCAACGATGCCTTCCAGCACCGAACGGCAGGTAAGGCGAGTGACCACCCTTGCTCACTAACCCATATCCGTAATCAATCTTCTCCTCGTCCGCCTCGCTACGTAGAGACTTGGGCGCAAGAGATGAATCCTTGGCCCATCGTGTAGGCTCCCATAGGTCTGGCTCGGGGAAGTACTCGGGGTCCGTTGCCGTTACACCAGAGGCCGAAAGTAGAGTGTGGCTAGTAGGAATGACGTACTTGGTTCCAGGGACAGGCATGGGGGATTTGACAGCGCGCATAATGGAGTGGATGGGTGCGTGTAATCTCAAGGTTTCCTTGACGATGGCTTGGTTGAGAGGGAGCTTGGCGAGGTCTTCGTACTTTAGGGGGGGAAGGTCGGCACCTAGAGCCTCAACTTGTTCGCGGTACAAGGCCTCCATGATATCCGGGCGCGAAGCGAGACGTAGCATCATCCAGGAACTTGTCGAAGAGGAAGAGTGTTGGCCGGCCATGAGTAATGCAATCAACATATGGGCGATTTCGTGGTCGGGGACCTTGACACCATTCTTGTAGCTAGCGTTCATCAAGTGCCACATCAGATCCTGGGAATCAGTCTTGCCAGCCGCGCGACGTTCCTTGATGGTATCCATATAGACCTTGGAGATAGTCCTCTGGGCATGGTCTCGTCTCTTGTTCCACGGTAAGGGAGCCCAGTGAAGCATGAAGTTAATCGGGGTAAACCCCATATCCAAATCGTGATACAATGAAGCCAACGACTCATCAAACTTGCTTCGGACCTCACTGCCCTGAAGAGAATGCGAAGCGGTGAAGATAGTGATTTCGGCCATGTTCTTGGGGATGTTGACGATTCCAGACTTTCCTTTGAAGTCGGGGCATCTCTTGAAATAGCTGGTTACTTCATCGGCAATGATGGGTACATAGGACTGGAAGGCTGTGGTGGTAAGGGCAATCTTCATGAACTGTTTCCCGTTCCGTTAGTATGTTTGATGTCTCGACTATAGCATTGGGAATGGTATTGGAAATGGTGGTTTACCTTCTTCTGTTCCATGAGCTTGGAGTTGGGGCAATCGTAGACCACATCCTTTCCGAAGACAGGGGTAGTGAGGACGGTATATATATCCTCTGCACAAACATCCTTCACCTTGCCGTTCAAGATAAAGTCGTTGCCAGTGGTGCCAAGGTATACAGTGGTTTTCTTTCCGAGGAGTATGAAAGTGAAGATATCGCCATACTGTTACAAGGAGCAACTATGTTAGTACTCGCTGCCTGACTCGTTTTCAGGGGGTGGGTAGGTAGCCAATGACTGTAGGGATAAGACGTACCTTAGCTCGGTTCTCCTTGAAGAAACGCGGAGGGTCCATGCCATAGGTAATGGTGCTTCCTATTAAAGGGAACCAGTGAAAGACAACGGGAGGTTCATTGCGATTCCTGAAGAGGACCTGATTTAATACGTTGAGGAAAACGATGAGAAATAGACCGGTGGCAGCAACAACACCAATTTGCGACGGCGTGGTAAGTTGCGACATGTACTGGGACACATGTCCCTGGACATCCTCTAGAAGTCCCATTGCTAAAACTTGCTTGCGACTGACTCGGCTTGTCGTCGACGGGCACTCTCAGCTATTTGGACTTATGAGAATACTTTTGTTAAAAAGGATGAGGTCGAGATAGAAAAGTTAGGAGGGAGTTTGATAAATAATAAATAATAAATACAAGAAAAATGATGGTCAAGGATAGACGATTTTTGGTAAAAGATGGCAAGAGATTGGCCAATCGATAGGGGGTCAGAACATCGGACCATTTAGACATCGAGAAAAAAAGGGTACATGTAAGAGTACGTTAGTACAGAGTTACCTCGTATTCGCATTCACAGGTACAAAGCTCAATGTATCTCAAGCTAGTTACCTAACCTAGTAGTTATTATGTACAAGTTGAACTTAAATGGCCATTGAACTTCGAAGGTTCCGCGTCACTCACCTAGGGTAGAGATAAATGTGGGTGGACCTGTATATTAAAAGGATAAGATCTAAGGATCAGACCTTGCTACTGAAATGTTCTTAAATACATGACCACAGTGCTTCGCACTTTCCTCTCTGGCGTACCTGCCACCATCTGGTAGGTATTGTACATGTATGTATCTGACAGCAGTCAACATAGTTACACATTGGATATGCACTTCAACCTTGCAGCTACATTCAATCAAATCAAGCTCATTTCAATTCATAATTGCACGTGAGAAGGACCACCACATAACATCATGTGTTCCTGGCCGATGATCGAAGCAAAAAAAATGCCATTGGCCTTACACCGCTTAGCACACTTATCCATCGAGCCCATCGAGTTGCACCCAATTCGCAATCCCCTCTAGGGTACCACTAACTTACCAGGCATACTGATTGGAAAAAAGCTTACCAACGCAAGAGATATGATACGAGCACGATCGGTCTGTAAGGCATGATAATGATACGATTTGGTATTAGATTCGAATACCTCTCTATGTGTACATGGCTGGCCTTGGCGTTGTTTAATCTTATATGTTATCCACCGTGAACTACTAGACGCCTAGGTATGTAGTTATAGCTTAAAAGTTAACACTTTAGATCAATGTCTTCCTGATCTTACATCTCCTAGGAACTGTTATTAGTTCAACCAAACGCTTAACTACAACTCTTATTCATATATTAACTCTAAAACTAAGCCCAACCACGGCGGCAGTGATAAAGAATAATCAGATTCTTCCTCACATCGCGCGTCAGACACACGATAGCAACGAATAATACCTATTAAGAGGATACCTAAAAAGGCCTTGGTATTCTTCTAAGTTCTTCTCACTCTAGAACGATTAGGATAGGGATTTAACTATAGGTCAATAAGAAGAGGATGATCTTTCAAAGGACAACCACAGCAAAAATATTTATATGCTCGCGATTTCGCGATCCGTGAATAGTGGGGCGGCATTAGACGGCAGTGGGGCGATACTGCCGTGTATGCAGGTACACGCCTACCGTTCTGCGGCACGGAGCGGGAAGGAATATTTTACTCACATTCAGCTACCGGCGCCTATATGGTGGTTTTTGCCCGAAGGCAAGTACTACTAACCTTGGAATGGAATACTGGGTAGAGACGGTATACATAGTATGCCCCCTTCGTTCACTACTAAGGTAGGTAACATACTAACCTAGGTAGATGACAGGCGTCAATACACCCTCTACCTAAGACTCAATCGAGAGGTCCTGCCCACTCAACTAGGTTAGTAGGTCCTGCTCTGATTAGAGCATAGGAGAGTATATATGGTACCTTCCAATAACCTAGATAGTTAAACTATATAAGTATCCTTAAAGATTAGAAGGCTCAGCTCTTCTAATCCCCAGGCTGTATAATACCAACTCTACTACAATACTTGATTTAACCGATTAGAATGGCCATACATGTATCATGGTCTCTCATTAGAGCAGCCTGGTGCTTATAGTAGAAGCCTTCCTCCCCTCTCCCTCCCTATGGCTACCTATGGCTACAGCCCCTTCTTCTCCTTATTCGATACGCGTAGGAACCATTCATCATCATCCGACCTAAAGCAAAACAAGTCCTTGCCAGATAACTATCTAGGTGTCATAGCAATACTTTATCTTTCGTCACAGCATCCCCCCTCCCTTATCGCCACTACCACTACCCCTACCCCTTACCATCCCGTCCCCATTTCTTGATATCTCGCAAACCTAAGTGCCTAACCTACCTACTTACTTTGTATGTGCGTACATTCCCATAGGTACCCCAAGTTCAGGCCACCGACGAAATAGGCAGGTATTCACAGCAAGAGGCTAAAGGGGCTCGAGGGACCATCTACATTAGCTAGCACCTACCTCTAAGTTCCCAGTCGTATTTTCACTCCTCAAATAGTTATGTAGACAAAGGTCCTAGCGATAGTAGCATAACAGAGAACGTTTCGAGAGCTACGTTGAGCTTTGACTAGGCACCCACCCCTTGGTTCAACGAAGCCTCCAGGAACATTAGAGGAGCACGCAAAGTGTTCTTCATACCCTACCACTCAAGCCGAAGTTACTAAAGATATCGACATTACGGATATAGATTTAGATGTACTGTCTTGCCATCTGAATATAAATGAAATACCATTTGTAGCCGGTATGGCTTGCCTACGAAGGAAGTGCAACGCCCTCCCCTCCCCCTAACCTACCCTACCCTCGCGAGTGGGCTATGCTGCTCTCTAGATACTCTTTCTCTTGACGCCTCTATTCACCCCCCAACATGCTTCATCCCATGATGTCAAGATATCTCATGCTTCCGTCCCACTCGTCGAAAACTTAGTCCGTCTTGAAAAAAATAAAAATAAAAACTCCTTCTTTTCCCTAAACGCCCGAGATTGGCTATGCTGTATGCAAGGATATCTTTTTACTTTGTATGCCGGCTCGTCTGTTTTGGGAGCAAACAATCAAACGCCTGAAAAACGCCACGCCGGGTGCTCATGATAGCGATAATGCAGTCCATCGGAAGTCCCCATCGATGTTAACCCATCTCTCTTCTTCCATCGCCTTTTCCCAGCCCATAATCACTGCTAGCAATCGACATCCCATTGCGCTCATAGTGCAAATGACAACATCACTAGCTTGGCCCAGTACAGCTAGGTCCAGCATATAAGCTCGTCCGATCAGCCCCCTTAGTCGCATAGTCTCTGCCGACGGTTTGAGCGTTGTTTGCATTTCGCCTGCTGCTCCCGCGTTGGCGTTGTTCAAGGTCGACCGGCCGAGATTCCAGAACATGCTCGCGAAGAACCCCCCCTCCCAACCGAAAGCCTCATCGACAAATTTGTGCATTACTGTCTTATCCGGGTTCGCCTTCGGGGCGCGTTGTGTACTGGCCAGCTTGATTTGCTCCTGAGCTCGAAGGGAACCCGAAAACTCTTCCGTTTCGTACACGTCGGGATCGTCTGATGCAATAATAGAGAACGAGTGTTGCTTCGCAGCCACATCCTCTCCCCCAAAGGGTGTACTAAAATTATGATATTGCTCGATGAGTTCCCTTGACTTCTGCACGTATATGTTTAAGGGTACGTATGCCCCATTGTATTGGTATTCGTAAGGGTGTAGATCACCGTGTCGAATATGAACGCCAACAATCAAACCATCGTTATAGTTTCCCTCAGCCACTTTGGCCATTCTTCTCAGCCCCTTGACACGCTGCTCCACGTAAGGTTGGTCATCTTCGTTCAGATGAAATAAAGCCTCGTAGCCTGCCCGTGCAAGGTTGTATACTGGCCGTTCTCGTTTTACGTCGCTTCGTCTGGAGTTTTCGTATTCGAGATGGAAGCTTTGGCCGAAGGTCTGAGGGGCTGTGGCGGCCGATACAACAAGATGTCGCGCTGTACGGGGACATGGTAACATCTCGTGACGTGGTGGCGGATTGCAATCTGGCATCGGTGGCGCCTTGAAAATCGTAGTATATTCGCCATACGCCCATCGTGAGTCGTCAATGAAAAACGACCTCCTCTCCTTTTGCGCGAGACCATACGCCATCCATAGCATCATCAATGTATGGCCCAGCCCAGCATCCGCCGATTCGAGGACAAACGTCAACGATGTTTTGCAGAAGCTCTTATCGACTAGCCCGTCTGCTTTCTCCCCCACCAAGTGGCCGCTTTGAGCCTTTGCTGTCACTTTCCACGCCTTGCCCTCCATTCCAGGAAGAAGTCCACGTTTCTCGGCATCGCTGACGTCGACAAAATAAGGATCTTCATAATAATAGTCTGTTTGGATATGCTTTGAAGGATTCGTGTAGCCGTGTAACTCTCTAACATGGGCTGCCACCTCCCGGCATTGGACACACATGTCTGTATACTCCTCAATGGTCAAGGGAAATTCAGACGTAGGTGGAATGGAGACAGTCCACTTAGACCTGCCATTCCGGTCTGTCACGGCAATAGGCGTAGGAAAATCAGGTAAGTCATATTGTCCAACCATTTCATACTCCTCACTGTCCGTCAGGGTCCAGCTGACGGGCACCTGTATATCCTTCTTTACAATACTCCTGACTACGAAGGAGATCAATACTAACGCGGCGATCCACGCGGTTATTCGGAGGACGCGGCTTGGTCTTGGCCCGCTAGAGGACTTCCGGGGCCGAGGTACCAAGGCAGGCAATCCAGGAGAAGGCGGAGGAGAGAACATGAGTTGGTTGATGGTGAAGCGGGAGGAGGTGGATGATAGAGGTGCCTTTTCATGCTGGTACGATGCGGCCCTACGCAAGTTCAATCGAGGTGGTGAGACAATCATTTTGGCGTGGGTGCTCTGCGGTACGTTTAAAGTCGGCGCCATCATTCGGGCGGGTGAATCGGTGGTGACGTCGAAGACGACTTCACCACAGGGGCCTGCAATGAAACGGAACGGGATGTCGGGATTCGGGTTGACCCGTCAATGAAGTATTAATATAAGTTTGAGGAGTATAAGGAATGATAGGAAGCTGAGCTGCAAGCTGCTGCAGCGGTGGTGTGGGTACTTGGAATGGAAAGGTGTGAAAGGAACGACAAGTGGTTCAAGAACGGCGATTAGCCATTAGAGGCAGGCCATCGGGCATACAACGTATGGAACAACGTATGGAGTTCTCGTCAACTACATTTGTGGTGTATCGAAGAATAGGTTACCTAACCATCTGACTGCCGAAAGATGGTGAACCTCGAATCGCAAAAAGGTAAAGGCAACTCCGGGTGGTGGCCGAGCTTTGTGCGACGCGGTACTTGTATGCCTAATGTCTTCGACACAGGGAGACGATCGTGTCCAGAAAAAGTAGGTGATGGTTCTTGCGAAGGCGAGTGACGATCCGGTTCACTAGCGAGTCCCTTTTTTTTTTCTCTATCGGCACTAAATCGTAGAGAGCCCTCCGCTTATGTATACACGGTACAGTGATCCCAGGAGATGGGGAAAAATGGGGGTTGGCATGGGGCCAATACTAATATGATTTGACCATCCAATGCTTTCCCGTAGTGAAGCGACGATCACAAGGAAAGGTGGTCCAATGGGGCTGAGGACCACGAGGGAAATGGAGTACACAACTAAGAACGACCCAAGCAGCCAAGTTTTATTCAAACGCTCCGGGCATACGAGACGACGATAGCTACACGCCGCGGGGGGGCGGGTTGCTTGCCTAGTACCAAGTACAGTAGTGTACAGTGACTGACCAGATGTCCGATGTCGTCAAAGGAGTACATATGTAAAGAAGATTTAATGTTGAACGGAGAATATTATGCAGATCGTATAGAAAAGTGTTCAAATGTTGGTAGCTGGTAGCAGTACCTTACACATATAACTATACCGTATGTATAATTAACAGTGCTCCAGATAAAAAGGAGTTGGTTCAATGTTATAATTGCGCTAACTTGAACTGACAAAAGGAAGAAAAAGAAAAAACATGAAGGAATAGCATGAGTCTGCATGACACCATCGTGGTTACGCAGGGCAGGCGGGATGATGTCAGACCAAACAGACATAGACAGCATAGACAGGCCAGAGAAAGGACCAATACTGCATAGTTAGTACAAGTAACTACCATTTTCAAACCCTCAGGCTGGGAACATTAAAGATCGACCTACAGTAATTTTAAGAATTCCTGATCTCCGTCGGCCCTGTTATGGATTTGCAAGGGGCCAATAATTTGACGCAAATGGAATTGAAATCGAAGTCGTCTTAGATGACTCAATGCTTGATCGTCGACAAACCCTCCCATTCCATTATCGACAAACGGATGGGATGATGGATAGACACAAACTGGAGGATGGATGATGCACTGAATTGAGTGAGTTGAGTGAGTACAAGTTGGTTGGTTGGTCCATCAGCCAGCCCACTACAGCCCACCAACCTATTTACCTACCCTAGGTAGTAAGTAGGTAATAACTAGCTCATAAGGCAAACGGAGCTAGTTATGTATTAACTATGTATGGAAAAAGATGAAAAAAGGGTCCAATGTTGGACAAGCATCTTAATAGTTAGTACATCTACCTTCCTTTCTATTGTCGCTTAGACGAATAAGGTAACCGGGTCGTAGTGTCATTGGATGAATTCCATCCCCTGGAAATTTTAAGCTTTGCAAGTGCATCCGAACCTCGTTTCTGGTCCCCTATTAAAGAAGTTGCATCCTACGATCATAGTATGATGTACCTACTATGTACATCACCTCCAAGGTTAGTAGGTGGTGAGTTTGGATATCTTGAACAGTTGAACTGTTTCAATCCTCTGTCTCTCCTCTTTTTTTCTTTCCCTTCTCAATCTGATATTAATAAAACTTTTACTTTTTTTTGTCCCTTCTAATATCCCCACACAAACTGGCATAACACCTGCATACCTAGTAAATACTTACCCCAAAGTTCGGGTGACACGGTATTATTTTGATACCATCATCCTTACGAGGTGTACATTGCTACTACATTAAAATGATTATGTAGGTAAGAGGTACTTACATACGCTAGAAACGGTATAGAACGATTGGACGGATTCGACCTCGAGAGGATTAACCATTGCAAGACCCTGGAAAGTCTGAAACAACGCTAAAAGTACGCTCCAAGGGGTCCCGTCTGATTGGTGCTTTTGCTCTCGGAAGTCCTGGTAGGTTGGAGGCAAAAGGCGCAGGGGGGAGGGAGAAAAGGCTTAGAGGCTGTTTGGGAGCATAAGTAAAAAAAGACTTATGGGGAATTAGTGGGTTTTCAGCAAAAGGATAAGTAAAGTGTTTGTGAGATAATTATTCTGAAACCCACTATAATTCTGCTTGTGGATCGAACCATAATACTTTTTTTTTTATCCAATCATCTTTCTTGAAATAGCTTATGCTTATTGCCTTTTCATGAGCAGCTATTTGGATGCTTATTTCTACTTATGTCCTTACTTACAGAGGGGCCACAGGGGCCACAGGGGCCACAGGGGCCACAGAGGCCTTAAAATATACGAATAGCCCTGAAAGGCTCTAAAGCCCTTTGTCCTAAATTCAAGGCCCGATATAGCGGCGTGGCAGCTCCAAAGGGGGTCACGTGGACGCCTTAAGCTTAACACACAGCGGCGGCTACTACTGCTCCCGGTCTTCAACCTCAAATATCACCCGAACCGGGTCAATTGAAACGCTGCAAACTGATATTCTTAATCAGTCAATTAATGCGATTCAAATAGGGCCCTGATCAATTGATTTGAGATAGTATTGAAGAAATTATTCAATTGCAAAGCTTAAAAAAGGTAACATCTGTGGAATATCAACAGGTACATGGCCGTACAGCAAATTTAGGTTTGACCCATCGTACCTCCTGTTAACGCCTGGACAATAGGTTATGTACTGTAGCTACAGTCCAGCTCAAATTCATAAATAACACACACAAACATCTCAATACTTATCGACATCGAGAAATGCGTTGATTGGTCGTGGTTTTAGTGGAGAAAACCCCCATAATCAAAACGCACTTCAGCATACTTATGTACTAAAGTGTCACGGACCATAAGTATAAGCAAAACTTATGCTCCCAAACAGCCTCTTAGAAACCGGGGCTTGGGGGTGGCTCACTTTTTTATCACTTTTCACCACTTTTCACCACTTTTTTTTTTTTTTTTTTTTTTCTTTCTTTCTTTACATCGTACATAACTAACTACTTAGTGCTCGATTTCAGCTTCAATTACGGCTTATCATTTCCTTCAACACTAAAACATCTAGTTCACTTGAGGAAATGCTCTGCAAATTTCACCACCATTCGATGTCGGAAACTTCATCCTAGTTCCAAGCTTCCCAAACCTCGGCACGTCGGAACTCGTGGGTGTCCCAGAGGAATGGCGGAGGCGAAGTCACCTCCCAAGTCACCTCCTAATACGGGTTGGTTTCTTGACCGGATGTTGATGGTCTTGTCAGCTACCTCTGCCGAATTGAAAGGGGCACACACGTACACCAACACACATACATGTAGTTACAACTTACATGTACATGTCTATCACACAGCTACATAGATGTAGGGCTGGTGGGCAGTATATCCATGCATCCATACATCATGTCTACTCGTATTGGATATGTGCACTATATAGATAGGCTATGCCCTCATTGGCCATTCCCACCTGCAATTGCGTACACCACTAACTTAACTAAACCTACACTTACACTTACATACCTACATACATAAGTCGTAGTATTGGGGACAAGTAGTCGCCGTGGAAAACACAGGCGAAACAATCTGGTTGGACGAAGCCGACCTGTATTCGCCGAGGCGGTCATTTTGGCAAACACCCACGTTGCAGAAGATGTGGTACGGCACTGGCGAGGCGAGAAGCGCAAATAGTAGGTGTCGCTCGTGTGGATAGTTGTCATTCTAGCCCTCACCGCGCTGTCTGTGCCCTCAAGCTTCTGCGCTGCTGTGTCACCAGGAGTTCGTAAAGCCACGAGATTACATGTACGAATGCGTGTGGGGATATCTTATGAGATGTTTCTTCTTGCGTAAGTAGGTGCCTCATTGGAAGGAATCTTAGTCAACCACATGAGATCCTCCGTTGTCCTGACATTGGAAAATGGGCCTGCGTTTACAGGCAAAACCCAGTCTTAGACTCTCTCCTTTCGGACATCTGGAGCTATGTATTCATCCTCCATGATGATTTGATCAGGTAAATTATATTGAATGGGAGTCGTCCGGAATCGCTATACCTCCCATCGGGTAATATAAGAGTCGTTTATGTGCTACTATCAAACATAAATAGAAAAACGTCGTTTGATACCTAGTCGTATAAGAATAGCAGCACACAGAAATAGCCCTTTTACATGTTGAACCTTTCAGATGTTTTTATCCACAGGCAAGCCTATTTGCCAACCTCTTACATATATACCTACCTACCCACCTACCTTACTACAAGCTGAACTCGGCTATTAACCGTAGGAGTTTTCGTTAAAAAAAAAAAAAAAAAGGCATCCGGCACGATATCATATGAGTAGGCCAATATTACCACCCTGCGAGAACCGTATGTGATTGCCATATTGATTCGAGGTTTCATCTCTATCACCCTATGTCTATGGATATATTAGATTAATCGTCGGCACCGTTATTTATGAACTGGGCCCAACAACCATCTCCCATCCATAATTGCATGCGTGTGTGCCAACATACATATGTATATATTCATTACCTACCCTAGGTAACCTGGATCGGTACGCACTCGCAACCCCTTGTATATAAGTATATGTATACATACATGTACGATCCCATCCTGTCTGCTAGGTAGCTATGTATATGAAAAAAAAAAAAAAAAGCGACAAGGTGATGTGTATATGTATATGTATGGCGAGAGAGAGAGAGAGCAGCAACGCGAGGTAAACACAGACTTGCGTGACATATGCCATAGACAACCACATGTCAACACCAGCACCAGCACCAACACAGCGCCAGCGCCAACGCCATCATCCACCAAATGCAGGAACCCGGCGTAGGGCAACCTAAGCTAGATAGTACCTATCTACTAATCTGATCCCTCCAACACCAAAAGCGGACATATATTGTACATATGTATGTATGTAGTGTGAGATGCAAGCCAAAGCCAAAGCCAAATCATGATCATGTAAGCAAGTAAAAGCAAGCCCCTATAGATGCCCCTATAGATCACGTCTATGTAGATGTGGATGTATGTACTACATACCTACTACATATGTAGTTAGGTTAGTAGTTTTAACAAAGAAAATACGAACAATGTGAGCAAATGCGGGTGACCGAACTCCGGGCGCCTGCTCGTTTACCTACCTAATGTACAGCGATGGCTACCTCCAGATGTCCAACTTCAAGCCATCCACTCTGCCACTTGTTTTACGTAGGGATGCTTACATGTACATATTAAACATTCATCACATTCAAATAATATACATATTAGGCATGTGGTTAGCTGGATACATACTAAAGAAACAAAAGAAACTAGGCGTATCCTTGGGGTGTGCCAAACGAGTCCGTCTACCTAGCTAAGGCTCGTATTATTCATACTGATCTGGACCTTACAAAGCCGCCTCGGGCGTGAAGTGCGGTTTCACAGATTCAATAGCATCCTTGCATTAGAGCTCCGATCAAGTCTACATATGTAGGTAATCTGAAAATATTAGGTACAAGGTATCAATAGCAATTATAGATCATATTCACGCCCCTTTTTAAACGAGCATCAGCCCGGCATAGGATAGGTAGGTTTCAATAATATACAAGACGAATAAAGCCCCTAAAAGGGGAAACAAAGGTTGCCCTGCCACCTTTTCACCCTTCCCGTGAACTGTCACCAAGAAAGCGAAAAAAATACAACCCACACCACAACTCGTTTGATACATCCTGATAATAAAACATGGTCATTGTCTGATGGCTCGGAAACGGCTCAGATGACCCGCTAACCTCCTTTCCTTCGTCAGGACATTCACGTTCCACAGGCCCATTGCCGTAGCAAACAGTCGAATTCGATAGGGGTATAAAACAAACAGCAGAAGCAGACCCTAACCGGAACGCCTCGTTAATTCGCAAATATGATGGATGTTGTGTCCTGCATCGCCCATGGGGATATCTATGCCTCAAGTACGACCTGTCTTGACTCGTTCAGTACGGCTGGGCTCCCTCGTAGGGGCTCAAGATCTGAACCCGAACCCGAACCCGAACCGTGCTGCTCTACTAGAGTCTCGCGTTTGCCGCCGTTAACTACCCGAACGCTGCCACGAGAACCCCTAACAATATCGCCGGCCTCGACTCGGTCCTGAATCATTTCGTCTAAGATGCGACTCATCTCGTCAACGCTCCTAGTCCGCTTACGAAGTGACGAGTGGCCCTTAATACTAGCAATGGGAGGATCGGGAAGAGCTCCTTGAGGCGGCGGGCTTGCAGCATGCTCGTATAGGAGAGAAGACCGAGTCTCGGCCCTTGAAGTCTCAGCCCTAGTCTCAGCCCTTGAGATCTCGCCCCCGCTCCTTGAGGTCTCAATCCCCTCGGCAACATCTCTTGAGCGGGCAGCATTGCGCAGAGCCCCTAACATTCGGTCCTTGTCTTCAAGTCTTGCTCTCAGCTCTGCAATCTCGGCATCCTTCTCCTTTAGCACGGCGGAGACACTATGGTCTTCTCCGACCATGATAGCCTTGTTAGGTGCCGAGAAGCCACCTGACGTCCGCCCGGAGCTGGCCCGCCTAGCTTGCAAAAGACGCTTCTCGAGGGTGGAGATATATCGATTCTTATCGGCGAGATCTGCCTGCAATGCTTGGTTTTGAGATTGCAGCGACGCTGTGCCGTCGCCATATTCACCCGTACTGTCATCTTCGTCATTTGATGCTTGGTCTCCAATGCTCGTGCGCCGCCGTCGAATTGACTGTTGGCCAATAGTGGAGCAAGAGCCCATAGAACCTGTTCTCTCTAACATTGGACGACTGCCGGTAGACGTGGCGATCGACGTCCGGATGGACGATTGAGAAAATCGGGCATGCATTCCCAGCGCACTGAAGGTTCCACCAGTATTTACTCCAGTGGATTTCGAACTGAGAATCAGTCGGTTTAAGTGGTCGATCCGCTCTTTTAGTGCTGTGCGTGCAAGCTGCATCTCCAACATTTGCTCCTCGTGCCTCGCCTCTGCTTCCTTTTCCCGAGCACGCTCTTCCTCCTCGTCCCTGACCTTGTCTTCATCATCAACCTTGTCTTTATCTGTCTTTGCTTGAGTCTCAAGTTGATTCCTGAGCTCGAGAATTTCCATTCGATAGCGTTCCAAGAGAACCCGGGCCCCTCCCTCTCCTCCGGCACCGAGTGCTTCTTCAGCCTTTTTAGCATGACTAATAATGCTGTTCTTTGCTCTCGATGCGAACTTGAGTGTATTCAACGTCTCGGTTGCGTGACTATTCGTGGTTGCTGCACTACCAGCAGATCCGGTCTGAATTGTACAGAGAATGCTCACTAACGAATTTCCAGAAAGAGCTCCTTGAAGGAGTCTGGTCAACTTGCTATCACGGTACGGCAAGTGCTTCGCATCCTTGTCACCCCCTTTTCCTTCCTTGTGTTCTGACAGCTTGGAGATAACTGTCCCTAGGGTTAGTAAACTTTTGTTTATGTGAGATCCCTCAGTTCGGCGTTCTTTGGATTCGGCTGCCTTTTCTGAGCCCGCTAGATCGATCAAGCTCAGCGTAGAGACACGAACACCGCCTGGCAATATGCCCGAACGTTTGCTCTCCGCGCCCGCATTACCGGGCATTCGCTCCCTGCTCTCGACAACGATCTGTACCACAGCGTGACTTCGAGAACTCCTCGAGTTAAATTGGGTGCTTGCAGTTCTGCGAGCTTGGTCACCGCGAGCAATCACTCGCAAGAGCTGCGTTGGACTCTGGACGATCTCTTCCTTCAATGGAGTAGCGTACACACCCCGCTTGCTGTCTTCTCGTAGTTTAATCTCCTCCTGTGCGCCGTTCCCAGTACCGTTACCAGAAGCCATACTTAGAAGGTCATGAATCCGTTCGTTGTAAATTTCTAGGTAGCTGACCCGAAGTAGGAACTCTCTAGATGGAGTCTCGCGGATATACGAGAAAATATCTGTAATGGCGAGTGGGATCACACCCGGAGATGAGGCTGTTCCTTGCATCGAAAAAGTCTTTCCGGTGCCCGTCATACCATATGCGAATACAGTACCATGATATCCTTCCATCACTCGACGTACGAGGCGCTTCGCAAGGTGGTCGTAGACTCTGCTATTATCGTCATGTGTCGAAAAGACATTATCTATGAGCTGGTTAGCCAGGCCGCTAGCTCAGCATGCAAATATTGAATATGCTTACCATAGTAGTAATCACCCCCTTCGCGCCCACGATAGGCTATCAAGGATTTCCGGCCATCTACCAGCCATTCACCTTCTGGGCTGCTATTACTATTGTTTCCTACATCCGGCCTGACTCGTACGCTAACCAAGACATTTCCCTTGCCATCCAATCCTTTAGAAGCACGTCTGTCGCCCATCGAAGTTCCGGTTGTATCGGCGGGATCATCGTAAGTTGTTGCTGATGTCGAGTATGAGTCTTGGGCAGAGGAGCTTCGGCTTTGCGGGGGAGACGACACGCTGATCAGTCCATCCGAGTTCCTCGCACCAGCTCCGCCTAAGAGAGATTTGCCATCCGCGCTACCGTTTAATAAACTTGGTGCGCTACTCCCTACATGTGACATCTTGGATGTTGGTTGCGGAGTACGCGCTTTCCTCACCGGGGTGATTGAACCGGATAAAGGACTTGGGGGAAGGCTCGCGACTCGGCTCGGCGGTCGAGGGAATGAATTGATACTGACGGTTTTCCTAATACTTCTTCCAGCGCTATTGATCCCATGTGTGCTTCTCGGCACTGGGAGAGCCGTGGTAGGCGCAGGAGATGGAGGAGGGCCAGGGTATGCGTTGGATGAGGGTGCTCGTAGACCACTCTTGGGCGAACCTGGAGAGACATTGTGAGCTGATAAGGCGCCAGTGCTTTTTCGAGTTTTTGCGATGGGTAGGGCGGGAAGTGCACTGTTCGGCGGGGCATTCGAACCGCGTGGTTTTGGCAAGGTGGTAGCCATGGCGGTGAGAATAGAGAGCGTCTATGCCCTGACACCAGATGAAGCGAGGAATGGTCCTTTCGATAGCGTCTTCTTTGGCACCAACTGAAACTCCAAGTACTTGAATAGTACTTAGGAATGTTATTCGACTACCGCAAACGATCCGAGAGCGACACTCAAAATGCCGAATGCAGGGTTATACCAAAATCTGAAAGCGTTCCTTTCGTTTCATATTAAAATTCTTGGTATAAAATGATCTCGAAAATCAAGGTCGTTACTCCCTAGACGGACGGGTTTCGGCAATCGAAAATCGTCGGACGCTGGGTAGATTGGACTCGATCGAGTAGGGTCCAGGAAGCCGAGCTGTTGCTATGATTGTAGCTAATAACCGCGGTCTTTGTTGGATCTGGGAAACAGCTCTGTTGATATTAATAATGACTAATTGGATCAATCAATGGCGAAACTTCATGTGTACCAAGGTAGGTATAGATCACGGCCTTTTGGTTAATCTAACTCGACATCTTATGTCAACAAGCCCGCAACTTTACAAAGAACATCAAACCACAGCATTGCACAACTTGCGACAGTAGGCGACAGAGGAATAAGGAAACTAGGCAACTTACTTGGGTCGCAAGTTTAACACTATGTTTTTTTTTGTGTTTTTTTTTGTGGTGTTGTAAAGTCGGTATGGTGTCTACTCAAGTCCAAACGGCATTCAATGGTTGACGCCGGAATGGGTGTGTGAGGAATGAAATATGGTATGGTTTAGAAGAACAGAAGGACCCAGTGATTTCCAGGCTTCGGCTCGTAAGAATGGTAACGGGATACAGAGGAACAAATGGGATTGATTGTATTCAGTGGTCAGTGGTTGGTCCACCTATGGGCACGTTGTAGTATAGATGTTGCTTTTCTGGTCGATTAAGTCCCCTCCGAATTAGACGATAGGGCCGAGACAATGTTTAGAGACACAGTTCAGCTCCTTTGTGGACAAGAAAAAAAAAGCAGTAAAAACGGCGAAACCAAAAAGGTATAAGATGATAAGATGAATTGGAAATAATGAGATGAGATTAATTTAGTAGGTACGGCAGGTAAAATATGGAGAAGCACCTATGTATTCGTATGTAAAATAGAAGGTACAATAAAGTAACTATAGTAAGTGAAGGAATGAACGACAACTTCAAATTGAAATGTCTAGCTCAAGGTAGGCAGCAGCAGCAGCAGTTACCTCACTCCAAAGCATCAACAGTGAATCATCTCAAAATGCAAAATGCAGGCGCGAATACTGAAAGTTCAAGGTTGAGAATTCGAATTCAAGCTCCAGAGTCTGTTGACCGCAGTGGAGTACGACGTAGAGAGGAGAAACACTAGCTCTGGAGGGAAGGAACTCCAGCAACAAGGCCCTTCGAGTTCAATGTGGCCAGAGCTTGCACTGCATTCAGGGGTGTGGTTTTGGGTTTGGAGTGCATCATGAATTCAACTCGGTAGTAAGTACCTTGTAAATGAGGTCAATCTGTGCATAGCGACCGACATCTACTAGGTTAGGTAGTTAGTAGCTGCTCTGATTGTCCACTTGTCCACTTGTCCACCAATCCAACCAGTTCACCCCCGCCCGCTTCTGTGCTTTAAATGTGCTTAACCTTAAAATTGTTAACGCAACTAGGTAACTAGTTACATGTAGGGATAGCCCCAGCATGATGGCAGCACAGCATCAACTCATCTTTCTTACTTGAAATTCTTGAATGTTGCTCAAGGTTCTACTATGCATAAGTACATAAGGTTTTTGACTCCAACATTGAACACTTACTCATTGCTTCAATGTTCTTATCCAACATTGCTAGTTATCGATTCTTTTTCTTGGTGACTCAACCCTTTATCTAAACATGAAGGGTGTCTGTCTACATGATAGACACTAACTAGACCTACAAATAAGAAACACGACTCTGAGGCGAAAAAGAGAACATTACACAAGGACATCTATTCGATGCTCTATGACAACATCCACCGACCAATAGACGCTCTTTACCATGTACACCATGCTCGTAACCCCTGATAACCTGCACGCTTTCAAGACCAATCTACATACGTCGTAGTCCAGCTCCAGGGATTGGACATGCACTCTCTTTACAGTGAAGGGGTCCCCTGTCGTGATAAGGGTCTCCAATCCTTACTCTCGTCGATGGGTTCATTGGGTTGACCTTTTTGGGGAAAAGAAGAGTAACTTCGCGTAAATCGAAGAGTTGCCTTGACCTTGGTGATTCCCCTACTCACACGCAGCGCAGCATCTTAAAAGCTCAGTTATTGATCCTCTCTAATCTTCAGTCTCTACAGTACACTGCCTAGGTCCTGGTCCTAGGTACTAGGTAATATAGTACCATCATAGCTACACATGTCACATGTATGTAGTGTATGTACTTCGTAGGTGAGTACAGATCTGTCCCTGGCTCCAGTGACTGACAAACTGTGAGACCCAATGTCTGTCTCATTCACTCGTGGTTACTGTACTTCTAAATTAGAAAGCGCCATTTCGGTTGTGGCTGGCATAAGTTGGTTTGATAGAAGTTGGAGGAGATGACTGGATAATACGAGATGACACTAATATTCCTTTTTTTTCTTCCTCCTCCCTTTTTTAATCGGGCAAACATCCGCTTTTGAAACTCGTTTATCATTAGGAGAGCAATGCTTGGTAACAGGGTTGTTTGCTAAAGCCTAAGACTGGTTGACTTCAATTCGTATAACATGCTGCATGCACACTTGTGTCTATAAGGCTTTAAGGCTTGCTTTCGAACCTGTCAGCCAGGCTGTGTGCCCTGGCTTTTCCCTCCGTCATAACGGGTTGACTGCCTCTTTCGAAAAGAAAGACACGCGAACTTTGGGAGAAATGCCTGCTTAGGGCGTGATGGCGACAACACAAAAAATTTCCTCCCGCTTTGGAGATTTTTTTTTATCTCTTAATCTTGGTCTCCTCCCTAGCTCATCTGTGGGCTAATACCTACTATTATATGTACAATGTAATAGTACCTATCTACATTACATTACGCTCGCTGATCCGAATGGTTGCTAGCCTTTCTAGCCTTTAGTGCTCTGGGTCTGCTGCACGAGCGGGAGTCACACATTTGCAGATGCAATGGAACTGCACCCAGTGCCACCCACGCAGGTCCCGCAACTATTCTGGAAGTCCGGTTGCCGGCCAACCCGGCATCCTCTTTTCGTTGCTTCAACAAAAACCACACACAATACTATATAATATAATAAGATGTGCGCAATACACGAGCCTTTCCGCAAAGCTGAGACCTAAAGTCTTCCTTAAGAGATTTGAGAAGTTATTTAGGGGTTAGTTAGTACGTATGGATTATAACCACATGGTGTGAACCGTGTGATACTACTAGTAGTAATTACATATACATATTACATAGCTAGCTGGCTGGCCGCTGAGTCCTTTTAACTAGTGGAAGAATGGAGCGACGTATGTATGTACTACTACCCAGCTTTCAGGGGGGGCTCCTTTCTTATTCCTCCCCACAGTCCACAATTCAACCCAAGGCCCAGGGGGGGTGTCAACGCACGTCAGCAACCACTCGTCACGTCTTTGTCATAATATGCTACGCATCTTGGGGTTGCTTGAGATCTTTCGGAAATGTAATGCCCAACACGTTATTAATAGGTGTAAGTTAGGTATTATGCTTTCAGTATAGGTACGCAATAGGGTTTCTAAAGTGTAGCACTTTTCGGAAAAGTGCTGAATAGTGTAAAGTGCTGTTTAAAACAGCACTTTACACTTTACACTTTTCCCCACTTTTCCCAAAACATCACTAACCTTAGTGTACTACCGTTACTATCACCACAATAACTTACACTTAAGCTTCAATCCATAATGTTTAGGGAATATAATATCGAGCTTGCTGTCGCTACGATATTACGAATTTGTGACTATCACGATATGCCTCTTAAAGACACGCGAAGAGGCTCAAACTTGAAATAATATTACGGCTACAAAAAAGCAAAAACTCAAATTTGGTATATTCAACCAAGATATTTATCAGGAATTAACTGAATTCATATCTTAAATATGGGTCCCAAATCCTACATATATGGGTCCGGAATATTTCCGGCCCGAAAAGTGCTACACTGATTTGAAAAGTGCAGGTTTAGAACTGTTTAGAACTGTTTAGTGCACTTTTACACTTGTGCAATCCGAAACCCTAGTACGCAATAAAACGGCCGAAAGGTCAGAGGTATATCGTGGGTAGTTAATTTCGGAAAATCTTAACGATGCCACCACATCTGCAAGATAGTAGGTCTGTGCTATTAAAGGTAGTAAGCACCTTACATCGCAGGACTAAAAATTGTTGCATAACTAAACAGTGGCCTATGTATGCCGTTACCAAGCTACCTACCTATCTATGAAGACAACTTGTACTGTACTTACATACATACCTAGGTGTGTACGTATTACGAAGTGTACGTGACGTCGTGACGTGATTAGACTAACTAGCAAAAATTCTATCTAGCGTGATGTTAACGAATCTCGCCCACGATGTTACAACACGCGCTACCGGTTTTAGGTCCCAAGGTAACTAATATTTTACCATCTTTTGCCAGCGTAGCCAAGGAGACCTCGACTCAGGAACAATCCGTGCGTAACTAAACCGCGGCGTCGTGACTAGTGTAATATGCCGTGGGAGAAAAGAAACTCCATTACTATCTACTCAACTGCATGTATGTAAGTCCCAGCCTGCGATCCCAGTAACGCCTACCGTTTCCAATCGACTTCCCATTGTCAAGACGAAACTTGATCTAACCACAACATCGATCCCCAGAAAAAAAAAAGCCGTAGGTGCCCTTGCAAGTGGGATACTTTGTAAATAGGTAGGTAAATAAATAAATAATCCTAACTAGATCATCGATGTGATGTGATAGGCACAAAAGTAGATAAACACATCACACGTAATAAGCAATAGCCTCATATCTCAGCGGCTAATACCTAATACCTCAATTATACAGATCTTTCCTATTTCTTCATTCCTTTCGAAAAAAAAAAAAAAAAAAGCTTTTCGCCGACATCGTTTCATTCAGATTGATGGGTGATGGAAGGATTTATCCCACGATCAGGCTAGACCACATACGATAGGGATATGCAGGAACCAGTGTAGCTTAATAGATAGGTCTGCAACGGTGCTACACCACCGTACACTCAATTAGGAAGAATACCACCGATCTGCATAGGAAGGAATCATCCCGTGGATAATTTACCTCGAGGTACATGTACATCTACCTTACTACTAAGTAGACTCTAGGTATGTATTAGGTGTACTAGATAGGGAAAAGGGGGTCTTCTCTTCAACATACACTAGGTACCTACCTATTACTCCCCAGAATGAAAAAAAAACCAAAAAACACCATAGACACTCAAGGCATCATCGACACATGGGAGCCTTACGTAACCAGGGCCCCGAGGCTACGGCCCTGGGGTAAACGTGCTATCTCGTACCTAGACGCACGTATATAAATAGGTAGCTAGCATGTCGACTATCATACCTTAACCCCCCCAGATTCCCATGCCAGATACCAGGCGCAGGGCAAACTGTGGAGAGAGGGGAAAGACATGCCGCCGGGGAGGCAGGTGTCTTGGCTTTCAATGCGTATATACATATACAGCAAGATCCTACAGTCTCGAAGGCCTGCCTGCTTCTGTTGTCTAACCGCCACGTTCATGCTGACTAGGTCTATTCTCCAATAAGTACGGCAAGAATAACAGCACAAGTAGAAAAGTCTCGGGAGGGTGCCGGTATATCGAATGAAGCTTGCCATAAATGGCTATAATAAATGCGAATACCGCCAGAGGTAGGTTGTTGATAGGTTCATACTTCGAGATCGCCGTCTTACCACGCCCAAAGGACGATCCGGCTCTCATTGATCTGCCCAATCTCCCGCGGATCTGTTTGATACCGGACCGTGGTTACGGCTCTGGCTTGACGCTTCATACCCGGCTCTCGGGCTCCAGCGCTCTCCTGAGACATCTTCGAATCCTCATATAACTAAGGGTAGTTGATAGGATCTACCACCATAGCATAAATAAACAAAAAGGCATGATAGAAGCCACCGAATTCGAATCTTGTAGATGTCTCATATTCCCTTTCTCCATGGTGTTTCCAAACATTTACTTAAGCCTAGAATCATTCCATCGATCATAGCGTAGCCTTACAAACTCACGCATGCTAGCTTCGGTGACGTTTCCAGTAATAATGCATCTCGCAAAAATTACCTAATGCAATGGAACAAAAACATCCACGTTCGTTATGTAGGCAGGCATATACCCTTGCAGTACTCGGCATGCAAGGAAACGGTTATATAGCACGAACTCCATGGCCAACGCTCCGAGTTTCAAAGACCTCTACCAAGCCGGACCCGACAGCCTCCTGCAACACCCAGTCGAAGGATAATCCATAGAACTGCCTCCACTTCTTGGTCTGGCCGGGCAATAACCCCGCAAACTCCCCTCGCGCCCGCTTCGCCGAGCAGCGTGCCTCAGATTTGGCCACGCCGCCGTCCCAGCGATCGCGAAGCACCGACTCCGGCGCCTCGTGGAACTGTGACTTACTCAACAGCGAAACGAAATGTTCGAGCGCTGACGAGAGAAGCTTGAGGAATGTACCGTTTCCAGGCACGGCGAGCTCGAGCTCCGGGGTTGCGACGCTGAGTCTGGATCCTCCGAGGGATCCCCCGCCGCTACCACCGGCTTCGCGCAGGGCGCCACCGCCCCCGACCGCGCCAAGTGTACCGGTGGGTTCGCGCGAGATCCTTTCGAGGGACGTGAGCGTTATCTTGTCCTCGGGCCGCGAGTACCGGTTCATAGTATGCGACATGGACCCATGATGGATTAGGCCCGTATGATGAGAGGTTATAAATCCAGCCCGGACTAGCTGGCTGATCTGCGACGCACTCAGCGTGCCCCCCTTAACCATCTGTGTCCCCGGGTTCTCTTTCAAAAACGCTATGAATCTGTCTTTTGTATCCTCATCTAACGCGGCAGAATCCTTAACCATCTGCTCAAAGTCCGTAGCCAGTACCACCGTTTCTCCTATATCTCCCCGCCGAGCGACAACCACCTTACGTACGAAGCCTGCCCGGGCAAGTTCTGCGATCTCGCGCTCGGCCGCACTCGGCGACGATAGTAGGGTTTGTATATGTGAGATAGTCACGATAGGAGGCAGGCGCTTTCGATAATTGAGCACTTCTGCGATTCGTGTAGAATTCATCCCAGCTGCCCGCTCAGGCATGGGAGAAAACATGTGCTGGCGCAAGTATAAGATGGCCTGGGAGGTATCGCGTAGGTTTAGATCGGTGGCTAAGGCTCTAACAAGTCCATAATCGTCGAGCTTGTCACCAAAAAGGTCGTCATTGTCATCGTCATCTTGTTGATTCCCTTTAGATAACTTCTGATGCTGGGCTCCTGGTTTGCGACGGGGTAATGAAGAAGTCCATGATGAAGATGATGGTGTCGAATTCGATAGATTTGTGTTGGACCTTTTGGTAGACTTTTTAACCCGGCTGGAGCCTCCTAAAATGGACCTTAGGCTCATCTCTGGTATGACAAGACATGAGAATGTCTACATATGTATGTATAAAATTGAAATAATTAAGGTGTACGGCTGGAGGGGTTGAACAGGAAGTAAGTAACCGTTCATTTAGGTGAGTCAGCATGCTGTGGTCGCTCTTTCAACGTTTATGTTCAACTTGAATACATCATAAATAGTACGAGTGACGCTAATGGTGCGTGGCGTAATTAGCGTCATACCCTTAGCTGTACGAAGTTACCGTTTCTAATTGGTCAACTGACGGATAAAAGGGTTCGCTAGTATTTAACTAAACCCAATTCGGCTTTCTATGAATATCAAAACTCTTCTCTCTTGCCAGTTGAAAGTTCTGCCTGCCTCTCCAGGTATGTATATAATATATCTAGGTTAGAACACTTTTTTGAAATATTTATCTTTGATCTTCTTTAGTCTTCAAATTCAAATAACTTCATAATTAAAACCCTGGAACTCATACTGTGATCCATTCATCTACGTATAAGGATATATGAAATTATGCATTCATCCAAAAAGCACGCCCATAGAAACCTGGCCTGCTTTGTAACTCACCTCCTTTTCTTTAGCCTAATCTAGGAAAGACAGACAAACACCTGGATGATTCATCGAAAAAGCATCAAAGATGGGTAAAACAATCATTCTCATACGCCATGGCGAAGCTGAGCATAGTAAGTCGTCTTATATCTCACTCCATAATGACAAGTTCTAACCTATCGTAGATATTGCTGATAAGTGACCTGAACACTTACTTGTATGTGCAATCTTGAAGCTTCAGGAACTAACATATATCAGCACACGACTGGCAATTACCTGATCCAGGCCTGACCGAGAAGGGCATAGAGGAGTCAAAAGCTTTGGCGTCGAAGCTGGAGTTGATATTTCCACCCCAATCTGAGGAGAATTGTCGTATAGTGGTCAGTCCTTTGAAAAGGACATTGCAGACTGCTCACTACGGCCTCCGGTGGCTTCTGGACCGTGGTGTACCCGCGGAGGTTCGCGCCGAGTGGCAGGTATGTACACACAACGCACAATAAAAGAGACTACCTAGTACCTCTTAGTTACCAAGCTTGTTGGTTACCTAGAAAAGTGCTGACAATGATTAGGAAACAACGGATAATCCTTGTGATATTGGTGCTGAGCTTTCTGAGATCAAGGAAGAATGGCCAGACTATGATTTCTCAAGTCTAGATCCTATTTACCCGCAAAAGACTGGCATGTACAAAAATTCAGAAGAAGCGTTCCAAACAAGGGCATCCTTCGCCAGACGTTGGCTCTCGGAGCGAAACGAGGATTGCATCATCGTTGTCACGCATTCAGGATTCCTAAAGAGAGTCGTCAAAGGACCGAAATTCCGGAATGTGGAGTATAGGACTTATGAGCTTGTTGAAGAGTCGGGAGAGCTTAAGCTTATAGAGATTGATACATAACAGCGGCTACCGCATCTTCGTTGGGTAGGAGTCCCCCTTCGGCCTTACGGTATACATCTCTACTAGCAAAGGCATTTTGGGAGGAGAATTAAGAAAGCATAGGGATAGGAACATGAATAGAATCGAAGATAAGAAAGGGGAATTTGATTAGTGCCTTCGCAATGTAGGCAGAGGCATGCGCGTCTTTGCCAGCAGAATGGTTGCATCAACCAGTCGTGGTTCAAACGACAGAAGACAGGCAGATGGCAACATTGCACAACCCCCTGAATATCCTGAATCACGAGTAGGACAATGGAACAGGCAATGGAACAGACATTATGCAATGCAACGGCTTGACTTTATCATATGTGAAAAAAAGGCCTGTGAAGGGTTAATGGATGACACGTGTATAGATTCAGATGTCACATTGGAAGACTGCCATGTTGCGATCTTGGAATGTGGCCGAGATTTTACCATGGGAACCCAATGTTGTGAGTGTCACTGAATTCCCTCAAACGAACGGCATGTTATGATCTTGCACTAGACTCAGCTTTGAAGACGGTAGAGAAGATTCTCGTCCTTGAGCAACCAAATTTTAAGAAAAAGATGATGAGAATCGGGTGTGCTGTTTGAATGTGAAGATTGGAAAAGGAAGGAAAATAAAATTGCTGTGCACTAAAATTGAGGTAGAGCACTCAGTTGCTTAGTAAGTTTTGCCCTAACCTGACTGCTTAAAGCCCTTAAAGCCATAAACTGTTTAGTTAGATTGGTTGAAACTGCTAGATGTATTGTCATTGGCTAGGTAGGAACAGTCTCCCCTCTCCACCCCACTCTCCCTCCCGCCCTGCATCTTTTTTCACCTGCATCTGTTCACCTGCATCTTTTTCACCTGCATTTATTCCGTATTCTTCAGCAATAGGATCACTTCCTAAGATCTTGTAAAGGTTGACTCAATGCAACCTCAACTTAGACGTTGACTCCCAAGAATATTATATCATACTTGACAACACTCACCATCTGTCATATCTTGTTACTACTAGTATAGTATACGTTTAGTATCTCATTCATTCTTTAAAGAGTGGTTCATCCACCTATATTTATACCTAGTGTAGTATTAATATGGCCTTTCCGTCTTACTCTAGCAATTTATTCTCTAGTACGTAAGAGTGTGACGTCACACAGCTTGAAGAAGGAAGGGAATATTGAACTAAGAAGAGTCATCCAACCTTTGGGCGCGAGTGACACTGGAATAGCTACATTTGCATATAGGTATGTACGACCTTGATGGGCACTTGACTTGGCATTTCAGGCATGTTTTAGTTGACTGCAGGTAATTTACGAACGGCATATCGGCAAAGGGAAACCATCCATTCGACTTCGATCCAACTTCCCTCTTCATCATAACCCGTAGCGTCTTTGACAACTCCACCTGACAACCATACATTGGTCTTGCAGTCTAACCCTAGCATTCTCGTTGCATATGACCTCCGCAAGTTCTCGAGTATTGATATTCGAATTGGAGGAGTTGTGGATCTGACCATTGTCGTGTGCAACATTTGTGGCGCTAGAGTGTGTACCACGATGTCTCAGTCTTCTCCTCGACCTCCCTTTTCCGCTACTAACCTTGTACACGTGCGAGGCCCGGCGCTGTGATTCGTCGTTTATGGTCAGCTTTCAGCCTTACATGTAAGAACCCGCTGAACTTGGTTGAGAAAAAAAACCATATTTTAAGAAGCCATAAGTCGCCTCTTTTTGTATTTGAAGATAAGGAGACCTGTCGGTTTGGTTGGCTTGAATAATGTTGGCTGCTTATGTTTAAAAACCCTTACTCATACATGCCTACCTAATGTACTATGTAGGTAATATTGGTACTGACTGCAGTTTACGGAGGTCTTGTTCGCCATCATCAGAATCCACTTGGCACCGATCCGTTAACTACTACTAGTAGTAAAGGGCTGTTGCAACACGTTTGATTGGACCTTATAGCAACCAGGTAGCCCTGTTTTGCGCCCCTCGACGATCATTTGGCTGGTAGGTGTTACCTATATCTATCCCACTCCTAGGTACTTAGCACAGGCTTCTCGAACCTACGGCCGTCAGTCCATTGATGACGGACATCTGGAGTTCTTATATTAGAATATAAGACACACGACAAACTTTCAAATAACTTCCTTCCCATCCATTTCATATAAGCTGATATGGTGTCTCTTAATTAGGCGCTTCGCCTTTTTCTCCAAACCTACCCCATAGCTCTAAAAGAGTTGTCAATAAATATCGTCTAATAATATGACGTTTAAAATGGCAGCGTGGGCTTGGGCGGTCCCCAGCCTGCTGGCATCTTTCGTCATAGGTGCTCCAACTACCGGCGTTCAACATGTCCTGCAGGCGGGAAATCATGGCAGCCAGTCTGCGTCGCGACACAAGTTGCACGGCAGATTCCTTCATATAACAGGTATGTAACAATCGCAACACACCTTTATATCTTTAATCATACACTGCTAATCTTCAATTTGTACCTTGCATAGATTTACATCCTGATGAACATTACAAAGTTCACACATCTACTGAGGAAAACATCGCATGCCATCGAGGCCATGGTCTTGCCGGTACATATGGCGCCGAAACTTCGGATTGCGATTCTCCTTTAACACTGGTCAATGCGACTCTTAATTGGGTTGCTGAGAATTTGAGAGACGAGATCGACTTTGTCGTTTGGACAGGCGATTCAGCCCGCCATGACAGCGATGAAGAAATTCCCCGGCATGATAAAGAAATTCTAGCGATGAACCGTAGGATCGCAGATGCTTTTGTCACCACATTTTCTGACGACGATGGCTTGGTAGTCCCCGTCGTCCCAACTTTTGGAAATAATGATATTTATCCACACAACATATTAATGCCAGGCCCAAACAAGATTCTGACGACTTACACCGATGTTTGGAAGAGCTTTATCCCGGAAGAGCAAAGACACTCGTTTCAGTATGGCGGCTGGTTTTATGTTGAGGTCATTCCGAATAAGCTGGCTGTCTTCAGTCTCAACACTTTGTATTTCTTCGATCGCAATGCAGGTGTTGATGATTGCGCACACCCGACCGAGCCTGGGTACAAACATTTCGAATGGTTGCGCGTTCAATTGCAATTCCTTCGGGAGCGTGGAATGAAGGCTATTTTAATGGGACATGTTCCTCCTGCGCGAACTTCCGGCAAGCAATTATGGGATGAGACATGCTGGCAAAAGTATACACTCTGGCTGCAGCAGTATCGCGATGTTGTTGTGAGCTCCTTATACGGTCACATGAACATCGATCATTTTCTACTTCAAGACACACACGAGATCGATCTTTCCCTCCTCGAAGCTGAATCTGACGAGAGAGTAAGTATTCGTGAATCTTTGGATGAGGAATTGTCGGTCGAGTCGAGCAAGGACTATCTCATTGAATTGAGGGACGACTGGTCTAAGTTACCGAGCCCCGTTCAGTCAAACGGAGTAGAAGAATCTGGCAAAAAGAAGAAACATAAGAAAAAGAAGGGCAAAAAGGGCAAGAATAAGGTCGGCGGGCCATGGGCTGAGCGTTACCAACTGACCCTCATCAGCCCTAGCGTTGTCCCTAATTATTTCCCAACACTCCGAGTCTTTGATTACAATATAACCGGAATAGAGGACACACCGATATGGGCCGACACTATGCGCAAGTCTGGTGTGAAAGCTCCCTCACCATCTTCACCAGAATCCCCTTCTTTAGAACTACGCGCCGAATATGATACGGAGGAGATTGAGATGAGTAAGAAGAAGAGAAAGGGGAAAGGTGGTCAAAAGACAAAAATGCAAATCCCGGACCCGCCAGCCGAAGGAGATCAGCCGGGACCGGCGTACTTCCCGCAGACCTTGACTTTGAGAGGATACACCCAATACTACGCCAACCTAACATATATCAACAACGATGTTGCGGAAGACAGCGTTGAGGATGAGACATTATCAACAGCAGGCTGGAATTCCGGGAAGCATAAGAACAAGAAGCCAAAGCACGACAAGCCGATGCCGAGGAAGTTCGGCTTCGAGGTCGAATATACCACTTTCGACGACAAGATCTACAAGCTGAAAGACTTGACCGTCAATAGTTTGCTAAGGCTTGCGCACAGAATTGGGCAGACTTCGTCAGATGGGACCGAGGTGTTAAGCCAGGACTTGGAATACGAGAGTGGGGGCCATGATGCTGCTACTCAACTTGTTGAAGAGAAAGACTTGATAGAAGAAGAGGATGATGATGATTCCGAGAACGGAGCTAGTGAAATAGAGGAGGACGACGAAGAAGAAGACGACACAGACGACGAGGAGGATCTAGACGCCGAGAAGAAGAAGCACAAACACAAGAAGGGGAGGAAAGGGAAGAAGAAGCATAAGAAGAAGAGAGATACCAAGATCTGGCTCCACTTCCTCAAACACGCTTTCGTCAGTACTAAGAGTATCGACGAGCTGAAGGATCTCGACTAGGTGCTTACCTAGATACCTACTGGAAGAAGATGGCGTTGGGACATTGCTTTATGTATGGCGGCTGCTTTTGTTGGCTTTATTCGAATGCATATCAAGGTGCATGCATAGGTGTCTACTTACTTACCTACCTCCTAACTCCTACCACCTCCCCCGCCTACGTACATACATACTCTTACATCACTACAAGGAGGTAGGTAGGTAGGTAAGTAGGCAGATGCATAGACGCATAGTAGGCGGCAGTCTTTTTCACGAACGAACGAACGAACGATACGGAGTACTGCTCACTTGGCTTATGGAGTCCGTTTCGCTTGGCCCATTGGTCGGCTGGATTGTTTGGTTCACTTGGGACATGGTGCATACATCATGTAGCTACTAAATAGGTACCTACCTACCTGCTACCGGTAGTTGGAATGTGCTTTTGTTACGGCTGTTTGTTTATTTGTGTGGTTTCTTTGGATGATAAAAAAGCCTTGTTTTCTGAGGAGCAAGTCTTGGATTAGGTACCTAGGATAGGACAGGATGTGGGTGCATTGCATCGCATCAGATAGGTAGTATCGAATAGGATAGGTAGCATTATATATGCTGACGTGCGTTACTTAACAGAGAATAAGAGTTCAGTTGAATCAAGGGGATAGAGTTAGCAGGCACAGAAAGTCATCATAGTTCAAGTTGTCATCCGTCCTTCAATTATTTTCAAGTCGTGCCATATAGACAGGATAGCCATATCGCCTAGAAACGACATCAGGGCTACCTACACATCTATGTACAGGCAGGTACTGCAGGGTATCAAAACAATACAGTAAGCAAGCTCCAAGCAAGCAAAAACTCGATATGGATGAGACCAACAATACAATAACTCCTGAATGCAAATGCAAATGCACACTGAGTTCCATACCAAAGTAGGTATCATCATCCAGCATCCTTCGTTCAATCGTTCTCACCATGTTTCTCGTATCGACAGCATCTTCATTGGTTGGTTGGCCTTGGTTTCTTCTTGTCCCTTTCGCGTCAATCACGTCCGGTCCAGTTCAGTCCATCACACTGATCACGATTGCTCTTGGTCCCAATCATAGGCTTGGTCATCATTATCATCGTCGTAATAGTAATCATCACTGTTGGCGTCACCTTCATCCTCGTCATCGCCCTCTTCCTCGCCCTCTTCCTCCTCTTCCTCGCCCTCTTCCTCCTCTTCCTCGTTCTCTTCCTCTTCCTCATCCTCGTACTCTTCCCCATCCTCGTACTCTTCCCCGTCCCACTCCCCATCTTCTTCTTCGTCCCAATCCTCGGCCTCGTCCCAGTTAGCGTCATTATTCACAGGAGGGAATATACCCTCATGTCCTGTCACCGACACCGCCGTTCTGTTCCGAAGGACCCAGCCCCCCGCACCATTGTCAACAATGACCAGGTTGCTAGCCCCATGATTAGGATTAACCGCATTGCATGGTTGATTCTCTCGCGCGGCCTGTAGCCGTGCTTCTGCTTCATGAAGCAACTCATAAAACACTGGATCATTAAAATCGTAATATTCACTCATCCGCAGATCACCGTAATGACGCCGTTCTTCCAGGTCAGAATGAACAAAGCTACTCCTTTGAACATCCATAAGTCGGGAAACCACTTCAGAGATCTAATCATTGGAGTTAAATCGACTTTCGGGGTCTGCCTCGGAGCTGTTTGAGAATCCCTCCCATTCGTCTTCCACTTCATCAAGGGATACTCCAACAGGGTCTGGTCCACCATCTTCATCCCTGTCGTCGTATGTCTGCTCTTCGACCTCCTCTTCATCCTCGGCAATCTCAAGTGTGCCGGAGATGTCCCATCTATCACCTGGCGCCTTATGACTGACATATTTGACGAATTTGAGGGCACCGCTATCACGTAGCACAAGAGTCAGTTTATTCCAAGAGGCAGCCTGGAAAAAGAGAATATTCTCATCATCCCCGCTTGACTTGTATATGGCTGCGTCCTCATTGGCGGCGTCATCATCACCAGCCATATAAACTTCATGGCCTCCAACCTCTACAGCCTCTTCTTCTTCCTCTGGCTCCTTTTTCTTGCCCTTCTTGTTCTTGGCCTTGGCCTTGCCTTTTCCTTTGCTACCATTGGCTTTAGAGTTGCCGTTGCCATTGTCTTCAGTAGCTGATTCTTCGGCATCTCCATCGGCCTCATCGCCCCATCCGCTAGTGGGCGTGATGCCTAGAGTTAACTCAAGGCGTGGTTTACCCTCATGGCCCGTGGCAAGGGTGTAGTCCTTACCGCGACGGAAGCGTCGACCCAAGAAGTCATGGCTTTCGATTGTACAGTCTGTCGCCAGTTCTAGCCATCTGAGGAACTGTGGGCTGGGAAGGAATTTCTCCAAGAGCTCCTTGATGGGCGAATACTCTTCTTTCTCAGAATTTCCATTCGTCTTGGCAGCGGCAGTACTGCCTGGCTGCAGATAGAGATATCGATGCTTATGCGGCGGCTTCGCGACACGCCAAGGACCTTTCTCAATCTCGGTACTACTCTCTGGTAGGGCAGCCTTGTCTTGGGCTGTAACAAACTCTCGAAGCTTCTTAGCGAACTTCTTGTTGAGGATATTAGCTAGGGTGATGCTAGAATTCTCGTCAAAGTGTTCCGATACTTGCTCGAGGGTGTCGGGAACAAGATAGGTTGGTGATATATACTTGAGAAGGAACTCGAGATCGGCCTCGTTGAATAGGTCTTGAGGGTTTGACTGTAATGATTTGACTTGGACAGGCATCATCTGCGGAGTATCATACTGCTCCGGATTTCCTTGTAGTTGCATTAAGCCGCTGTTCTTGGCCAATTTCTCCTCGGCTCCCACGACGTAGCCATCTTCGCCGATCTGTGGGATGTGGAACCATCCACTAATAGCCATTCGGACTCTGCCTCCTTCCTTCTCTAGCTGTTCCTTGGATTGCGCATGATATACTTCCTCAACGTCATGGAAGCTCTCGCCAGGTTGAACGGCAAAGAAGCTGAGTTGATTCCAAGCAGGAGGAATAATCTTGGAAACATCAGGGGCAGGTGTTCTCGCAACTTCGCCATCCTTGCCCTCAATTGTGCGCACAGGAAACAATCTCAGCGCACCACCCCACTCAGGCTTCCATGGTATATCGGGATCGGTGAGGTAAAGTATGTAGCTGACTTTGCGACTGCCAATGACGTCGTCATGGCACAAGAGGTAACAACCAGGAGTATAGACATTGATAGCCATATCAGTCTTCCTGCCACTCAATGGGCCACATCCAGTAATGTGCGCGACGTAGTCTCGGAAGGATTGCGAATACATGGCATCTCTAAGGGTAAGGAGAGATGGCAACTTGGCTAGGGCATCATCGTCTAAACCGTCGAGGTTGGCAAGGTCACCAGATTGGTGAATCTTATAGATGTCGGTCTCTTTGGGGGTGAATGAGACATTCTCCTTGATCTCATCACGAACTGCGCGCAGCAGGTTATCGTCGATCAATTCGTGAATGACGCTGTGCTTGTACGGAGTAGATTCGGAGTAGCCCTCGGTATATTCTTGTAGGACCTTCTTGTCGAAAAGGCCCTTTCTAAAACTCTTTTTGGCGTCCTTATCGCTCAATTCTGCGAACAGTGTTAGATGTTTGACGCAAGATCGTACCGTAGGTTGGTCGAGTAATGTTTAATTGAACATTGGACTAACTTACCAAGCTTAGATTTCTTGTTTGAAGGGTTTGAACCTTTAGCTTGTGAGTGTCCTCGGCGTTTCATGTTGAATTGCGGGTTTTCTCATGTACACATAAGGTGAATTGATGGGAAAAAGAAGAGGTTAACGGCGAAAGGTAATAAGTAGCATGGCAGGAAGCTGGAAGTGTTTTTAAAAAAAAAAGAAAATTAAAAGAGTCGAATGTTAATCCATGCACATCAGCACATTTTTGGGCGGCAGAAAAAAATCAAAGAAGAGGTAGCGCGACCTATACCCCTGCAACCTAAGCTACCCTAGCCTCTAGGTTAGGTACTGCGTAGTACTTTAGTGTCTTAACTGAAGCTTAAGTTAGTTGCTTGTATGATCTTCACCGCCCGACCCACCTATAAGTTTATCATCTGATATTGATAGTAACCCCTCCTACGCTGCCCCTCTGTCTCCCCATACCCCTCTCTCCCCTCTGAACATGCAACATGCAACATTCAACATTCGAATCTCTGAATAATCCAATAAATGATCTGACTGCATGATATTTCAAACGCCCATCCATCCCGAGTTTGTTCCTTTGAAAGGCCTTTTGAAAGCCATTATTGGCGTTGTACTGGCGCTTAACCCATAAACCCCGATCCCCCCAAATTCTACATATTCTCACTATACAGAAACATCCCTAGACTGGACATCTTTCATGCTTACTTCCATTTCCATTGACACACTTGATTGAAGGTGCCGTGGATCTCTTCCTAGTATAGAAGGCAGTATCGTACTACTATACTTCGGATTGTTCGTTTTCTTAATAGGACACATCGAGAGAGACTTATACAACACCCCATCTGCGTATGGGTTACACTTACACTACTAAAGACACCTTGTTTTCCTATGTATATAGTACTACTTGCAAATCCTGCGTATCTACATCAGTATACCCCTTTGATTCGTTTCCATCCATTGCCGATTGAATTAGTCCTGCTTACTTTTACCGCCGGCATTCACGCATGCTGCATCTATAGCATCCAGTAACATTTGAAAGTTGATGTCTATGAGCTACTGGTACAACTCCTTAGACGCTTAAGCTTGGAATAGCCCTGGCGGGGAAATATAGTCAAGCCCCTTATTTTAATGCCTTTAGATATGCTATCAAGCTTACTAGGTCTGGGCATTGGCATCCCTAGTACTTACACACTTACTGCTTCAGTCGTATTGTACATATACACCCCGCATTAGGGTCGTTAGTTGGACTCTAAACCTCCTGTTATAGCTTGAGTGTCTGTCCTATAAACATCTAGGCCAGACACATATCCACGCTATAAAGGAAGCTTCGGAGATCTGAGGTAGGGAGACCTAGGATACTTTAACTGATACCTCAAAGGCAATTCATCCAAGTAGACATTCTCGAAAATACCAGCATATAAAAAAGGGGTATTCCGGCTAGTAATACGACTAAAAATGGCCGACTTTGATGTTGCGGCCGCTAGGTCCAAGTTCCCGGCCCTACAAGAGGACCAAGTCTTTCTCGATAATGCCGGGGGAAGCCAAACACTGGGTACTGTCATTGAAGCGTGAGTAAGGGGAATGAAGGGCCTCCTCTATAAAAGATCGATATCGTGTTCTGAACAGCCAATAGCATCAGCGATTACCTGATCAAGAGCAACGTCCAGTTTGGCGGCGGCTACCGGACCAGTCAATTATCTAGTTCACGGTACAACGCCGGCGTGGAAGCCGGTGCCAAATTCCTTAACGCCCGGAAAGATGAGATTGGTAGGTCTACTTACCTATACCTGCCCATCTTACCCCTATTTACACCCCCCTATCCTCATCCCTAGACTCATCTCCAACCCATCTCAAAGACACAGTCCCTACCTACCTACCAATCTAACCACCCCCCCTCCCAATTCCAGCTTTCGCATCATCCGCGACCCAAATCTTCCGAAACCTCTCCCTCACCTTCCAGTTCAACTCGGGTGACGAGCTCATCCTATCATCCATCGACCACGAGGCCAACATCGCCGCATGGAAGGACCTCGCCTCGCGCCAGCGCCTCGTCATCCGGTGGTGGCGGCCTCAACCAAATACCACGAACCCGATTCTCACGCCCGAGAGCCTCAAGCCCCTCTTATCCCCGAAAACGCGCCTCGTCGCCTGCACGCACGCGAGCAACGTGCTCGGCACGATCCACGACATCGCCGCCATTACCGCTATAGTGCACTCTACTGTTCCCGGAGCGCTTGTGTGTGTTGATGGCGTGGCGTACGCGCCGCACAGGCCGGTGGATGTAAAACAGCTGGGCGTGGACTTTTACGTGCTGTCTTGGTACAAGGTGTACGGCCCCCACGTGGCGATGCTGTATGGCAGTCGGCGCGCGCAGGAGGGGGGGCGGATGCGCTCGCTGGGGCACTTTTTTAACCCGAGTGAGACGTTGGGGGATAAGGTTGGTTTGGGTATGTTATATTTGCTTGCTTATATGTATTTGTGTACACCCCTTTTCGGTGCAGGCGGGTATTTCTAAACACAAAATATACCCATATTTCCCTTTTTCTACCCCCCCAAGAAGCCCTACTCACCCCTAAACAGGCAGCACAAACTACGAGCTCGTCGCCTCCCTCCCCGCCATAACCGCCTACCTGACCCCCCCCACCTGGTCCTCCATCCTCTCGCACGAATCCCTCCTCCAAACCACCCTCCTAACCCACCTGCTCTCCCACCCTACCCGCTTCACCATCTTCGGCACCCCCGACCCGGACCCGTTGCGCCGCCTGCCGACGATCAGCTTCGGCGTAGCCGGGTGGGACTCGCGGGAGCTGGTCGAGGAGATCGAGAGGGAGGCGCCCAGGTACGGGGTTAGGTGGGGCGCTTTCTACTCGTATGGGCTGGTGCGCGAGGAGGTGGGGTTGGGAGGGTTGGGGCTGGGGGAGGGGGGCGTGGTGAGGGTTAGTCTTGTGCACTATAATACTTGTGAGTAGCTGTTCTTTTCCCCTTTCCCCCCCCCTTTTTCGGTTTTCAGGAACTAGTGGTTTGAAGGAAAGAGTGCTGATGGTTTTATGGTGGTGTAGTGGATGAGGTGAATGGGTTTATTGAGGCGTTGGAGGATGTTATAGCGAAGAAGACGTGATAGGACTGGGCTATTATCACCTAGGTAGTAGCTGTTTGGATATTTGTTATGGTAGGGCTTGAAGATATCTGTGTGTCAGGGGGGTCTTTGGGAGTTAGCTATAGACACACGGTACCTAACTCACAAATCTCTAGAGCTAGAGAAAGGAGCGATTGCTTTAATGATATGCACAGATTCATAACTGCAGTTATCTAACAAATTTCTATGAAAAGTATGGTACTATTGTAGAATAATCCTAACTTCTTCCAATCTACCAACTTCTCCCCAAAAAGCCAAAAATATTAGGTAGGTACTTAGGGACTCTAACCAAACTACCTACACTTTTCATAGCTTGCCAACCTTCTGATCAACAGCCGTCCGCAACAGCGAGATAACCTCGGCGGGGTCCTTGGCGCCGAACACAGCGCTGCCGGCGACGATGACGTTGGCGCCAGCGTCGGCGGCCTGGTCGATGGTGCCGGGGCCCAGGCCGCCGTCGACCTCGATGTTCAGGTCGGGGTACTTCGTGCGCAGCGCCTGCACCTTGGGCAGCTCTGAGGCCATGAACTTCTGGCCGCCGAAGCCGGGCTCTACTGTCATGATGAGGACCATCTATTTTGATGAGAAAAAAGGGTTGGTTAGCGGCTGGGGAATTTGAGGGTATATGGTTGGCTTATTATACGTTATGGTAGAATAAGGGGAATAGGGTGAGAGAAAAGGGGGTGGGGGGTGGAACAATTCGGGTCCAGGTAATATCAAGATAAATAGAATGGGGAGAAAGAAAAAAAATGATAGTAAGAAAGGGAAAGGGAGGCTTACATCAGGTCGCTCTTTCGGATCCTCACTCTCAAGTAGCTCGGTCAGAACCTCAACGCCGGTCATGGGCTTGAGTGCGATGCCTGCCAACAGGCCGCAGTCGTGGATATACCGGATCAGTTCCTTGGGGTTAGTGCGCTCGTCGGTCTTGCCCTCGGGGCTCTCAGCGGCGCTCGAGAAGGCAGCTTCGTAGTGGAAGCAGTATAAATCACAGCCGGCCTTCTGGAACTCCTTGACCCATTTCTTCGGCTGTGTTTTATCGGTTGGTTGTTAGCAAGGAACGTACGTCTGGATCGGATAGGTCTTCATGGGATCATAGTCTTCGTAGGATACAACGTCGAGGTTGACCGAGAGCAACATTGCTATGATGAATGTTAGGGGTAAAGGGAAAGACATATCCATACCTCAGCAATCATCATGTGGCAGTCAAATGTACCGCGCCCGTAGCTCGTAGTGGGCTTTTCGACATGTTTCCGGACCTTGGCCACGACCGGCGCGCCAAAGGTGATGTTGGGCACAAAGTGGCCGTCCCTTTAATCATCCCAAGCTTTAGTTTTTCATCTCATGTTTATGCTCAATTATGATCACCGATATCCCCCTCCTGGTAGGAATCACTCTTGAGGGTTACTCTCGTTATATCATACTATATATCCCCCTTTATAAACCCAACCCTCACTCATCTCCGAACGATATATACAAGGTAACCTAAAGAGTATAGGGAGGTTGGTGAAGGCAGATGGGTAGATAGGTAGGTAAGTGAGTAAGTAAGTAGATATACCGCAAACACTTACATGATATCCACGTGAAGCCAGTCAGCACCCTGCTCCATGGTCCGGACGCAGTCGGCGCCGAGCTGCGCAAAGTCCGCGGACAAGATTGAGGGCGCTATTATGGCCTTTGGCGCCATTTTGTTTGTTTGTTTACTTTAAAACGCTGTGCTGGTTGGCTGTTTTTTCTATTTAATTCTCTCCCTCCCTCTCTGGATATACCTAATGCGAGGGATCTCAAAAAAAGTTCCTAGCGAATCGGAGGTGTTGGATTTTGACTAAAAAGCCAAAAGTGCGTAAAGTGAAGGACTTGGATAACGGGTCTCTGTCTCAGATTTCGATAGCAAACTTATATACGATAGCGACGTAAGACACAAGCACATGTGAAGAATATATTTATGTACAATTCGGGTGGGATCAGACGTCACGGAGGAAGAATTGGCGGGGCAAAAAGTTGTTAAAAAGTTGTTATAATACTACCTACCTCCTTCTATTAACTATGTGCTATCCAATGTGATAACAGGCCTAAAGCTGCAAGCTTGGAAGTTGGTGGGGGGGATTTAGGAGGGGAAGGGGGACATGTAATAGTTGAGAGTGGGGCAGTATTTCTCTTATTGACTCTTCGGATAACTGGGCCAGATTATGTAACGATATGCTTAGTCGTTCATACGCAATTGCGACACACTCCTTAGATAGTTTTTACTTCAATCAATACCTAATCAATCAGTAGTATACTATTATGTCGATTCATGAATGTTTACTTGGAAGCACTTGAGTATAGTAAGAACATCTTGTATCACGGGAAATGCTTGAGTATCATTGTATTCCATTCGAAATATAGTCCTACGTAGAGCCACTACGCAACCCCAAAATCTATCCGAGGCACTCTCGAGGTAGAAGACTCGTAAAAACACCGGACTATGTTCCTCATAATGCTTCTAATTTTTTAAATACAACCCCATAAACACTTTACTCCTCCTCAGCAACCGTCTCGGGCACCAGCTCATCGTCGGCGTCCTCGTCGAAGCTACCAGCAGGCACCTCGTACAAGCGAAGGATCGACTTATTAGGATCCTTGACAAGCACAAACTTGCCATCGCCACGCTTGAGGCACATGTCGGCAATCGTGCGTACGATACCCCAACCGTTGGAAAGAGACAAGTTCATCTGGTTGGCGAAGTCCTTGGGTTTCCAGCCGATAACTCCCAGAATGACGTGCTTGTCGTTGGTCTTGGGGTTAGCTCGAGAAACGAATCTGAAAAACAATCAAGTTAGCCATATGTGTATATACTAGAAGTAAAGGGGGGTGGGGGATACGAACCCAAGCTTCATTACGTCTGCCTTGGACAAGATGCTCTGCACCGTCCATCGCGCAAGCTTGACGCTGTTGTTCTTCATCTCCGTTGCGACAACCGCACCACGCTGACTAACCAGCTTGGTTCTCCAGTCCAAGGCACCACCACTACCTTGTGCCTTACTATCGAACTCGTTCAGAGCCTTGACGGTTACGAACTGGTCGTCTCCGCTGATGGCATTCTTCTGAACCGCATCGAGTTCGGTTCGGACCACCAAGTACATCGGATCCTCATCGCTAGTGGAGAGATCAAACCTACGGTACTTGTAGACCTTGCTTGCCGGAGGCTCGCTCTCCTCGGAAGCGTTGTAGAAGGGGTTCTCATGTGGCATATCTACCCTCTGTGCCTCGTTCTCCAGAACCACCTGGTTGGCGAAGTTGTGGTTGATGTAGGTAGCCTCTTCCGCAAGAGCCCCAGGCTGGTTGATACCTTCCTTGTTGCCGTCAGAGGCCTCCATGGGCGCATCGGCAGCGTTCTCGTTCACAGTTACCAGGTCAAGAGTGGCATTATCACGCTTGTCAAGGAAGATCTTGTTGCCTTGCCGGACGATGACAATATCCCACGGATAGACTGAGCGAGTGGAGCACATGACCATAGACAGAATGCTGTCAGTGGCAAAGATGGTGGCTTCCTCCTTCTCTGCTAATTCTTGGATGATAGGGTCGGAGGAAGTTGTGACGTTGTAAGCGGCACGGTCAATAGGTATCAGCTTTCTCTCAGCAGCTTTGACCGGCTGCTTGTCGAAGGATCGATCGTAGTAGTAGAGGAAACCGTAGCTCTCAATATCCTCGCCCTCATCAGCGTCGAGGTTGAGTTTGGCCAGTCTGTTAAAATCGATTTCTTCTAGTAGCTGCCAATCAGGTTTGATGTTGATGGAAGCATCGCGATTGCGGGTTGGCTTGTCGTAATCTTTCCAGCCGAAGCGGCGACCACGAGGCGCATTAGAACGTCCACCACGGCTATCATATCCATAACCCTGCTGACCACCACGGCCTCTCTGTGACTGTCCACGGCCGCCTCTCGTATCCTGGCGGGCACCTCTTTGTCCACGACCACGGGTGAAGACGGCTCCGCGGCCGTAACGGGTCTTGGTGGTCTCTCGGCTGACAACGGAGAAGGTGTTCTCATCCTCGGCAACGGGAGCAGTGAAGAGCGCGGCACTGCCAGCACCGTAAATCTGTTGATCTATATGGGTACGTAGGATTAGCAACTGATGATATCTGGTGATTGGCGATAATGTGTTAATAATACCTCTGTAGTTGCGGTTATACTGTTGTCTGCCTCCGCGTCCATCCCTGCCGTCCTTGCTGTCGGCAGTCCAGTCAGCCATACGGCCTAGCTTATCGCCCTTGGAAAAGGGCGCATAGGGAACACCATTCAAGGTGGTTTCGGTGACGGGAGGGGGGCCCCATCCATCGCCTTCAGGCAAGGCCGCAATGAGGTCGGCCAAAGAGGTTTGCGCCATGATGAATGTGTTCGAAGACTGGATATCTATAGCGGAAATATAGATTTTGTGATGAAAAGTGTATATTAGTATGCAACAGACTACTCCAACACTGATTGGTGTTGGTATTTCGTAGATTGCTGAGGTTTGTCAAAATTGTCGAAAATTATCGAAATTTTAGTTCATCAGCAATAATTTGTGACTTTTGGTGGGGTGTGGGGCAAAGTCAAGTCGCGAATCGACAGATTTAAGTAGTAACTAGTTAGTTACCTAGGTACCTAGTTAACCTAGGTTAGTTAAGTGCAAAAGGTACTTGTCCAGGGTGCATGTAGTTAGTTACTATGTACAGTGTGAAAACTGTCAACGTCACAGGTGGTAGCACTGTATTTAGAGCTTCCAAGGTGCTATAATTGATGTTATCGTCGATTTCTCCTGCCATTTGAAAAGAGCTTAATAATAACTACTAAACTACATTATTGAACTAAAAGAATAAAAGTTTAAAACTCGCTTGCCAAGTTTGTACTGTAATACATTTATATGCATGCACCCGTCTTAGATACTAACTCTGCCTATCTGCTACTCCCATCTCCATTATCACCATGCTGAATACCTACATACTATGTGCCTGAACACTTACTCTTTAACGCCAACGTCGCATACAAAAGATATATCCAAGTACCTATTAGGTATCCATGAACACGGAGTAAACGAACGGTCAACCTAATATGCAATGGCTATCTCAGGCTTCGCGGAAAAGACTGCGTTCAAGGCATCCCGGACCTCAAACTCTTCCATCACAGCTCCGAAACTAAGAAGCAGTCAGCTTATGCTCATGACTACCTACCTGCATACTAGGTATGTAGATAGATATAGTAGGTATATGTGAGAATAGGGGAACAGTAAAGAATGACGGTGGCTCGTACCCGTAGCATCGGACTTTGCCCTTGAGATCATCCACCAGCCTCTCCAAATCCTCCCTCTTCAGCTCTGCCAGTCTCGGGTGAGCCAGGACCATGCCCCAAGCCATCACCGGGGTGATTTCTCCGTCTAGATCCAATCTCTTGCTCAAGTTGAGCAAGGTGGCGAGATCGGCTTTGGACAACTCCCATGTCTGCTGGTTGGGTCGCAAATCCCCGTTTGCGTTATTGGCGTTATCGCTGTTGCCAATATTGCTCGCGTTGTGCGCGCAGAGGAAAGGTTGTGTGGGTCCGAAGGGGATCTCATCGTCCAGCTCGGGAAACGGTTCCGGGGGACATGATGCCATGAGGGCGTGGCCGCACGCCTCGCCCGCCGTGTCTTGCGCTCGCTCTATCAGCCACGGCATATGATCCATGCATGGTCTCTCGAGCCTGTACGCCGTCAGCAAATCGCTGGGTTCTCAGGCTAACGACATTGTGGTGCGTCCAAACCCCCTTCCCACGCAGTGCCCTGGTTTTGATGGTATCTTGTTTCTTTATTTTCTCAATTCTTTGGGCGTAGTGGCTAGATAGGATACCTAGCAGGGTAGTAGGTATATACCTTCACTGCTTCACTGCGGGGGAGGTGATATGTACGCCTTCGAGGAATCATCGGGGTTCTCGTACGTTAACACGAAATCTATTCCAGCCTGCTCAAAGTCCACGCGGTTTTGATTCGGCTGTGCACGCTGCTGCGCCTGGTTCTGGTTTCTAGCCTGATGCTGACCTCCCACCCCTTGCGATGACAGAGACATAGAAGGGGGGCTTGGCATCGATGTCAGGGGGGGCGTGTACGCCGTGTTGGAGCTGCCAGGTGCGTAGCTACCCGAAATGCTGCCACTTGATGTATACCCTGGGCTTAAGCTGTTACTAACATCGTCTATGCCAGCACCCGAGCCGAGGGAGAGGCCGTTTTGTTGTAAAAGCGTTTTGAGTTGTCTGTTCTCATCGGCAAGCTTGTCCTTGTCTTGCGAGACGTTGCTATATATCTCTTTCAACCGTAACACCTCATCCTCGAGAGCCTTTATGTACAATTCTTTACGTTCTCGGTGTGTTCTATAAGCCTGTTAGTAACGGACATCAACTCAGCTTAAGTAAGACTCTTAATATGCATACCTCTGTGCTTGACGATTTAATTCTTGGCGTCGAGTTAATGCTGGCTTGCTATCGGGTTTAGGCCCTCGTCGCTTAGGCGGGTTGCCGTCGCGAGTGGTTCTTTTATCGTTCAAGGACTTGAGGAAATTGAGGTTTAGTGACGAAAGCGGACTCTTATCACCTTGTGAACCGTTGGGGTTCGGAGGCGGCGAAGAAGACGCCATTGAGACGTGTTCGTAGAGCGAACCCAATGATGGTTTGTGATCGGTGGGAGAATAATGCGTCGGGGGTGACGGGTAGCTATCTGCGGGGCCTGAGTCAGCCATTTTGGCCATGATTCATTAGACTAAAGCTCGACGACGAGGTGCGCAATCGAGACACGCGAAAAAAAAACAACCAAAAACCACAAAATTCTAGAGTTATGGAAAGAGAACAACGATGGAGGGTATCTAATCAGGCGATAGTGCCCCAATTGATGGGAGATACCTCATATATGTCGCTTCGCCGAGCGGGGTGGGAATGCTACGTACTATGTTAAGATATACTATATGTTTAGATGAAATCGTCTGCCACACTTCTGGCTCGCTCGATTCAGTTCCGGATGGTCGCGGGAACGGAACTCATTCAGGATGTCTAAAGAACGTGTGTACCGAGGAGGGTTGGCAACCGGCAGAAACGCCAACCATGCAGAACACTTTATGAAATCTAATATGGGTCGCGTGGTGACTATTTTGAAGATTGGGGTGAAACAATCGGCCTTCTTAAGAAGAGCGTCTCTGGCTATAGGACTTGAGGCGGTGCATTATTCACTGACGAATGCTAGCTATACATTCTTCATGCGTGAGCTGATAAAAGCCAAAGCCCCACGATGGAGAAGAATGGAAATGGGGTGAGACACAGGTAAGGTAAGATACATGTAGCAAATCTGAAGGTCCCTCGCTAACAATTGTGTTAACCTACAATAGGAGTGAAATGCCGCTTAGTTGGCCAAATAAATATAGCCAGGGGTTGTTATGTCTATACATTCCAGGGGTGTCGCCGGATAGCACATAATATCGATACACAGCCTACCTCACCTCTCTCTGCCTCCTGCAGGCCGTCGGCGTCGGGTCAAGTGCCGTGCAAATCATGGGGTTTCTAACGACTTAGTAAGGAGCTTGATCTTTTTAGCCATGGGCTATTCTCTTTGGGTTGCTTGGATATTGTATGTTAGCCTATGATGAGGTTACGTATTCCCCTTTGTTTCTGCTCGCTATCAATGAGGATCATTTCATCTCGAGCTTTTCTTTTTAATTGTTTTTCTAATCTCCAAGACCAATCATACCCTTTGGCTTGTTGGGGGGGAGGTCCGTTGGCGAGGTGGTATGTTTAATCGCTAGCTCGGTGTCGTCATGTCAGCGATGATTCGATGAGGTACGCGGGTATTATCAACTATCTACTATGTATTACGGTGAGATCCTCCTCCTTTCTTCAGTGGCTGTTGCCAAATAACGCCATACATACCTGGGCATCTAACCTAGGTACCTACCCACGTTTTTTCTTGCTTGTCTACGAATTCTCTCTTTCCTAACTGAGGAACGTCCATAGTAATATGCCTCTAAGCTGTATGATTTGCCCATAAGCAAGCTGATGGGGAAGGTGTTCCAGACCACCGGAGACCACGCAATCCCGGCACCAAGAGCCGTCTCGATAAGTCCTACTTACTCTCATAACATCTCTCTTAACTGCCCATCCATTGTTCAAGGTGAGATCCGAAATGAGAGCCTGGACAGTGTTCATTCGCCAAAATACTGTGAATGTTCGCACTGTTAGATATCTCGATCTTTCACTCTGCAGGTGGTATCTACCTAGTCGAAACTCAGCTCAGATCAACTCCGGTATGCCTTCTATCCATCGCATCCCAGATACTTAGCATTGATTGGCAAGACCCGTATGTTGTATAACACGGCTTGGCAATCTGTCACACAACGCCAGCAGCAATGACGATAGACAATGACCTATGTGGAGGGAGGGAGTGGAGTTTCAGCTTTCATGGCTATACTATTTGGGCTCTACTTTGCTATCTGAGTAGTTAAGTGGCGTCGACAGAAGGTGTCACAATTGGAGTGAACGCCCTCAGATTTCCGTCAAGTCCATACGGAATCTGACTTGAGAGAGGCTATAAGAAGGCACAATGTTTCCATCCGAGACTTGTACTGTGTATATCTATTCAGTCGATTCTCACCTAAAACGTTACCTCAGGAAGAAATAAACCAAATATCCTTCAAATATGGAACTTGTGCCAACGCGAGCGATATCAAGCGAACTTGTCTGGGCTGGGGGTCTGCTGCTTTTTTCGATGGTGATGAGACTGCTCCCTATCTTTGTGAATACTACTGAATACTACTAGGTGATTGTTCGTTGGATATGTCAGATAATCTATAACCTCTATTTCCATCCCCTGTCCAAGATTCCAGGGCCGCCGTTAGCAGCCGCTTCCGAGGTAAGTTGTGCAACGGTCTATATGAGCTCAATACTTACGACTGGTAGATTCCGTTCTGCCGATGGTCGCTCGTAGGCCATCTACCTTACAAACTTCTTGAACTGCACAACAAATATGGTATTGCTCAATCTCTTGGCATATGGCCCGGCAGAGCTAATGTTACGAAGGACATGCTGTTCGCGTTGCGCCTAACGAAGTCTCCTTTAGCAGTGCGCAATCGTGGAAGGATATCTATGGACAAAAAAAGGGTCATCGTGAGTTCCTCAAGGGAGCATTTTACGATCATGCTGGTTTCGTCGGCCGCGGATACAGATCCATTGCAAGTGAAAGGAGACCAGAGGCTCATAAGGAGATGCGGAATTACCTTGCCAGTGGCTTTTCCGAGCGCGCCACTCTAGAACAGGAGGTGCTCATCGCGCCCTTCATCGATAAGCTTGTTCGACTAGTTGGCGTTAAAGGCTCAGGGGAAAAGGGGCTGGATGTGACGACGGCTTTCGAGTCAATGACGTTTGACATTGCTTGTGACCTAACTTTCGGCGAGACGTTTGGGGCACTGGACATGGGTGAGCTTGATATTTCTCTATAGAAACTTACCCGACTAGGTACTAGTACCTACGTAGGGAGATGTTGACGAATAAGCATCAGAAACCCGACACCCCTGGATAGCTGGTACGCTCGAAGGCAATGACAGCCTGACACTACTCGACATTCTTACTCGTTACCCTACCGTAGCAAAGGTCATCGGCGTATTTGTGCGCCAGAAACTCCGCAAGAGAATGGCGGAAGCAGAGAAAAAGGAACAGTTGGAATACGAAACAACACGAAGGTACGTCGAGCCCATTCAAGATTGATGTACATATATGCAACCCCGGCTAACATCACTCAAGACGAATACAAAGAGAAACCAACCGGAACGACTTCCTCGCCCGCGTCATTCGGGACCGAGACCCCAACGTCGTGTCGGACATGCAACTCGCCGCCCACGCCGAGACCCTGATCCTCGCCGCGAGCGACACGTCTGCCAGCTGTCTATCCGCCACGCTCTACTACCTGTTGCAAACCCCGTCTGCCATGGAGACACTAAAGGCCGAGATCCGAGGTTCTTTCGAGAAGATGGCGGACATAACCTACGCTTCTACACTCGAGATGCCGTATCTCTGCGCGGTCATCCAGGAGTCGCTGCGCATTTTCCCTCCCGTACCCGTTGGCCTCCCGCGCCTAGTCCCCGATGGCGGCGACACCGTCGACGGGTACTACCTCCCCGGCGGAGTCGTCGTCTACACGAGCCCGATCCCCGCCAGCCAATCCCCGGCCAACTTCCACGACCCGTCGGCGTTCAAGCCGGAGCGGTGGATCCGGCCCAGCGGCTGCTGTGATGCTCGAGATGCGAGCCAGCCGTTTTCCCTCGGCAACAGGAGTTGCCTGGGCCGCAACCTCGCGTGGCTGGAGATTCGGACGACGGTTGCGAAGTTGGTTTGGGTGTACGACTTGGAGGCTGTGGATGCGAGCGTGGATTGGCCGAGGATGTCGCAGCCGCTGGCGCTGTGGCATAAGGCGGCGTTGATGGTTCGGGCTAGGAATAGGGGGGTTGTGCTTGAGTAAGCGTTAGGGATGATTCCAAATGGGTAGTTATTGTCACTTAAGGCATGTCAAGGAGATGTGGGATATAGCTGGATGCGAGACTGTGAACGATGCTATGACTACTCCTTGATCCTTCTGGTACTTAACAATAAATTGAGCTTCACCATTAGCCAAGTAGCATGGATAGTGAACTGATCTTGGCTTCAAAGAGTGTGCAAACCAGAATAGTGTCCAAACTTCCATATATGACATCCTGTAAATACCTACCTGGGTATATACCCTGAATACAAGCCCAACTCGCTACCTACCTAACGCCCACCTAGCTTTCATTTTCACACTCGGTACATCTCTCATCCAACAACCCATTAAAAAACCCCGTCATCTGGTATATCGGCGCGTGCCCTAACCCCTCCACGACCAACGACTTCCCCGGCTCTAGATACTGTATCAGCTTCCTCCCCAGCTCAACCGAGATCATCTTGTCCGCCGTCCCATGGAGCACCATGATCCTGTGCCTGCCAACCCGATCCGCCAGCTCCCGCAGCTGCTCGGGCGTCTTCGAGTGAAACCCGCCGGCGACCGCCTGCAGCGCAAACCCGGCCTTGCTCCGCTGCAGCTGGATCTCCTGCGCCGCGAACCGCGCGTAGTTGCTTGCGAACTGCTTGTACCCGCCGGGCGGCACCTCGCATTTTGGTGTGGTCGAGTCCGGCACTGAGGCCTCGTCTGCGGCCTCGAGCCATGCGTGCGGGAAGCAGCCGTCTGCTGTGGAGCGGATCTCGGTCTCGAGGCTTCGGGGGAATAAGGCCCCGAGACGACTCGTCATGTCTGTGAGCGATGACCCGCTGGTGTCCAGCTTGGCGGCGGTGCAGTGCAGGTTTAGGCTGGCGATCCGCTGGGGTGCTATCACGGCGACCTCCTGCGCGATCATGCCGCCCACTGATTACGACAAACATGATTAGTAGCTGTAAGAAGAAGAAGCAAGCAAGAAAGCATGGCTTTATGTGTGGGAGGTAGGTAGACACGTACTGCTGCCTCCAGATATATGAAGCTGGCGCTCCGCGGTCCAGCCAAGGTGATCCAAGACCTCGAGCAAATCGCGCGCCATCTCCGACGTGCTATACCGCATGACCGGCTTGTCCGAGGCGCCTGCGCCGCGGTTGTCGAACACGAGCACGGAGTACCGGTCCCCTCGCTCGTGGCCAAAGTACTTGGTCTGCGGCTGCCAGTCTGCTTTCACGAGACCAATTCCACCGATGAGCTACAGAGGTACTGATTTAGTATAGAGATAACGAAACACATGTTTGATGCACGGGAGGTACCCAGGGTTGCTTACAATGAGCTTCATGGGTCCATCGCCGTGAACCTCCCAGCTGATGTTCAGGGGCCCGCCTCGACCCGCGGCAACTGGCAAAAAGCCGCTTTGGTGCGGTTCGAGCTTCCAGATCGCTGTGGGGAATGCTGGGCTTTTGGACACTTCTTCGATAGATGGGAAACCCATATTCGTCATTTTTCCGATGATATAGCTACTGACTGACAAAGACCTTAAGTATCGAGAAAATTTGGGTTGTATAGATCCTTCTCATAAGCGGGGTTGCATTTCCACGTTATATATGGCCTGTTCATTCGGCTATCAAGTTCAGCTCTGATTACGAGACCCCCTATTGTCTCCTTGCTGCCTAGGGTAAGCGCCATCTTAATTCATCTCTCCTTTTCCCGTAAACCCATATTCTGGCTTTGATTTTCTCTCATATCTTTCTCTCGTTAATGCGTGAGCGCACATCCTACAGTAATATGAATCCGGAGACGAGTCGGCCTGAGTTGAGCAAAGGTTTACCCCTTTCCTTCGTAAAGTTGGTAGGGCTATTACAGCCGTTGAGCTCAGCTGAATAATAAAAACGCGGAGCCGGCCCGGCATGTCTCATCATAGGCCACTGCAGGTAAGCAAGTGCTTAGTAGCCAAATCCGCATTTGTAACATTGTCACTAAAGACAGTATAACAGCTGGTTGGTTGTCGGCACTGAGACGAGCTGCATGTTCCGTGTTACACGATATGTAGGTAGGAGAAATCTGGGAGAGTAATGTGGTATAATGTGGTATAATGGGATACATGCATAAATAGATAGACTTCTAAGTTCTAACCTATGTAGTTACATCCTAACCTAGTTTATTCAATGTTTCTTAAAATATGGAGCGACTACTAGTTAGTAGTTACACAATTTCCCCAATAACATCTACATAGTACATAACCGTAAACAACTTAACCCGTACATACATACCTTCAGCTACCTGTCATTTCAGTGTGCTATATTCTGTCATGAGGCTCACAACTCTCCCTGCTCTGCTCCTCGGTAGCTCGCAAGCTCTGGGCTCTAAGCTTCAGCAGCCTCTCAAGACGACCCAAGCCACAACCTTCAGCTCTAATTCGCATACATCACCTGCCTATAGAGAAGACCTGGTGTCGCTACACAAGTCCCTAATTGATATATCTTCGATCAGCGGCAACGAGAACGAAGTCGGCAATTTCCTCGTCGACTATCTCACCTCCCGCGACTTCATTGTCCAGCTCGAGTTCGTACCCCCGCAGACGAACACCTCCGACCCCGACCCCGAAAAGCCACGCTATAACGTCCTTGCATGGAAAGGCCCAAACCGGCGCCCTTCACCCAAAGTCCTCGTGTCGAGTCACATCGACACCGTGCCGCCTTTCATCCCTTACTCTCGAACCGACGACCCTCTCACTGCCGACACCGTGATTGCGGGTCGCGGCAGTGTCGATGCCAAGGCGAGCGTAGCTGCGCAGATCATCGCTTTACAAACGCTACTAGACTCGGGCCGCCTCGACAAGGCGGAAGATGCCGTCATGCTGCTGTACGTAGTCGGCGAGGAGACGCTGGGCGACGGGATGAAGTACTTCTCGGACACGCGTGGCAAACTGGACCCGCCGCCCGACTTTAAGGCTGCCATCTTCGGCGAACCGACCGAAGGCCGTCTGGTCTGTGGCCACAAGGGGATCTTCGGGTGCGATATCACTGCAACCGGACACGCTGGGCATAGTGGATATCCGTGGCTAGGCAAGAGCGCGACCGAGGTGTTGATGCGTGGGCTTGTGCGCGTCTTGGATACGGACTTGGGTAGTAGTGAGGAATTTGGTAATACAACGATTAATGTGGGATTGCTTGGGGGCGGTGTTGCAGCAAACGTCATCCCTGAGAAAGCTACGGCACGAATCGCGGGACGTGTGGCGATTGGGCCTGAGGCCGAAGGTGGTGAGGTCGTTGCCGAGAGGTTGCGCAAGGTGATGCAGAGTGTGGACGAGGAGGCATTCGAGTTTGATTGTCGATATGGGTATGGTGTTGTGAAGTGCGATTGTGATGTCGAAGGTCAGCATGCCTCATCTATTACCTATTGTCTCATACCCTAGACTATTCCAGCTAACCATTTACTCAGGCTTCGAGACCACAACGGTCAATTACGGGACAGACGTGCACAACTTGGAGGGTAATCACACGCGGTACTTGTACGGTCCAGGAACCATATTTGTAGCCCACGGGCCGGACGAGGCGATCAAGCTTGGGGATCTGGAAAACGCGGTCGAAGACTTCAAGAAGCTCATCTTGCACGCCCTCGAGAGCTGAGCGATTTGCATTTTATAGAGTGTCAAGAAGGATAGAGCTCGGCCGACTCACTTGACTTTGTTCGTATCGGCTAATTCGCACATATCATAGGATACCCAAATGAGATGCTTTACCTTGCGATTCGTCGCCAGGGCTAGGTGCACATTCGATACTAACTGTGAGGCTAGGAATTTATTCTTCTATATTCTTCTTTCCCTTGCAAGGCATCCGCCAATGTCAGTTTCCGACAACCTTGGCCCATCGTTCTGGCATGATGTCTTTGAAGTCAAAAGATCCATCTACACCCTTTACGACCACACCTCGTTCCGTAACTATAGCATCGATCAACTCGGCTGGGGTAACATCGAACGCAGGGTTCCAAACGCCAATGTCTTGATGCGCGGTCGCTATGCGCGCCGTCTGACTCACATCGACCTTCCCATCTTTTCCAACTACAGCTCCGCTGATCTGCGTCAGCTCCTCCGGGTTCCGCTCCTCGATCTTGATTCCGGCGCCGTTTTCAGTTTGCAGGTCAATGCTCGTTGTCGGTGCCGCTACGATGAACTTCACTCCGTGGTATTTGGCCAGCACAGCTAGAGAGTAAGTGCCTATCTTGTTGGCGGTATCTCCATTACGCACTACGCGGTCGGCACCAACAATGACTGCGGCAATGTTTTTCTCGTCCTTCTTGGTAGCAAACACCGCGCCTGCCATGGAATCTGTTATGAGTGTGGAGGGAATACCCTCGTACACCAGCTCGAATGCAGTGAGACGACTCCCTTGATTATACGGCCGCGTCTCGGTGCAGAAGGCGTGATGAAGATGGCCACCCGTATGTAAGCTCCGGATAATTCCAAGCGCTGTCCCATGCCCCGATGTGGCAAGCGATCCCGTATTGCAATGCGTCAAAACCGATACCTCACCGGTCGCGGATTTCGTCGGCGCGTTCTCGAGTAGCCATTTGCTGCCGTGCTCGCCGATTAGTAAATTGGTCTCCGTATCTTTGCGGAAGATCTCCTCTGCGGCAGCGAGGTATGCATCAATGATTGCCTCCCGTCCGTCTGGGTGGTCTTCCTTTCCGGATACATCAACGGACCGGACCGTGTTCTTGAGATGTTCAATGGCATTGGTAAGATCTACAGCCGTCGGCCGAGACTGGAAGAGGTAATCTAGACGTGACTCGATGTGGGATATCGTCTCGTCTGTGGTTGTCGCATCTACATTTGGTGTTAGCTAGTTCACAGTCATCATTGACTAGGTACGATGAAGCAAGTTAACTAAACGGGGATACTTACCGCCACAACTCCCACCGTGCAATTCCACTCCGTGGGCTAATGCGGCAACAATGGCAATAGCTGGGGCGCCTAGATACTATGATGGTGAGAACTCATCCTATGGTTATTGGGTATTAGAAGCCAGACGGGATTCGTACCCCTGACTCGCATAGATTTTATGCATTCAAATGCCTCTTCGCTTGTCAAGATTTCATCGTAGTGGTGCTCGTGAGGTAGTTTTAGCTGGTCGAGGACTTCGAGCTTGCCTCGTGTGTATCGGATGGCTTGGAGGCCTGACATTGTCTCCTTATTTTTATGGTATGACTTGAATTTTATTGTATTTTATCAGCTTGCCCTTTATGTTGGACTATAAGAAGGCGTATAAGTCTTATGCGACAACTACATACAAAGAATGCACCAAAATTCCCCGCGATGAGCGTCGCATATCAATATTATGTATTAAGGCGAAATCTTTTTGATATTCTGCCGGACCCGGACCCCGCCAATGCATGATGCGATCTGGGAATTGGCCGGAAATTACTGGATAGCCAATCAATCAACAGCGTGCTACTCACCGCCTTTGAATAGCTAGCTTAACCCTGGAACCCTGTTCTATCTTAGTGTGAAACTTTGTATGGATAGCTTCGATCACCCTGTCAGCTGTCACTTTAATGTTCACCTAACCTAATAAGTTGTACCTAGGTAGTTGTACTTGGTAGCTTCAAGTTTCACTTTACATCCAAACCAACTCCTGTCTTCTTATTCTACGTTCTTATTCTACGTAATACTCTATACGATTGCTGACATCAGATTACGAATGCGACTAAAATATCATATATACCCCGATCATGAAGTAATGGGCCGCTAAAGCTGTTTCGCCATGGAACAGCCATTCTCCACCTCCAAAGTTACAGGTGCCTTTCATGAATCTCCCCTTTCAAGCTATGCGCCGGCCTTGCTAACCTGGCGCAGTCGAATATTTCGACCCCCACGATGTCTTCAAACTTCTCGCGCCTGGATTAGTGCCCCGACTACCTTTGCGCAACCTCCATTGGCAATCTCATGCTGGCCCCTTACGATCTATCGATACGCTTCACATCGAGCTCGTCTCCCCCGGCGACAAGACTTCTGTTACCTCCTCATTATCCCCACAACCTCCAACTCAGCAGCCTGATAGTGCTTCTTCCCGTGAAGATGGCTTTCAAACACAGATCGGAGCAGCATCGTCCTCTGACGCAGTCGACCTGGCTTCGAGTCGCAACAGTGCACCCGTGCGACGACACCAGATCCCTGGACTAAGGAGGACGCCTTACCTCAAGGTGCTACTAGTACGATGTGATGATAATGACTCTTATAAGGGACATGTAAGGCAGGAGATCCGTGATTGGGTAAAAAACCATACACCAACGACCGGCTCTAAGAGGAATACGACCGAGAACCACGATGCCTTCGAATGGCTTATCATTCATGTAGTCATACCGAACACAGTTGCTGCCACTCAACCACGAGACTCGGGCACCGTAACCGAAAAGGCCACAGCTGCTTCCAGATGGAGACCTGGGTCGAGCACGCTCCTCGAGAAGATGAGGTCTGATTTCAATGTTTCTAGTAAAGCGTCTTCAGATCGAATCGCTCAAATTCGAATCGGTGTCAACGATGTTCCGTACGATATTCTACCACGCGTGGTACCTGCAGTACCTAGTGGTTATACCGAAACGGAACAAGAAACTGAAAATTCCTGGACCGATCTTATATCTAAATTTCGCAGTCTCATTCTATCTAGTTTTGATCTACGCGTCACTCTATACGAGGAAGATATTAGAGAGAAGGACGCCCAGAGAAGTCTACCTGGGTGGAATTTCTGCACCTTCTTTATCCTAAAGGAGGGACTTGCTCGAGGCTTCGAAAGCGTAGGGTTAGTAGAAGATGCGTTAGTTGGGTATGATGAATTAAGTGTAGGTCTGGATGTGGTCGTTAAAGACCAAGCCTCGACAGGGGAAGAGTCTGCCGCAAATGCGCTATTAAGCTACACCGACGATATAAAACAAATCGCTCTCAAGGCTAAGGCCGCGATTGCTGGCGCTGGGGACGATGGCGAGGATGAATTAGTCGACCTGCAGTTCTCCCCAGCCGAGGGGGCCCAACATAAGGATTTATACCACGATATACCCATCAGCTCTACTAAAAAGTCGTATCGCGACATGATCGTCGCCAATAATGTTTCCGTTTTCGATTTTAGGTGTTACATCTTTTCGAGGCAAATAGCTCTCTTACTTCGGCTTGGGAACGCATGGTCGACGAGGGAAGAATTACTCGCGAAATTAAAAGAGCAACAGGAATCGGTTTTACACGGCGTTGCGCCTCGGGCACAGCCACCCAAGCAGAAGGAAAATGAACACGAGGATCTAACCATGCTTGCGGAGATATGCCGCCGCACACTTGACTTTATTCCCACAGTCTCCCAAGTTATGAGACATGATGTTTTTGCCGCACTTTCAGAGATGGCGAAAGCAAATGGAGATGACGATGCGATTCCAAAGCAATCTGATCCTCTTATATCAGAGATCGTCGATAACCTGGTGGCTTCCTTCGCCTTCTCCGTCGCACAGCAGATCCTAGCTCAGACTTCTACTAAGGCCCTGCCAATACCCCCATCTACTCTACCTACGCCTGACAGCCAAGAACAGAAAGCAACGATCCCTGAACCAAAGACGATGATGCATCCAGCTAGAAATTCGTCCTTGGCGATACGGACTGGTATTGGCGCCAACGTTGGTCGCCCGCCTCTAAGCCCAAACATATTCCCTGGTCGCAAGCCGAGTTTGACGGACGATCAAGGATCTACGTTCCTGAAAGCTGGGTTGGAAGAGCTCGCTGCTAAGAGAGCAGAGCTCTACATCTTATCAAGGAACATTCTCGCTGAATGTGGAAAGAAACGTGGGTGGACCGATGGGTGGGATAATGTCCCGGTCATGGGGGAGTCCAGCATGATCGACATGGTTGAAATTGACCTCGGAGATGATACAAAGAAAACACCGGAGGATGAGTCCTCGGCTGATCGTGAAGCTGTGGTTTCAATCTATGGCATTGGCAGTAAGCTGCTTAATACGGCGCTCGGCAATAGCGAGGACTTTTACCGTTTATATGAAATCCTTACTGACAAGGCATTACGGCATTATACTGTTGCAGACCATATTCACTCAGTAAAAACTAGCTTGGCAGACATTGCAGTTCTCAAGTACCACCTTGGCGACTATGCATCGGCTGCCGCCTCCTTTTGGGAAACAACCCCTTTCTTTGGTGAAAGTGGATGGAGCCTCCTCGAATTATCTATGTTGATAATGTACTCGAGGTGTCTTGAGAAGCTTGAACGCAAAGAAGAGTATGTCAAAGTTATGCTGAAACTCTTGACGAAGGCGGCTGCAGCAGAGAGAGACCGCCAGGAACAGAAGCTGGCGTTTCGTTTTGGGAAGACGGATGATACTGATTATCCGGACAGCGAAGCTATCAAGGGATCCTTGGACAGCCTGTTGTCAGCAACAAAGACATTACCGAACGAACTACGGATACCCCTTACCAGCTTCTTTTCCGTGATAGAGGTCGACGGCCCCCCAGAGTATCACCAAGACCGAGATTCCGTCTCTCTTAATCTGAAAGTGAGCAGTTTATTAGCAGACAATATCCAAATTGACACTGCGAGAGTACGGATTGTCAGTCCAAACAGTCGGTCCGCGAAAGAAATCTGGTTTGAGCTCCCGGAGCCAACAACATTCAAGCCGGGCAAAAACAAGCTCAAGCTAAGCAGCAATGTAAGTTGGAATCATGAAGCATCAAGTGAGATGGTATACTAATTGTAGCAGTCTGTGATTCCTGGATCCTATGAGATCGACAAAGTAGATATCGCAGCTGGTAACCTGCGTCTCCATCATGAACGCGAAGTAGGCCAACCCGTCAGCAAAGGGTTTGATACCTTTCGATCTCCATATGTTGTCATCTACCATAGAGCCGACACGCTAGACGCACGAATACATGCGTCCAAACATATCCAGTTAGATCGAAACACCACGGTAGATCTCGACTTAGACTCTGGCTGGAACAGCTTGAATAGCGCAGAGATTCGAGTCAAGTCGGCTACAGGAGGTCTAAGACTTCTCACTAGCGAGGCAAAGTGTATCAATTCTTCCGTGGATTTCTCTAAACCTCCAGAGGCTGGCCTCTTTTGTTTTGACTCAATACCTAAGAACCAAACTGTTCGAATCCGCTTTCCATATACTGTAGAACAGGAAAGTCTCAACATATCCATACGCGTTGAAGTATCTTACACCACGGATAATGGCACATTCTTCTTCTCGAAGACCCCTATTATTGATACTGCTCTCGCTCTTGGCGTCAACGTCCAAGACGTTTTCAAACACAAAGCACTTTACTCTCGCTTCACCGTCTCCACTGCGAGTCACATCCCGCTACGGTTGTTTAAGAGCGAACTGATTGCGTCAGATGTGTTCGAGTCGGAGTTTGGTACATCGCCTAGTGCCCCTGTCGTCGTATTTCCGAAGCAACCAGCTAGCCTTCTTTACAAAATTAAGCGTAAACCAGGCGTCAAGATCAACTCCAAAACCAAGAAGACGCTGTATCTTAGAATATGTTACAGTGTCTTACAAGATGAAGTCGTATCCCTATTCGAGGACTCGTTAACCGAGTCTTTGGAAGACAATCCGCTACGCCCCTTTTCCCGACTTCTTTGCTCAACTATAGCGCCTCACGTACGACGCAGCCTTACGGGATACGAGCTAGAACGCGCGGCTCTGCTCCGATCAGTACCTACCGTATTCTTGTCGTCGGTCAATTGGGCGAAATACTTCACGGGGCTAGGTAAGACGCCGGACGGAGTTGATTACTCACAGGCTTTGGTATCTTTTCTCCGCACTTGGCAGACTGAGAATCCCAGATTGGTGTTCGAAACGGCCTCTGTCCCCGCCGAGCCCATTTCGATCCTCATTCCAGTGGACATACCATCCTTGACCATCGTCCACACAGCGGATATCCGCCTACAGAACCCCCCCAAGCCATCTCTCGCCTTCCCTTCCTCGCTGTCCAACTCGGTCACGCCCACAGTGTACACCAACCAGCTACTCCCTGCTGTTCTGTACCTAAAGTGGACCCGCATATGGGATACCACGACGCCAACCTCCGAACAAGCCGACCTCGAGTTCAGCTACGAGCTCGCCGCACCCCAAGACACCTGGCTCCTCGGCGGGCGGCGAAAGGGCCACTTCGTCATCCCCGCCCCCTCCGACGACGCACCCTCCAGCATCAGCAGCACCCCCGACACCGAGGCCGCCATCCCCATCCTCCTGATCCCCCTCCGCGAGGGCTGGCTCCCCTACCCCACCGTCGACATCCAGGAGATCCGACCCCTCGATGACCCGGTCGCCGTCGCCACCACGCCGCTCGTACCGGGGCAGTCGCACTTCGAGACGGATTCGAGGAACCTCGGCGAGACGGTACGGGTGGTGGCGGATAGGACGCGCGTTACGCTGAGCTTGGACGCGAGTGGGCCGGCGGGGGGGCCGCTGGTGTTGGATGTGGAGAGGAGGGCGGATATTGAGGTGGATATTGGGAGGGTTGTTGCCTAGGTGCCCTAGGTACTGGGTGATTACAAAGAAGCTTGAAGCTTGTTGCTAGGTAGATTACTATTCTAACCTAGTAAACTAGCTAAGCTACCTCTTAGGTGGTGGTGGGGGAATGGATGCTAAAATGGAAATGGACTGATTGGATGATGTGATGGGTTAGGTACATAGGTTAGTGGTAGGTAGTACTAGGTAGACGTGAGAATGAAGCCATATTACTACTGGTACCTAGTAACTATCTGCCCCTGTAGATCTAACCTAGCTACCGGTATGTAATCGTAGATTTTGAGGCCCGTGAAGTAGACATTTGAGACGGTACCTAGTGTTGTAGATAGCGCAGAGGAGGAAGTTCTGCCAGTTTCTTCACGACAATAGATCTGGGGGGTATCATTTTTTTGTTCATTGTAGTACCTAACCATTTTCTATCCATCTCCTTCTCCTTGTATTTTCCTTTTCCCATTTTTCCTCATACCTACAGCACATCACTGTACTACCTACCCAGGGTACATAATCTCATGGCCGACAAACGGTTAGATACCTTATCCGTCTACTCAGCAAGCAAGCCATCCAAATCAGGCGGGTTATACGGATTCCACCGATCCATCTCGTGCACGGGGATTTTCCCCTGGGCCCTCCACTTGGCCTCGAGCCGCGCGATCGTCTCCTGCATGTTATCCCAATCGAGCTCTTCTTTTATCTTCTCGGTCTCGAAGCCCCAGTCGTTATCATCATCGTCGTCGTCGTCGTCGTCGTCGCTACCATTATCTTCTTCGGCGGGGGCACGCAGTAGCGCCTCCCGAGCCTTGGCAACCCGCGCGGCGGCCTCGACACCGATGCACAGCTGGGCGTCAAACTTGCCCAGCCCTTCTTCCTTGCCGCTGCCATCATTCTCGGCACCCGCGATGCTGGCCAGGGCGGCAAGGCCGAGGTACGCGTGGTACACGTCCGGGGGGGCGCCGGGGTGCTTGCCAAAGCCGCCGATCATGTGCTGGGTCTTCTCCAGGATGAATTTCCGGGCGGGGCCGCGATCGATAATCTCGCCCGCGCCGAGCATCGCCAAGGTGCCGCTGACCCACCACGTGTAGCAGGTGTCGGCGACCTTGTTCAGGCGGCCGTTGAATCCCACTGTTGGCTCTGCGTCGGATATAGTCAGTGTGGATAGATCGGGGGGTGTATTGTCTTCGGCATCTTCGTTTTCGTCGGAGTCGTCGGAGTCAGGGTCGGAGTAATTGAATTGGCGACAGGCGAGAAAATGTACTAGAGCGGGAATGGAAGGAATACCGGCGTGAAGGTACCGGTCAGGTTCCGTGGCGGAGTTGGGGTTGGCGAGATCGAGCAAGGAGAGAGCTGCTACGGCGCAATATGCATACCCGGCGTGGCTCTCATGCATCGAAGTCTCGGATACACCCCCGTCAAAGGTTTGGCCTCGTCGGATGTGCGCCACGAGCGCATCGATGTTGAAATCCTCGCCGGCTTCGGCGCCGCCAAGAGCCCATCTGATGGTAGCAGCCAGGTAGCAATACCGCATATCTCTGCCTCCTCCTACGAAGCCATCCTCGTCGATGATCTCCCCAAAACTACCGTCCTCTCTCTGCAGCTTCTTGAGCCAGCGGAGTGTCTTTATTCGGTGGACACCGTCGAATGCTTTGGTGCCGTCGTCTTCAGCCAAGACACCTAGCATAAGGAGGGCAAAGTAAGTGGCGGCGATGTTGGCATTAGCCGGGTCACGCGCGGATTCGGTCTTATTCGCAGCATCCCACTTGGTGGTGTATACTTTTGGCAGAACATGGTGGGGTGAGCCGCAAAAGCCACCTTGGGGATGTTGTAGGGAGAGAATCCAAGCGCGGATGCGAGTACGATCTTGTCGGGTTATGAGAGAGGCCCTAACGGGATCACTTGGGGGCTCGGAGTAGGAAGAAGAAGAAGATAAGAGGTCGAGGGCGGCTACTATGAAAAAGCCAAGTGTAAGTCGACTGCTATCGTTGCTCGTATAATGGTGGGGGAGAACGGAGCGGAAACATCGTTGCCAGTATCTAGTATGCCGAGCTGTGTCGAGGGGAGGGTTTTCTGAAGATGGGGTCATGGTGATGTCAGTTTGGGTGTTTCTATGCTTTTTGTTTTTGTTTTTGTTTTTGTATCCAAATAATATCCAAATAATATTCAAATAAAAAGAAAGTAACTAATAACTAACTTTAACTCATGGCAACTTCAATCAAGTTCAATGTTCAAGTTGAATGCCCCGCCATGCCCCTCCATGTGGCTACTGCCGCTGACACTAAGTACACATTCGGCATAGTACGATCTTGAAGTATTGAGTACTGAGGCACAAGATGAAACAAGCCACAACATCCTGGTCCTTCAATGGTCCAGGCCCGACACGAATACATCTACATCTAGGTACATCTACAATCTAGTTACATCTTAGTATCTTACACATGTACATCCAACATACGTGTCGCAGGCCGGTACACTTCAAAGTTGCTTCTTTCAACTCCATTTTCAACCACTCCACCATATTGAAGCAAACACTCGTTCTTTTCTTCATATTAACTACGACAAGTCCGACAAGTGCGACGAGAAGACAAAAGCCACAAAGGCCACAAAGGCCACAAACAGTACAAGTGAACAAAAGAACATAAATCAACTGTCCTCGTTCAATGTCTATCACGGGCATCGTGACCTATTTCTCGGCCCCATCACCACTATTCAACCATCCACCTATACATTAGTTACGCCTATACCTACACATATAGGTGTATAGGTATACGGCAAGAGATTACCATTGACCCGCATCGAAGAATAATATCATTCCGCCACGAATTTGTACCAACATGGCCCTCATATCCGTCAAAACCATCATCACCTCCCTCTCCCTCTTCCACATCACCCTCGCCTACTTCTTCTACACCAACCCCAATGCCATCGCCGACCAAGCCCTAGTCTGGGTACTAGGAGAGGCCATGGGCATGGTGAGTTCTCCCCTTCTGCATTTCGCATATCCTCGGAACGAACAAACTTACTAACCTTCAAAACCCCAGTCGCACACGACAGCCTTCGCAACCCCCAGCGTCCCCTCCTCCTTCCTCGCCATCGTCCTCCTCCTCACCGGGCTCTCCGACCTCCTCACCCTCTCCATGCCCGAAGAGATCTGGCTGATCCACTACTGGGGCTCGCAGGCGCCCCTGCGCATAACCCTCTTCGCCTCCCTCTCGCTCTTCTCCTTCTTCTCCGCTCCCTCCCACGGCCGCTCCGGCCCCGGCCGCATGTCGCACCCCCTCGCGCCCCCCTCTAGCGCCGCCACCCCCTTCGCCACTTTGACCGGCGCCGACGGCCTGCGCAACCGTGTATTTTTCACGTTTGCGTTCCTCGAGTTCTTGTGCTGGTTCTGGGCTTGGGTCACGCTCAAGGAGGAGGTCGGCCGCTTTAACTCGAAGAAGAGGAGGAGGGGGAGCAGTAGCAGTAATGGTGGCTTCCGGGGCTGATGGGAGCAATCGCTTACCTACCTGGGCAACAAATTAGCTAGAGTAGCTGGACCGAAAGAAGACAGCTTGAACAACGATTATGTTGGCATGAATCAAAGTATATTCGCATTACCATTCTACTACCCCAGTGGAGGACTACGATTCGATTTTCGCGACACTCTTTCAGCAGGATCTTCGTGAAGCTTATCATGCATAGCCTGCTTGGGTCAGATGCATAACGGGCAGGGACAATAGGTGTATCTATTTTCGCGGCATTGGGCATTGGGCATTAGGCATTAGGCATAGGGTTCACTAATCGGCGCGGGAGATTGCTAAACACATAGATGGACGCGGAACGGCGAAGAGCCTAACCTAGGCCAGTACTTAGATTAGGACATGGAAGATACCCCCTTTTCTTCTCTTGGACGTTAGTTACGCATGCCTACCTACCTACCTAGGTACCTATTCACGGAATGTAATTAATAAAGACTCGCGTTAAAGTGTGTGTATGATCAGTTCTTTTTCATTAGTTCTCTGATATCTGCATGTGGTACCTTATGTACTAAGCTTGGGCGTCCCGTATTTACAACTTGGAAGAGTCCAGGTGTCTCGAGCCACACCGGCCAGCAACAACGTTCCATGCCTGATAGTACCTATGCATGCCTTTCGCATTGGGTTCTCTTTTTCGTCGCATCTTGCATTTTTCTTTTCATCGTCTTGCATGCATCTCTTTTTCATTCATGTCACATCATCCGTATTTCCCCCATCGTCCATGCATCCATCCATATTACCCCTTTTTCTTCCCGATCCCCTTCTCTCCCCGTTTTTTAAAAGGAAAATACCACCCATCGCCTAAACGAGAAACACGTCGGAGAAAGCTTTCATGATGATGATTCATCTTGAAATATCAAGCTCCCTGTTCTGGATAGTAAATTAGGACATTGTCGACGAAGATTAGGTAAGTAGGTACCTAATAATAAGATGCAAGAATCGAAATGCGTATTCGGAGAGGTAATTATTGCAACCTCCAGTGTTGGGGAATGAAATAGGATGCCAGGTGCTCAGTAGGTGATGAAGACTCAGTCGAACTTGACGTTGGCCCATCCCCTCATGACATCTTGCCAGGATGCGCTAACTGAATCTCCCCACAACTCGGCTTTCGCTTTGGGCACAATGGCCTTAAGCTTCTCAGTCATCTCAACTTTGAAGTCCTTGTTCTGGTCGTATGGATTGGGGGAGTCGTCCAAGGCCCATTCGCATAAGCGATCCCTCCAACCGTTGACGTTGTCGAGATAGCTTTTAAGGAGCTTGATGCGCGCCTTGATCGTATTCTCTGATTCGGTTGCTGCTGCTGTCATCTTCTTGATCTCAGGCGCCAGCCATGCAAGGTCAGCCGCAGTACGGCCCTTGTCCATGTTCTTCGCCTTCTCGGCAGCGGCTGTGAGATAGTTTGCCGTGTACTTGACGGCGATGATCGATTCGCGTAGCATGCCCATAGCATGTAAAGCCGCGAAGCCGTGGAACCCGGATCTTTTGGATTGTATGTTATTAGGTACGGCTAGGAAGTCATGGGTCTGGCCCTCGAGTGTCTGCACAATCCCCGTAACGATATGGCGGATAAGGTCGCGAATTTGATTGGTAGGTGCTGAAACAATTGCATGTTCCATGATGTTCTGCACTGCGCTTGCGAGTCTGTATACGATGCTATGATACCAGTTCTCCGCTGAAGTGAGTGTTGCTTTGAGGTCCTCTTGTTGGCGACATAGTTTGGCTTTCTCTTCTACCGAAAGCTTCGAGTCGGCAACGCCTAGAATGGTCCTCATGCTATTTTCTAGGTGACAAGAAGCGGCGACTGCATATTTCCAGTCGAGTTGTATGATCTGTCCGGCCTTTGATGGCTTATACTCTTTCGGCTGCACATAACAAACAAAATCGAGGAAGCGTTCAGCTAGAAGTCCAAGGTGGGCGCGAGTGCCCTGATAACCCAGTTAGAATTGACTTGACCACTGGAACGAGAAATGTCACTTACCGTTGGGAGAGGTCCATAGTTTACAATAGCGTGTATAGGCTTCGACTTCTCTCCACCCACGTACTCCTCGGTGTTCTTGCGACGTGGTATAGCATAGGCATTGTAGTCAGTAATGTCTACGAGGTCATGCTCGATCGAGAGGTTTCCTTTCAAGTTAGCTTCGTTTGATTCCTTAGTATGGGGGCATAGCTCGACTTACGAACAAGGCAGTTGTCATCAATACAGGTCTCGATCTTGCCTGCTTTCATCCGCAAGCCTCGCCGTTCCTCTATTACGGCCATCACCAATGTACAACTTGCTGTCTGCTTCTCAGCAAACTGTATCATCGACCCAATACTCGGATAAGTTCCCATTTCTAGAGAATTCATAATCCTCTTAGGAATAGTGCTCCTCAGCCCTCTTGTGAAATGCACCATGAAAGGTTCGACGGGATTGTCATAGCTGCGACCCGATAGGAAAACTCCGGGGGCGATGGAAGACAACCGATCAATATAGAGCAACCCTAAGGAATCGAGCAATGCATTTTTTATGTCCAGTCCACCCCAAAGGGCCTTAGCACGGGCCACACATCCCATCAGAAGGTATAGCTTGGCCAGTAATAGAGAATGTGTCGTGGTTTTAGGCAAGGGGGTGCTCGCGTGGAAGTCCAGCCATAGGACAGCTTGCAGGAACAATTGGATGTCTGCGTTGAACAGAGAACTATTTCCTTGCGGCGAAGGCCCACGTCCAAGTCTTGCAAGCTTCAAGAGACATGTAGCACCAACCACTGCGATATCTGAAAGTGGATTCACGCTTTGTTTAGGCAGTATATTTTGAGTGAGATTGTCGTCGTCCATGCCAGACTTATAAGCCTCAAGGGCACTAATCGCGATTGACCGAAGACAATAGACACAGTCAGATCCTTCTAATGCATTATCACAGAGCTCGCATGTCAAGCCACCCTCCGTTGCAATTGAGTACCGCATGCTCAAGCTGATGGACATTAACATAATGCCTTGGAAATGGTCGGCACACTGATAAGTAAGAGTCAGCTAAGTCCACTATCGGCAAAATCCTGAACAAGTAATAAATTACCTTAATGCCGCGGGTACGAAGAGAATTTAGGAGTAGAGCAAGCTCTGCCTTGCTTAAAGTCCCGAAGAAGGACATAGCTTCGGTCAAACACTGAGGGTCCTGGTAGTGCTTGATAACGTAACTGGTAAGGTTGATGATCCGTGTAGAGGAGCCACGGCCTAGCGCTGCCTGTGTATCTCTCTCAAAAAGAATACACATCGCAAGAAGATCATATGCTTTTTGGAATATGGGTTTCATGCACTCGGCTCTCACCAAAGCCTTAGCCATCTTGTCACATAACTGGCGAACCTTTTTGAAAGCCCTAGTAAAAGTAAGCGTCTAAGGTATTCAAGTGTGTTGGGAAACTTACCGCTTGCGGTCTGGCTGAAGGCTGGCTGCGCGAAAAAGGATCATTAGTAACTCATATTCGCAGCATGCGTTGACATAGGCATGATCCTTTAAGCTGCGTCCAGGCCTAGCCTTTTCTATAGCTCGAACTAGGTCCTTTTTAACTGACGACTCCGCCGTAGATGAGTTTTGTTGTGCTTCATCCTTTGCCAGTGCACGCAAACTGATCACATTCTCGTCCGCTTCAATGGCGGAAGCCTCGTTCTGACAAATCCGGGTCGCTTCTTCTAGAATCTGCTTCGCAACCTGGAAGACGTAATCCCAGGCAGGCAGATCTTGTAGGTAGTTCATGAGGCTCCAATAAGGCTCAAAATGGCCAGCTTCGAGAAACGCAAGAGGACCATACTCAGGCTTCTTGAACAACTCCGCGTTGTCTTTTGGCTCGCAGTGAGTTAGACGAATAATGAGCCACATCCACCCTTCGGATTCATCATTGGCACCCCTAGAAACATAATAACCCGAACCAGCAGTCTGAATGCTACAATCAGCTTTCTATCCGTAGTAGAACAATGGATCTCGAACACTCACCATGACACGGAAGTCAAAGGCCTTATCAGCCTGAGCTCTCGCAAGAGATCCAAAAATCTTCCTGCTGTTCTCGGGACAATCATCTGATAGCTAATTCGAGTTAGGATTCGGAGTATTAACAGCTCATGAGTGCTAGTTCCTTACAGCGTATTGATGGGTGGCCAGTATGTATCGAAACAGAAATTTATGCTCGCTCCCAAAATTCTTGTGCAATGATGCTGCAATCTGGATATAAATGTCAGCGAGCTTGGGGCTTCAAGGCCAAGGTAGAGTTTACCTGCTGAGCATTTTTCCAATCCGAATTCCAAACACAAGCGTCGAGGCAGCGGCTGCAAGATGCCTGATCCTTTGGAATGGCTTTCACTAGCCTTGCGCGCAACGCACCGATCGTTTCCGAGTACTTGATGTCTACTCGATGGCAAGCGAGCTCGTAGAGATCAAGAGTATCGACATCCGTAATAATAGTCTTGTCCTTGACCATGGCCTCAACTGCCACCTTTCCAGCGTTACGGTCTGCAACATTGTCACTCTGTGATTTAGCAGCAACTTCAACAGCCTAGAGGAATACATTTGGTTAGCTTCGTGCAAAGGGGGGAAAAGAAAAAGAAAGGCTTGGAATTTAGGAGGATATCGCTAGATGGTTTTATGCAAAGGCAAAGTGTGAATGCAATTTGCCCAAAGTCATCAGCACATCAGTCTGTGTAGGCAGCCCGTAGACTAGGAATCCTGTCGTTGTCCCATCATGAAGAACCCCTGAGCAGAATCAGGGGGAGGGGTAATCATGATATAAGCTATCCGAAAACATAATTCTCAAGCTCTTGATAATATACCAGAAAAATCTGTAAATATGAGGCAGTGGAATCTCTACTTACCAAGTAGTAAGGATCTTTAGTGACTCTGTATCGTTGCCTTGCTAGATTGGCCGCATTCACCCATTGTTCATCACCAAACGAGGTCTGCAAGACAGCAGGAGTTGATGGCTTGAGGCTAACAGGCCTTGGAGCCGGAGGTATCAACGGCGGCTTCATAATGATTGATCACTGGCGCCGGGATGTGGAAATAGGCAGGTATAATTTGACTATTTCAGAAGTGATGGGGATGATGGTAAAGTGTCTAAAAGTGTGAACATAGAAGAGAACGACAGTGGGGTATCATTGCAAGAGGGAATACAATGCAAATTCGTACATTAAAAATCGAATAAAAGGAAAAGTATTTCTTGATTTTTCGAGAATGGATACGGAATAACTACTGACAATAAAATAATCTCCAAGTATTTATTGTACCATAGTGGGTAATGAATAGTGAACGACGGAATATATGATATCCATTGATGTCCGGGTCTGGTTCTCTTACAAGATTTAAAGGCGAACATTGAACATTGAACATTGAAATTTGGTAGGTTCAATGTTAACTAAACGGCGCCAAATTCTGCCTGAGGAACAAATCTACGCATGCCCCTCCATGTACCCGAAGTTGTGCCGGATGTAAATACCTATTCACCTCACTGGGACTGAATCCGACTGATACATGCAACTGCCTGCAGCCTCACCCTCACTTTCACCTTCCGTCTCGGTTAGAAATGTGCATATATTCCCGTTGCATGCCTGGCATCTTGACCTGAACCTTATCTATTTATAAACGCCATTGATCCATCAATAATCAACACAACTTGAACCTAAGTAGTATACACATCCTCATGAGTTCTAAGGTTGTACCTATCATTGAAAACTTTTCTTCATTCAAGTTCGTTCATTGACGATACTTTTACGATATGCTAGTAGTACTACATAGTCCGAATCTCAGCCCATTCTCTGATTCTCATCACTTCCGGCTACTGGAGACGCACGCATATTTGGACCATTCTCAAGTCCTAGAGCAATCTAGCCGAAAATAGATCCTCCTTCCTTCTTGCGCTTGTTGATCTTTTTTGCATGAAGCGTCAGTATATCTAACCAGTCATATTATAGACCCTATATCATATGGACTCATCAACTCACCCATTCCTTTTTACATGCGCGATACGCCCTGCCATTCGCATTAGCACTCATGGCCGAGCAACCACATCTCACTGCCTAGTCCCACTACAGGTATCATCCAGATAAAGGAGCGAAGGCCTCAGGAAGACTCACTCAAAATAATCGGTACACATTTGCCTATCGCCAGCGTTTCGGTTCAGACACCGGATGCTGCGCGCGGCAGCTGCTTGGCAAGGGTCAAAGTATTCGCTCTTGGATTTGCTGTCGCAAATATTGTCAGTGAATATTGTACTGATTGAATTGGAATTTGTCATTACCATGAACCTACTTTTCGAACTTTTGCTTTGACTCCTTACCCCAAGGATCTGCTTTGGAGTCATCTTTTGAAGACATTTTGAGCCACGGAATAATGCGTATGAGGTGGAATGAAGCTTAAAAGCTTCCACGTTCGGTTCAGCGCCAACTTATCAGCATATGTACTAGGTTAACCTAGGTACAGTACTTTGTAAGTACCACAATAAAGTTTCAGGGATTACCTAATGCCACCCAGGCACTGTATTTAGGTGCTATGTAAAGTGGTCTAAGCGTCACCTCCCCCTTTCAAGTTCAAGCCCTTAAAAAGGGGGTAATCATCACCATCACACTCTTAATATCACAAACACATTTTTTTGCTAATTTGAACAGGAACAAAATATATCTTTCTAACTAATGAAAACTTGTGTAGGCAAACAAGTAGTCTCATAGATCTCCCGATCTCATGCCGGTACCTACCTAACTACCTAACCTAGTCATATATGTGAAGCATACTAACCTAGGAATCTAGGTTGATTCTCACATTTCTGCGTACTCATTGACACTCGAATTGTTTACCGCAAATCTCTCCTTATGAACCAATACACCAGCCTTGTCAACCCTGATCTGCTCTGTCCAAAATCTGACCTCGACCCCAAACTCTGTGATATTTGATCCAATGAGCGCGCTAGTCTTGTTCGTCCATTCATCCAAAACCTCATTATCCTTGGCTCCATACCAAAGGATCGTGTAAGCTTCCTGGTGCGGATTTGGCACCTGCCTGAATTCTGCTAGGGGAAGGAGCTCAAGAGTGACGTTGGTCGACTTGTCTGGCTGGGCAACTTGTGTGATGTTGTCAATGAAGTTGAGCCTACCAAGGAGGGCTAGCCATAGACCTTCGATGCAAGCAGAGCAGAAGCTTGCAGAATAGGTGTTGCGCATCAGGCAGAGATCGTTCGTGGGGCGGTATGTGGTTATGTTTTCATCGGAGAATCTAGACAAAGGATCACAATATCAGCGAGATATGATAAATATAGGCAGGCCAGCTCATGCTGATCTAGGAGACTTACGTAGGATAAAGTCCATGGTATTGCGGATCGAAATTAAACCTAGAGTTACCAAAATGTTAGAAAACAGCGCAACCTCAAGCAAGATAGCAATCAACTCACTCTTCGCCGTACTCTATTACTTCAAGGTTGCAAAGCTGCGCGCTCCCCTGAATCTCCTCGTTGAGAAGGGTGAACCTCACCTCATGCTCCCCCGGAGAAAGCGCCGAATCAATCTTCATGTTGTAGATGTACCGATCTACTCCGACTTCCGGGTTGATCTCCCAGCCCACGTCCTTGCCATCGATCTCCACGAGCAAGTCGCTGCTGGCTGTCATCCCGCTCACACTGACCTGGAGAAGGTGAGTGGCGTAGGTGCCGGCCGAGGTAAAAGTCTGGCTCCAGCTCTGCGACGTGTTCAGCAGCGTCCAGGGGTATGCTTGTATCGGCATGTTGGAGCGCTGGATGTTCGGCTCAGTCGACGGGTCAGTGTACCACTGCGTCCAGGGAACCTCATCAGTGGACTGGGCCGCGTTGACGCCGCTGTAGATAGCGCCTCCGTCATATTCTTCACCGATATTTATGATGGAATGGCCTAGTTCGTGACGGATGATCGCCGGGCCGTTGATAGGAGAAGCCGTCACGACGCTATGAGATTCAGTAAAGAGCTCAAGTTAAGAGAGTTTGGAGCTTACGTGAATTCACCGCCCAGCCCTCCATATAGTGGGTCGTTCCCAAGGAGAATAGGAAAATCACACGCTTCTGTCGATTCACAGGCAGCGCGAGCTACATCTTCTTTATCGTAATATACACCACGCAGCTCAGTGCCATCTCGATAAAGCCCGTAAACGGTACTGTGATAATGTCTTGTAAGCGACCAAAAAAGCACAAGATCACAGGCTGGGAAGCACTCACTCTAGAGGTTTCCCACCGGTACCAACGCCGCTCTGTTAAGAGGTTAGACATAGGAATTATCATAATAGGTGCATTGCAGTTCAATTTACGTACTTCCGCACTCGGCGAGAACCCAGCCCAGAAGTTCAATGTAGGGAGCACGTCAACAAATGTCTGTCCAACTGTGACATTGTTTGCGAGGAAGAGAGCATCAGCAAAGAATTTGTCTTTCTCTTCCTCGGTATCTATATCGTATCCAACATCGCGTTAGTTGAGAGATGAATTTCAATTTTACGATAGCATATCAATTACGTACATCCATCGCCGAAGAAAATTAGATCGACGCGGTTGCTCGACGGCCCGTTCACAATGAGAGGCCGGATCTCTAGAGGCGGCGGAGGGACATCCTGCCTCACTTCCAAATAAGGAACACCGTCGACCTTGTGGTTTGCTGCAAATTTACCCTCCCATTGATGCTCACAGCTATGCCCCAGGGCGATACGCGCTGTCGCGGCGAGAAGGACGACGATATTCTCGAGATTCTTCATCGTGGAGGTTGTGATGAGCGAGCGGGGAAAAGATGAAAGCGGTGAAATCTCGTATTCGAGATTCAGCAGCACCCGTTTAAATCATACCTATGTTCTCCATCATCTCGAGGCCCGCCGCACCCGGATTATCACTCCAACATTTGGGATAAATCTACCTTCCAGAAGCAGGGTTCAACGTTCCAATGGATATCATATATATATCTAACTACCTACCTAGGTTAGGTATACACACTAGGTAGATAGGTAGATAGGTGGGCGTGGTGGGCGTGGTGGCCCGTTATTGCCAAGTCTCATATCTGCCAAGAACATGCGAATGTAACCTGAGTGCCGAGAAGATATTCGGGATACTCGTAAACTCGGTGTTTTCTTCCGGCAAGAATACTCTGCTCTGCCGAAGTATGGTGCCAATTCCATGAGCATTAGATAGGTCTGGTATCTAACATAGCCAGTTTTATAGATAGGTAGGTTTGAATTTAAGCAAGCCATAATATTTCTAGTCGGGCGATCTAATGCAAATCATCGGCGGCTTGCCGAAATGACTTAAAGCGTGTAACCCCCTGAAAACTCTCCCATCCCAGGAAACACAATACTTGGTTCAAGATATCGCCATCTCGTGTGGGATCTTCGAAACCTGAACTGTGACTAGGTAGCATGATTCCATCCGTAGGACTCAAGTGATAGTAAATTTAGAAGTGAATTGGTACCCGATATTGATTGGAGTAGGTATGTAGGTATACCAGTTATTATGTATCTGCGTTCCACTATACTCATTTAGTTTGCGCTGATGGTTCCATCATGGAGAGGCATGCATGAGACAGGTGTCGATAGTCGCTCTTTGTGGGGAGATGATATCTTACATGTCTTAGTTGTGTAGTATCCATGGGGAGAAATTAGCTACCGAGTGTAATCTACATGTAACTTACACATCTCGTGGCAATCTCAGCCCTGCCCTGCCCATTATAGCTGGAGTACTATGTGCCTAAACAGTGATTCCGGCAACTAACCTACCAGCCCTATCTAGGATTCTAGGTACCTAACCACAGACACCTAGCTTCGGTATGTAGCACCATGCCATGCAATGCCCCCCTACATTTTGAGTCCTACATACCTATTTGAAAGTGGTTGACCCGTGTTTCGCGGATGTCAATAAACATGATCTGGACCACTTGAAGCTGAATAGGTATTATTATTCATAGGCATCACATAATACTTCAGACAGCCGTTTGAACCATTTCGAAGGATTTTCTGCATGAAGAGTTTGGGTGGTGTACGAACTGTCCAATCGCATCAGCACCTTTCTGCAGGCCGCCGGAGCTGATGGCGCCAGACTTCCCAGGTTCATCATCAATTATTTCCTTATTTGGGTTGTGGCGACGGTGCTGACAGGGGGGATCATCCACGCTCGATATGCCGTGAGAACCAATTTCATATGCACAAAAAGGCTCTTTATTATAGAATAAGCACGTCTCATATCTCAGCTGTAGCAGAATGAGTTCTTACAAAACCCCCTGTGGGCCTAATGTCTGTATAACTCGAGCTCTTCTACTTTTCACCCCCGAAAGGTTGACGAAGTAGCTGTAGCGTAGGTAGATACTGGGAAGCAAAGAAAAAGTCACTCGTTTGAACACCCATCCACTTACTGGATCGACAATGACGTTAAGCCATGATCAACCTGGTCTGGAAGTAGCACCAGAGTCAGAGCTACATGTTGTTCAAGCACAAACCGTCAACCAAGCGCCACCCCAAAGTCCGGGCCAGTACGCGTACGGACATCAACCACAACCTCAACCGGGCAACGCATACTTATCCGGTGCGTACTCACCTTCTGGATATCCCCCAGGCTATCCACCAAGCTATCCAGCAATAGCGTCTCCGAGCCAGGCTTATTGGAAAGGCTCCCAAGATGGCACACATATCACAGATGGAGACCTGCCGAAGCCTGCCCAGCCGACGATACTTGGGTTGAGGAAGACGGTGTTTTGGTTGATATTCGGTTCACTCATCGCTCTTTTTGTCGTCGGTTTAGCTATCGGCTTGGGCGTTGGATTGGGGGTTAAACATAACGATACAACGTCTGGGTACGTGAGGCCAAAACTTGCTCTCTACCTACCTAGTTACACCCTGTTCAGCCCATATCCGCTAACATCCGTTCAGGTCAACATCCAGCGAAACGGCAGCGCCGAGCCCTATAGCGTGCCCCGCGGCGAACGGAACCATATACGACGCTACGGGTAGCACCCGTTTCCTAGTCCTCTGCAACGTGGACTACAACGGAAACACGGATTCCAGGACTACGGATATCGCTAATGAAGGGACGAGTAGCATTGAGGACTGTATCAATGCCTGCGCGGGGATGTCGAACTGCAAAGGCGCTGGCTGGGGAAATATGGATGGGCAACACACGTGCTGGATGAAGGGAGGATTGGGTTCATCGCAAAGTGCGCCGAATTGGTTCTTTGTTATCAGGCAATGATCGATTGCCTCCTGAATACTTGGCTGGGTGCCTATCTATGGGTGTAATATCGCAGACGGGTGTCCATAAAATAAACATACAATGGGAGGCAGCGCTGGACTTTCAATTTGAATATACCTACTCTGTATAATAACTCTCGGGTTCCCTTTCTCATTTCTCAATCGGGGCACATATAGCATCAAGTCTCGATACCTTCCAGTTGTCATATATAGCACTCCACCTTGGAAGCCTCCCTAGGTCGGTAGCTCTAAGTGTTATATTTACTATATATACCTACCTACATGTCTAATCTACGATCTTTCGATATCAGCCTTGGCCCTAACCGACGTATCCAGGCTCTCTTATGTGCTTTGCGATGTTAATATGGACATAGCTCTGAACACATCCATCATGACGGAGAGGGGGTTCATGTATGTTCGTGAACCTGCGCTGTGAACCTCTGGCTGGTTGGTACTATTGGTATTGTTGCTGTGTGGTGACATGTTAGTAATCTACCAAACTTCATAGAAGAGGAAGACGGAATAAAGGGATAACAGTAAAAGATAGCAAGGATATACGCACCCACAACTCCAACTCGCCGCATCGTCCACATTCCCCGATCCATCCCAAGTCGCCGTCGTAGGATACGTGCATATCGGCCTCTGGCGCTTAACCCCTGACGACGAATCCGTCGGATCATTCCACGTCGTCGCGATGACCTGGTCGACCGGCGCTCCATTCTCAACCCAGTCCACAAGCGCAAGCAATATATCGTGCGCCGAGTCCGTGAACCCCGGAACCGAGTACGTGTTGTTCCCCAGAATGGACGCCTGGCTCGCACCCCCAAACGCCCACGGCGCATCCACGCTAGTGTACCCGCAATGCTGCATCCCGGGCACCTCGAGGCGTCGGAAGAACTCCCGCATCAGCGTCACGTTGCCCCCGCTCGTCCCGTCCACCGCGCGCTCGTAGTACAGGCTCGCGGCCGTCGTCGGCACCAGCCCGTCGGACGAGCCGTGGTACATGACGACCTTGCCGCCGCGGTCGCGGAACGCCGAGAGGTTGTAGTTGTTGGCCGTCGCGTTGCCCGGGTCGAACTCGTCCGCCAGCTGCAGCAGGCTGTCGTTGTACTGCGTCGCCTCGAACATCGGGTCGTTGAGCAGGAAGTTCCGGATGTACCCCAGCCCAAACGGGCTCGACTGCGAATAATTGAGCACCGTGTACAGCTGGCTTTCGGAGCCGGGGAGGTAGCCTGGCAACACGTGTTCGCCAGCGTCCGTGACGTAGCCCTTGTATAGGGATTGGAGGGTACCGATCTGCTCTTCGTTGAGACAGTTATCGGACGCGGCGAAGTCGGACGGAGCGTGGCCGCCGTTGCTGCAGCGCATGGCATCATAGTCGATGTTGCACTGCTCCGGTAGGCTGATGATGCCGTCGGTAACACCGTCATTGCCATCGCATTGCCGTACTACCTCGTCAGCAATGGGCGGTAGCAGCTGCCAGTCGATGTGCTTGGGCTCGTTAGAAGGCCAATTATACGATGCGATCTTACAGACCCAAGTGTTGAGATGGCTGGTATACCATGCCGGGGCCCCGACTAGTACGCCGTCGAAGCTGTTCGGGGAGATCTGTATCTCCTTTAACCCTTGTCGACCCCTATATGTAATTGTTTTAGCATAGTCAGTCAAGGGCCAGGGGCATAGTATAAAAGCTCACCCAGTCGAACAGCCACTATAGTACGAATAGCTGATAGGCTTCGAATAGTACGTTGACACGAGGGTTTTGCCCAGTTGCACGGAGCCATGCAGCGCTCGCCAGCCCCAGTCTGTTCTTATCTCCGGGTTGTCGAAGGCCCAGAGCGTGTCGCCGGTCGTGGAGTTGTGACCCGTGTCCGTCGAGATAACGGCGAAACCATGCTTGACACCGGCACCCATATCCAGCCAGTTGATCCCGCCTCCAAACCCCCCGTTACCGACAGTGAGGAAACGGCCGTTCCATTCCATAGGCAAGAATATGCCGAACCTATATGCCGAGGTGACCGAGGAGGCAACGGAGATAATGACGGCGCACAATTCCGGCAGATCTGTCGGCGGAATTGGGTACATGAGATCCGTCAAGGGCTCGCCGAAAGAGCTTCCGGCACTGACATACTCGACCCTCTCGACCTTGGCCGAAGACGGGAGCACAGCTGATAAGGTTTCGACATTGCAGCCCGAACCGCCGGTCTGTCTACGAGCATTGTTGTTGTCGGTGTTATGGAGATTCTCGGCCCAGCCAATGGCGGTAGCCGAGCCCACCACCAAGAGGTGAACAGATAATTGGAGAAATCCTGAGCACTTCATCGCAAATGTGTCATAATTCCTTTCGGGTCGATGTGAAACAGAGATTGCTCATCTAGGATATACGCAGTCTCGCTCGTTTACTTCAGGCTGAAGTTGAGGTAGGTATTATATATGTGTCACCACAGGGTCGGTAAACAATCATTACCTAGGTAAGGTAGGTATATAGTCCTATTTCGTAGACCCCTTTCCATTATAAAACCTCGCTTACGAGCCGTCGTATTTTGATTAGAGTCCGTGGAGGTTGGGGGTACCTACATACATACATACATGTTTGTATGAAGGCAAAGACGCCACACGATCACAAATGTATTGAGACTTGTGGTAGCGACCCCTGTGGAACCAGAGCACCGGCGCTGAAAGCAGCGATCTGCAGTATGTCACCCTTGGCCCACGGGCCATTACCAAGTGCGGGGTTTCTCATCGGAAGGGACAACAAGTTTGCATTCCAGTTCCGGTTGGAATGCTTCAAATGTCTACTATTTATAACTGTATAGGTATACGTAGGTACGTGGTACAGTATTTAGGTAAGGCAGTGAGTACGAAGTATTATCTGTATCATCTACATAGTTCAAGGTAGATCATGAAAACTAAGTCCGAGACGCTAGTCGAACGCTGCCGAATAATGCAAGATTCAAGTGGGAGTCGTAAGCGTTTAACGTGGCAGAGACTCCCGTCGGGATCTGGGGAATCCCGGATCATAATTATGAAGGCTGGCAAAGGCCATTGTGACGCTGTGGCTACCTGGATAGATGATAGCCTACCTACCTAGGTATATACCTACTTGAGGTGCATACATGTGATAGAGATAAGTGCCTAACATAGGTGAGAAACCTAGAGGTATGCAAAGCATAATACATAGCACATATGTTAATATGTTCAGATGAGACGTACGTATGTAATCTTCAAGTTATCCAAGATATACCTAGTACTCATGTCTTGGAAAATTCAATATTGGTGGAACAAAAGCAAATGCTACTTGCTGCCTAGTATGTTACACAGCTTCAGACAAAGGGGTAGGTAAGGGGCAAAAGTCATTACGGGTAAATAGTATTCCTAACCTAGTATCTATTATTCTATACCTAGGTGGACAACCATGCATGTACCTATTCACGCAATACCTCACAGTTTGTACAGCCGAGGCACAATTCCTTCCGCGGCAGAACTGAGCAAGACCCTGTTCTGTCTACCGTAATAGTATCTTAATCCGAGAGCGGAGATAGCTACGAGAAAAAGCATAGCACAGTTCACAGCGTGGCCTGTTGGGTAGCCGAGAAGCGCCTCGTCGGCCTTGTAAATCCAGACACTCGGCATTGACCCTGCACCACCGCAGCTCACGTTGATACCCACGGCCAAGCCGATGGATGCTGTGCTCCATAGGTTTGAGGTGAGCCAACCTAGCATAGCAGGTACGCCGGCGAAAGTGCACGCTGTTCCAACGATAAGGCAGCCATATCGTCCACGGTAGGATTCCGGGGGTAGCACGGCGGCTACTAAGAAACTTATACCGCCAACTATCGCGGAGCCTGCGGCGTGGTAGCCCCGGGCGTTGAAGTGATCGGCTGACCACGATACAAGAATCATGCAGACTATTTCATTAGCTCTACCTACATTAATCGGATCAGATGCCCAGAGAACCTACCATAGGCGACGGCCCAAGGTGGGATGGTCATCAGCTGAGCATCTAGATCGTGATAGCCTAGGCCCGAGACGATTGTAGGCGAGAAGAGAGAAAGTGAACCGACTGGAAAAGACACGACGAAGTATATCAAATAATGAAAGCTTGGATAGTCAGCTCTTAACTAGTTTAAAGGATCTTGAAAAGCCAGGGCGGCACATACTAGAGCCTCCAGTCAGTAAGTGTAGTCTTGACATCTTCCCAAGTCAGATTAGATGCCGAGCCTTTGGACCCCTCAACATAAAGCCGCTGCGCGGCCAGCTCTTTCTCAGGCCCTGTAAGCCATGAGGCCCTCTCAGGATAGTCGGGTAGAAAGAACCAAGCGAGCAAGGCAGATACGCATGATGGTGTACCCTCTAAAATGAATAACCATCTCCAACCAGAAAGGCCGCGGATTTGGTTCATATGGCCGACCCCGTAAGCGATCGCACCGCCGAATGCGCCCGCCAGAGTGGCAGATGCTAGTATAATCGCTACTCGTGTACTCCGTTCGTCGGTTTTATACTACCACAAGACTCAAATTAGTCGAAGGCACCTAAATAGGTATGTAGTTCGTGAAGATGCGGCACAGCTTGTGTAGGTCCCGCTTTTCTTGCCCCTTATTCCCTATCATACCTACTCACCCAGAATGTCAGATAGTACACCAACCCAGGAAAAAGTCCAGCTTCACAGGCTCCTAATAAGAAGCGGACGCCGATTAACTGGGAGGGGCTCTTGGTTCCCCCGAGACCAATAGTAACGCTACCCCAGCAGAGCATGAGTAGTGCCAGCCATCTCGACGGACGAAATTTCTTCAACATGATATTGGACGGGACCTCGAACAAGAAGTATCCCATCAGGAATATCATCAAAGCGATGTTGAACTGCCACTCGGAAGCGCCTGTCTCGGTCTGCATGTCGTTTCTAGTCGAAGAGTTCAGCACCCTGGCATTGCCGATGTTCGATCGGTCCAAGTAGCAGAGGAAGTAAATGGCCGCGGATAAGGGCAGGATGCGTTTGTCTTGTCTCCGTACCAACTGTCGTTCTGACCCAGCAGATGCGAGTACGGTGTTGATCGGGACCTAATAAAGATGAGATATTGTCTAGTATGCTTAGAGTTCATGGGATTTCCCTAAACCTACATCGTTTACGCGTTTCCCTTCAGCTTCCTCTGCAACGGAGCTATCATTCTTCTCTACATCGCTGGGAATCTCGTTGGAAGCCATTTTGAAGAGTCAAACTACCTGAGGCGAGGTAGTAGGAAACGATAAACATGCGGCGTGGGGATTGAGGGTTTAAAGACCATCTTCGACTGTGTTCCCTAACCGGAACAGGACGGACACTGAGCACACTGAGCAAGTATCTTGACACATACTGCTTAGCTCTGGCGACAGCCCCCTTGTGCTACGCTTCCTGGAAGCCAGACCAATATAATCTCACGTTCCCACAGCCATTATCGCCATGACGAGGCATTTGAGGTGTGCCATCTACGTATGTAGGTATGTATCACACCTACGAGGCTGGGTACATTGGCAGATAAAGCTTTGATAGTATCTCCGAATGGAACTCGACAGCCACCAATAAGTGATGAACCGGGGGTGTCTCAATTCTGCGCCACGTTTTAGTTTTATCCGTCGCCAGACTCAGGATCACCGGCCTAGATATTATGAAGCAACGGCCCGTCAAAAAGAAGAAAACATTATGTTTCGTCCTGAGGTTGTTAATGCTTAGGTTAGGCAAGTACCTATTATGTACGAAACAATATGGGAGTCGGCATCGAGGGGCAAGCAATACACGCATCTGCATTGCTTCGGAATAGTAACGCCCTTGTCAAATAATCGGTTCTCTTTATCATTGTCGGGCTGCAGATCAAGTAAAGATCCCCTTCAATTGCTTCTTATTAGACTCTCCACAGGCGCCATGTCTTACTTATATGGATATTAATATTCGCCAACCCCTTTATACCCTGCAGTTTTTTGTCTTGTGGAACTCTGGACCTACTGCCGACGCCCGTCTTATTCTCTATCTCGGTATATATAAAGTAAGCTCTCCAACGTCACTGGCTTGTACTTTCTAAGTTGTACGAACTAATGGAATCTCTGTGATGTGGTTGTTCTATGCCTTGAATTATGAGATTAGGTAAGTGCTCGACAGCGTTGCCATCTTTCTAGAACTGGTGATTACCTACCTAACCTAGTAACTTCCAGGCTCATACCTGGCTGCGCGTACTGACACACCATCCACTCAAAGAAATCTAACCTTATTTTTATTTACCTTCACGATCATAATATCGAGCAAAGACCTCATGCTTTGCCCGGGCCACCAAGATCGGCGCCGTTTTGGTGAATATTCGGCTGACGCCATTGATGCTCTGGGCACAGCAAAGTGAGAGCAGCGAATAATAACGACACAGCATATAACTATGGATAGGTAGGTACAGTAACCCAGTTACATAATGGCGGGGATCAAATATGAAAAACAAAGAGTATCATACGTACCTACTATGTTTGGGCATCAAAAGGCAAACTTTTTACTACAACGTTGCATGAAACTACAGTACAAGTACAAATTCACCGCCTCAATCTAGGGATAGACTCGTGATCTTAGCGATATTTTCAGAAAATAACTCACAGCAAATAGTAATGGCGTGAAAGAACTACTTACAACACGAGATTGCTGAGCTGCGCTCTATTTTTAAACTTCTTAGTCCTGTAGGTGCTGTATAATCAATGGTAGGTATCGTATAACGCATTCGGAGGCTTAAAGGGGTTCATTGGCCTGCTCCGCTAGGACTGTGACTGTGCCATGTGCCTGCAGCCCTACGGCAGACATGGTTTAGCAGACGTGAGATTTGGGCTTTTGCCCGTATTCTATGGCGACCTCTAAGTGCTGACTGAACTACTATCCAATGAAATAACGAGACTTGGGCAAATTCTTTCCGTGCTACCAAGCAAACATCTTGGAAGCTGACTGAACAGCTGAGGGGCTGATAGAATTAAATCTCCCTTTTTACTGGAACCGACCCAACAGGAGACAGCGCAAAGGAACACGATATCTTGGCATTGCATCTTGAAAGCAGCAGCTTTCTTATGTGGCATGACTTCATCCAAGCTCTCCTTACAAAGCTTCCAGGACTGTAAGCTACTAGGTACTGAATGCGCCGCTGATGCCAGCATAACATGACGATGCTACCGCGGAGCATGAGATGAGCAATCATGGCAGGTAACAGATGCATATATGTGCGTGAGTATATATATCTTCACTAGATCCCATCGTGAATCAGAAGAAATATCCTTATATTCCATACTCACTTACCAAGCTCTACCGACACACCAACAACATCCAATATCAGAATTAATATATATACCTATAATACCTTCCTACCTATAATATAATTCCTAATTCCAGTATACAAGAAAACATTTCACAATGAAGTCTTTCACTGCCATCTCCTCCCTCCTGCTCCTCGGAGCCGCCTCCGTCTTCGCCGCTCCCGTCTCGGAGCGGGAAGTCCCGGCACCAACTGAAATGGACATCACGTCGTTCAGCGCCAACACGTTGCCGCACGGCGATGGTGCCTTGTAAGCACCCAATCTCTTCTATATATGCCTGTACTTACATAGGTACTAACACACTCCCCAGCATCTCCTTCAACCTAGCCATCCCCGGCACGACCATCAACACGCAGTGCGCGTACTCCGACGGGACCTCGATCTCCTCGCTGCCCCGCGTCCCGCTGCGCAATTGTGCCGACCCGGCCGTCTCGTGGCAGTTCAACCAGGACCCCTCGCAGCCCGGCACCCAGGGCCAGTACCGCGTCGTCATCACCTACGCCTACGACGGCGTCAAGCGCGTCGCTGGATACCACGAGTGGCCCGCTACTGACTTCCCGCTCGAGGAGTGGGGATCCACTTACGAGACGTTCTACCGTGGGCAGGCGGATTTCTCGATCAATAACTTGGCTTAGGTCTTGGGTCTGGGGATAGTTGGGGGGGTTCTTACGGCACGGACGGGTTGGGCTATGGAATAGAAGCATAGATTTTTGCTTGTCTGGCGTTAGTTTAAGCGATTGGGGGTTGGGAAAGCGAATGATGAAGACATGTAAGCTACCTAGCCTAGATACTCAGGGGTACCTATCTTAATAATTATTTGCTCTTCATGTCTTATCTCAATGACCGTGATATAGCCTGCCTGCCTACTTAAAAGAGTGAACCACCTCTACGCATCCCCCCCTTATAAGCCACCTACCTAAGCACGAAGCACGATCCGCAACAAACCCCCCTACCCCTACCCCCTACCCACACAAGTCCTCCGACAACACCGCAACATGCACCACAGCGTCCACAGCGTCCACATACAGCCTATTCACCACCGCGCACTCCGCCCCCGGCCTAACCCTAAACACCCCATGGGGCCTCATCGCAACCTCCCGCTCGTGCATCTGCACCTGCAGCTTCCCCGCCCCCACCGAGCACAGGCGCAGCTTTCCGGGTCGGCCGCCCAGCGGTACATGGTGCCCGGCTTGGCGGTGAGGATCTGGGAGGCGATGGCCCGGCTGATGCGGACGGCACGGTTTTGGGAGAGGTAGGCGGCTGAGAAGGCGAAGTCTGGTGGGTGGGTTAGTGGAGGCTGGGTTATGTTGCGATGCGGGATTGTAGGGGGGTACCTACTAGGTTAGGTGGGTAGGTACCTAGGCTAGAGGTAAGCTCGCAAGGAGGGGAGAGTAGGTATGTGGATGGCGCAGCTGACTCTTTCATCACGATCCTCATAGACCGTCTTTCCGGCAGCGCCTCGGCTCTCGCTCGCGGACTTGGTTGAGGTGGGCTACTATGGAGGATTGTCAGTTCCGGATACACCTCCAACGACCAATCTCTCAGGTCGCAATGGGTTTGGCTGTTTTTGTAGTAGCAATTCGCACAGCCCAGAATAGCTTGACGAAGACTATTCCCAGCGTTATTTACGTCAGTCAGTTGGCTAAGAGGGGGAGTTAAAAGATCAACGTCGCGCCACACGGGAAGTACCAGTTCTGTCGAGCTATCGTTGCCGACTGTCCTCGTTGATTCTTCAGGGGGATCAAAAGGATTATGAGTCACACTCTCAGAATAGGAACTATCGGTGGGTGATGGATCAGACTCGTTGTTAGAAGACGTGAAATCTGAAGATTCCGATAGTTCATGAACTCGGTCGCTAGGTAGATGCTAGGGAATGAAAAGAACCATCCACTAAAGCATTAGGTATAGAGTTGGTAGAACGATCACGAGACTTGGATGGAACAGGAGAGTCTTCTGAAGATAACAATCAGTAAAACATTGCTTTTTCATAGGTATGTTACGGTTGTTCAAACCTGATCAGGCTTCATCCCGCTTTCTCTTCAGGCTTCTCTTTAGTGAGTCAAAACTCATCGGCTTTTAACACTTTGTTGATTGCTTCCCATCCATGGGCTTCGTCACTGGCGCAATGATTGACGATTGATTGATGTTCTGGTTAACGTCTGACATACTAGCTCGACTGAGCTCGAAAGCCCAGGTTATATGTTATGCGATACAGTTTCTAGAACTTATATAATTCATCGCTGCTCATGTCAATTCACGTTCTTGGGTGGCTTGTTTAGTAAGTTTGGAAGTTGATTGAATAGACTGTGAAGACAGCTGAAGGTATCGTGAAGGCCATTCACAGCCAAATACCTACCTAGGTTAGGTACATACAAGTTGTATAAGATAGCCAGCAGGTAACATAATAGTCGGCCAAACCTATGACGCCTGTTACAAGACGGGTTAACCTCGACATCTGAAGTTGAAATCTAACCTGGTAAGGAGAGCGGCACTTGTTGAACCAGGGATTGGTTCGGGGCTAGCCAGCATATAAAAAGCTTCGACTTCTTGCTTCCAGTAATAATTAAAACTGGTAGGATATTTTTGAGTTGTGAACTTCGGTGAAGTTGTTATCCTGGTCTAATGATAAGCGCTATGATCCTTCGTGCCAGGCCTAGCTGTATGTTATCTGCAAGCGTTTGCTTCTTATTATTTATGTATGCAGCCGTATCACTCATGCATACGTGTTCAAGATACATTTGAAGTACTGTATGCAGGTGAACGATGAAGAAATCTGAACAGTTAGTTGCTATAATTGCATCGGCTTATCATTTTAGAATGAACGAGGAGCTGGAGAGAATAGGCAAAATTCTAGGGAATCTCGTAGGGGGGAGTCCGGGAGACCAGGGGTTTTGTGGTGATCTTCATAGATCAGAGGCCGCTAGCATACCAAAGATCGTCATCATCATATTAAGTAATATTATCTTCCGACATTTCCTTTACTCTGCCTACAATTCTCTGCTTACACGGCTACAGTCTAGTTACATACAATTGATGGTAAAGAGGCACGTAGCTGAAAATGCTTCAAGAAGTATGGATAAACACCTACCTACCAGTAGTATGCCACCTTATCAAATGCTTCAGGATAGACAGCTGTGACTTAAGTCGCGTCCGGCATAAATAAGCCCTAGGGGTTCAACAGGAGGATCGACTGGACCAGTGAGCTCATACTAACCTGGGAAATTTGTTGATCATGCCACAGAACAATCCAGCTGAAGCATCATAGCTACCATGTAGGGCTGCCAGATACCTGGCTAAGGGTTGGTCCTGTCAAATATAGATCCGTCGATCCACACCACGAGAACGAGCCTCCACTAATAGAACCAAATCCTCATTTCGCGCGGCGTTGGACGTAGCTAACCTAGTTCTAGGCTATCCGCCCAGGCGTTCTCCCCGCGCACTTAAACATCGCGTTGGCCGCTTGATGTCAATTAAGGAATATTTCTAGCTTGAACACTTTGAGTAGTCATCTTCAGTCTAATCTACATACATACCTGTTCTTATTTGTAGTAAAGAAAATCCTACCTTGTAAAATGTGCATTTCGCCCTGAAAAGCTCGCAAAGCGGTCACCATCCACTACAGGATATGTTGAGGAACACTCGTAGACGAAGGGCGACGAATGTTATACTAATATTATCCGCCTGCTTGCTCCTGCTCCTTACCCGGGACTACTATCAAAACGCCTCGACTCGTGGCCGCGCCAACTTCCCGCCCATCAAAGCCCACCCCAGCTCGCAGGGCGAGAGCCGAGCCAACGAACTAGAGCTTGTGGTCGCGAGCACGGCACGGGAGGATGTGTCGTGGCTGGAAAAGTACGTGCCGCGATGGCCCAAGAATATCTACGTCGCGGACAACCGCAGCAGCCCGCTGACGGTGCCGGAGAACAAGGGCCACGAGGCCATGGTGTACCTGACCTACATCATCGATAACTACGACTCGCTGCCCGACAACGTCCTGTTCATACACGCCTCACGATTCCAATGGCACAACGACGACCCCGACTACGACGGGCTCCCCGCGCTCCAGCGCTTCCAGATCCCGTACTTGCAGGCAGAGGGCTACGTGAACCTCCGGTGTGTGTGGACCATTGGCTGTCCGGCAGAGATACGGCCCCTGGAAGACGACGGAGTTGAGCAGAACGTCGTGACGGCGAAGCACGTGTACAAAGAAGGGTTTCAGGAACTGTTTCCCGAGGAGATAGTACCCGAGGTAGTGGCTGTCAGCTGCTGCTCGCAGTTTGGGGTCACGCGGGAGACGATTCGAAGACGGCCGAGGAGCGATTATACGCGCTTTCGCAGGTGGCTCCTGGATACGTCGTTGGATGACAATCTCAGCGGAAGAATCTTTGAGTTTTCTTGGCATAGTAAGTATCTATCTAGTAAAGACTTTTTCAAAACCTCCAATTCTAGATTGTGAATAGGCGACTAATCAGTGTTGTGGCATTCTAGTTATATTTGGCAAAAAGGCATATCACTGTCCTTCAGCAGCAAGCTGCTACTGCAATGTCTATGGGCTGTGTAATTTGACCTGCTCAGAAAAAACTTGCGATGGGAGATATGCACTGCCTCCGTTCTCGAACCTGCCGTCCGGGTGGCCGAAGAAGGGTTGGAGACAAGAGGATAGGCATTTCTCTGGGCCATTGGATGAAATTTAGGTACAACTCTTAGGAGTATGGGCTGTCTAGCCTACATAATAGACAACATAATAGTAAAAATATGTATTGTAAATAAAGTGACACAGTCCCGGATACGCTCCCTGGGCATTAGGTCTATTCTGGACGCCCCTCAAATACTATTATCATAGAGGCTGGCCAGCTTCTCTTAGAGATAGGCACATCTATCACATTCACATTCATCAATATTGCAATACTTGCCTACTACATGTAGGCGGTCAATTGCCAACCTAGATACCTAAGGTACATACCTAGGTATTTACTAAATAGCCCTGGAGGTAGTAATTAACCTACTCCCTAGTAACCAAGCTGTCGGTGTCCATTAGGCTACTTCGATCCCCCAATCTGGCCTGGGGGGGGGGGGGAGACCCGCCTGCTGGGTTGCATGGTACTGTAGTGTCACTTCGTATCGACGTTCTACTATGTATGCACCTCATCATGACGTGACTCCCACATCATTCTTCTTCACCTACAGATCAATTTCATATGTATGTGCAATGCATGTAAATAAAGGGGGACCAATCAACGACCTAGCATCCATATACCGCCAATCTTAAGTTGTTTACACGTCAATCACTCGTTCGAGAAACCCCCTTTCTATTGAATTGAATTATTAATATTGGATTAATTTTTCCTTCCTAAGTATCCTTTACATTTCGTGTACGTCCAAGGCATAACTATGTCGTAGATACGTCCATATAAAATATGTACCTAATAAGTACCTATTTTATAGCTTACTCGGTCGACTCAGCCTGACTGATCCTCGGCATGAAGCTCTGCGGCCGCGCCCGTCCCTGCCCAGCAGCATCCGACCCCGTAGCCCGTTCCTCGGACCGGCTCCTGCGGTGTCGCCGAGTCCTCCCTTCCGCCGCTGCGCTCGCAAGTGCTAGATACAACGACCCCGGGGCATTTCGCTCGCGAAAGATGGATGTTCGCTTCCTCTCCGTGTCGGGGCTGTGGCTGCTCCGTGCATTGTTGGCATTGCTCGGCGCTGTGCTGGTGCTCGCGACCGCTTCTTCTCCTTCTCCGTCTCTGGCTTCTAGGGAGCGGAGCGTGTACTGGATTGACTTCTCGCGCTTATCGTAGTCTTTCTCGTTCTCATCTTCATCTTCATCTTCGTCTTCTTCCTCTAGGTCTTCGTTTTCTCTCATCTCCTGCCTAGTGACCTCCGATAGATGGGACACAGGCAAGCTGAAAGGTCTCAAGCCTTTAGCCGTGTTGTCTTTTCGTTCAAAAGACCGCTGCCTCGCTCGCCAGTGCGGGTCTTTTCCTTGGCTGGAGTGTGTGGATTCTGCGGCTCTCTCGTTCGACAGCCGCTGAGATGAATATGGCCTCGGAAGCTCCTTTCGACCCCTCTCGCCCTCTGAAATCCACCGTTCAATCCGCTTGCGTTTACCAATATGTGTTCCACCTTCGTACCATGCTCTTATGATATCAGACACGGTAGTTATGTCTGAATCGGTCCTCACGGAAGTTTGCCCTCGTTGTTCCATTTCTGGTGCTTCTTCTTCTTCGTCTGCGCCTAAGTCTTCGGCGTATTCACTGTACCCATCATATCCAACGAATCCATCATCTTCTTCTTCCTCTTCTTCCCCCTCCTCCTTCTCCTCCTCTTCCTCTTCTTCTTCTTCTTCTTCCTCTTCCTCTTCTTCCTCTTCGTCTTCTTCTTCATCTTCTTCCTCATCTTCTGGGCTTAATTCCGACGGCGAGTCTATGGCTTTCTCCAAGGCCGGATTAGTGACCAACTCAGAGTATCGTATCCCATTCAGAAGCTTCCGACTCAGCGCAACCACAAACGGACTGTACGTCTTCGGCACCTGGAAGCCGTTCCGCCGGGACGACTGCTGCGGATCTGCCTCCGTATCTACGGGCTGCGATGGACCGCCATCCTCTTTCTCTTTCTCTTTCTCTTTCTCTTTCTGCCGCTCGCCATCAGCCAGCTCGAGGTCAAACGCCCGCTTCTTCTGCGGCGGCTTCTGCCACCGACAGCAGCGGGAGACCAGGGCGGCGATGTGCTTCTTATCCACAGCATTCTCTTTATCCCTCACCGCCGCCCACAGCGCCCACCAGTCCTTCGCTCGCGCATAGCTCTTCATGTGCCTGCTCAGCAGCGCCTTCCACTGCTCGTCCTCCTCGCTGCCGCAGAAGTGCACGGCGACGTACTCGGCCCACACGGGGAGACACGCCGCGCTGTCGAAGCCCAGGATGGCCGAGACTTTGCCGTCGTCGACCAGTATGTTGGCGCAGGATAAGTCGCCGTGCGTGAAGGCGCAGGGCGCGGATTCCGGTAAGTACTCCTTCAGAACCCGTATCACACGCGCGTCGACCTTGTTCTTATTCAGCCGCGCATAGATGGCGTCCCACAGCTGCTCGTCGGATCCAAACGGCCCGAAGCCGTCTCGCGAAGTCCCGAAGAGGTGAGTGTGGTAGCGCACGGGGCCGCCGCTGAGACTCGAGATCCTGTCGGCCGTGAGGCGCCGCCACTGGTCGATGTGGCGCGCGACCTGTTTTGCGAGCTGCTCCTTTTCGTCGGTTTGAAGGTTCCACCAGATATCGTAGAGTCGTTTGCCCGGTGCACGTTCGGTGATCGTGATGATCTTCCCGTTCTCCCTCCAGCCGGCTATAACGTTTGGCACGGGGACCCTCGTCGACCTCCTAACCAGCTCGGCTGCTAAGGCTAACGTGACGTCCGTCTCTCCAGGCGGTTCTTCGTCTATTATGTCAGTCATGATATACTTGTCGCCGATATGCCATGTGTGTGTTTCCGGGTCGTTGTAGCTGAGCGTTAAACTGCTCTTGAACGGTAGGGAATCGATGGCTTGGCAGTATGGCGTAGTGCAGGCTGGGCAGATGTCCTGAACATCCCCTATGTCGATGTAATCATCCCCTACTGCTCCCTTTCCACCGACATCTGCTTTGTATTGCTCTTCGCGGTCATATTTTCCAGTCTGAGGGGTACTCTTAAGTGGCTGTTGCTCAGACTGTTGGTCTTCCTTCACTACCACATTCCGTCCTAAAATCCAATCGAATATCCGATGTACAGGAGGTAGGCATAGTAGCCCAGTTTGGCTAGGGTTTGGGGGTGGCTTCGCTGGTTGAAATTTCTCAGGCCCTGCCGTGTCGAAGGTATCATAAATCTCAAGTTCCTCGAGGTATTCGAAAGGAAAGGTGCCATAAAGGGAGTCTGTCCCAGTCAAGGGTGTATGTATCCCTTCGGCGTCATCCGTGATGAACCCTTCTGACGCCCTGCTGAGACTCCGCTTTTTATCCCCCACCGCCGACATGTTTTCGTATATAGACACTACAAGGTAGTTATATAAGCTTTTACCGTTGACGAGTAGCTAGGAAGAGCTCGAGGCGACTCGGTAGCAGGAGAAGATTGATTATAACGTCAGGTACGAGAAGAGCAATACGTAACTGCCGGGACTCCGAAATTTTCTAAAGCTTTCTTTTTGTCTCGATGAATCAATTAATTCAATTCAATCTCGATGACGGTTACTTCCATGTTTGTAACTCTTCTTTCCAATTTTCCCTCCAACTCTGTGCCGTCTGTCCGGACAGGTAGGTACTATTCCTGGGTATGTCCGGGCTTGAGCTGCACTGGAATGTCGCCAGAACCATACAACAAAGAGCACCACCTACTACCGAAAACATAGTAGCTAACAACCATACGGATTGAGAAATTAAGACTATTGTACTAAAATGTTGACATGCTCTTCTTCTTTAACCATCCCTCATTCCATTGCGCGTCTATAGTAGAATTGTAATGACCCATAATCGGGGGTGTCTTTAGGGGCTCATATAAGTTTAGCAGGTACCTATTTATCGCGATCAATTTGATAGAAGATAAATCATAAAAGAATCCCCAGATAAACCAAAGAAGACAGCGTCCACTATATATAAGTAATGCTGCATCAGCATAATAATGAGGCTTTGGTATGTCTGGTTTATATGGGCAGAGTACTATATACTACGGATTGAGCCCTACTAGTTAGAGATGATTAGGTATGTTTTATGGAAATAGACAATTACTAGGCAGTCAACTACAGACACGAGAAACCAGATAATAATCACTGAATTGAATCCGTAATATGTGAATGTTTCTTGATTTCAATGCCCCCTCCTCATGATGCCTATGTGTCTACTCATCTCATCAAGCAAAGCGAAGAGAACTCCTCTACCTAAAATAGTAAAGGGCTACCCAGTATTCAACTCCCATTTTACTTCTTGGAAGCCGAAAAGAAGTGAACCAAACTCCCCCATCCTTCCTCAATAAACACCATGGCTTGTAAACGGTATGTAGAACGAAGGGTTTCGTCAGTGATTAGATACGAGGTAGGGATGAGAAAAAACAGTTATTAACCCCTCCACCAGTTCCCGGAGAACACAACGCAACATGCATAATGCTATTAACTAAAAATGCTGATCAATGCTTTGCGGAGATCTAAAAAGTTGGTTTAGGGAAAGAAAATCGAATCGAAATGCGTGGGCATAGATGCGGGATTTTTGGGAGGGAGAAGAGTGACGTATGAACTTTATGAATAATCTTCTGCCACGTCGAGAATGATGGTAGGTGAATCGAATTGGCGAGTATCCAAAAAAAAGGCCCCCAATACCAAGAAGAGCACTGGATCTCCCGAGTTCTGCTACCCACACCAAGATGCACGCTAGTCAGAAAAGGGTATCCGAGCCCCTTCTCCTCATTTTTCAGACCTTCCTCCCTGGTTTCATACCGATGGCTTCTCTGCGATGATCCTGTAGGTCGTGGTGATCAGGCGCATATTATCCATCTGCACAAACGCCTGACCGTCGAGGCACAATCTGTCGATTAGGACCTTAAAGTGCGGCGGCAAAGCGCGTACACGGACGAGCCCATGAATAACTCGCCGGACGGAACGAAAGTAGATATCAACCTTGTCGATGAGTGGGGCCTGAAGGCCGTCTATGCTAGGATTGTCCGATTTTGTGACAGTGAAGCCGGCATCCGTGAGAGCCTTTTCGAAGCTTACCGGTGTCGGAGTGCCGACAGCACCGATCAGCGGTTTGACGCGGCGCATGAGTCCCGCATGAACAGGATCTTCCGGATTATACGGGGGAAGGCTGACCCAATCCAATAACGAGAACTTGGCACCCGGCTTCAGCACTCTGTATATCTCCTTGAAGGAAGCCGAAGTATCCTTGCAGAGACTGAGCGCTTGGATCTCGTAAAATGCATCGAAGGATTCATCAGCAAAGGGTAAAGGCAACTCATTCTGGTCGTGGACCACGAATTCGTTCTTGAAGCCGACCCGTTCATTCCATTCTCTGGCTTGCGCGATCTGATTGGCGTCGATATTCAAGCCCGTCACCTGAGCTCCGCAGACGCTCGTCATGTGGGCAGCAACACGCCCACGACCGCATCCCAGATCGAGTACCTTCATACCCGGTTTTAAATTAATATCCTTGGCGACAGACTCCTCGTACAGCAGCTGATTATCGAGGACTGAAGCCTTCTTGTCCATCAGCGGTGGGATATACATTTTCTCCACATCACCGAGACTGCATAGATGGTTGAGCACCGAATAGTAGGAACGAAGGCAATCTCCCACGCGCTGCTGGTAATCTGGGCCGAAAGCTTTTACCATTTCCTCCTCGTTAGCCCAATCCAAATTGTATATCTCATACGACGCCATGAAGTCATCGACTTCCTTGGGAGTCAGATTGTGGATATGCTTGAAGGCCTTGATGAAGGTCTTCCACCGCTTCGGTGAGGCAGAGCGGTCGACCTGACAACGGTCATCTTGACCAGTGCTCTGCTTGGATAATGGCGATGTGGTGTGTAGTGGAGAAGTGAGCTTGGCCTTCTCATTGCTAGTCTGGCTGGAACGGGAACTATCACTGCTGTCGTTCCGGCCGGGTATTGCAGCAGTAACAGGAGGTTGCGATACAGCGATGGTAGCCATTGGTACTCCTCACGACTACTTGTACTCCTGGGGAGAAGGGCAGGGGTTGGTAGGGTTTGGCGGGTGATGTACGGGAATATGATAGGGCTGTCACAAGTGTTGTGTGTGTATGTGTGTGTCTGTGTGTCCAGATACGGAATATGAGTGAGAGGTGCGTATATTGCGCGTCTGCTTGCGTGGTCTTGCTGATATTTTTACGAGATATGGTAGGTATGGGGTTTGGCTTTCACATAAAAGGAACGCAGCGTAGACGCTTTTGAGATGGTTTGGTTTATGTTTGTTTTGTTTTATTTTTGGTTTATTTTTCTTCTCGCGAGGTCCGGTTGGAAGATCACTTTCAAAATATCATTAAAGGGTTTTCGGCTCGTATGATTTAAAAAGAAGTTTGCTCCGAACGACCCGAAGTATTGTCAGGCGGAAGTCGGTCAAGTAAGGTTATCAAAGTGTAGGTGAAGTAGAGACAAGTTGTAAGTACTACATATGTATGTAGTAGACAAGAGAAGGGCAGGCAGGATGTAGGTAAGTAAGCCCAAGTAAGGCAGAGGTAGGTAAAGACGAGAAACGAAAAGGAGCGTTGGAAGTATGTATGTGACAGGCAGTAGTACCTACTACTATGTATGTGGTACTAGGTAATGGATTCAAGGTTGTATGTATGGTATGTATGTATGGTAATAATGGTATGTATAAGGAGGTACCTCCGTAATACAATGTACTATGTATGTATGTAATGAAGAGCAAGGTTAAAGGGTTCAAGCAACATTAGCTGAAGTATTTGCTTGGGACTAACAATGGTTGACTGAATTACCTATGACAGATACGTGTGTAGGTAGGTAGTCAGTCAATGTTGCGATGCAATGCGATGCGTTGTGCTATGCTGTGTTGTGCTGTGCTGTGTTAGGTACATACTATGTGATGTTTGCACGTACAATGTGGTTCAATCATAAGTTCAAGCTGAATGTTGTTGCTGTGTAGGTCCAGAGTCTGATGGTGACGATGAAATGTCAGGCTAGGCTAGGCTAGGTACTAGGTACTAGGTACTTACCTACCTGTGTACTACATAAACTTGAACTAACCAGTTAGTACTACATACTAATAGTACCTTCAACTTTTAGATGTCGACATCAAATGACATGCAACTTCCGTCTACTAAACTACTAGGTAGTAGGTACTAACTATGTATCAGGTGTACATAAAGTACAAACATGCATCATGGTTTGATCGGATTGGCTTAACACAATAGAAAGGAAGGGACCTTTCTAACCTTGAGGGGAGGCGCCTGCACCTCGGACAGGTCGGACAGGTCGGCGCGCGTCAAATTCTTGAATTTTTTATTTTTAAAATGGGCAACCACTTATTCCCGGCTCGCTTCGGCGTATGCAATTGCAGTGGATATTATATCATCATAGGTGGTACTACAGAACTACTAGCAGTAGCACGGTACCTACTATAGAACAAGGGGGTCCTCTTCTTTTCTTCTCAAGTGCTCCGTCTTTCCCAACTCATCCCAATTTCAGCTCATCCATATCCACTATCCAGATGTCCTATCTACCACTTGACCTTAGTATAATCCTTTTACAGTACTACTGCAGTTTCAAGTACTTACATACTACTTACATACATCAAAAAAACAAGACGAGACAGAAAAGAAAGGATTGTATGTAACTTATCCATCATACCATATTCCTCAAAAGTCCATCGTCATTCAGCTATCCCACGCCGGACTGAGTCAAATCTGACTGACTTGACTTGATTACCACCCAGCCACCTATTCCTTTGTCCCCCTCTCCTTTATTCATCCATGTCTAATGCTTCTTAATGCTTACCACATTACCATTCTCGTAGATAGCTACTACATACCTAGATACTTGCTTCCGATTTCTCTTCCTGTTTGCGCCTATCATGTCTCCACCCCAACGGTTTTACCGGGACCGGAGCCCCGGGGCCTGCACATGGCCAGACATCTGCTTAGAAATCCTATTCCATCTCTTTCTTTTTTCGTAAGATAATGGTCACCATCTAGCCTTATTTGTCTTCGTTGTTTATAATATTCATTACCGAATTACTCATTCAGCTTGTCCCGCATACTGATATTCAGCAGCTAGCATCATGTATAGTAGCATTAGAGCATATCCGAAAGTCGATCACGGGCCATTCTACACATGATACATATGACTAACACACCCATTTAGGCGCCACCCAGGCGCCATCCTGCAGTTGGTGTTCTAACGGTGAACAATCCGCTTATCCCGGGTCGGAGATACGTAGAGCTAGACAGTAATCCCCACTTCGACCCGAAATTGCCGCTCCCTTTTCACCTTCACTCTATCGACCTACTCTGCTAGTATATGTCGTCGCCTTATCAAGTGAATGCAGAGTTTGTGGTTGATATAGCCCCAGCTATATCAAGTGACTTAATCACTCACTTCAAACCCTTTGACCTTGTATAATGGCCCGTGTTTTCCGGAAGACCATATTTTGCGAGTTCGACTCTCAGTGACGATAAAACATACTCGATCTTCTTCACTGATTGGCTGTTATATCCAATCAGGGGGCTAGGATATGTCGAGCATCTTTTTTGGGTATGCGGCTCTTTCTCAGTGCTCTCTGGACGTCGAAATAAGCTCTGGTTGCATTGCCACAGCTCTAGTGAACCAAACCCAAGGCGATGCTTCGCTGTGTCACAGCTGAGTATTACTGTATCCTACTTAGATCAGCACCCGCGAGTAGGGAATATGGGCATAGGCCGCATAACTTACTAAAGGAAACTGTCGGGAGGCTGAGCCAACGAGAAAATAGGGGCTTGGAAGTATACCCTAAGGAAAGAAGACAGCTACACGGACAGCTACAAGGACAGCCACAAGGGATTTGTATTAGGGGATGGGGATGCAAAGCCACGCGTCCAGCGACCCCAAGAACATTCTATTGGTAACGACGGTGCAACCACCTAGAACAACCACATTACAGGGCGTTAAGAATATACTTAGTAGGTAGGTAAGTAACTACATGAGGCATGATCTAACACTTGTTCCTTGTTGCTCGAGGTGAAGCGATTCGACATGATTAGCTATATACCTAGCTTGATGCCAGTAAACCCCCCTATTACCTATTAGGTACATAATCGTGTTTCTTGGGATACATCCACACATCTCTCGGGACCTGGTACCCAGTACATGAGTATACATGTAGTAGATATTAATGTACTTATCCATTGCGGACACGTTATGTATAGCCTAAGAAAGTCCACGATCATACGATCCCCCATCTCGACCCCTATACTTAAGGTTGGAGGAGGCACCACTCTCTACATAGGAAATTGTCAACAATAAATCTCATCAATATATTGAGCAAGCAGCACGGGCGACCTCCAAGACTCGAAATAGGTACTAAGTATTTATTCCGTCTTGGTAAGCTGAATAGCGTTAGTTGTTAGCTGTGCTTTTGGCCCTATGATCACCTCCCCTTTTGGTGTCATGTCTACCTACCTCCTACCTAGGTACCTCCTTCTTTCCCATCAAGGCAGTTTAGCTATCAAGGCCCAGACTTCATGTAATATGCTTTATCCTTTGAACAACCACCGTTATTGCTTCTGAAGCCTTGAGTCTTTACCTGGTAAGAATGTTCTAGGCCCAGCACTTATGTGTATATTTCTTATGAAGTGTTGTATGTTAACTAGATGGGTAAGTACCTAGATTATGATACGAAACTGATGAAATATATTATACCAAGCCTTATTGCCCTTCTACTAGTCTATTTAAGCCCATTACTGTCAGGAAGACATAGGATAGCATTCACTACACACACACCTCCCTATCTCTCCCACAAGCCAGAACCCCATAGTTCATAACACGGAAAGCCTTCATAGATACATTATTTATATCCGGGCGCTTACTGTACAATATTCTGGTGCTCATTGCAATGGGATATTATGAGATGTCATAAGATCTGACTCGATCCTTTATCCCTTGGAAACAGATTCTACCCCTCTAACCTGCTTACAATTCTCCGAGATCGAGACATACAATATAATAACCTTAACAACTGGACTCACGGCAGATATATAATCTATCATGGCACTCGATGCCTGTACAATACCTAGTTATTTGAAGTTCAAGGCTTATCCGCCTCACTATTTTTATACCCAATGACGACACTGCCCAGCTATAGCGATTTCAGAACATGTCAAATATGGGTGGATACCTCACACTAGGAGATTATCTTGCCAGCAAATACCGGTACTAAAGTAAGATTACCGTCCTACTAAGTGCTTAGCACACGGCACTTCAGCTGCGGCACTTGCAAACAGGATTCGCGATCTGGCCATGGCTTTGAATCCCTGTGGAAGTTACCTATATGCCTCCAAGTACGGATGGTTGAGCGTAGATGTAATTCCATCTCGATCCTCGAACTCTTTTGATCCTCTCACAACTCAATTTCAAGTCCATCTGCTCACAGGCTTGGAACTTCTCCAGGACAATCACATCAAATAAACAACAACACAAAGACGGAACAGCTAGGCTTCTGAGGTATTATAGGTAAGATAAAATAAAAATAAATTATCTACATTATTAAAAATTCAATTAATAGCTTGGTGTCGGAGTTGCCTAGTACCCACCAAGCCGAGCAAACCTCCATTAGGAGTTCTTCTTCAGCCGGGCGAACGTAAGTTCCTAACACGGATATAAAAGTCTACCAATGTGTAAAGAATCATGTTCCACGTGAATGCAATTAGTATCGTGTTCTTTCTTCCCTTTCCCTTCCCTTCCTTCCTTCCTGCTTCCGTTCCTGTACCCATTCCTTCCCTTCCACTACTCCTCTCCTTTAGACTCCTATCTCCATTCCTCCGTCCAGTTCATCCACCCGTCACTTGTCTATTTCCTGATTTAGAAAAGAGCCACCAGGAAAGCGGCGAGACCGACAACGGCACCCGTGGCACCAGTTCCGACGATGGCGGCGCCAGCGGTGGGGATGGCGGGAGGGGTGGTTGACGATGGGGGCTGGGTGGGGTAGCTGGGGGTGGTGAATGAGGTGATGCTGTAGATGGTCGACAGAGTCGAGGTGGAGGGAGGGGGAGCAGTGGGGTAGCCGGGGACGGTCGAGTTGCCGCCGGTAGGGTACTTGGGGGTCTCTACCGGGTAGCTGGGAGTCTCAACAGGGTAAGACGGGGTAGTGACAGCAGAGGTCGTGGAGATGCTGCTGATCGGGGGAGTCTCAACGGGGTAAGACGGGGTCTCAACCGGGTATGAGGGAGTCTCAACCGGGTAGGACGTGGTAGTGACAGCAGATGTCGTGGAGATGCTGCTAACAGGAGGAGTCTCAACGGGGTAAGACGGAGTCTCAACTGGGTAGCTAGGAGTCTCGACGGGAGACGTCTGCGAGGTGCTGCTGACGGGGGGAGTCTCCACGGGATAAGTTGGGTATCCGGGAGTGGTGATGACGCTACTCGATGTAGTAGGGTACTCAGTTGAAGTTGAAGCTGAGTACGACGAGGTTATGCTAATGGTAGGATAAGTCGCCGAAGAGACGCTGTAGGTCTCGCTCTCAGTCTCCGGAGGGCAGTCGTCTGTGGTGGACGAAGCCGGGTACTCCGTGGAGGTGCTTATGACCGGGTATGTAGGAGTAGACGGGGTGCTGACCGGGTATCCAGGGGTAGTAGACTCCTCAGGCGCAGGATAGCTGGCATTTGCGGTGGCAGCCAGTAGGGCGCTGGCGCCAGTGTACTTCAATAGACGAACCATCTTTCTTAACTAGTGACTAAATTTCTTCACGACAAGCGAATGACTGAAGTTGGAATGATCCAGCGATTGAAATGCTCGAAACGGACGGGAAAGCGATTGGCAGGTGTGGTGAGTGGAAGGGAGTAGAAGTCGTTCAAACCGGGTGGCAGCAGCCCTTTAAAAGGAGAGGGCGGTGGACTTTGCAAGAGCCGGTCGTTGTAGCTATCTTCCGGCAGCATGGTTCGTTTGCCTATAATTCTCTCTTCGTGGGTCACTCGCTGAGCCATGGCTGTACATTGAGATAGTACAGGGATCGTAAGGCGGCCTTGGCCAATATCAATCTCGGTTGGACTGGAACCTTTGGGCTCTGCATTGTGGGTACAGAACTCCACGGAGTCGGTATGCAGGCACAAAATAGGCAGGGGGCTGTGGTTATTGTAACCACATGAGGAAAGTCAAGCTCACACTAGATCCTTCGATCTGGAAGAAGAAAAATTGCAGTCCGTATTTGTGGAATAGTCTGTCTAAACCACCTTCCATCATTCGCAGAACCACAGTAACAAACCATTCACTAATTTCACTTACTATGATCACAACTGAAGCTCATTTTGGACTATTGGCACTAAAGTACTTGGCTCACAGGCATTCTTTCGGGTCAACTCGTAATAGTATGTACATACAACATACAATATACAACATACATAGTACATACACCATACATACGAACGCACATAGGTTGGTAGACATGTGGTTTCGCAGCATCGACCAAGGGCCGTGGTCGTACATGAATGATCGACTGAAGAGCCTCTTCTAGTTGGTGATTCCTCTATTTGCTGATGTCTGATTTCAGAACTGAACACCAAAACGCCATAATACACGGTGGCACGAGTGATGTGCTGTATGCGGCTTAGGAGCCGGCATATTCCTCCGCGTTGAGTCTTGAGGTCGGCAGACATAGGCTATAAGATGTAACTAGTCATCTTATTTGTTTTACCCCTGACTAGCCATAAGCCTCCTTTCGGTTAAGGCACCATTGTCACTTGAATCTCGTCATCGTTCGTATTTGAAGGCCATATGAGGCAGAGGCACATTTGGCACGTTTTTGGATTAGTGTGTGGTTGACGTGGAGAAGATACGCCGAAGCCCGAAGCCTCAAAGCGACAAATACAGCATGAACTAACACATGTAATTACATGTAGTTAATTACATGTACATACATATATGTATGTAAGTATTTAGTGTGTACATGTGAACTACCGCAGCAACCAGCTGCACTAAACGGTGATTCAATTTATGGAGCAAGTTGGTGTTGATCAATCAACCGTGGAGCCGTAGAAGCGTTGCTAGAAATCTATCACTGCGGAGCCGCGGGTACAGGCTTGACACTTGGCCGTTTGACCTCGATAAGAAAGAAAAAAACACGAGGAATAATGCATTTTTGTAGCAGATCTACACAACCAAAACTTGGAAGTGAAAGTTCACTACTTTTGAAAAGGAAAGGTTCATAAATCATGACGTAGAAATGAGAAGCAATGATTGACAATAATAAGGCTGTTTATTGTTCATTAGTCTCTGTCTCAACTTTCAAATAGTCAGAACTGTCGATCAGACAGAGACGGACTGACAGAGAGACTGACGAACTGACAGGCCGGACACTTTTTCTCTCTCTTTTTTTATTCTATCTCTGCGTTTCTTTGGTTACGTACCTTGGATGGTGGAGTTATGAATTTTGGTTACTTGTGATTATTCCATGTAACATTACAACGGTCTTGTCGGAGTCTTGTCCTCTTGAAGGATTCTCTAAGTACCTAAAAGGTAAATATTTACCTACCCACCCATGTATCCATCAGTTCATGGGTTGCTTGAAGAATTTTCGTGCTATGTAGCATGTAGCGATATACTGTGCGTGACTACACAGTAATGTTGTTTATCGCCCTGTTCTGCCCACCGAGATATCTTTATTTTTAATATTTCGTAGTTGATTGCGCATAACGGAACCCAGCCGAATGGTGAGGAACATGATCGCTGTGGAACCTCTTTAAGAAATTTAATGATATGTTACGAAAAAGTGGCGCGTAGCTTGGCGATATCGGTATGGGTTGCTTTACAGCACCCACCAACCACAATCGAACTCCAGCAATTATGGCTTTGAGCGAGCGTAACCACGTCAGCAAGTTGATGCTCCCATGAAGTCTGCTACACATTCAGCCTCCCTGTTCGATAAGATAATAACAATACCTTTTATAATGAGACTCACCATGGATTTCTGTTGGTTATTCGGCGCATGCCAAGTCATTGTTGTCGTATCGTAGACTTCGCCGTTCGTCCCATCTGGGTAAAGAACCAAACTGGGCTGTGCCGTAAGCCGACCGGCTTTTGCCAACCTAGAAACAGCAGTTGAATACATGCGAACTAGTTCAGGCAGTTTGTTTATTTTTGTGCAATTGATACCGATTCCCCACGGGAAAACGTCCGAAGCATCTGGATCCAACATTGCGTCGACCACTTGATCGATATCGCTGCCATCAGGAAGAGTATAATCATCGTTGGGAAACACGCAAGAGATCCAAAATGGAAGACTCCCGTGGAGAATGGGGCGTGCATTTGAGCTAGATGATGGAGCATGGGTGAAAAGCTTCCGAATGGCTTTGATTTCAATCAATTTTGGAACAGTTTCGAACGCAACGAAGCCGACGCGAGATTCAAGACGGTCGATCTGATTGAATAGGCCAATGCGATCCCGGTGCCAGTCACAAAGTTGTTCTATCGAGTCATGTTCGCCGTCGTATTTACCGCTATACTCTTGACTTGGAACCATGCAGGATCCATACGACCCGAGGCTTAAGGCAACGCGAGCTTCAGGGGCCTTGACCTCCTCGGCAATAGAAATAGCAAGGTTGAGAAATGGCAGGATTTCAGAGCGACTGATGCCATGTGGGTGGTCCGAGGTCTTGGTTCGCGCAAAGCCCTCTGCAGATACTTGATATGTCGCCGTAGACAAGATATCAACGGGGACGTTCCCAAAGTCCCTCTGACACGTGCGAAGAGTGTCGGGGTCATCCACAAGGAGGTGTGATGACCATAAAGGAGTATGCTTGCCAAATTTGACACCATAGTTGTCCTCCAGAGATGTGCCCAACCCCCCATCAAGGAAAAGGACAGGAGTAAGCTCTCGCCTACTCATTTTGGTTTAAGTTACGCCCTGAAGTTAACAATTAGCATTGGAAGAATAGAGTGGTCAGCTATATGCTGGCTGTACGAGATCGCAGAGATGGGCCGAGAAAGGAGAGGTATAATTTCAGGGCGGTGTCAGCAACATTGAAAGGTAATACTATACTACCTACATATTACTTCCAAGGTAATGTTACTTACTCGTATGTATATGCCACACGTTGTATATATGTGCGCACAATCTGACACCTAGGTATGCAGGATGTGGTATTGTACTAATAGGCGCCGATAGGGCTGGTAAGGCTGATGAGCGATGATCAACAAGATGCGCTAATTTGCGTTTAAATCAAAACCACAGTGAGGTTAATCGTAGGTAACGTCCAAGTGTTACCCGTTAACAGAAGTGATCGATTGAGTCCTACCAACCCAGGTAGCCTCAGTGCATATGACGATGTTCGGGTTCAAGATCCGGTTCGGGTAGAGAGACAGATCGGAAGGTCGGCATACATAAATTAAGATTAACTAATCATCGATCCTTATCAATTAAAGCCACAGTACCGTCGGATGCAACCTACCTAGGTACCGGGTACTTTAAAACCAGGCACTTATATTGAAAGATAAAGACGACAATGTCACGACATCCGAACCTTAGCGCGCGATGTCTACTAAAATTCATCCATGGATGTATTTGATTGGCCTCATCGTGCGCTAAGCTCTTGCTTAACCACAACCTTACGGCGTAGTATTATCATGACGTCAAGCTTAGCGACTTATAGCACCGCCACATGCTGCGTATCGGTATTAGAGTACATGGCCACTACTAGCATTGATGTACCTACTACTATTTACTGGGTAGTCTGACTGAAAATAAGCCCAATCCAGCCGGCAAAGCGGCAATTGCAGCAATTATTGAAGAGAGAGAAGGACCAGCGCCGTCGCGTTATTTCTTTCCAACGAAAATAATTTTACATCTTCATCCAACATTAAACTATTAACCATTAATTCACTAATTGAATCAGTCCATCACCAATTCCATCTCCTAATTTCTTGTCGATAAACGCCTTTTTCATATATATTAAACAGCAACAGTTATGATCTTATTTGCCAAGCCTGTTGACAGGGTTAGAACGGCATAGTAAAACGCTTGTTTTCCATTCTTTATTCGTATTCATCAATCCTTTACCACCTACTTCATAGGCTACATGTATGTACTGTACTAAAGTCTTGCGCCCTACACGAAACTGTCTGTATCTTAGGTGGAACCGATAATCCACCACCCACCAACCACCCATCAATCGTTCGACCAGCCACCCAACCATCCTCTACCAGGTAACCCAGACCACCGCCTTGGCATCTATCACCGCCCACTGCGTCGGAATTCCGAATCGCGCAAGCATAGAATTATATCCTCCGGCTTGCTTTGCCTTGCCTCGTTTCGTACTCTAGGTCTACGGCATAGTATCAGGCGAGCCGACAAAAGAAAAAGAGCAATACTGACATCATTGCGCGTCCGGTTGCTCCCGCAATGTCTTCTGGGCCGGCTGGTACTCAAGGGGCCGCCAATTCGGTGCCCCATAGCCAAGACCAATCGTCGCAGGGAGGGGCAGTCAATGAGGTGAACAATGAAAAAAATGTCCAACAAGTTTCGGATGACCACCTACCCCCTGAAGATGGAGATCATCCCCGTATAGATAGCGCCAATGAGAAGCGAGAAGAGCCAAAGCAAGACGAACCAACTCCTCGGCGTAGCACCTTGAAGAATAAGGTCAAAGAGCGCAAGGACAAGCTCAAGACCAAAGCCAAGCCACCAGGTGGCTTCGACCCGACGCCATTTCCTGATGCGCCGCCGGGTTATACGGTGAAATTTACTTTTCATAGAGCCGAAAACTTGCCTGCCGCCGACTTCAGCACGGGATCATCAGATCCTTTCCTTACAGCTACTTTAACTACTTCATTACCGAAACGGCATAGAGAAGATCCTGATCTCGTCTACCGGACCCGCACCTTCAGGAGAACCCTCGAAGCCAAATGGGAACAGGATTGGATTGTTGCTAATGTTCCCTCGTCTGGATTCAAGCTCAAGTGTCGCTTGTACGATGAGGATTGGCCCGACCATGACGACCGCCTGGGGAATGCGACGATTATCGCCGGTGGCCTCAGTGAGGACTGGGAGGGGTTCCGAGAGAAGGAGTTCGAGGTTAAGAAGCGTAGCGGTAGTAAGCGCGCGTACATTCTCAAAGCCTGCACGAGCGCCTTCACCAAAGACGTATCTATGACCCCCAGGTTGTATATGAGTGCTGTTGTACTAGGACAATCAGATCCTCCTTATGGTCATATGTATACGGTTGGTCCTACTTACTACTTCAAGCATTTCAGCCCCATGATTGGCCTCATGACCGGCATCAAGGTCAACATTGATGAATCTAACGATGCTGCGTCTGCATCGGACTCCCAGGGAAATGGAAATGGAGATGGAGATGGCAAACAAGTAGAAAAGAGGGTTCAGAAGTACGATTTTCAAACAAATGAGATACAGTTGGTTGGGCCTGTCGGCGAAAGATTGTATCATAGGTTTGTTGAATTCCGGCCTATCATTGGTCTCCTGTTCAGAGGTCGCGGACTACGCGGCAAGATTTTGAACAAGGCTCTCCATCATCAACACCGTCGTTTGTATAACTTCGACAAAAGTACGCAGTTTGGTACTTTCGAGCCGTGCTCCGAAGAGGCCAGCCTTCAATTTTTGAAAATGGCACACTTCGATGAGGGGAGTCGTACCTTCACCTACACTATTTCTCTCGACGGGATGATGCGATTTTGTGAAACGGATGGTGGTAGCTTCGGAATAGACTTACTCAGTAAGCACACGATGCACAGCGATGCATCGGTTTATATTGCATGCTCAGGGGAATTTTTCATCCGGAGGTCAAAGAAGCACAAGGCCCCCGAAGATCCTGAATCCATTGAGCCGGTTCAATCTGATGGCCATGCCCAGAACGATCACCCGAAAGAATCTCGCACGGCGCGACCGGAATATTATCAACTCATCATCGACAATGATAGCGGTACCTATCGCCCGGACAAGTCGGTTTTACCTGACCTGCAAAAATTACTAGAGCGCAACTTCCCCGGCCTCAACATTCTCACACTAGCATGTGATGATCCAGAGGACCAGAAGCTCAAGGAAGAACAGGCCAAAGCGAAGAAAAAGGCAGGCGGTACTGTCAACATGGTTCTCAACCGTAGCCCAAGTGCTAGTTCATTTAGCTCCGACGACCTCAGTGACCTCGAGGATATGGAACGAGCAGGTGGTGCAGGGCGAAAGAGCAAGAGGGAGAGAGCATGGGATTTACTTGAAGAACCGCGACGAATCAAGGAGTTGGCTGGTAAACAGTCGGCGGCCGCTAACTCAAGTGGACCAAGCGGACCAAGCGGGAGTGGCACAAAGGCCTGATGAGTTGGTCTCACTATATCGACTTCCCTTACAATTTCTATTATCATGGCGTTCCTGCGAGCGGGAGTCTGTTGGGTATTGAGATCTGTTCTTCCTACGACCTTGGTGAAATAGGCGGCTGAGTTGACTTCGATGCTGGAAACACACAATTGGTAGATTTCTCTACTACTCTTTTATTTTGTCTTGATTCCCCAATTACATTTTTAATCACGCATCTCAAGATGTGGTGTATTCTCACATTTCACGTTTCTAATGACTCCCTCTTCAATAGCTTAATTAATAACAATACCAATAGTTGGTCACAATGAGTTTCTCTTCAAGTATATAGTAAGCTAATCTACATAGTATTCAACGCACTAGATGAATATACAGGTCTTGGTCGTATCGGTGTGTTATTGATAGGCTTCAGGAACTATGCGCGTTAGGGCATGCGAGGGGGTAGATAGGGGCGAACTTATTCAATGTTCCTTCAGGAAGCTACCCGGCAAAGAGCTTGTCTATCTAGGTACCTTCTGAAACTATATGAATAGGTAGGTAAGCAGGAAGGTGTTGTTCATCGTCGTAACCTCTATTCAGAAGCAATATCCAAGGAAGTAGGCACTATTTCGGAATACCAGAGAAAGAGGTGCTCTGTCAACCTTTAATGTTTACGAAGTTCTGATTCGCATATTTATATTGACTCCTCTCCTTACCTATAGAGGAGAACAGACTTGGCCGGGGCTGTAGGAATTCCAACATTGATAATATAGACAACCATCAATATTAACACAATATGGAAGAAATACCACTGCCGCCGCCACCGCATGAGGCCCACATGTATGATTTTCGATCGGATACCTGCACGATCCCAACCCATTCGTGAGTGTTATTGGAGCCAGAACTCTTCATCATGCTTCTTCATTGACGTCCCCTCAAAGCAACCTGATATACCTATGATCTACCTAGGTTAGTACTTGTTAACCAGACGTCGTAGTATGCTCGAATCAATCCAATCCGCCAGCCTCGGCGACGACGTCCTGAAAGAGGACAAAACCACCAACGAGTTCCAGTCCTGGATGGCCTCCCTCACCGGAAAAGACGCCGCCCTCTTCTGCCCCTCCGGCACAATGGGCAACAAAGCCGCGCTGACCGTCGCCCTCCCTTCCCCCCCCTGCTCCGTCATCGCCGACCCCCGCAGCTTCATCATCTCCACCGAGTCCGACGGCGCGCTGTGCGGCACCACCATCGTCTCCATCAAGCCGCGGAACAACCACCACCTGGTACTAGAGGATATATGCGACTACAAAACCACCGAGGCGTACGACAACACGCGCCCGCCGCCGGCTCGGCTGCTCTGCCTCGAGATCACGCTCCAGGGCACCGTGATGCCGCTCGCGGACCTCCGCGCGCTGTGCTTCTGGGCGCGCGCCCAGGACCCCCGGATCCACGTGCACGTCGACGGCGCGCGCCTGTGGGAGGCCGTCGCCTCGGGGGCCGGCACGCTCCACGAGTACTGCAGCGCCGCGGACAGCGTCTCGCTGGTCCTGTCCAAGGGCCTCGGCGCGCCCGCCGGCGCCGTGCTAGTCGGCAGCGCCGAGTTCGTCGCCAAAGCCCGCATCTGCCGGAACATCTCGGGCGGCGCCGTGCGCGCGGCGGGGATCCTGGCCGCGCCCGCCATGGCGGCCGTGCAGGAGACGTTTCTCTGCGGCCAGCTGAAGCTCGCGCAGCAGAACGCGGCGTACCTCTCGCGCACCTGGGCGTTTCACGGCGGCCAGCTCGTGTTCCCGACCGAGACGAACATGGTGTGGCTGAAGCTGACACAAGAACAGAAGGGGAGGTTTGTGGAGCTGACCAAGGCGTATGGGATCAAGGTGCTGGAGAAGGGGCTGGGCAGGGTGGTGGTGCACTATCAGATTTGCGAGGACGCGGTCGATCGCATGTGTCGCGTCATGGAGATGCTGCTGATCAACCGGACGCCGGGGGGTCTTGCGGATTGAGGGATGGGGTGGGTATGGTATATATGTTGGGGGTTAGGGTGTTAGGGGTTACGATGCTATGGATGGAGGGTTAGGTGCTCAGGTTGGTTTGCACATGGATAGGTTAACCATAAATAGACTATGGATTGGAAGATAGAAGATATCGTCTAGTACTTACCTACCTAGGTATGTAGGCAACTAGAGTCTTCCTTCAATGCTCGTTCCGTCTTGAGATCTGTGAGGAATCGGCCTAATTTAATCATCGTTTAGGTATGTTTCTCTCGTTAGGTACCTACCTAGGCACAGAAATCTGAGAATATGAGAATCAGGGGCACTCAGTAAACTCTTCTACTCAGCAGTCTTTCTTTCCTGGCGTATAGTATTGGTATGTAGATACCCTACCTAGGCAACTGATTATTTCTTTTTAAAATCAGAATCATTCTTCAGTTTAAAATGGTTTCTCCTATTTTCTATAATTGGGATGCATGGATTCATTCATTATATGAAGTTTAGAGTGATTCTCGCAAGTAAGAATTCCCGCCATGGTAGTTTTCCTTGACAACCTGTTGAATCCCAAGACAAGACTTTTAAATCACTTCCACTTTATTAATACAAAGCTTGATACCTAGCTTAGAAGAATACGCATAACTCATGACAATCTATCCAGATAGATATACCTTCATAGTCATGACCTTTCCATCCTGCTTGTTGCTTCCTAGAAACCGCTGTCCCGCTTTCGGCCATCTACGTAGGTAACTATCACACTAAAAATCAAACAAGTCGCACCACGGAACCGCACGTATTGGTAAGACAGAACCCGAATTATTTCATGAAAAGAAAAAAATCTATCCGGGTATCAAATATGTATGACATTAGTAGCTCTTCCAGCCTCATTTCTTCCCCCCTTGCAACCTTCCCTCCTTGACCTCTCCTTCCTCATATCCCCGTACCAAGGCGCAACTAACTAGGTCATATTCGTCTTCGGGAATCATCATCTCGGGGTATGCTACCCTCCCCTCATAAATATAAATCCGATACACTGGCCTATTGTCACCAAGTCGTTCAAGCCAAGGCCTTTTCCATCCTTGGCCAGGTAGGTTCTTAATCCTACACCATGTGGCATTTCTCCTCCCAAGTCCCTGACGGGGAGTAGCAGTAGTGTTGCTAATATGCAGTTGACCGCGGGTAATCACGTGTCATACACATGGACCTAATCTGACTGGATATGTATTTCAAGGCGTCAAGTACGTCTCTTCATATCGTCGTCCTGAAAACTCTGGTTTGTGGCCTCACTCAGTCCCAGCCATTGGTCGGGAACGTTGAGCGACTACTTCTCGTGCGTAAAATTCGACTAGCATTGTGGCATATGCTTCCAAGTCCTCGACGGGCACGGCGAGCCGGAAATCGTTCAAAAGTAGAAATTGTAACTCAAGATGGTTGAGCTCTGCTAACGGAAGGCCGCCAACCTATTTGATATGAGTATTAGCTCATTGACTAATTGCAAAGGGGTGGGGGGGGGGGGGGGGGGGGGGTGCGTTGACTACAACATACCTTGCCATATCTCGAATTGGTATAGAAAACATCCGAGAAGAATTTGCTCGCACAAGTAATGCCTGCAATTATCAGACGATGTATGTTGAAGCTGTCAACAACAAAGTAGGTAGCCGGCGGCGAAGAAGGTTGTGCTTTGACACGCCTTTCGCGCGTTGTTCTAGCCTTTCCTTTTTCATCAGCATCGTCAATAAAATCAGAGTCGGTTGCGTCACTATCGTCGCTGCCGCCGTCTTGCATTTCGATATCATTAGATTGGCTGGGTCGAGCTTGTGTTTGCTTCCGCGTTGCTTCTGCCTCCATGACCTTAGTATTAACTCGCTCTGTCATTCGATCAAAGTAGACCAGAAGACTGAGAAACACCTCATAGGTGGTGGGACAGTACTTGTGGATCCTGCTCAAATAACTCAGAATCGTGATTGCTGGGATGTTTTTGCCATGAAACGCAAGTACAGAGCTGCTAAGGGGGCTCATGGAAGTGCCCTCATTGTTGTGCGTAGCAGCGGTTTGCTGATGCGTTGCATTTCTATGCAGGGCATCGTGTTGAAGGTCGTTGGTGGTGGTGATCTTCGTTAGAAGAGCGGCGACCATCTCGATGATATCGCCAATGGGCATTTGACTAATTTCATACTTCATGGCCTGAAGCGGGGCATCGTTTAATATTCCTGGGCCATTTCCTCCATTCATTATATCAGCCCGAGCAAGGCTTTGAATGTGAGCAAGATCGCGCACAATGACAGTATGGCCTTGTTGCGGGCTCGGGGGAATGTCAGCAAGGACCCGCGGGGTAGGTGACCTGTGTGCATCGGAATCGGGGGAGGGTTGCTGCTGGGTGGGAGTAGGCGTAGAACTACTTGTTACTGCAGACGCGGTATTCTGGATTTCCATTGCCATAAATTCGGACGAGGGACTCTTCGCATTCTGTGCTCTTACGCGGGCAGAAGCGGGGTTCGGCGAAGAAGAATCGGGCGGGGTGGGAAATCGTGAGGCACCACCGGTGGATGAGATTTGTCTAGGATCTGCTTCCGTCTCGGCAGATTCCCAGGATCTTTTAGAAGGGGTTGCGCTCGGTACGGAAGGGCGATAGTTGGGCGAATGCGCTCTTTGAGATGAAGTAGTCTCACGCGGTCGGTTCCTTGAATCGGAACGAAATGAGGATTCGCGAGGTCGCGAGTGAGAATGGTCGTGGGGCAAACCTGAGGCTGCTATCATGTTATGAAGTCGGGTGTGATCCGTTACGAAATCCCCAATTACAGCAGCCATTGCATAGTATTTTTATGAAGAGCAATACTGAGGGTAAAAAAATATGATAATGAGGTCTAGGTTGCTTCCGTGGTGACTAGTCGAGTACTAGGTATTATTGTGGAATGGTGGAATATCGCCGACAAGAGAATTATAAAGGATCCTTAGGTTTGTTTTGCTGGTAGAAAATCTGTGTTAGTGAAAGGTATATGAGTGTACTGTGTGTAAAATTATAAGTGATTATTATTAGGTATTCTCGTCTCTCATTTCTAAAACGACTGTGCTGCTCTCGTCTCACCACTGACAATAGTCGTGAAGTGATATGAGTGAGTATGGCCAACTATGCCTTGGTTCACACAGAAGAGACACAGTAGACAAGTCTCGACCGATTGAGTTGAGTCTGGGCCTTGGTGGTGGGGAAAAAACGGGTAAACCAGAAAATAAATCCAAAAAAAAAAGTTCGGGCCACAATTCTCGATAGCCCAACCGGCCACGACAAGACTGATAAGGCCTAAATGGTAGAACAGCTACTATTCATCGATGTCACTTGTCGCTCCTTTGGTGGTGGCATTGCTCGCGCCTTCATTCACTCACTGCATTGCCTCACGTAAGGAAAAGAAAGGAAATAGGAACAGTGTATTGTTTGCGCTCTAGGAGTTTGCTCGAAAGGATGAATATGATGGAGGACAAATAATTAAAGAAAGATAAAAAAGAAAGGATCTTTGAAGGCTGCAGTATGGGCGCTAGGACTGGATTTACATCAACCAGTCCTATCAGTGATCGAGCGAGACACATGTCACAACTTTCACCATGTTCAAACATGCTGTTTGGACTAGCCATGAAGCGCAGTCGCAAACAGATGATCAGTTTAAGGAATGGCAGGAGGTTCTGAATGACAGAGTATGGCAAGGTATGGCAGGCAAGGCAGGGCATGGCAAGGTGCGTTCGTGTAAAGATAGAACTGAGCGATGCAGAACGTGGCAATATAGGCAGACGATACCGAGAGCAATAGGAAAGTAGAAGACATGAAATCATAATGCTTACCTTTCGCAATGCAAGTCAGAATGACGTTGTAAGCAATTATATATATCTTTTTATTGTTGTCCGTCGCTACCGAATGATAACATGCGATTTGATTCGCGTCTCTTTTTTTTTTCGGTCTTATTTGGTAGATCAGCGAAGATTACCAAAGGTCGGCGTAATGAATCTGGCGCCTGTGAATGCGCAAAGGCTGGTGGAATGGTTAATTATTATGTTGATAAGTCTCGTCGTTGTTGTCGCAAAAGGTTCCAATTATATTGTCTTGGGAGACAGAGTTCTGGAAACTCAAACGTTGATGCTGATGATGTTGTTATTGGTTGTTAATTTGGAAGAGTGTTGCGAAATTGCGAATAAAGAAGAATGTTGGATTATGTTGCTGGTGTTGGTGTAGTTGTAGTTGTAGTTGTAGTTGTAGTTGTAGTTGTAATAGTTCAAAGTTCTAAGTTGTAGTTGTGGTAGGTGGGTTAGCGCCTACGTAGGTACGTAAGGCAGGGGTACCTAATAGATGATTAAAGGTACTCGGTTGGTGAGGAAAGAACTTAGAAGGGGGGTTGAACCGTTGTGCCAGTTTCAAGATGGCAGCAACTCTGGTGGCGGCGGCGAAGATCAATACTAGTATGTAGCGACACCTAGAGCAGGCATACGTCAAAGCCTCAATTGTTTCGGCGCTAGCTAGGATTCTTGCTTGTTTGATAGGCGCTCAGACTTCTAAGTACCGAATAATTGATTAAACGTTATCCAGGGTTGCAACAATCTACGGAACGTATGACATAAAAGCCGCCGCCGCCGCTACTGCTTAACTTTTATTGCTAGCAAAAGAACAAAAGAGTACGAAATTTAAAGGGAAAAGATTGAAATAGAGGGGGAAAATGGAGGAGGGGGGGGGGAACCGATATACTAAGAAATACCAAGTACATATGCACTACATGTAGTATCATTGATGTATGTAGTTAATCGCTACCTACATACCCCGGTTGTATCCTTTCAATTGTACTTGTACCTGGATTAAGATAACTACATATGCCTAGGTATTAAATAGAGATTAAAATAGATAAAACACTTCAATGCTTAAGCCATAAAATCTCAAATTGGTTTAAACAAAATGGGACAAACTAGGGTGTATCAAAAAACCCCAAGGCCGCCTTAAACCTGATTTTTATAAGGAGACAGCGGCTACAGGTTAATGATAAAATATACATAAAAACCTAAGCGAATAAAAAAGGGGGGGAGGGGAAAGGGTTGAAGGTGAGATAGGTAGTTGATGGCGATGTGATGGCATGCGATAAGCTTGAAGATCGTTAGAAAGCATTACCCAAGATCATTCATCCAGGCTAGCACGTGCTAGCAATGCTCGGAGTAGCTGGAATGGATTTAAAGATCCGGCTCCGGAGCTGCAGGTAATGATTGGCATCTTACCCAAAGAGGGAATAGGGAGTGAGGCGGTGCACAACCGCCAGTCTGCCGCGACTCTGCGACTCCGAAGCTTGTTGGTACCTAGTAGTATTGTAGAATATTCCCAGGCGTCCTCAAGGCATCCTCAAGGCATCCTCAAGGCATACATAGTCTGCCTATCAGAGTGCCTGATAGAAGCCTGTCTAGGCAAACGCAAGAGTAACTGACCTACATCTGTAGGCTATCTTGGACGAGTTCAATATTGTTCCAACACGGCCATTTCGAGTGACGTATAAGAGGTTCACATGCTTTCAATATTAGAAACCTGTCTTGGCTAGGTTCCTGTTTATTTACTACCATGCAGCCTGGAGGTATGTACTGGCCCGAGTTAGCACTATTATAAGCTGAATAGTAACATTAAATGGCAATTATTAAAATTGCTTCTAGAAGAAATCTACCTAGTTAGGTAGTTATGGACTACGGCAAAGACCGGGCGGCCGTATTTAGCCCGGGCTCTATTCTCGGCGTCCGCGATTCAGGGACCTGTTCTAGATAAATTTTGTATGCCGATCTCTTACTGGATCTCTTACTTGATCATTTATTTGATCACTTCTTTGACCACTTAATTGATCTCTTAATCGTTACTCTACTCCAACTCACAACCAACATCAAAAATCTCATGCCCGAGGGTCGTATTGCTCATTCCCTTAGATTGATAACCTATCCCACTCCATCCCCGTGCTAAGTACCTCGTAAACGACGGCTTCTTGCCTTACCCCCACTCCAGCGGCTGACATGCGGTGAGTGAGTTCGAGAATTCGCAATACATTGCATAACACATCGCCATGTCTCTTGTCTACCTTAGTTTTACCCCCACGGAAATGTACTAGGTATGAGATTACAGATATGTAAGTAATGAGATCAGAAATACAATCTGCGAGGTGGACTTTATTCAGCTTTGTAATAGATCTCTAGTAGGTATTATGTAGGTAGTATTGGGAACTCCAACTTTCCCCTTATACCGAATTAATGTAAGACATTGATAGGCACCCACTGTCAAGCTTTCGAATCTTTTATCCTGGTCACTCGACTCCAACCAAGCTGTAGCAGTGTGAACGTCTGGGCGTTCAACATTCAGGCTAATAACAAGAGAGCCCCCCCTCCCTCTCCCCAATCCCGTAAAAGAGAAATGAGAAATGTAAGTTGATATACCCTGTCTACCGGCCGTAGTAAAGTCCTAATCATACTCTAATATGCGTTAGGCGTCGTCAGCGTAGCACCGATGACGATGGAAGGCGGGAACGGGAGGCTCGTTAATTGGATGGTTGGTTGGGGGTAGTGTGTACATATGTGCCAGTATTGCAACAACCAACTTGAACCAAGTACTTACAACATGATGCATACCTAGTATGCATTTTTTATATTAATATGTAGACATGTACTACATAGGCACTGTAGCTTCATCTGCTTCTGCCAGCCATGCACGTGCTAGTAGTCTGTGTTAATCCTCGACTTGGAAGGAAGCTACATAAGGAAAAGGAAATTTCCTTGCACCTTTTGAAATTAACCCGATGGCTTGAGGGGGGAGAAGAAAAAACCTCACGTACGTCCCCCCCTAGGTTAGTAATATCAACAAGACAGTTTTGAAAACATTGAGACATCGAGGATTTCAACGTTGCCTGATTTGTCCCGAAACTGACCTTGCCCTATCAACGACGAAAGAACAACACCAACCAACACGCACACCTATTATAAATCTGTCATTCTATTGGTGATGCCTTCGTTGTGCCATGTGATAACCCTAAGTCGATGATTTGCTCCTTCGCAGGAACATATGTACCTAAGTCCACATGTATCTGCCTACATATGTAGTAGGTAGCCCTGGAGGTGTGTATGCTCACCGCTTGGAGAAGTGCACATGTCGCTAAGGATTCGAGCATGAAAGACCCCCAACCCTGTAGCATGACATATAGTGCATCTCGTTTGGTAGGGACGTGTTACCACAGATTGACGATCGGATCACCCAAGAAACGGGATACCTGATGCCTCATTGTAATGCTCTTATTAAGCCTAGAGTAAGTTGTGCTACGCACCTAGAGGGCCCACGATAATGTGGGTTTGGGCGATACTCTACACGGCACAGGCACGCCCAACCCTCAAAACGCAACTGGGTCTCGCATCTTCATGGCTGCCTTCAATGCCATCTATTAATGCCGCGCCTCGTACTTCTCATCAGGTAAGTACAAGTGCCGGTCTGCGCCCTTCTTTGTTAGCACCACCATGCGAATGACACCTCCTGAGCTGCCATCCCACTTGATCGCCTCCTGCAAGGCCCCCTTTACGAAGTTGACGGCATCCTTCTCTTCCATGCCCTCCTTCCAGTTCGCATCGCAATAGCCATATATATAAGTCGAGCCAGAGCCGCCGATTGAGTAAGATTGTTTGTGTAGAGAACCTCCGAGAGGAATAGCATAGACTTGGCCGCCGTGTCGTTCATCCCAGCCCGCGATGATGAGTCCCGCACTATAAAGTACATGCTTGTTAGCATCGTTCCTGCGCTTGGATTATGCATCGCTGCACCATCAATATTTACCTCAGCCGATCCTTATTGGAATAGCAAACTTCTTGGAAAATGGCCGCAGCTGTCTGAGTGGTGGGGGGCTTTCCGTTCCGCATCGCGAACATGCCCAGCTGGTATTGTACTATATCGGCGACGGCTTGCGTATCGGCAGCCGAGCCGGATCGGCAGCACCAGATGGTGTCATGAACTTGGGTCAACTTGTCAGTGACTCGGTTTGCGATGTATGCACCGGTGGTGGTTCTCGAGTCGGCGCCTGAGTGCACGGTAGTATTAGTATGGGTTGGTGAACGGAGAACCAGGTATAGCATCGGGAGACGGACCGAGAATGACACCATCCTTGAAAGTAATGGCCATACTAGCATCATGTTAATTCTCAGTCGATATCACAGGCAACCCCTAGAGGACTGAGCTCACATCGAAGTACCAAGACTAGTGGTCAGAAGGTTAGTTAGAATATCCAACGGTATGCACCTTGAAACTCACTTGACTTCGCCCTTCTTTAATCTCTCCATATCAACATGAATTCCATCTAGTTGGGTTATCGGTTAGATTGAAATAGCGCTTAGAGTACTTCTATTGGTAAGCTAGGCTCAGCTCAGCTTTAACATACCCTCATTCAAAACTCCCCTGGTGCCGAACTCCATCTTGTGGGAATGGTGAAGATAGTGTAAGGTAGAATGAATAGCGCAAGTTCGGAAAGCGGTCAGATTACTACGGAGGTAGATTAATCGAGTTCGTTGATCGGTGTCTGGTCGGTTGGATTGTCGTGTTGAATGTTCCAAACTTTTAGTTGGTGGTTGTAGGTATGGAAGGAAACAGCTTCATTGAGTTCTACTTCTAAGGTTTGTAAAGCTCAAGGCAGCTCCGACACGCAAGGCTGGAACCCGGAACTTAGTGTTACCTATCTAGGTACGTAGTAGCCCGTTAGCCTTAGCAGTGATCCACCAAAGCTTGGACCACATGCCATATGTTACCCTCCCGCTCTTATCCCCGCTTTCAGGTATGATGCGGATTTTGGCGGTACCCAAGTATACTACCTAGTATTAGTTAGTACACTGTATGGAATTCAAAGTTCTCCTATTATGCTATAGGTGAATTGGAGGCTTCCAAGGTTGGCATATTAGCATATCGCGACTATAAGGTGCATACACATATCCAGTAACGTTTAGAGCTTCGAGGCATTCTGGGTATATATCACAGTATTACCGCTGAGGAGCACATGTACTTATCTAGTACCTAGGTACCTAATATTGTATTGCTCTCTTGAATTCTACTCGAGAGGCGATGAACATTGAAAAGACTAACTAGTAACTCCAGTCGCTATGCTTCCATGCCGAAATGACAATGTCCCGGGCTGTATAATTGTACAGCAATCAACCACCTTTGGTCAACCTATCCAGAGGGAATTAGTATACTTGGTATCCATAGATTATAGCAAAGCGTTGGGAACTAGTAGCAAACACTCACCCTTCTTTCTCTAACTTCAGCTCTCCTATGCTTTCTGTTTCTGCTGCCGTCTTCTTTTCATCTCCGCAGCCACAGTCATAGAAATCTCCAAGGTTATTACAGTCGAAGGCCGGCTTCTTAAGTCTTTCATTGACCTGGTTATGCACGAAGCATGCCCACCCCGCTGCCACATTCCGTGAGCTGACCTGCGGTGGAAATTGCGCAAGCAGTTTTTGGAAATGCCGTGCGCAATCGCCGCACGGATATAATCGTGCGAACAGCTGAATGAACGTCTTGAGCGCTAGCGAATCCTCCTCTGTCGGCTCTTCGGGAAACCGCGCCATCATCGTGTGGAAGAATTTCCACGTCGACCGACCGAGTTCCGCCCTGGAAGTCACAAATACAAGTTAGCAGGATACATATATGTCTTGCGCCGTGCCATCAACCAAGTTCTTGGTCATGCGCTCAAACAGTCGAGGTAGTCGAATTGTAAGATATTTATAGGGGTGAAAGGGAAAACAGAAATGCGCACTTGATCGTTGCGTTCTCGAGCTTCGGAGCTATTGCACCACCCGAAAGGATGTCGGCCGATAGTAGTGACAAACCAGCACCCGCATCCGTTTTCACTTCTGGCTTCGCATCAGGCTTCGCCTCTGGTTTCACGGCTGACTTCGCACCAGCTTTCGCATCTGCTAGGGTCGCTTCTGACTTAATCGGTGGCTGTTCCGGTACGGCCGCAGCGGGTAGCACATGTCGTATTTGCTCTGTTCTATTGCCGAAAGACGTCATGAAAGACAAAACTACGAAGGCGGCAATGGCCAAGATGACAACGACAGATAGGTGCCGCGCCATTGTTGAATGGTTCGAATAGGATTGCAATAATTATTGAGCCAGGGGCTAGGCAAATGTTGGAAGGGATATACCTAAAAAGTGGTATAATTGATAGGAGAGTCACTGGTAGAATATTGCTAACCACCTGTGAAAGCCAAAGAAAACGAACATTTAATATTACGGAACGTATCGAATTGTGTTCGATGAAGCGTCGAAAGGTTTTTGGTTTGAGAGTCACAGTTTCAAGGATCAATCATGAGATGGGACGTTCATAGGTTTCCAGGGGTCTAATTAAGGGTGCATGCCTTAACTCGATATGGAAATATAGTTCGTGTTAAGTTCATTGTATGTACTTGTATGTACCTACTGATGTAGTGCAGTGACTCCATAATGTACCCAGTACTCACTAGTGCGATACCCCTGAAGATTCTAATAAGATGTAAGAGGTAACTACTACTAGTAGTAACTACTTCATACATTCGAAATAATCATGATGCTCTTTGAGCCTCTTTCTGCTTTTCTTCTTTCTACAACATCCATTGTCGATTGATTGCATCCTTTGTTGCGTATTTCCCGAGGACCATGCTACCATATATATGCAGCTTATACGAATCCTACCTACCTACCTGCATAAGTGCCTCGGTAGATGCTAACTAGATGATATTGGTCCACCGCGACGGGCTATATAGTCGTATTACTATAGCGTTCTGTGCGTCACTAATAAGTACGAAACGCGTCTATTCACGTGCACACGTAGATCTGCAAGTTCAACATACCAAACTACAAAAAGCTTCTAATGACTCTTACTACGCTGAGTGCCGAATTAAAGTTGCATTGATAGACACCATCTATAGCCCGCGTTTGCCGTGTTTTCAGGGGCTACTCAACCGGGTATACATAGTATGCGGGGAACCTCACTTCCTTAATTATTCTAAGGATCAAATGCGCGTTGGGGAGAAGTTACTCAATCTGCCAGTCAATTAATACTCTGTCGCGGCTAATTCGTATAGCAGATGTGGATTGTACTCTGAGGAGCAACCCAACACTTGCATAGAGGTATGTATGTCCACCTTCCTACATGTAGGCTATAGATGTAGCTGTGGATATATAATGCCACGATATACCCATGAACGCGCTTCATTCTTACCCTTGAGCCACTGCGCTTAACCGCTGGGGTTTCCGTTGAAGGCGAGCTTGTTGACAGTGCCACTTGGGACGCTGGTCAGGACGCCCGAGTTAGCAGTTGATCCTATGTACTTGCAAAGCTCCTCGGGAGTCTTCTTCTCCTCTAGGCCGAGGAGATAGGCACCGAGACCGGCAATATGGGGGGTGGCCATGGAGGTGCCAGAGATGGTGTTCTAGAGGAAGAATTAGTTTGTACAAACGAGACAGAAAGCTGTCCAACTTACAGTGCGGCCGCTAACCCAAGTGCTGAGAATGCTCGACTGTTAACGACAAGGTTAGTAGTTGTTTATTTGTTCGAGTGAATACCGGTAGTCTTAGGACCAGCCTTGAAAGCAGCAACACGTAAACGAATCTACCAATGGAACATGACTTCCGAAAAATGCTGAAGAGGGAAATGATTGGCTCAATGCTACTTACACCAGGCGCGAAGATATCGACTAATGATCCGTAGTTGGAGTAGCTAGCACGCGCGTCTGAGGAGGTAGTAGCCCCCACTGTGCAGACAGATGGCTCGGAAGCAGGCGAGGCATTAGAAGCGTTTTCGTTATCGTTGCCGGCTGCGACGGCAAGGAATACACCAGCATTGACCACAGCCTTTGCGGCACTGTTGATGGCAGTGGAAAACCCACCACCGAGCGACATGTTGGCGACTGAGCCCTTGGGACAATCCCTGGTCTTGACATCAGTGGCGACGAAGTTCATGCCAGCGATAACCCCAGAGGTGCTTCCAGAGCCGCTTGAATCGAGGACCTTAACAGCAAAGAGCTGGGTCTTCTTCGCGACACCATACGTCTTACTGCCCTATATGAGAGGTCAACCGACTGAACAGGCTATATAGGTAAGGATGGAAGCAAATTACAATTGTGCCCGCAACGTGTGTGCCGTGGCCATTGCCGTCTGTGTCAGAGCGGTCCGCGTAATTAGCCAGGAACTCAGCACGACCCTCAAATTCCTTGCATGGATTTTGTCAGTATCACTTCGTTAGGCATGTTGTAGGCTCTGCATACCGGGTGCGCCGTGTAAATGCCAGTGTCAACGACGTAGGCACAGGTACCGGAGCCGGCACTCTCGTCATAGACGTAGGTGTCTGTGCCTGTCTTGTGGGACATCCGTGAAATACCCCAAGGAGCACCGGTCTGGGTAATATAGGCGTTGATGCTCATGACAGCATCTTGTTCGACGAACTCGACCTGTGCCTATGTAAGATTCCTAACATAACTGGAGAAACTATCGTGGGGCATACATCAGGATGGTTCTGCAGCGTCTCGAGGTTCTCGGGCGTGAGGGTGGAGGCAAAGCCTTTGAAACCTTTAATGTCGTAGATGTGGTCGGCATCGCCCTCGAAGGCACTCATCGTGTCCGCAAGAGCTGAGATGGCGGAGTTCTCATAGAGCTTGACAATGTACTTGCCCTCAAGGAGCTGAGACCCTCGCGGCTTGAGGAGAGGGGCTGGCTCGGCCCGCTTAGCTGGAGCAGCGAATGCCAAAGGCAGAAGAGAGAGGAGGGTAGCGGTACGCATGTTGGAGCAAGTTTGAACGGAAACGTGTAGAGGGTAAAGTTACTGAAGCAGTGTCTCCTGAGCGGATGAAGGTCAGAAGTCTCTCCTCAAGCTGACGGCATGGCGACTATTTATCTTGGCGAGTGCTTCGTCTGAGCCCGGATGTACATCTCGTACCGGCTGATCCCCACTCGCCCGGGGAGAAGACTCGCAGATCTCCTGTACCTGCTGGGTCTTACTCGGCGTACAGTCGGAAAGGATAGATGACGATGTAGGTTGCCATAAGGGTTCTTTTTCAAAGTATTGGCTGTGAGGCATTGATGACCTTGGAAAGGTCACCCTGATTCTTATCATCGATCCTTGCTCTTCAACCGCCCTGCAGCAGCCACTTAGCTCTGTGCTGTCGTACAAGAAATTCTGACATTCTCATGGGTTGGGGAAGCGCAGTAGAGCTTGTCTCCCAGGACGAATATTGACACCCTGTGGGGCACCATTTTCTGAGAGGAGCTGGCGGCCAGTATAGGCTCCGAGGCCTCTGCAACCACTCACGTTTAGGTCACGACCCCTAACCAGAGAGACCTGGGGCCTTAGATCCGATGAAGGGTCAGTGCAAGGATGGTATGAAGATCGTGTAGTCTTAGGAGTATGGTGACTTCGGGCGGTCGGTTACCACATAGGCTAAGACTTGAACCCAATAGCACGGGGAGGACAAATCTACCAGGTAGTATCAACGTGTTGTACTCGATAGCTGCGCCAAGTCAGCATCATCTCGCGCAGAAGGGACCTCGAGCTCTTTCGCGTGCTGAACAACGCACGGCCTTCCTAATCAGGCCAAAAGACCCTCCTTACTCGCATTACCAGATCACTTACAAAAAGAAGAGCCAAGAAGCCAAGACTGAGCTTGTTTCTAGGTTCTAGATTGCACATAGTATCTCAGCGGCACGTCCAGCGAGCTTTTATATTAAAATGCAGGTATTACGACATAATATGATAGCCTCTGAATGACACAATTACCGAAAGTCGGCAATACATAATAACATCATAACGTATTCGCTCTGAGCAATCACCGCAGGCAATAACTCTTATCAACTAGCACATCACGGGCCCCTGGGACGTGATTCATCGCTAATATATTCTACTCGACCGACCTAACCGGACTGCGAGGTTTGTCAACATATATTAAACTTATCTAAGCCTTCAACTATTCACTCTTCTTTGAGTACCGATCGTGGAGATTGATATGGAGACTACATATTTTCAAGTACCGCCGTATGCCCCGCATCAAGATAGTCTGTCGAGTTACGGTATGGATGGTATCAGAGACCTAGATCTCTATAGTCTCTTCACCTCTTGGATGGCGCACATGAGGACATGTATTGAGACATGCCCTACATCACTGGAAGTCGGTGCGCGTATCAACAAGCAACTCTGGATATGCATTTAGCCACTTAGCCGGAGCCTCGGTTTCGTACCTAGGATTAGCTCAGGTACCTGACTAAAGATCACGCTCTGATAGAGTAATCTTGTAGAGTGATCTCGTAAAACTATCTCTAGGCCGATTAAGAGCCGGGCATGTTGCTATGAACTTCTGAGTTCGTTCCAGCTGTTGTCTCACCATGAGTGAAGCAACAGCTTCTCGTCAATAAGCTAGCCGATATTAATGTCGTATACATAGAGCCCTGTGGGATTAAAGATAACTACCTAGGTATATATCTTCTTACTAGGTAGAGATGGGCCAATAGTAGACTGTAGATATCGGTGTAATGTCCTGCGAGCCTTAGAGTAGATCTCGAAATGATGTAAGAGGTCGTACATGAACAACGTGCCGTCTTCCTATAGTAGTTACCGGGCCTATTACTAACCTGGAATGCATACAAATCACCTAGTGTGTAATTCAGATGGATACAAAGAAAGCTGTTTGATTAAACATTTGTTCTGTATAACATAACGCCCCTTTATGGGGAACTACATATAGCTTGACTGGAAGCTGCAAAGAACGCCACTACCTAACGTTAATAAGGTCATTGTCTGATTTCTAGGTATTGTGAATTGGTATTGATATGTCTACAGGAAAAAAAACCAGCTCACTATGAGTTAATAATTAGCCATTCTGTTCGAAGACGTGTATCCTGTTCGGGTTGGATATATGTAGGAGGCAGGCACCCTACCTAGTAGGTATGTATATGCGAGCCTAGTAACTTAACCAGGAAGTTTCGAACAATTCATAAGTTTCATTATAAAGCAGCATGATACGAAACAAGTTGGCAAAAGGTTGTACATATCTTCCTATATAATCTCATCAAATCAACCACCTACCTAGGTAGTATCTGAGCAATTTATTCTTAGCGTCTTCCACCGCTATCACAAGAATATATCAACCAACCAACCGCTATCACAAGCGTTCAACAAAAAAGCAGTTTCACATCAACCACTTAACTATAATGGATAGCATTGCATCCCAACAGGACTTTCCCGAAGAGGGGACTTCGACAAAGACCCCCCCTCGTAACTTGCTTATTTGGGGCAGCGTAGCCATTGGATGTGGTATTTTACTTTGGCTGCTTGCCATGTCCTGGTGGGTATATAAACTATGGAGTTTGCACAAACCAAATCGCCAACCCAGAGATGTCGAAGCGCAGTTTTCGACGGAGGATTTGGAGTTTCAGCAAAGGGTACAAAGAGAACAAGATAGTAATAAGTCGCAGGGAATACGCTCAGAAGTACCGCCGTCAACGCCGACAACGAAAGACGGCGTAAAGAAACATGTCAGATTCTCTGACCCTAACTCTCAACATGCGGCGACCGTTGAGTCGTGCAATGAAGAAGAAGATACGCAGCCATCGCCCTCGACTTCATCGGTTAAGCCGGCCACAAAGTCGTCTAAAGAGATCCCTGAGGTAGATCTTAGTGATCCGTTTGCTGATACAGAAGAAATACCTGGCGGGGAGGAGGACATACCAGGAAAGCCTACTGCAGCCCCTGAATCGCCTGACAAGCTCGAAGAAATCGAGCTAGGACGTAGGCAGGCAGGCAACGATGAACCTAGAGATTTGGTGAAGATATCGCAAACTAAGCGGTTATCTCAGATTGAGAATAACGAAACTTAGTTTTTGGAAAGTGTTAACGTAGGTAGGTAGTTAGGAGTAAATAAAGAATAAGGGGCTAGGTAAAGTGAATTAAATACACTGTGTACTAACCAAGTATTGGAGCTCTTACTTAACCTAAGACGTTCAATCATGTTAACTGTATCAGAAGCTTGAGGATAGAACACTTATGAATAAATGGTGCATTTCTTAAATTTAATTCTTACCCATCTAGGTAGGTAGGTACTTTTTTTTATATTCAATATCCAATCTTTAGCAACGCCGCATGGGTGGACTGTATGTGCCCCTTGCATATGTAAATTTAATCCATCAATTTCTCAGTCATTATTAGCTCAAGGAATTTAATAAAATATTCTCATGGTGAAGATAAAGTTTCAATTCATCCAATATATTTTTTTCTGATGTTCTAAAATTCAGTGTGGTGTTGACACTCAATGCTTGAACGGCCTTGTTTTGGTGTAAATTTCGTTGTAAGTCCCCACCCGCTCTAAAAGGGGGGGCTCACACAGCAATTGTTTGGTCCAGACACAGATCATCGAAGTGACACCAGTAATGATTAAAAACTATGTTCAAAATGAGCTCCTTTGTAGCAACTGTGACTTTGTTTGGTCTTTTACTCTATATCCCCTTGCTTGCATATTACAGGCTGTATTTACATCCCATCGCCAAGTTCCCCGGCCCAAAATTGGCTGCATTCACTCGCTATTATGAGGCCTACTACGATGTCTTCCGCGGTGGCCAATATACCTTCAAAATTGCTGAGATGCACCGGAAATATGGTGAGCCATGGCTCTGTCATTACTCTGAGACGGCAAGACTAACTTACAACATGCCCGATCATCCGGATAAGTCCTCATGAACTTCACATCAGCGACCCTGCCTTCTATAAACAGCTTTACAGCCATAACGCACGATGGGACAAATATGATTGGGCGGTGGAAGCATTTGGGGCGCCGACAGCTACGCTCCATACCGTTGACTTCTATCAACACAAGCGTCGTCGCGCTGCACTGAACCCTTTCTTCTCCAAGGCAAACGTCATTCACAAGTATCACGTTATTGAAACAATGGTGAATAAATTCTGCCACCGCCTACGTACACAGCCGAAGGGAACGGTGATCAACCTTGGCAATGCCATTAGTGCTCTGACAAGAGATATTGCTACTGAAATATTAATCGGTGGGAGCTTCAACCACTTGGACGTTGAGGACTTCCACGCAGACCTAGCTACATTGCAGCAGAACGCAGGGGAAGTATGGCGCACGACTAAGCATATCCGGTGGTTTGGGTTGCTTACGCAGTCCATTCCTAGGAGTATCATTGACAAATTTGGGGATAAGGGTCTCAAGAACTTCCTCTCCTATCTCGACGTAAGTCTTGAACTCATACCTAGGTACTTTTGATAGGTGTATCCAGGTACTGATCAAGAGCAAGAGAACACTGACCTCAGACTAGGCAATGGCCAATATCACTGCCAACATTTTATCGCAGACCGAATCAGTCGATGCTAATATCCCCCTGGTAAAGGGGGACACCGCTCATACGATCGTCCATCAGATCTTGGCATCTGACCTTCCGCCATCTGAAAAGACACTGGATCACCTTGCACACGAAGTTATAACACTCACCAGTGCGGGCATGGAGACGACCGCTTATTCTCTGCGCGTCACTATATATCACCTATTCAAGAACCCCAACATACTCGGTCGGTTGCGAGAAGAACTCGCTTCCTCTAATATAGAGTTATCTGATGCAGAGATCGGTAGCACCGGCCTTGCCGCCCTCGAGGCATTGCCATACTTGAATGCCGTGTTGATGGAGGGCCTAAGACTCGGTACGGTTGTCGCATCGCGCCTCCAGCGAGTCGCACCCGATCGCGACCTGCAATACGGACAATGGCGAATCCCTGCTGGCACGCCCGTGGGCATGACCCCTCTTCTCATGCACCAGGACGAGACTTTGTTTCCGGAGCCGAAGGTGTTTCGGCCGGAGAGGTGGCTGAATGGTGATGGCGACCTAGTGAGAATAGACCAAGGGTTTGAACCGTTCAGCAGAGGCACGAGGATTTGTCTCGGGATGCAGTAAGTCCATTACCAGTCTACCCTATTACCCCTGAGTTATAGCGCTGGTTCTCTAGGATAGTAATGGCGCGCTAACCTATTTCCCTTCAACAGTCTTGCATGGGCTGAGCTGTACACAGTTATCGCGAAGCTGCTATGGTGCTTTGATTTGAGCCTGGATGATGTTGGCCCCCTTGACGTTGAAGCTGCGAGTGATAAATTTGTCACGGCGACTGCTCGACAAAACGGATTCAAGGCGTTGGTGAACCCTAGAATATGAGTATTTTACATACAGGACACATGTATATCACCGACAGAGTCGCACTCAACTCTACAGCCTTAGAAGCTCAGCTGTGAGCACCTAGGCTTCTAGTTACCAGTCTACCTAGGGACCTATACTAGATAAGTAAGATACAGGTAGCCTCCGGAGGCCAATAGATAGGTACCTAGAGACAACGACACTACTCAATCATTGTGTAGCAATCAATCTTCATATACCGAATTAGAGTATCAAGACTCAAAACATATGACACCGTTCTCGAACCATACCTTGATATTCCATCTTCTGATACTTAACGACCGCACGCGTTTCGTGGTGAAATGTATGAACCGGAACGCAATGTTGACTTTTGGGGGGATATAAGGCCGGCCACCCCCTATTAAATTCCTATCAAACCAAATCAAGCCAACAAAGCAATACCATCACTCTAAGCTCTTATCAAAACGTCCATTAACTACTTCAATCAAAGGAAGCGTATCCGTTCTTACCTAGTACCGATTAATCATGTCCGACGGCGAGGCCGGGGTTCAAGCCCTTAATATCACTGAGGGGGTAATCCTCGCAGCGTCGCTCATCCTGGGCATACCCACCCTGATGGGTATCACGTTCCTCATCTGGAGGTACATTCACCGCCGCTACCGCCGTGGTCGTCGACAGGAGGCCCGCGATGCCGAGGACCACCAGCAGCCGCCGCCGCCTCCCGCATACCGCCATGGAATGGAGTTAACCCGGATGGAGCGGAGCGAAGAACGGGCGTACTCGTCTGCCTCGCCGTCGCCGGAACTACCCCCGGTTATCTTTTCCTCCAGGGCGAGCACCTTTGTGGCCCCCCAGCCTATCCGGCCGCTCCCGGCAGCTCACATCTTGGAGGAGAGAGCGATCGTCTTCCGCCTCAACCCGCAGCAAACGATCGTGGAGGGGGCACTTGGGCGAGGAGAAGTGCCGTCGAGCCAGTGGATGCAAGACTCGAACGATGAGCTCCACTTTGGCTATGCTGTGGACAGGGTCTAAGGATCTGGGGAGGGGTTCAAAGTAAGTTGAGTATTGTTGGTGAGCGGGAGGTGATCATTAAATGATGGTAAATCTCTAAAAAAAAAACCAAAAAAAAAAAAAAATCTGTTTCTGCATTGTTTATTGTTTAATAGCAGATCAACTAGTTAGAACGTAAAGTTAGCAACAATAAAATCTGTTTATCTGTTTCCAAGTATAAAGAATTTGTCTACGCACACGTTGGGTGATGAAATAAAGGGGCACTAACCTACCTCTTCTCCTGCATGTGGCATGTATTGTATTGTGCTAACCCCGCAGAATCGCACTGTGATTTGAATGCCAAGTCTATATGTCATTTTCAACACGACTTCAATCTTCATCGGCGTTAGATTTGGTTCCGCCTCTACTAATCAACATTGAAGGTTGTGTACCTCTTGATCTAGTCAAAAGCTTGATAGATCTTCATGAGAAGCCTTTATGTCTAGATGTTAGAGTGACTGGGAGACGTAACCGTACTGTCTAGTTCGTTTTCACTTTTCCGCACCAAACCAATATCATGTCTCTTCCGCATACCGTTGAAGTCTTGGTTGTTGGAAGCGGCAATGCGGGCTTCTCCGCCGCCGTTTCCGCCGTACAAAACGGAGCCCGCAATGTTCTTCTCATAGACAAATGCCCCGAAAACTGGGTTGGAGGCAATTCGTATTTCACAGCCGGCGCATACCGAATAGCCCACAACGGGCTCTTGGACCTCCTTCCTATCGTCAACAATGTAGACGAAGAGCTTGCGGGGAAGATCGACCTTGATCCTTACACAGAAACCAGTTTTGCAAACGACATGCAACGCATCTGTTTGGGGCGATCAGATTCTAAGCTGAGCACAGCCCTGATTGAGGATTCTAACTCGACTGTGAAGTGGCTGGCAAGTAACGGCGTTCGATTCCAGCTCTCCTTCAATCGACAGGCGTATCTGGTCGACGGACGGTATAAATTCTGGGGTGGCCTGTCGCTTAAGACTGAAGATGGGGGCAAGGGACTCATGGAGGATCATATTGCTATCGCCAAAAAGCATAGGGTGCAAATGGTTTGGGACACGGCGCTGACTGGAATCTCGGTGGAAAGTGACGGGTCTGGGGTATCTGCACGGGTGCATCACAAAGGCCAGGAAGGCATCATTCGGACGAAAGCGCTCATCCTAGCTAGTGGTGGTTTTGAATCCAACCCCAAGCTTCGTTGCCAATTCCTAGGTCCGAATTGGGATTTGGCCTATGTTCGTGGCACCCCATACAACACTGGAGACTGCCTCGAGATCGCTCTGCGTGATCTCGGCGCCCTACCGGCTGGCAACTGGTCGGGCTGCCACTCAGTGGCGTGGGATTACAGCAACGCGGACCCCCACACAGGGGACCGAGTAGCCTCGAACGAGTATACCAAGTCAGGTTACCCCCTAGGACTAATGTTGAACGTCGAAGGTAAGCGATTCGTGGACGAAGGCGTTGACCTGAGGAACTACACGTACGCTAAATTTGGTCGCGCAATTTTGGCACAGCCCGAGAGCATAGTATTTCAAGTCTGGGATGCTCGCACAACTCCATGGCTACGATCCGAAGAGTACCGCGAGGAGCGCGTCGAGAGAATCACTGCGTCGACAATCGAAGAGCTCGCCGACAAGTGCCAACTGCGCGGCCTGCACAACCGGGATGATTTCGTTTCTACCATCCGCGAATACAACGATGCAGTTTATGCTCATCGCAGGGAAAATCCTGAGGCGGTTTGGAACCCCGCGATCCGAGATGGCTTGTCCACTCAATCATCTTCGACGAGGCTTCCACTGGCCAAGTCTAATTGGGCTTTGCCCCTGGATCAAGCCCCTTACCTTGCGGTCAGAGTCACATGCGGCATTACTTTCACTTTTGGTGGTCTCACTATCGACCCTGAGAGTACCCAGGTCATCAGCAGCTTGACTAGAAAGGGCGTGCCCGGAGTCTTCTGTGCGGGGGAAATGGTGGGAGGTCTTTTCTACTCAAATTACCCCGGCGGGAGCGGTCTCACTTCAGGCGCAGTTTTTGGTCGTAGAGCTGGCAAAGCAGCGGCAGAACTTGCGATGCGGAGATCTGAGGGCTCTGGGTAATCAGTACTAGGTACTAGGTACCTACCTCCAGATCCGACGTATTCGTTTTTCATCATATATATATCTCTGGCGTCCCCGTGCCTGATTGCTTGAAATCCTGGCCTACCTGACTCGGTCTCCCGAGTCACTAGTACTAGCTACCTAGTATCCAATATGTGGGATGCTACTATATCGTGTTGAAAGGACAGACCCTTCTGCATCTTAGAACTAACCTACAGCACGCGAGCAAGGTCTAGAAAACGACATAACATAAACGAAGGGGGAATTGTATAAAGATAATTTGAGAACAGTTATATTCAAAGTCAATCATGAAATTTGGCATTTGGATTCTACACTCTTAGTGGTATCTGCTTAGGTACTAGGTACTTTTAAGGGGTCAGATCTGAACCCCATGTTAGCTCAACACTTAGATCAACGCTTTGAGCCAACGATTATTCTATCATATCAAAGCTAAGTCCACTAGCATTACTCACGTTCTCGTTCTACGTATTGTAGGCCCTTCCGTTTACACGCTGCTGCTAGTCAGGAGTCGGCTGTACCCTCGTTAAGCAGGCCCTATCCCTTGTGTTGATGGTGTAGATACAACTTACCAAGCTCTCGGAATATAGTATGTGGTAGGTAGCTCAATTCCCATCCCAGGGACACGCTATGTCAAAGCTAGTCTTGTTCACGATACTATTCTCCGCGTCCGCCCCAAGTCCTAGCGATGTATGGCATCATGCGTAGAGTCGTCTCTAAAGGAGTCGGCAAGCTTTATATATATCGCCCGCTTACACGCACGGCAATATGATATACTTTAGGTATGCTTCCGTGGTCCTACATTATCAGTAAAAGCTCATATCTCCCAGGTGACGGCCTTGTTTTAGGCGTTAATCGCCATCCAACTCCTCGTCGTTTGAGTTGTCTACTACCATGGCCAACTTAAAAAGAGCCCTCGTTGGCTTACTAGCCACGTCATCTAGCTACTTTATATACGGCGTAGAAGCTTACTGGCGTATGTCCTGCAGCCTCATCCAAACCAGCCGTCTTGATCCCATCGTCTCCCCTGGGGCCGTCTCGGCCCACGTGCATAAGGTCTCAGGGGCAAGCAACTTCGGCCTCTCCAACACGTATCAGGACCTCATTGATTCGCAGTGCACGTCGTGTGAAATTCAAGATGACAAGTCCATCTACTGGACGCCCCAGCTGTACTATGAGCACGCCAATGGAAGTTTCGAGGAGGTTCCAAATGGCGGGACTGTCGTCTATTATCTCGGGCGCGGTGAGAATCGGTCCAACATCGAGCCCTTCCCCCCTGGCTTTAAGATGGTATCAGGCGACCCCTATCTCCGGGCGGACTCCACCACTGCCGTGACCTCTTCCAACAACAACAATTTCCAAACCCGTCCCATCTCTGATCGTGTATCGTTCAATTGCCTCGATAGCTCAGGAAGCGCTCCGGAGAAGAACTACATGTTCAGTACAGATTGCGACAACGGCCTGCGAGCCCAGATACAGTTTCCTTCCTGCTGGAATGGACAGGACTACCAACGCGATCAGTCACACGTGGCTTACATGTCCGGAATCGACAACGGTATATGCCCGCCCTCGCACCCGCGCCAGCTGGTACACCTGTTTTTCGAAGTTCTCTACGGCGTGAACGACATAAAGAAAGAGGCTGGCGGGCGATTCGTGTTTGCCAACGGCGACCCCACCGGCTTCGGCTTCCACGGCGACTTCATGAACGGGTGGGAAATGGACGTTTTGAAAGCCGCCATAAGCACTTGCGCCAATGACGACTCCTCCAATGGCCAAATCTCCAAGTGTCCGCCGCTAGCCAAGTCGCAAAACCCTTACTATGCCACCAACTGCCCTGAGCGTCCGGCCATCGTCAACGAGAAGGTGAGGGGAATGATAGACTGCTTGCCTGGCTGCAATGTCGTAACTACTGGTCCCGAGCGAGCGGTGCAGCTTATATGCCCTGACGATTCACCATCTGTCAGTGAGAACAAAGATGAAGGGCCCTTTACCATGTTCAGCCCTACCGTAGGGCAGGTACTTAGCGGAACCACATTCGCGTACGCCGGCTGTGCGACTGACAATGGGAACCCGAGAACGCTGGGCGGATATTCATTCAAAGCTCATAACATGACCATCGAATCCTGTACCTCGGCCTGCAAAGCACAGGGTTATATTCTTGCCGGTCTCGAATACTCTACCGAGTGTTACTGTGGAATTTCCATCAACAGCGGCGCTTTGTCAGATTGCTCGACTACGTCTAAGATGGTGTGTGCAGGCAATGCGACAGAGTGGTGCGGTGCGCCAAACCTCCTTACTATTTGGAGCGATACTTCATACTCGGCATCCGCCACGACCCTAAGCATTGACTCCACAACCATAAACAACGGGAGTGCGACATACTTAGGCTGTTTCAGCGACCCGGGCGGGAACAGTAGGGCGTTGCAGGGAGATTCCAAGGTCAACACCACGGCCATGACGAACGAGATGTGTGTGTCGTATTGCAGGGAAAAGGGCTACCCACTCGCAGGAACCGAGTACTCGCAGGAATGTTACTGCAGCAATGTTAATACCGGAACATTGATCTCGGATGATAGTCAGTGCAGTATGAAGTGCAAGGGGGATTCACCACGAGCCTGTGGCGGAAGCTTGAGGTTGAGTGTTTGGAACATCACCCAGAATAGGGGAGTCCAATCCCAGTCCACACAAACACAGACGCAGACCATATCTACTCGATCCACCCAGTCACAATCGCAAGCAACCTCTACGCAACTGAGCCAAGCAAGTGCCAGTGCCAGTGCCAGCGCCAGTGTCCTCAAAGCCGCAAACGGAACAGCCAACTACGTCGGCTGCTACACCGACAAAGGCTCCGACGGCCGCACATTAACTGGCGACTTCCAGTACGGCGACTCCACGACCGTCGAGTCCTGCGCAAAGTACTGCCAGGCCAAGAACTACGCCTTGTTCGGCATGGAATACGGGCAGGAGTGCTACTGCGGGAACGCGCCCAAAGCCTCATCCGCCCTCTCGGCCGAGGCAGACTGCGGCATGCCCTGCAAGGGCAACCCGACCCAGCTCTGTGGCGGGAGCTCGAGGATATCTATCTGGAATAACACGTTGTACGTCCCTACTCACAACATGGTCACTAGCACAGATGGGGGATACGCGTACTTTGGCTGCTATACGGAAGGGACAAATGGAAGAGCGCTGGGCAGCGGTACAAAACCGAGTGCTTCGTTCACTGATGCTGGGATGACTGTGGAAAAGTGCGCAAGTTATTGCTTAGGAAAAGGTTACAGCTATATGGGAGTCGAGTACGGGCAAGAGTGCTACTGCAACAGCGAGGGCCCACGCAACGGAGCGGCGAAGGCCAACGAGGCGGATTGTGGCATGGCTTGCAAAGGGGACATAACGGAGTGGTGCGGTGGGAGTTCTCGAATAAGTGTTTATAAATCTCCCTGACCTAGAAAACCAACTACCTACCTACATAGCAAGCTCTTCAGGAGTGCTGCTATGGTTTCCACCGCCGTCCATACCTATATCCGATTCTCTTCGGCCGAGGCCCTGACATATATATGTATCTATAGATCTGTTCGTAGTATTGATGTCGGATGGACAAATCGACCAACGGATTTTTTCGGATCGCCATTTCACCTTCCCCTTCACCACTGGAAAGTTATATAAACAGAGCGGTGTATGGCCATCGTCTTTAATCTTAGACGTATCGACCTTTCCATCTCCTTTAGAAAATTGTGTGGCACAGTCCAATGCATTGTTATACATGATACCTAAGTCCATGGCGCCAAAGTCTGGCTCCAACATATGATTGACGGTTTCCCCTTGGGCTCCGTCGCCGCGCAGCTTGTCATTGTCCGTAAACCTCCAGATGTCCAAACAGTCATTTCCGTGCCAAATTCGTTTAGCACCATCACGGAAGCAGTCAGCCGATGACTTGATGTCTGTATTGATGAAGACAAAATAGCGCTGCTCCTTGAGGATAGCAACGGACATCGCACGTTTCGTGGACTGGTCCCACTTCTTGACTAACGGGCTATAGACCGTATCAATATCCCCGACCAATGCCCGTCCTTTGTCAAAGAAATTGGAGATAGGGCTGCTGTAAGAACCTCCGGAGCCTGGCAAGTCTTTGGTGGTCATTTTCTTATTCCCGGCGAAGGTTCCTGCTAAGGCCAGTGCTAAGGTCGATTCTAGCCCACTCATTCCTTGACTGAAGACGGTGCTGAGTGTGTCGGAAACAGTCTGTTCGGAATCGATAGCCTTGTGATTACTCTCGGCTACGGCCTTGCCGTTGATACCAACATTGATAGCACCCACCCCAAAGATGGACGTTGGTCCCATTTTAGATCCAGCTGCACCGCCATATCCACCTGATATGATCAGGATAGCGGCGAAAATGGCAGGGATTTGTGAGTGGTCTTTGGGCTTCGGGTCGCCAAAGGCAGCGACGATCTTATTAATTAGTATCGAGTCCTGGACTGTGTTGATGCGGAGCCAGGTATACAAGTAGTTGAACGTAGCTTGAGTTCGCTGCCCAGCCATCCGAATCCAATAGAATTCAGCCCTCTTGAAATCCATACACTCTCCTGGGCCAGAGCATATACTTCCTCCCAAGGTGTTGCAGGTGTTTTGGTATTTAGTGCCGGAAGGGGAGAATTCGTAGTCCATCTTGCTGAACCACTTCTCCTCTCCGTTTTTCTTAAGCCAGTCTTCCAGAAATTTACCGACACCTCCTCCTTTGTCGCTCCAGATGTATTCTCTTTGCTCCGCGGTGCCGGATGGAAGTCTACAGATTCTCTGTTTTTCTTTCGTTTCGTTGTCCTTAGCTTTATCTGCCTCAGACTTGCATTTTTCCGGGTGTAGTCTGCATTCTTTCTCTTGTCCTACAGGAGGAGCAGCATCCACAGATGCCAAAGATAATAGTAGAACCAGGACTTGTTTGAATTTCATGATGGAGCTGGGCCGTATACATTTGTAAAACAATATGCCTCATGAGCATTGAAGTTAGGGGTGTTGGCCATACTTATAGTAAGTACTAGGTAGGCTTTCACCAGTCCGATGAGCCTTTCTCTTTCACATGACTAAATTGACTAAATTGAATTGATGTTATGTCATGGTATGGCATGGCGGCATGAAGGATTCCAAGAGGGACTGGTGTATATAGGGGTATATACGAAGTAAACGACATTCCATGTTTTCACGGTGTATACATACATAGTAGCTGGAGGTACATGTAGGTATTTCGAAGGATTAGGAACAACCTTGAACATGTGAACTCTATCTAATAAATTCCCCAGAAAAACATTAAAATGATCTCCATCGGAAATGCGGGGGAGCTAGCCTTGAAACCTTATTGGTCTACGTTACGGCGCACCCCCTAGGCATGTACATACTACGTAGTAGGTTAGTACCTATCTAGTACCTAGGAGATGGTGGCAGGTACGCCAGAGAGGAAAGTGCGAAGCACTATAATCATGTATTTAAGAATATTTCAATAGCAAGGTCTGATCCTTAGATCTTATCCTTTTAATATACAGGTCTACCCATATTTATCTGGTGACCCCCCACCAGAAGAACTGTGGTGATAGCCTTATTTTTGGTTTTTGGTTTTTTTTGATAATTGGGACCTTTATTGTTTTTAAAGTTATTTTAATCCTTTTATTGATTGAAACGTTATTGTTAATTGAAAGCTCTATTCTAAAAATCAACGTTTATTCAAAAAGTCGTTTATTCCAAAAGCTGTTTATTTAAAAGTCGTTTAATTAAAAGTCCATAGTTAGTTTATTTAAATCAAAAAGTCTAAAAATTGTTTATTTAATTTAAAAAGCCTATAATTTACTAGCTATTATGGCTTATTTTAAAATTTCTCCGGCCTTCCTTCAAAAAAAAATATCCAAAAGTGATTCATCGGCCCGTGGCCCTCCGCAAGCTCCGGGACGGGCCTTCGAATCACTTTTGGATATTTTTTTTTTCAGGAACCGCTGCGCTGGCCGTAGAAATTTTGCTCGTCCAATTAAAAGACTATCTTAGAAAGTCAAAAAGGGGTTAAAAGTCAGGAATGGGTGACGGAAGGAAGGCGTAACCATCCGGAGGATAAGGTTTAGCAAGCTGTGGCAGCAGCAGCCATGGAGATGCCCACATGGCAGTAGCCATGGATAGCCACGGGAGTGGCTATCCACGTCCATGGCCACATCCACGTCCATGGCCATGTCCTAACATCACCCCCCTTTCAATGGAAAGGATAACGTCCACGTTATCCAAGTCCAATAACCTATATACACACATGTGTGTTGATCCCTGATACGAATCTCTAAGCAGACCCGTGCTGCTTCAATAATTGAAATAACTCCAGACAATCCTCCTAGCGGGATACATGTGGTCTTAGTGGTTGGGTTGCTTGAGGCTCTGCCGATGGCCTGTGCGTTGAGGCTCTTGCGGCTCTGCTGATATATAGGGATATGGTCAATGAATAAGGATGGGGTCCATGGTTGGGCAATCAATAAGTATATGGGCAATGGATAAGAATAGGACGGTTGTTGATTAACCCTTCAACAACCAAAAGGTCTGAGGATTTTCTAGGTGAGCATATTGCTCACCCCTCGGATGAACCGGGATGGTATGGGGGTTGGAGGTCTTCCAACCGTAGCAAGAGATGGGACTCAAAAGGTCAATCAGTCAATCAATATATAGAAGAGAAGAAGAGAGCTGAGCTCCCAGCGTCTCAGGCTAGCTATATATACACCGATAAGGTTCAGCAAGCTGTGGCAGCAGCAATGGAGATGTGCCCATACGGCAACAGCTATGGATAGCCACACCTATCCACGTCCATGGCCATGTCCTAACAAAAAGCGTTGAAAGAAACGCACGGCTATGGTTGACAAAGTTTGGGACAGCTGGCATAAAGGGATGCAGCCAATAAAAAGCGTTTGCTTTAAAGGAATGCAGCCAATAAAAAGCTTTTAAAAAGAACGCACGGCTGTCGGGCAGCTGGCGCTAAGAACGATCTGACCAATCCTGATTTTCCTGCACGGGTTTTTGGGAATTACAGGGGTATTTAATGACGTAATTAATTCAATAATTTCCCATAGTAATTTTCTGAAAAAGTTCCAGCATAAAAATATCCTCCGGATGGATTACTTTCTATATGGGATGTATTATATTTTATTTATCCGATTAACCTTTTATTTTAAAAGACCATATTTCTGGCATTTTATTGCTATTCTAATATAGCGTTATCTATCTTTGATATTTATTAAATGGTTGTGTGGTTTGGGAACGTCTATATTAAAGCTTATTGGCGTTATTAAAACAAAGCTTGGAAATGCCTAGAACAAACATTATTATCCCCCCCCAATAAATAATGGCAAATACGCCAAAGAGGAAAGTGCAAAACATTGTGGTTATATATTTAAGAATATTTTAGTAGCAAGGTCTGATCCTTAGATCTTATCCTTTTAATATACAGGTCCACCCACATTTATCTCTAGGGTATTAGGTAATAAGGCTATTAGGTATTAACAACATGGATACTACCAACTTAAACTTGAATGCATTGTCTATTCTTACATCTAAATATAAAAATTCACATCCTTACTTGGTATGCGGCGCAGTGTGCAAGAATTAGACATTGGAGTGGATTAAGGCTGTATATACTTAGATTATCAGGATGCTATAGCGTATAGCGTAGGATGCCATTAACCCCCTTTGAAGAAGGTCTCTAGAGGCATTAATAAGAGGCCCAATTAGTAGGAAGTGGCTCAGTACTACTATATGCCTAAGGTTAGGTAGGTAGGAAGACGTCGTTTGATACTATCAATGATTATACTACTATTCAATGATGTACCATGATCCTTTTTGCTACTATAGGTAGGTGAGCTTCATCTTTCCTGCCTGCCAAGTCCATCCCAGGTTTGTCCATTAGGTACATATCTACATAGTCATACCTGCATAGTAGGTAGGCTAGGCGGTAGGTGAAATCCTCGTATACCCTAGGTAACCAACCTCAAGCGTGATATCATCATCTACCTACCTAGGCCAGGTAAGTAGGCACGTAAATCATTTTGTCTTGTTTCTCCATCCATCATTTGCGCCTACCCCCATTGCACCAGCACCTTCTTCCTACCCTTGTTCCCCTTTTTTCCTTTTGTAGATCCTTCCCCACCGTCCTCGGTGTTGTCACCCCCAGCGCCAGATCCTTCACCCGCCGTTCCCCATGCAAACCCCGTGTCCCGCGAACCCGCCGCATCTCTACGCACGCTTCCTGTACCATAACCAAATATCGTCGTGGTGGGCTTAGGTGCAGCAGGAAGGGCAGGGAATGCTTCGTCCTGGTTGGCCGGTTTGGCGCGTCTCGATGAGGATGATGTGCCTCCTGAATTCCAAAGGGCAGTGCGGACAGTATTGGTATTGCTTGACAGAGCAGGAAAGGCCGCAGTCGGTGGCGGTGGCGGTGGCGGAGGATTTCGAGAGGAGCTCGCATGGGAGAAGGCAGAGGACTGTTCTACACTTGAACGTCGTGACTGCTGTGTAGAACTCTTAAGCTTGAGCACTCGAGTGGTATGTCTTTGGGCCGGTGCTGCGGTAGCCGTGACGGGCGAACTTGTGGCTGCAGCAGCCCAACCCGTGCTAGATGTAGTAGCGCCATGCATGCCGCCCAGGCCTGGCAGAGTTGGATAATCATCATTGATAGCTCTCCAGTCGTTCCACGCTTTCCGTAACCTGTCACCTTTCGTTTTGTCTTCGAAGAGATCGGCACACTCACGGACCAGTGTGCCAAGGGCGGAAAAAGAGGCGTCTGAAAAAAGTGAGAAGAGTGCATCGACGAGCGCCGCGGCCGACATCGAATTTTGTTTGTAAGAAGATATATGATTCCGAAATGTGGCAATCTTGTCGCGATCATTCCGTAAGAGGCCCGAGGCTCGCTCAATAACAGCAGAGTGTCGTAGGAGGGATACGCGGTCTTCCGCCGCTAGATTCGGGTCTGTTAGACTCAGCCCCTCCATGTCGGTGGCCACTGTAGATGCAGTGGTGGTAGCAGTGGGGAGGGTGGCAGATGCTGCAGGTGGAGGTTGCCCTGATGGGTTTGATGACGATGATAGCTGACCGCCAAAGGTTCGGTTGGACACTGACTGTGAAGAGTGTATAGCCATCTGCCTTTGGAAGGCAAGCTCATCCCGTCGAAGCGTCTGCGCAGAACTGACGGGGAGAGGCTCCGCATTGGGATCGCGACCCCTTCCGCGCCTTTCTCCCTCCCCATCCCGATCCCGACCCCGTGCAGAGCCACCGCCTCGTCGTTGCTGTTGCTGTGGCTGGTAAGGCTGCCGATAGTCAAAGGTAGAAAGATTTACCACGCGAGCATCACGTCGCACATCCTTAGACAAGGAGTTCGCATGCTCGCTGAGTTGATGCGCCTTTAGGTCCATCTCCGAGGCGAAGACAATGAACTTCTTCTCGAGACATTCATGGTCAAGGCAGAGAAAATGATCCTTTTTGTAGTGCTCCTCAAGCGCACTGTAATCGCGATAGTAGTGAGGCTGCCTGGGGTTTTGCCGATCACAGATGAAGCAACGTTCGTGTTTATCTCGACAATGCGCGAAGAGCTTGTCATCGTCGTAGAATCGCGAACCACAAAAACCACACAGCGGGTGCCCTTTAAATCCTGTCTGGTCTACAGCGCCAGGGCGATCATCCCCATGCCGCATGTGGGTTTCTAGCTCCTTGTCGGTAAACAGCTCATGTTCGTGAGTGAAGACTTTCTTCGTCCTAGTGCAAAGATCGCACATCTTCTTGTGATGTATGCTGCGAACATGTCGATGTAGATCGGGCCAGCCAAGTCCCGCGAAGTCACAGGAATCATCAGGGCAGTTGTAACGCAAGAGCAAGACAGTGTCCCCAACTATGTCTTCGTTCGTGTACCGGATTCCAATATTATCGTCGGTACTTGTGACGTCGGCGTCGGAATAGTCGCCGTATCGTTTGGTAGATTCATCAGTAAAGAGGACAAAGGGGGCAACTGTCTGTGGCGAGGTTAGCATTTGATATGAGACAACAGAGGGAATATAATACATACCCGACAGTGTGCGCATTCCCTGTTCTTATACAATGCTCTCATACGTAGAGCGCATATATGGCAAGTCCGATGGTTGCAGGGAGTAAGGGCCTGATGAATGACCGGGCTTGCGCAGATGAAGCACACCTCAGCTTCTATGTCTTCCCCGTCCTCGGCAGTGTTGGCAGTCACAGTTGGTACGCGAGTTTGCGGTAATGGTTGGCTTGGTTCGCTCGGATCTGACTGGGGAATGTGTGTTGAGGTCTGGCCTCCCCTACCTCTCCCACGTTGGGACCTTCCTTGTCCTCTTTCTTGTCCTCTACCCCGGCCGCGACCTCTGCCTCTTCCTCTACCATTACCATCACCTCGGCCGCGGCCTGGCGCATTTGACATAGGGGCAGGTACAGTAGGGGAATCCATTGAATTTCCTACTACTTAAATGGGCAATAGAGGTAACACAATGGATTCCAAATGAGAGGATGCGCTCCTTCTTGCTGAGATACGGCGGACGAATCGAAAAATGCCCGCGAAAGGGAAAGGCAGTACACTGAATAGCGTCTTAGTTGCTGGTTACTATGTAGTTCAGATGAGACAAGCGTTGGCCGATTTCGGATTCTTTGCTTGTTGTAGGGTTTGTGGGAGAGTTTGTGGGAGGATTTTGGGATGCTTCCCTTCGTTGTTAACACGATGCGTAAGAAATGTGTGAGAGAGAGGTGGGGGATGGTCGTATTTACGGTGATTGATTGCAAACGCAGGTGTGGTGTATATGGAATGATATTTGATAAGACACCCAATTCATCTCATACCCATAAATTTTGGTGGGTGGGTGCATGTGCAACATGTGGCTTAATCATGGATCATAATGACTCGACACCCTGAGACTCCACTGAATGACAAAACTCTCAGTGCGGGAGTCATCGGTAACTAGTTAACTAAGCCTTAACAATGAAGGTAAGCAAAGCACCGCCACACCAGGGACGCGGGGTCACTGCAGTGGTCAAATTTATATAACCAGCCATCAACGCTGTAGGTTAGTTATTGTATTGTACAATACTTGTACAAGCATCCTTGACCTTCAACGATAGAACTTGAACATTGAAGTCTTTTAAAAACAACATCATTGATTGATGTGCGTACATCTATATTACATAACTAATCTTACCTATATTTAGTAGATGTACTCATTACTCAGTGACTGTCAGCTGACACATTGTACATAAGTACACAGAACCAACTTGGAAGTTATCCGTGCAGTGCATCTCTAAGACATAAAAGCTTCAAGATCAGTCAAATTCAATCACTTTGAGCTACCTAGTCCCAGGTCTCAAATATGATACTAGGATAGGTTAATTACTGCGCCTTGCCCGCGCCAATTTTGACCCATCACAACGCCTCCCGGTAATCTCAACCGGAACATACCTCCAGTACATATATCACGGCTTAATAAACGGCTTAATAAAAAGTAACGCAGTACATATCATGCAATACCTCCATACTACTAGGTACCATAGTAGTAGGAGGTACATAAAAGATATGGCCTAGCTTATGAGAAGCAGCCATAAAGCTATTCCTCGTCCACGGGATAGAGATGGTTGCCAACTAACTTGTTCATCTGAAACATGTCAACTCTAGCCTGCTTAAAAACGGCTTGCATCCTCTCATCGCATCGAATTTGGCGCCCGTCATTGGGATCTTGTAGCTGGTTGCCTTTGATGTGTTCCCACAGTTTCTTGACGACTTGCGGTCGCGACAGCTGCGCAAGTTAGGTACTTAATTAGCCAAGTAATACAGCACCGTAGAATTGAAGTACTCACTTGCGCTTCCCCGCAAAGCTCGGCGAGCGGATAGCTAAGGTTGAAAGGCTTTTGGAAGCCCCCAATGGCCTTACGCCGCCGACTTCCCGACCCCTCGCTCCCTTCTACGTCGCTATCGTCATCTGGTCCGACTTTCTTGTCGCTCTTCTTCCGAGGTGTCGCTTTCTTCTTCTTCTTCACAGGCGCCTTGGGCTTGCCGCCCCCACGAGTTGCACGAGTTCGTTGATTTTCCTGGGCTTGGAGAAGTGCCGCCAGCTTGGCATCGGCATCTTCGACATCCTCGCCTTTGTCTTTGCGTTGCTTCTTTTTAGGCGGCGCTACCGACACCTTAATCTCGCCTCCATTGACATCCTCTTCGATACTGCCATTTTCGTCGTAATTGTCTGCTTGTCGTTTAGATGACGGGCGTGGGGATGCTGACTCGGTCTTGGGAGCGGCAGAAGAGGGTGGCGGGACAGCCGAGGAGATGGCGTCGAAGCGCTCTTCAATAAGTGCCTTGATCGCATTCTATTCAAGTCAGCAAATCGTGCAACCTGAGAACCCGAGTCACGCACTTTCTGGTCGCTGAGATCCTTCCCACCCAGTGCAGCCTCAAGGCCCATACGGATCTTCTTCCGCGTGACGGTCTCGAGGTCGGCCGTCGCCAAAATGCCATCGATGACTTCCGTATAACGAGTCTCCTCATCTGCAGTCACTAGTTTTGTTAGTAAAAGCTAGCTAGAATCGCATAGAGGTGATATTGATGATGCATGGGAGACTAGAACTCACAAGGCGTGGCCATCTTGAAGTAATCAAAAAAATAAATAAGAATTCAGCAGCGTAGGAAAACGATATTCGTGAACGTGACGTAGGCAGGCAAGTTTCTTTGGGGTAGGTCGCCTCCGATATCAGAGCATAGCGCCAATAGAATATTGGAGGTGAACGCGCTGAATGAAGACCTAAGTGGTAAGCTACATAAGATAGCAATTGGATGACAATTAGAAGGCAAGAACGTTTCCAGCAAGAAGCCAATATCCCGGAGACGTGGTTAGCGACTCCTCAGCGATAGTCGGAAGTTGCAAATTGGAAGCTGGAAGTTGGAAGTTGGAAGTTGGGATGGTAGATATGATAGATTAATCGCAGAAGTCTATACAGTGAAGTGCGCGTAGGCTACGAGCTTTGAGGGTTTACAAACAGAAAGACGAGCGCCAATATGTAGTTGCGCAGGTTGAAATAAATTAGGCCGCTGATTGATTAGCATATGGAGTTGTTGGGTATATGATCTGTGTGAAATGTTATCGGCTGGTCTTGTGATTGAAGTTTAGATTTTAGGATATCGGAACACAAAGACTTGTCGTTGGCACTTTCCACCGAACTTACTAGGTAGGTTAATCACTGGACCAATCGCGCATATGTACTATATATGTATGTATTGAGTATATCTGGTTTAATACATACAGAGTACTAATAGTAGCACTGAGGCGCGTAGGTATGTACCTATTGCATGTATGTACTAACTATATAGGTATCAGGTATTTATGTTTACAAACCCCATCGGCCAGAATCATCAGATGAATTCATTTCTTGAATGAACATAACTAGGTAACGAGTTACCTGTATGACAATATAATTACTGATGTTGAGTTCTGATAATTTCTGTTCTAGGTAAAAGATGGTCGAGTTATATGTACTTACCTAGGTATGCACATATCCCTCATTGTCCGTCCGCAAACATTGAAGCTAACTCCAAGGTGGGTAAAGTGCGGCTACTTCAATGTTCTGACCAATCAAGGGGCTAGTAGTCTTACATCATACATAGGTACCTAGTACTACATACCCAAAATAGTACCACGTAAAAACATTGAATACATCGATAATAGGAACTTGAATGCATTTAATATCGAAACCCTCATTTGAAGAGAGTACACATATTGTATAACTATCGATATGTATGTATGTATGTTTTCTGCAAGGCTGCGATATTTCGATAGGTATACTCATATATGCATGTTACTATGTACTTACCTAGTACTAGGTAGTATCACTACATCCATAATAAGCCTTATTAGTACATAGTTATATGAGAAGTGTGCAGTTATGCAACTAAGCAGGTACTTAACTAATAGGTGAAATAAAAATGAAGCGAACATTGAAATAGTTATTCTACACTCTACACAGAAGCATTGCCGTTGGGATGTACGAAGGTTGTGGCCAAAAGTTTAGACCAAGATATACCTTAGCCCCACAGTTCCTCCACTTTTCTACCACTGTAAGAAATATCATCGCCAATATACTTACCTACTTATAAAGCCTTATAAATTTATTTAATAAATATTAAATATGCTATTACGTTATTTAATTAGTATATTTGATAATAGAAATTTTTGTAATTTTTTTTCTTTATTAAATTAATGTAAATATATATATAATAATCTAAGGTTGTTTAAGACTGAAAGCTTTAAATTTATAGCACATTATAGCGCTTAAATGTGCTATAAGATGCTATACTTTTAAGGGTTGTAAGGGATTTGACGTTAAATGTATACCTATTATTGGTAGAGGCCCAAAAAAGAATGGCGCACTATGGGGCAGAGGTATATCTTGGTCTAAACTTTTGGCCACAACCTTCGTAGGCTAAGTATGATGCAAGCCCAGATACAACAAGCTCATGTAGAAGCTTGGATCTGGAACTGGCCTATGTAGGTACGAAGTAGATTGCTATGAAAAAGCTAACATTGTTATTAATCCTACTATGAGGTATCGTGGGTGTTGTCTCCACCAGGTACCCAAATATGCATATCTATCATCCAGACGGATCAGTCGCCTACCAGCAAGGAAAGGAAAATCCTGGGCAACCAACATGTGCGCCTGTAAAGATGCATCTCGAATTGTAGATTGGTGAACAGGATCGGCAGGCTAGGATATCGAAAACAAAAAAAAAACATGAAGCATGCCGCTTTGACAGCTTCTCCATAGTGTATATTGAACATGGTTCTTTGTTCGAACAAATGAAGTGGGCTGACATTCTACGTACTTAATAATAGACAATCACATCTACGGTACTCGGTACCTAGGTAACTTTTACAATCAAATCACCATTTTAACTCCCTACCTATTACCTACGTTGTAGATACTAATTATGATATAGGAAAATAGATAAGTACTAGGGGGTCCATGTCCCTTAACTAGCCCACGATCTTATTAGAATATCACGAATGAGGCTGGGTTTAGGTGCGTTCAGGGGCGAGACGTGAGCTGAAATATAGCCAAGCTAAAGGTCTGATCCATGCTACCTGCACGTCACATCCAAACTGGGTACCTAGCTTCTGACATGTGCACCGTAGGGTGTAGCTATTTGGGCCTACTATATATGTAGTGTTTTAAAAACAGATCTACGGTGACTTTTGGCTCGTATCAATGTTATAGTAGAAGTTCTTACAGATATCAATAGTAAGTAAATAGATGTAGAAATGCAGATTGGGTAGACTGGGAAAGCTACAGTACATCAAGATATCGCAGATATCTTCCTCGGTCTAATTATGTAAGTTAATAACTATAGTGAGCTGAAGTTTGTGTTTCCCACGTGGGCAGAGCTACTATCTCAATAGAGCTTAGGTATCGTTCCACTCATCGACGAACTTCTTGCTAAAATGACATTAGCTGTGCCGTTAGACTGGTTCTTATTTCGCTCCACTTGGTAACTATGTATCTGAGGGCTGATCCACCTAGGCCGTCTCATCGTCTCTGTAGCTGCCGAGAAACAGACAGGGCGAAACGTCCATGGGTGTAGGAAAAATATCCGGGCTCTGGGTCTCTGGGTCTCTTAAGAGGAGTCGGTCGACCACAGCAATATTACATAGGTAGTATACTTCCTACCATCTCGACGCCGTTCATATGGTATGTAACTGCTATTGTCGAGAGTAGGCTCTCATCCATTATAACATTGGCGAGGTCCATGCATTCTCTGGCCCACTTCCTGACATCGTTGAACTGGAACTGCTTGAGAAATAAAACCAGAGAGAGGGCTTTCCGCTAGCTTTCTCTTTCAGCAACTTCTACTTCGTACTCCAGTCAAATACATAGTACAGAGTTATGGCATACAATGACGTTTACGGGCCATTAGACTCCATCAGCAACACCATCTCGCCTCTACCCACTGGCCATCGCAATGGGCTCATTGCCATTGCTGTCTGCGGCTTGCTGTCATTTGTGACAACAACAACGCTGTTCTTATTTTTGACGTACAAATTGATCATTTGGTGTATGCGCCCGGTTCAGGAAGGTGATGCTCACCAAACCCCAGCAAATGACTTGTCGTTGGGCCTGGCCCAAAGGAACTTTGCGAAGAAGGCGATTCCCGAGCAAGGAATCTCACGGCAACGACGAAAGAAAGGATCGCCAAACCAGTTTCTCATCCTCGTTTATAACCTGTTCTTTGCCGATATGCACCAATCCACGGCCTTTTTGCTAAATATCCCATGGATTCAACGAAACGAGATTACCGTTGGCGACCCGACCTGCTGGACTCAGGGCTGGTTTGTGTCAATAGGGGATCTGTCCGCAAGTTGCTTCGTTTGTGCCATTGCCGTCCACACGTATGTTACTGTGGTGAAAGGTTGCAACCCGCCACAACGGCCGTTTTATATTGCTATAACATGTTTGTGGATCTTTATCTACGCCATAGCCACCATCGGTGTGGTGGCAACTAACAACGGAAAAGGAGCCGGTGGTTTTTATGTTCGAGCAGCGGCCTGGTATGTTGATGTTCATCCCTTAAAGTCTAAAACTAACAAATCAAGGTGCTGGATAAATGTCAGGTTTGAAAAGCTTCGTCTCTGGCTTCACTATTTCTGGATCTTTCTTTCGCTTTTCGTAACCAGCGTCTTATACGTCCTGATCTTCGTCTTCCTCCAGCAGAAGAAGAACTCGCTCCAACCGCTATCGCACAGTCGTCCTTCAGCATCGACTCGACCAAGAAAAACTTCCAAACCGCCGGATCCGTCAGGCTACCACCCGGCATTCCTGATATACCCCGTCATATACATGCTCTGCACGGCACCGCTGGCGTTAGGACGTGTGTTTACGATGGCTGGGAGGGACGTGAGTATAGCTTACTTTTGCGCGGCCGGTGCCATGATAGCCTCCAATGGCTGGCTGGACGTGCTCTTGTTTTCAACGACCCGCTACTCTATCATCTTCGAAGCGCCCCTAGACTCGGAGAACACGGGCCTAGAAACATTCTTATTTATGAGGACACCGCACTGGAGGCTATACGGGAACATGATCTGGGTGCAAGGAGGAGCACAGAATACTGACGACGAGGAAGGTCAACGACACAGGAAACGTAGAAAGGCTGTCTGGGGCTTAGATCGCCTAGGGCAACTCGTGGGTCGGGGTGGGAGAGATGGGCGATCTAAGATAGGCGGCCGAAGCAGCGGGAGTCAGGAGTCTCTGAGGGGCATTATGAGGAGAGCAGAGACTGGAATTCAGATGGATACAGTTACGACAGTCGTTGTGGAGATCGAACAAGACCTCGGCAATACTAAAACAAGCTCGCGGGAACCCTCCGCTCACTCGATTGACAGTTCGGAAAAGGAAATGGCCTATAGGGTGGGAAGTTTGCGGCTATAATGTGAAAATAAAAATATAAAAAATATGAAAAAAATATTGACTGATAAACATGGAATGATAACTTGAAGCTATTTAGGTACATATGTGCCTATGTATGTGCCTATGTATGTGCCTATGTATGTGCCTATGTATGTGGTTATGTATGTACCATGTGTCATGCATGTAACCTATGGCTTAAATGGTCTTAAATGATACCTCAACATGCAAATGTAACTAAAAGGATATATTTATATGATTGTATCAGGATAGCACCTCGACCACTAACTTAGGGTAAGTCACTGGTACACCTCACTGGTACAACATGTACATGCAGGCCCAGCATTTTAGTTGACTTTACCCGCCAGCCCGTCGTCAGACTCATTCTAATTCTCGTTCCAGTTCCATCCGAATTCCCCTTGACCGTCTTGACGAAACGAATGCCGGGGGGTCGTCTCACCAAAGACTGGATCCCACCCCAAAAGTTAAATTTATTACTTGAAGAACATTTTATTCACTTTTTTTCCATTCTTCACAAAAAGAAAATAAAAAAAAAGGAAAAAGAAAACCCATGAATAGAATAAATCCCGTCTGCTCTATTTAGGTAGGTAGGTACCTAATCTATCACTCATTTTCAAGGTTTAGGTTGTATTAATGTGTAATGTCGGTATAAAATAGGGCACGCCGCAGCACGACTACGGCGCGGCAGCGCACACAGCAATCAGCAATCAGCAATCAACGTTATTTGAGTAATTATCTTCCACTTAACTTAACTAGAAGTTAGGGCTGCCGGGTTGTCGGGCTGCTAAATAAGCTGCTAACCTACCTACGGTCCTACGGGGTCCTACGGGCTAGTACCTACCTAACCTAGTAGGCTGCCAGGTAGTACATGTAGGTAATACCACCGATCACCCCGAGTAGTCTCGTTCTTCTCCTACTACATTGAATTTCTCTCTTTACCTACACTACTCCAGATATCAACCCTTTAGAGCAGGCTACTTGATTACTATATTCTCACGTCAAAGGCTACGTGCTAATTTACCTACGTTACCTTAGGTATATTGCTATTGCCTTTGATTAATGTCTCGCCATATTAGTAATACCAACATTGAATCTAAGCCTCCCTTCAACCGGGAGGACAAATTCCCTCTCTCAACTCAGCCAAGTCAAGTCAAACCAAGTCTCGTTGAAGGACGTGCAACGTTATACCCTCCCTCGAGTCTAGTTTGCTGCCAGTGTTGATTCTATTACCTCACTTCTGGACCTTCCTATCCACCGCATTCAACTTACAACTCATTCCCCACCTGTCCGGTCTTTTCTTTCACCGGACAGCCGAGTCGAATTAACCTCAATATTAGCATTGCACCGTCGAATCTTGTCTCCCTTTTGACCTTTTCCAACCAACTAGCAAACATCATCCTGTCTTTTTGTCTTTTTTGTCTTTTTTGTCACTAGGTACTCATTCCACGTTGACGCCTTCAACATGCTGCGACGGCCTCCTGGCGAGGGACGGCTCGTTGCTCAACAGCGCAAGGTCCTACTCGCCTTAGCCGTCTTCCTTCTACCATGGCTCCAGCTTGTCGATGCTCAGCAGCAGCAAAACCAGCAACAATCTCCGCCCGAACGCGCTCCCGTTGCAAATGTTCTCCACGATCATCATAGCAATGTAGCTATAAATGACAAACAAGAATTTCACGACCGAGCCATCCCCCCTCCTCGACACGAGTCCGCCTTCAGCGCAGATCAAGCTGCCATTCCTTCCAAGGCGCGCAGTGCCTACGAGAATCCATCCCTCGGCCGCAGAAAAATTATGACTATGAACAATCAAAAAAACATACGCATTCCTAACGATGCGAGCGCCCTCGCAACTTTGGCTCCGGCTCCGCCCGTTCGAGCACCAAATTATCCAAGACATCTGCCTAGCCTGCTCGCCGGTGCTGGGCTCTCTTCGCCGCAGATTGCGCGGAGTCTGGAGAAATGGGAAGTGGAAGATTATATTCTTCTGGCGACCGTCGATGGACATTTATATGCTGTCAACCGCGAATCCGGCGATGAACGCTGGCATTTGCAGGTTGAGCAGCCTATTGTTGAAACTATTCATCACCGTCCCAACAATTCCCTATCCGATCATCAAGATGAACACCATCCCCTTGACGATTACATCTGGGCTGTCGAGCCTACGCATGATGGTGCCCTCTACGTTTGGTCACCTTCTGGCTTTGGCAGTGGTCTAATGAGCACCGGGTTCACTATGAAGCAGCTAGTGGAAGAATTCGGCTCGTATGCCGTACAGAATCCGCCCGTCGTCTATACGGGCCACAAGAAGACCACCATGATCACCCTGGACGCTGCCACCGGTCGCGTACTCAAGTGGTTCGGACAAGGTGGTTCCCAAGTGGATCAAAGTGCTACCTGCTTTCCCCCGAATGGACGTTTCGTAGACGCAGACAACGAAGAATGTAGTGATAGTGGTACGATCACTCTTAGCCGGACCGAGTACACAGTTAACATACACCGGTCTGACGATGGGAGGGAGATTGCTACCCTAAAATATGCTGAATGGGGTCCGAACAATTTTGATAACGACCTTCATCAGCAATACCGAGCAACGCAAGACAACCGATACTTCACCAGCCAGCATGACGGCAAGGTTTATGCCCTTTCCCACCCCACTGGCATTACATCCTTTGCACTCCAGTTCTCCGTTCCTGTTGCTCGCGTCTTTGATATCGCTAGGCCACAAGATGCCCCGCCTGGCAGCAATCCTGAACTTGTTTTACTTCCGCAGCCCATTCCTCCGGTTCAGGACGAGGACTCGGCCCGCGCCCGAAGTCATAGTGTTTTCATCAACCAAACTGAATCGGGTAGCTGGTATGCCATGTCCGGCTGGTCATACCCCCTTATCGTCGATGCCCCAGCGGCTCAAGTTGGCCATAAAGAAAAGAATTCCTGGCTTACGGTAGACGCGGCTTGGGCCGATGAGGTGCTGGTTGGCACTCATGTTCTAGGGAATGCAAAGAGCGTCACATACTGGCCACAGACACTCCCTCCAAGTCTGCCTTCTCGACCTTTCCCACCGGAATCCGATCACGATGACAATGAATCTGCCGTCCCGAGCACATTTCCCGACCCCGGACCAGAGTCGGGGGGCATCGTTGACAGGGTTGTCACCCTCCCCCAGTACGCTGCGGATAAGACCGTCGATTTTTTTATGAATCCAGTTCTATTCCCAGTTCTCATTTACCTCCTATTTCGTTACTACAAGGACCTGGTTCGATGGTCGAGACGACGCATCAAGCCTAAGGCTTATCTCGATGACCTGACATATGTCCCCTCGACAGACCTAGACACTGCTCTAGATGAAGTTCATTCATCGAAGCTAGTTACAGACACTAAGCAGCAGGAGCCCATATCGATCGAGTTGGAAACTGCGGAGAAGCCTACGTCTGCCACTGTCGCCGTTGTAGAGCCACCTCCCGTAGAAGTGGATGGTGAGCAGCCACAGACAGAAGGGGAGTCTCCTGAGAAGAAAAAGAAGGCGCACCGCGGTCGGCGAGGAGGTGTGAAACATCGAAAAGGAGCCAAAAAGCGTGACCCGTCCACGAATTCTGGAGAGAGGATTTCTATAGATACCAAAGAAATTCCGGGTCTTCAAACGGTCGGCATTCCAACGAAGCTTGAGCCCAACGTGACAACCATAAACAATGACCCAGAGGATGTCAGTGGCCCTATCGTCAAGATTGGTGGAATTGAGGTCAACCAAGATGAGCAGCTTGGCATGGGTAGCAATGGTACCATTGTCTTCGCAGGAAAGTTCCACGGCCGAGACGTAGCCGTGAAGCGTATGCTCACGCAATTCTGGGATATCGCAACGCAGGAGACACAGCTATTGCTCGAGAGCGATCACCACCCGAACGGTAGGCCTGTCCATTCCAGTGGATACTAGCAGTTGCTAACGAATGTGCATAGTGATTCGATATTTCGCCATGTCCAAGAACGACAGTTTCTTGTACATCGCATTGGAGCTCTGCCAAGCCTCTCTCTCTGACATCATCGAGAAGCCGGCTCTATATCAAGACCTAGCACAGGCAGGCGAAATGGATTTACCTCGTGTCCTACTCCAGATTGCTCATGGTTTAGGATTTCTTCATGACCTTCGCATTGTTCATCGTGACCTAAAACCCCACAATATTCTTGTCACCATGGGAAGGGACGGGAAACCGCGGCTTCTTGTGTCGGACTTTGGGTTGTGCAAGAAGCTAGAAGGTGGACAGTCGTCCTTTGGCGCGACTACTGCCCATGCGGCTGGTACTTCGGGCTGGCGTGCGCCCGAGCTCCTCCTAGACGACGATGCGCGCGAATCATCAAACATGTCTATGGCCAGTACACATAGCGACTCGAGTCAGCTCGTGAGTGCCGATGTGATGCCAAATCGCCGTGCTACCCGGGCTATCGACATCTTCAGTCTTGGTCTCGTCTTCTTTTACGTGCTTACGAAAGGTCTGCATCCCTTTGATTGTGGCGATCGGTACATGCGGGAAGTCAACATTCGGAAAGGCCAATTCAATCTCAAGCCACTCGACGTCCTGGGTGACTTCTCTCACGAAGCCAAAGCGCTAATTGAAACCATGCTTCGATCTGACCCAAGGGCGCGGCCTTCGGCCAAGGATGTCATGTCCCATCCGTTTTTCTGGTCGGCAAAGGAGAGGCTTGCTTTCCTCTGCGATGTGTCTGATCATTTTGAACTGGAGCCTCGCGATCCACCATCCGATGCCTTAATGGAGCTGGAGGGACATGCGCCTCAGGTTTGCCGACATGATTTTCTCAAGGCGCTACCGAAGGAATTCGTGGAAAGCTTGGGCAAACAGCGCAAGTATACTGGGTCCAGGCTGTTAGATTTATTACGGGCGCTCAGAAACAAAAGATTTCACTACGGAGATTTGAGCGAGCCGCTGAAGAAGATGGTTGGGCCCTTGCCGGATGGTTATCTGAGCTTCTGGACTAGACGGTTTCCCAACCTTCTCATAGTATGCTGCATGGTCATTTACAGGTTAAATCTGGAGGAAATGGATACGTTCAAGGAGTACTTCAAGCCGAGAACACCTCTATGAAACTACTGGGTAGGATTTATAATCTAGTACTATATATCTATCGAGCACTTTGCAATTGACAATTTACATTTCACTGATTTACTCATCAACTGCGATTTACTTACATCATATTCACTCCTGCATGTAATTCATTCATTCACATTCAACTTGGAGTTTCACGTCGTTGATATATATACACCCTATCACACCATTGGTACTACATGTAGGTGCCCCATGTATATACCTGTATACAACATTGAAATTTCAGGGTTGCTATAACTACATAGTACATGTGTATCTACTATGTAGGTAGGTATGTATGGGGATTTTTGCTTTTTCTTTTAGATAACCTTGAAGTGATTGATCATTTTCATAAGGAATACCTAGGTATTTCGTACAGTATGAATACTCTATTCAAACAACGATCAACCTTACGATACTTAGTTCCTATCCAATTAGATGTAACTAAAATTGTGGATACTACATGTAGGTACTGCATATGTACGTACTAGGCTGGTACAGTACAAGTAGTACTGTGTGAATCGATACATATGTACATATCCATCTTCTGTTTGTTTGATTGTTCCAAATTCACCTAACATTAGAAATTGATGCGTTTACGATGATATGTAACTACGTATATGTATATAATCCTTCAGCTCAGCTGTGAATCCCGACATTCATGGATACATAACAGACTACGTAGGCTAGGTAGGTACCTTAGGTAGTATGTGGGCATACTAGGTACATACTAGGTATTCTGTCTTCCTCCGGGGCAGCAGGGCTAACCTACATGTAGATTTTATATCTGAGTGTTCAAGTCGATGCCTGTCGAGGGTTAAGCTGTCGCTGCTTCCTTGCTTATCAAGATTCATCGTTCAAGTGTTAAGGGTACCTAGGTAGGTTAGGTAAGTACGTACAGAATATAGTACCTAAGGCAGGTGTTTCTCACCTCCTGTCTGTTTGGATGTAATGACAGATTTACTTTTCCCTCCCAAATATCTCCATGTACTGGAAGCTATGTCATAATTGTACCAGCAACCAAACTTTTCGAGTGTCAACATCTATCTCTCTTCTCATCTTCACTTTCCAACTGTGCTTACCTTGACCAACAACCTACCAGATGATTTGCCCCAAAGTGGAAAGCCTACCCAAGCAGCTATCAACCTACGTATAAGAATATACGAAGCTATAACGCCGGCATTTTCGTCATCTTCAGTCCAAATCCATTACTTTCGCTATTCCGAGCCCATCTTTGCATCCATACTCAAAGGCCTATTTCCTCCAGTGCCCGCCTGCTTCCTCGTTCTCACGGCCTGTGCCTCCGAGTTTCGTAGCCTTCCTTAAAGGTCTTGTTCCATCTCAGACATCTCAGACAAGACTTTTTGTAATGTTCTCACTATGTCTACCAAGTCCAAGAAGCCGGGGCGGCCAGACACCTCTGAAAGCTCCACACCAGTATCCCAGGCGAAGCAGCTAGGCGCTCCTAATTCCAAGGCCAGGCTTGCTGTGAAAGATATGAAGTCTCGACCCAGGCGTGACATGTCGCACGCGCCAGCTAACATAGAGGCGGCAAGAACAGCCGCGGTTAAATCGCCTCGAGGCTCAGCCAGAATGATGAAACGCGATTCAGCCCAGCCTACCCGTCATCTTCAGGCTTTCCAAGCCTCCACCAAGATGCCCACAAGCAAGGCAACGATTACGAAGACTGTGCAAGTAAGCCAAGCCTGCGCATCCAACAAGGGCCCCCGAGACCCGTATGAAATTCCATCTGATGATGAGGCCGACAATACATTGTCTACGCTGGTCCATACTAGACGGAACAAGTTGATGTCTCAGATTCAGGTAGCCCGATCGAAAACTCATAATACTACGATCCCATCAACACCGCCATATCCATCTGCCAAGGCTATCGGGAAGCGCTCCAGTCATTCGATTAATGGACATCTCAATATCGTAGATATTAAGACTCGTGATGGAACACAAGTGTTATCTAACATACCCTCCACTGATGAAAAGTCGAAAGGACGCGTCTACGAACAACTGAGGGAGAAGCCTCACAAAGATGGAGACGGGCAACTATCACCTACTCCAAGCAAGGAGATAAATAAAAGCAATATCATTTCGATTGCTAGTGGTAACCCACAGGTTCGACTAGATGACTATGCTTATTCTCGAAGGCGTAGTGACGTCGGGAAGTTGATGAGGCATGGTCAGCCTAACCTGTCTTCCCCAGGACTCCGAAGTTCTAGTAGCAGCTCCGATAGGATATCAGGGACAGATAAAACCTGTGATGTTGTTGCCCAGAGGGGGATTACTGAGTCAGTCCGTGGCATATCCTCCCAGAATCCATTCCATCTTGATGGGAGGCCTGGGGATATAAGTCTTCCTCGCTCGCAAAATTCAAAGGCCATAGATAGACAGAATTCCATCACACCAAAGGCCGCTATAGAGGATGTGAAGAAGACTACAAAGATCAAGTTTGCAAAGAAAAGTTTGTTCTCCCGTTAGATGGAAATACTTTTGCACAGTTTTGCTGATTTAGCCCTAGGGAGAGAAAGGGATATTCCAGATGCATTCTTTAAAGAACCGCAATACTCTGATGACGAATATCGACCACTTTCTAGTAATGGGGAGACATCAAATAGTGATTCGGGTGAGGATAGTTCCCTATCACGACGGTCATTGCTCGCTGCGTCGTCTCGTGGTGTAATGCATGCGCAGCCAGCACAGGCCGGCCCCAACCCAAGGCCCCGCAACGGACTCAGGCCGAAACCTACGAATCCGTTCACCCCTATAAACAAGTCTGATCCTAAGGCCAAGGAGCCTGAATCAGCCTCCAAACTGTCTATGAAGCTCGGCCGAGCATACCCAAAGCATGTACGCGACATATTTTCCGATGGCTACAGTTCCGCCGAATGCGACGACGACGACGACGACACAAAGAAACAGAAACAGAGGGCACGAAATATAGATTTGGATAACCAACAAGATTCCGCAGGAATCGTGGCAGAACAACCTGTGGCTGGATTCGAAAGGAAGCCCTGGTGGGAGCCATTGAAGTGGATCAAAAGATATGAGACCGATTTCGTAAGCGACTCAACTGGTAGACTCTGGCTCGCTGATGGTCCGTATAAAGGTTGGATCTGGGCTGGACCGGGGGCAGGATGTTATATTCCCAACTGTCATGCTCCAGATGACGCGATGCTGGCCAAGGCAGAGGAAACGGCTATACGCAATCCCACATATGCATCGAGTTACTTCGAGTCCGAGTCTGAGGAGCACTCAAGCTCCGAGTTGGAGGACTCAGAAGGTCATGATACAGTCAAAGGGGCTGGGAGTGACAAGCTGGCTATAGAACGGCCTATTTCCAGCACGCACCAAAACAGAGTTGTTATGGAAAAGGAAGCACGTATGAGAAGAACCGAGCAGTATGTGCTTAACAGCAGCAGCTCTGTCAGGGAGGAGGAGCTAAATGCAACTCAGGATCTTGATTCAACTTGTTCAACAACCAGAGACAAGCTTCCATCGACCTTTGCACCAACTACTCCTCTTAAGCGTACTCCATCTCCGCCGTCTGCGGTTTCTGAAACTACCTCTATCTTAATTACGAGGCAACTAATGAACGATTGTGCGCCACCGTCTAATCAAGAGTTAGCAGAGCTAATGAGCTCAAGTCCTATGAAGCACTTTGCGAAAGATTCTTCGCCAATACGAAAGTGTTCTAAAAAGGCTGCAGGAAATAGCCATATGAGCAGCAACAGCAGCAGCAGTGAATCGAGCTCTGGCATTCCTGCTTGGGTTGGCCCCAAGAGATCGCCCCAGCCTGTTGTAACATCGCGCAAGCAAGATACACCATCTCTCAGATCGGAGTCCAGCGCGATGTACATTATGAATGGAATTGCGGAAAGGCGAACGACTAGGCGGTTACAAGCTTATCAATCTCCAGTTGTGGAGTCGAGCCAAAGTTCCCAGATCGCCAGTCAAGAATTGCCTACCTCGCTGGAAGATAGCCAGATAAAAACAGCTAAGAGAAAGCTCAAAGAGCCCAAAGGGCGAAGAGCAAATAGAGTGGAACCAAGCTGGAAGGATAACGGGGTTACTGCAACCATGCCGACGCATGTAGAAGTCATGTTGCCGCGCATGGCTACAGAAGAGCGAGCGGAGTACGCCGCGATCTCTCCCGTAGAGGAAGACGACAAATTCTCGACGCCTTCCCCGAAAAGCTTCAAGGAGATTAACAAGAGCACTTCACGAGATGGCGTACAGTTTAGTGACTCTGATATAGAAGAACTGAACTATGTGTTGCGTCAATCGCCTCGATGGCTGAAAACCACCACAAACGTTGATGAAACTACGGAGAAGGGAACAAACATGCTCAAGTCACCATTCGCGCCACTAGCCAAATCATCATTGAAGCATAGGTCCTTGGCACATATATCGGGGTCCATCGCCTCACCTCGTACTGGGAAGACTTCCAGCACACCCGACCCGAATTCGCTAAAGATGTCGTCCACATCTATTCCTGGTTGTGGCTGTATTGTTCAGGAGGAGCAGAAATGTGTCATGAACGAGAAGCCACAACAGCGGGATTCCCCATCTACAACTAGACCGACAACCACCATAAATAAAACCGGTGAACGTCATGGCAAAGATGACAAAGATAAGAGAGGAAATAAGCGCAAGACCTCGTCCGCGGATGCTTCCGTGCTAGTAGACGAACCCGTGGCCCCTAAGAGGCAAAAGATGGAGGAGCCTCGCAAGCGCCGCCCAAGAAAGAAGAAGAGGAGACCTAACAAGAAAGCGAGACGACGACTACAACGCGCAGCAGCAGCAGCACAACAGCAGTAAGGCCCGAACGAACACCCACCGTAGGCCGTCGCTAGTAACTAATGCCAAACGCTTTTACCCAGACATACAATGATGAGTCCCCCGCTTACCTCGAGGCCCACAAGCGCCGAGGTCTGAGGTCTGAGATCTGAGATCTGAAATACAAATTTGAGTAAAGACGTGTTGGATCGGTACAACCAATGCGCCACATGACTGACGAGGCTTAGTAAAGATTATCCCAGGTAGAAACAATTGGGTTCGCAACTTGAATACCTATTTGGATTCCCCTCGTGGCGACATGGCGAGCAAAGGGGGGTATGTAGGTTGCCTGCCGATAGAATACCAGTCATTATACCCGACACTTCCTTATGTTAATGTGAAGTCTTGTTTCTTGATACCTATGTACCTATATTCTGGCGATGGATAGCAGTGATCGATTTTGATTTCGATTTCATACAGAAGCAGGACTATGTACTTAGGTACTATCGTTTAATGAACTCCGATACCATTACAACATTCAAGGCCATTTTATTTTATCCCGTCGTTTGCGTGGCGTCTCAATAATATCTATCACCATACTATTGCCGCTTTGTGGGCTTGTATCCAGCACATACATACAGTACCTACAAAAATAACACATGACTTTGTAATACTTGTATAGTGGGGAGTTGATTACTACTAGGTAGGATGATTGACAGCGGGGACTACATTACCTACACATGTACGAACGTGGATGATCCGATCTCCTCGGGTCTCCAAGTATTAGAACAGAAGAATACGTATGTATAGACCAGTAGGATTGCCATGTTTGGCTGACATCCATCACATATCACGGATGGGCCGGAATGGACTTTCCCTTTTCAAAACTCCATCTGGTATTTATGTATATAGAACTCCCCTTCTCGACTTCGGACAAGTTTCTTTTTTTTTTCTCTTTTATATATCGCGAACGACTCACTGCAATCGAAATCAAAGGGTACGATTAGCATCGTTTAACGAGGTACTTTCGGCAGCAAGGCCATCTGTCTTATTCTATTTCTATTTCGTGTCGCATATGTCAAATTAATCATAGCTTTTCCGCCATGCTCTTTGACTCCTTTTATTTCAAATCATAAACCATGACCAGAGCTCACTCAAATACGTCTCTGCCAATTTTAATGGCAGCAGATCGAAAAAGACCTCGTCGAAGAGACGGAATCAGAATGAACACAGCTGGGAATACGCCAATCAGCATATTCTGCCGGTTGGCCGTATCCAATGGTTACTGACAAGGCCGACCAGTGCTATAAACCACGCCCCTAATGAATTTGGAGCGAATCCATCGGGTCAATTTACTCTTCCGCCCCAATCTTCATTCCCTTGGTGGGGGGGCTCATCTTCATTGGCTTAGGGCCTAGACCGTTGGTATTCCGGAAGAATAGAACCCCCTTGCCTTCACCTTTGGCACCCTCACTGGGCTCAACCCACTGGCACATTCTTGCAGAGCGCCACATAGCCTTAATGAAGCCAATAGAGCCATCCTTGGTGTCCGACCGATAGTGGCGTCCCATCACTTTCCTGATGGCATCGCTGGCCTCGTCGGCATTGTAGAATGGGATGGTGGAAATGTAGTGGTGGAGGACGTGAGTCTCGATGATGCCGTGTAGCATCTGTCGACCAATAAATCCAAATTCGCGGTCAATGGTTGCGGCAGCACCACGAACATAGTTCCACGACGATGGCTGATAGTGAGGCAAAGATGGATCAGTGTGCTGAAGAAAGGTGATGGCAACTATATCATGATTAGCCATAAAGCAAATTTTCTAGGTGGTAAGTGGTAATCGACTCACCAAGCCAGTGATTAACCCAGAAATAAGGTATGAAATACCAGACGAAGAGATTCCCCCAGCCGAACTTGTTGCCGAGAATTACTAGCGCAGTAATAGTGATAGCCAGACCAAGGTCGCTCAGAGCAATCAACTTGGCGTCCTTAGCCTCGTAAAGCGGGCTGGAAGGGTTGAAGTGGTTCACTCCGGTAAACCAACCATTCTTCTTTCCCTTTCCGCGACCCTCGCTTTGCCGCTCGTGGAAATTGTGGCCGGTAACGTTCGTTAGTAGGTAGTTAGGCCATCCAATGAGTTGTTGCCCAACGAGATGGAGGAATGTTACGATAGGCGTCTCCTCGCCGATTTCGCTAAGTTCATGGACCAGCTTGCCGATGCGACTGGCTCTTTCCTCTCGGGTCTTGGGAACAAAAACCATGTCGCGCTCCATGTTTCCGGTTGCTTTGTGGTGCTTTCCGTGAGAGATCTTCCAGCTAAAGTACGGCACTAGAAGGGAAGAGTGTAGAATCCAGCCAACAGTGTCGTTAAGCACTTTAGAGGTGCTGAATGACTGATGGCCACATTCGTGAGCCAAAACCCAGACACCAGTTCCGGAAAGGCCTTGAATGAAAGAATACAGACCCCATAGAACAGCACGAGCTGGGGTAGAGGGCACATTCTCGGGAGTGAGATATGTATGGAAGAGGTAGAACGTCGTGGCTAGCTGAGCGATGTCACGGAAGACGTAACATAAGCCTTTGACGGCGGATCGTTCAAAGCAATGCTTAGGAATAGCATCGCGAATATCCTTGATGGTGTAATCGGGGATCTCAAACTCATTACCGTACGTGTCGACTAACTTGCCATGGGAGGCGTTATTGGGCTCGATGGAGGACATGGAAGAAAGCGACGTAGACGACGCTGAGGGTCTAGGGGAGTCGATAGGAGAGCCCATGGCAGTGGATGGTGACGAAATATCTGTGTCTGTGGTAGAGGTGACGGTTCTACGAAGAGCTGGATTCTGGCGTGAAACGCCCGAGGCCACCGAGGAAGCCATTATGGATAGATGCCGAACGGCTCAACTATTTTTTACACCACGATCTTCTGTTACTCGAGTGGTGTCTTGGATTATGGCGATAAACCAACTTGCCCAAGGCTGTGGTTGCGTGGAACCAAAATATAGAACAAGTAACAAAAGAAGGTGGGATCGGAGCTGGCTATCTCTTCTAATAAACGACTATAACTGCCGAGACACTTGGATAGCCGGTATTAGGAACAAGAGAAGCTAACTTTGCCGAATTGTTGAGAATCAGCGAAAGTCCCTGTGCTCCAGAAGGAACAAATCTTCAGAAGGGGGGGAGAGGGGGAGATAGATATGAGGGAAGGATCCAAGGCAAATTGACACAAAGGAATATTGCCTATAATTTTGGTCAAGTAGGATAATTGTTTTATAAGAAAAGGAAATGTACACAGGTAGTTATGTATTAGAAGTTGTTGTTCGCCTCCTCCTTCTAATTCCTACCATACGAAATGCATGTGGTATGGGTATAATGTCCGTACCTACCCTAGGTAGCCCAGGTACTAATGGAGACGAAAAAAGGTTCAAGGTTAGTTAACTAACTATGTTTTCGTTTGAGGGACACGCCAAATTCGATGCTAGTAGGTACAAACATACATACATGCATAGTACATACGTATATAAGGTTTGGCGGAAAATTCCATAGTACATATTAGTTATGTAGTATTCCACATACCACATAGTTACATGCTATTCAAGTTGTCTCTGGTATCAGTGGTATGTAAGTAGTATTACAGGCGTACACCATTTCAAACATAGTTCACATAGTACTTACTGCACGTGTACTTCGTGCTACCATCCATACCATTAAGCACATCAATGATGCATTGAAACTGATTCGACCCCAAGCTCGGGTACTTTAGCTCATTATCAGGGTTCAACGCTTGCCCCCTATGGGTTAATCAGGTACAAATCGGGTCTAGGAAGTGTGTGGACAGCAAATCCACTATAGGTTTTATTACGTTAAATCTAAATAACTTTACCAGCTTTTAACTTTAAAATATCAAATTAATATATAAATATTCCTTGAAATTTTCTGAATTTAATGGTGCAAGTTTTATAAGTAAAACTTGCGTATTTGTAAGTATTTATTTAATTTAAAGACTTTTTTATTTTTTTAATAAAATTAATTACGAAAGCAGTTCTTTTAATTTAACATGAAACTTAAAACAAAAAATGGTTTTAATATCTTTAAAGTTTGAAGAAAAATATGTTAAAATTTCATAATTTTATATATTTTCTTAAGTTTTAAAAGTTAATTTTTAAATATATATAAAAATAAAATATTAAAACTTTACTTTCTTTATTTTATGATATTTCATTTTTTCTTATTTTTATATAGGCTTAGTAGAGCTTTAATATAATAAAAGTGAAAATAAAAAAAATTAAACGTACGTTTTCGTAGAGTTATAAATATTTTTCTTATATTTTCAACTTTTATACTATGTTTTCAAACGTTGAAATAAAATATAAAATAAATCGGGAAAATTTATCTCTTAAATCTCCTTATATATTTCGAAGCTAAATTAAATTAATACATTTTTAACTTAATTTAAGAATTAAAATATAAGAAATAATAAAACGTTATAAATGATAAGCGTTTTAAAACTTTAAGTTTTTTAATAAAAATAACAAATACTAGTATATCCTTTTCAACTTAAAGTATATGATTTTTTTACATTTTTTATTAAAAACTACGTAACTTAATTTAAGTAAAACCTTTAATTACATTAAAATAAGTAAGGTTTTCGTAAAGTTATAAGTTTTATAAGTTATGTTGATGTTTTAGGTCCACTATTTTAGGTGTCCACACACTTCCTAGACCCCATTTGTACATGTAACCCTGTCTGCACATAGGCGTGTACTACCTACGAGAAAGTACTTGACATATGTAGCTACATATTAAAAAGTAAAAATATCCCCCTTGAATTGTTGATGTACCAGTACTCACCGCCCTTCAACAACTGCTAACTAGTCCAGATCTCAACTCAAAATGCATGTGGGCTCTGTGCCAATTCGATGTTGCAATCCGCATAGTTATGTAAATCAAGCAGTGGCAAGCACCGCATGATGATCATACATCCCCATCCTTTACTAAATTACTAGGTAGTTAACTATGTATATGCATTCATACACATGCATACATAGTACAGTACTACATACGTAGTATCACAACATTGAATATCATTGATGTCAAAGCGACGTCTGGCTGGCAGAACCTTCAATATTATCAACAACTTATGTACATATAGTATCAGGCATGCCTATGTAATGTTCGTATATGTGTACGGATGCAGTATCCAGTAAGGCTTCCCCCGCGGGGCTGCACGAACAAGACCGCCTCTGGGGGGCCCTTTGATATCCATGGATGAACATGCTTCTATGGCTGGCTGCAAGCTCCCTCCCCAGGTGAATCATCGCATGTCATCAGACAATAGTTACTTCGTTGTCGTTCGACCAATACAGGCTTCAATACCGTATGACCAAAGACGAGAATGGCGCGTACTAAACCGTGCGCCACGCCAACTACAGAACAAATATACTTCCCTAGGGCTACTGTGTGTTGCTGACCTCTGCTAGCCTAGGAAGAAAGCAAATAGGCTTACGCCATGTGGCGGGAACACTGAAGCTGAGAGATGTCACATCTTATCTTTGCTTCGATCTACATACGTATGTCTGAGGTACATACCTCCCTAACCTTACTTGAATCTTTAAGTTGTGACTCTGAATGTGGTGCTAGAAACAAACTCGAGGCTATTACATATATACGTTATTGAAGTAACTATGTTTATATAGTTATATGTAAGTATCAAAACTTGAATGTACAATACAGTGCTAGGTACCTAGTATGATACTAGGTATAGTACTCCCTTAAACCAGATCCCCCGCACGAATATGATTTATTACTTCAAATGTTATTATAAGAGGTAAGCGCCCCATTTCACATAGCGATTTTTTTTTCTTCTAGAATCTAAAATCTAAAATGCCCTAAAATGGGGTTGTACCTACCTATTCTGCTATTAACTTTCGCCAATCGTGGTGAAGAAGGTTCGTCCAATTGATCCAGGGGTATGTTCCCGATCAAGGAAAGGGTTTCTCCGCTATCCCAGGGTCCTTGTCTTTTTTTCTTTCCTTTTTTTTCTGTTGGGGATTGCCTGGGGTATTTGTCCTACCAAAATGATCAATTGTTGAGGAATGCAGATCCTTGTTCTTAGATCCCTGTGTCCATAAACCACCTAACCTAGGGTATCTAGGGTACCTGGTAATAATAATACTTTCCTTAATCCACTTACAGCCCCGAGAACTCTCGCCAATCGGCTAATCGGAAATCCACGTGCAGCCGTAACCTTTTATCAACCTCCTTAGACCAATATCCCGTAATCCGTACGAGAAGCCGAGGAATAATAACATTTTTAAACTACCCTAACCTTAGGTAGGTTCATAGTAATAGTTATACCGAACACTAATACATAGACACACAGAGCCATCATGGTGAATAGAAGTTGTAATACACCAGCAAATAAATTCAACCCAAAAATTAGTTAATCACCATACCATCCCTCGTGTTTCTTGTCCTCCTCGTCGCATCCATTCGTCTCCTCGAGACAGGTGTTACCTACATATCATAATGAAAAGAGTCTTAGCTATACATTGCGGTGTTATCTGTTCATATCGAAGAAACTAGCCAATTGTTTTTCTGTTTTATGAAGCTCCTCCTTCATATCTGTTACCTTATGATGTAGATATTCGTACTTCCTATCCGGGCTAAAACTCCTAAAATCTATCGTGTTCGTTGTCATTTCTCTAATAAATCTGTTGTCTTTTCCCCTGCTATTAGGTCGAGGACGACGACTTCGCCTCCTTCCATTTCCACCACCCTTTCGTCTTTCCTTGGACGAAGCGTGGGGAGTATAGGGGCCCGAGCTTTTGGCTGACGATGCCCAGGGCTCGGCAATCTGCGCAAGATCGCTAAGGCCTTGCTTTCCTCTTGGAGGTTGAATTGAAGTTGGTGGTTGGCCGTATGGTGTGAAACGATGAGATGGTGTCTTTCTTTCAGGCTTCGATTTCCATCTGGACGAAGAAGGCTCACCGATTGTCTTCATCGACGTGGGCGTAAAATCGCGGGTGGCAACTTTTCCTTTGCCTTTGCTCATTAGGCTATCATTGGGGTGTTGAAACTGTTTGTCCTTGTCAGGAGAAGTGGGGGCTTTGGCCGAGCCTAGACTGGGCTCCGGTAGATTCAATGAAGCGGACGGTTTGACCTGCGCCGGGCTTTGGGTCCAGGTGTGGCTCGGTCCAGACTTTGTCACAGATTTGGAACCTGGTAACTGCTTCCATCTCTTTGTCAAACGATTGCCATCTGTCGAAGACAGAAGATTTGGAGATTCAGCCATCTCAACATTATCTTGCAGGTCATGGCCCGCTGATTTCAACATAGACTGCCCTCTCGTGCGTTTCTTCGACTGCGGGCTCATTTGAAGGCTCGTTTTATCGCTTTGGGCCTGTGACTCCTTACCCAACCCCTCTTGGCCTCCCACATTCGTATTTAAGTGCGGGTTTGGGATGCTTTCTACCGAAGGCACCTTCACATCTGCCTGCGACAATTCTTGGTCGTATATCTGTGCACAGGATGATGGAGATGCACGGGGTTTTCCATACGCCGACGCAAATTTGCTGCCGGTATACTCAGGACTCTGTACCCGTCGTTGTTGCGAAACAGACGGATTACTAGAAGCCTCAGCCTCCTCTACGAACCACCTCCTTCTGTATAATTCCTCGATATCGGGGAAACTCTCATTATCAGAGTCGCTCTGCACTGATATAGCATATGATATTGGCGTGTTCAGGGATGGTAGCAGAGGTAAGCCATTCTTGGAGTGAGGCTCTTGGGATAATCTAGCCGAGGCTTGGGTATCCGGATCGGAATCCTGCTGCCGTAATAGTGATTGGTCATGATCAGCACCACCGTGACCCGACAGCTCGGGTTTAGCCCCGTAAAACAATGGGGGTGTGATTCTACTCATGATAGTAGGCCTCCCGACGTTGCTTTCTTGCTTCTGAAATGGCCGCCCCCCGCTACATGGTATTCCTAGTGATGCTATGGGGCTCTGCTGCGTTTTAGCCTCGCCTTCAAGGGGCCTTGGGGCATCATATATGCCCGTCTTATCCGGGCTCGGTACTTCGACGGGGTTTTCATTCGAATCCTTGCGTGAGGTATTTGGAGAGAGGCCTGTTCTAGATTGCACAGATGGATTGCGTCGCCGTGTATCCAATGTGGTGGAAGAATGTAAAACGGTTTGATTTTCTTTCTTGTTGATGGCATCTTCTCCGGTAAATGCATCCAGCGTGCCAGCTTGTCTCACTAGGGCTGTGGCTTTCTCCTGCCTCGTCCTTGCCCGGAACTTGGTACCTGTATCTGTAGCATTGACTACCGCGGTAGTCCCGCTCAATAACCTATCCCTAAGCTTTCTGGACGAAGATCCCAGCTCAGTATCATTGCTCTCGGCCAGCGGTGTTGGCATCCAGGAATCAACAGTGCGCTGGCTGATGGGAACGTGGCTTTGGCGAGCTACTTCTAACCGAACTTCGTCGTAAGAGATACCGCGGAATTTGGGATAGTAAACAATATCACTGTGGGGGACGGATATTCTTTTGAGACGGAACTCAGGCGGTACTAGTTCACCCAGCATATTTTGGCTACGAAGTCGAAAATTCACCCGACCGTCGCTACTGATCGTAGCAAATACACCTTGCCTGTAGTCTCGCTGAGCGGTAACATTCGCACCAACTCGCTTCAATTGCAGCCTATCCCACCCAACCGCTACTCTCGCGCCGGCCGAAAACGTGCCGGCTCTCAGTCGCTGTGGTCGGCCAGAAGCAGTATGAATACTGCGCGAAACGTTAGCCTGGTTACGCGGTGTTTCCTCAGCGACTGGGGTGGTCAAATGGTCTTCGCCCCCTTGGTTGTCAACGTCATTATGGTATGGGCCGGACGCTCCAGGCTTTGGATCCTCCAGTCCACCTCTTTGCAGCCGAGTTTGCTTGGTGTCCTCTTGACACTTCTTCTGAGAATCCAGTTGGTCTGAAGACGAGGTCTGCTGTTCTGACACAAAAAGTTCCTCGGTCAAATCAAATATGGCTATGCCGTCACCTGGCGGCTTCCCAGTTGGTGCCTTCTTGGACTCGGTTACGAGGGCATCTTCTTCTGGCTCAATAAGTTCTTCTGTGGTCGGAGATTGATCCTGAGGTTCTTGCTTTCTCTCGACTCTCGGCGTCATGCGAGACAATCCATTTTGGTCTTTCTCCTCTTCCTCAATTGACTGTAATAGTGGTTCCTCGCTAGTCACTTCCACTGCTGCGTCCGCGTCTATTTCATCTTCATCTTCATCCTCATTTGAGTTATTCCCGTCAGGGGATGGGGACTTAAACTGACGTTTCAAGGATCGCTCAACAGCCCGAATCCTCTTTTGCATTCCTTTCCACAACAAAGGCGAGAAGGTGAGTACGCCAAGCTCCTCAGGCAACTCGATCCCGTCCATCCTGTGTTGAAACATTCGCTTTAACTTCTTGGCCCCCAGTGTTTCGCGGATCGAGTCGTGAGCTATAGCAACGCTAACAATCATATCGCGACATTGCCAAACACGCACCCATCGGTCGATCCAGACATCAAGGTAGCCCATGTAAGATCGTCTTGGGGGCGTATTCTTTCCTTCAGTTTTCTTACGCCGATTCCTACAAATCTTGTTGGCCACTTTCTTCACCAGAGTGTGGTCTGTGAAAAAGCCCATGCGGACTGTCGTGGAGAATTCACCCATGATTAGCCTCCAGACTTCGTCTTCCGCATGCTTATCCGATGTTGAGCAATGCAGGAGCGTCGTGCCGTGCCTACAGCAAATTTTGAGAAACTTGATCTTCTCTTCCAATGAAAGGTACCTTGAACTATGAGGCGTGCTGGGTTCAGCCGTAGAGTCACGAGGATGCGAATTCGATAAATCTGATACTGATATCGCGGCCTCATTGAAATCCCCGTCTCGATTTTCCTATTTGCTTGTCAACCGATTATATCATACAGTAGTGTCGCCTCTATAAGCCCATACCGTTGGTGTTGGGGACTCATGCGTAAGGCCATCTCCCCCTTTCTTCATGCCTCTTACACTATCATCATGGGTAGCTGCTGAGGGACTTGACGGCATGAGAATTCCCGGGGACAGTGGAGAAGCGAGCTGGGTCCTATGCTTGGATCGCAACTCTCGGCCGTTTAGTCCTCCAGACCCTAATTGTGCGGTTGAAGTTGCTCGCGGATCACGTTTGCACGCCCTCCTTTTGCTCTGTCTCCTAAGACTAGTCATTAGGACTATTTGATACTTGTAGCAATCTGCCAAGTATATTCTTGAGGCTGTATAGTCGATTCTGCAAGCCAAATGATTGGGTTTAGCAGATAATAGCTTTTACATGAAGAAGTGATCGCGAAAGACTGCTTTCCATTGAATATTTCAGTTTCTTGACCCAGAGCCGAAGAAATAAATGAGAGAGCTGACCCTGGAATAACCCTGAAAATCCCTGCCCTGCCACAAATTTCCCTCTACTCCCAAGCGAGCTTCGTTAAACACGAAATGCGGTTTTACATACCTAGTTACTAGGTACCTTCGCAGCATGCTTGAACCTAGCGCACCTAGGTTAAAAAGGCAAAATATCCTGGACCTTAAGCCACGATATCATCGTGTGAAAGCCCCTCACAGTGCTACACTACGAGGGCTATACAGAATGCTTCTAGATGTGATGCATCACATTTATAAAGAGCCAGCCGCTTCGCACTGTCGCAATAGGCACCCAATAACGGCAATACTATACATACATATAACTATTTACATAGTAATAGATAGTAGGTAGGTTTGAACCTACCATCGGGACCCCCTTATCTACCTACATGGAGTTATGGACTTACCACCCTTGACTGTACCAAGAGCCTGGTAATCAAGCAAATTTTCTTTACTACCTACCTACGTACCTTATGTAACTTGAGTAGGTACATAGCCCTGGAGGTTTATTTATGTAAAACTCATGTATAGGTAGGTATGTATGTAATCACTCTGCTTTTTTCTCGCCTAGACCTGTTGCACAATGTGAAGCGTAGCAAACCTTCGAATTAGGATGTACACTTCTGGCAGTGGTACTGTAGGTATGTACTGGGCATAATGCTGTTAGGTATAAAGCGAGTTCAGTCACATTGTGACTACAAGACAATCTTTCATCGATAGCTACGGTATAGGCACGAGATAGGTAGATACCTTTCCCTACCTTGGTATGTACCTAGGTATCCGTGTTTTGGGGTTGAATATGGGTTGAATATGGGTTGAACTACAGTGTAAGACATAAGAGGGTTGGATGATACCTGTATAGATCCCGCCGCCAATATTCGCTGCAGGTGGCAATTCAGAGGCCTTTGAGATAGTTGCCATCCAGCACACTGAAGAACATGATCGGCGACAGATTGAGCCAGGCGTGCATAGTAATTTCAAGGTACCTACCCTGTATATACATAGCAGTAGACCGGGTGTGTTGATATTGAAAACTTACCTAGGTACATAGGTAGGCACATACTAAATATTCTTAGGAGTAACGAACTCTCCGGCAATAGAGCCTACATATGTAGGGCCTTCCCATCTGTGGTTCATATACATACATCTACGTACCTAGTCTTATTTTCTGCGTCTCTTTCGAAATATATCTTACTCTATACCGTTTAATATGCCGATTGTTACCGCCTTTGAACCTGTTAGGGTCTTGACTAGGCACCTATGAATATCAGATTCAACGTCCTCGTTATAGCGGGTATTTTCATAGTCCATGAGCCTAGTCTACGATTATTTTACATCCGTTGGTTGTCCACTAGCTATTTTATATCTAATGCCTCTCTCTTCTTCGCGGCGCCGCTCGGATTATGTCGTCCACTCTTAGAAGTAGCTGTATGAAGATTAGTATTGTCAACGTATTGGGGGACCAGGTAAAATCACGTACCTCTGCGGCTTCACCTGCCGATGAGACAACAGCCTTCTTAAGTTTATAACTCTCAATTACCCCTAGATCCCGCATATCTGCTATCCCCCCTCCAGGTGTCATCAGATCTAGGCCATAGGTTGACATACCGTCATAAATGGCTTTACGCAATCTTGCGACTAGGTCGCTCGAATCCAACCCTGCGTTGTCGGCGAGGATTGTTGGTAGCTGCCGCAAAGCTATCGCAAACGACGAAACGGCCATCTGCTTTTTACCCTCCACTCGAGTTGCTGCGCCTTCTACCGCCTTGGCCATCAGCATCTCAGCACACCCACCACCTAGCGTTGTCCTAGGCTCATTGACAGTTTGGGAGAGAACAGCCAAAGCATCATGTAGTGAGCGTTCTGCCTCGTCTAGCAACTGTTCAGTAGCACCTCGTAGGACGATGGTGCAAGCTTGGCCAGCAGCCACGCCGGAGAACTTGATAAGCGTGTCTTCGCCAATGATGACTTCTTCGATCAAGTCGCAGTGACCTAATTTGACTTGATCCGGGTGGTCGAAGGTGGAAGTGATCTCACCGCCAGTGACCAGCGCTAGGCGCTCGATGCCGTCAAAGTCGGCATGCTCGATGGACATGATGCCAGCATCGGTAAAGAGCTGCTCGGGCCAATTGTAGATTAGCTGTCGGTTTATAAAGCAGTTGATTCCATGAGCCTTGATCCTATCCACTTTGGCCTTCATCTTGTCCTTTTCGGCCTTCTCGAGCTCAGCCAGCTTGCCCGTCGAGCCGACCTTCATACGCGCACCAAAAATCTTGACCTTGTCCGTATCCATCGAGGTATTGGCCACCAATATCTTGGCCTTTTCTAGTCGCTTAGGTTGGTTGACACCGATCTTCTTGTCAAGAATGAACCCCTCGTCTAAGTACGAGTCACTTAACTTTCCACCAGCTTTTTTAATGATCTGAATATGACTTAGGTCCGAGGAGCCCTTCAACCGTAGTACTGCGTCGACGGCGAGCTTAGAGAAGAGATCTCTATCTTGAGCGAGTACTTTGGAGCTCAAGGTGGTGCGAGCGATGGCAAGAAGGTCCTTCTTGAAGGCTTCGGGGTTCTTGCTGTGGTCTACTGCAGAGGCCTCTAACGCCTGAAGAGCGGCCTGGCTGGCTATTCGGTAACCTTCGATGATGGTTTGGGGGTGTATTTTCTTGTCGACGAGCTTTTCAGCTTCTCGGAGAAGTTCTGCGGCTAGCACAGCGACCGAGGTGGTGCCATCTCCGACTTCGTCATCTTGGACTTTGGAAATGTTGACGAGGACCTTGGCTGCTGCGTTGTCGAGGGCGATCGACTTGAGAATAGTGGCACCATCGTTGGTAACCATGATTTCGGACGTAGAACTTGGTGGAGGGGTAAGTAAAAGAGGTGCATGGGTTATTAGGAGGTTACGTACGCTGATTGCAATATCTTGTCCATGCCCTTAGGACCCAGAGTACTCTTGACTAGATCTCCGACGGCGATGGCGCCAACGAATGCAGCAAGACGTGCATTTTCTCCCTTTTCTTCGGTAGTACCCTCCTCAAAGATTTGGGTAGGACTGAAGGAAGACTGGGGGTATGTGTTAGTAAGTGAGCAAGCAGAGATAAATATAATAGTTCAACTAACCATATTGTCTAATATGAGAGAAAAGAAAGAGCGTGTTTGAATATGATTTTGAAGAAGTTACCAAAGGGATTTGGTGTAGTAGTTGTAGTGTTGTGATTGTAGTATGTATGTTTCTAGCTGCCTTGTATAATTATGTTTGGTACATAATTATATCGAATACTTCCTCCTCCCGCCTTTATGGTGGGCCTATCGACAGCTTCAAATGTAACTGCGGGTTGAAATTGCCCAGAACTTTTTCTCTTTTTAGCGGGGCAGGGCTGGAAAGGGAACAATTATTTCGCCGAACCTCTTACGCGCAAATTAAGTTGGAGCTTCTTCAACTTAGGTATGTAACTAGGTACCTAAGGTCCTAGCTCAAGCAATCCATCAAGATAAATAAGTGGATCAGCGGGGACACACACAATTGGGGCTTTTTTTTCAACCTTTTGGAACATCAAAAAAAATTCACCTCTTACAATATTAGCCTTGAACGAACGACTCTATTTAATCATAATTTGGCTGCTGGATCCGGTCGCGACAACTTCTTCTCGCGTCCTTCCAACATACAAGGATAGATAATCAAATTTATTTGATTTCTTCTTTGCGTCCTAGGCCCTGCGATCTAAGCACTTTCAACCAAGTCTTTAAAAAAAAACTCCACGTCTTTTTGACTTCATCGTCACTTTTTCAACCCCCCCCAAAGGCGGGGCATTTCTTCCACATCCCCCACAAACTATACCACACACATACGAGCCGTATACTTTGCAAGCCACCCAACATGGCGCCTTCATTTGATCATCTGCGCGACGCGGATGTCGACGAGGATGATTACGACGAGGATGAGATCGACATTAGCGATCTGCGCGAGAAGTACGAGGTTCAACTTGAGCTGGGCTACGACACCTTCATCGTCATCGATGGCCTTCCCGAGGTCACCGAGGATCAAAAACCCAAGCTGGTCAAATTTTTATTGAAGAAACTGAACCAGGTCGGAAAGACCCGAGAAGATCAAGTTTACATGCCTATGGAAGATGGCAAGTCTCTTCGGTACGTAATAATATTGCGACATGCCAAATTACAATCGTTTTAAAGATGGACTGGTAGATTATATCACACGGACTGACAGATTGACATACTTATAGATTTGCCTTCGTCGAATATACCTCCCCCGCCGAAGCCGCTGCCGCTGTCAGACAGCTCGACATGGTGCCTCTCGACAAGAAACACACCCTTAGGGTTAATAAGATGACCGACATTGACCGCTATGGCCGAGAAGGACGCGTAAACGAAACCTATGTGCCCCCTGAGATCGAGGAATTTACCGAAAAGGAGCACCTACGTTCATTCCTGGCTGACCCGAGCGGCCGCGGCCGCGATCAATTCGCCATGTATCGGGGAGATGTCGTTGGCGTGTTTTGGAACAACGAGAGGGACCCCCCCGAGAATATTGTCGACCGACAGCACTGGACCGAGAGCTTCGTACAATGGTCGCCCTTGGGAACATTTTTGGTATCCGTCCATCAACAAGGTGTGCAACTCTGGGGCGGTGCCTCATGGTCTCGGCAGAAACGATTCGCGCATCCGTTCGTCAACATGCTCGACTTTTCCCCGAACGAGAAATACATCGTCACGTGGTCCAACAGGCCTATCTCCATACCTGATGAGGGACATCCTCAACTGTCAATAGACGAGGATGGCAAAAACTATGTGATCTGGGACCTTGAGACTGCTAAGCCACTCCGATCGTTTGCCAATCTAGACCTACCAGCCACCAACGATGCCCATGCGGCCGGAGCGAAGCCCCCACCAAAATTCCCCTGGCCGGCATTTAAGTGGTCATCTGACGACAAGTACGTAGCAAGAATGACCCAAGGTTCCTCCATCTCCGTCTATGAATTGCCTCGCATGAATTTATTAGATAAGACGACCATTAAGGTGGAAGGTGTCATGGACTTTGAATGGGCACCTTCAACCCCGCAAAGAGAGGGTGTGAAAACGTACGAGCAGCTCTTCTGTTTCTGGACTCCAGAGATTGGCAGCAATCCTGCTAAAGTTGGCCTGATGAGCATCCCCTCCAAGGAGATTGTCCGATCGTTGAATCTTTTTAGCGTCACCGATGCCAAGCTCCATTGGCAATCGGATGCTACGTATCTCTCTGTTAAGGTGGATAGACACTCCAAATCCAAGAAGTCACAGGCTACTACTCTTGAGATCTTCCGCATCAGAGAAAAGGGCGTGCCAGTCGAAGTGGTCGACACAATCAAGGATACGGTCATCAATTTTGCTTGGGAACCTAAGGGAGAACGCTTCGTCATCATCACGACCCCTGAGCCGACGGGCCCCACCGCCGTCGCCCCCAAGACTTCTGTATCGTTCTTTTGTCCCGAAAAGGTCAAGGGGTCCGCTGTAGGTAACTACAAGCACCTTCGGACACTAGAGAAGAAAAACAGTAACGCCATCTATTGGTCTCCTCGCGGCCGTTTCGTGGTTGTTGCGACGGTTGCTAACCAGCAGAGTTCCGACCTCGAGTTCTTCGACCTTGACTTTGAGGGCGAAAAGCCTGAAAGTGATAAGGATCTTACCGCCAACCTGCAACTCATGAACACGGCAGACCATTATGGTGTTACTGATGTGCAATGGGACCCATCAGGCCGCTTCGTGGCTTCCTGGGCATCTGTATGGAAGCATACAGTAAGTTATCCCCCCCCACTCTCCCTCTTCTTTACCCTTCCTTGTCTTCTAGAGGATTTAGTGCTTGTTCTGGGCGCTAACAGTTAGCGATAGATGGAAAATGGGTACCATATCTACGACTTCAGGGGTGAATTATTACGAGAGGAACCCATTGAAAAGTTCCGCCAGTGGTTATGGCGGCCCCGACCTGCGACTCTTCTCTCCAAGGATGAGCAGAAGCAAATTCGCAAGAACCTCAGAGAGTACTCTAAAGTTTTCGAGCTGGAAGATGCGGAACGTGGAGCGTCTGCCGACTTGGCGGTGGTTGAGGCCAGAAGACGCCTGCTCGATGAATGGCTGGCATGGCGTGCGTCAGTCGAGGAGGAGCTGGAGGAGGAGAGGGTCGAACTAGGCTTGCCAAAACACCCTGTCGAGACTACACCGGACAATGGCGAGGAACAGGTGATCGAGGAGATTGTGGAAGAAGTGCTTGAGGAGAATGAGGAGATTGTTCCTTGAAGAGAGCACTCGGTGTGATGGGAAAATGGCTAGCAACGAACGGCGTTCTGTGTACTGTGTAAAGGCATATTGAGATTTGCTGCTAGCATACTAAGAAAAATAAGGCCTTAGAGATGGCTGATATTCTAGTGAATCCAAAGCTTCGCTTTTGGATATATGGTTTCTACGCTACCTACCCTACCCTGATGTTTTTTTTTTTGTTTTTTTTTAACAAAAAAAAAAGAAAAGCATCGCTGTTCGATGTAGATTTCATTAACCTCGCAAACAGACACAGCTATAATCGGGACTCAAGGTTGGTACTTAGTCTCTTTGTGATTGAGGTATACATGACCGGGAGGATGTCTAGCCCAGGCGAGCCATGGGCTTCTATTATGCAACAGTCCTGATGAATTCCGAAGTTACCGTGCCTGGGTTAATACTAACAGAAAGACTTTGAAAACGCTCGACAGTCAATACTTATCTAAGTAGCTGAGCTTATTGGATGCCTATCTGCTATTAAGATGGTTAAATAGATAAGCTGGACTTGCATAGGGTGATTCCCCCTTGTGGGTTGATATCATTGACCTTCTCCATGTAAGGGTTTGAAGCGAGCCTACCTACCTAGGTACCCAAGCATACATATCACATGAGCCTACCGTTGCATTTTACACACATATGTATGCCTTTCATTTTTCTAACCTGTGGGATGCTATTTTTAATTCCCGTATTAGATACATATACATACATATGTATAGGCTAGTAGGGTTAGGTATGTATTTTACACACGGCATACATACCTAACTTGAAGTACTAAGCAACATTCATTCAAGGTAGACATGTAGAGTCTAGACATGTAGGCATGTAGGTACTAGGTAAGGTTAGGTATTCGCACATGTACCTGCATTATGTTGAGCTAATAACCTTGGAAAGGGATGAAGGTGTTAATTAGGTAAAGCAGCGAGGGGTAGATCGATGACAGATCCACTGTTCTGCACAAGGGGTACTGTGTGGTATGTTGCATGATTGGCTTAAAATGAAATTATGTTTCATAGTCCCACCCCCGCGTTCGCGTTTCTTCAACCCCCTAGGCAGCCTAGGGTGGTGCCAAGGCAACTCGTCTTTTCCCAAACTACAAACTTGAACTTGTATCTTGCAAACCACATCATCTTTCCTTTCCAATTCCAATTTTGCAATCCTGTAAACTTCCCTTCCTATCTTTCTGACGGGATCCATTCATTAGGTATTCAAGGAAGCCAGGACGCCGCCTTGTTTATTTCAGAATATCCAAATCATTTTATTTGATCTTGATATTCGTCCACTCTTTCAACAGACTTATTCGGCTATTATTCATTCGTTTTCATTCAGTTGTATCCATCTGTCGCCTATTACACTGCGCCCTCTTCTCCCACTATTCACCCCTTGCGAGCATCTCCCAAAATCATATCTGGGCATTGGTGTCAGCGCTGTGCATAGTATCACCACATAAAACTTCGGCCTTCCTTCCAAACGACATGACAAGATCCGCTATATTAGACCTAGCCCTATAGCTATACAACTAATACGTATATTCACGACGACAGCATATAGCATCACTCATCATTGGTATTGCAGAATTGTACTTAACTACCTAGTAATATCTTCGACTAAGCCTTATTGCCTAGTTAATACCACCTCACATTTCCGGGGGTTCTCACAATAACTGGTTATTAACTTCATTCGCTATCACTATTTTATCAACACTCGCCATCGCAAACTCGATAATTCGACCATCGGCTAATCTTTTATTTTAATACTTGTCCTACGCCCAGAGTGATTCCTTACTACGCAGCTATAATCAACATTTGGTTTTTGGCACGCTTGAAATATAGGGGTCTTGCCTGGCTAGGATCGTGAGACAATTGATAGATCCTATTGCACTCACTCACGACAACCTTGCAGCAAACTAGGGGCTCTTTCTTTCACTGAAAACATTCAGCACCATCGCCATTCGCCTTGGCATCTTATCTACTCCGAAACATCTCCCCATCTTCAGCTGCTATTCCTGTCTACCCTGCCGCTGTTTTTCTATTCCTTCGTTGTCTGGAGTCGAATCTCGAACACCATATCAACAAGATATCCCACTAGTCAAGGACAGATCAATCAATACAGTCGCCTCTCAACTCACAAGCACCTGCACTACTCAACACTGATTATCTAATGCTTAACCATGCGATCATGAGCTACGGCGGAGGACATTTAGACGGGGCTGACCTCGCAATTCCGAGTCCTGGCTCACCACCCGGTATGACTTCATCAGCCATAACTTCTAGGGCGTCTTCTGTGCGGTCCCTCAACTCCGACGAAGGCGACGAAGGCATTGCAGCAAACGTTGCCCACTTTGAGGAGATTGGCCTAGATGACGATGTCGCCTCCATGGACCCTACCCTTTTCCGCGACTCTCACACAAAGTCGGCTCCGAACCCTTACAGCGCTTCTTTCGCTTCCGACCTTCGCGCTTCGTCTGCAAAGCATGTCAGCCCCAATGTTCATCCCCAGACCCGCGACCTAGCTCGTCCGCGCCTACAATTGCGAAGTGCTTCTTCCTTTACGGGATCTCGATCTAGAGCTCCGACCTTGACCGCACAATTTCGCGACACGAATACCCGCAGTCTTAGTAATGGCATTAACCCGGAGACTCAGATCAGCACACTACCGATACGTAGTCTTTCTGTACGATCTACTTCCTCGATGAATCCATCTCATCGACGTCGAAGTCCAAACCAGAATATCTCTGCTCGATCTGTCAGTCCTCTGGGCGGCAATTTGGCAGTGCCAAAACAACGGCGACGCAGCTGGCAGACTGGCCGAGAGCCAAAGTCGGCAATTGATTTGGAGAAAGAATGCGACGATGATGATGACGACAACATTCCTGACGACCTTATTCTTGATAATGTTCCGCTATCGCCTCGTCCTCCCTTGGAGCGGTCGCTGAGCCAATCGGTATCTGCCTCTGCATCACCTGAAAGACGCCCAAAGGAACGCGTTCGCAGCGTTGGAAATGGCACACCCGCAGTGGCTGCTGCTCAAGGCTGCCTTAAATCGCCAACATGGAAGACGGGCTCATCATCATCATCTACAGACTCGCTACAGTCTGCGACGTCTGCTAAAGGACGCGCTAAGAGTTGGACTGCCGCCATCTCTGAGCTTAGCCCTGAAGCAAAAGCCCTCACAGAGAAGCTTGAAGAACATGCAAACGAGGTTGACAAAAACGGTGTGCACCACTCGATGTACGACCGCCCGAAACCCAAGCCGCGGGTAAAATCTGCGCTTGCCGAGCTACCTCCTCTTCGGCGGACGAATATCATGATCGATCCTCTACCCGTATCCAAAGAGAAAGAGGCTGTCCTCTCGCGGACGAGGCCTTCCTGGTTACCGCCAAAGGATCCCATCGAAGAGAGAAGGCATATCAGAGAATACCAAAGGATGATGGCAAGCAGCATCGAAGCGGACAAGAAGCGAGAAGCGATGCAAAAAGAAAAGGAGCGCACGAAGGACAATGCAGCCAAGGCGCTTATGCAGGTTTGGGAAGATGGTGTTTTGAAACGATGGGACGCTGCGATTCGCGAAAGGCGAACTCGAGAATTATGGTGGAAGGGTGTAGCGCCACGTAGCCGAGGTGCTGTGTGGAGCCGAGCCATCGGGAATGAGCTTGGTTTGACAGAGACATCCTTTCAAGCGGCTCTGGCGAGAGCCTGCGAGGTCGAGGATCGCTGTGCGGCTGGGAATGCGAGTAGCGAGGATGAACGCAAGGCAGCTTGGTTTGCGCAGATAAATGTGGATGTGGAGGAACGGACCTGGGCTGATCTCAAGATCTTCCAAATTGGTGCTCCACTACATTCGAGCTTGATCGATGTCCTTCGTGCGTATGCTATGTATCGCAGCGACATTGGTTACGTGTCAGGTTGCAACGTAAGTCTACCCAATTATTATCATATACCTGCAGTCTCTCTTGGATATTATCATATACCTGCAGTCTCTCTTGGAAATTGTAAAGGGAAATTTATGCTAACTTAGTTAACTATCTAGACTATCGCAGCGATTCTCTTATTGAATCTTCCCACACCCACTGCCGCCTTTGTTGCCCTGGCAAACATTTTGAATCGTCCTCTCCCGTTTTCCTTCTACGCCTCCGACGTCGGGGCCAAGACATCGGCATTCAATTTACTTCTTCAGACTCTGTCAACCAAGTCACCTAGACTTCATCAACATCTTACCAGCCCAGAGCTTGATCTTGAGCCAGATATCTATCTTGGCGATGTATTTATATCCTGCTTTACGCAACATTTCAGTCTCGACGAATGCACCCGGTTGTGGGATGTGTACGTCTTCGAAGGTGATGCACTCCTCATCCGTGCGGCGGTTGCATTGCTACTAGATATCGAGGTTCCCTTGCTGAGTGCCAAAAACACATCAGAGGCGCATAAAGTGCTACAAGAAAGAAGCAAGCTGGATCAACAGGATAAGGTTGACTCGTGGATGACTAGAGTCCGAGCTGCCGGTAAATCATAAACAGACATGGAAGCAAGTAAGCTTCACTAAACAATAATTTGCTTAATTGCTCTTTCTCATCGTTTCGTTCCACCATTGCCATTAATGTACAGCACTGCAACACTACAGCACTTACGTATTTTCGATAACTATTGTCTCGTCTCAGGATAGGCCATTGCCTATTCTACTTCAACGTGGTCTGATTTGTTGCCAACAAGATATTTCGGGGGTGGGAATTGGTGAGGTAGGAATATAGATGGGTGTGGAAGACGGAATTGCCGCTCAAATCTAGCGCAGATGGATTGGCAACAGGGTGCTTATAAGGAATGAATCATTCACGAAATGAAATAGGAGTATAGATCTTGGAAGGCGATGGATTGGACCAGGGGGGCGGAGTTAATTGTTGCAACCCGAGACGCATCCATTTCTGCTACCACACCACATTACTACTTACTATCAAGTCCGACTCCTTATGTACCTACATAGTAGTACATGCATCTAGTACCTCCAGGTACTTTTCCCACTGGACTCCGTCATGTATTTCTTTTTAATGTTTCTCTTTCCCTTTTCTATTTTCTACCTTGGAATCGGATACGAATAGACTACCTAGGTACTTTGGAGATAGGGGGGTAATATTGGTTACTAGGTTAGATAATTCACGGCCCATTAGGTAGTTTGATGGTAATCTAATACAACCTCTGTTGAGTTATGCTGTTAGATCTCACTTGTCTATTAACCATGGATTCAAAATCATGAATGACCAGAGAAGGGGAGATGTGTAAATGTATAGGTAGGTATATATCCGAAATCATCCAATGATATACGTACCTACATACCTCGCTTAGGTAGGTGGGTAGGTATAAATATGTAGTTATTATGTTGCGTACTTTTCGTTTTCCCCTAGGTAATGGTATCAAGTGCAATAGTGACTCCAGAAAAACCAGTAACACCGCACCTAGTAGTCGCATTATTCATTCGTCCCGTCCGCCCATCTCTCTATCCATTGCCTGCCCACCTAAGTATGTATCCTGTATATACCTAACCTTTGGTTTTGTCTTTCCTTTTCGCTTGCTATTCTGCCTACAATCAGAGGGCAAACCCAATATCTTCTCTGTGATCGTCTACCAGACGTCCCCACTCAAGTAACAGCCGAAACATATAAACCTGCATGTCTTCTTTCCGAAGCGCCTTAAGTGCCCACTCGCGGCCGGCTTGCGCTATATCGTCTGCATCGGCGAGACCTGGCCCACCTAGGTACCCCACAGCGCTCCAAAGATCGCTCAATCGCACGTCTAGCGGGACAAAATGTCTCCAGGCGTGAACACGTTCCTCCCACCAAGTACGAAAGAGGGCTGCACGGTATGGCAAGGACCCTGACTTCAGGAATGGCAAGAAGCGGCCACTGAAGGCAGCACCGTCAAGATCTATGAGATGACGATGACGCCAGTGTTCTTGAAAGTCTATAGATGGAGGTGGCTCAGCTGTAGATGAACCATAGAAAGTTATATGCTCGGCTGCGCAATCACGCTCGTCGCACCTGTTGAAGTTACCAACGAATGAAACATTGACAACGAGATAGTCTGCCGAGGACGTCTTCTGAGGGTTGGAAGACGATGTCCTTGGGGAGAAGGAACGCAATGAAGAGACAATACTGCTGCGGGACGGTATGAGGCTAAAGAGGGATTTCGCCCGGATGGAGAATTTGGCATGAGATGCCATATGCACAAACCTGGCCCGTAGGAATGTGTGCCAAGTACCATGGATGGCAAAACCATCAGATGAGGCACCACGCCAGTATACACTGTTGAGCTTTTGATTAGAGATGCTGTCGTTCGTCTCGATTTCGACCTTCTCGCCAAAATTCCATGGACTTGGATACAGAATGTCAGCGAAGTTGGAAAGCCGGCTTTGACTGAATACCGGGAATAATGTTTGTGAAGGGGCCATCGCAGATGGAGATAACAGCACGCCGTGCAAATAGGCAAGGTCAGGTTGATGACACAAGTCTCCGGATAGTGCCCAGTCGGATACGAAGCCGTTCGTCATATGGGGAGCAGAGCAGCCCAAGCACTCGGCCTTTCTATTCCACCAACGGTACGTATTTACTGGCGAGTCGGCAGGACAGGTTGGTGAGATCCACTCATAAAAGATCTGACGCTTAGATCTATCCAAGAACCATGGCGACTTTTGGTCCCATATACTCTCATCTGCATTCAAAAAGCTGTCTGCCCAAGGAGGCTCTTGGGTGCTACTAAAAGACTGCAGCTTTTGTTTTGTGCTCAACTTCGCCCTAACTTTGAGGCCTTCGTCCGTATAAGCTGTCATTCTGTCGAGGGGCACCGAAACACGGCATTCGTCGTCAAGATTAAAGGCGATTTGCATGTCGGGTAAGAATTGCGCAAAGGGCCCAATCATCTCCTTGGTGACGTCCATCATCCATCTATGAGTTCCATGAATGTGTGGTGATATATCAACCTCGCCGTCCTTAACGATGATGCCACCCATAGAAAGCGAGGGATGCTCAAGGAGATGGGTTGTCCTCTGGCGTAGGACATGCGGCTGTGTACCCCAGTAAGGAAGTAGATCTGCGTGAATTTGGTCGAACGTGTCCAACACTGGCGATTTGACAGAGGCTGCAAAGTCGTACCACTTGTCGAAGTTGGGAGGTGGCGGTATACCGTAACGCTCTTTATACTCTGAGACAGCGGCTTCAAGCGATTGACTTTTACCAGCACTGGCTATCCAGGCATCCGATTGAGTTCTAGCCCTAGCAATGGTGGAAACGGGGGTAGGCCGCAATCCTCCGGGGCTCATGATCATTGTCTGACAGAAAATGAAAAGGAAGACGAGTAGAGTATAGAGAGCATATCGGTTTCTGGAAGAGATGTTCTCAGCAGAAGAAGGCAGCGGAAATGTAGCAGCTATGCCAAGATGAAGTAAGATGCCTGCTCCAAGAAATAACCAAACACCTGTCAGGAGGCCCCACCAGTTAGACCAGACCTTGACCATGGTTCCATCCATAATTCTCCATTGGATGTAGACGAGGATGCTTGATACTGTCAGCAGTAAAGTCACCACCGTGGCGTGGAAGCTACCAAGTAGGTAGATAGTAGACAAGATACCAATAGTCACGGCAATACTATCGACAATTAAGTCTTCTACAGCTAAGCGAGACAGGAATATGTTCCAATGAAAGTTAGCTCGGTCGACTGACGACCAAATAGCTAGGAAGGTCAGTAGGGCCGCAGATGTAAGAAACAAGGATCCTAAAAAGTGCCACGTCTTTGACTGATCCTCGTTGCCTTGGCGAATTTTGGCAATCTGGGAAAATATTGTAGCATCTAGAGCCAATGTGACTAACTGCGCGAGAGGTATTAGGCGTTCAATGCGGGGTCCGGCGGGACATATGGCACCGGTGGTGCGCTCGGAGAGAAGGAGGGTGTCGGTGGCAGCCAAACCCCATAACAGTGCTACTACAGCATACTTCTTGAGCGCCAACGATGCGGCTACCGGCCGCCCTTGCGTCTCGCGTCCATGCCTCGGCAAGTAGACAGGCCGGAGGCCGAGCGAGTCATATATCGCTAGGAGGAAGGGAAGAAATGCCTGGAATGAGTTTTAGCAACCGATCCCTTGTGATCTTTTGGTTGTTGTTGTTGGTGGTGGTGGGGGAGGGGGGCATTGGCGCAAACCTGAAGTCCGTCCCACGAGCAGTGGATGGTACGAATGATCCTCCAGTACAATATCGTACGAACTACCATGCAAGAAAGCAACAGCGTGAAGGATGGCGATAGGTATCGAAGCCGAAATGAGGATTTTAGGATACCGAGGAGGGAAGACTTTGAGAGTGCATTGTTGTCGGACAATGGCGCATAATTCAACTCGGACTGAAGTATGTATCTTGCGTAGGCGCATAGAGAAAGGCCGGAGAAGAGGAAGACCGAGATGGAAAAGTGAATTGGACGTTCTGCGCTTGCAAGGTCAGTTTAGTGTTATGGTTTCACGCCGGCTATTTCGACAAAAGGAGGGCCAAGAAAGAGAGATTTGTAAGTCTAGACAGTGCACAGAGACGGGGACGGGCCGTACCGAAGGCCGCGCTTTTGTAGTATCGAGACCAGACGAAGGTGGTACTTAGGCCAAGGATGCTGCAATACGTTAGTAAGTATGATCAACGCAGACTGATATTGATGTATATTCAGTTTGGGTGGGCGTAGCAATCCTAGGAAGCCTTTGACTAACAAGGAAAGCAAGCCATCGCATATGCCATCTGCAACTCACCAAATAGCCAAGACAAGGAGTTTTCGTGGTGGCGGCGCCATGTCGGAACAGCACAGATGTATCTGTATCGTTATGCGCACAAGTCGAAGAACATCGTTACCTACTTCAAGTCAAGGCGAATGAAGCTTGTTGATTGGTCACGATCCAAAGAACGGGTGGACCATAGCGGCGCAACGAAGGGGAGGAAGGAGTGAGATGTGATGAAGTTCAATGTTGTTTGGGTGCAAGGTGCTAAGGTACCTAGTAGGTTGTGGTAGATACTAATAGTTAAGTACTACCTAGTAGGTAGCTGCCCAGTGGTAAGTAGGCTACCTACCCTAGGTATTGTATTGTACTTATCAGTGGCAGCTTACTACCTAGTACTAACATGTATGTAGATATGGGCCAGTCGAGACCAAGAATCGAGACTAAAGGTTAAGGTTTGGAGCGTCTTGGCACCAATGCTGACCGATGTCCTAAAGGCTAATGTAACCCCGACAGCCTGTGAATTTTTAAACTATGATCATCGCAAGATTGAATTGAACTATTTCTAGTTTTCAATATGATGATATCATATTTATGGAGATGTTACACAATGCCCACCCATCTTACCCAGGTAGATAAGATTGCGCTTCGGCATTCTCCAGCTGGCTACAGTTGCCAACTACACAGTTTGTAGTGCCCCTTTTCCCCTTTCCCCCCTTTCCTACTTTCACCAGATACACCAGTTGCATACCTAGTAAGTTATCTGCCTACTAGATCGATCACTGATCAAATTGATATGTATTGAAAACATGGCAACCCCAATGAAGCTACATAGCATATTTTATCTAGGGACTATCTAGTATAACTCATAACTCATCACACTTGCTCCCAGGTCAAGCTGAACACTTCTGTCCCAGCCTTGGAAATCCCTACCTCAATATCCCCCTTTTCACTTACTACACTTACAGGTATCTTCTCCTCTTTTCTCTCCAAAATGATTCTATTTTCCGGAGACTCAGGAAGCCTATAAAATGTTCTGCCAAAGCGGCTGAGGAATCCTTCCAGCTTGTCTTGTGTCACGTCGGCTTCCATAATTACACCACGCTCAATTGCCTCCTCAAGGGCTACCAAAACGAGTTGTGTCACGTATGGTTGTGTGTAAACTCCTGCTGGCGCTTTACCCTTAGACGCAGATGTTTTGGACTGAAGGGGGTGGGGGGCGCTATCACTTCCGCTGAGACACGAAATGTTAATACACCCAGTCATCACCTTATAGAGATAGATATCCATTCGAGGAATTCTGCACGTACAAGAAGAATTTTGGGTCGCCGCTCGTAACTGCCCTCACCAGAGCGTCTCTATCTGTGGGCTCCTTTGGGATTGGCTTGCAGAAGGCGAAAGGATCACAGCAGGCTTCATTAGAGGTCAGATACAGATGATGTGCGGTAATCGTCGCTATGATCAACCCGAGTTAGCATCAATGGACGTTCATCTGAAAGCAATCGAATCTAAAGTCATACCGCCAACTGTAGGCCCGCAAGCCCGGACAGCCTCTACAGCTGCTGCAGTAGTACAGTGCTCAAGCTAGAATGTATAGATTTAGTAGCTGTTTCCAAAAGTAGAGAAGTAGGAAGGGCCCATACCACGATACGTAGGTCCGGGAATCGCTCATGTAGCGTTTTTAGAGTGGGAAGAAATGCCTCTTCCAGGGTTGTGCCTGACGGGGCAAGGGACTCTAGGACCTCACCATGCAGGTTAAGTACTATTCAGAGCAAGTCTTCATTAGCTTCAATACTTGACAACCTGTCGATGGTTGGGATGGGCTCTTTGAGAGCTAAACTGGAATCGAAATGGCTTGATGTGCATACCCAATCCGTGTTTTTCCATGGCGGAGAAGGTGTCGTAGAACGATTCAAGGTTGGAGACTCCAGAGTCGGAGTTTGTTGTAGCCCCTGACCAAGTTAGCGGCGCAAGAGGAGCAAGTTACGGGTGCGAGAAGCTTGCCTTGGGGGTACATCTTCACCCCCGTGATTCCCGCTTCAGCAGCTTGGGCAATAACCTCTGGAGTGATAGAAGGATGAAGCTTAGATGATTAGAAGGTTAGACAAATTTGGCACTGACCGGAGATGTAACTAGAGAGTATAAATTTACTTACAAAAAGTGACATGAGAAATTTGACGCCGTGAGTTATGGCCATGAGTTGTTTTTGGTATTCAAGCACCTTACAGGTTGTTTATGAGTCATTTTACACCACCTGATATTATGGCTAATAGATATGTACAAACCTGAGCAACAGTAATTAGGGGAGGTACCTAGGTTTATGTAGTGTGTTAGCAAGTAATAACAGAAGGAGATAATCCCTAGTTATGGTTTTGGGGGGGCGGAGACAGGTATGTAGAGGAGGCATATAGAGGCTGGATCACATACGAGATTAGGCATGCTGTACTCTCGAGTTAGCTTGTCACTTTTTGATCAATGTCCTAGACAAGAGGTCATACACAAACGCCGTATCAACACCTCCTTGGCGCACAGTGGGAGCAATTAATTTCGCCATATCGCCCTGTCGCAGATGAACGTGCATATCTGCGGTAGCCGGCAGCTCAAGCCGTTTGATATTTTTCAACTGCATTATTCCAGATGAGTTGGTGATGTATGTTGGCGAACTTGTTTGCGTCTCTTTACTGGATATTGAAAAGAACGTTTGATGGAAAATGTTGTTGAAAGATATATACCCTAGGTAGTAGGACGGTACTTGACATAGTAGGTCTAGTTTGGGAGTAGGCATGTCACGTGGGCTTAGCATCAGTTAGCACTATGTACAAACTTGAACAAACCGATAAGAATATCAATTGATATAACTACATACCCTATGTAGGTACCTAGGCATTATATACCTAAAAGAAATATGCACATACATCAACTGATACAGGTATTACTATGTAGGTACTACTACTATGTATGGATGTATCATTGGAGATGTATCAATAATGTAGGTTCTGCAACTCACCACTAAATAACACCCTCGTAAAAGGTGACTTGAAACCTCCCATTGTCCGAATTGATTACCGGATCAATGTCGTCCTCTAAATAGACAACCCAAGGGCTCAAAAACCTCCCTTCCCACTCTCTTGTGATATTGTTCGCATCTGGGCCAATGATCTTGTCGAGGCACCATGAACCCGTCGCCTTTTGTGCTAACGCATCTGCCGGAGCGTTAGATAGAAGGTCATCAGTGAACCCTTTGATCCTTGGGTTTCCATCTAGTGACTGGATCACGACCGCTCCATCATTCCCTTGCAGGAGCGATACATCACCCCAGGTAGACCCAGTCCCGTTGGCATGCCAATTTAACTCAGCCCAAGTTCCCAAGAGGTGCTTCTTTCCGTTAAAATTGGTCACATCGCCGCGCATAATACGTCCTCGGAAGGTTGGGCACACGGTAATGAATGCACTGCCCCAAGGTGGTATCTAAGGATTGTCAGTGCTTTGCTGTTAAGCTAGTATTTCTTTGCGTTCTAGGTAAGTAGGGTTGCCTTGGGCAAGCTCACAGCCGTGTACTTGTAAGGAACGAAGTCGTGGTTGCTTTCGTATAGGAAGAACATGGTTCCGTTGATGTTGCTGTGCATATTCGGGTCATAATTCCAGATGAGCACTCCAGGTCCACCGAGGTCCTCGTCACCGGCTATGCTTACACGATAGTATTATTAGCGGCGAGGAAATCAAACCACAAAGGGGTCAAATAGTTGTCGAGGATATATTGCTTGCCTGTGTAAATAGGTGGTTGAGACTCATCGTGGCAGAAAATCTGCGGGTCGCTTGGCATCTGGCTGCTGTTGTACCAATGTCGATGTGTAGATGTTTTCGAGGATGTTTTTGCGAGGGCTTGGTGGCGTTTCCTGCCGATGATGCTAATAGCTGAGATTCGACCTGGGGACATTGAAGCAGGAGGAAGTATCAAGCTCCATAAAATCAACATGGGAATGGGGCTTTTAGTGAAGCGCATCTTCGTAAATATACAGTTGGTAGGTATGGATGTAGGTACTAGGTAGGTATGTTTGAGGGTATATTTTAGGAAATACTTCGTAGGGTAAGGGGGTAAAAAGAAAGATGAGTTGAGAAGATCGTGGGATTATGGGATTCTAATGGTTACGACATCTATCTACATATAAGGTACCTAGATATTTGACTTCAGATGTTAAAATGTTGTTCATATGTATTACTCTAGGTTACCTAGGTAGGTAGTCTTTAACTTGAACCACTGCAACTTGCAAGCTACCGTTTACCCAGGCACCTATCTAGGTGCCCGGAACCTAACCCCTTTATCACCTTCAAGTTAAGGAACCTTGTTAAAAAGCTAGCTTTTATCTGATTGCCACTTAGGTACATTCCTGGATGTAAATTGGTATCAATACCTAGTAGTGGCTTCTTCTACTGGCAATCTTCTTTGGTCACAGAATGATGGTCTCCCCTTCCATTAGGTTAAGTTGAACACACACCGTTACAGTTGTGCACGTAGATATTCTGATACATTTTCTTTTTCTCAAAAAAGTCATAAATTATAATAATGAACATGCGTCCGATTTCATATTCTTAATATCCCTAACCATACCTAAGTAAACCATCCTAAAACATTAAAACATGATAAATGACCAACACAACAATATAAAGCACTAAAAAGTAAAACCCAGACACATTCACCCTATCTCCCCGTTCCCGACTAATTTCACTCAGCTCTTCCACCTATTCGTTCATAGTATAGCCCAGGCAAACCGGAAACTCGAATATGATGAAGGGACTCTTCCATCTCAGTCAGATATGATATGAGATCTCGAAATATACCTTCCGCCATTTGGTCTCTAGAGCGTATCATCGACTGCAGATTTAATATACGCTGTTGCTGGTCTACAACTTCCCTTGTCAGCCCATTCAACGCGTTATCCTTGGCAATGATAGTATCATGCTGAAGTCTTTGTATATCGACCAACATCCGAATTCTTTCAGAGTCACGCTGGGATGTCCGGGTCTGTCGCTCAACTACAGATTGTAGCTCTTGTATGGTCTGACATTGACTTTCATCTTGGGCCAAGGCCTCTTCAAGTTTCCTTTGGTCCTGCTTACGAGTCTTTTTAGCGGCGAACCAGTCGGCGAGTCGTGGTGCGACGAAGTGCAAAGCAGCAACTCCGATGAAGATTGTTGGCAAAATCCTTGACGCCATATTCAATGTAGGGAGACTCGTTGTAAATGAGATTGTCTGGTATTTGGCGGATCTAGATAACAAAGCCAGCAGCGGAACAATGGACAAAGGGCGTTGAAGCTTTAGGCACACGAATATAATGTTTCCATTATTCATTAGGGAAAGTGTGCGGCTTCATATAAATTTCGTCCAGCACCACAATCCCAGTGTTTCCATACAGAGTTATCGTCTTGAACTTCATGAACAACTGAGAGTTCAAACACAACAATTTAACTATATTGTTAACAATCAACACCAAGCAATCATAACTTCATATGCTGATTCGGAACATGAAAGGTAGTTACAAGGTGAGCTTGCCGACATGCCATCAGGCTTCACTTGGAGAATGATGATTCTATATTAGGAGAGGTAATTGTATTAGATTCATTCTATCACTGAGATCACTGAGTAAAGTCTTAATAGTCTATAGTATAGTTACGAACGGTGTATATTAATTCAGATCAAGGATATTTTATACTTATTAACTCTAGGTCTATCATATCTAACTTACTTAGCATCATCGAAGAATGCAGAATAATCATGAAGGCTGAGCATCTTGCCTTACTGGCAGGCACTCTTTCATCATTGCCGCACCGAATGTAGCTCTACCTAGGTACCCATTGATATATCACAAGCGCAACATTCCCCTAATCCAAAACAAATATCTCATCCCAACTTATTTAATACATACCACCAAAGACAAGAGGGGGGTGGCACACATGACCATCATTTAGTGTTGTTTCGTCCCCTTTTCTCTCTGGACCTTCTGTGGAGGTTTCTTCTAATCTTTCGTTCAGTTGCGCCAACCGCCTTTTGTACGTGTCCTGTGGGCTTTCAACGACTGGGGGTTCCGGCTGCCAATTGTACTGGTCTTGTTGTAATACGAACAACCAATACCGGTGCGTTGAGATGGCAACCGAAAGCATGTCGAACTGCTCTGCTAGATAGTCATTCCAAGCAAACCAGACAGTTGATCGCTGATCTAACCCTGACAGCGTGAACTGTAGTTGTATTCGTATCTCGGAAAGCCTTACAGCCAAACTTCTGGTCCAATCACCTACTATCAGGAGTTGGGCTTCCGGGTCCAACACTCCCTCGACATACTGTGGAGGATCTTGCTGTTGATATGAACATATGAACGGGTTTGACTGAAAATCGTATGGAGAGGCCATCGTGTCTATCTATTGAGAGTGAGGTTCCCTTGCAGCAGCTGCTGTATCTGAGTGTGTATAATCTCGAATTATGAGTAAGAATGAGGATTTGGATAATGAGAAGCCTGGGATAGTTCAACTTAGGTACAGAGCAACAAGAGCGCTGTAGTGTATGAGAGTAGTCATAAAACGTCTCTAACTATTATGCGTGGAGTCTGGAGATCTAAAAGCACTTATGAACAAGAGCGTCTCAGATGAGCAGATCCATTGTTCCATAACTAGCTGGGAGGTATATCACAACGTAGCTGTTTCGCTGTTGTGCACAGAACTATACCATTCAGTTCCTAGGTATGCAACTATTTGGCACATGAAGCGATGTGTTTGTGTGGTACTCCCTGGATATACACTTCATATGCTTTGGCATGTTGAATATATTGCAATTTTAGTCGATGAAGGGAGTAAGGCTAAACTTCTTAATACGTTCCAAGGTTGATAATACATGATGTCTAGACCATGTGAGGCATGAATGTTTTCATTTGGACAGTTGCCTATTAGGTGTCTGGTGCCTAGGTACCTACCTACGCAGCAGCCTACCAGACGTTCAACGGCACTACGTACCAAATCTAAGGTGCCTGTATGGATATGTAGTTGGACAAATTAATTTCTTATATTTGATCAGATAAATCACTTGGCATGATAACGCTGGCTTGTATACATTACCGCAATGGTCTTGTAAGAAGAATCAAACACCAGAGGCAATGCGAATTTTAGTTTGAAAGCACGAAATAACCTAGTAACATTTGGCTTTCGAAAAGGGGGAGGGGAATCAACATCCCCATCCAAAACCTGCCTGTCCTGAACTCCAAGACCATACATACATTTTGCCTTCGAACCCAATCCTGAAATGTATGCGATGCCATCGTTTCCAAAGATGCTCTTGAAACCAACCTATTATAAACCAAAATAAAAATGTTTGCCATGAACGCCCGTTACCTATTTATGCTTTTGCCAAACTAATTCCACGACTGAGTCAAGTTCTCCGATAGAAGCATTGCCAACCCGTAGATACAACTGTCTCAGATCACCATTCTCGGTCAGTTCTGCATCCCTCAGTTTGTAGCTCTTCTTCTTGTCTGTGGGGTATGGTTTTCTGAGTGGACCAATGCTGAAGTCGTAACCCCTACTGGCCCCGGCCCACGTGCCCTCCATTGACTGTAAATCGACCGATTCTACACCATCTTCATATATCGCAATGGAAAATCCATTTGAGAATACGGTGTCCGTACCAAATCGCCACCGCTGTAAGAAACAGTCTCCGCAAAAGACAGCGGCCTTTGCCATCTTTTCAACGGGCTCCCGGTACCAGCTCTTCCAGTGATGAAGGCTGAGAGGCTTCAGTCCGGCCTCAAAGAAACCGCTAACATCGTTGCCCATATCTTGTTGGTATAGTCCTTGAAGGATCGTGAGTTTCGCTTTCGAGTTGGTGTACACGCAGTCACGAATGATGATATCGCCTTCTTTACTAGTGGCTTCATCGATGCATTTGAGTACTTGTTCACCAAGCTTTCTGGCAAGTGGAGCCGAGAGGAAGGCGCCAGCACCCCCAAAAGCCATAAAGCCAAAATTTTGGACAGCAGCGAAATCTTCTGAGAGCGCACCAACGTAGGCATCGACTTCATGGTTTAACATGCTAAGACTGTCTGAGAGCGGTTTTAGGCTCGGAAAGAAAGTATCGTCGTCAAGAAGGCCGTACCATTGTGTTTGGGCAGAGCTGTGGTCGAGCATGTTAACTAAAACGGCAAAATGGTTCTGTGAAGTCGTAAATTTCTCATCTATAGGCTTTACCAAAGTGACATTTATGCCATTAGACTCAAAAAGGTGTTGTAGTTGTTCCATCTCTTTAGCTGATTTTCCTTTCGCGTCCGTAACAACAGCAACTAGCTTGGCCTCGGTGTGGGAAAGCCAGTGCGCGAAAGGGACGACGGATCGATTTAGACGACTATAGTCGGTAGCAACACCAAAGGTGAGATGTGGAAATGTTGCCTCGGCATGAGGCTTTGGTACGTGAAGTTGAATTGGTGCAGTGTGAGGAATTGTTGTATCGTCACAATTGTGGAGGTCAACTTGTATCCCATCGTTGAGGAGGGGCTGCGTGATGTTTGCGACATCGTCCCTGTCAATAGTATCGGAAAAGACGGGCTGTATGTAGCGTCGGACGTAGCGCACACGCCCGGCTAGCTTTAGATCGGTGCTGGCTCGCACTATAAATTCCAGGTCGGGACAACCTTTTGGGTTGGGTAGCAATGGTGGATTGCTTTCCTTGAGCCGGCCTCCTACGTCCGTGCTAATACTAAAGGGACCTGGCCGGGCTGATAGTTGAGATGACGGGTGAGTTAATATCTCCCCAGTCTCGGGCTTGTGGACTTGTTCTTCGACCTGAGTGGTGGGACTGGGCGTGAGAGCAGGTAGGTCTGGATCTGAAGCACCACCGATGAGGTCACTAACGACGACATCATTGACATTCGATGCTTCTTCTATGATATGTACGGTGGTCCCATCCTTGAAAGGGGCCACCTCCAAGTTTGATACCGAGTAGGTTGGTGGTATCCGATGATATAGGCGAAGGGTAGTGAAAGAGACGAGGAATAGAAGCACAACGCTGGCAAGGACAAAGATGCGGGGAACTTTTGACGAAAACATGAGAACCTGAAAAAGCCCTTTTTTCTATTGCGTATTCAGCATAGTTGTGAGAGAGGTAGAGATGAGTTAGAATGGTTCTTCTAGGTTCGATAAAGGTGAATGGCTCATGGGCGTTCAGAAGCGAAGTTGCCGGTATTAGGCGTATTGCGATTAGCTAAGTTTGAAGTGAAGACTCTCTACTAGGAAGGAACTCTAGGAAGGGAACTCAAGTTAAGACTTCAGTAACACAAGCAGGGTGAAACAGGGCAAATCAGGAGATCAATATATATAGGTATGTAGGTACTACAGCAGGTAGGTGATTTGATAGGTAAATACATGTACTTACATATGTAGGCGTGGTGGATATTTCGATGTAACTAGGTTAGAGTACATACACGAAACGAAACCACTTTGGTGGTCAGGTCTGAATACACATGCATATCCCAGTACATTGATGTTAGTAGTGTATCTACATGTACATATGAGATTCAATGTTTGTACTACATTGCTACTAGGTACCTAGTATCGTGCCTTCCTCTCTTCCTCTGTATAACTACATGTATCTTATTGGTACAGTACGTGTGACCACTGAGCCACTGACATCTTGTTTACTGGACTTGAATGTATGTAGTTATCAATCTGCAGGGGGTGGCAAGCGGGTCGGCAAGGACATGCAAAGAACATTAAAGTACAACATTGAAAATACTAGTGTATACTACTATTGGGTACTTGCTAAACGCATGTATGCATATAATATAAGTGAAACAAATGTAAACGACGACGATGATTTGAATACGTATATATGTACTTGTCCCGGTCAATCTTCAACAAGAAAGGATGACGCACTTTGACGCCCTCCTTCCGAGGGTGTACCTGAACTGGGTAGGATTTTCCTTTGCGGTGGGTTTAACAGCCGCCTAAGTACACATGTACATTTTATGTCCAATCAAATAGCTGGGAAAGGAGCTAACCTAGCAAATATCTCGAGCTACATATGTAGTGTCGGCGCTTTAATGTCGTTATTACTATGTATTTACAAGGGATAAAAGTCATCACCTACAAAGGTATGTACTTATACGTAGCTGACGACGTCTTAGTACTCACATTATTGTACCTTGAACATAGCGAAGGATTCAGTTGCGATATTTATAAAGTGCAAGCCATAATTGAGGATAAATAACTGAACAATACCTGCAAATGTAGTTGAACCCATTTTAAGACCTACTTCAATCTTCAATTGCCTACTATGTTGATAGTATGTAGTTGGTTACCAGTCATAAATGGACATATAGTCTGGCAGATATTATGAGGGTACCAAACTGACGTATCTCAGTATGACTGGCGACCATTGCCAACTGGCATTAGTGATATTCCAAGCCTAGAACCAAACATAACCACGCTACGAGAAAATTGTGATTCACTAAAACGCAGAGGGGCAAGAGTACGAATTCATTGTGAGACGCGTCATGTAGCCTTGCCGTCTTTCCGCAAAGCAGCATTGCTTTATCTAACAAATTCTACAAATTAGCCTGCATAATACGTAAACCATTAACTAAGACATTTGCCTTTTACATATACATGTATACATTGAAGGAGGTAACATGTTGGTATGTAGGTATGTATCCACTTCTTTGCACTATGTAGATACTAGGTATCTACATGTACATATGTATGTACGTGTAGTCGCACGCGGCAGAACGGCTGATTTTGATTGATCGGCAAGCCATACATATCATAGTACAATTAGAAGTAATACTTAGAGTACATAAGTGTAGTTTTATAAGCGAAATGGACAGTGGAAATAAAACGAATTCGAAAAGCAGGAGAAACAGTAACAACCCCTCCATGGCATGCCACGTGACAGGTTTCTAGTCTAGAATAAAGGCATGTGACTTCAAAGGGTATCACTTGCTCAGGCCCACGTGATTGTATAAATCATAATGACTTCAAAAATGGATATGTAGTCTCTAGGTATATATTTCGCGGACTGGTAAGAAGCAGATGAATATTGAATTTCTAAAAGAAAGTGTATGTGATATTTACCTAGGTACTTAATAGCTTTCATATGAGAAATCATCTACATATGCCACTAGGATAGTGAATATCGTATTGCTTCAAATGTGACTTAACCTCTAACTAGGTTAGTACAAGCTCAGTCTTCAAAATCTCCTTATATTCCTACGTAGGTTACATTGCACTACCTATCTTTACACAGATATTAACGGAAACCAGGAACCGCCTCTTGAAATGAGCTGAATCATGAGTTCTCACGGTTGCTGTTTGAAACATTGCTCAAAGTTTCGTATACAAATACAAGCCACTGTTGCATCATCCGTCGTTGCTCTCGCCGGCCTCCTATTCCCCACACCGTTCGTTGCTACTCCGTCCAGTCCTGATAAGGCGTTCCGCAGATATTGGAGATACAGGTTGGGATAATGAAAGGCAGATACATTAAGAACTGGTCGATGTTATGCTAGTGCTAGGGTATGTGGCAATCCCGTCCGAACCAAAGAAGGTATGAACAATATGAGTGTATTATAAACAGACAACAAATGTCAACAGTCAGATGGACATTTTTATGCAGCTACTCATCTATAATTTATATCTGGGGTACCTACGGAGTAATCCGATTGCGAATGAGGTTTTACTTATCGTATTGAAGTCTTCTCCACATGATAGTCTTTCCTGGGCCCTCTATTGCTTAGACAATAAGACGGTAAAGATTAGGTACGTTTTCAGGCTTTATAGATAAAGAGTCGTATTTAAATTGTAAAAAGTTCCATTTGACCTAAATTTCATCTGGGAGTGCATGACAGATAACTTGCGAGCATCAGTCTCTGGCTGAATTCCTCAGGCGGCTACCCTCTTCATAGGTTAGGTTTAACTCTGCAAGTTACACCAACGGGTGAGCTGCTGTCTGCTGCAACTCGTCACGCCGGAGAGGAGGATGCCATAATTAAACTATTGAAGGAAGCATCACCCCTGCCCCCCGTGTCAATTTCGTGATTATAGGGCTGAAAATCACGGATCCTCCAACTTGCCTGAGGTCATAGTTTGTGGCTTGATTCCTCTTCCATGCCGCGGACTGTGGCATACTAAAACTGTAACGGATAACCTCTTCTGACGAGCGACGGGAGGAAAGGTATATCACGAGCAAAATCCAGGAGAAACTCGAGGGAACATATCATGCGAGGATCAATGAGATATGGATAAGAGATATAAAGAGGGGATGTCGTATCCTAATACTTCGTGAATACAGGGGCGTCAATACCTAAGTATGTTCAAGTCTAGATGGTACTGGTCTTAGTATGCTAGTCTATCGAGGCAATGAATTGTCAAGTAGACAAATAGCTGAAACGAACCTCTAGTTACCCCGGATATGCCTAGCATCTGGGTGTGGGGTATGGGGAGAAGTGGGTATTTGACACCCTAAAGCAGTATAAGCAGTGATGAGATGAGGAGTATTGCGGTCGTCTACCCCACGTTCTTACCCGGCAGATTGCCAACCACCAATAATAAATCCGGTGGATAAATGCCGACTAGGTATATTTGAGCTGAGTAATGACTAGCGGATTATTTGACCGAGGGTCATCAGTAGGAGTCGGAGCATTAATAACAACTCCCCCCTTTCCAACGAGCCTTAAGGGCTGAGACAAATACGGTGAATTATTTCATGGTCTCATTCCAAGCCCGTCATATTAGGCGTATCCTTTGCCCCCATACAGACTTGTCTCGTTGCTTGAAAAGTGTGTGGACATTTTGCTTGGCCAAGTATGTTGTTTGACCAGCTTTTAGCTGGCCTGAAGGCGGGGGACAAGAGCAATATATTGAGCCAGGTCTCGGTGTCGCACTTGGTTACTTCTATCCTGCTCATTGCCTCCGTCACACTGATAATCGATTATACTTATATGTTATGGTTGCGATCTAAGCTGGTAAGTTTCTTTGAGGAATAAAACTCACCTTAGTAATAAACTAAGACGAACAAACCTTAGCCACCTGGTCCCTTCCCTCGACCTATTGTAGGAAACACATTTATGCTCCCAGAAAAAAAACCATGGATCTGGTTCGAGGAGCTCTCTAAGAAGTACAATTCACCGCTTATCACGATATGGGTTGGACGGTAAGAAAAAAGAGCCCGCCTGCTAGAAGGCAAATCGTCCACTAACTTACTGCTAGAAACCCCACTATATGGGTCAACGATGCCTGGACGGCCTCGGAACTTTTCGACAAGCGTGCTGGGATTTACTCGTCGCGGCCTCGTATGCTCGTCTTCGCGGAGCTGGGTGCAGGTCAGGATAATCTGGTGAATATGTATACGGCGACTCCCGAACAGCGTGACCGGTGGCGTGTCCACCGTAAACTCATGCACCAAGGTGTCGGCATACAGTCTGTCCGACGGTATAGGGATTTCCAGAATAATGAGAGTCGTGTCGTCGCATATGACTTGCTTCAGGCTCCGAATGATTATGTCAAGCATTTTGAACGGTACGCTACGAGCGTTGTCTCCATAGTTGCTTTTGGGCGGCGCGTGGAGAGCTGGGACGATCCCATTATTACCGAGGTTATCGCAGTAATGCATTTGGCCGCCGACTTGAATGTTCCGGGCAAAAAGTTCCCGATGCTCATGGAGACGTTTCCCTTTCTTGCAAAATTCCCTAACGAGATTGCTCCCTGGAAGTACGGCCTAGGAAAAAAGAGCACATTCCACTTCTTCTATGCTCTTGCCGACGAAGCTGCTAAGAAGGAGGGCCACAAGGATTCATTTGTGAACCACTTGCTTTCCGAAGGTCCAAAATACAACCTAACCGAAGCCGAAATTTCTTCATTAACCGGAAATCTGTTTGGTGCCGGCTCTGATACAAGCAGTAGCACCTTGATCACGTTCGTTCTAGCCTGCTGTGCCTTTCCAGAAGCTCTAGTGCCGGCATGGGAAGAGTTGGATCGTGTGGTTGGTGCACATAGGAGTCCAGATTGGGATGACGAGGAGAATTTGCCATATATCAAAGCATTTGTGAAGGAGGTACTGCGATGGCGCTCCGTAGCCATCATCGGGGGTCAGCCGCACGCACCTACGCAGGACGATTATTACAAGGGATGGCTAATCCCAAAGGGTACATGGGTCCAGGGAAATGTTTGGGCCATCCACCATCACGAGCGCGAGTTCCCCGATCCCGATCGATTCAACCCGAATCGATTTCTTCCTGGTCATCCCGATAGCCGACCGTTCCCAGGTGAGAGAGGATATATGACATTTGGGTGGGGTCGTAGAGTCTGTTCTGGTCAGGCACTTGCTGAACAGGGTACGTGGATTACCGTAGCTAGGTTGCTATGGGGATTTAATATCCAGAAGAAGAAGCGGGTAGATGGCAGCGTCGTCGATGTGGACATCTTCAATTATACGTATGTGAACCTCGGCGTGAAATCGATACAACTTGCGCGGTTTAATAACATGGGTACATATAGGAACGGGCTCAATATGCGACCTCAGCCATTCGAATGTAGCATTACGCCACGAAGTAAGGAGATCCGGCAAACGATCGAGCGGGAGGGTAAGCAGGCACTGGAAGAATTAGAGGAATACCGTGGGGAGACTAAATATCGGATGTCAAGCTTTTATTCCAGGAACGATCACGCGATGAATTTGTACGGAGATGGTAAGAAAGCTTGATAGAATATGTAGGTAACCTAGATATGTATGGACACACAGTATCTCGCAGCTTCAAGTTAGTTACCTTTTTCACTTAGGCAAGTATCGATGTACATACCTAAAGTAGGATTAGTACCTAGGTAACACCTAGTATGGCCAATTATGAAATTTTGAATGGTTTCCAGAGCAACGTTGAATGTGAATTATGAGAACATGAAAGTGTAAAAGTTGAAATTATTTGAAAATAAATGTATCCATGGACATTGATATAGAGTACTATGTAAATACAACTAACAGGTAAAAATGTTAGTACTACTGTACCAGTGACTACCTAGTTATTTACATAAGACAATCAGCCTCGTGTGGCGCACCAATTCTCTGAATAATCAATGATGCAACCTGGAAGTTTCAAGTTACGGGCTACTAGTACATAGTTACCCTATCCTAGGTAGGTAGTAAACACTACTAGGTAATTAAACGAAACATTAAATCTCCCAACTCCTGTTTATCATTCATAAATCGTAGAGTATCATAGTGTTCGACAACTATTACACGCAGACAACATGCAGATAACGGATTTCGAAGCCCAAGAAGAGTCTGGACACGTTGACCTGCTTGTCCTTGGAGCGGGTTGGACCTCAACGTACCTCCTACCCCTCCTGAAGTCTGAGGGCGTCAAGTATGCAGCCACAACGACAGATGGCAGAAACGGCACAATTCCCTTTCGATTTGATGCCGAGTCTAGCGACCCAGCACCTTTCAAGGCTTTACCGAGAGCTGGAATGATATTAATTACGTTTCCACTTAAGGGCCAGGGACAAGCCACGCATTTAGTACATTTGTACGATTCTACGCACGGGAGATCAGAGCATGGCAAGACTCGCTATGTGCAACTAGGCGCCACTAGCATATGGACAGCACCATCATGGCAAGATGAGTCATCACCTTACGAGAGCACAAATCTCCGCGCGATTGCGGAAGATGAACTCATGAGGTGCGCGCAAGGCGCTATACTAAATCTCGCTGGACTATACGGAGGTGTGCGGCAGCCACGAGACTGGGTGGACCGGGTCGTGAAGTCGAAATCCGATCTGAAGAAGAAGGGTGCGCTGCATGTAGTTCACGGCGACGATGTTGCCAGAGCAATACTTGCTCTACATAGGAACTTCACACCCGGAAAGCGCTGGATTGTGACCGACTTGCATGTCTACGATTGGTGGGACTTGACAGAGGATTGGGCAAACCAGACGCTAAGGGAAGTGGGCACTAACGATGGACATACTGATACCCCAGTAGCTAAGGTTGAGAGGCAGAAGGAGCTGCTGGCATGGGTAGGCGAACTCATGATTGAAGAGGGCGTGCGAGCCCTGCCTAGGGACGCAGCTTCATTAGGTAGGGTTCTCGATGGCAGGGGATTCTGGCAGAAGATGGGCATCTGGCCGGCCCAAGGACGAATTCGATGAATTACGAGCTCCTTCAAATGATTCACTCGCCGGAGGTTCCATATCGCAAGGTTAGCTGTTTATGCCTTCATTAATCTAAACTACTAGTCTAAGCTATGGATGCGTTTATAAATCTATCACAAAGGTGGCGCTGTTGTGATCACCCTAATTTAGCGACTCCTCCTTATGGATCTCTATGGATGGCGGCGCACCGACAAGGGTCTTGCAATGCGCATAAATGACGAATTGGCCAGCGACCAGACCGCACGTCATCACGATACGTGGACCTAAGCCCGTCAACAGCAGTCTCCTAGGACCAAACTCCCGCGCAAGAGAAAACATTCTACTCGATGTGCTTTGCTTTGGGTCTCCTGCTCCCTTGTTTATTGCTGACAAGAGGGTATCAGCCGGATGGGAAAGGACTGCAGCAGCTACGCCGGCAATGACACCAGAACCCAACTCCACACCAGTGGATTGCAGTGGTGTTAGTTTTGCCTTCCTCTCGGGACCCATGTAGCGATATATAACTTCGACAGCAGCTTCGTGTACAGAAAATTGTCCCACCGCGTACGGCACCTGCTTGAAGAGCAGGGGCACGAAACCTGAGTAGAATCCCCGTAAACCCTCTTCCCTAGCGAGACGCATGAAACCTGTCGATAGACCCGAGGCGAACCCGCGCTGAGAGACTAAGCGAATGCGCGTTGCCTCGAGTGGGCACAAAGCAATGTCGGCGAAGAATTCTGCCGTGGCACTAGCGCCTAGGTAGATGGCCGTACGACGTTGTGTAGCCTTTTCCTGGGAGCCCGTGAAGTCAATGAATTTCTTCTTGAAGAATTCGTATCCAGCAAATTTGCCACCGCCTTGGACGAGGTATCCAACGGCTGTAGGGCCGAACCCGGTTAGCAGAGCTGAGGCGCCTTCTTTGGATACTATTCGCCGAGCAGCGCGGACCATGTTAAGGCCCTTTAACGAGTCGTCTACCTGGATCCGGGTCTTAACGACATCGATAGGAGTTGCACCCTACGGGCTAGTTAGCTAATGACGGTTTGAACTCATTAATCGCCATACACCGTGAGTTAAGGTCGCTGCAAGAGCGCCACTAGCGAAGAACTTGACATAATCACCCGGACCAAAGGTCGGCGTTCTATTCGGAGAGCTCATTCTAGTGGTTTATATGAGAGATGTTTATGGGGAAGGAAGTTGTAACAAGGATACAATATATAATATTGCCTGCATGTACATAGGTATGTATGTACATAGATATAGCTTTGAAGTGTTGAAATATGTCTACATAGAATGTAAGGGGGGGGGGTTCTCACAGTGTTCCTTGACGTCATCATGTCTTATTGCCCTCTTACCAAGCCAGGCACTTACTAAGAACCCATACATGATACTAAGTGTCTGATTAATGCATAAATACCTACCTACATGGTAGTAACTAATTATGAAGATTCCAAGGTTTACAATATGAGTAATTATCGCTACCCACATACCTTTGTACCTATAGGTAGTGTTTATCGTAAACGTAGAATGGACCAACTACTTACGACGCGAATACGGAAAAGCCTACTCTAGGTATTGTCCATACCTAGGTAGGTGCAGGAATCCATGTAATTACATATATCCTCTCCCTTTAATAACAGGAATTATGCCCATAGAGCTTCCGGTGCTCACCGTTGCCAACGCAGCTGCGTGGTCAACTTGGTTAACCCGTAGCAGCAGCACTTCCAAGGGTGTCTGGCTTACGCTCTCAAAGAAGGGCGCAACATTTCCTACCTCAATAACGTATGCCCAAGCACTCGACGAAGCATTGTGCCATGGATGGATTGATGGACAAGCACGCAAGGGTAAAGACGAATACGCGGACGTGTCGTATACACAGCGATTTACGCCTCGGAGAGCAAAGAGCTCTTGGTCGCGACGAAATGTCGAACACGTCGCGCGACTTGATATTGAGGGGCGTATGAAGGATGCGGGGTATCGCGCCGTTGAAACTGCAAAACAAGACGGACGATGGGACGCGGCATATGCAGGACAGGCGACAGCAGAACTCCCACCTGCGTTTCTCGCCGCAGTTAAGGCATCGCCTGCTGCACAAGCCACCTATAATACAATGACACGGCAAAATCGCTTCATTATTTATTACCGCCTGAATGCGCTGAAGACTGAGACTGGGCGTGAGATAAGGATAGCTGCGTTCGTTGAAATGCTGGCGCGCGGCGAGACACCGTATCCTCAAAAGAAATCAATACAAACCTTGAGTGCAGCTAGCTCGAGCTCGACTAAACGAAGAAAGTTACATACTACTTACTAGTAGTATCTACCTAGTAGTACCCCCATAGCTCATCAGACAGCATGAGTTGTCGCAATAAGAACATCTGGGCACTTGTGCCAGTGTACAAATGAATGATGTCTACATTTATTTCGTTAGACTTGTATGGAACTCACTGCGACTTCATATTAAACATTAGGGTCAAGACTGCCCAGGTGTACTGCCATCTACCACCGTTACATCTGATGCGCATCCCCTTTTTATCCCTCCGATGACCCCACCCCATCTCCCATCATTACACGAATTACTAGGTATTCATTGCAACATTTGCTGCAAAGCATTGATCCGATAGCTCTCACTTCGCTCCATCAAATCTGTGTGGCTGCCCTTGTCTATGATCTTACCACCCTCGACCATCAAGATGACATCAGCTTTCTGCACGGTATGTAGTCGGTGTGTTATGGCAATGATTGTGATCTTCCGCGCAATCCTTTCCAGACCAAGCTGTACCGCTCGCTCGCTTTCAGCATCCAGTGCGCTGGTGCTCTCATCTAACAGCAAGAGACTCGGATTTCGCACGAGCGCACGGGCAATGGCCAGCCGCTGACGTTGACCTCCGGACAGTCTAGAACCGTTTGATCCACACTCTGTCTCATAGCCCTGTGGGAGGGCGACAATGGTGTCATGAATATTAGCCATGCGGCAGGCTTCCTCAATTTCCACGTCGCTAGCATCGTAACCAGGACGAGCACCCAGGCCTACGTTGAATTTGATGGTACCGTTGAATAATGCATTGTCCTGTGGGACAACTGCAATATCATGACGGAATTCGGTATTTTTACGCGTGGATATATCAAGGCCGTTGAACTTTATTGAGCCAGTCGAAGGCAAGTACATCTGTTGAATGAGGCCCATGATTGTAGATTTTCCAGCCCCTGAAGGACCGACGAGCCCAACAAATTGGCCGGGCTTTATTTCGAAGGAAACCCCTTGAAGGATTTGCTGTGCTGGTCGAGATGGATACGCGAAACAAACGTCACGAAATGCTACACTCCCTCCAATAGCAGACGGCAAATCGGCTCTTGGGTTATTGCTTTCTGCCATAGCCTCGATATCACGTTTCTTTTCATTTTCCGAGTTACTGCCGTCTAAATCTAGACGCTCGGGGCCTTTAGAATTTCCTTCCTTTTCCCCCAACTCGATGAGACTTAGCGTCCTAGAAGCAGCATTTTTGGCACGAGAGAACTCTGGCATGAGCATGTACATGTTCCCGAGCAGATTAGAGCTGACGAGCATCGACACAGACACAATGTAGAACTGTGTTTGGGTGTATTCACCGCGCATGATGAGTTGTGAGCCCCACCAATATGACAGGGCATATATGAAGAAGCCGGTGCTGATGGAAATTGACATATAGATGCAAGTGTGCTGGCCTTCCTTTATCATGTCCGTTCTCGGACCTTTTAAGGCCCCTCGATATCGATTTAGGACTTCGTCCTCGAGTGAGAGGCCCGCAACGGTTTTGATCTGATTAACAGCTTCTACGGTGATTCCAACTGCCTTGACAAACGCCTTGTGATTCCGCTCTTGGTATCTGGAAGTAGCCCGAGCCTGGAGGATACCTGCGGTTAAAAGTATAGGGACCATAGCTAGGCAAACAAGGGCAATCTTCCAAGCAAAAATATGAGAAACGATGATGGCGACGAAGAAATTGATCATTATAGAAAATGTCGTGGCGATGATGCTCCCGCTGAATGCCGCCAATGCTGCACCATCCTTGGTGATCACGCTGAGTAGTGCGGTTGGAGTCCGGTCGCCAGAGCTATGCCACTCAACGCTTTGTGCCATCAAGGTCCGGAAACTCAGCACTCGGATCCGGTAGACTAGGTTTTCCGATATGCGTCCAAATGAGGACCAACTGCTTACATTGGCAAATAATTCGACGATGGCCAACATGAAGATAAGTCCACCGAAGAAGCGACCGAGATGTAGGATTTCGGAGACGGTACTTCCGCAGCCGCTGAGACCGCTCACGGTATTTCCGAAGATCAGAGCCATTGCGGTGAACGTGGCCCCAACGAGGATAGAAGCTGGTATAGCAAGAGCCAGCCACTTACAATCAGGCCTGATGATTTTACTCATACCGGCTAGGATAAAACCAAAAGACATCGGCTTATCAAATCCTTTAGGTGGTGTTATGTTAGGGGCGGTGCGTGGATTGTCTTCTGTCGGGCTGGCTTTCTCAGTTGGGATATCCTTGGCCGTACTTGATGCGATGGTGTCACTCAAGGACTCTAGTTCTGCGATATTCGGTTGCGATACATCCGATGTCCTCCGCACCGAACTGTCTAAGCCCTGGAGAAAAGCTAGACGAGCGAAAGCTCCATCTCGGTCTAGAAGTTCTTGATATGTCCCTTGTTCCACTACTCTGCCATCTTGCATGACAATGATATTGTCTACATGCTTGACGGTAGAAAGCCGGTGAGCAATCGAGATGACGGTTCTGTTGACAGCCACACGGTCAACGGCTGCTTGTATCCTTTTCTCGGTAGCCGAGTCTAGCGACGCCGTAGCTTCATCAAGGACCAGAATCTTAGGATCGCGAATAAGTGCTCTAGCTAGGGCAATACGTTGCCGCTGCCCCCCACTGACCAGCTTTCCACGATCGCCAACTTGTGTACCATACCCCCGCTCGAGATTTTCCACGAAGGAAAGATCAGCTAAATCGCCCGCTTTCTGGACTAGAGCTGCTACTTCCGCAACGACACCACCCTCGCGTGCCGCTTCGTTTAGAACGTCTTCGTTATTGCTGTCGACAAAGTGCTGTAACTCAGGGCCGACGATCCATGACTTCAGATGTGCATGGTCTGGCCGAGGAGAGTTCACAAGACCAAGAGCTATGTTTTCGAAGATGGAGCGATCAAACAACTCAGATTCCTGCTGCACCAAGCTTACAAACCCCCTCAAATTGCTAACTTTGAGTGTCTGGATATTCGTGCTGTCAAATACTACTGTGCCACTGCTAGGGTCGTATAGCCGGTTCAACAAAGCTGCCACAGTGGACTTTCCACTGCCAGATTGGCCAACGATGGCGGTGTGTTTTCCAGCCTCAAAAGTCATACTCACCTCCTGTAGAGCTGACTGCTCTAGTCGGGACGAGTAACAGAAGGAGACAGCACATAATTCGATGCGCCCAGGAGTATCCCATGGCAGCTTGAGCCCAGAGTCTGATATTCCATCGATAGATGATGTATGGTCCATGTCCTCTCTTAGTCGCTCATATGCCGACGATGCGGCCCCAAAAATAGGGAAAAAGGGAGCAAGTCCGCCCATGATGATACAAGCTGTACAGTCATACAAATTAGTGTCGTTGCACTTTTTTGTTACGAGAAGTTCTTAAATCAACTTGAAATATTGGGCCACTAACCATCAACAACCAAAAATACAACTGTATATACTTGACCAAACGTCGCGTTACCCTTGCCGTTAAGTGAGTCAGCAATCATTCGGCTTCCCTGCCAGTACGCGAGAGCATTCGAGCTATAAGAGATGAAATATAGCAAGCCCGCCTGTGAGCCTGCTATGAGGGCCTTCTTGATACCAAATTTGCGTGCCAGCTCAATATGTTTTGAAAATTTAGATTCGAGTCTCGGTCCAGCATCGAACGCCTGTACGACAGTAATGTGCGAGAGGGCCTCAGACGCAATGGAACCACCGGCAGCAAATGACTCGGCGGATTTTTCAGCGAATTTCTTGAAGAAGTAGCTACCACACACGGTCATGAAGAGGAAAGCGGGGACGAGCGAGATCAGGATTGCAGCCAAGACAGGTTGTTTGATGAAGGCAACAATGAAAGCAGTGATGAAGAAGCTGCACTGGCCAATGAGGCGACTGACTTTCTCGCTCGTACCTGTCTGGATTGCGGTGAATTCATCATCTAATCTAGCACTGATTTCACCAGCATGCCTATTATCGAAGAAGCTGGGTTCTTGATGGAGCAGGTGTCGGAAATACCGGTCCCTTAACCTGTGCATTAATCTCTGGGACTGGATATTCCAACACACGCTGTGGCAATAAATAAGGACGAATTGCGCCGCGGCGATGCCCACAAGTTTCGTCAGGATCATGGAAATATCACTTTGAAGTTCAAAGGCATCCCCATGTGATTCCACATTGCAAGTGGCCGCGTTGAGGTTGTCGACCAGCTGACCGAACAGGATAGCTATGAGCGGATACGGAATGCCGGCCCCAACTGCCGTAACGAAGCCAACGGACATGAGGCCGATATCACTCCATGTCGGATCCGTACAAAGAAGAAGCTGCAGGAAGGTAAGGAGACTTCGCCATGCCTGTTCACGAATAATCAGAGAGACATAGATTAAGACTTGGAGACTTTAAGTTACTTGCCGTCTTCTTCTTTGTGGGCTCATTGGCCTGGCTCGATACACCTGCTGAAGCCATACTCGTAAGTCAACCTGTTGTGTCTGTCTACCAAGTTAATGGTCTCCTGTATTAGTAGCCAATGATGCAAAAATCACATTTAAGAGAGTTTTTCCATGACTAAAGCTCGCCGAGGTCTTAAAAACGAGAGAAGAAGAAAGAAAAATCGGCACAGCAATAAATTATCCAATATTTCTTGGCCTTTTCTGGGTATATACATATGTCTTCTATTGGATGTAAATCCTTCGGATCTGATACGAAGACAACGCGGATCTGATAACTCTTTAAAGTGGATACATCCTCTGGTTAGGTGGTCGGACGATCCCCTTTTACGTAACTCCCCAATTTTAAGGCGACTAGGATTTGATCTGATAAAAAAGAGCATGGGCATTACTGCGGGAAGATTTTATTCTTCGTCTAGAATACTATGTACGCCGTAATAGCGGGTACCAAGTAACAGTAACTATACTCGAGTCTCGTCCAACTTATCCATGCATGATATGTATAAGGTAGGTATGTAGGTGCACGGGTCCCTAGCCAAAATATATATGTATATTCATATTTACCTAAGGTATCTTACCCCTGAATATACGCTCTTCTGGACGCCTCTCACGTATATAGACCTCGTCTGGCCCAGCTCAGCTGGCCAGCTTCTAACCAAGGTAGTCGCACTGGGTAACCTAGGTACGGATTTTGGTATCAGTGGTTGAATCGGACTTGTGGTTCTTATATGACGTGTAGTCAGCCATAGCTCTGGTCTTCGTTTTATTCGGGTCAAATTTGGGGAGCAGGGGTTCATCTAAAAGTTCGTGGAGAGGACGATGCCAAGGCAAGACGTTTTTAGGGGCCCCAAAATGGGAAGAAAGGATCTGGCTAAGACTCGTGGCGCGGTCCTACTATGGATACCATCTGTGTCCACCTAGCATTATAATGGGTTCGTGTCTGAAACTACTTATAAATGCTTCTCCAAGGAATCAAAATGTTCTCACCATGTAAGCTTTGGTCAAGAAATGTGACAAGATGTGAAATAGTCTCCAAACAGCTCGTAGGGTGAATAATTACTAAATCTATACTTTCCCAGATCGGTAATGAAGACATAGAACCTTCCGAGTCCATCCAGAAACTGTGACCTTAACCTTTTACCTGAAACCATAGTCGCCCATTCGCCAAACGTTTATTGTCAGTGTCCACATCTAGCGCCTCTCGAAACCTATGGTCTAATTCAACTAATATCGAGATGGATGTGGCCATGATCAAGCCCATGTGCTAAGAATCCGGTGGCATTGAACACTCTCCGCTCCTCCAGGAACTGTTTCAAAGAGTTGTAGTCATGGCATTCCCGCAAGAAGCCGCTGCCAAGAAATCCATTTGGGTCAGAAACATTAACAGTGGGCTCGATTGTCGTATCTGACGAGCATGTCAGGCCTTGCTGGAGATAGTCAAAGCAGTGGGAGACGTGTAGTGTACGATTTTTGCCGAAGTCGAACTCCTGGAGGTCCTGTGACCGAGAATAGAAGCTACGTCGTATAATGTATAGACAGTGTAACTGGTGGATGACTGTCGGTATAGAGACGTGCGGCGCTATATGATCATCTTGAAAGTATCCTAGACCGTCTACTTACTTGTCAGAGGAATTTGACTTTTGATCCATATGGATATTAATGAAGGGAATTGGTGTTTGGTGGCCACTGCAACTCACTTGGTACCAATGCATCCCAGACTGGTTCGGACGGGGACGTTGTCCCTGATTCCTCACCCTGTGGAGGTTCTCGGGAAAATGGTGAAGAGTAGACAAAATTACGTAGAATGATTGGAAGTTGTATATGGGATGCTCCATGTTTAGATGAATGGCCATTTCTGTTATGCAAGATGCTCGCCACAAGAAGGACTCCAGTGGTAAATCCAACCACAGCGGAGATAACAGCCCATGAAACAATTAAAAACTTTTGAGGGTAAACCAGTGTCGTTGGCTTCGGTGTTCGAGGTATTGGTGTTTCGCTAGCGGATTCATTGAAATCATCCTCTACTTTATTAAAGAGTGGCTGATAAGCGTCTTTCTTGAAAATATCCCTGAAAAACATCATATAGGATTTTAATGCTTTCAAGAACCATAAGATAGTGCTACTCGTAATTGTTTGTCCAATATGCTCCTATTCCTATACAAAAGGCTCATACAAAAAGTAGTTCAAGTAGTATGTCTAAGAAGAGTGGAAATTCGAGTCATGAGAAAGCTCCCACCACCCCACCACAAGCACGCAGCCTCGCCCTCACATCGATAATACAACCTATATGACCTGTTTAAATCCCTGCATGGAAGCACGCCGCAGGTAGATGGAATGTGGTAAGAGGCTTGTACTCCACGGCGAGTCTGCATATGCAGTCACTCCACAACACTACTATCACTGATCGCATTACTTGGATACTAACATCAGAAGGACACGAGCTCTACTTGATAAGTCCCATAGAAGGGTACAATGGGCTAATAGGTTTTGAGCTGAGGTTCTATTGAGCTAATAATTCCTTTTTAGTCTACAATTGTAGTCTTTAGGGCTCCTTTATCCCCTCAACCCTTACGTTACTTTATATATATATATATATATATGTTGTTTTACATAATTTGGTATGCATTTGATTTACGCCGATGCCGTTATATTCGGCCTAACCTAGAGGCATATGTACGTTAACTTCATTGCTATCCCGCATCCCATCAGCGTTACGTTCCATTACCCTTACTGTACGTCCTGCTACTTGCCAATACTGATGGGCAGCCTTCACCTATGACGGGAAGCTGCAAAGTAAGGCCGAATATCCAGTTGTATTACTTCTGGATCCAAATTGAACCTGTAGGTCTTAATGTGAGCGGCAAAAAAGGGTTTAGACTCTTCGATTACCACCTAGGTATGTAGGTGGCAGCCAATAAGAACTAGTAGGAAAAGCCCACACCACACTTGCGACACCAACACGAAATGCATTTCCAAGCATCTCCGTAAGGAAACGCACTCCGATGTTGGTGATGATGGATTACGCCATACCAACGTATTCTCCATCAGGTACTCCCGGGATCAGGCATCCTCAATGGCTTTCTGATACTCCACGGAGAAGATACAAGCCGGCAGCCTCAGCTTTGGCCAGAGCCCCCTTTCACCGGTAATACGGCAATGAGGTAACATAGTAGAAACACCAACTACCTCGAGAGGCCTTTTCTCTTGGAGGGGTTAAATTTTGGATAAATGTAACAAGTTCCGCTGGCTAGTAACTCACCCATCTATATCTCTTTCATGATCATCGATCTACTACCTAACTAGTATTTACACAATTATTATCTGCATTCGTCATAACGAAGACACTCAAACATGTGGTCTCTAGCCACGTTCACTGCTGTCGTCCTTGGGGCTTCCGTGATGGTTAATGCACTCCCCAGTCCTCGTAAGTTAGAGTTCGAATACATGGTTTTGAATTATGCGCCAAACTAATTCAGCACCAGCAGCTCCAGAGATCATTGACGTGGCAGATGCGTTCAAGCGTGCGGATGTCGACCCAAACGTTTCAGATGACTCTGTTGAGGCAGACGTGGCAGATGGGTTCAAGGGTTGAATGAGGTTTTGGCTATGGACTGAATCTACGAGATTGGTGAGATGGATGTTGTGTTAGTCGGTCGTTATAACCAAGTCCACGACAAGGACAACATCAATAGTATGAACACAACTAAATAATAGTTTCAAGTGTTGTGGGGGCAATAACAGCGACAGAGAAGGCTAAAGTAACACCGTCGTTTAATTCCAGATTCATCTACATCATCAATATAAACCCTCTCTAGAGTTCTTCATTGGTAATAAATGCTGAAATGAGTGTCTAAGGACTGCTCTTAGGTACAGTACAAGGAGTCACGGCGAGAAAATGTATATAATCAAGTACACATCTAAGCTCATTGTTGCAGTACATCTGCAACCAAGAAGAAGAAAGAGGAAAGGAAGAAAGCTTGCTTTATTCCCAACTACGAATGGCGGAGTGCCAATATATGGCCATAAGGGCCATATGGAGCCTAAGGGTGCCTGAGGCACCTGCAACACTCATATACCATATCTTTTAGCAATCAACATGTATACTCTAGATCTTTGATTTCTACAGAATCTGTTCCAATGGATGGATGAACAACTCAATAATGTGGACGAAAATTCAATAAAATAAGCCCTAGAGACATAAATTCGAATGTTCAAATGCTCTACAGAACAGGTATTTACATAGGTATGGAAGCCCACTTCTACAATTGCTTATGACTTATGGGCCATTTGCAAGCAACAGCTTGTCGGTCACCGCAGAAAATTCCAATACACTGGTGTTATCCAAAATTCGACCACAAAGCTCCGGACTGCTCCTCAGTGATCATCCAAAGATTCTGCAGGCAGCCCTATTAAGAACTTGTCAGAGGGCACATAATTGTCGGCGATAACATATCCACTACCAGGCGGGCAGTGCTTAAACCTTTCAATCATAGATTCTGAATCCGTCTCTGGATTCTCAGGCCGCTTGTAGCAACCCGTGTGACGACGTGCAAAATCCTCCAGGTCTTCCCAGCGGCGGCATTTGCGATGCTGCAGAAGACCGCTAACAACTTCTGCCCGACGGTCCGTAGCCCGCGGCGTATCGTCAGCATCACACAGGATCTGCCGCCTCAGGGCGTCTAGACAGTGGCTTATATGGTGCCACGAACGGGTTTGCGGAGCTCCTCGTTTGTACTCGGAGAGGGAGATGTAAATGATTTTGAGGCAGTGCAGGTTGTGGTAGCCGTGGAGGATGTATATTCCTTTCGTCTGGTCCCAAGGGAATCTCTGTGCAGTTCGAAGGTCGTGCCGAGCTGCCCATTCGTCGGAGAGTGCGACAACTGCGGAATCGACATTGATATTGTGCCAGAGCTGGTCTTGGAGAGTGTCATTGTCCGAGCTGTATTGAGTCACAAGAACATAGGGCTCCTCGCGAGTGCGCCGGAGGTTTGCGTACCTCGACGATGGGTCGGTCCTTACGGTCAAATGGATGATACCAAAAATCAATAGTATATTGGTTATGATTGAAATTGAAAAGATTACAATAGGGACTTTGTGGGTTTTCCATGTGGAAGGGGAGGTCGTCACTTGAGACTGGGCTTTCTCATCCAGGCCTCCGGCCGCCCCATCATCAGCGAGCAGGCCATAATGCTCTTCTCTCTCATGGTATGAGACCATATTGATTAGAGTGCGATGGTGGATAGCTTCTTTTGCCAATATGAGAGTAACCCAAAAGTGACTCTACATTGTAAGCCAGGGCATCGTGTTGGTCTTTGTAGGTGGGCGGGCGGCCATCTCTCTCGCAGATTCTGGCAATTTCCAAGGCTAACCGCGCATGTCTCATCGGGTCCAGTGCTACCAGAGACAAACGGATGCAACCCATGGGGTTGCACAGCCTAACCAGTTATGATACCTGAGTACACATTAGCATCACGTACCATTCAAGCTCTCGCCCCCCCTTCCCCTTTTCTTTTTTTTACCTGCTGTGTTACTTTATATTGCGCTTTTGGATACTCATGATTGGTCAACTACAGCTCCTGCTGTTGTAATGTCTGCAGCCTTACCGGTAGTTTATGGGGGTTTGTCGAGGCCCCGATCCTATTTTATCATCGAGATAGTGTTCTGCTTCTTCTCTTTCATCAACGCCTTCATGTGAACCAAATGATACACACTGGCTCAATTTCTAAGGCATCTTCATGATGGCTAACTCTATAAAATTGCAACAAGCCAACAGTCGGACCGGCCTCATTGTTATGGCCTCTATTTTCTCCTTGATTACGACAATGGCAGTTATGTTCAGGTTCTATGCTAGGCGTATAGTTGGGGTTGGATTTGGCATAGATGACTGGCTAGCTCTAGGGGCACTCGTGAGCACGACAAGTCCTCCTCAAGTTCGAGAAAAATGAGACTATTCTGACAGCCCCCTAGGTTTTCGTGCTTGCACTGAATGGAATTTTTCTCGGTGGCACTATTCAGGGAGCGATCACTGGCCATTCTCCGGTTGTGGATGATTGGCCCGTAACGACGGAACTTGAACATCTAGCTCAGAAGTACAAGTATGCTTTTCAGACAACCGAGAAGATAGCGTTCGGGTTGATCAAGCTCTCGCTTCTATTCCTCTGGAAGCGTATTTTCAGCCGAGCTAGGCTGTTCGTAATATTCTGCTGGGTAATGATAGGTGTCATAAGTGCTTGGTGCATCGCTTTTTTCTTTTCGACTCTGTTCCAATGCGGGACACAGTGGGATTGGAATTGGGCCCCTATTGGCTTCTTCCTAACGGAATGCGCGGATACCCTTGATATGCTCACTGCTTTCACGGCAACAGACTTATTTACCGATTTTATAATCATGTTTATGCCGGTCCCCCTAATCTGGAAGCTTCGTATGCCGATGAGAAAGAAGCTTGGTGTAACAAGTATCTTCATGGTTGGTTTGTTGTCAGTTGCCCCTTAATATTAACCCTGAGCATTTAGAGTAGGTACTGACTATAGTTTAGCACAATTGGCGCGGGTATAGCACGCATGTTTTCCTATCTCGTGACGTCTTATCAGAAAGAGGTCAATCCCGACTTCATCGCAGATTTCACGCTTTTCATTCTATGGTCGGAGATTGAAGCCAATGTTGCCATGATTGTGTGTTGTATGCCAACATTAGGTCCAACACTAGGAAAAGGACGCGATCGACTCGTATCTCTCCTGCACTCAACGCTTTCCCACAAATGGACCCTGCTCTCTTCTGATCGGGCAGGCAATAAGACATCCAACAACGGGATTGAGCTATATAGTCCCGCGAAGGAGAATTCGCTATCACCAAGGGCACTTCCGGGAAACGGAGCGCCTTGGCAGGGCGAGTTTGGGTCAGTTACAGCCGCTGGTTCCATTACTAATAAGCGGCGATTCGATCACATCCCGGGTATCGTGACTCAGACGGAGATTGTTAGAACTACTGAGCCGAGGTTGCTAGAGACTTGGAAAAGTGGGCAGCAAGAAATTGTATAACAACGAAATAAGGGTGAAAAGGTGGTGTGGAGATCACGACCTGTGGCATGATGGAAAAAATGTGCACCCAACCCCCCACCCCTTATTTTCAGCTATATAAAGAAAGGACGTTGGAAGTTGGAGTAAATTTTATACGCAGAAAATATGCAGGGCAATATAATGCGATATGTAGTATTTGTTAGGTATACATTCACTTAACTCGTAGCATGCCTACATATATAGTTACTTACACCTGGTTGCATTGAAGTTGCACCAATATCGGACATCTGATTTCATAGGTGTAATAAAACCAATAGCAACATACATACATATAGTTATATGTACCCGCTTCCTTTTTTAAACGTAACATTGATGTTGCTTATTTATGCATGTAGTATGTATAATATTGTAGGGCACCATTTCATACGTAAGCACCTGGTAGGTATTGTTGCACCAACAACACAACATGCCCCTGGTCATTTTCAATAATGTCATTAATGTATTTTGACATCGCGTATGGACGCAAAGCATTTCTCGGACAAAGAGAGATAAGTTGGTACATAGGCTATCAGGTTTCGGAACAGTGGAATAGTACAGCCTGCAGCTTTCATGTGTAGCCCGAGACATCAGCGATCGGTGGTACGGTGTGGTTATACAGGAACTCAGCCATTTCTCCACTTTATGCAAGGCTCTAACTACTTAGTATGTAGTACTCCAGATGTCTTCAATGAAAGATCTGTGATCTGGTATGTATTGATGTATGTACCTAGGTAAAGAGCGATCCGAGCCGCACAACTTCGTTCCATTCAAACCGTTGATCTCCCATTTACCACCAGAATGCTTCATCCAAAATCCTTCCACCTCATTTCCCATCTCATTGAATTCAACCGCCTTTTCTGGCTTTGGTGAGATCTTGCGAGAAAACAATATTTCTGCTCCCACCCCACCATCCGCAAGCGCTATGGCACGAGGCATTCTCACGTGGACTTTAGCTCTAGGAGCACTGCTGTTTGCGTTTACCGCCATTTACTTGGGTTCTGCTTTTGACATTGGAATCCCCTTCGCAGCCGTCTCTGCGCCTGTGGTTATTGATTCCGCGCGATACATTCGGTATATCGGCAGCCGTCTCGATGGCGTAGAGCACTTTCAAAACATCTTCTACGCGGAAGATTCCACTGGAAGGAACCGCTTCGCACCGCCCGTTCCCCTGCAGCATCCACAGGGGTCCATTATTGATGCTTCGCAGCCCGGTGCTTGGTGCCCGCAGGGAACTGGTGATATACTTCCATTCACGAGCCGGGTTACTAATATCAGCGAGAACTGCTTGAGCTTGCGAATCTCTCGACCACATGGTACCAGACCAGACGCAAAGTTGCCTGTTGTAGTATGGATACATGGAGGTAAAATCTTGATTTAACCGTTCTATTCTGGCTTCAGTCACACACCACATTATGCCATATATCTATATATTTGTCTTGAATCGCTGATGGCGACTAGGTGGCCACGCCCTGGGCTCTGCCTACGATGTTCTCTACGAACCTGATGGCCTGGTAAAGCAAGCTGCGGAAGATGGGCAGCCTCTGATTTTCGTTGCGATCAACTACCGCCTGGGCTGTACGTCAACTCCTACATAACTTGTCGTCGGGAACATCATCTAACAAACTTATATCCAGTTTTCGGCTTTGCAACAAGCAAGGCCATGAGAGACGCGAAACATACTAATGCTGGTTTGCGTGACCAGCGTGCAGCATTAGAGTGTATGTTAAGCCCAGACCCAGACCTCCACGTGGCTGGCCAGGTTTACTGACGTATATGCCTAGGGGTTCGTGATAACATCGAAACCTTTGGTGGCGATTCGAAGAGAGGTAAGATCAAATCGACATCTTACCACGCCAGATTATCACTAACCACCATCTTAATAAAAGTAACGGCAATCGGCCAAAGTGTGGGGGCGAATGATATCAGCTTTCAGCTGCTAGCATTTGGAGGAACTCAGGATGCCCCTTTTCAACGTGCAGTGTAAATACTTCTCATTTCAACCTTGCCTACTCATATCGTACTGACCAGTATTTGACAGGCTGATGTCCGGCGGGCCGGGAATGAACCACAATAGCGATCCGGCACATCTAGTAGAAGAAAACACGGCTGCCATTGCCCGGCAAGTGGGATGCGTGAAAGGAGAGGATACTCAATCAATAGATACTCTAGAATGTCTACGCCAAGCGCCAGTAGATATACTGACTAATTTGTCAGTCGCTGCTTCTCGAGCTGCACACCCACCGTTTGGGGAAGCATTTTTCTATCCTACAGTTGATGGAGACTTCTTCCCCGACCGGCCATCCAAGTTACTTCGCGATGGGAAGTTCGCCAAGGGGGTGCCGGTCATCGACTCCTGGGTGACGAACGACGGAGCCTGGTACCCGCCCCCAACAGTCTCATCTGACGAGGGTGTACTGGCAAGTGTCGTAAGCTGGATCCCCGGCCTGTCTGCATCCACAAAGGCCAAGCTGCTCAGACTGTATCCGCTCGAAGATTTTGAATACATGGTGCGACCCGAGTACGACGGGCCCATCTCGCCACAATACTACCGCGCCGCGCAGATCACTCGGGATTTCTGGTTCACGTGCCCGGCGCTCGGGTTCGCATGGCACTACGCACGAAATGGCGGCGCAGACATATCACAAATACGTCTGTACGAGCACAACGTCACGCGATACACGCCCGTCTTCGAAAAGATGGGCGTCCCAATGTGGCGTGTCGCGCACCTGAGCGATATTCCCTACGTGCTAAACACCCATCGCCTAGGCGGCGGGGCGGATAATTCTGCGGCGCAACTGAAGCTAGCTAAGATCATAAGCCGAAGTATCATGAAGTTTGTGACGTCGACGAGTCTAGTCGGAGATAGTCACGGCGGTATCGAGGCATGGCCTCCGGCTTTTGAAAATGTAACTAAAGCTGAATTATTGGAGGCAGACTTTCCTAGTACGCTGACGCTGGCGTTGTTTGGGGGGCATGACCTTAGTATTCCAGTAACTATCAACAAAGATTACGGTAGCCAGACTGATGCTTTAGAAGCATCGAGGGCTATAGGGCGAGAGAAAGTGTTCGAAAGATGCGGGTTCATTAATAGTCAGAAGGTGGTAGACGAGGCGGGTTGGTAGGTTGGGAATCCGAGCATCACGGTCGTTAGATTCTAAGCTTACCATGCTTAATCCGTATAATCGGTATAATTTGCTTATCGACGATAAAATAAAAAACCGGACGAACATTCGTTTGACGTTTGGGTGTTAGGCCATAGACGTAGATAGCCACTCCCGTGGCTATCCATGGCTACTGCCATGTGGGCATCTCCATGGTTGCTGCTGCCACAGCTTGCTGAACCTTATCCATGTATATATAGCTAGCTTGAGACGCTGGGAGCTCAGCTATTTTTTTCTCTTCTATATTTCCATTAACTGATTGACCTCTTAAGTCCCATCATCGGGAGTGAAGCAAGCCTATCCATTAATACTTGATTTAGGAGATATTTATTAACTTTAGTTTAATATCACGGCCTTAAAACACATGTATGGCGGGGCCAGTGAGGCTTAATAAATAATTAGCTATGTAGCAATATTGGATAAGCGGTTCCATGTTTTAGGGACTCGCAATGTCAGGGTTAGGGTTAGGGTTAGGGTTAGGGTTAGGGTTAGGGTTAGGGTTAGGGTTAGGGTTAGGGTTAGGGTTAGGGTTAGGGTTAGGGTTAGGGTTAGGGTTAGGGTTAGGGTTAGGGTTAGGGTTAGGGTTAGGGTTAGGGTTAGGGTTAGGGTTAGGGTTAGGGTTA